GCCGACAAGGAGAAGTACGACAAGCGCGACCAGCTTCTCGCCGACAAGGAGAAGTACGACAAAAGAGACCAGCTCTTGGCCGATAAGGAGAAGTACGACTAGAATTTCCTTGATTAGGATGCCTTCTTCATTAGAGCCTTTTGCCAGAGGATTTTGGAAGAACAGAAGGATGGGTTGGTCGACATTGGTGTGAGTGTGAAGACGCGGTTCCGTACATTGAGTATGTGCTATAACTAAAGCTATACTACGCGCTGGTTTATGGAATATTGTGTTGGAACTTCTCCTTAGAATCAAGTTTTGGGAGTAGGTCATATCTATCTGCATACCTCTTTGCATACCTAGCCTTCACTGTAGCGAGACAGTAGAGTCCCTCTGTAAACTGTGCTGGATGCTGACGAGCATAATTTCACACTGATACAAATAAGATAAAAGAGAAACCACTCGATAAATTTGGAAGCAAAATTGTCCCTCAAAAAGGCTTTCACTGGATTCAACTTGAGGTGTATATATTGTTTTAAGAGCGTATTAGACATTCAGCTTTTGTCTTTGATTAATATCATCTTAACAAGGATTTTAAGGCTCCCGAGCATCGCTAAAGCCGATACCAAAATTCTCTTTCCATGGCTGTTGTTATATACTTCAAAACAGAGAATCCATTTTTCTATACTGAGGAAATTATTAAATTCTTAAGGGGACCAGAAATGGGATCGTCGCCTCTGGTTATATGACCTCAATATCCTGCAAAAGAGACAGTAATCCAACAAAGTAGCCTACATTTGGTGATAAGACTCTTCGGGCAAGTCTCTAATCACCCATGCAGATGCAATAGCCGCCGACCCAGCGATACTCAACAGCAAAGCATATGTAGTAGCATCAACCTCACCAGCATGGTCGTTCCCCATCAGCCAGAAGAATAGGCTACAGGCCAGAGCAGATATGATCTGAGGAGAAGCGATAGATATATTGTGTATCCCCATAACTTTGGCGACCACTCCCGCTCCTTCATCGTTCATCTCTGTACATTCAGCCTGCTGGATCTGACGCTGTATATCCGTCCCAATTATCGCATAGGGAATCCACGCGCTTGTCGCCCATGAGAATCCTATTGCGCCTACAATTATATAGGCCACAGATATCCTCTTGAAGAATGTCAGAAGCATGCTTCCGGCGAATATGACTTGCCCTGCGAGCCAAATACGACGGAGGGTAAACAGCTCTGGATTCCAGCGCCAGGATGACTTCAAAGACAGAGAGCTTTCAAAGCGAGAGCTCAGTTCCACGACTTGAGGAAGTACTAAGCCCATGACGAAAGACGAGAGTGCGAAGACAGACATAGCTAATGATCCAGCACGAGCTGATTCCTCCCATCGCGGACTTACCCCTTGTGAACCGATTGAGAGGTCTTGTCTTTTCAGAGCTCCGACATAGCTGTTCGAGAACATCCAAGTCAGAAAAGGCAAAGAGTTGTTTAGCACTGAGATTTGAACTTAGAAAATCGGAAACTGGAGAAAGACTTTACCTAGACGCATAAAACAAGAAGGGGAACCATCCTAACCAGGAGAAGAATTGTGCAAAGCACACTGTACGTGTAGAACTTGGGAGCGTTCGTAGTGTTTTCCATAGATCACGAATGCCACTCCTCGCAGTTGTGGGGTGATAAGAGCTGTCATGAACACCAGATTTCTGCTCTTTGATGAAGTAGCAAGTGATCGAGGTGCAAAGCAGCAAATTTATAGACACCAAGCTGCTCAAGGCTTGGAATTGTGTACGACCAAGGAAGGGTAAATGGCGAGGAAGATCGACTGAACCGAGACAATAACCCAGAATGTTACCTCCCAGGGTGAACCTTGCAGCCCATGCATTTGCCTCATGCTGCTGCTCCTGGGGTACCAAGTCCACTATCAGTGACCTCAGACCAAGTTGAACGGGTTGGATAGCAAAGTTCAGTATCCAGATGCAAATCTCCACGAAAATGACCAATCCAATATGGGACTCGGAGGTTGACCCTGAGCTCAATGAAAAGAGGGTCACAATTTGTTTCGCCCTCGCTGTGCCGATCAGAGAGAGGATAATAAGGACAGTACCGGCGATGATGAATGGACGTCTCTTTCCCAAGCTTGAAGAACAATTGTCACTCCATACTCCGACATATGGCTGAAACAAGGCTCCAGCAATGGGACCAGCGAGCCAGGATAGTGAGATGAGCCACCCACCCAAACCAAGAGATTTTAAATAAGCCGTCGCACTTCCAAATAGAACTGTGAAGACCCCTTGTAGCCCAAGGAAACCGGCATTAAGAACAAGTATATTTTGGCCCCGGTTGCAGCTCCATGGATTATGAGCATGGGGGAGGTCCACTCCTTCCTCAAGGTCAGAGGATGACTCGGGGATCGGCTGTAAAAAGTGCATTATTCTCCTTGTATTGTCTGCCTAATTCAACCATAAATAATAAGATACCCAAAGTAGATTATCAAGATATGTGAGTGACAGAACCCACGGGCATAGCCTTAAGATCCAAATAATACAGCGCATTCTACTTTGCTCCACTTGTAAGCCTTGACTCAAAACATACGCTGTCTATTTTGTTACTGTATTCAATGGCAGTTCTGGCAGGCTGGATGACAGCGTTAACCGGCGGATATACAACGTGGTCGGTTAGATAAACATCATCCATCGGTTAGTAACTTGGCTAGAATCCCGACAACCGGAGGAAGTGAAGTTATCCGAGCACTGCGAAGCTTGGTTGCTGCACAGGCTTTCAACGTAGGAGAGAAAAAGAGTGTACTTTTTTTAGGCCAATGTTATTCGTCGTCAAATTGCTTCAGCAGCGAGTTTCCGGAGTCTACCAACAAGCAAACACGAGCAACATTTGAGGATGTGGCCACAAGAAAAGGTTTTGGTTGCCTCCCAGTTATAAAGACTCGATCACTACAGTGTCTAACTCCAAATTATCAATAGTTGAAAAAAGCCGGGTCATACAGCAAAATTGGACCGGAATATGGTAATGATCAAGAGGCCGGCCAAGAAGAAGATCACAATACGCAGCGAGCAACAGGAGAATCAGGCATCTATAGAAGTCATAAAGACACTACACTATCAATCCTTACGATAGTCGCACTGCTGTCGTTGATTATTATAATACTCGCAGCTGCTCAATTTTACGGATCAGCCCGGTTATATGGTTTAATGCAGCACCAGCAACAGCAACAGCAACAGCAACATCCCATCACAAGTCCAGCGGTCGGCCATATCTACGACTGTGGGAATACAACTGCAGAGGCTCGTGAGCGGAATTGTACCTTTGAACTGTTTACGGTGTCTTGGGTGCCTCCTGCCTGTGCCGATGAAGATCTGGATGCGGAATTTCGAGCGATTGGATATCGGTATTTTGCAGACAAGGAAAACACGCAAGAGTTGACCTATGAAGAGCTGGCGAATCGAGTCTGGCAGACGGCTTGGACGACCAATGAGCAGCATCTCATGCATTGTGGTTATGTATGGAGGAAGATGCATCGGGCTGTCGAGGCTGGGAAACGGCATTCAGATCGCGAGTTGGAATGGGAGCATACGGTCCACTGCAGCGGGTTGATAGTGAAACCTGGAGACTTAGGAGAGATCATCAGTATAGAACCTGACTTTGGAAGGTGTTATTAAAATCGTGACATATAATAACCCCTGCATTATGAACTATTCCTTTTCTGTAGCCCCAGCCCTAAATAAAGAAAGTATTTTCCGACGGCCCTTCGTTTCTCTTTCATCCTCATAAACACAACTTTACGACGACAAAAGAAACAGAATTGAATTGAAAAGCCACCATGAGCCCCTACTCGCTTTTACCCGTCACTCTCCAAGATGGACCGGGGGTCGCAAGTGTCCAGCACAACGGGTTCGCGGACGACGGCTTCACCCTTGCCTCATTCCCCAATGTCCCTCTCAGGATCAAGGTGAAGGATTCCATAGAGCGGTGGCCAGCCAACTTCTTTGCCCCCGGCAGCATTTACCTCAAGACTGTAGACATCGACAGTCAGGAGATCGTTGGTTATTCCAAATGGCAACTAGATCCCCAGCTAGCTGAGTCGGTGAAGGATCGCTTCGGTAGCAAAGAAGTCCCCGCTCCAGAAACGAAGCTGGAAAGACGGGATCCGGTCGGATTGAATGATGATCTTGCCGAAACCATGACCGAGAAAGTCCTCACAGTCCGCAATGCAGTTCTTGGAGAACGTCCCCACATGTGTAAGTTACCATACTTTAGGTCCGTGGATTTAAAAGGTTTATTTATTTATTTTCACTAATTTCAATGGTGTCTAAAGTGCTGTCACTGATCAGTACCATACCCTCCCACCGTCGCCGGGGTGTTGCTTCCCAGCATCTAGCATGGGGTACCAAACTAGCAGATGAATACCACCTACCGATTTGGCTGGATGCGAGCCCAGCATCAGTTTCTTTGTACAAGAAGTACGGGTTTATGGCTGTCGGTACGGTTGAGTCGGATCTAAGTTTCGGATCCAACGGTGCCGCCAGCGGTTCTTACATCCATACCTCGATGTTGCGCGAGCCGAGTCACTTGAAATTATCCGAGTAGGCCAGTAGATCTCTAGACTAGCTTAGCTTATTACTATTTTACCTTTTGGAAAACGGATGATGCACTAGCTTCTCTCTATTTTAGTGTGTACAAGGTCTTATTTGCTCCAAAGAACTATCACTATCTTGTCGCTCTGTTGAGATACCCTACGGACAACTCCCTGATTTTTTTCTCGTCATGAATCTGCATAATACCAACTCCAGCAAGGAATCACAAGAGGACCGGCATGGAAGCGACCAAGATCGTTTGCTTGAGTCGGAGAAGGGCTTCGAAAATGATGAAAGTTGGAGCATAGAACGACGCAGGAAAAAAGAGCTGCTCCTGAGTAATTGGCAAGGATGGATTCTGCTTTTAATAGTAGTTTTTGCATCTCTGCTACTTGGATTCGGCACAAATGAGCTTTACAGACATAATAAACTTAGTGAGGCACAGTGCACACAAATGCTCTCCGGTTATTGTGAGTAAAAGCGGTTGTCTTTATAGCCGTCCCTCCTTTTGAAGTTGGACTTCTTGCGCATTGTGAATCAATGCTTATCTAGAACAGCGCCTGCTCTTGAAGCAGTTGAATATATCGACTATCAATTTCAAGGCGAGTTCTCGGATTCCAACGTCTACAAGGGACGTCCTCGGCCAGAGTTGGATGCAGCTTGGGATCGTGCATCTGCGCGTAAGTCTAACGCAGAATCCTAACATGGGTTATAGTCTAACAGAAATGCGTAGTCCATGAATTATCGATGGAGCCCAAGCATCTCCCGCTCCTAAATAAGTCGGAAACTGCCATCCGCTACTCCCCAGAACAAGGAGGAGGTTATATGGTAGAGCTAGAGGTGTTTCATCAGCTCCACTGCTTGGTGAGCCTCATACTGAACTGTTTTGACCTAGATTCTGATGAGCTCTCTTAGAATCTACTCCGAAAACAGATATATCGCGAATATTATATGCGACCAGAGAACATGCCTGCCATGTTCGACGTACCCAAGAAGCTTCTATACAATCACATCGGTAAGGGGAAAAAAAATAGAGACCTCTCCTATATACAGCACTTTATATGTATACACTTTAACCAACACATCACAGACCACTGCGTTGATACTATCCGCCAACTTATAATGTGCACGGGAGATGTGAGCCCAGTTACAGCAAACTGGGTAGTTACCCACCACCACCCGCATCCTGACTTTAACACTCGCCATAAATGCCGCAATTTTGACAAGTTATTAGAATGGGCAGAAGAGAGAGACCATGGTGGAGTTGAATTCCGCCCCGATAGTACCTTGCTTCCTGCACCGCATCTGTCCGAGACTTTTTGGGATGTGGAACCTGAGGCTTCCGAGGCCTCTTAGAGAAGCCACTTGCCCTTATATTGCGTGAAACACTTGAACACTTGTATATAGAGAAAATATACCGTATTTCTTCTTACTTTATTTGAAATTTTGAAATATACGCTGGCAAATTACGTAAAAATGTACTTTAAACATCAACCTTGGGTTTTTATTGACAGTTACTCTTCTGCCCATTCCGAGGCGTACTAGAGCCCTCTATCCCTCTATCGGTTCTAAGATGTCGAACCGCATCAGAGAGTACCTGAGAACATAATTACCGGCTGAGGTTTCCGATCGATCATATGGTATTGTGAGAACGAGGTCGGCTCTGATTTACCGCGTCCGAGATAGCTATATGTATACCCCGGATGCGGATATGAAGGGCTTCTATCCGAGAGCTAGCCGGGACCTTCAGATAAATCCACATGTACAATCGCGACGCGGATAGTCCAGCCGTGCCGCCATAAGAACAACATGAGCATTTCTCCCATATTTCCCTAGAAATGACTCTAGCATTCATCCGTCTCGTCCTCCGTAGTACCATCAAGAACACCCAATATACGCCCCATTCCACAAACCCACAGGAACAATGTGGTGGAAACGCACTCCAACAATAGACTACACCTCCCTCCCCTTCGAAATAGATTCAAACCGCACTTCAAATGAAGCCTCCGACCTCGAAAAAACCAATATCACCCACCTCCACACCAGGACCCGCCCCCATCGCCGAACATGGCTAACAACAACCCAAAACGCCCTCTTCCTCCTCGCCGGCCTCCTCTGCCTTTACATCTCCGCCCTAGCAGCCTGGCGCACAACCTTCCACCCCACCACTGGAATTCAAACCTACTACAAAAAAACCCTCTCATGCGGCAACACAACCGAAGAAGCCGAGTCCAACGGCTGTGAGTTCGACCTCCTGTCTCACAACTGGGTTCCCTCGCCCTGCGTTGACCATTATATCATGAACGAGTTCCGCAACTACGTCCGCAGCCCGGAGCGCAAATACAGTGCCTGGCCGTATTATGTGGATCGCGAGGGCAAGGACTGGATTCCTGATGAGAGGACGCTGGCGCTGCGGGCGAACCAGCATGTTGTTACAACACAGGAGGAGCATCTGGCTCATTGTGGGTTTCTCATTAAGAGAATTCATCGGGCGATGTTGGGAATTACGAAGGCGGATGATATTGTCTCTAAGTATCCGCATACGGTGCATTGTGTGGAGGAGTTGATGAGGGAGAAGAAGAAACCGCTTGATGTTCTTACGGAGGGGTACTGGGTGGGATTTTCGACTTGTACTGTTGAGGTGCCTCTGTGAGGTCTCTCGTTAGGGTTTGGGTTGGGTTTAGGGAGACTATGTATGTACGGTGCAGGGAGGGTGTAGGAAAATTGTATCTATCTGGTAAGCGATGCCACTGTCTGTGGCATACGAATTTGGTATTAAGCTGAGAATTAATCACATAAGGACATTCACTACTGACTGATTGATTAATATCCATTCTATAGGGCTGGTTGGTTACATTGGACGTGCTTTCCGGGTGGATTGTTTAATATTGGAAAAGGACACCGACGTAGAGAACATCGTATTAATCTTCATTTTCAAAACAATTAATAGAGAAGCAAAATCTGGGATATATAGATTATCCCTACAATGAAAATTAACCTCGCTCCAAATATCCTGCCGCCTAGCATTTAGTAGACATGACAACAGGGCATATTATCGCCTCACCCAACAGAAACCCGCCATGGGCACCAGATACATGGAAACGACAAACAAGAAAAGAGAAATTCTTCGCATTATGCCTGATAAGCCCGATGTTATGAAACTGAGAAAACAGGTGAAAGGGTGAATATCCAGTACTACACTATAACTTATCAGTATAAGGAATCAATGCTTACAACCTTTGTGCTCACAGTGCTCATTATGAGGGAGTGAAGCCGTTAGTCGGGGCTGGTAAGCTCGTTGATGGACGTGAGACTAATTCTATTTACTCGGTCTGTTATCATCACGACATCTTAACAAATTTCATCAACACCTCAATCAACATCAAACAGGCGCAATTCTCGAAACTCACCCTGAGGAAGGATGGGGACGTCCAGATAAAAGGTAGTATGACCATATATAGTGGTGGAAATGTGGATGAAGTCCGCGGGATTATCAAGAAGGACATATATGCGACTAGTGGTGTTTGAGACTTGGAGAAAGTCCAGATATTGCCTGTAACTGACGACATGCCTCTCATCGGCAGGGAGCAAAGGTATTATGATCGAGAGCCAATTTCTTAATGTCTGGATATTTATGTATTGCTTGATTACGGAGTGTTTCGTGATCATGTTATGAAGTAGGTAGTCTATACAAATATCGGTATTTAAAACGAATGGCTACTTATCGTCTCTATGGTATTGGATCTGGAAACCCACCAAGGAAAGAAGCAGTACCAGTCACACTATACCTTATCCCAGCTTGAAACAAAAGCATATTCCATTCAGTCCATCAGGGGAAGGGCCAATCTAATAGCCTTTCAGTTGGTGGTATCTGTTCGAGAGATGTTGGGTTGTTTAGCTGTGCTGGGCGAAACTAAAGCATAGCCCTAACTCCCAAACCATAGGTTTAAGTTGTGTTCTCTCCAGGCTCATATAGGGTCCTCGTGGAAGCGTTGGAGTGATACTGCTGTTCGTATAACCGGTCTTGTCGTTGGCAGGTATGGGTGCTTGCGTTCGACATATTATTGTTTCTTCCTCCGGTTCCATCATAACATACCTGAAAACCGGAGTGCTTTCTTTCCAATCCTTTATATCTCTGGCTAATGAGCCATTTTGGTTCACTGAAGTTATTGAGCTTCCCAGTTTTCTCGGTCTTTTGCCCTCTTATTTGCTGGACAGCCTCGTCATAGGCTTGGCTGGGATCATTGTCATCTTGGAGAATTGCAAAAGCAAGCAAATTACTAAGTACTACTGTTAGTAGATGCATTAACCTACTCAGCCTTGCGTCTTGCGACCAATTGACCAGAAGCACAGTCGCTAGCTACAAATAGTACTTCGCACCAAGAAGAGAAACGGTGTAACTCCGAGGGGAATTCCAACAGTGCTGAGATGACAAAAGTTCTATGTTCTAAGTCTAGAAGTTCACCTCAAAAGTTGAAGGGGGCCTCACAAAGATAAGAAAAGGGCGCCAGGGGATAGCACAACGCTAATCTATATACAACAAAGTCTATCCAACAAACAACCTCCCACCAACTCATCTAATTCTCACCCTCCTTCTCCCCATGTAGCCTACCCGACAACGTACTCTTCGGCACCTCATTACTCCATTTCCTCCTCGGCCGTTCAAACGTCGACACACTCTTCCATAAGAAACAACCCCCAACTGCCCTACCGGCCTCAATTTCTCAATATCAATATGACTAAAACCCTCGTTCGCAGCCCCCTCCCTCGCCCAAAACCGCGTAGCCTTAATCAAACCGTGGCAGCAATGCTCATCCCGGGCTGCTGATGATCCACAAACTCCTTAATATCAATCACCTTACCCTTTATATTAACCACAGACTCCTTAACCCGAGACGGCCTAACAGTCGTCGACGGCGCCTCATGCAGCCCCGAAACATCCCACTCCGAAACCCCATGCGGCGCATCAGTAGCAGCCGCATTCACAGCCTCAATCATCTCCTCAGAGACGGTGTTAATCACACACTTGCCCTTCTCCTTTAGATTGCGATACGTGTCCTTGACGCGGCCAGGCCGGGATGAGAACCCAACGATAAACATCGGCGGATCCTAGTCGATAACCTGGAAGTAGCTGACGGGGGAGAGATTCTTCTCACCCTTGCCGTTTACGGTGCTGAAGCCGAGGGGTCGGGGTGCGATCCCTAAGACGAGAAGCTAGTGATTGTTTACCATGGACCGGTCTGGTGCGTAGGGGTCTATTTCGTGGTGGTCGTGGGCTAAACTGGCGCCATTGTCGGGCACACCTTGCCCGTAGTCCCAGGTTGGGTAGGGGATTTGGTGGTTTCGATGGGCTTGGCGTGGTCCAACTCTGGGCCTTGGGCTTCAGCTTCGGTAAGTCACCTACTTCTTGGACTATTTTGCAGTTTTTTTGCCCAGTGCTTTGCTCACACTCTGTTGCTGCTGCTGGGGCTGGCATTGAGAAGCTTTGGCAGAGAGTTCTCAATGGTTGGAGAGCTGTGCGAGCGTGTGGAACTGGAATTAGGTTAACATTGGTTTTTTTTTTATTTTTTTATTTTATTTTAGTAATTGTGAGATTATGGCGGGAGAGCTTACCGTGTGGACAGGAGACGCCCGATGAGTCTTGATCGTATCATTTTTTGGTGCCATATCTAGGGTATAGTACAGGGGGGTTGAAGCTGTAGTTAAAAACAGGATAGATGTTGAGTAGTGTCTCTTCACCCCGATGGCTTCCGATAGCGTAGATAGGATTAAGGCATGCCTCTAGACTCTATACATTTACCCCGTTTATATCATCGCTCCTGCATTACTCATTGTATATGGTTCAAAATAAAACATGTTCTCCGCTCGTCCTATCCGCAGCTCGTCTTCTATCGGTCGTCTACACTATACAAGCTTTCTGAGCCCGTCTCTCAAAATTCGAGCCATGTCCACCACTGCACGCATGTTTACTTCAGTGACAAGCGTACAGTCTTACCGAGCATATCCTCGCGAGGAAGCCTCCCCTTAAGCGTATTCCAGCTTATCATGCTAATTTACCATCCAGCATTCGTACTCTACATACATTCATTCAATGCCTTGAGCAGAACCCAAACATCACACCAACAGTAGAATAAAACGCAGTCTCAAGCAATCAAAGCCGGTGGTCATGCCTGGCTCTTGGGTTAGATTCCAGCGGACGCCCAAGGTAGTCTAATCAACGGTTCAACCGTCGATAAAACCACAGCCATCATCCAGAATACGGAAGCCATCCGTAAAGAGACTGGCCCCGGACTGGACCGGGTTGTCAAAGTGGTTGTTAGCTCTCTTTGGATCGAGAAAAGCGAAAAGTTTCTTCTACTTCATTCAAGTAAGCTTGTATTTATCTCAGGATCCCGTAGGTTTATGTTAAAGATGTTAGTGCGACGCCTGACTTTGCTTCTGTGTATGATTCTGCTTTTCTTCATCGGCCTGCGCGCTCCACGGTGGAGGTATGGAAATTGCCCGCCGATGTCGATATTCAGGTGGATTTTATTGCTGTTGTGTAGGAACTCTTTTTCTCGAATTCCCAGTTGGCCAATTTTCTTGTAGTTGATATAATTAAGAGTACCATGAATTATCCAGCAGGGGTATGCTTTGACGGTAGCACAAAACGGGGGCCTTATTGGACAAAAGTCATAATCACAGAATGATAGTCAACGCTTTGCTTTTCCCATATCATATATCTTGCTACTCAAGCACCGATAGAGTTCATGATACTGTCCACGTCCAACTGGTCCGCTAAATCCAACAGCTCTCTTGGTGGAAGGCTCACAGAATGGTTGAGCGCTAACAGATCCCATTCGACTTCCTCCCCAAGATCCACCTGATCCAATGCATACCTATCGTCATGGTTATCTTGAATCACGTCTGCAGTTATTGGAGGAATTTCGTGGCTCTCAGACTTCGGCGTTAACGGTGCCAACATAACATCCAGGTGTTTCAGCTCCAGTTTCCGGAGTGGTGCCGCTATGTTACCCTTGATGATGAGTTTTTCAAGAATGCAGTCGAGATTGTCGCACCAAGACTCATTCTTCATGAGCGATGGTGCAATTGCACGGATTAAGTACAAGACAAAAGCCGATGAAAAGGCGTGTTCAACCTGAAAAGGCAGGAATGCATCTGTTGAGTTCCTTTAGCGTTGGAGCCTTAAACGAAGAATAGACAATAGTTCATACCCATCAGGTCGTCATCAGCTAGCGATCGAAGAGTCTGAAGGATTGTTTGAGCTGAATCGGCGCAACATTGCAGAAGGGATGCCACTGGTGGCGACAAACAAATGCCTTGTGACGATTCCCTCTCTTCGCTATCGATGTGCATATGGAGAGCACACATAACCAATGGCCTCGTCGTCAGGACCACACACTTAAGGTTCTTTAGCCAAAAGCATAGCACAAATCATACGTAGTATACTCACATGATGTTGGGCTAGCATCAACCTCACTACCATCTTCGAGCCTGGGCTAACCATTCCCTCAAAATTGCGATCCAAAAATGATGTGATATCACGAGATAGATCTGCTAGGGCATGAAGAATAGATTGTGTATCTCTGATCAGGTCTCCATTCGATGCAGTGTCCACCCCGTAGACCGCTACGTCATTGGAGTCAATCGACTTGCATAGAACTTGGTTGGGCACGATTCATGTGAGCTTACTTGTCAAAATTCGCGCCATGAGGCGAGCGAGTCGTACATGAAGTGTCAGATTGGTATCCTCTATGGTTGTCGCCACCTCTGCAGGCAACCTGACCGTGATATCCTCATCACGGATCGAGTTTGGTCCCCCCATCAGTGCAGAAAACTCTCTATCCAGCATGTATACAACCCAGAAGATAGTCCGACAGCGCTTAGAGAGTTCTTGTCCGCCGAGCTCCTCTGGTACGTGTCTGTGTATACCTTCGATAATACAACAACGTAAAGCCTGTCCAATCTGGATGAAAAGAATATAATAAGCAACAATGTCACTTGTGCCAGCTAGGTTTGAGACTCACGTGCTGGAACGCTGCCCTTCTCATATCAATCGACTGAAAATACAATGCTGCTAGACTCAAAGCTTGAATTGACGTCAAAGGGTCCTCATGTATGCCCGATAGATCGGGCAATAGGCCCATCGCCCTCGACGCATATTGATGCCCAGCCAGGGACCCCGATGGATTCTTGTTGGTGATAAACGCTTTTCCAAATGCAAGCACAAGTAAGTATTGGGCATACCATGACCTATACGAGGCAGCCTTCGCCCCTGGATCTCGGTAGAACTCGTGCAGATCTCGAATGTATGCCGTCTCATCAATCAGAAAGGACAAAGAACCGAGGTAGTATTTAGCAGCATTGTAAAGAAAGAGCGCGTAGTCTAGTGGCGGTAGATTAGTGACATCTGGAAGCTCTTCAGGAGGCACTTGCTTCCACTGCAATTTGAAAGCCATCCCATCTAGATGCCAGGGATCTGGTGCAGAGTTTGATTCAGTAACTCGCTTCCCTAAGAGAGCCAGGACTCGACGACAGAAAGACCACGAGGAAGACGGGCCCATATACCCTAGTTTATTGTTGTCAGCAGTGATTTTAAATAAGAATGATTGAGCCAAATGCTTACAATATCGACCGTCTGGTGTTGCAGCAAATGTCCATTCCTTTTTGTCTACGAGTGGGTTCTGCGAGAACTGGGCGTCAGGACAACCTTGCCTCTCTTCACTGGGATTCCTTGGGCCAAGGCTCCGTAGAGTGGAGTCTATTCAAGGATATTAGTTTGTATGTACTGTGTAGAGCGCCAGAAGCAAGACGCCTTTATGAGATTTTGGACAATGCAGAACATCCACTTACCATCGACCGCTGTCTGCCATCCGGTTCTTCGTCTGTCATCCGGCGGCAATGGCGTTGCATTGGAGATAGGAGAAAAGTGAATAGCTACACTTCCGGTCAAGGCAGGTTGATGTTCCGGTTGTACAGAGGTCGCATGCCGCACGGAAGTTGCACTCCCGGAAATTCGCTCCTCCAATTCCCTCAGATATCTGGCAATAAAAAGATGTTCATGTCAGTATGACAATTCTCCCGATGATGCTTGTTTTCTTACCGTTCGCTAACTGATACCCTGACCTCCTCCACAGTGAAGTGACAGGATCGATTGCTGCGAGTACATCGTGAGCAGGGATGTGATCCCGAACACTTGACCTTCATCGACCGACATCGTTCACATCTATTACGTATCTAGTCATTCATCTACTTCCTCTACACAGTGGATATAGAAGTGCTACTCACGCTCGGGGACTCTTTTTCTTAGGTCGGTCACTGGGAGGCATATCGGAGGCAGGCACCGATACTTCTCAGACACGTTGAATGATGGTATATGGTTTTTACCGGCAAGTCGGAATCCGCCTCCGACCTTTTTTCTACAATGGGGAAAGTGCGGGGTTGTCTTATCAGATGCTAGCCTCTCATTGGTCCTTCTACTAATAACACGCCGATCCAATCTCTCGTCTTCCTTAAAAAGGCAATTAGATGCGTGACCTGAAGTACCCTAACACGATTGATGCTGGTTAATGCTCTCTTGGTGGCAAAATTGAGCATTCAAGCAGTCAAAGTTTCGTAATAAAGATAACCATCTTATTTGATCTATACTCGTAGTATGTCACCCTAATTTGCCTAGAGAGTCTCCTCCACAACTCTTGCCGGATAGCAGCTACCATATGTTGTGTTCGCTCCACGGCGCCTCGGTTTTCAATTGCTTGACGGTGTAAATTTCCCATGCATTCCGCCACAGCACCCCATGTTAGGCACTTGAAAGCTTTTGGAAAAGGGACTTCTGCTGCGGAGGACTGCCATATAACATGTTACATACTTGTGCAGCAGCTCCCAGCTCAGCCCACCCGCCAGCTGCATGCGAGCCAGTAAGCAGCGACTCCGGCATTCTGGGTTGCAGCCTTAGCAATGCGTTAAAGCTCACCCATGTCTTTATTTAACGTGTGGCTGAACTACTCATGTATACATAAGGACTCGATACTTCCATGCACTGCCTCCCATTCGCTGACGTTAACAATGCTAATCCCTTCCTCGTCTTGAAACAAGCACAGCTATCTCGGCCGTAGTGGTCATGTTTGGTATCCCGTTTGCATTTTGATGATGGGCCGACAGAATACTGGCCCTTGATGGCTGGACCTCATAGAGATTGGTCGGGACCTTCGAATAACCCCAATGGTGATATTTGAACTGCTCGTAGAAGCCATTATTTCTCATTTCACCTCCAGGATCGGCAGGAATAAAAAACTAGTTAGTATTAGACATGCCATGAACATGGGACTTAACTTATCTTGCTAGAGCAGCAATGGCCACACAGGATGGTAGCCGCCCCAAGTTGATTGCAACCCACGACGCGTTTAGGTCAATCTGAAGCCGGCTTCGCAAAAGCGAGTAGACAACTCGAAGTATGACCAGAATACACCCTTCCATCTCCGTCTGCGCCCAGGTCGAGTTGGCGGGGCACTTGTACTACTAGTTCTGCAAGCATCTAATTTATGCTACTGCATATAACAATGGATAATCCCTGTGTATAGCCCGATGGTGCAGATAGTAGCGGCTATAGGCAAGAATTCAGGGCAAGGGTTTTCATGATATTTGGTGGTGTATGTTATCAGGTCATCAACCAGCACCGATAGATAGAGGAAGAAGAAGAACCCCCCAACCGTGAAAGACATAGCTCCGCTCTATATATCAATCAGCATTGAAACGATTCAATTAGCAAACTATAGAGATGGCCTACTTTGGTAGAAAGTCAAAACTTGCGCTTCCAGATGATTGCGAATATCTTGAACATGATCTCCAGGGAAGCGATTAAAAATACAGCATCCGCAGTCTAACAATGAAAACCCACAAGTAATATAAACAAATACATGAGCTATCCACACTGGGAGTGCTAGCGCGAAGACGCCTATGAAAGGAATGCCAGAATTATGCTGCTCAGTTAAACATAGCTTTTAAATAAGAAAGAAAAGACAAATAAAGGGTAGTTATCATCAAATCTCCAACTCAAAGAGTACTTTCAAGGCCGTTATACATTGTCCCGCAACTAGGCCTCGGACTTGCCCTCCGCAGGTGAGGAGGTTTAGACTCTCCGCGGGAGGACTGCATCAACAGCAGCATTGACTTGTTCAGGCGTTGCCAATGTATAGGTAGCCACAACATCTTTGTGTCGAGAGAGCTTTACTTGAGAGCGAGATTGCTTGGTTTCAACCTATATATATGGATCACCTTAGATATTGAAAACAGCTAGCAGTATTTGCAGACATACCTCTGGCCCATTTATCATGATTGGAATTGTGGCAGGGAATCGCTTTTCATTCTTTGGATTGTGTTAGTCAACTTAGCTCGTTCTTGAGAACCTTTGGACCATAGCTAAGCTGTAGGAAGTATCAGTATCGGTTACACATAAGTCCACCAATTCCTAGCTCACCCAGTTTTCATTTTCAAACTGTGGGGGATGCAAGGTAGTCATGTATGTACGTGCTGCTTCATTGATACAGTGAGCCTTGAGGGGGTTGAGACCAGTTGACCGGATTAAGGTAGGAAAGGGTCGCATCGTGATCAAAAAAATAGAGGCTCACGAATGTCTCCAGGCAATATTTCCATTGAACAGTGTCATTAAATCACAGATTTCCTAGGACAGATTCCAGTCACTGCGCTTTATGTATAGCCATGGGGAGCTGTAGACTCGTCCCGATCGTCGGAAGACGATCCCGAATACTCTATACAGCCATCCTTCGTTATGGAGAGCCTAGATCCCACATCGAAGCCTCAGGTATTCGGTGCATCTTTCCGACAATTAGTAGCATAAGAAATGGTCCAATCAGAGGTTTCCCTCCGGGCTGTCAGAAAATGCGGGGTTCTAGTGGGATCAGTAAATTAGAAACAAGTCAAGTTGAATACTCTATTTGAGGCAATATGTTGGTCTTAAAAGCATCTCTGATGGGTCACAAACGTTTGTCGAATCCAGTATTTGCGCATAATAGCCTGGCGGCAGACCATCCAGAACTTCAGGAGGCGCAAACGGATGCTTCCCAATCGCAAGGAACCCAATGGAAGACAGTGACCAGTCTACCGGAATCCAGAATACCCTTGTCCAAATCCATAATAGATACAAGCCCTCAAGGGCAGGATCTACCTCAGTCCATATGGTCACACAAAGGAATTCAAGAAACATGTTTGATGCGGTATTTTGTAGATGAACTTGCGCAATGGGTGAATGCCTACAGGGCTGATAACCGTAGTGCTAGTCGTGCAAGCAGCTAACAATGTTCTACAGTTTGATACATGTGATCCCTCCAAGCATTTCGCTCACGTCGTTCCGCAACGGGCAGAGACCTGCCCTGCGCTCCGATATGCCATGTTTTCCGCTTCCGCAAGACACCTCAGCCGACGGCAGCATGTACGGACCAACGAGGTCTTGTGTTTAGGCAAGAAACTGCCTTATCTTAGAGAGGATGCTGCCTTGGAGTACCAAAGTTTGTGTATCTCACAGCTCATGAGCTTGTCTGGGGACCCTTCCGAAGTAGCAGATGAGAACCTGTTGGCTGCAGCGGTAATCTTGCGCTTCTATGAAGAGGTAGACTGTACGTTCTTTTGTTATTGGCACCTCGGCAACGACGGTTGCTGACTTGGTGGGTTTATAGCACCCCTTGTAGGGGTCGACGATGAGACATACTTGCGAGGAGTGCAAGTATTTCTAGACGCTCAAGCTGCAGCCGCAGTCAGAAGTGGCGGTCTCCGACTAGCTTCGTTCTGGGTTGGCGTACGTCAAGAATTTCACACCTCATTCATCAAGCAGCGGGTCTTTCAGTTAGACCTAAGTCACTACGACAACACCACTTACAGGTTACTCGAGCAAGCGGATGACCCCACGTGGGCAAACCGAGTCATCCTGCATTGTGCCCACACGCTAATCTACTGTTACGGTACTCGGAGCCATACGTTGAAGGAATATGGACAGCTCTGGGACTATAGTCAGGAGTGGCAACGGATGGTACCGCCCACCTTCAACCCGATCTACAGTCGACAGCCGGAGCGTTCGAAGGGCGAAGTGTTCCCAGAATTGTGGTACTTAGATGATTGCATTGGTATGAGTGGAAGGCCCTTGTGCTGGCGACCATCCAGGGACTGATACCTTCCACAGTGACTGCCATTCAGCATTGGCACCTTGCAAGGATCCTACTTCTTGCGTTCGATCCCAGAGTTCCCCGCTTGGGACCCCGTCGAAGAGCAGCAGTCGGGCGAAGAGAGGTATAAACGGTGTCCATTTTTTTAGGTGTCATGGTCGCTTACATTGGACCTCCAGGCTGATATCAAGGAAAGCATGTTCATACTATGTGGCATCGCTCGGTCCAATAAGGCAGCTCCTGCTCTCATTACCGCATGTATGGGGGTTTCGATGTGTATAATACCCCTTGCAAATGAGAAGGCCATGTATATACAGTGCGTACCTTACTAACATTTAATGAATAGGTGGGGATCGGGTAACAGATCGTTTGGAACAAGAGGCCTTACTCGATATCTTGACGGCCACCGAAGAGACGCATGCCTTATCCACGATTAAGGCACAGATCCAACTTCGTGAGGCGTGGGGTTGGACCATTTAATGTTGATTATAACATGCTTCACCATATTATAGTCTCAAAGGAAAAGATGAACATTATTGGTTCTGCGTCTTCTCTCGGGACTTTTTCTTTTTTATTTTTTATTTTTTTTTTCATTTCTAGGAGATTTTACGTGATGGCATACCCCAGTGATCTTTTAAGTATAGAATTTTCCGACAGATATCTTGTGATGGATTGCCTACCCAGTTAGCCGTGAGAGTACAGATATAGATGAAAATATCACCAACTAGGCAATCCGGTTGACCTGGATCGACCAGGGGGTCGCAAGACGCATGGGTTCGAATCCCACTCTTGTCATGTCTTTTTACTCCATAGTAACTCTTCCCTTTTTTCTTCGTTTTTCCCTTTTTTTTTTTACCTCTTTTCTTTTCTTTTCTATCTTAAATTATTATACACATCTATGTATATTGAAAAGCCAATTACTATGAATATAGATATTCAAAGATGTGAGATTGTTGTACTCCGGACAGAACAAGATTCCTCGGCTTCCCCAGAAAGTCGGGGTGTGACCCATTCACATGTCATCTAACCTCTCTCTCCATCTCCACCTCTTTCTTTTGCCCTCGCTCACCTACCTAGTGACTCCATATTCCTTCTCCTTCTTCTACTTCTACTTCTACTTCTACTTCTACTTCTACTTCTTCTACTACTCACCCCCTATGGCCATGTTATCCCTAGTCGACTCTGGCTGAAATTAGTTCTGCCTCAGTTTGCGCGCAGCCTCCTCTTATCGCGATGGCCGCTCAGTCCAAGCTCCTTCCCCCCGAACGATCCGTTAAGCAGATCTTCTCTAGCCTAACAGCCCTATACCTGCGCCACCGTACTGGAATCTCTCGCACAGTCTATCTCTCCCTCTTTGCGGCTTTAGCGAAGCGCATTCATAATGCCATCTCCGAACAAAAAGCCGCGTCCCAGCAACAAGTCGAGCTGCGGAGGCGCCCAGGCACCAGCAGTCTTGGGGATGGTGGCGACCGACCGCGGAAAAAGGTTGGCATCAACCGCGAATTCTTTCGGAATCTACTTCGGTTGCTCAAGATCGTGATCCCCGGGTGGCGGAGCAAAGAGCTACGGTTACTAGTCGGTCACAGTGTCTTCCTAGTGCTCCGAACATTGCTCAGCTTATATGTCGCCGAGCTAGATGGGAGATTGGTCAGCAACCTAGTTAGAGGGAGGGGGAAAGACTTTCTACTGGGACTTGTGTGGTGGATGATTGTTGCCGTACCGGCGACTTTCACGAATTCCATGGTATGTCATACGCCGGTCTTACCTGAGCTACATCCGCTAACAGTTTTGTGATTGGGCTAGCTTTCTTATCATCAATGTAAACTCGCCCTCAATTACAGGAAGCGCTTGACGGATTACATCCATGACAAGTACTTGAGCAACATGACCTTCTACGCCATCTCTGCTCTGGATGATCGGGTCAAGAACCCCGATCAGCTCATTACTGTAGATGTGTCTCGTTTCTCTGATAGCCTGGCAGAGCTCTATTCCAACCTCGCCAAACCGATCCTAGACATGGCAATTTACAATTATTCCTTGTCGAAGAGTGTGGGCGGAGAAGGACTGTTTATTATGAGTCTATTGGTTCAATTATCAGCTAACGTCATGCGTGCACTTACGCCACCATTCGGAAAATATGTTGCGGACGAAGCTCGCTTGGAAGGAGAATTCCGGTTCCTTCACTCCAGGCTGATCGACTACAGTGAAGAAGTTGCCTTGTATCACGGCCATGAGGCCGAAAAGGATACTCTGGACAAAGGTTATTTCACGCTGATCAAGCATGTGAATCGCATCCTGCGGAGACGCTTATACCATGGCTTCATGGAGGACTTTGTTATCAAGTATTTCTGGGGCGCCCTGGGTTTGATCTTATGTAGCATTCCCGTTTTCTTCAGAATCCCCGGCCAGATTACCCAGACCATGGGAGATCGTACTGAAAGTAAGCGTGACGACTATGTCAAATGTCCTGGGACTAAGCTAACATTATTTGAATCAGGTTTTGTTACGAATAGGAGGATGTTGCTTTCCTCTTCGGATGCATTCGGCCGTCTGATGTTTTCTTACAAAGAGATCTCTGAGTTAGCCGGACACACAGCCCGTGTTTCGTCATTGCTGGAGGTCATGGATGACCTATTGGCTGGACGTTTTGAAAAGAAGCTGGTTTCTTCCGCCTCGACCGAGGAGAATGCAGCTGTCTTGTCCGGCCGGGGAGAGGTAGAGGAGGGCGACTCGATCGAATTTACCGACGTCCCGATCGTGTCGCCAAACGGAGACGTTTTGGTGCGGAAACTGTCATTCACCGTGCACCCCGGTGACCATCTACTGATCGTGGGTCCAAATGGATGTGGAAAGTCATCTTTGTTTCGAATTCTCGGTGGCCTGTGGCCTGTCTACGGAGGCAAAGTGAAGAAACCTCGCTTCGACGAAATCTTCTATATTCCGCAACGACCATATCTATCCCGCGGCACCCTTCGTCAGCAAGTAATCTACCCAGACGGGCTTCGCGAAATGCGCGCCAAAGGTATTACCGACGACGATCTCTATGATATCCTCTCCATCGTTGAAATTGCATCGGTCGTGGACCGTCCCGACGGTTGGGATGCGGAGGAGGAATGGCGCGACGTGCTCTCAGGCGGACTCCAACAGCGTATCGCCATGGCCAGACTCTTCTACCATCGCCCGAAATTTGCCATTCTAGATGAATGCACCTCATCGGTGACCCTTGAGATCGAACGGGTCATGTACGAGACCGCCAAGAAGCTAGGTACAACCCTGATGACCGTCTCGCACCGCCGCAGTCTTTGGCAGTATCACAAGAAGATCTTGCAATTCGACGGCCAAGGAGGCTACGTTTTCACCGGACTAGACTGGGAGCGAAGACTGAAACTTGAAGAGTAAACACCCTACACTCCGAACCCCTTACAATAACTACAATAACTATATAACGCTGACTAACCTAATTCCTATAGTGAGAAAGAAGAGCTGGATCTTCACCTCCGCGCCGTCCCAGAACTGCAAAAACGCGTGGCTGAACTGAGTGCTTCCTAAGCAAGCCAAGTGGCCACCATATATTTACCCCGTTACATATTTGTCCCTTGGAATTTCGGGACAGCAAGTCCTTATTTCCTCCCACCTGAATACATGGTATATGAACCACCTTTCTTTTTAACGTCGAGCATTTGAGCGAATGTACAGATGTACGTCTAGTGATGGTAAGCATTGTTAGCTGGGCTGTGGTTTGTTCCATAGATACTTGTACTTCGCGCTCGTCTTATTCACTATATAGCATCTGTAGTGGGTCAATTGAGGATAGAATATAAGAGGAGAACTATACTATAGCTCTATTCACTTGAATGATCCGGCAAGGACACAGTCACGAGTCGTCTCTTCTTCCCTTATACTGTCTCCACTATCTGCATGTTAGTTTTATGGAATCGTGATAGATCCGAACAGGTATTCAAATGGTAAAGAGAGTCATGTCATAATTAAATGGGCCCCTACTGTGCTAGGCTGAGCATGTAAGTAACTATCAATGTATGGCCGTAAGCTGTATGCAGTAATTGCTTTATCGTCTTTTCCGCCTCAGGAACATGTATATCGTTCAGCACTTAGAAGTGGCGATGTAAACTAAAGACATGCTAGACAGTGGTTTGAAACTTAAAACCCGATAAGAACTGAAAGAACAGTGGAAAGCATAATGGAAAAAGAAAAAAAAAAGGCAGTGTTTCCGGGCTTGAATGTATGTAATCAATCAGTCCTTCACAGCGAGAGGCTCTACATTCCAGATACCGTCCGCATATTCGTTGATCACCCGGTCTGTAGAGAAGAAGCCCATGCGTGCAACACTACTAATGGACTTGGCTAGCCACTCATCTTGGTTCTTGAATGCTTCGTCTACCAAACCCTGTGTTGTGATATACGAGTTGAAGTCATCAGATACAAGATAGTAGTCGCCGTGCTCTTCAATGGATGCAATGAGCGCAGAGAAGTCACCAGCATCGCCGAATGTGCCGCTTCGGATTGCATCGAACACCTTGGCAAGATGAGGGTCGATCTGGAAATCGCCATAGAAGTGTCGGTGACGGAGATCTTCGACATCTTCAGCTAAATTGCCGAAGAGGAAGATGTTTTGTTCACCGATCTCCCGGGTGATTTCAATCTATACGGAAAGCACAACAGGTCAATCATAATGGTTTTCTGTAGATCAAAGAGCAAAGGAGTCAAACTTACATTGGCTCCATCACATGTCCCAATGATAAGGCCACCATTAAGGACAAACTTCATGTTACTAGTACCGCTACCTTCAGTACCAGCGGTCGAGATATGCTCACTGATATCAGAGGCAGGGCAGATTATCTCTGCCTTGCTAACATTGTAATCCTGAACAAAGATTACCTTCAGGAGATCGCCAATATCCGGATCACTGTTTACGACAGATGCCACATTGTTGACGAGGTGAATGATAGTTTTTGCCATCCAGTACCCCGGGGCTGCCTTGCCACCGATAATGGATACTCGTGGTTGAACTTTCTTTCTATCCTCCGGAGACATGGACTTGATAGTCAGATAGCGATGGATCACACCAAAGATATTGAGCTGTTGGCGTTTATATTCGTGAATGCGCTTGACCTGAATATCAAACAGGGCGGTAGGGTTGACTTTATAACCGGTAGTGTCTTTGATGTGCTTCGCAAGACGGATTTTGTTTGCAGTCTTGATCTCCGCCCATTCCCTTCGGAAGTTCTTGTCGTCAACAAAGGCTTCCAGTCGGTCTAAAAGTGTCAAATCTGTCAAGAATTGGTATCCACCGAGCTTAGTGGCAATCAGGTCCGACAACCGTGGATTAGCCTGGTGCAGCCAGCGGCGTGGAGTAATTCCATTCGTGACATTGGTGAATTTATCAGGTCCATATATCTGAACAAAGTCTTTGAAGAGCGTTGTCTGTAAAAGGTCTGAGTGGAGTTCCGCGACACCATTGACTTTGTGAGACCCGATAATTGCGATGTAAGCCATGCGGACCATCTTCGGGTGGGATTCTTCGATGATTGACACCCGTGACAGCAAGTCTCTGTCATTGGGAAACTTCTTCTCTACCGTTTGTAGGAAGAATAAGTTAATATCGAAGATTATCTGCAAGTGACGTGGGAGAAGCTTTTGCATGAGAGGGACCGACCATTTCTCCAGCGCCTCCGGCAACACTGTATGGTTAGTGTATCCAAAAGTACTGGTCACGATGCTCCAAGCCTCATCCCACGTGAGACCTTCCAGGTCAACTAGGATGCGCTGAAGCTCGACTATAGCCAGGGTTGGATGTGTATCATTGAGCTGGATCGCTATCTGATCTGGAAATTCACTCCAAGCTCGTTTTGTCTTCTTAAATCTCCGAACAATGTCATGTAGTGAGGCAGCACACCAGAAGTATTGCTGCTTCAATCTGAGCTCTTTCCCCCTCTCAAGGTTATCATTTGGATAGAGCACCGCAGAAATAGTTTCTGCGCGTTGCTGTTCTGCCACAGCATTCTCGTAGTCACCAGCATTGAACTTTTGGAAATCGAATTCTCCACTACTTGCCTTGCTTGACCATAACCTGAGATTGTTCGTTGTAGATGTTCCGTAACCAGGAATAGGTACGTCATACGCTAACGCTTGGACAGTTTCGCCATCTTGCCACGAATGGACAGTCCTACCATTTTCATCTTGGTATTTCCTCACCCAGCCATAAAACTGAATATCGACAGTAATTTCATGCCGAGGAAACTCCCAGGGATTGAAATCGAGCCAATAATCAGGAACTTCCACTTGATAGCCATCTACAATCTCTTGTTTGAAGATCCCATATCTGTAACGTAGCCCGTAGCCCCAAGCTGGGTAGTTCAGTGTTGCCAGGCTATCAAGCAGGCATGCCGCTAAGCGTCCTAAACCCCCGTTTCCGAGAGCGGCATCATGTTCCTGATCGATAACATCCTCGATCCGGAAGCCGAGATTGTTCAGGCCCTCTTAATTATGCAGTTAGCATCCATTCCTTATCCCACACTGATTTAGTCAAGTCTTCGCCTACCTCTAGCAGCGTCCTTCATGCCAACATTAAGCATAGCATTATCCAGCGCCCTACCCATGAGAAACTCGAGTGAGAGGTCTAGGTGCTGGTTAGTTTTGTGTCCCAAGGAGTGTCATGTCCAGAGACATGCTCCAAAGCACACTCACAGTATACTCTCTTCTGATCTGCAGACGTTTGCCGTTGTTGGGTCTTGTTCCAGTCGATGATCAGGCGGTCACGGAAGGCAAGCGCGGTTCCCGAGTACGCAGCACTGTTGTTGTTATTGGGGAGTTCAATCTTAGAAAGGGAAGAATGCACGGAGCTATATGAACATACAGTTCATCGCAGTTGTAAAGCGAGCGGGCCAAGGTTGTTTCGACATGACGAACCAACTCTTTCTATATTGTGGTCAGGAATTTCTTAAAGCATTTCGACAGACGTTTATCTACTTCAAACTCATCTTTGTTCGTAAAGCCATTGGCCGACTGCCGTCAACATGATTTAGTACGAAGACAACGAAGTGGGGTATCCTTCGGTATGTCCGTCTTACATGCTTTCTCCAGCTAGATACGAACTTCAATCAGACTGGATCAGCAGACCATGTTACGCAAGCCACTTACGCTTCTCTTAACGGCTCGGGGATGCTGGCCTCGACACTCTTAATCTCCGCTGGTGCTAGGCCGGTATAAGTCCGTTTGTGCTTTGGGCGGCTAAACCCTGGACCGATAGGACCCTGGAGCTCTGAAACGGGAGCACCAACGGATGGTTTCCTCTCACGGCGTGCTTCAGACATGGTTGTTTCGGTAGAAGGGTGATATGCAGGAGGGTACGGTAAAGATGGAAAGCAGCTGGCAATAGGCAATTGGGAAGAAGGAAGGTTGATGGAGAATGACGAGCTCCCTCAGCCAACTTAAGTAAGAGGCGGGAATGGAAAAGGGATTCAATCGATGGAGGGGATGGTGGAAGAAGCACACAAGGAAGAGGGGAAAGAAGAGGTCAGAGCTTTTATTTACTCGAACTGCAAGCACACCCCGTGACAGGATTCGAAATGGGACGATGTTCAATGATCCTAGCATAGAATAGGACTAGTCATTTCAAGTAATCCCAGCATGAACCGGTTTCAATCCCTTCCAGATAACCAAAGCAAACCTCCGCCACCTGTCTAGACCATTGTGGACTACCGGCTTATTCGGAACTTTTTCCAGCCGTATCACCTGTTGGATAGTACTATATTCATATATATGTTTTGAATGATCAAAGTATAGGTACACAAAGTATAGGTACGGAGTACACGTGGGTAAATAAATCTATTTCAATTGACGGAAGTATTGACTGACGTAAACACCGTCTGACACCCTCCATTTCTTTATGCGGGGATGCATAAGAATCAACCCTAATCCTGCCTATCCAACTGAAAGAAGTAATAAATAGGAGTAGCTTCACTGACATCTGTCCGTGCGGTACACATCAGACCTCGCGTATAAATACTCCCCGCAGAATATAAAAGAAAAAGAAAAAGAAAACTACGCTTCTACAATCACCTCGCGTTTAAAACCCCGCCTTTCGAGCTGTTCGTCCTACCGATTACTAGGTGGTCGGACTTTCTACCAAAGAGGGGTTTGTCTGCCAATGTAGTGCTGAGAGAACAAAGGTTGTGATTATATAACCGCATATATAAAACTGAACATGATAATGATACTATTCACACACTTCCACCCAACCCACTGGCGCGCTTGATGCCAGTGGCTCTATCGTGCCTGCAGAATCTACCACATTCAGCCCAACACCACAAGAGGTCGAAAGAAGAACCCAGATTTTCCGCACAGGCCCATGGTCCGGTGCTGCCCAACTCTCGAGGGGATTATTCGTAATGCTGTAATAGCCATCGGCTCACATAATCTTTCATAGAGGCAAACGTCTGGAGACAGAGGGTGAGACATATCCCAAACAACAAAACCTACTCAACAAAGGAAAGGAATTCCGGTAAAGCGAAAGAACCAAGTACTAAAACATATTAAAGCGCTGAAAATTGAATGGTATAAGTCGAAACGACGGCGAGTTAGCCGCCCCACCCCCAAAATTGGCAAGGGACCGCTGTTAGATGCATAAGAGTAAAACGGACCAGCAAGGGAAAGGGGGTTGGCAAGCGGGAATGAAAGAAGAACAGCGAGATGAGAGAGGATATCAAGAACCCTGGCACGAATTATATGCAAGTCGTGCTGAGGCCAATAACTTTTCACTTTGAAACAAGATGCTCATAGAAATCCAAACCAAATGAAAAGGGCCAAGCCGTATCAATAATTAAATGATGCAGATAGATAACCCACATCTCCGCCCCCCCACCCATCAACAACCCGGAGAACTTCCCAAGATAAAAAAAAAATAAATAAAAAAGTAGCCAAGAAGATATGAAAGACTCCATGCCGCAAAGTCCCAATGGCTATGATCCAACCAAGCGCCTAGCATACTGAACTGGAACGAAGCTAGCACCGTTAACGCCGATGCCTATCCACTAAACACAAGTGAGTATCAAGGGGAAATTATAAGAAAGAAAAAGAGAGAAAGAGGATAGAAAGAGCGTCATGGCTGTCGGAAACAAATGTGGCTCGGTCAGCCAGTGGTCCATCAAGGAAGCACAGAGATCGTGATCTGACTCGAAATGCCTGCGAATGAGGTAATCTCGTCTACAAGATGCCTGAATCCTTCAAAGCATTTTGTAGAATCGTCTCCTTCACCGCAGCGAATACTAAACGGATATTGGTTGTGTCGGTAGCTTGTGTCAAGCTTCGAAGATAAAAGGTCAGCCGCAAGGCACAAATAGACAAAACAGTTCCACTCAAACATGGTGGGGCCCTTACTGAGGATAGAGATTCAGATGTGCTCGGTTAACCTGGTTGAACCTCCATAGCAGATATTTAGCGGCGCGGTTCACGTCATTACCACCAGAGTAATCAGGGAAGTAATTACTCAAGGGGGACCGAGGGAGCTTTTGTCGGAAAAGATCCACCTTGTTCAGGAACAGGATAATGCTCGTTCGCATAAACCACCTAGAGTTTACTACGGAATCGAACAACACTAAGCTTTCCATCATCCGATTCTTCTGAAGATTAGCACCCCGGCTGGCCAATTTATATGTGAACACCGCTTACCTGGTTACTCTCCTCCAGAAGTACTTGATCGTACTCGCTTAATGCTACGCAGAATATAATCGAAGTGACATTTTCGAAACAATGTATCCACTTCTTCCGCTCGCTGCGCTGGCCACCCACGTCAAACATGCTATATGGCTTGTAAGCGATGTCGCAGATAGAAATAGGATGAGATGTCATACTGTATGCTCAGTTGGCCCATTGTGAACCTAGTTTCATAGATACCGGTGGTCTTCGTTCGTGCACGAAGCACGTCGTTTACATCGGGTATAAAATCTGGGGATGCGATCCGCTTTGCTTCTTCGAAAAAACTAACAACAGGTGGTCAACGCGTGACACAACTCAGGGAGAACCGATGCTTACTATGGGGCAGAATCCATCAAGTAGAACTCATTCTGATGTTCCAGCGCCGTGGATGTGCACGGATCATTCCAGATGTATGTTACCGCTTCCCCTACCTTAGGATCCAACGTGGTGTGCGGATCAGGGTCGAGATTATAATCGGAAATGAATTGAACGTAGTCACGGACTTTTTGGCTCGAGGGTTCGAGGGAGAATTGGTGATAGGCTCCTACGAGGGACTTGGCGCAATCTAGGAGGTTTTTGCAGACAGTCAGGCGATACAACGCTAGTTCCTCCATTGTGTAGCCGTTTTGATGGATAATCTTCATTTGTTTGACAATTGTCGATTTACCGCTTTCTCCGGACCCTAGTACAGGCAAGATACAGTCGTCAGACACGGAGGGACTCCATGCTCATAAAATCGCCGAACGTACCAAGCAGTAGAATCTTGCACTCTCTCCGTAATCGCCTAGAATCCTCCTCTAGCTTGCGATCGATCGCCTGGCTCCTCTTCTTGGGCTCATCGCCAGCCGGCTCCGAGCTTACACATGAACCCATCTCGAATTATGTTCTAGACAGCGAACGACTGAACCATGAGCTGCCTGCGGAAGTAAACGGCATCAACCTAACACAGACCCGACACCTTCGGGTTAATCGTCACTAGCTTGCTCCTTTATCGCTTGGAAGGAACACGGATGTACTGGAGCGACTACCGATCAATCAAGGGTTTAACCAAAAAGAAAAATGGAAAACAGTAATTTTTTGGACCAAAGAGAGCCAAAAAAAAATTTAGAAAAAAAAATTTATTATTTGCGATCGACGATAAGAGACTTGACAAGGAATCGAGGGTTGGCACACAGTGGCAGCGCTACAGCTGGTCTCGGATGAGGGCCTGAGCGACTGCGAGATCCCGGGGGCGGAGATCAGATGCTCGTGACGCAGGAGGTGAGACTAGGGCGGCGGAGGGGACCGGTAGAGAGGAAGAAGACCAAGCGCCTTTATCGTACTCTGGATGCCAGAGTTAATAGGGTGAGTTAGGATGAGGGGTGACTGGATTCAACTGCGGAGCAAGACGACGTGGGAGACTGACGAGCCGACGCTAAAAAGGGTAGCAAAGGTCGATTGGGGGATGATGTGGGAAAGTGGACGGATCTCGAGTGAGATAATGTAAGCAATACTAAAAAGTAATCACGAAGTCGGTCAGGGAGGCAAGAGAAAATTAGAAAATAAAAATAAAGGGAACCGGTGTGAGGGAAAAACGAGTGAATTGGCGGAATTATCAACCCGTTAGGAACAAAAGAGAGTAGAAAGAGAGAAGAAACGAGAGGTTCGTAGGAAAGATGCTGTTTTTTTTTATGACGGTGAACGGTTGATTGGTATCATTATTGGGTGGTTGAGGCAGATGGTAATATTGTCAATGGGCGGAAGTTCCCTAATCGTCATATAGACAGATGGGGAGGTGGAGATGGCAGAAAAGAGAGGAGTTCCAGTATTACCGACTTTACCTTACAGGGTACTAGATCATACCTACCTACCAGATTGAGTGGATAATTGGTAAAACGTGGACCGGCGAAGCTTACCGACAAAGATTTGAGAGTAGGTAGTAGGACACACTAAGATGAAGAAGGCTTGTGACAGTAATTATGGGGGAAAGGAAGTATCGACGCTAAAGGGACACCCCCATTCTTTTCCATTCATTGAGCTGGAAGCTTAGGTAATGGTGGTCCATCCATAGTCATGTCAGACTTAACCCATGGTACTATAAGGTCTGTGTGTTTTGAACCTCTTGCTGGGAGATATAATAATACTGCTAGCAGAAAGCATAGTTAGTACCTGTGTCACAATCCCTCAATATCCCTCCTATCATCCTTGGTGGGATTGATATATGGAGTACATACATATGTACTGTACCTACATATTTACCTCCCCGTCGGGTTCTGACGATACGCTCCTGACACCTCTTTTTTTTTCCTTTCTTTTCCAGGTAAACGGCGATGACTGACTGCGTTGACGGGAAAGTCAGCCAGGCATTTTTCTGCCCAGTGATTGGCGGACGCCACCATCCATAATTTCAACTTGTCCTCCGACCTGGGCTCCCATTCTCGCCCCCCTAGTTGTTATTGAATCAAAGGGAGAGGAATAGTATTAACCCAAAGTAATAGTCATCTATCTGTGCTAGTAGGACTACCTATTCTTCTCAGATCCAGCACAATACAACGGTATGCTGTACCACTGTAAGAGACCAACCCCACCCATTGAACAGACCACTTATATAAAGTAACTTCAAGTACTCCATCCGTCCTGTACATAGCCACCGGAATGCGTAGGGCACTCTTACCTACGCTTCCAATGGCGAATTTTCAAAGGCTGGGCTATGTCCCACTGTTTGCTGATTGGGGAATTGCTGTGTAGCCCTGACAGGATTACAGGTACGGTACTAAATTTATTCACGGTTCGTGGGATTATTTTCCATTGTTATTTTACCCCCAGCAAGATGTCCTTCCCCTAAAGAACAATCATGGAGTCTTACAAGCCACAAACACACCTATTGGAAGTCACACGAAGGGTTCGTGCCTTTTCGGACAAAGAGGGATCTGGAATAGATTTACTGTTTTAGAAGTGATAACCTTGTGCTATGCAGTATTCTATACCTACAGTAGCGTTAATTTACAGCCATCGCTCCCCCTAATGGCATCTTGTGCCACATATGAGAAGTGGTCAGATCGACCAAACATTCACGAGAATAGGGGTATTCCTGGGTGGCGGCTTTAAAAGGGGAAGGGAAATGGACGAGACTCAGGAAAGAGATAGAGTTGCTCCTGGATCTCTACTCATACCTTTTGGGATTTTTATTAGTTAACTGAATACTCAATAGACAGACGAAGAGCCTAAACAATGTCTTTCGCAAGATGCCCATCATCGGTGCTTCGATCTTAGGACTAATAAAGAGATGGGAGCCTCAATACGTTCCCTGTTGACTCTGCTAGGATCGTCCGGTATGTTGGGTCCGTGTTCGATATAATAAAAGGAAGGGGGTGTTATATTTAGGATAGGAGAGAGAGAGATATATATATATATCACATCGACCGAGGTGAACAACAGTATAGTATGACTCGACGCGATTGCGATCTAGTACTATGAAGTATATATATGTCCATTTCCTTTTTTCCCCTAAAAAGAAAAGAATTAAAAATAATAATATTTTACAAAAAATTCTATGGATGGGTAGGCAGTCGTTGGAAATGGTTAGCAACAGATCCGCACCCCACAGGCTATGATGACATCGAGACAGCAAATGCTGTACGGGATGAGGCCTGACGTATTAGGTACCTACTGCCTATCAACGATTGCCAACATCACCGTTGGCTAAGTACTTTATATCTTGGGTAATTGCATGATAACCGATCGTTGCCACCAATATTCTGCTGCAATTGGTTCGTCGCACGAAAGGAAACGGGCTGTTTTTCGGTCTTCTTTTCTCTCTCTCTCTCTCTCTCTGTCTTTTTTTTTTTTTTTTTTTTTTTTTTTCGTTCTCCTAATTTCCGCCTCTCTGGCCCGTTCTCTTTACCCGCTATGACATAATTGAATGAATCGAAGAACGGCTAAATCTTGATCGGTGCGGATTCTAAGATCTTTTTATATTTTTTCTAATAGTATAGAAGAAGAATCGAGACCCTTTCTTTTTGTTTTGTTTGCCTTGGGGATATTGCAACATTTAATCTGTAGGGAAGAAAATCAATGAGCTCAACACGTGCCGTTTGCGATACTTGGATGATACAAGATGGTTAATCTCTAATAAGTCATTCATGAGGTTGTGTCCAAAGGAATAGCCCAAGCGGTAAAGAAATTATGAAACAATTGAGAAGGGAATTGTAAACAAATAAAAATATATATAAAAATAAAGAAAGAAAAGAAAAGCAAAGAACGCCACGAGGATAGTAGTAGATAGTAATGAAACAAATTGAGAGGAAATGGACAAATGCCAATTGCCCCTCTCGTCCGTGCCTCATCCGGTTATGTAAGCGTGATGGGCGATTTTCCCTGAATTTGGAACCATCTTCCGGCCAATGTTAAGTGTTCGCGGGTCTAGACGCGTGGAGGGCGAAGGACTTCGTGGTGCTGTTCACCTCCAGTGTTCCCACTTTCGACCCTTTTTGCAATACCCTAGTCTTCTTGTCGCGAACGTCATCGGTCTTGCTTGGTCGTCGAAAAGTCCAACGGACTACTGAGAGAAAACCTCCCTTCCCCACATACCTCTTCGGGCGCCAACTACGGTTTCTCTGCTTCCTTCCTCACTACCAAAATTCATTATTATTTGCCTTGGTACTCCAACTCCATCGCTATCTCCATTTTCTGCTAATTTTTCTTTTAACGGAGTACTCTGATCCCACTCTCGTTTTCCTTTACCCTCCTTCGATTCCCTTCCCTCTTACAAAATACTTTGGCTTTATATTCTGAGCAAGTCAAGAGAATTGCTGTTCCCGCCACTTTGCCCCCCCTCCCTCCCCGAATCTTGGAGTTACATCCGTCTGTAATCCAAAATGGCGGAATTCGTGCGTGCCCAGATCTTCGGCACGACCTTCGAGATCACAAGCAGGTATAGATGTCTTTCGGCATCCAAGCAATGGATCAGGCCCTTTTTAACAGTTTCGCAGGTACACAGAACTGCAACCCGTGGGAATGGGTGCGTTCGGCCTCGTGTGGTATGTCTCCAGAGCCCCTCCTTTTAGATTCGCCGTTACCGCCGACCCCTCAGACGGACCATACGCTGACACGATTCTTCCGGGAAAATTAGTTCGGCGAGGGACCAATTGACCGCACAGCCCGTTGCCGTCAAGAAGATCATGAAGCCTTTCAGCACCCCAGTTTTGGCCAAAAGAACATACCGCGAACTGAAATTGTTGAAGCACCTGCGCCATGAAAATGTCGGTCAATTCCACTCGAAAGTGGCTGCATCATTCGTACGCTGACTGCCACTAGATCATCAGCCTGAGCGATATTTTTATTTCTCCTCTTGAAGACATGTACGCCCGGTTTCTACCCAGCTTGAGGGTGACGCCCGTTGTCTAACTGATTACCACAGTTATTTCGTAACAGAACTTCTCGGCACCGACCTCCACAGACTCCTCACGTCAAGGCCGTTGGAGAAACAGTTTATTCAGTACTTCTTATACCAGATCTTGGTGCGTGGTCGCGACTCGCCCCTCCATGTGAAATGGGCTCGACGCTAACTCTCTGTAGCGGGGACTTAAATATGTGCACTCGGCAGGCGTTGTGCACCGTGACCTGAAGCCGAGCAATATCCTTATCAACGAAAACTGTGATCTGAAAATTTGCGATTTCGGCCTTGCCCGTATTCAAGATCCCCAGATGACCGGCTACGTGTCGACAAGGTACTACCGTGCGCCTGAGATTATGCTCACATGGCAAAAGTATGATGTGGAAGTGGATATCTGGAGCGCCGCATGCATCTTCGCCGAGATGCTGGAAGGAAAGCCTCTGTTCCCCGGCAAGGACCATGTGAACCAGTTCTCCATTATCACAGAACTCCTTGGAACCCCACCGGACGATGTGATTCAGACGATCTGTAGTGAAAATGTGAGCACCCGCCACTTCATTGAACTCGCTGAAAACATTGCTAACAAGGATTCTAGACTTTGCGATTCGTGAAGTCTCTCCCTAAGCGCGAACGTCAACCTCTTGCCACTAAATTTAAGAACGCTGACTCCGATGGTATGCCCCCTGTTTGATGCGTTCCACGCACCTTTAGTTGCTAATAATGCATAGCGGTTGATCTCCTCGAGCGGATGCTGGTCTTTGATCCGAAAAAGAGAATTCGCGCGGGCGAGGCGCTGGCGCACGAATATCTTGCACCGTACCACGATCCTACCGACGAGCCTGAGGCGGAGGAGAAATTTGATTGGTCATTCAACGACGCTGACCTACCGGTGGACACGTGGAAGATCATGATGTAAGTACACATTTTGAACGCAACAATTGTGATGTCCCGCTGATCTCTGTGAACTCTTAGGTACTCGGAGATTCTCGACTTCCATAATATCGACCAAGGGACCGAGGCGGCTAGTCAAGTCCTCGTTGAGGGAGCTGGCGAGAGCCAGCAAAATTTTGTATAAATCGGGTTCATAATTTTGCGGACGAGGCGCAGGCAACAGTGCAGCGTGTTTCAAAGGTTATTCTCTTCTTTTAGTCTTTAGTCCCCATTGTTTCGTATGTAGACTGGGCAAGAGGACTGTGATGTTTATATCTACGGATACTTTCCCCATCGCTGTCAAGTGGCTGTTTTGCAAGCTCTGAGGCGCATACACCTTCGGACTCTGTGGCTTTTTGTTTCTTTTACATGACGCGGTTAGAATTGGGGTTTGAAAGCCACCTGTGACATCGATTTTCCCCTGGTTTTTCCTTTTTCTTCTATTTTGGTTGCTTGTCCCATATAAGCTACACGTGAACCATGAATGATGAATCAATCAGTTGGTGCTGGAGACGATTACTATTTGCCCGTGTGTCAAGGAGTCTATGAATTCCTCAAATAAACACAGAGAGAGAGAGTTTTGAATAAATTGGTGATTGGTCCTCGAAGAGCTGCTGTTCATTGATCTACGTGGTGCTCCGTCGGCTACATAGTAAGTACTAAGTAGACTTAGTGCGTACGATCAGCCTTACGGGTTGATTATATGGGGGAACTTTTGAAACACGGCGGGGGGAAGTTAAGTTACTCCAGTGGGCAAATCCAATTGTCACCGCCCACCGCGGGACCAATTAATCACCTTCCCCCCTGGTTCCAAGTTCCACTGTTCTTCAGGCCTTCTCCTTTGCTTGATTCTTCATTGTATCTCTCTTGAGGCTACGCGTGTCTCTATCATTCTTTCTGGGAGTGTAGCCATCCCCTTCTCTCAGAGAAATCAACAATCGATCTTTCCTTGCTTCGGTCATCTGTATGTCGCACAGCTTCAGCTCTACGCCATGTCTAGTATATCCGGTCGCCAGGCGCCCATTGTCATGGTCATAGACTTTCACCATGCAAGGTGAGTGATTGAAAGGAGAGAGAGAAGGCGGGGTAGTTTGGCCTAGAAAGGGACAAGATGAGCGGGATGCGGAAAATCATATCAAACCCGTTCCTTGGGTGCGCTTGTTTGGGCTGTGCTTGGACTTGCAGCATATCAGAACACGGGATTATCTTTTGTCCTTGCGCCACTTTGTCCGGAACTGCTGGCTAACGTATGTCTTTCTCACCTCTTGCAGGGGCCCCGAAATTGAGCTGTGTTTTGGAGAAGATGGAACCGATCCAGCGACAGAGAACGACTGGAGTTTGCTACCATTCATGGCACTATCGGACGGGGCGCATATGTACGGCGAATTCATAACCCCCTATATAATATACACCATCTCGTAAAGGGCGCATTCACTTATTGACGCGATTGTGGCCCTTCAGGTCGACCGAGGAGTTCTCCTACTTCACGCTCCGCCGAAAGGAGACCGCCGCGGAACCTGCAACGTCCCTCTTCGGTATATCTTGTTCTAGGCAGCTCGATTCGAATTTGCTCCGATACCGACCATCCGATGTGACGAGATCTACCGTACAAAAAGCTGTTGTTGTCATCACAGATAGCCCTCAAAGTCTAGGGCAGCTGAGAGAGAAGTTGTCTATAGTAACATCGGCTTGGTTTGCGCAGCGGTATGTCTGTCAACTGGGATCATTACACGTGCTATCTGGTGGCTTATCTAGCCTGCTATGTTTTGGCAGAATATACACCGGAATGCTGTTGCGGAGTATGACTGATGTGGGAGAACAGGGACTTTTCAGATATCGATATCCTTAAGGTGTGATTTATTCTTTGGTGTTGGTATTGGTCTCAGGTGGTATTGATGCATGCTTTAGAAATTCCGAGAAAGCCTAGTGATCAGTCTGAACAAGGATGAGAGTTTCAAGGATCAAAATCTAGGTGCGTCCGGTTACCTACCATAGTCGTTTTGGCCGCTTACCGGTCTACAGGACTGTCTCTCCGTGAAATGATCCATGAGTTTAAATATCAAACTCTGGTCTTGTTCAAGGCTTTGCTCTTGCAACCCAAGGTGTGTACCTGATAGTAACTTATTGTCCTCATTATTGACTGGACCTAGATGCTTTTCTTTGGTTCTAGATGTGAGCGTTTGTGCATGATACAATTTTCTCTTGTCTCTTTGATGCCCGGCCTCATAAACTACCTCCAAGATTGTGCAGACCCAGCATTCGAGAGATACGAGAAGACTGTAGAGAAGCCAACTACTTTGAAGACAAGTGACAGGAGTTCTCGTATGATTGGAACAGCCCTGTTTTCAGTTTGATTACATACTGATTACTGTAGTGTTGGCGTATATGGGACTGCCGCTACAGATTTTCGGGAAGGTTCGTGCGCTCTGTATCGAAGACTGACCTTTCTCCTAACTTCGGTAGGGGAGTATGTTCGGGCCGTACACGCCTCTACAGCAGCTGGATCTGCTGGCAGATCACGGCACAAAGTCGTATGTAGTCGGTTCTACAAATTCACTGCTTTTGCAGCAGAAAGATCGCTATAGTGACATCTTAATCAACGTGAGGAGCCTTTTGATCCATCTTGACAGACCGGATACTTACACAATGAGACCTCAGCTTGATGAAGATACAATTAACATCATGTCACCCTCTCTGCGAAGTGCGTTGGCCCTGTCCGTCGCAGACAGGCGCTGGATCGATCTCCTTACCCAAATTATCAACGATACGTGGGACGAAGCGCATCCGGAGCAACCCAAGACCCACGGGTATATGGGCTCCGAGGAATTTATAAGACTGCAGTTTGAAGAATACCTGCTTTCATTACTATCCTGCATTAAATATCACGAGGAATTGGATTCTTTCAACACCGGCGATCCAGGCCGGAGAAGCAGAGAGCAGTTGGAGGCGTTCAACATAGAAGGGGACCCTGCGTTGGAATTCAACGCCGAGTTTCTAGTCCAATGGCAAAGCACTTCCAATTATGCTCTTTTCAAACGCCTGACCTCTGATGCGTTGTTGTTCTCTATTGTCGAGCCTCGGCATCCCTGTGCCGGAGGCCTAACCATGGATGATCTTCAACGACGGCTTTCTCAGCAAGTCGCGGATCTTCATCTGGACGAACGTGTACGTGAAAGTCGCGAGGCGCTCAATAGGCATATCAGCACGGGCCAAAAGAAAGTAACCGCAGCGTTCAACAACTTCTGGTCCGATATCGAAGCGATGCGGGAAGCACAGCGGAAAAAGAATGAAGAGAAAGCGCCGCAGTCCGAGCGATCGTCCCTGGACAAAGACCCTTCCCCGCCATTTTCACCTTCTGATACAGCATCTGTACATTCTACTAGTGGCTCCTCTTGGTTCGGTGGTCGCAAGGCTCCTTCGGTGGATATTGCTCAAGCACAAGCATCCGTGAGTGCGGCTGGGCAAAGGGCGGGAGCGTACCTCAACTCTTGGAGCACCTGGGCCAGCGAAAAGAGGAAAGAATGGCAGGAGAAAAAAACACCATCCTCTCCGACTTCTGTAACCTCACCATCCTCGACCTCAGCGGGTACCACGGAGCCGGGTGACCCACCAGAAAGAGGTAGACGATCGATGCAGGCAACTCGCAGTGAAGACTCTGCTTTGTCGCGCAGCGCGAGCCGACGCAAGAGATGGAGCAATATGTTCCTGAGACGGGATAGTGGCGAGTATAGCTCACTTAATAGAAAGGAAGTCCCTGTTCATGACAGCGACGTGTCGCATCCAACCGAGCAGCCGTCTAGGGAGGCAGATGGTTCCGCAGAAGCTCAACTCAGCAAAATAAAGGAGAATCTCAAGCTCGGCGATACAAAGAATACTACCACCATGACCCAAGTCCCATTTGCGCCGTCCAAATCATCCGTTAAGCCCCAGACCGCCATTGATGCAAAGGAGACCACAGCAGAAGAGCTAGCACCCACGCAAGTCGCCCAGACCACCGAGCTCAAGACTCATCAAACAGAAGCACTCCCCGCAGGACAAAGCCAATGAATAATAATCACCGGACGGCAGGAACATGATTCGCATGAATAATGCATTGCCCATTTTTGGCCAATATTAAACCCAGCCTAATTTCGTATTTCATGCATAAAACGTACAAAAATAAACCCTTGCATGTCATCTACTCTGCATTACTACTTACGTTCCGAAGCTTTGATACCCTGGAAAGGACAGAGCTTGTATTCGTGGTATCTTTTTTTTTTAACTTCTATTCTCGTCAACATATATCATGTTTCCTCTTTAACGTTTTGAAAGGCATATACGACGTTCATTTCTATGACTTTATATCACATATGGTCGAATATAATTTTGTGCTTTCTGAATGTTTCAGAGATTGGATATAATCACTCAAGTTCTCTTGTGTATGTTGATGCGAAATCGAATCTTGCACCTATAAGGGAGCGTGCCAAAAGAGAAAGAAAGTCTCCAATTTTTACTGATATATTGGGTTATCATTTGTCATATCGGTGCTACGAAAGCAGAGAAAAATCCTATCCTTGACCTATGAATGAGAGCCATATGCCGCAGTGTAACAGCCATTAAAAAGAGGAAAGAAGTAAGGGTGGAAAAAACCAGTGAGAAATACCGGCGCTAACATAAGGCAACTGGGAAAGGGGGCAATAAAGGGAATTTCTAGACATTATGCAATATAAGCGATCTCATCACCATCCAAGCGCTCTATATAATCCTTTTCCATGAGAGCTTCGATGTTCTTCTTGATGTCGGGTACTTTAGGTGGGAAACGGGATTTGACTTGTTGGATCACTTCCTGAACAAGTTGGACGTGCTTCATCTTCTTGCGCGACTTCATGATTCGAACGATGGCAGACTGTTGATAACGTTAGACGGGGATTTCAATTTCATGTAACAGAGTTCGTGGATTTCTAGACTTACCTGAAGCAGTAGCTTACGATCCTCCTCTATAGTCTTGTGTGTATCATCCGACTCCACCTTTTGTTCCGACTTGATCTGAATATTTAGATTGACCTTAACCTTTTTGTTTTTGAAGTTGTAGTTCAAAGTGAATGAGGTTCCAGGTTCCGGCTTGGATCCATCAGGACTGATGACGAGCACCTTTGCCTTAAGGAGGATGCCTAAATTTGGTTCAAGAATTTCAGGAGCAAGATTTGTAGCTTTTTGAATGTCCTCGTATGTTAGAGTATCGTGTTCGTTGAACAGGAGAAGAACGCCCATCTGGAAGGTCGACACCTGGAAAGTATAAGGGACCTTGGTGTTTTTGATGTAGTTGGCTTTAATTTCACCTTTGCAAAGCTGCCAAAGCCATGTCAACTTCCGACCATTGTGTTTGTCGAAATAGAACTTTTGGAATCGCTCGGATGTCTTAAGAATTTCCGGCGGTGCAAGGAAATCCGTCGACGGAGCCTGAAGGGGCCAGAATCCAGTTCCCAGGATCTGGAAGTGTGCATCTACCAGCCTCTTTCGATCATCGTCATCTAGAACCTTGTCTTGCCAATCCTTGTAGCTTGCGTTGAGATCTTTTGAGATCTGAATATCCTGGAACATGCGCTGCAATTTGTTGGTGTACTCAAAACCACAGGCCTCCTTGAGCTTGCTAATCATGCTCGTCTCCGCATCATCAGATACGGAACTCACATGCACCAGTCGTTTGGCAAGCATCTTCGAGTAGAACTTCTGGAAAACATCTTTGTCTTCAATATATTTGAAAACTGTCATGATCTGGACCAGCATCTCTTCCAATTCGGACTCCTCGGCAGCCTTGGACCCCTTCTTCAACAGCGAATCGGTATATTTAGCCAGTAGCTCTGGTGATTTCGTTGAACTCGACGCGCAGATCTTGTTGCGGTTGACGAACTCACGGCAAGCATTGTCCAAGGAGCGCACAAATTCAGATTCACCATTGAAGGCCTCGTTTACCAGGCTTTGGTACCTTGTATGTACCTGCAACAAAGCATCCACATACATCTTGGGTTCAAATGTTTGGCCTTCTGCTGCGACCTTCTCGACTGCTGCCAAACCTGCTTTCCTGACATGGGTCTCGAATTTCGTCCGTAGGGGGTCCAAGCCATCTTTAATGCGAGACAAAAGCCGGTACATCCGAGCAAGATCCTCTTGCCGTTCATTGTCTAGGAGAACCTGGAATTCATCGCGCAAAAGTTCTGAATGGGCCGTAACAAGGACTTCCAAGCATGTGTCGGTTAGATGTTTGGAAATATCCGGGTGCAAGTACAAGCCCACACGAGCCTTTTCTTCTTCCAAGCGGGCCTCCGCCTTTTTCATGTATTCCACCACACTGTTCTCTGCCACAAATTGGCGCGATTCATTTTCGTAGTAGACTTTGGTAGCTGCGATGAAGGGCTTCTCGAAGAATAACCGGTACACTTCAAGCGTCGATTTGGAGCTGTCGCTTTCGTCCAATCCGAGGGAAACAAAGGAGTCGACAATGCTCTTGATCTGCGACTGCTCGATGGTTTCACCATTTCGCTGCTTCTCGACAAGGTTCAAAACAGCGTCCATAACCTTCTCATGGACCTTCATGAAGAAGTCATCCTTCCACTTTACGAGGTGCAAAGTATACACATCATACACGTTCTTTTTACCCTCGTCGATCTCCCGCTTGACCCAATGCCGATTGAGGTAACCGAAAAGATGGTTGATGTACTTGGCGGCTGTCGTGTAACGGGTCCATTCGCGAATATAGAATCCAAGCAGGGCCTCCTCGGTGTGACCCTTGGACTCCTGATGCACCGCGTCGAGATGGCGCGACAGATACTCTCCGAGCAACTTGTATAGCTCCTCTCCTAGCAGATGTGCTGAAAAATTGTTAGGTCCAGGTACTCGGTATAACCTAAGAGGACTTGAGTGTTGAAGAGAACGAACCACCGCGATGTGCTTGTAATCCATGGCCATTACCGACAGCTTTTTGAGATGTGCAAAAATTGTGAACCGCGCTTCGCTCGTGTTGTCAGTTCCGTTCCAGGCGAAAGGGGGAAGAAAAGAAGGGGAAAGGAGAGAGATAAGGAAGAAAAGAGATGACGTACGTATACAAGGCCATGTACTAAGCACAGTGAATTGTCAGCTTGGAACCAAAAGCCCTTTCTCTTCACTTTGATCTGAAGGGACTTACAGTCTTCATGTCCACCCCCTCCTCCAATTTCAACATCACACTGTCGACACCCCTCTCCAGGAACGACCATCTGCTTGAGTTAGCTTACTTCCCGTTACGCGGTGCCGGCCGCAGATATCCGATGCGTCATCCGAACATAAGCGACTCACGTTTCGTCCAAATCATCCTTGTGAGGCGCCTGTGGGACTGAAGATGGTGGCATGTTGATTTTAGGCGACGATGGGAGAAAAAACGAGGATACAGCTGCGAAACAAGAGCGTCAGTTCTGGTGGAAGCTAAATGAAACACCCAAGATGACACCCAGGCGGTATGGTGAGGGTGGGAAGCAGAGGAGATGGATTTTGGGGTGGTGGGGTCAAAGGCTTATAAGGTATAAGGACCTTTCTGGTTTTTGGATTTTCACGAACGAACTCGTCTTCAGTAATATTGGGGGAGGGGGGTTACAGGACTGGCGGCGTTTTGAGTCCAAACACTACCGTCAAAGGCAGGAAGGAGGATAGCCGCGCGCTATGAAAGAGCAAGGAATAACGGCTGAACAGACGAAGTGGTCGCACAGAGAAGTCCTCAAGCAAAGTTCCGAGTTAGGGTACAGTGATCAGCAAAGTCAAGTACGTCTCAAGTACAGAAAATACAGGAAGACGCAAGAGTGGTCGTTGGGCGGTAGTGAGAGTCGAGATCAGACATCCGTGGGGGGGGGAACCGTTTATGAACCGTTGCGGTAGGCGGTCAACGCAAGAGCTGGACTACTCGCGATTAAATTAAATATCGAAAATCTAGAATTTGGGGTCTTAAAACAGATCCAGGTTAGGCAACCAAGCCCTCCATTTTCTTGACTACTGCTACCTAAAGGAGCTGGGGGTTTATATACCCTCCGTGATAAAAGAGCTTTTGCTACCTGCTTTCCCCTCTTCTTCTCTTTGACGTCCTTTGTTTCTCTTGAGCAAGTCCAAATGAAAACCGCATGACGCAAGTCATTGACAAGTTAATCTAATCCTCCCTCCTTTCATTTTTTGTTTTAGAATCCTTCTTTCTCTCCCTCCCCCCATAGTCCCCATAAATAGATAATGCCGTGAGAGTATCACTGCAGCAAACAGTACTTCTCAGTAAAGTAGAGTAAAGAGTAAGGAGAGAGACTTAAATGGAGAATTTAAAAGGAAAAAGAAAAAGAAAACAAACCAATTACCCCAAATGACGTCACTAGCGGCTTTCCCCTTTGGGAAACCCTTATTGATTCCTTACTTCACCCACAGCCCTACCACTACTATATACTACACTTCTACTACCACTACTATACGAACTACGAGCTGCAAGCCTAACAAACAAAGACAACCATGTCATTCAGACCTCCATCCGGCATCGAGGTAACAACACGCCAAATCCCTCAATGGGAACAAATTCCTAATACCTCAATTCAATCCAAGCCTCTTCTGATATATCACCACGCATTTGACGCATCCCCAACTCAGCTCCAGGCGCGCTTGGAGAATATCGGCGAGGTCGAACCCCAGTGGGTCTATACGATGTACCAACAGACGCACTTCCACAGCACAACGCATGAAGTGTTGGGGGTCGTCTCCGGACGCGCGCGTCTCTGCTTGGGCGGTGAAGCCAACCCCAATCGCTTCGAACCGACGGTAGAAAAGGGCGATCTGATCGTGGTTCCCGCTGGTGTGGGCCATCGCCTATTGGATGATCTCGGGTCGGAGAGTTTCAAGATGGTCGGTGCCTACCCCCGGAATAAACGCTGGGACATGTGCTATGGACAGCCCGGCGAGGAGGGAAAGCTCAAGGGAATTAGAGGACTAGAGTGGTTTCATGCGGATCCTCTATACGGAGCTGATGGTCCTGTCCTTCATGTGTAGACACATGGGGGGGGTGGGATATTAATAGGTCTTCTCCGGTTATCATTGAAGCTTATATTCCATCGTTTCACTAGTATATACATACATAACCATCACATGTGCGCGGCCGTTGCTATCCAGGGCCCAAAACCTGGGGAAGAGAAAAGGGGGAGGGAACGTGATAGAAGAAATGAAATGAAAGGTGGAAGCAAAGTAGGTCCAAGGGAATAAGAAGAAAAGAATAGAATGTAATAGAGGTGGTAGAAGAAGAGAATAAAATCGTAGACGTCCCTATCAAAAAGGCAAAGCGGGTATGGGTAGGGAGACCTTGAAGACTAAACAAAGAGAATATGGTGCGGCCAATAGATAGCACAAGTACAAAACAGGAGAAATCACTGAGCAGCACGGTCTACAAGTCTATTAGAAGCAGTCAGTTCTGTACCCTGCAGAAATGGATAAATCAGAGAGAGCAACTTACCTTAGAACACTAATGGCGAATGTTGTAAGCCAAGCCAAAAGAGCAATTAATAGAACACTGGCAAGCGCGATTTGTCGGTCGCATATTGCATCGTTTTTAGGAGCAACCTGTTGGTTAATCTCCCCGACAGTACATGCACCGCTAACGGTGGACAGGGATTCAAAGGCCAAACTTAAGTTGGCAGAATCAAAGACAATAAAGAAAATGTCGAGAAGGACAAGCCTTGCCTTGGCCGCCGGGGAGCGAAGACCAAGCGGTTTAGAAGTATATTCATCCCAGGTGATATACACCAGGTAGACCAGGGCCACGGCATCAACGATGATTGCCATTAGCGCAGAGGGTCCCTGGGGATGCACATACTCATGCACCATGTGTTGAATGGATCCTCCAAGGGCAAGAGCCGTGAGGGAAAAGACCCACACCGTTAGGCGAAAAACTAAGGGAACTATCGGGCTCTTCAATAAGGTATGATGCAAGCGTTTGAACCAAATCTCTCTCCGTCGTTTCTTTTTCAACGGATCTTCGGTATCCTCATCCCCCCAGTCTTCTAGTCTTCCACGCCATGGTGTCGAGTAATCGGTGTGGTTCTCATTCAGCCACTCGGGGGTGACAAGTTTTTCCTCAGCACCAGGTTCCCGAGGATAAGCAATTGATTTAGAGAAATTTTTCCAGCGGGATTCACGAGCGCGCTCTTCGTCCAAGCTTACCCCTCCACTCGAGTAATTCACTTTTGAAGTGGTATACGGCGAGTGGTTATGCTGGGCTACAACAGCCTCATTGGGATGTGAAGGCAGTAGCTGGGAGGTAGCAGATGATTCACCCTCAGGCTCCTTGTAATCGACAGATTGGATCCAACCTATTGTACATATTGATATCAGTACCGCTTCCCGTGAGAGGGCTGGAGTTGGTCGAGGATGTTACGCACCCGGAAGTGATCGCAATTTCCTTTCTGAAGATTCTTTATCTTGTCTACCCTCCGTCATTGAGTCCTCTAACTTGCGCAAAACTTTGGGCGACACTTCAACCGCGCCATTGCGATGGAATTCAGGGAATGGATCATGATTACCCTGTTCGTTTTGAGTGAGATCGGGCGGTCCGGACATCCATTCTACAACGCTTAGCTTCTCGTTTAGCTGAGTATCTAAGACTGGACCTGGGCTTGGAGAATGTGCGCGCGAGGTGCGCGCATCCTGTGCCATTGCCTTTCAGTTCAATGGGTCGTTCCAGAGTGAGGTTGCGTCGGCTGTCGGAAGTTATGGGGAGACAACGGATCTAGTCTGCATCGCCCCCCTCAGCCCCCGAGAACACGACGTTTCTCTGGAAACCGAGTAATTTGAAGACCCTTCAAGAGATTGGGTCATTAGAATAGGCGCCCAAAACAGTGCAAGGCAATAGTCTCCGGGGGGCTGGGAAGAATGGAGGAGAAAAAACGGTTCTGTTTGCTTATTATTAGGTTCAATGAGCTGCTTAACCCAGAAAAGTAATGTAATTAAAATACGGCGCTAAAGCTTCTCTCTCGGTGCGGAATGACGTCTCTCTCAATCAAATACCTACCGCCCGCGAAACAACAACTTGAACATCCACTATTCAACTCATTAAGGGGCCAAAAGGAGAACCTAAAGGAAGTGCTAATCTTAATCTTCCTTTGAAATAAGGAATGCTATTTTTACAAGCTCCCTTGATACCGCTCTTTTCTCTAGTCGATCGATAGTCGTGTTCTCCCTGGCTGTTTCCAAATAATTATTTCCTGCGATCCATTGATTCAGTTCCCCGAAGAAATTTGATTGATAAAAAAAAGAGGTGATTGAAAAGAAGAGAAAAGAAAACAGGATCGAACGCGGCTATGCGACTTTTCGTCATCCCGATATCGACGAGACGAGCCCTGATATATGCTCGGCCGCTGCGCAGAGATCATGCGAAGGAGCTTTCCATAGCTGATCGAATCACAAACAAAGTTGCCGAAACATGGGCCAAATGGGAGGAAGCTGAAAAGGGTTGGAAAAAGAATCTAGTTTCTTGGGGTAATAAGGTCCAACAACGGATCCCCTATGAAGAATGGGGGCTCAAGAGCATACCTTCACTCAATGCCCAACGGCGACTGGATGAATCGTACGGGTCGAAGAAAATCGACGTCCTTTTCCCGGGAAACGCGATCAAATCAGAAAAACTAAAGCCTATCCTCTACAGAATTGCTACTGAAAGGCAGGACTTGCATCGTAAGAGGATGTGGTGGAGCTTTATCGCGTGTCCTTTTACCGCGCCAGTTGGGCTGATTCCACTGTATGCAAGCTAAGCTCTTCCCCAGGAAACTTTCGTACAGAGAGTTTCTCAGCTTATTGCTAATTTTGAGCGCTGAGCTAACGCCGGAACTACAGAATCCCTAACATTCCTTTCTTGTATCTCGTATATCGAGGCTGGTCCCATTGGCGAGGTGTGCTTATTCTACCTCCCGCATCATGTTGGCGCTGCTAACGGAATCAAGCTTTAAACGGATCCAAGCACTTAGAATATTTGGTCGACAAAGACCTTTTGAATCTTACATCGCATCCAGTACTTGAGCGGCTGTACGCGAAGCGGGTTTCACGTGCGTTGGAAAAGTATGACACTGAACTGTCAATTCCAAGCATGGTGGAGGACGTGGAGAAAAGTGACGATAGATTGCTACTTCGGATGGACGATGCCAAGAAGTTGGCTTCAATACTTGAGGCACCGGAGCTCGCTTTGGAAGCCGAAAGAGCTATAGTCCAGGTTGAAGAGAAGCTGAAGGCAGATAACTCGTCCACAGATGAGGGTGCAAAGAAAGACACCCAGAAAGAGAAAGACTCGTGAACAGCTCAGATATAGAATAACTAAATGTGGATGTGCTCATGTTTTAAACGGCTGATATTGTTCGGGATGTTTGGATTATAGGTTTATAGGCTTGCGAATGTTTCACGGTAATTATATGACAATATACTGAGGCTTTTAATAGTTGTACAAATACATGAACTGGATAGAAGCAGGAGTTATAATTCCCCTGCATACGGATTTAACATGATCCGAATGCCCCATGGGAGCCCGCCGCGGGATACCCGAAATAGTTAACTGCTCATGAACACCCTCCATCCAAACATCTCTTGATAGTCGCTCTGCATTGCCCAGTTCTCGTAATAACAACATCAAATAACAACACCGTCCTTACTGGTCTACAAAGCCACTTACATCATGTCAAATAAGAAAATTGAGCAGTGGGAAATTGAAAGATACTGGGAGATCTTCTCTACTTTATCAAATGGTCAACCCCGTCTGAACAACTCCCAAGCCGCCTCGGTGCTCAGGAACAGTCGGCTTCAAGATGAGCAACTGGAAAAGGTCTGGGACCTGTCCGACGTGGATGGTGATGGTGAGCTAGACTTCGAGGAGTTTTGTGTCGCTATGCGATTAGTTTTCGACCTGGTCAATGGTGTATGTTGCCTCCTTATTACTACAATCGCCTTCCCGCGCGCCTGTCAGCCCGGCGGCTTCCTTCGGGCATTTTTGAGCGCTCTGGCTTGACTAAATCGTTGGTTTGAAGTGCTGTTGCTGAATTTCAATGTTCATCAGGAATTACAAACGGTCCCGGCTGTTCTACCCGATTGGCTCGTCCCTGAATCCAAGTCTCATCTAGTCCATGCAAACCGTGCATTGGGTACCCAGCCCGAACGATTCGAACGGATAGAAGTTGAAGATGATACCCCTGGATTGAAAGATGGATTCGAATGGTACATGAACCCCGCCGACAAGTCCAAATATGAAGATATCTACAACGCCAACAGAAACCAACGTGGTGAAATTGCATGTACGTCAGAGCTTCCCGTGAAGCGGGGGCCGCATCCCCTATCTTCGCTACTCCGAACTAATACATAGATGTTTCGCACAGTTGAATCATTACAACCACTCTACGAATCTCTCGATGTTCCCGACACTGATGTGCGCTCTGCCTGGAACTTAGTGAACCCTTCGGCATCCCCCACAATTAATAAGGACGCCACCCTTGCATTCCTGCATGTCCTGAATTACCGACATGAGGGCTTCCGCATCCCCCGCACTGTACCTGCTTCTCTCCGCGCCTCGTTTGAAAACAACAAGATCGATTACCAGGTCGACAATGCTCGCCCAGCGCAGAGATGGGGTGCGAATGGCGACACAGAGACGCCAACTGGACGGAAGTCTAAATTCGGAGATACATACCTGAGTCGGTTGGGTGTCGGAGGGAAATCGGCCTACACTCCTAAGGGAACGGATTTCAGCGACACTATCCAGGATGAAGAGTGGGAAAAGGTCCGCCTGAGGCGCGAGCTAGCAGAGATGGAAGCCAAGTTGAATTCCGCGCAAAAAGCCTCTGAAGGGGGTAGGGACCGGCCCAGGAACGACGGCAGACCAAATTGGGTTTTAATCAAGAAGGAAGCGCTTCAGCTTCTGGAGTACAAGGAACGTGAGCTTCGCGAGTTGAGAGAAGGTACGGGCAAGTCCAAGGAGGGCCAAACCATAGAACGGCTCAGGGAGGATGTGAATACCGTCGGGGAACAAGTAGAGGGGCTAAAGAGCCATCTTGCCAAACGGAACGAAGCCCTCGCTGATCTACGAAGAAAGATCGAAGAAGCAAAGGTTTCACGGTAGTAGTAATGTTCCTTGTTGTTCTTTTGCTTTTTTTCTTCTGGAATATATTCTGAGTACCCTCAACCCTCTGATATTGCTCGATTTCTCTGTGCAAGGTTTCCCGTGATTCTTTACCTTCATGTACAGCCATTTCTTTGGCGAGGAGCTTCAGGCGCTTAATGGATGCATTGTTTTTCTTTTATCTTTTCATGATATATTAGAGGATTTATCAAATCCTATTTATTGCATTGCATATCAGGCCTACCCATCATATGTACATTATATAAACCGTCCCGACGGCCTAATTTACAGGCTTCTTTTCTTATGTTAGGTTTCTAAAGAGAACGATGTACCCGATAACTAACAGTCCTCGCCGGACCCATTCTCAGAGTTCCAAGGTCAGTACTCTACTTAGTATGCACGATAACCTCCATGGTTTACGTACTGTCGAAGATTTGGCTGAGGACAGTCTTCATGTTTCCAGCTGCGCAGGCACAAAGATATTTTGTCTGAGTGCTTTCCGCTAAGTGTTCCACAGCTATTTTACAAAGATAGTATACCGTTTGCTATTCGTGGGAAGTTTGAAACTTACCTAAACGGATAGACTTCGGTATGTTTGGACGCACATGTACACAATGTTTGAGGGTTTGAACTCGGTATCCCTGGGATACAACTATCGAGGGGGAAGGTGAAAAATTAATTATATTGTTATTATTATTATTATAAGTACGATCACGGGTTAAGCTTTCCCAGTGATCTGCACCATAAGTCCGTCTTTCTTCGTCTCAACGGCCAAGAAAGCCCGTCCACTATGGTCCAAGCCCTTCTCGGCGCGAGCATATGCCTCTTCACTACGATCCGTCAAGATATCGAGATCCTTGTTAGTTAAGAGACGACTGGGGTCTGTACCAGTCTCGAAATGCTCAAAGTCATCCTCCCCAAGAGCCTTTTTGAGATCCTCAAGGTCATCCTGTGAGTGTGAGCTTTGATCTAAAAGACTCTTGAACTTGCCCTTTTGGATGACGAGTCTTTCCAGACGCCGTTTCGAATCAGCTTTCTCAAGCAGTGTTTGCTCAACAGTACCCTTTGTCGCTAGACGGTACACGATCACAGGCCTTGTCTGACCTATGCGGTGGGCACGGTCCTGAGCTTGGAGATCTTGTTGCGGGTTCCAGTCGGAATCAAATAGGATGACAGTGTCTGCTGCCATGAGGTTGATGCCCTGTCCTCCCGCACGTGTACTCAGGAGGAAAATTTTGAAACCAGGTTCTGTATTGAAGGCTTTAATCTGAGCTTGCCGGTCTGTCTGGCTGATTGCGCCATCGATTCGGCAGCAATTCCAGGACCGGAGCTGTGTGGCCCAATCCTGGAGAATATCCAGCTGTGATTTGAATTGAGAAAAGATGAGGATCTTATGCCCATTAGCTAGCAGACGTGTAACAAGCCGGTCCAGTAATAGCATTTTTCCTGATGCAGTGACCAGGGATTCGTCAACCGGCTTTTCGTTCCAAGGCCAGTAGAAGTTATGCGGAGAATTACAAGCCAATCGCGCCTGTAACACGGGGTTCTGCATTTTCTTTTGGGCTACTTCTTGTTCTGTAGGTTGGAAACGTTAGCGCCAATGTGGAAGTGTGAATTGGGGGTGGCTGGGTTAACATACTGGCAAGCTTGAAAGTCCTTGCTCTTTCGATCTCCTCCTGTTCGGTTTCGCTTGGACCTTGGATATCTAGATCGTCTTCTATTCCTTGCTCGAGCTTTCGCAGCTTTGAGTTGAATTCGCGGTCGCTTATCTCTTTGTAACTTTGCGGGCCTCTGCGTCTGCGAGTGGAACTGGTCGTACTGGCTGGTGTAGAAGAACGGCTAGACTTTAGACTCTTGTTTGGAGTCGAGTCACCGCTGCTATCTACACTACGCTTCACGCTTCCGGAACGTGTCAAGCGTTCATTCTTGGCTAATAATCTTTCTCTTGCTTTATTTTCGAGGTACTGACGGCCCGTTCCGCTGAGAATCTCGCGATAGAGATCCTTTTGCTCTGCTGTTAAAGGTGCATAAAGAATGTATTCTCTCTTCTTGGGGAGCGACATTTCGACATCCGTCTTGACACGTCTTAATAGGAATGGCTTCAGAATCGAGTGCATCGTGGAGACTAGAGTGCGCTTTCGGCGTTCAATGACATCCGTCTTGCCACTGCTATCCAGCATCGACGAGAAGTCAAACCAGCTTTGGAAGCTATTCAGATCGTTGAAAATCTCCGGCAGCAGGAAATGTAAAAGCGACCAAAGCTCTGTGATGTTGTTCTGCAATGGTGTGCCGGTGATAAGGAGTCTGTTCGCGGAGTTGTAGGTAAGAAGTTCCTTTATAAGTCGACAGTTCATATTCTTCAAACGGTGTCCTTCATCCTGCCTGTCTTTAGTAACGGAATACTCGCAAACCACGCGAGAAGAGCCAACACGTACCACAATAATATATCGCCATTGGTACTGCCCAAGGAACTTCCGATCATTCATACATATCTCATAAGAGGTACAAACTACCGGGAAGTCCATGTCCCGCTGATTCTTCATATTCATCATCTTTCTTCGGATTTCTGCCCGCTCATCCTTACTCCCATGATACATCACGGTCTTGATGCTAGGAGTCCATCGAGCAAATTCATCCACCCAATTACTCACAGTACTAAGTGGGGCCGCAACCAGAAACGGTCCTGAAATGTTCTTCTCCTTGAAGAAAGCAATTAAGGAGATAGCCTGCACGGTTTTTCCAAGACCCATCTCATCGGCCAGAATTCCACACAGACCATTCATCCAAAGGGACTTCATCCACTCCAACCCCTCCAGCTGATACTTCTTCATAGTACCACCGGTAATCAATCCCGGCTGCTGCGTAGCAACCAGATCCTGTCCACCCAAAGCCGAGGGATTAGCCTCATACTCGTCCGCAGCATGTTCCAACGCCTCCTGGATGGTAGGATTATCCTCAGAAACCTGCACATCGGCCTTCTTAAAATAGCTGGAAATGGTGTTCGACTTCGCAGCCGCAGCAGGGGCAGCTCTCTTGCCTCGGCCTCGTTTCGACTTAACAGAACCCTGCTCCTCCGTCCTCGCGTTCTCAACAGCAACAGGCTCCTTCAACACACTCTGCCTCGCACTCGTACGCGTTGACCGCCTCCCAACAGGCTCCAAGGTAGGAGTAGGCTTCTTAGTCGCCTCCACTTTCTGCTCCTGCTGCTTGGCCGCCTCAAGCTTCGCCTCTTCCTGCTGCTTCTTCATTTTATCCGCCATAATCGCGACAAAAACCTACCAACACAGAGCGCCATCAGCAACAATTCCTCCACACTAAAACCGCAAGATCAGCCACATACCTCACTAGTACTCAACAAATGCATCAACGCCTTAGCCTGCACATCCATCTCCTCTGTATTCTCCTCCTCCTCTACATCCATATTCTCGGAAACAGATTCATGCTGATCAGCAATATTCGTCGCCGGCGAAGAAGGCTGTGTTGAATCTTGCCGCCCGCCGTCCTGGGAGTCCACGGGCATAGGCGCGTCAAGGTTCGACATATCGTCAGTGTTTTCACGTGTCTGATCCCAGAATCGTCCAACCGTTGCGTTCCAGATACTTTTCATGTCACGAATCCCCTGGGTGCTTGTCTTGGGTTGTAATGGTTGTTCAGGGGCGATGTTACCTCCAGTAAGGGTAGATTAGGCCAATGCACGCGTCAAAAACGGGACTTTTCAGCCGGTCATTTATATTCAGATGTATAAAGTAATGACGAGCAAAAGATAATGCGGTAAAGGAACAGAGGTGGTTTGGGGATGTGGTCGGTGGTGTTACTGGCGCATTTTGCCTTTGTGCAGTATGTATGTAATCTATTGCCGCTTCGGACGCGCAGATTTCGCGTCAACGCACGGATCAACTCTTGATTGATTTTAGTTCCGGCTTCCAGAACACGGATGGTCGTCGGGTATTGGCTGGAAGGTTTTGTATGGATATGGACCCGTATAGATTCTTACGGGTTTCTGTTGCAATTGTTGCTTTTCTTTTCTTTTTTATTTATGGTTAAAAATTCTTTTCTCTCTATTCTTTATCTAGTGCCGTGTCTCTAAACAAAGGGAAGGGATAATAACCGGAAAAGGGATTACTATTACAATTGCCGCCCTATTAGCCCATAATCATCCTCATCCCATCTGCGTTGGATGTTATCGCCGGAAAACCAACTCTTGAGTATGTGACACGTTCTGAGCGAAATTATTTGAAGATTTTAATAAAAGTAAGAACCGAGGGTTCTCCGCCGGACCGTTTGTCCCAGACATTGATCTTGTGGCATCTCAACATTGCCTAACCAGCAAGTGGACGACAATGCTATAGTCATCATCCTAACAGTTGGCTCGTCCAGCAGATGGAAGAACCATTTCATCATTAAGAGGACAAATTCCATATTCGCCTTGTTGAGCTGCTCGTTCCCCATTCGTCTGCACGATGTTCGCAACATCTGGCCAAGTAGGCGAGGAGTTCGAGGGGGCATTTGGCGAATACACAATTTCTGGACCAGGTATTCCTCTCGTAGAGCCATAGGAAGAAGTTTCAACCGAAGTAGCTGTCGTTGAAGATCTTGCGCCTTGGTTTAGCACCGATGCTCCATAAAGCTCGCCTGAGCTGCTGGGAGAGATAATCCTTCCGGAGAAGGTTGAAGAAGACCAACTTGTAGTTTCAAGACTTTGTATTGGGGTTGAAAAGGGCCCGTAGCCTCTGCACTCTGCAGGGTGCTGCGCTCCTGGTCTCTCTGTCCTTTCAGTTTCCTGGCGCGCCTCTTCCAACCTCTGCTGGAATCTCATAGAAGAAGTAGTTGGTTGGGGCTCGACAGGATCATATGGCCAATTCCCCATTGTTCTTGGTAGAGGCTGGGGTGCACTGTTCGATGTTGATCTAGGTCTTTGAGGAATTAGGGGATTGTATCTCTCTGTAGTATTCTGAGTAATCCCAGAACTCCACGAAGGCGGGTCATAGTAAACAGCATCGATGGGAGGGAAACACTTCACTAACTTCACCGGCTGAATGCAAGTTATGGGTTTGTCATCACGAATTTGGGCGGCTCGCTTGACACCAATCTTGAGACGAACTAATTTATTCTCTTGGAACGCCGGCTGGTAGCCATGTATAGACTGATCATAAAGAAGGTTCAACCACCTTGGGGCCGTATTCAAGTTACCTGTGCGTAGTTTCAAATCCGTCGGATTAGCAATCGACGCCGCCCCAATCGTGTTAATGAATATCTGCTTATTTGGGATCGAATGGGCCCTTTCCTTGGCACTGAGATCCATATATCCATCTGTTGTACCAGTTTTGAGTTCCATATATTGACCACGATTTAGCTGCGATTTCAGACCACTCATTTCCGGATCTCGTTCATCTCCACTGGCCTGAGGCGTAATGAAACAACTACCCCAGTCCCCGGCATATTTTGGATCCATGCCATGCTGGTACAAATATCTTCTGGCGTTCGCGACCTCACTAGCATGGCACAAGAGGTAGTCCGGCTTAGTACTTCTTTGCAGACGACCAGTGGCCTTTTGCGAGATCTTGCAGAAAACAAACTGATGTGAATCGTAGGAGTGCCTTAAACTATTGTCAATCTTCAAGAGAGCTCTAAGATGCTTCCTCCGCATAGACTCTAACTGCGAGTCTTCTCGCTCGAGTTGCTCATTACGAGCGGAGATATGCTCTTCAAGGTCATGCTGTTCTTGTAGGGACAGACCTAACTTATGGCATGCAGCGTTCCACCTATAAAAATTAAGGAGATTATCGAATATTTCAACTTGGATTCCAGGACACAAATCAGTCCACTTTGGCTCAGGGATCGAATGTACAGGCTAGGCGTTTATGTTTATTAGCGGAACTACCTCAAAACGTACGCCTGACCACCAAATGGAGGAAGAATTCAAGTCATCAACTTACCTCATGATGATGCTCGATATCATCAGCCTCCTCGGGAGTAATGTCGTTATCCGTGGATGATGATCCCGCAATGGCCATTGTGGCCATGTTTTTGACATAAACCGGATTCAAATCCCCATTACTTGCAATGTAGTTATCGATCTGATTGATTGGGATATCCTCGAGATCGACCCTTGCCTCTCTGTTATCCTTGATCTCACCATGATGCCTGGATTGATCGCGCCTTTGGTGTGAACAGGTCGAATGGGCAATCTGCTGTCCCTGTACGCTGTTATCAGCCCCCGGTACCGGAGGACGAGGAAAATTTATTGTGGGAAATGCGGCTGGAGGCAGGCTTTGGTTGAAATCGATGTATGGAGGGAGGATTGCATTTCTGCATTGGCGAAGTGGTCTTTGAACTAATGGTGTGTAAAGGTGCTCTGATTCATAGCGCTCAGGAGGCCGGATGCTTTCACGGAGTCGCATGGTGACTCTTCTTCACTTTCATGAGCGATAAGTCAGTAGGTTAAGTCTCGGCATGAGAGTACACTGAGAAATGTACAGGAAATGTTACTAGCAGGAGATAGTGATTGGGTTAAGTACCCCTGCTTAGGGGTAGCGAATAACAAAAATCATGACCATAGCTGAGTGAATTAACTGCTTTGTCGACATGAAGAAGTCACAACATGAAAGAAGGAAATTTCTAATGAACGAGTGAATCAGGACTATAGTTCAGACAAGGGATTGTCTAAGTCAAAGTCTGCTTTGTGTAGATGAATCAGATAAAGAGATTTGATTTCCCAGTAGTATTTGTAAAAATGACTATACGACCAGTTTAGTATCATGCGAAAGTCTCCGAGGGCATTAAATCTGTATTGTACAAAGCAATGAAAAGAGAAGGTGCACGGAGTTAAAGGAAAGAATTGGGCTTTGTTAACGTCATCCTCACGAATTCCACCATGGCGCTTATCACCATAAGAAATATCCAGGTTCTTCTAAAGGAAGCATGACCACTAGCGATCCTGAAATGGAGCTACAGGCTTTCTCTCAGAGGTTGCATTTCCATCTGTACCCATATCCATAACATCTTCCATAGCATCGTCCTCGTGTTGATGCGTAAAACTCCTTTTTCTGCACACAGTCCCTAGGGGGGCCATCAAATTCGTGTTGTCCAAAGCTGCTCGTCTGACTTCTTCGACATTTCTTTTGGCCATAATGATCGATTCAAACGATGCTAGCATTTGTTTCGAATCTTCATCTGCTTCAACGGAAAGCCGCTGCATATGAACCGCAGACACAGCGTGGTACAACTTCAGATTGAGCATTACCATCAGGTACGCTATTGGCACCAAGGCCGAATAACGGTTCCCAGTCTCACAAAATACAAAAATCTTTTTGGGGGGCCATTGGCTGGATGCTGGGGTATGTGAAGACGAGATATGGTCATTAATCAGCCGAATCACTCGAGGCAATATAGACACAAGATCATGAATATGGGAAATGTCAATAGTTTCGGCTTCAATTCCCAGTTCAGCAGCTGCGTTCTTGCCAGAGACGTGTGTCAATTTCGCATCTCGGACAGCCAAAAGTAAAGTAAAACCTTGACGCTCGAGCCATCTCTTATCCTTCACAGAGGGGTATTGACCCAGGTAGAGAAATGGCAAAATCTTTTGGGCCTCTCTGCGCATATTATAACGCCATTCCTTGTATTCGCCTTCGAGAGGGAACCATTCAGGACCAATTACTTCGAAAAATCGTGGTGGAACAAATTCCCCTTCAGGGAAGAAATGAGTAGCAGAGGTAACTGGCTCTAGAGGGGGAAGACCCCATTCAGATGGCACTGGGTAGGCAGGTTGGAGTAGCCTGCCGCCGCGAGTATATTGTTGAGTCCGAACATAAGGAGAATCAGTTTGTTGGGACATTGGGACCTCCATGGGACGAGATGGGTGAGCCATTTCTCCTTGCTTCTCAATGTAGACAGGTAGTACTATGAAGCTTTGGTAATATGTTACACACAGCCAGGATCCGGTCAGGGACTGGCCAACACACGTAGCGCCAATGGGAGATAGTAGAGAGCGTAATTCTCATAGATGAGCAAGGCTCAAAGTTTCGGTGCGTAAGATAACAACACTTTATTAGGAGGTTAAAGAATACAACAATTCCGCAAGATAAGAAGGGGCTTGTAAAGGCATTGTATCAATATATCAGAGATCAAAGAGCCGACAATGTTTCGTCTAGAAGTCGTGTTCGCCATTATCGCCGTGAAACTAAATACGATAGCTTTGTTTCGCAGGCAGCGACGACTCACTCGTCAGGCCGCAACTTGCATAAATCGCAGATGACTCAGCAATGCGCCATGATGGTCTTTTGTGTATGGAGTAGGTGGACAGCATACTAGACCGGACTAAGACTGGCGCCCACGCCCACGGCTAGTCTTAGGCAGGAAGGCGGACTAGAACTTAGAGCTTTAAGCAGCCGATCCAGTTGTGACCGCTACGGCGGCAAAGGCTCTCAGGCAGATCAGGTAGCAGTAGGCCCAGCAGGCTCTGAGGCCGCTGGTTCCTGAGATAGTCAGTACAGACTATTACCAATAGGAAATATCATCATATTTCCACTATTGTTATATTCCAAAGTGATTTAGCAATTTAATTTATATAGAAATCGGCTACAGATTGGATAGAGTTATGTATAAATGAGATTCTGCCGTTGCATAGTCCAGACCGTTTACTAGGTTAAGCCCATTTTCCCATTGCAGTATAGTGGGCTGTCCAAGTAGAATTCCAGGCTGGCCAGGTTTCAGCAAGTACCTTTGTGGACATAGGTACATACATAAAGCGGCATCGTGTTGACAGTCTCAACTTTCCAGGGGGGATCGTCTTTGAAGAACAAACATCACTCATCACTCATTCTATACATTCTAGTCCTGCCTGAGTCTTCCCCTCTCATGCCTTTCACATGACAGCATCATATGACTTCTATGAGACCACCCATCTAATCGGATCTAATCACTATCCGTATCAAACGCAGAGGACAGGCAACTCGGGGTTGAGTCAGAGATCGTAACATCTTGTTGGTTACGGGTTGTTTGGAGTCATAAGCGACTTAGCCTGTGCTCCGTTGTGGCGAATGACCTTCCAGATATCGCTGGATTACTATGCACTAGCCATCCTCTTGAGTCAGAAGCTGCATGGCTTAGACGATGGCTTCCATGTGAAAGAGAGACTCATACGCTTGGTAATCAGAACAAGTAATTTAATAAAGAATAACTCAATGGATCTTTCTGCAAGAGGGGTGAAAATTACAATCATGAGACACAGTAATCCCGCATACCATGCCTATCAGAACCCAAGTAGATGAACAACATGAGCTCAGCCGGTTTGATGGCTAGCCAAGCTTGTCAGGCCATACCTGTAGGCATGTATACACTAGAGAGCAATACAGTCTTCACCATATACGGGACTTGTTGACAAGAAAGTCACAACTGGAATCGATCCAGAAAGTCACGTCGTATGGGAGAAGAGATAAAAGGAAATGTTTGGAGCTGTTGAGACTAACAAAGGAGATGGGTTGAAAACGCCTGGGTATATTTCAGGGAATAGAAAGGGAGACAACCATAATAACACCGCCGGGTCCGTATTATCAACCTCGAGCAAACGCCAGATTCTTCAGAGCTGCCTGTCGCAAGCCACGCGTTCTGAGATGTAGATCGATCCATATAAACCTCCCACTGATGTTGTAGACATTGAACGCAAACCCAAGGCCCGCACTCTGCATGTGAAAACGCCCATGGAATGCAAGAAGAACATAAAAGCAAAAGAGGAGCAAATAATGAAGACAGACAAAAGGCAAAGAAAATAATAGAAAAAGATTCAAATCAGGACGCGCATTGCAAACTGATATTTCTCGTAAGACCGGCATGCTGAGCCCATCTAACCCTGCGATACTGCAGTCTGTGGAATCCTCTGTTGCAGCTCTGCAACAATTCTTTCCAGCTCTTCCAGTCGCCGATCTTTCATCTGGGCCTCGCGTCGCAGTCGTTTGATTTCGTTTCGTAGATCAACGCCATTTTCTTCTTCTTCAGGAATTTCAATGGAATCAATCGAGTCACGCTTCCGCTTGATGGGCGAGGTGACTGGGAGAGGCGCGGTACCGTCCAGCTCGGGAACTGGTACCATAGGTAGCTCTGACGCGTGGCCATTTTCAGTATGCATATGACGGCGTCGAAGATGCTCCTTCAGATTCTCTTGACGCGTGAATCCGTTACCTGTGCTGCGATTGCAGTCGGCATATGGACACATCAGTGGCTTTTTTGCATTTATGTTTTTCTTGTGCACTTCGCGCTGGTGTCTCAACAGGCCACCGGAATACGTGAATCCCTGAATCTTGTCACATCCAGGCTCCAGGCACTTGTAAGGGCGGTCATGTTTGTCCATGTGCTTGCTGTTGGATGGCAGTTTGGTTAGCTTCACGGGCACTCGCAGGAAAGCATGAAAAGGTACTTACTTCCATTCGCATGGGCGGCGGAACGTCGGAGGCGCGTGTTGACACTCGGGATGATCGCAATAAATCTGACCTGCAGGGTTCTTGGGTGGATCTCGCGCCCGTCTCACCGACAGTCGCGGACGAGCTCCATCCATGAAATTTGGAGACAGTTGGTCGGTCATCTTTGGTGCTGGGGAGATAGATTCTTGAGCAGTGACGAGGACAGTTACAGGCCCGCCAGGACCTTCGCTTCGTGGACTAGGATAATCAGACCCGTCTCCCATATCGTAGTGGACCCCGCCGTCAATTGAGATGAGGCGGGTTATTTGAGTAGGTGAAGGACGAGCGCGAAAGAAGGAATCGTAGAGAATCCGACTTCAGAATTCGGGGGTGTGAAAAGTACAGGGCAAATAGGAGTGGGTTAATATAAAAGCGTCGATTTCGTAGTTCTTCTCAGTGGCACACTGAAGAGTGTAGGTCCTTTACTCGGAAAACGGGGGGTGCCGAATTTTTCAGGTAACAACAAGGCATCCAGTTCCGCTAGTGACTAAGCATGAGAGACTTGGCGGCAACGCCACCCGATCCAAAAGTTTACGCTGAGGTGGGTATAGTGACAAAAACAAGACCATCAAAGAAGACCACTAATTATAATATATTTGCAATAAGCGCTTCAGCAAAAATAAATAAAAGAAGGATAAAAGAATAAAAAAAAACTTTGACCAAGAAGGTAGCCCTGCATACGTGGTTCGATGTGACTAACGAAGACGCGGTGTATTGTAGGTGCTGAATCACAGGAAGCGGCAACTGCGCAAAGATCCTTAAGCATAGGAAGGTATGGGGATCTTAGGCTTCGACTAATGAGTCATTCGTGAGGTTGATGTCAGGCAACCCTTATACTACCTAGGAGACTGATACATTAATCATCAGGTATGGGATAAGTTAAATACTGAAGAATATTGGATTGCACGGTGCATTTCTGGTTATGGGCATCCGCCACAACCGGATTCCGGCCTCATCGTTGCCTGCCAATGAAAACCATGGCACGTGGCTAGAAAAGAGTGTCTCAGCCACACCGCCACCGATCAACCACCGACTTGTTTCGTAATGGTAAATGCCCCTTCCATACATACTCTAGCCAACGACCGTATGCCGTTTGAGGCATAGTTTCTCCTGCAGGTTACTCGTACCCTGCCGAATTAAGATGACCAGGCCACGTCGGGACTACCGAACAAATATGACCTCATGGAGGATCGGTACCTTAGGTACCCAACCGTTGGCCCAATACTACTTAAGTTATTATGGAGAACCGCCTGCATCAGGCGGACAGTCGGTGCCTCGTCAATGTTTTAATGATGATTGGATTATCTGATCAAGGCGAAAGCAATCAAGGCATGGTTTAGATGATCCAGCAGTCGACTAACACTACCTATACTTTCTATACTATGTCCATGCGAGGAGGGGAGAAGTAAATACGAAGTACACATGTGCACATTACTGTTGATTAGACAGACTTTTGTATAGGCTCCACCAAGTGTTAGGTTGTTATGCAAATCAGTGCCCACTTTTAGACGCCTTGATGGACCAACTTGACACCGCAATTTGACCTCTCTATCGCTGGGTCTATCTTGTGTCTGTCTGCCTGCGTAGTACTTTGTTCTATTTTATTCTGATTTGCCCTCTTTTTCTTTGACACATCCTTTATTTATCGCTACAACATAAAGTAGTAAGCACACCTAGTCTCGTCAGCCACACATCCATGAAAGCCAAGCATCATGCCAAAAAAAAAATAAAAAATAAAAAATAAAAATAAAAATAACCTTGTGTACAGACAAGAACAGGCACCACCGTTATGACAGATAATATTAGAACCATGTATGCACCTCAGACCCTAGTACAGCCTTTAAGGATGAATAAGGATGGACGATCCCCCAGTGGCGCAGTTTTGCAATATCAGATTCGGCCGCGACTCCCGAGCTGCATAAGCCAATCCTACTAATTGTTCTCAGCTACTGCTGGACCAATGTAATCCGGCGAAGAAATGAGAATAGATCAATCGCTGTCCGTCACACTGTGGCTGAGTTGGCGGAGTTTACTTCCTCAGCTGCGATCGAGGGTCCTACATACAAGAGGTTCTGCAGTGACAAGCTGCCAGGATGAGAAATCGTAGATGCCTACTTCTACCATGCAAGGCGCTTTAATCCACTTGTCTACAGCCACAAAATAGCCAACTCTATCGGAACTAACAAGGCCACCGTAGGGTGTCTTGGGCCCACGGTGAGGTGGAATGACAAAGGCTCAGCTGTTGAGTACGTGTCCCATACAAGAAATGTATTTACGAATGAGCGACAATAATCTGATTTAATCTGCTAGAACTAAACGGCATAGTTAGCAACGAGTGATAAGACAAGTCCCCAGCTGACGAAGGTCAAACGGCGTATACAGACATGTAGGAGTAAACAAATTGCTTTCTCTCCACATTTGTAAAGATCAATATCGCCATGACTGACGATGCCACAAGGAAGGCGGTGCCAGTGAAATAGTCAAAAATATTGAAATAACTTGAAAAAAAAGGTAGCATCTTTAGGAGAGCCCATTCTCACCCATTAATGCGTGAAAGTATTGAGCACGGCTGTAGCCTGAGAGTAGCCAGAGAAATATGCATGCAAGCCGAACGACACCTCACTAATCCTCCGATGAAACAGCTTTTGACAGCTATCGATACATCAAAAGGACGTTGTGAGCCAGACCACTACCGCACCCCGCGTTGCTCCACGGAGTACCATATTCATGCTAATGATCTTAAATCTGATCACTCCCACATATGGCACATAAATTGCTTTCGACCACTGAAATGGCAACGGTTATATCTCGATATAGATATACGTATCAGAGGAGACAAGTTCGAGGCTCGAGAAACACCCCTACCCCATTTCTCATCATATGGCTGAGACATGTTTGCATTGATGCTACCCTGAAGGTACGGGTCTGTCGAGTCCAAAGAGATGGTCAACAGCTCGAGCGGTCTCTCAGAACACCGAATTATGTTTGAGTGACCTAACAGTGCTGCAGATAGTCGTATCCCGAGTTATGTGAGAGCTGCAAGGTTCTTTGCCACCCTGACTAGCGTAATAACGCAACGTTACCGTAATCAATCGTAGTTGCCTCCCACCTGGCTTGCAAATGCAGTAGAAACGCTGCGTGTATCGTCGTCATCAATAATATGACCCGGAACACCACGAGTGACACGAATACTTGCAGAGCTTCCGCCGAAGATGCTACCATTATCAGCGACGCCGGGTTTGTAAGGCTCACGACCACCGGATTCTACATAGCGTTTCAACCGGTCGGATTGGCTGAGACTGGGCTGCTTGCTCATATCGTGGATGCTAAGACCGGCGAGACTAACGCCGCCCTGGTCAACACTCTTACCATCAATGATGCTCGCGGTAACGTCAGACTCTGTCGCCGCGATAGACTCCCCAGCAATGCTAGGCGCTCCCTTTCCTCTGTTGCCATTGGCCCTACGAGCTCCTGGAAGGGCAGGCCAAGAGTCTGTGAAGTTCTGAAACATGGGAGGATATCCAGAAGGAATACCGACACCGCCAAGGGCAGAAGAGTGGACAGAAGAAACATCATCAGGAATATAACCTATCACTGAGCCAGTATCTTGGAAGTCGTTGCGTTGTCCATTCCGTCCATTCATCATTCCACTGGTCACGCTAGAAGCGTGGTTATATGCCATCTGGAATCGCTGGGGTCCTCTGTATGCTTGCTTAGGACGGCTGAACTGTATAAGGGATTCCTGAAGATTGGACAAAGGCCCTTCAACCAAGCAGTGCCGCTCTTTGAAGTGCTGCAAGAGACAGTTCCACAAAGGATGCTTGGATAGCACCTTTGGGTTACCAAGAATGGCCAAACCATACTTCGCTCGTGTAAGCGCAACATTGAGACGACGCGGATCGCTCAAGAACCCAATGCCTTGATGGTCGTTTGAACGCACACAAGAGAGGATAATGAAATCCTTCTCTCGTCCTTGGAACGCATCCACGGAGGCGACCTCGATTTCCTTGTAGTGTTCCTTCTTAAAGGTACCATTTGCCTGCATGGAGCTGACGATGTAGCTACGCTGGCCCTCATAAGGGGTGATGATACCAATGTCTTGAGGTTGTACGCCGGCCTTGAAGAAGCGGGTAACGATCTTCTCCACGTTTGTCGATTCTGTACGGTTGAGATAAGACGTACCGGAGGCGGAAATTTCCTCATTGCCCAAGTTCGACCAGAACATCATGGGATTGTCGCTGATGGGCCAGGGGAAGTCAACATCACGACGAAGGCGCTCAATGGAAGAGATACCGTTCTGCAAGGAACCCTCGTAGAACATATTCGAAGGAAATTCCGAGAGACAAGGGTGCATACGGTACTGAACGTTCAGACGAATAGGGGAGCAACCTAAGATGACAAGACGCTCGAAAAGAGACTGGTTGAGACCTGCCTTAGCTGCTTTCTTGTTCATGATGACGGGCCCAAGCTGCTGGTGATCGCCAACGAGAACAACCTGCTTGCATCCTAGAACTAACGGAATCATACACTCTGGTTCTGCTGATTGAGTAGACTCGTCGATCAAAACAGTACGAAACTTGAGTTTCGCAAGCCGAGGGTCACCGGCACCGACACAAGTGCAGCAGATAACATCAGCGTTGTTCAAAATCTCCCGCTCCGCCGAACGAGTGAGCTGCTTCAGCCGCTTTTCGTCTTGACTCGACAACTCCCCGAGTTCAGACTTGAGTTGATTGAGCTTCAAAAGCTCAATATTGCTGTCGTTCAAGCGAACTTGCTCATGCAATGACAAGAACCCAACAGGCGATTCTACATCCTCACGAGATTTGGCCGTTACTCGCACTGTCTTCAGACCGGTTCTGTGAATACGCTCACAGAGTTGATCCACAGCAACATTGGAAGGAGCACAGACTAAGACCTGGCCACCATTAAGCTTAGCGAGATGATAAATAATCGTTGCAGAAGTAACGGTTTTTCCCGTTCCCGGGGGGCCTTGAATAAGACTCAGAGGCCGTTGTAGAACGCTCTTAACCGCGTTGATCTGACTACCATTCAGTTCTGGCAGACCAGGGACACTGAACTTTTTCGGCATTTGTGTCTTCATTGGTGCAGCTGCGACTTCGTGACCAAGAAGGCGATGGAAGATATACCCGGAAACACTCATTTCATCAACTGCAAACGTCTTCATAGCGAGTTGCATACGGTCGAATGAGGTAGACTTCCACACATAGTCGGCAGTAAAATTATGCGTGCACTCTGTAGGCACTGACTTGTGGTCGCCCTTTGCTCGCAATTCGATAGTGACCTCATCAGATTGGTTATTCGGAATCTTGATGACATATCCAACTCCTTCCCATTTGGGGCGCAGTTCACCAGTATACTTCAGCCGCATTTCATCTCCTACGGCCAATTTAACATCTCCAAGCTCAAGCTTTGGAAGAATAAAACTAGCTAGATGCTTGTTATTGAGACCAAGGTCCCAGCGCACAATCAGACCATCCTGCGACTGAGACTCCTTCAGTTTCCGGTCGTAGTCCGCTTCAATCTTGACGAGAGGTCCGAAAATGTTTTGGTACTGAAAAGCGTCGTCATATCGTAAAAGAACGGGAGCAGGTTCGTCATCTACAGCAGTGGCCTTCTCAAGATCTGAAAATGTGGCCTGGGAGTTCTCTTTCCACATTTCCTCCAGTTTTGCAATGAGCTGAGGGCTGAGGTGGCGAGCTCGAAGCTGCTCCTGATCAGATGGCGCAGCTACAAGCCACGGCAGAAATGAGCGATCTTCAATAAGTGGTTGCCAGCGTGAAGTGTCCCAGTTCATATCCTTAGACGATGGCATGGCGGCACAAGGCTGGCGGCATAGTAGAACGACGACCGTATCAGACTTGGCTGGAATGAATCCCAGAAGAAAGACATTCTTAGTTCCGCAGTTATAGCACTCCAGGATCGTATCACCAAGCGATGAAGCAGGGTGTAGTTGAACTTCCTTGTGTCGTGCTCGAACGAGATGGTTGACAATGTGGGAGGACGAGGTGTTTCCACGGGCGCTACAGAACCACTTGCTGCACGAGAGACATTTGACAACACTGCTTGGGTTGTGAATACCGCAATACCTTCCAGATGATCCAAGGTTAGCTTAAGCTTTGATCTAGCGAAACCGATGGATATGCCATGATACTCACGCGCATGCATGTGGTGGGAGCTCCTTTTCTTCCTCCGCATATCCTTGGTTTTCTGCATTCCCAGCAGCTGGAGCGCTGGTCGTACTCTCTAGGTCGTCATTATCAGAGCCCTCCTCGTCGTCGTCATGTCTCCGAGGGCGGAGACCACCAGTTATGCCGTCCAATTCCCGCAAATCATCGCCTAAAGCTGCCATTTTCGATCGGAGTCCAGATTAAGGCGTATTGCCCGGGAGGGGAAACTCTTCTAGCAAGGCGATAACAAGTTGAAATGAAAGAACTGTGCAAATCCGAAACGCCCACTCCACCACAATTCAGAAAAACGAGTCGTTCATACACGAACTTTACTAGAGTTTCGTATGAGGTAAGCTCTAAAGAGCGTAAAGGAAAAACCGGCCGTCCCCTATCGTTAAACGCAGAAATGGAGGTTGTAGGGAGACCTGTCTTGATTTATAAGACAACCCAGCGTGCCACAGTAGAGGGGCAATAGGAATGAGAGGCTTCGGTCGTCAGCTATGAATTCTTCTGTATAGAACGAGTGAGACTTGAAAATTACTCACATACTATCTTCACTAATCAACAACCGAGCCCTTAATTCACTACACAGCCCAACGAAAGTGAGTCGGCTTTTCCTAGATGGCAGGAAGTTGTAATTCACTGGACTCGGCGATTCGATGGTTTGCGATCGGCTCACTCGTTTGATTATCAGTCTATTTGCCGCCGCCAAATCGCACACAGTACGGTGGCCCATGGGGACCACTGACGCAACAAAAAAAAGTTGTCCGCCTTTAGGACAAAGCTTCAAACAATTTCTCCAAGACATCCATCCAGACAAAATGCTCGTACGTCTTAACCTTATTATGATTTTTGCTCTTTGCCATCAACCAGGAGACTTTTACTGACCTTCTTTTAGCGCCGTCAAGCTCGCGAGCGCCGAGATTATCTCTATCGGAGAGCATTGCTTCTCCGCGATGCCTCTATCGCAGAAAAGCGAGCCCAGTTGAAGGCTTCGCTAGCCTCCGGAAAACCACTGGATCCTTCCATCGCAGAGGATAAAAAGCTCCGTGAAGATTTCAAATATGACGAATCTTTACCTACATTAGACAGGAAGGATAAGAAGGATACCGATATGCTAGACCTTGACGACGAATATGCCCTCACATCGGGAATCGTCGATCCCCGCCCTATCGTTACAACTTCTCGAAACCCATCTGTCCGCCTAGGTGCATTCGCAAAGGAGATTCGTCTGCTTCTGCCAACATCCATTCGTCTGAACCGTGGTGGTCTTGTTATCCCGGATTTGGTATCTAGCGCAAATGCTGCGGCGTTAACAGACATGGTTCTCTTACATGAACACCGCGGAACTCCTACTGCGATGACCATTTCTCACTTACCCCATGGCCCGACAGCTAGTTTCTCGCTGCACAATGTCGTTCTTCGTGCGGATATTCCAAACGCTGCCCGTGGAACCGTCTCGGAGAGCTACCCCCACCTTATATTCGAGGGATTCAAGTCGAAATTGGGTCTTCGGGTGGTGCAGATCTTGAAGCACCTCTTCCCTCCGCGTGAGGCTGGGAAAGTTGGCAACCGTGTCGTCAGCTTCGTGAATAGAGAGGACAGCATCGAAGTGCGGCATCATGTGTTTGTCAAGACGAGCTATCGGGACGTTGAACTGGCCGAGGTTGGTCCACGCATGACCATGAGATTGTTCGAGATCCGTGGCGGATCGTTGGAGAAGGGCTCCAGTGGTGATGTTGAATGGGCTCTTACGCAGTACACCAGAACCAGCAGAAAGAAGGATTACCTGTGAACGGTTTGTCGGCAACAGCTGCAACAGCTGCAACGGCTTTGTGGCAATGTATCTCTACTTACGAAGACATAAGAAAAGTCTGTCTTGGCGCTTAAGGTGTTGGAAGGTTTCAAAAGGTTAGCATTTGGCTGTTTAACAATCACTGTTTACTATTGTATACCCGTCTAGAAGAACAGAGACTTACGTGTTTTGGATACGTATTCGCCGATGTTATATCTCTAAGCAATTTCCCGTATGTCAGGTTTATTTTCACTTTTATTGAGTTAGTCATTTTAGACAAAATGGTCACTATCAGCCAAGACTACCAATCTCATGGCGCTAAAGAATGCAATAGAGGCAAACTTCGCAACTTCAGACACTGAGGGTGCTCTCAACGTAATTCCCCCACTATAAAACCAACCCTGGCGAGGTTTGCTTGCAGAAATCTGGGTTTCAGCCCATGACTAGTCTAGCGCCACCACGTCCGGGTTACTCTGCGAGTGCACCAGCGCCGTAGACACATGTTCGGCGAAAGCATCATTGACAACTTCTGCCATCTCCTTTGATATCCTTCCCTGGGATTTGATCTCCTCCAACCAGCTGATCATCGGCAGGGACTACCAATCCTTTGGCAGAAGTATTCAGCACGCCATGTTCTCGATCCTTGATCGTCACTAGCCTCGCCACCTCTAGCATTCGGGGCTCTCTTGAGGAAGTCCATCAATAAGTTCCTGGAAATTTCATGGCGATACCAGCCTTCATGGGGTCGTGAAAGCCTTCCTTCACTACCCTGTTTTGGCGCTGGCGAGGTTCCATTTTCCCAACTCCTCCCTGTATTTTCTTCGAATGCAACTTTGAATGTCGATATGTCTGTTTCGAGATTGCCTCCACGTGGAGCTAGAAGTTGTGGCTCGGATCTTATTCCGATGCGACTATGCTTCTATTCAGTTGCAAAAGTTTGCGGTTTATTGTTCGATTTGTAGATCTGTTTCCAAGAAATCAGCATTGACTGAACAGGGAACGAGTGTTCTCAGATATTCAACTGACTGTAAGTTGAATTTTCTCGTTCCGCTTCGTGATTGTCTACCGAACAAGCGTTGCGTTGTATTTAATATGACTATTCATGTCCACGTAAACATGATAGCCCGTTATATATCCACTATATCAGCATTCCAACTAGTCATGCATGTGGAGCATAGGACACACATGTACTAGAGCCGGGATTCATCCCACGGCCTCCACCCAAAGAGCCTGTTCTCTTTACTTTCCCAGAGTCAGTACATATATCATGCTCTCGACGAAAGCATAAGCGCATATGTAGTCAGAGTACGAGAACATAGCTAAATACCCGGTTATTTACTAGCAGAGTTCTTTGCAGACTTTGCATGGGTCTTTCTGGCTCTCTCTTTTGCTGCTTTCCTCTCCTCCTTCATGATATTCTCGAGGATATAAGCCTTTATACGTTTAGGTGTCCGGCTCTTTGAAAGAAGGGAGTCGTCTAGTAAAAAGTATGATACAATCTTGACAGTACCTAGACGTTTGGCTTCCTTGACTTTGGGAAAATGTGTTAATGAAGTGAGCTTCCACAGGAGTGGATATGATGAGCCAACCAGGATTGATGTACTTCTTGTAGGTTTCTTTAGTAGTGATTAAGTGTCACATCTTGAGTGACTTAGAGTATTTTTCCCCATGCGCGTGTACCTATTGAGGGATCTTGCTAGCATTGTCGCCGAGGCTGCCGGCAGAGCATAATGTGACCTTCTAAAAAGATTTTCCCCATATTGAAGGTGCCAAAGTACGGCAGATAGCTGGGTAGTGTTGACAGAGCGGGTAGCTCTTAAGGGGAACTTATGGCTTCAGAAGCGACCAGATGGCCTGGGTGAGCTCCGTATTGGCTTATTTGAGTGGATGTACAGAAAGAAAGAACCGCTAAGAAAGGTTTCAATAACTCTCAAGATCATTTTAATAGAAGATGTATGCGTCCAGATGGCTTGTGAGAGTAGACAATCGTGGTTCAAAAACGCAGACCGATTAACAACACATCTAGTTTGAGGGTAGATAAAGTGAATGTTAACCCGAAACATGTATAATTGAGACTAAACTGGCAGCTGAAATTGAATTAGATTGATCATTTCTCGACGAGATAAAGGAAATTGAAACTGACATTGCCATATAGGTATGTCAAATTGTTGGTATCGGAAGAAGAGAAGTAGTTATGAAATTTACTGTTGAAGTCCTCTCACTGCCTGCACAAAGGCATGGATTTTACTTGGATCCTGAGCGCCATCCGACTCCACGCCAGAACTGACATCTACTCCAACAACCTTCTGACCGGACTTTCCTAGCGCCTTTATCGTGTTAGCAACGTTGACAGGGTCCAACCCCCCAGCCAAGATAACACGCAGACCAGCGTCGCTGTCTAGAACTTTTTGAACACCAGACTGATCGAGCAATTCACCTGAGCCTCCTGATCCTGAATCAAGTAGGGGTAACGTGTGGTAAGCTCTTCGTGCAATTCCGGTCTCCTCGAGGCCGAATTTGCGGATCACGGGAACTGGTATTAATCTAGCCCATTCCAGTGGTTCCGAGCCGTGCAATTGTACCACGTCGAGTCCCAGCTTTTGTTGCTGCGCCAAGATATACGACAATGGCTGGTTCTGGAACACACCCACAAGCAGGGCACGGTTAGGATGACGCAGGACACTAGAGGAATGATCAAAGTATTCAACTGATGCTGCAGTTGGTGCGCCCTGAGACAGTGTATCTGCATAAGGAACAGGCCGCTTCGTCGATTTCACCACCTGAGAAATGCGAAGAGCGACATCATCTGAAACGGTTCGCTTCCGCCCTTGGACCTGAATGATACCAATCAAATCAGCACCGGCCTCGATTGCAGCCCGAGCCCCCTCCTCAGATCGTGTACCACAGATCTTGATCAACGGTGAGGTTCGTGAGCCTTGGAGAGATTTCAGTGACGTTCCTCCAAGCAGCTCTGCAACAAAATCAGAAGTGTTAGGCGCTCGCATAAGCGCCTCTCCTACGAGAATAGCTTTGACTCCTTCCTTCTTGTAGGCCTCGACATCCTTCGGGCCAGAAATTCCACTAAGAGCGCAGACTATAGTGTTCTCCTTCACCTGGTCCATCAGCCGACTCGTAGTACCGAGGTCAACCTCGAAGCTCCTCAGGTCTCTGTTATTCACACCAATCACCTCAGCCCCAAGCTCGACCGCAATCTTCATTTCCTCTGGAGTGTTTACCTCGACGAGAGGCTCCATTCCTAGGCTCCGAGAGTAGTGATACAATCTTGTCAGAAGCTCGATGCTTAGCATTTTCACGATCAGTAAGACGGTATCAGCGCCCGTCAGACGTGCTTCGAGGATCTGATACTCGTCGAAGACAAACTCCTTCCTCAAAATTGCAGGTCGGTTGGCAAATCCTTCCAAGCTCTGGCGAACAGCACGCAAGTCGTCGATGCTGCCTTTGAACCATTCCGGCTCAGTGAGGACAGAAATTACACTAGCCCCGGCCTTGGCATACTCTCGAGCTTGGGCAGGGGCACACGCGTTCTCCGCAATCATACCTTTAGAAGGGGAAGCGCGCTTGATTTCAGCCATAAGTGATAAAGGATAAGGTGATTGTCTTAAACGAGCAGGAAATGAGATTTGTGGAGGAGCAATATTGAGGTCATAGGCAGCCTGAAGATCCGCTGGCCGTTGGGAAGGGATAGTCTTCTGAATGGCAACGGCAGCCCTGCGGTGGTCATATATCTTTTCGAGGATGGAAGTCTTCTTGTCTGCTTTGGGAGTGCTGTTCGAAGCAGCCGAACCACTTGCCACAGGGGTGACATTCTGCGAACTAGATTGCTTGCTGTTGCCTTCCCAAGTACCCGCTGTAAGTTTGAGAAAGTTCCTAAACATTCCTCGGCCATCCTCGGTGAGGATACTTTCAGGATGAAACTGGACACCTTCCACTGCAAGCTGCTTGTGTCTTACTCCCATAATGACGGTCTTGTTGCTGTCCTCACCTAGCTGAGCATATGAGGATACCTCCAGGCAATCGGGAATAGTTGAGTGTGTTCCAGCAAGAGAATGGTATCTTGTTACTGCGAGCGAAGCCGGGAGTCCTTCATAGGCACCTTTGCCGTCGTGTTTTATCACTGATGTCTTACCATGCAAGATCTCGCCAGTGACATCGACTTTGCCACCGAAGGAAGAGATAATGCACTGCTGGCCCATACAGACACCAAAGATTGGTATTTTACCGCTGAAGTATTGAATTGCAGCATTGCTGATACCTGCATCGGTCTCCGGATGGCCCGGACCGGGACTGATAACCAGTTGAGTAGGCTTTTTGGCGATCAACTCCTCCAAGGTTAACTCATCATTGCGAAACACCTTAACAGTGGCGCCCTCAAGGACCAAATATTGATAAACGTTCCAGGTGAAGGAATCATAGTTGTCAATGAGAATGACATTCGATGCGCTATTAAGTTGTGCGGCTTTAGTGGGATGGCGGGGGGAATGGTCAACGAGATCGGAGCCCGCCATGATGAAAGACCTGGAGAAGAGAGGTATCAGAGACAATCTAGTTGGGGATTAAAAGATACCATATGGGAGACAATAGCAAGGGAAGACAACAACTCACCTTTTTGAGAGGAGATGGACAGCGGATTGTGTTACGCGGGGAGTCTGACTCAAGGCGGTTCGGACTGCGATTCGGACTGCGATCCAACGTCTTTCCCAAACGGGCTTCTCTGTCAAACTGCACAAAATTTGGCCTCACCGCCCTGCACTAAACCCAGATAGGTATTGATTGTTGACCTCAGCCAAAAGTGCTCCTCGAATATTCTTAGTTCCCGCCTTCGGCTTCCTACTCTTGGTGTTTTTCCCTTCCTACGATTTCAACCTTACTTCCCTTTTCGCCTTTCAACTTGCGCTTACAAGCTATATCTCTCTAGGTCTTAGAATGATATAGCTGTTGCGCCAATGGCTCCCGTCCCGGAAGCCTATTTCCCGTCCCTGGACAAGTGCTTCTCCGGGGACGTCCAGCTTCTGTATGCGCGTTCGCATATGTGACAGGAGAATAACGCTAACTATGATGTCTCCTTAGATCCTGGAAGAGAGCTTTCCTGTATACATGCAACCCAGAAGATCACGTAGATGATACCGGCAGCCTCCATGCTTTCTTGTCGCACCCGGAAAGTGTCCAGCTTCTTTCAAGCTGTTTGAATGGATTCACCTCCCCTTCGGCGAAATCGAAGTCAGATTTTGAGTCGAAAACATCCGCTATCCATGCGGAGACGTCAACGCAAGCTACATATGACCTTAAGGAACTCAAAGCGGACGCCTTATGGTTAAGTTCGAAAGCCGGCATCGATGAAATTAGCGCCCTAAGAATAGCTGTTTTAGAATGGCAGAACCGCCCCGCTACACGTCTCTTATCTGGATTTGCGGAAGAGGAAACTACAAGCTTACAGAGTGCTACTGGTGTCGAGAACTTTCGCGTGTCGTTGGCCGGGCCCAGCTTTTCTGAAATTTTCAGTCAAAATGCAGGCCGTGAGATAAATGCCACGGACTTTGTTTCGGAAGGAAATAGGCGACTACGTCTGCGAAATATTTATTTATCGGAAAGAACACATATTATAAAGACGGCTCGCAAACTGTTCGCTCTCTTTCTGCATAGCAAAACCGACGATTATGCTCCTAAGAAACCCGAACAAAACCGAAGCGAATTGCTGTGTCAGTTGGGGGCAACAGTCTTCAAAGGAAAGCTTGCCGGCGAGGACTGCTGCACTTTCATTCAAGCATGCATTAAAGCTGTTGAAAGTCGACTTTCCGCTTTGGAAGGAGAAGGTGGCTGGTTAGGAATCACCGAAAGTAGTGAAGCCGTAGAAGATATGTGGAGGACGGCCCTGGTCGAAGAAATATTGCACATCGTGCAAACTTTATTCTTACAGCTACAGGCATCTACAGAGCTTCCTTCCGCCAGCGTTTTTCTGTCATGGCTACGTCTCATGGGTGACTACAATTTCCTTGAACCCCTCCAAATAGTGAGTAGTACTTATCCTGATATTACTTTACTATATGCTGACCCTTTTAAGCCATGTCAAAATCCCCAGGAAGTGCTGCTACCCCTTCAAGCTTTTGTGAGCTTGACGACCCTTGCGTTTATGAAGCTACCGCTCACCATTCCCTCCATCATAAGCAAAAACCCGACGCAGGAGTCTATTCCAAAGACGCCATATTTTCTCTCGAAGGATGAGATCGGTCATCTGAATGAAGCCTTTGTGTCTGCAGTGGTAGATTCCAAAGTTGCAAACCCTGCGGCATTTGCGTGGGGACTGGTTTTAAATACTATGCGGGAACTGGCACTTAACGACAAAGAAACTCGGGAGTTAGAGCAGTTCCACAGCGCAGTTGACTCGTTCCAATCAAATACTCCTCATTCTAACGCAGGCGGAGCATCAGAACTGACACTTTATGAGGAATTGTTAGAATGTGCACGATCTCCGAAGTACACAGCTGATGATTCCATAGCTCTTTTGACCTCGGATGAAGTGAAGATCATGGCATTCGAAATTATTATGGACCTAGCCACGAAGGTCGGGTCTACATCCGCCGTTGATGATGTGTTAACGAACCGTTGGGCTCGAACGGTGCTCCTTGATCTGATTCGAGTAGCAGTGGTATACTTAGATTACTCCCCCGAAGTTGTGGAATCCGTGCTGGCAATCCTTGTGGGCTCATCTACAGAAAATTCATGGCCCACGAATAGCCTGTCCGCGCCTTCCAGCGACCCACGATCAGTTTTTATGAAGGATGATCTCTTAATGGACAACGTCTTTCGCATAGCCCGGTCACGATTTCCCTATGAAACGGTGCCATTTTTGAAATTATGTCGCGCTCTGATCAGCAAAAACCTGATCAATGATGAAGGAATTCCCGAAATCCTCATTGAAATGGAGAATATGGACACGTTCACCCAGGCCGTGCCACCCGATTTTCAAGGCTACGAAACAATCCGGGAGGATGAGAACGCAAATTTCGTCACCCTCGTTGAATCCCTTCCAATGATCGGTCCGTCCCCTCGAAGACAGTTACTCGACAACCAAACCAGTAATGCTTTGATTGTCACCGGTTCATCTCAAGTTCCGTCTACGACAATTGGGCAAGTGGTATCCGAGTCGAAACCGGCTGTTATTATGTGGCAGCATCAGTATTCTTCGTTAAGCTACCTTGGAAGCTGGCTAGAGGAGTGGAATGAGAACGGAGGGTATTCAGCGGGATGGGGAGAAGACTCCATCACAGAAATCATAGGGCTCTTTGCAGATCTCCTTGTCACTTCTAAAGGTACACAAATTCAGAATAACGATGACTCAGGTGCTAAGAGAGTCCTGGAGATGGCGAGCGATGGGTTATCGCGTCAAAGTGACATAGTTTCAGTGATACTCGATATTCTCGAACGCAATTTGTCGAATATCGGCCCTAGGGCAGTTTCAGAGATCATTTTGGACTCTACTATTGCCTGCCTGCGTTTTGTTACTGCTCTCCTTGAAATCTTGCCTGGCAGGGTATGGCCATTTCTGTCTCGGAGCAGCCTACTTGGTTCTGATGGGAAGAGCGGCGTTATGACTGCTGTCATCTCCGCTCTGGAGGTTACGTCAGGCGAGTACCCTTTCCTCCTACGCTGCGTTCGTTTATTCGAGTCTGTTGTCGACGATGCTGTCACTCGTGCAGTACTGAGGAGAAACCCAAATAGCATCATGGGCAAGACAGCAGCTGTTTCTGATTGGACTGCTGGCGTTCCCTCTCATATGATGAGGGGAGTCATGGTAAACTTCGTTCGAGTAATGGTCGAGGTGTATAATAGCAGTATCAATTGGCGCTTTAACGCTCCGGAGCAGAGCTTTGAGATAAACACCACACTCGCGAAGACATTCGAAAGGATACTCTACTATGCTTATGGCACGAATGACACCGCTAAACCGGACACGAAAGTTACTGGTGTCTTCTCCTCCTCGGCAACGTATCTCTTAGATGTTCTACGGCCACACTCAGCAGACGATCTGCCGTTTAATCCAATCCTTCGGCTCATCGTTGACGGGCTTCAATCCCCGCCCACGTTGTATCTTCGGTACTTGATTCTGGTAGAGAAACAAGTTAATTCAACACTTGCGCTCACAGCCAGACTCCTACAAGCCGCCCAGCTGCTCGAAATGCCACCATCCTTATTAGAAGAGCAACTATTCAAAGCAGCCCCAGTCCTCGTGAAATTATACGCACTGCACGACGCCTACCGTCTACCTATTCTGTCACTTCTCAACATACTTATCACGGGTGCAATCTTAGATTCCGATAAAGAGCCCCCGTCCTTAGTTGGTCATCTGGGAGCTGAATCGTCTTGTCTTTTCCTTGATGTTCTATCACAGTTTGACAAACCATTAAGTGACCGGCACCTACATTTGGGAATCTGGCAGCTACTGTCGGCATTTGTCACCAAGCGTCAGCAGTGGCTCGCGGTCTATATCCTTACAGGATCGTCACCTCGTCAAACTCTGAAGAAGGCCGATGATCAAAAGGTGCCGGCTATGAAAGGAACACCGTTCTTGAAGATTGCTCTTGACACTCTCACAAACATAGAGCAGGTTGATCTCCAGGTAGCTCTTGCATTGCTGGAGTTTGTCTCTCATGCCCAGGAGTGTTGGCCCTGGGCTACCTCTGAATTGAGAAAGAATTCTCAGTTTTTCTCCAGTCTCGTGAATTATGTTTCGAAGCTGAAGATACCCTCATTATCTGTGATGGATCAGATCTTTACCACGCGTATTGCTGCTGTTGTTGCTGATCTATGCACCGTATATTTACATTCTGCCAAGGAAATGCATGACCGGACTTTTTATAAGACCTTGATTCCTCTCGTTTCTTGGTACGCGAAGGATGCAGTAGAGGTTTCGGGATACAATGCCTCGCTACATTCCAACTTAAAGAAAAACTTTGAGATGAGATACTCAGGATGCAAGCTAGCCGATTTCAAAAGGACTTCTTTGCAGCCTCGCACTCTGGGGCCTGATTATTGTTATGACCTTCGCTTAGGCGAAAAACTTCTTTCTTACGATTTCGCATGGGCAGGGAGCCGAAATCAAGGGTTCAACCAAGAGTTTGAACGGGCCAATCTCAATCTGTCGCTGGTCGAGGCTAAAGTGGTATGTACTCATGCAATCATCATGTGAATAAGCTCTAACATTCTGCAACTGTAGTCGCTCCTCCATAGTTGGAAGTTCTTCGCCATCGAGCATTGTGCAGATTTCATGACGGATCGTGAGGTTCAGAAATCGATGGCTGTGGTTGTACAGAGATGCCTCGAAGCTAATATAAACGGCGTCCCACAAGAAACTATTTTCGCACGTATTCAACAAACCCGAGTGGATTTTGCTCAAGCTCTACTCCAGCGACTCGTCGAGATTGGATCCCGAGGTGCTGAGGTGTTTGGTCTCCTTGGGGTTGTGTGGGATGCATTGCGCTCTCGCCGCGCAACCTATGAGGATGCATTGATAAACGATGACATCGAGTATTACCGGGCCCTTCTCAACGTGCTCTTCCTTGCCCTTCAGTTCCATCTTGATTTACCTTCACGGACCACGCCCGAAACGCTCAGTAAGAAAGCGGAAGTATCTTCTGACTTGGGGCTAGTCGTCGAGATAGCAAAGACAGTGGTCGCTCAAGGATTCAAGTCTTTGACTGCGTACTTGCATGATCAGCCAGAAAAATGTGCTCCGAAGGACTTTGCCCTTTTAACGGCCATTTTACAGAGTTGCTTGCAGGTGAAGAATGTTGATCGCATATACGAGCATATCGTTTACCACATCGCAGACAATGACACAGCCCGTCATGCAACTTCGCTATTTTCGTGGGCTGATCAATTGGCCATTGCTGGCGATCCCGTCTACGGCGAACTCAGTATCTCTTTTCTTGTGAAACTGTCGACCATACCCATGCTAGCAGAACACCTCGCTGTCGAAGTAGTTCTAGTCCGACTCTCTACAAGCCGCCTGACAAACGTCCTGCGACAGCCCAAGGGCTTTGGTCCCTTCGATCCTCTACCCAGGCTGTATGCCATCTGGACCGGCGGTATCCTTCCACTGTGTCTAAACCTCCTTTACCATGTTATTCGTACAGCGCCCGAAGTAGCAGCCTTCCTCAATCAGTTCGAGGGTCAACTTATGCGGGCAGCCGAGGTCTTCGCTGCCGACCGCACAGGCGGGTCTACGGCCCGACGCATTTGCCTGAGTATGACATCCGAAGCATATTCACTAGCACTAATCTCCTTCATGCTTGATCGATTCCGCGAAGCCGGGCCCAGCGCCGGGATGGATGCCGAATCAATCCAGGAGCTCAAATGGGACAAATCAAAAGTCAAGGAAGACATCGAAGACCTCCTAGAACGAAGACAGCTTCTTCGAGCCCGGATTGTGGCCACCAGCGAAAAAGAAGTAGAGCTGTTGCGCCAGAAACCGGTGAATGCTCCATCGTCCGGGGCTGAGAACCGACTAGAGGAGAGGATCGTGAGTGGGTTGAGGGCAGCGCTGGTGTGTCTTGGAGGAGAGGAGGCGTAATGAAGTTAATGTATCCATCCCTCCCATGTTGTGCAATTTCAAGGTGTCTATGTTGGTTGTTTCTTGTCCTCTTCTCTTCTTCAGTGACTTGTTCAGGGTTGTCTTGGCCTATAAGATCTAGCGTGATGATTATGGTAGGAAAATGGCAGATTGGGTGTAGAATTTTTTTTTCGAATATTTTATTCACTCCATACAATACGGATTGAACATATCACTCACATACATCCCCCATTTTTTTCTCGTCTTTATTCAAGATCTTGACTGATTGATGTATTTCCCCGGATAAATGGGTTATCAATGCACCAATGCAAGGGATTCGATCCCACCAACCAAGTCACGCCCCCAACACCCCCTCAACGGTGTCACATATTTCCAGGTGGTACAGTGCAGCAAAGATAACAAGACCCGAGGTCATGGTCCTCTACTTCCTCGGGATCTTCGCGCGCGGCAAACCTGATTGGTAGCCAACGTGACCGACCCCAGATGCGGGGAAAGCTTTAACTTGGCTTGTATGAGGTTGGGGTTGGTTTAAAGGAGTTATGCACAAAAGCAAGTGGATAAGTTATTCACTTGGACGTTTGCTGAGGGTGTCTGAATTTTGGGGGTTGCATGATTGAGTTAGTTGGTTCTGTGGCTTTGTTCGGCCTTTATATACCTCTGAATGGGCTGCTTCTCTTTGCGGTGTTCGCAAAGTCTTCTATTGTTTTATCACATACTCGGCTTGTCTACCACTTGTTGGCAGCATTATCGTGTTGTTTCTTCATAGTTGAAGAGTATTTTATTTTTGTTTTTCTGAAGAGATCGTCTAAGAGTTCAAGATGCCTTTCAGGTCTCGTTGGCAGACGGATATCCCGGATGCGCATTTAGCATCTCTGCTGTTCACGTCGCCCACTCACCCCTTGTCTAAGACACACAGGTGCTTTTCTGAAGCGGCCCGTCCCGACACCCATTACTTCACCACCCATGATTTCCGACTATGGTGTCAACGCTTCGCAGCAGGATTGCGGAAAGCCGGTCTCCAGACCGGAGATCGGGTCTTGCTCTTCTCGGGCAACGATCTCTTCTTCCCGGTCGCCTTTTTGGGGATTATCATGGCGGGAGGGATCTTCTCTGGGGCTAACCCCACCTATGTTGCGAGGGAACTGGCATACCAGCTACAGGATAGCGGTGCGATGTATCTCCTTTGCGCTGAAGGCAGCCTCGACACGGGTATTGAGGCTGCGCAGGTAGCAGGCTTGAGTCGGGACCAGGTGTTTGTGTTTGACAATGCCATTTTCGATAAACAGGGAGAGGGTAAGAAGGGTTGTCGCTATTGGGGTGAGCTGGTGGCGTCCGTGGAGGAAGGAAGCCGGTTTGTATGGGACGATTTGGCGACCCCGGAGGAGGCCAACCGTACCCTTGCCCTTAACTATTCCAGTGGAACAACGGGGAGGCCTAAGGGGGTGGAGATCACTCATAAGAATTATTGTGCGAACATGCTCCAGGCTAGCTATTCATTCTATTTGAATCCGGACTGGAGGGAAAGGCAGGCCAGGGCTCGGTGGCTCTGTTTCCTGCCGATGTACCATGCGATGGCCCAGAACATTCTGATTGCAAGTGCTCTGCACCGTGGGACTCCTGTGTACATTATGCCCAAGTTCGACTTCCTCAAGATGCTGGAATATACGGAAAAGTTCCGCATCTCGGACCTTCTTTTGGTACCACCCATAATGGTTGCTCTAGCCAAGCATCCCGCAGTTAAAAGCGGCAAATATGACCTCAGTAGCGTCGAGGCCATTAACAGCGGCGCAGCGCCATTGGGAAGGGAAATCTGTGAGGAAGTGGAGGCGCTCTGGGAACCTGGACGGATCAACGTGAAACAAGGCTGGGGGATGACCGAGTACGTTGTATCCTGTAGTATCTGTGCGGTCCTCTCAACGAAGCAGCATATGCGAGCTAACATGGAAGCTTCTCCAAAGAACCACATGCTCAATAATGGGCTGGAATCCTACTGACATCAGTCACACGGCGTCAGTTGGAGAGCTGAACCCCAATTGTGAGGCGAAGATTATGGCTGACGACGGGGTTACCGAGTTGGGGCGCAACCAACGGGGTGAACTCTGGGTCCGGGCGCCGAATATCATGAAGGGCTACTGGCGAAATCCACAAGCCACGAAGGAGACCAAGACGGACGATGGATGGCTGAAAACGGGGGATATCGCGTACATTGACGACGAGGGGAAATTCTACGTAGTGGACCGAAAGAAGGTACGTCGTGCGGCATTTAATCCGTAATTGCCACTTATGGCGAAAAAAAAAGCCTTTGCATGCATCCTTCTAGAACTTATGCATACGTTGACTAACAGATTCCGCTCTAGGAGCTGATCAAAGTGAAAGGCAATCAAGTCGCACCGGCAGAGTTAGAGGCCCTCTTGTTGGAGCATCCTGCAGTGGCTGATGCTGCAGTTATTGGAGTCCCAATGTAAGCAATCTATTCGTCTCTTTGGAGATTGATGCACGATCAGGAACAGCTCACGATACACTGACGCCGAGTAGGAATGATGATGAGCGCCCTCGGGCGTATATAGTGTTGAAGCCTGGACAGAGCGCCTCGGCGCAGGACCTTATCGCATTCGTGGACGGGAAGGTCTCCGCTATCAAGAGGATCACTGGCGGGGTAGTGTTTGTTGATGCGATCCCAAAAAACCCTTCAGGGAAGATCTTGCGAAAGGTGCTTCGAGACCGCGCTAGAGAGGAGCTGGCCCCAAAGCCGAGTATCACCGCAAAGCTATAGGTCACAACTCTCCGTTTGCCTCTTTTACCTCTTAGTTTTTCGCCCCGACTCGGTCTAATGTAAGTCTAAGCTTCCATAACCTGATTGGTGGGGCAGCCGACTTTTAGCAGCATGCATTGAAGAGGACCTGGTTGTTGGGTCAAACGGGGGAGGAATGCTCAATGATATACTTGATAGAACAATCCGAGTGGATCAAGGTTGAAAAAAGTCCATCCCTGTAAATTAACTGGCGTCAAAAAAGCCACGGAGACTTGACGCCACAGTTGATCATCAGCTTTTCCGCCACACTGACAGGATTTGTCTTTATTTCTTTTGCCAAGAGTAGATCTAAGATACTAGTGAGTCAGTAGTCTCAGTCGCCTCGGTGGAAGGAATAGGCCAGGGCTAGCACAGACAATCTAATGGAGATTATTGCCGAGGGAGAAGAAAGAGGGGAAAAAGGAAAAAGAAAAAGGAAAAGAAAACAAAAACAAAAAAAAAGGTTGTTCGTGCTAAGGAAACTGTCAAGGGACAATCGTCAGAGAGGCCAACGGCGAGAAAGCAAGGGGATCATCACGCGTGGATCCCATGGCTACCTGATGCGAGACTAGTTCCGTTTCTCCTGTCAATATACTTGGAGATATGCAAACCGACCTAGATCTGCAGACGATCGGATGATGGGCTGAGCTGAGAAAGAGAGAGAGAGAGAGAGAGGGAGGGAGAGTTGTATCCTAAAAGGGACTGGCTCAACCAATATAGAACAGCAACAGCAACAATTCAAAAATCATTTATTTATTCAGTACAAACTAAATGGGTCGCGGGGATTAAATTGGAACCTTTCCGGGATAGGGGATCAAGTCATACAACTTGAACTTTTTCCAAGAATAAATTATTATTATAATTATTATTATTATTATTTTTACTTTTATTTTTATATACATTGATTGAGACATTCCGAACAACTTCACCCCCACTTCCTTGGACCGGAATTTCCACTTGCTATCGGCCTTCCGCCGTCATCATCGAGATCGAGCCGCAACCATTTTAGTGCCGATAGCCAGCCTTATTTAGAGTCCTTGGAGGATGGCGTCCCTCGCTAAGTGCGCCTAACGAACTAGCGGGAGAAGCTCCTCTGTTTAGCCGGGACCGCGGAGGGTGGCGCTCTTTCAGGGCAGCTGAACCTGCCTTGCCTATTGACCTTCTTGCCGCGTTCTTGGTCATATCTGGCCCTCGATTCGTAGTACAATTCAATCTCCGGGTTGGTCCTGTTTTCTCATGGGTCCTTGTCTACCGTTTAACATCTCGTGGCTGGTTCTCGCGCAGCTGGACTTCCCCCTCTTACCAACTAAGTACTAAAGCGTGCTTCAAGAATGGCTGCATGACGCAGGGTTGTATAGGTGTGCCTGCATGGTGGAGTCTGTCATTTTACTGGAATACTTTTTAGAGAGTAGCAATTCCCTCACTGGGTCCCTCTTGAGACGAAGTGTTATTTTCTTTTTGATTCAAGTACCTCTGCTGGGCATGGCCTGGATTATAAGAATCCCTGTATACCGCTCATAGTTATAGCTGTGCAAAGAAGACGAGCTCAATATTACCTCTACTTTTGCTCTCGTTTCGCTTCTTTTTTTATTTTTATTTTTTTTATTTTGGCTGGCTGGCCCCCCAAACAGGATCTGCTCCTCATCTCAAGCTTACATACGTCTCAAGAATATTGGCAATCTTTGGTGTACTTTCGCCTTGTACAGCCATCTCCAGTACTGGTCAGACAGACTGTCGAGAAAGACAAACTGAACGATACACACACCTCCAACTTCTCCGAAGAAAACAGTCAAGATTCTCCTGGAAAAAGGAGACAAAGATTTGCAGGCAATGGGCCATGAGAACGCCAACGGCGCCGTGAAAGATATCCAGACCCTTTCATTCTGGATCTCGTTCGTCGTCGCCTGCATACTCTGCATCCTAGCCTTCGTTCAACGTATCAGACGTCGACATCTGGGCAGATACGCACCGCCAGAGAGGCAAATGGATCCGCCGCCCTTTTCTTTTTCGCCAGAAGAAAAACGAGGTGGCGAAGGGCCAGCTGGTCTAGTGGACCATGGAATGCCCTACTATCGAGCAGACCCGTCATCCGACGGTGTAGCCGGACTCCCTTCAGCCTGTGATATTCTGCTGCCCCTGTCCCATTCCACACAGCTGCCCTCGAGTGGTTATCTGGCTGCCATTCTAGGCCGGGAACGGGGTGCCAGATCTACGCAATCGTATCAGCAGGCGCAGCCACCTTGCGTGGTTGCCCCATCTGAGCTGGGCCGATGTCCGGGAGATAGTCGGCCTTCCACCGCTGGGACGGACGCTGGGCGCAGCGCCGGGCTGTTGCCCCCTGAGGGATCTGGATCTCTTGGATCTTGCATTGAGACCGCCGATCGATCGACTGGGTCGCAGGCGCTCGACGCGCAAGAATTTTCCGGCATGTCAGCCCCGGATGGGACCCGTTCTGTCCAGAAGCGCAACCAGGTCGTCCAGCATCTTTACGATGCGGATGAAGGGGGCGTTCGGACGTACAGACGGACGAAGGTCGAATACAGTTAAATGGGTGATTATGTCCGTCCCATGTAGTCTCTCACTGGATCTGGATAGGATAATTTTTTTTTTACATTCCACCACGGATATTTTCGGGTCATTCAGGTGCATGTTTTTTAATTAGTTTTTTTCACTCTAAAAAATGGTGCCTAATGGGTGGCGGATTGTTTAAACAAGCAGAAGCTCAAAGTTCTCTTACTTCTATTGATGACTGATGATGAGTTAACGATGTTGAATTTCATGAAATCTTTAACTTTCCCTTTTTCCACTACCTAGAACCTGCCGAAACCACTCTATCCATCGTAAATCCTCCATCTAAAACATGTATGAAACCACCTGACCATGGACAGGAACAAAGTCACATGCCCCATAACCACATACATACCCAGCTTAGTCATCGCAGCCAACGGGCACTGATTGCTCGATACGCATGTGTGCTTGCGATAGCCCGTCCCCAAAAACATGCCAACAAATAAGTCGCAGCCCAACTCCCCTCACTCAAACCCCGCCCTCGAAAAAAAGAAAAAATAAAAAAAATAAAATCATAAAGCGAACCCGGACCGAAAGAAACTTCTAAAACCGCACCCCGGGTTGTGGGGGAAAAAAATCTAAACAAAACCAAAACAACTCGGCAAAGATGACAATAACAACCTTCACCTCCGATCCGAACCTCACGAACCTATCTCTATCACGACTGCTCGCCCGACTTGAACATAATCTACTCTCGTCCTCCGCGGACCTGAAACCGCTTCGACGGTCGGAATATCAGCGTATGAGGGTTGGAGCTGTGCGTACTTGTTTTCCTTTCCCTTTATATTCTTTTGGGACGGGCTCCGCTCCTTATCGGCTTGCTAGCTAGCTAGCTAGAACTTGGATGCATAGCTGGCCAGATATGAAAGGTCAAGTGTTTATTAAGGTGTAAGCTGACTTATTTCTATAATCCAGAATATAGAGTACGCCCGCGCAACACTCCAGGAACTAGAGCGAAGTCTCCCGCAGATTAAACCAGTCGATCGTCGGCATGAAATTAAATCGGATATTACCCGGGACCGACAGATTCTGAAACAGTTGCAGAGTGTACTAGATCAACTAAATGTCGAGGCGGATGTACAGTTTCCCGTGAAAGGGGGGCAGGATGTAGAGGGTGTTTACGAGGTCGAGGACGAGGAGTCACTGGACGGAGAGGATTTCCTCGGGACACCGGAGGAGACAAGTACATATGATGAAGGGCGGGAGTTAGTAGAGGGGAAGACGGAGGATAAGGAGAAGACTGCTGCGACGGAGAAATTGAGGGCGGTCCCTGGGCATGAGTCTGAGACTATGCACAACGAGATGACGCGGTCGACGACGACGGCTGATGCTACAGCTACAGCTACAATTTCGCCGACACCATCGTCGACCTTACGAAACCGATATAATAGCCCGACAGACGCCCCGGCCACAGCCACAGGTTCCTCTCTACATGATCATAATACAATGGCACAGCCGTCTTCGAGTAAGGTCCAATCAACGGAAGAAACGCTTGACACACATCGTCGCGAACAAGAAGACCTTACCAACTCTCTTTTGTCCCTTGCAACGCAGCTTAAATCTTCTTCGCAAGCTTTCCAATCCTCGCTAGAATCCGAAAAGTCTGTGCTGACCCGTGCCGTCGAGGGCCTAGACCGCACGACGGGCAACATGGAGGCCGCAGAGCGACGGATGGGGTTGTTGCGTCGCATGACAGAAGGCAAAGGGTGGTGGGGACGGATGATGCTTTATGCGTGGATCTTCGGATTATGGCTCGTTGCGGTATTGATTGTATTTCTCGGTCCGAAATTGCGTTTCTGATACGCATCTATCTATCTTATGTTTATACAGCGTTTTATGTATGGAGTACGGGTGTTTGGATGGGCATCTATCTCCATAGCAGAATTTCAACCTCCGCAAGGTCTTGATATCCATGTACATACAGCGCAACGGATTTAGATATGTTCAACTCGAGTGATCTTCATTTTAATTTATTTACAATCTACAGGAAAATTAGTACAAACAGTATATTTCACAATCCTTAGTTTTGACTATGACCCAATGACCGACCCGGCATGACACATGAGAAAAAGACATGATAATCCACGTACCCTGCCATTCCCCGTGCCCGTGGCCCTGTCGTCGTTCATTGTTCCCAGTGGACGTGAGACAGGAAAGATGCGTGACAAAATTACACACGAGGGCACCAAGAGAAGATGGGATATCCAGCGTTCAAAACCAACACATAAACAAAAGAGGAAATTGAGTGAGGGATAGGGTAACCAGACACAAAATTAAATGAAAATGACGGAAAAGAAAAGGAGACAAGAAAAGAAAAGGCGTAACTTGTTCAACATTGAACCCTTTCCCCAGGGAAGGGCAAAAGGAAACAAGGAACTGCTGCTCTGAGAGTGATGCTGATAACAAAGAGCTGGCTAGATATCATTTCAATACAAAGGAAAAAGAGAAGGAAAAGAAAAATTAGAATAGACAAGTGAATGTCTTCAACGCCAGGTTCTTTCAAAAATCAAAAGGTATGACGAACACATCCAAAAGAAAAGACAAAAAGGAAAATTATAAGTCACATAGCATACGGTCTAAAATGTCGGATATTGAGACAGGTACTCAGTCAAAGCATCCTGTTCATTAGATCAGACCACAGAGTCGAAGGTTCTCCTGGATGATGATGTCTAGAACATTTATTAGTAAAGCGGAAGCGAATCAATGATATGCGGAAACTCACCATTTACTGCAGCCATGACGAATCGAATCTGTGTAGTATCAGTCGCGCACGTAAAGTGCGTGTAAATCTGCTTCTGCTCGGCCTGGTTGAGTGACACAAAGCGGTTGAGGATATAATCACAAGCGGCAGCATAGTCAGCACCACCCTCATAGTCAGGGAAATAGTTTTTCATGGGGCTGACGGGCAGCTTCTCCTTAAAGCGATCGATCTTGTTAAGGAAGAGAATGATGGATGTCTTGACGAACCACCGGGAGTTGCAGATTGAATCGAACAGAGTGAGTGCCTCCTGCATACGGTTGACCGTCTCGTCTTCGAACAACAGCTGGTCGTATTCGGAGATGGCGACCAAGAAAAGAATCGTGGTCACGTTCTCGAAACAGTGGATCCACTTCTTACGCTCAGAACGTTGACCACCGACGTCGAACATCCGGTATGTCAAATCGCCGATGATGAATGTGGTTTCAGTGATACCGGTAGTCTTGACACGGGAACGAAGAACATCCTGGTCCGTAGGGAGATAATCGGGCTGGGCAATGCGCTCAACAGCATCGAAGTAGCTGGTATAATGGTTAGCAGGCTGTCAGAGTGAGAGTAACTGCATCGATCAGGACTCACTATTTAGCAGAATCATTCAGTTGGTATTCACGAGACCGTTTGAAGCATTCCTGCACACCACTGTCGCGCCACAAAGCCCCAATCGCATTTCCGACCTCCGGGGGTAGGCTGTCACCTTCAATCTGAGCGGGCTGCATGAAGATGGTCTGAACGTGGTACTCGTGGCGAGCATCCTCTAGGGGCAGTTCCAACGACTCCATTGCTTCCAGAATAACTCGCATCGACTGGACCGTGTTACTGTAAATGATTTCCTTGAAGGATTCTCTTTCATCGCGCGAGTACCCGCCCTCGTGGATCAGTTTCATCTGCTTCAAGATTGTCGACTTGCCCGACTCTCCCGCTCCTGCAGAGTAATTGTCAACAGGCTGTCCAACACATAATTGCGGGAAACCTCCCAAGTGAGGTCGGTTGCATACCGAGCAAAAGCATCTTAATTTCATTGCGCTGCATCATCTTGTCCCGCTTGAGCTGGTTCTCGATCTCTTCGTTACGGGCCTTCCCCTCTTTATCTTCGGTGCTCATTCCGCAACCCATCTTGGCGGCCGTTAATGACAGTGACTGACAGTGCAGTTCGATGGTTTATAGGGATGTGAAGTGTCCGGCGTCGTATTGGATATAAGGGAATCTATTTAAAGATATGGGCGTCAGTGATAGTGCGCACTTTCCACGTTTCGAAACCAAACTGTAGACCAACTCCAAACGTGCTATAACACGAGGTGACCCAGATAACTATCGCGTAAAATAAAAATATGAAATAAAAAAAGGAAAAAAGGAAAAAAGGAAAAAAGGAAAAAAAGGAAAACAAAGCTGATTACTGTGCTAACGCAAGGAGTAACAGTTGATGCATCGGCCATCGTCACAGGTCGTACGTGAGGATAGTCATGTCGCCAGGAGGACGACAGTTCCCTAGGAAAGGAAATATCGATAAAAGGCCACTCACCGAACACAAATTCTCTCTCCAGAAAAGAGATGATATTTCACACACTCAATAGGGTAAAAGGATTAAAAGATTGGAATATAATTCCGGATGGTATTATTGAAAGGCAGAGAGACCGCAAATGAACGGAGTAAGGGGGAGAAAAATTCGATTATTGGAGCACGGTCTTGGGACGCGGCGGAAAGGAGGTTCGAAAGGAAAGTGAAACAAATGCTACCCCGAGGCTGACGAACACAAGAACAATAGCGTCAAGAAGGGAAGAAAAGGCAGCCAACACGAAGATTAAAACAGTATGGAGTGAGTAAATCTTTCACAACCCGGCCTGCTGGAACCGATAGAGTGATTGATCGAGGAAAAGAGGAATAGAAGGAAGAGAGAGGCTGAAAAGATGGCGAGGATAAGCTCAGGTAAGGGGGCTTTGGGAGACTTGGAGGGGCGTCGGAGAAAGCGAGAGGAGAGAGAGAGCGAGCGAGTGAGAGACCCAAAAAGGAGAGTGGGAATGGGAATGGGGGGGTTCCAACTTACTGGACAGCTGCCGGAGAAGGGAACCAAAGGGAAGTCAAAGAAAAAAAAAAAAAAAAAAAGGCTTTTTCGGTTTTCCTTTTCCTTCTGGAACGATAACCGGTGCTTTACGACTGGAGTATCAATAGGGGGGGCAGTGGGGGGTTTGGTTTGGTAATGGCTAAAGCTACTGGAATTCACTTTTTTCATTGGCTATAATCGTAAGGGGATGGTGTGGCCCCAAATATCTTACCAACCAATGACTATTCTAGATCGACCATCCCCTTTTTAATGAGTGGCTCTAAGGTGATTTTGCGATCAAAGCATCCTAGTCGCTGTGTATCAGTGTAGCGAATATGTTTACCATTCTGAATTACTGGCATAGAACTGTTTCGCACAATCTCCCATAAGCTGACATATACATATTCCCTGATCGAAAGCCAAGAGCCCATGTTAAACGCGCCAGAGTCTCGACATGGAGAAGAATAGACGTTACTGGGTCCGATCTAGTAGGAGGTGTCTCCTGATCGTTACTTGAACCGGGATGACTTAATTTCCGGGCCATGCAGATCTACCTGTATGACATAAGAGAGGTACGGAGTACTAGCAGATGGATTGTCCCGCGTTTGAATAGTCAGCGGATTTCAATCTTCAAAAAGTATATCTGTAAGATGGCGGGAGGCCCGATAGAAGAATTCATCGTAAATAAAGCTCACGTCTCACGAGATGCGGCGCAAAAATGTCAATTTGAAATGTCCCATGGCATGCTAGAATGGTGAATATTTTCAGTTTCGAAGAGCCGCCACCAGTGGAGAAACGACACCATGGTTTGGCCTCAGATCGCCAGGCACGACTTTGTATGTATTCCTGCGGTGTCCAGGCCAAAAGATTTTTGAAACTAAATGTTTTACTTCCCTTTCCACGTTCCCGGAAGTTTGATCCCCTTCCGCACGTTACTTACGCCTATGCTCCATCTATAGAATTTCCAGTGATATTCTTCTGTACTCCGTAAGAAAGCCATGTGGAGCTGCTGTTGCTGTATGTAAGCAAAGGGGAATGGAGTGCTTACAGCTATGTATGTGTATCATACAGCATTAATACTGTATTGCAAACTCCACTTTCAACTGCCGTTGATCTTCTATCTCTCCGCACAAGTCTGAAGAGGAAAATCATCCCAACGTTGGCGTAATCACATTTCTCTCAAATGTTACCATCCCTGCCTCTGCGCCGTATGATGGATGAACTGTAGCAGCCGCGTTTCACATTCCCCCCTATTTCACAGCCCTGAAGAGATCCTGGCCCTCGTTATCAGCCCTGATGCAATGGAAAGCCTGCTGTGGCACCACCCATGGCTCTGCAATCTGACTAATCCTGGCGCTCCACTCTCTAGTGCTTCTAGTCAATTTCTTTACCTCGCACTATGCAAATGCTGTGTGCAATCACGTTCCAGGGCATATGTGATATCGGTAAAACTATGGGTCCAAGCAAAACTATTGAGGCCGGGATTTCAGGTACTAAATCATCTCTCCTTCCAGATGGAGTACATCATGGACACCGAGGAGAGTACCAACAATGGATCATGATGGCGTTAACCATTTGCGGCTTGAGAATCAGACAATTGGAATACACTTTGTACTACACTGGCCGACAGGATCCTTCGAGACGACGGGGGATGACTACCAGCTACTAGTAGTTCCCATTCTGTTGGAGCCTGGGTCGTGCTCATCCACATTGAAGGCTAAAAGTAACTATAATCAATCGATTAATCAAAAATATCATAATTCAAATAGAAGTCCCGTGACTTATATAACTTCACACTTTGATCAGTAGTATTACCTAATCTATGAAGAGCAAATTTGGATCAAACGATAGATGGGACACGACCCATAATTCAACCAATCAATCTATCCAATGGATCTTGTAATCTACTTCGAGTGAATCAATGTATTCTCCGGAGCGTCCACCCAGAGGCTTGCACAGCCTGGCCCTTGAACCCTGGATGTGGTTGAGCCAACCGATCTCTGTCGAGGTCCACCGTGTGCACAACTATGGTTTGTCCGTAGATTTCAGGACTACCGCCTTTGATCCCCGATCCGATCTTTTCCCCTTCTCATTCATGTCTTAAGATATACCTATCATACAGTTGCCTACTTGAGCATTGCATCTGGAGTTTTGGTTTCATAGATTTGATACTATTACTCTTATTATTATAGATTCTATATATATATATATCAATTCCCTCCACCGTCAAAATGCACGAAGTGTCCCATATGGGCTCTCGTGGTAAGACCCTCTCCTCCGAACATCGTCGCTGAATCCCAGAAATACCCGACTAACCGTCTCGCAACACAAACAGCCTTCAACCACGAGCAAAGCAGTGATGCAGAAGCCGAATACGATCGCCTCCGCGACCTAGCCCGCCAGGAGGCCCAGAAGCGCGGTTCATGTTTCCAACGGGTGTGTACGCATCGCGCTTCCCCTCCAAGACCCAGATCTGATCCGGGCCTATGCGACTAATTCTGAACGACATTGGCGAAACAATAGTCTCAAGAAGCGTACGCCGACGGTGATGGCGCAAAGGCCAAGGAATTATCCGAGCAGGGCAAAGCCCACGGCCGCAAGATGGAGGAGTACAATAAGCAGGCATCTGAATTCATCTTTCGCGAGAACAATGCCAACGGGCGTGTGGCGCCCGATACCATCGACCTGCATGGACAATTCGTAGAAGAGGCGGAGGAGATACTTGAGGAGCGGATTAAATATGCTAAGGCGCATGGCCAGACCCATCTGCATGTGTAAGTGGTCCCGGGGCGGCGCTGTTTTGCAGTACAACGAACAGAGGGTTGACGGTTTTATGGTTCCAGCATTGTCGGCAAAGGCAATCACTCTGCCAACCACGTTCAGAAGATCAAACCTCGCGTGGAGCAAGTCTGTCGCGAACTCGGTCTCCAGTATGCGACGGAAGAAAATGCAGGACGTATCTACGTCAATCTTACCGGCGGGCCGGCTGATATGTCTGAGGCTCCGCTGCACTCTGGTTATGGCCAGTCTCATAGCCAGTATCCTGGCCAGCAGCAACAGCAACATCATCATCAACAACAGCAGCAACAGCAACAACAGGCTGATCCCGTCGAGCAGATGGTCAACGCGATTCTTCCACGTGTGTTGCGCAAGCTGGAAAAGGCTTGTTGCTTGGTTATGTAAATTTTAGGGGACTGATCGGCACTCACTTATGTTCTTGGTTCCCGGGCTGTGAAGGATCAGGTAACTTTTGATTAATTTTATGGATATATAGTCTTGCAGGGGACGAAATTACCTGCCTTACGACTGGGATATTCACACAAAGTTTGGATTGATATACCCAGGGTGCTTAGATTTTTGCTTTATGAATCAGTTTAAACCAGTTTACCGAATGTTATATTTTCACTAATTACCTTCACTACATGTGGTAGATATGACTCTATTCAATACTTACACAAATCAACAGGTAAGATAGGAGCTAACTTATCGTTATGTTCGTCTGAATCGTTGATTCGTGATCCAATCCAAGCAATTGCAGAGGAGACCCTCAAACTTAGCGCATTACCCGAATCATAATCGTAGTCGCTGGAAGAACCACAATCCAAACTATTTGGTTGCCCTTCGATCGTCTTTCAAAGTCGACTCAGTTATCTTATCAAGAATTGCACGTATCGTCACCCCATCGTAGCCTTCGGATTCCCTGCCATTTTCATTGGCATCTATCTCGTCAATGAGTGCTAACGCTTTCTCGCGCAAATCCCGGACCACCTCCTGAGTATGCGCAAAGCTGCCAGTGCCTTCCATGTATTTAACTGCGTAAAGTTTGACTTCGTCATCCTTGGTTTTCTGTTTCAAGATGTTGATGAGCTGGTGATTACTCGGGTCGGAGCGAATACTGTGAATGATGGGAAATGAAAACTTCCCCTCTGTAAGATCCTCACATAGACCTTTATTCTCCGTGTATGTTGTACTGGATAAGTTGAGGTAATCATCGCAGATTTGGAAGATCAGTCCCAACACGTTAACCAGAGTCACGCAGTCCTTTCCCGTATCACTCTCGGCCTGCATCAACTTCACAGCTAGTCGAAACAATCCACCGGTCTTGTTCCCAACCATCTCAAGGTATTCCTCTTCGCTGGGGCAGGTGAGAGTGTCTCGCCAGAACAGGTCCATTCCTTGGCCGCGATGGAGGTTCAATAGCTCTCGAGCGAATATTTCAATCGCAGCGGGATTGTTCAGCTTTTGCACTTCTTGAAGAGCTAGAAAGTAAACATAGTTCGCTGAATTGATTGTTTGAGCTGTGCCGTATATATTATGAGCCACGGGAACTCCGCGGCGAAGGATAGAGCAATCTTCGACATCGTCGATCCTATAGAGAGCGACTATTAGAATATGCCCAGCGTAGATACGCCTTGTTCAGATAGACCTACAGCAGCGATGCTGTATGAAGCATAGCTACCACCTTGGTGATGGTAGCCAAACTCTCCGGGGGAACTTTCAGCCATACGTTGAAGGCGTTGATAAGCTGCCGGCGTATATCCTTGCCGGGGTGTTGTAACATATAATCATAGGGACCCAACACGATTCTCTCATTCTCCGGTGACCATTGACCGTCTCTATACTTGGTGCCATCCACACTGGAACGGTTGCGAGTGTGTTTGCGCAGGAGGTTTGTGTTTGTCTGCAGTTGATCGCCATTTGATTCAAACCGACCTACTTCGGGAACCGCCACAAGGTTGGAATTTTCTGTGACAGATGAGGTTGCACTAGCTCCATCTGTGGCACCCGTAGAGCTAGTTCGAGGGTGGATGGCAGTGGGGGGCTGAATGGAAGAAGATTCCGAAGACATTCTTCCCCATCAATTTCTTCTATTTGGCTAAAATCCTAAGGAACGACGAAGCGACGGGCAATTATATCAACTGACGCCTCTTAAGACCAGGATAGATATAAGAGTCTTCGTCCTGTCCCGCACAATATCAAGAGGGCAAGAGATTCAATGAGTTGTATGCGGGGATCGCCCAAATAGGCAGCATGGACAATGTGACGTCGGTTCATGTGATTCCCCCATTGTTGTTTGGATTGTTGTAGGTCACATGACCTCAGGGGATTGATCGAGGAACCAACAGTCCCAACCGAGGAACAATACAATACTGCTAATGGTACTCTGTATCTCAACTTCCTTTGACTATCTTTATGTCTGCAAGGAGATATTACTAATATCCAGTATTTTACCTCCCAGCAAGGGATAGTCGACTAGACAACCTCAAGGAAGTATTCCACTAAACCAAGTTTTACAACTTTCCCGCCTAGCAATGGAATTTGGGGCGTCATCGGCCTCAGGTTCCAAGACACGACATCTAGACTCCTTAAGAGTGATCCTGTCAGAGTGAGTTGGCGAAATGGCGTAGCTGAGCTTGACATCATACATGCCAGCTCAACGCCTAACCGTCCAATGTCCTGCAAAGTGCTGAAGAAGCTCTTGTCCCAATTGGCCGTCTCCCGGGGCAACCATCGGGCGTGTTTGCTTGAAGTGGAGTTCACACTCACTAAATCTGACTAGTGAGGATCTCGGCACGATCAAGAAGGACGTGTTGTCGAACTAATTTATCACTCGAAGAAGCTATTTATCACCAATAATTGAATTAAATTAAGGTACCTGGGCGTCTGGTCTAGCCAAATCTTGTTCTATTTTTTTCTCGTTCCCTCTCCTCATATAGATAAGTCGCGATATCGCATCCTGTCGCCGAAAGGAGTTAAAAGTCTTTGCTTCCGCGCTTTTACTTTGTGTTCCTTCGTCATCCGCCATCCACTGAAAATTATTCGATCGCATTACGTACTCATGGAGACTTTGTTGGCACATTCGTTCGATTACCTTTCTTCTTACGAGCCAAGCAAGGTCCGCAAAGGGTTGCGCCAAGTTGAGGGTCTTCTCGCGCAAATTTGCTTGTCCAAGTCGAAACAGCCGGTGTCTGACAAACGGAGGTCATTACTATCCTTTGGAGCTCCACAACCAGTTCCCAAGGCTCTATCTGAGCTCAAAGATGACCCCGCATTCAGAGAGTTTTTCAAGCTCCAGGAGGGCTTTCAATGGAATGGTACGCACCACCTGGACCGAATTCCGTATGTCACTGGAGATCCGATAGACTGACAAGCTCCACCCAGTCGCAATGCGTTTGGTAACTTGCCTCGAGCATCTCCTTGGTCGAGGAAGCAATGGCACAAACGACCTTCTCATACTCTCGACACTGGACCTAATACAGGGCGTGCTTCTTCTTCACCCGCCGTCGCGGACGCTTTTTGCGCGCGAAATATACATGAATCTACTGCTGGATCTTCTGGACCCGATCAATTGCCCCGCGATTCAATCTGCCACTCTCCTCACTCTTGTAACGGCTCTCTTGGACCATCCCGCCAACACGCGCACATTTGAGGAGCTCGATGGATTGCTTACCGTGACGTCTCTCTTCAAACAGCGTGCAACTTCCCGCGAAGTCAAGCTCAAGCTTGTCGAGTTCCTCTACTTCTACTTAATGCCGGAAACACCAATGATCCCGACAGGAGCAGGTGCTAGTGCATCCAGCATAGCGGTTAATGGACTGCAGCGCAGTCCAAGCAAGCTAGGTAGCCCAAGGCCACGAAGTGCTCATGGTTCAGGAGCTCACCATGGCGGGAGGGGAAGTCGAGATATGCGCACGACGGATGAGAAGCAGGCGCTGCTCGGAAGGTACCTCAACAATGTGGAGGATCTAGTTGAGGATCTAAAAGAAACGGCACCTTTTGGGGCTACGGTTTATTAGCATGGGCGGTGATTTGCTTGATTTGCGACTTTTCTTGTCTTTTCTATTTCACATTGAGCAATGGAGCGTGCATGGAATGGTATTATTGGCTGGCTTTTTTGCGTTTTGCATAATTCCTCTGTGGAATATCCTTTCTTTTTTTCTTCTTTTGTTTTCTTTCGTTCTTTCTGTCTTTCTTTTTCTCGCCTTATTCCCATCCCTCCTTCCACTCTATCCCCATCCTTTTCTATCAGTCTCTGTCTATGTCTCCGCGGTTTAGCATTCTCACCCCGTCTGGTACGGCGTGTGGATCGAGAACGTGGAGTCAATTTTCTTCCTCTACACTTTCCTATCATGTCTTTCCTTCTTTTGCACTACGACTTATGGGTCATTTTGATGCATCATGTGTCATGTTTCTGTGCGGACTTTAAGAGCAATGACTACCTTTGAATGATCATATAAAGTTGAAATTAGACATCACCTCGTTCCGATTCACTTTAGTATTTGTAAGAAAACCAATCTCGAAAATCCTGGATTCGTTGTCTAGTTCTGTGAGGCCAGGTTGGTAGATGACATCCTCCGCAGCAGTGTGTTAGGATTACATTGTATAAAAGTTTTATGACAACCTCGGTTCTGCACTGATGTGACTCATCTTTTCTCGTATAATATCAACCAATCACGATATTAACTTATATGAAATTACATATAGGATATGATATATCTCATAGGAGAAACCTGATCTGTTTATTAGCTTATTGAATGAACGTGCACCGGTTATTCCTGAAAATAATCTTCTTCCGTCGAGAAGCATCCCCCCGTGCCACCCGCAGGATAGAGGAAAAAAAACAAGACTTATCTAGAAACACACAAAAAATTGCATAGTTCTATAATGGGTCTCACAATACAAGAAACACTAGCCTCCAGCCAAGCAACAAGCATCCAGAAGCCAGTACAGTATGTGGAAACCATAGAAGCATACAACAAATGGGCAGAGGTAAGCCACAAAGACCCCTACATTACATCCCTACATCATGCCTACTATCTCCCCTGCCCCGAAATCATAGATAGGCAGGTCAAGCAAATTCTAATACAAAAACGCAGGTCTACGACACAGACGGCAACTTCCTCCAAGGGCTCGATACCCTCGAAATGCAACAACTACTTCCGCAACTTCTTGACAAAGTGATCGCCAGCACGCAGACTGACTCCGTAAAACTCGTCGATCTGGGCTGTGGAACAGGTCGGAACACCCGCCAGCTGCTGAAGTTCGCGCCCAAGGATACTCATATCGTTGGGGTGGACGCTTCACCGGGGATGCTGGATGTTGCGCGGACGGTGATCGATAAGGAGAAGGAAACAGATGCTTCTCTTTCTAGTAGGGTTTCGTTGGAGATATACGATTTGCTTCAGTCGCCACCGGTGCCGCCGGAGTGTAGTCTGGGCGCGGTGGGTGTGATCTCAACGTTGGTTTTGGAACATATTCCTGTGGACCAGTTCTTTAAGGGCGTGGCGGCGCTGATGAGGTCTGGGGGTTATTTTCTTTTGACTAATATGCATTCTGAGATGGGGTCGATTAGCCAGGCGGGATTTGTGGATACGGCGACTGGGACGAAGATTCGGCCGACTAGTTATTCGCATACCATTGAGGATGTGTTAAATGCCGCTGAGAAGGCGGGATTTGATGTTGAAGAGTTAGATGGAGAGCGGGTTCGAGAGAGAAAGGTGACTGAGACAAGGGCAGAGGGTCTGGGTAAAAGAGCGAAGAAGTGGATTGGCATCACGGTGTGGTTTGGCATCTGCTTTAGAAAGCGGTTGTGATGAGGCGCTACTATTATGAAGCTAGTTCCTGTTTCTGCTGTGAGATTTGAAAAAGAAAACGTGGGCTAGCAATAATATACATGAATATTTGTTCCAAGATTCAATATCTAGAAGTATTTTAACAACCTTTCCCGATGCTGCACTAGATTTTCATGCTTTTGCAGAAGCTCTGCCAGCCTATTCCGCTTCCATCCCATTCCCTCGTCTAGTATCAAATGGGTATATGCAAAGACACCGGCATCGAATAAACCAGGAGTAGACCGTCCAAAGAAGTGTTCATTAGTGTCTAGAAGCGTAGAAAGTGCCTCGAAGGCATCGCCCGCTTCTACCTCCAATGCGCTAGCATCAATGTATTGGGACGATTTTAGGAGCTCATCCCTTGCAGCCTGCTGAAGCTGAGATGCTAGAGCAGAGCGTACCAGCGAGTTGGTGGTCGACGGATTCACATAGAGTCGTCGAGCTACCGAGCTGAAGTTTTCATTGTCTATATATAGTGTGTATAGCTGTTTGCGTGTAAGTGCGAGTCATTCACGACTGTCGGGATGGCTTTCTTTTAACGTACCCAAGCATTTCGTATCCGATGATCCAGCAATGATGCATATACTTCAAAGCGTAAATCCAACTGCTGTTCTTCTTCGCAATGAACTTGCTCAATAGCCCACTTTTGTAGCTTGGTCGAAGGTATCGGGGCATTGTTGTTGACTGGAAGGGCAGGGAGAAGGAAAGGAAGAGCACCGGTTGGCGATGCATGATTATTCGATGGAACAATATCGAACTCAATGCCGACAAATTTTAAGTATGCCTATGCGCACCAAGCAATTCAAGTCAGCATGGATGAGAAATACAGTATGCGCAGTCCGCTATCCTCACATACCTGCCACTTGAGACATTGTGGGTTGAATGAGGGTCGGTCATGTTTCGCACCCGCCGCATCTGTGAATACAAACAGCTTATTGCTGGTTCGGTTCAAGGCACCCCGTTGGGGAAGGCCATTGGAAGGATAAGTGACAAGAGGAAACCGATCAAAGATGCGCTTGATCGGAGCAGGGACGGCGAAATAATCCCTGGCGCGTGAGATGCTTACATTGCCCGGTGCCTGGCCGGAGTTATCGCGGCTTTCGGGAGTCATTGAAAAGAGAGGACGAGTAAAGAAGGGTCAGAAGAAAGACGTATAAGGATGGTCCACACGTCATAGAAGGGAAATACCGAGACAAGAGGAATAAGGCCCTTGGATCGACTCGGGCCAGCTCTGCGTACTCAATTGCTCTCTATTGCCGGAGATTTGATGATAAACTCCATCTGCCGCGATGCCAAGCTTCAGGCACTCCAGGCCTCAGGGACACATCGATGCCTCAGGAGTCGACTTCGGAGCCGCGCCTAGCCTCTCTTCGGCCGTGAAGGTAGGATTTTGTTCGATCTTCCGATGCCATTCACCGAATAGCCCCCCGCATCTTTAAACAGACCCTGGCGGGGTTGTTATCTAGCCACAAAAATTGGTTTATTTACTAATTGTGTTTGAAATCTCCTTTTCACTCCTTATCCTTCCTTTCCGCGCCACCCATCCTCTGTCCTCTGCTGCTATCGCTGCCGCTCGTTTTCTTCGACCCGTCTCCGTCCGTTAAGCCGCTGAACGGGATCTTTATCGAACATTTTTGTTTCCGTTATATAATCCCTACACTCAGAATACCCAACTCCGGAAACTTAAACATTTATTTATGCATGTCAGGTTTGATCTGCACTGTGGCTTGTGAATTAGTTGTGGACCTGCGAATGCGCCGAGATCGGTACAGAGCGACAGAAGACGCAAATTAACTGACAATCGACGTTGTTTTGAGTATAGCCGTCTGATACGTTAACCAAGAGAATGCCGCTGGATGAAGAAGGCGCCAAGTGGTCATGGTAAGGACTCATCTATGATTATCGGCATCCAAACAACTAATTGAATAACTAGCGAACCATGTATCCGTGGTCACCGTTCCTCAAAATGCCAACATTTCGATAGATTGATGATGAAGGTGCCGAAGGCTGGACGCCCACTGGCTAAATGTCCCCATCCGAAAGGTACATGTAGCTGCCAAAAGCTCTATGCCTTTATGATCCGGATTCCAAAAGGTGGGTTGTATTTTTCTCTCCGAGCATATGTCTAGTCACTGACTATCTTGAAGGCTCTACCTGTCTTTGTAGACCGGTGTATCAAGTGCCTGTGGACCCAAACGAGTCCGCACCAACTACACCAACCTCCTTTGCCCCCACTGCGTCACCTGCTCCTGGTAAAGTTCAGAAGTCGTCTAGAAGACAAGTAAAAACGGCGCCGGAGAGCATTGCGAAAGCCCTAGATTCCATACCAGACTTTGGGAAACAGCATATTGAAAATGGCGCGTCCAACCATCTACCCTCATATACGCCTCAGAGCCCAGGATACGGAACCGTGCAGAACAGCCTGCCTCAGAGCGCCGATACACCTAGCACTTTATTACCTCACCATGCAGTTGACGATGGTGCAGACCCTAAACCGCAAAGCGGAAGCTGTTGTTCTAAAAAGCCACTACCACCAGTGCAAACCAAGCCTCAAGGCTCTTGTTGCAAAAAGTCTGAACCCCCAGCAGCCCAAAATGGGCACAGCGCGGAACTTACAACCAACGGATCGAGCGTCTCGTTTACGTCGCCTTTGAATGCAACCTCGTTTACATCTCTTTCCACACCTTATATTTCTTCATGGCAGGAATTCAATGCAGCCGGACAAAATAACTTCTACCAACAGTTTGTGCCTCATCAATTACCGACTACGCAACCCGCGTACATGCCCGGCTACACGTTACATACAGCACCAAAAGCTGTTGATATGAGCTTCCCCACGCAGAACAGAAGCGATGATGGTTTTACTCAGTCTTTCGTCCCGCATTCGCACACACATGATGGACACAACACTGAATATACAGCACCGGCAACTTTCAATGGTGACCCCACCCATAACTGCAGCTGTGGCGATAATTGTCAGTGTTTAGGCTGTGCTTCCCATCCATTCAACAACACTACAAGACAGCATGTCCAAGAAATGGGCCTTTTGGTTGCCTTCGATGGCGAAGACCAGACCGTGGACAATATGAACGGCTACCAGACTCCTTCGTTACACGGCAAACGCCCTAGTACCACATCCCTGGATTATTCATATGCGAATTTTAGCCACGCCTTGAATAACTGTCCCCAGCCTTTAATGACGCATTCTTATGGCGAACAGGCTTCAACCCCGAACATCATGAGGAGCGGTTATTCGTCCCCACCCGCTGAATATATGTCGGAGCAACATTTGATGGAGCCGTCAGAATATTATACTCTTGAGTATCCAGTCGGCTTGCCATCTGGCTGCTCTGATGTGACGGGAAGTTGTCAGTGTGGAAATGATTGTTGTTGCGTTGGCTGCCTTACTCATAGTGGGCATAATGGCCTTCCTCTTGAGCCTGTTACTGCCGAGGCCAGCAACTTGTCTCCCATTGCTCCCGTGGCGTCACCAGAAAACTCAGGCATTGGCATTTCCGGGGTACATGCTTGAATAATATTTCCGTTCCAACATCGTCTTCCATGCTGTGAAGTCCTTCAATCTCAATATTTCCATTCTCGTGGGAATTTCTGTTCAAAGCTCAATCCGTTTTCTACTTATTCTCACATTGCGTTTGTTAATCGGCTAACTGATAACCATGATACCCCCAATAGATGCTGGACATTAGAATTCTTAACACTTCCTGTCTGTGTGTGTAATTGTTTTCTTCAATTCGTTGGGCTGGCTTAATCGACGCGTGCAACGGTATATCCCCTCTCTTACTCTCCGGTCAGCATTTTATCCTCTCTTGTATTTGCCTGTGTCCCGATCATGGAATTGTCCTGGCGACGGGTCTCACAAGCCCTTACCAATGTACATAATGTTGCAAGGGGGGATATATTGAAATGACAATGGAATACCAAAGATTTTGGATCTCATCACATGGTCGTCGCACTTTTTCTACTTAAGTCTTGTAAATAGACTCAACTGAATATACGTCAACCATCAGGGATCTAGTCTTTTTAATACATCGGTAATGCAAACCAAAGGCGTAAACTTCAAAGTGAAAACGGTGGTGGGATACAACAATGATGAATTGCATGCTAAACGGTAAACAGAGCCTAGGAATTCTTCTAAACAGCATGAATGGACCCCCAAGCTAACTTGATTCCTCGGCTATACAGGTATCATACACAATCAAATGCAGAACCCTCTACCGACGCAGAGCGTCTCTAATGGGCGAATCACCCCGACGGAACGAAGCTATGTCTCATATCAGTCAAAGGTATTACCTCCATATTCAACAGCGGTAGCGGCCTGGGCAAATAACATACCATCGGCCTCTTCCCAAGCACGTCCAGCACCGAAGCCCAGACCAACCCACGCGGGCCAAGCCCTCCGCTTGAACAGGAGCACTGAGAAAACGACACCAAAACCGAGGCCGAGGGAGGAGCGAATGATCATGGAGGAGATAGCGCGGTCCCACTGCAGTAGTGAAAAGTCCATATTAGCCCATGTTCAGTGCTTCTGTATACTTCTTGCCCGCTAGCACTACCGAAATAGTCGGGACGGTAGATTTGAGGGCTTCGATATGCCATTGATACAGATATCTGACTGTAGAAGGGTATCAAAGTCGCAATAGGCGATTAGTACCTTCTCGTTTAGCAAGGCCTCACTGACGGGCTTGGTGGCCCGGGAAACCGGGGCAATCGGCTGGGATTCGTTGTCGGCCATTGCGATAGATCTGAAAATCGAACGTTAACCGAAGGCAAGCATTGACGAATTGGAGCAGAACTGACGGTCTAGAAATAGACGACTCGGGACACGGAGGCGGGTGTCAGGTAATATTTGCGGAATATTCAAGCCAAGGAGGTGATGAAATCGGGTGCGGACGTCGAGCTCTGTCGGGCGAAGGCGGTCGGAAAAACTAGGCTCGGCTTGGGTTGTCGTCACGGGCTTTAACTACTTTTTTTTTTCTTTGATCGGGCAGTATCAAGACGCTCCGCACTGACAAAAGAACAAGAGGAAAGACAGGGGTGGGCAGCCTGAAATACTCTTCTCAAGATGCCTTCTGTTGCGGAGGTAAGTTAACTCTTTATGTTCTTGAGTTTTGATGTCTAATTTTGTGTTCTGTATAGCGTCCGCGCTCTTCGCAAGAAGCTTTACTCCGATTGGAAAAAGGCTCCGGTTCTCCTATCAGTCAGCTCAACGAGGCAGCTCAAATTATAGGTCTGGATCTGGCGCTGTGTGCAAGTCACCCGGAAATCAATAGAACAACCCACGTTCAAAGTCGCGCCGCTCCGAAGGAAGAATGGGTTCTCCGGTGGTTATTGAAGAAGCTGAAGGCGGGGAAGAATTATCGCGTCGAGCCTGCATCTTTCCTCCTGTTACGGCAGCTTATTGATCTCATTCAACCAAAGACTCTAGCGACAATGCTTAAGGACCAGAAGTACTTGGCAATCCTCGACCACGCGATCACCGACTTGGAGGACGATGTATTTGCCGGTCTTGAAAATGGAACGACAGAGTTAGAACAGTCCGATTCGGAGTCTAGTAAGACTATGAGTGATTCGTCGCCTCAGAGTGATAAAAAGGGAACGAAAAGAAAGAGGACTGGCGACAGGGAGGGAGACGGGATGGACATTGACGAGCAGCCGCAGACGCCAACATCGTGTTTCTTAACCTTCATTCGTGCTTTGGATTGCTTGTATAGCTTGGTAATGATTGCAAACCGGACGCTGGAAATTGATGAGGTAGCCAGTTCGCATCTGAAGCATGCGCTGAAGGGGGAGCCTGAATCTGTTTCTGTGACATTAGGAAGGTCGTTCAGACTTGCGGCTGTCGCTACTACCCAGTTTTTTAATGCACGGAAGACGACTGATCTGCAACACCTCCTATATGTGCTTCCAGCCATACTGGACCTATGGGAGTTGAGATCGAATCGTCGTGTTGACTCGGACAGTGGATCAAGCAATGTAGGTTTTGTACCGGGCTGGTTGTTGGAGAGGTGCAAAGCGCTAACGTCCCCAGGAATCGTTTGCTAAGTATTGCTTCCAAAGTACTCTGAGGCTGCAGCACTGTGTTCGATCCATCCAACTTGACACCGACGAGAGAGCCCAAGTTCTGTATGGGGTCGAGCGTTTAATTGCACTTCATGTGGTTCTTCCAGCTCGGGCTGCCTTTTTCGAAAGGGGCGGCTCAGGCATAGACTATTCGGCTAGCGAGCCGGACTGGAGCGCCGTAAAGCCCGTTTCTGATACCTTCCGGCCTATTCTCTGTGAGCTCGAGTACCCAAGCCAGAATACCAGCGGTGACATCGTCAAGCAGAGGACATTGTGGAAAACCGCAGAGCTTCTACCCGAATTTTTCGATATTGCATGCCGATCTGTTCCTAGAGACACCTTCCGAAGACAAACCCACGATGCTCCTTGGTTGGAAACGCTGTTTGTTGCCGTTGCAGAGCTAGCATTCTCTATTGTGAAAGCTGAGAATACTTCCACTTACCTTCCTGAGTTTGTTGATGTCTTGACACGGCTGTTCCGCGTCGTCCTTAACCGGAACGTGCAGCTTTCTTTACATACTCTACTTACTCATGCTGCCTATACCGGCCTACATAGGGACGGGCTAGATCAAGTTGAGTGGGGCTTAACTGCCTTGTTGGTTGAGCTTGGCGCCGACATATTCCTGCCAAATTCTGGGCTCAGTAACTCGACTCAACTGCTGGACACCTTACTCAAGAAGATCAACCTGTATTGGCGTAGTTGTGCTCGCTCTACAGAAGGTAGTTATGAAATCATCAAGAATGGCATTGTGATTCCCCTCATGCGCGCATTCTTGGGTGCCAGAGACATGCCGACTTTCATGCAGTTATGGTATGAGCAACTGATGGATGTAGAGGAGGCGCGATCTGAGGACAGTAGCCTGTCCCTTTTTACTGTCTGGGAGGATGATGATGTATGCAACGTTTACAGTGAATTGATGCGCAGCCCTCTCACCAATGCACATGCTTCAGCGCAGATGCGTGCTGCTACAACTGAAATTAGAGGCGAAGATGGAAAGGTTTCGAAGTCTGCTGGAGCTTACGCACAGATTGTCCTCACAGAGGCCGGTTTCAGAAATCGCGGGTTGACCGCCACAGATTCTCATGAGGATCTGAGTTCCATCATTGAGACACTGAAGTCCACATTGTCCTCGAAACAGACACTTCATTGGCGATGGCGGTTGTGGAGACTGCTTCGCAATCTTCTTGAGAATAATTTGCTGTCAATTGACAGCTCCCTTACTACAACAATTATGAGCCTAATGGAAGCTGCGACGAAGTCGATCAAACGTCACCAGAAGGACCAGATGAAGAAGCTGTGTGCTCCCTTGGAGTGCTTTGAAGCATATCGATTTACTATTACTACCATTCACGTGTCTGCAACCTCTAGCCACATCAATGAATTTAACTTGCTCAATAAAGACATTACAGAGTTCATGAAATCTAGCTTTGGAGAAATCACAGCACAGTCCATAAGTTCCTCGTGGAACGGTCGGGTGGACACTCTCAATTCGACGTCTCTCGTCTTGGCCTACTTTTTAACGCTTGTCAGGAGCCCGGGAGTCTGGCCCAATGTTAACTTTGAAACTCGACGTTCCCTCTTTCAAAATATGCTTTCACTAGCAACTTCGCAATATCACCCGTCGTCGACCCTCGAGACACCTCCATCTGAGGCAGGATTTTTGCAAGCTTGGGCGAGTGTAGTCTGTCACGAATACCTCCTTAATGCTCCTACCATCGCCATTGACTTGATTACCGTTCTGTCAGAAAGAGTCAAGGAGGACGCCTCGAACCGCAGACTCTATGTTGAGAGTCTCCAGAGAATCCCCACTCCCCTCATCACACGTCGCCAGAGGGGCCTACTTTTAGACATATTGCAGGGCATTGTCCTACAGGAGGATAGCTCGATCGAAATTACTTTGGGGATGCTAACTTTAATGGCGAAGCTGGCAGACATGCCCAAGTCTACAGCGGCTTTGACCAGTGCTTGGGAACCGATTTGGACAGTAGCCAAAGCTGTCAGTTTGCAGGGGACAGAAGTCGACCTGCAGATTATGAAAGCATTCCGAAGCTTACATCGGGCAGTCATATCTAAGCTTCTCGTTCTCTCTGAAGAGGACTGTCGTAAATTGTTCAAGAAGATGTATCGCAATGTCTCGTCAAAGGCATCCAAGTTACGATCTATTGACCGTGATTCCATGAATTGCTTTTTCTTGAGGATCTCTTTGTCTCAACTCTGGACTCACCGTAATCGACTTTCAGATATTGTCGATGAGACGGAGCTGGCCACATGCCGCCAAAAAGTATTTGACTTGGTGGTAACGGAAGTCAAGTCTGTCAAAGATCAATGCAAGAAGCAGAAATTAGAGGAAACTATTACTCTGATCAAGATTCTGGATGCATTGGAGGACTTTGAAGACCTAGCGACTGATCACGTCGAGGTTGCGAAATTCTTGACAAAGATTGAGAAATACGTTGAAAAGTCCGTGGACTCAGGGTCTTCACTGAGAAGACTCATCAGACGCCGTGTTTTGGCTGGCAAAGGCACCGAGAGGAGTATCACACTACCTGTGATAAGCTTTGCGGAGACACTACCTCTCCAACACATGTATGGCGAAGAGCAGCAACTGTTCATTCGATCAACAACTGCCAGATTCCAGTCGATGACTGTGGACCAGTTAACTCAAGTAATCCAAGACACTCGAGAGCTTGGGTTTGGTGGAGACAACGCCGCTTACCATCTTCTTGTCTCCGGCTTAGCTGTCGCCTCGCTAGATCCTATCGAAGACAAGGAAAGCAACACAGCGAAAGAACTCTCTCTTCTATGCACCGCTGTGACAGATTCAGTTCGTCGCAGCAAATCCATCGAGCACTTTACCCTTGCTACCGAATGCCTAGACATTCTTTTGCGTAGCCACACGCGTTGCATTACTCAGTGGAATATCGACAGTCTTCTCGCATGCGTTGCGGTGTGTGCTTCAAAGGCGGGTCCTCAAATTAGCCCTGAGTTTTCTGCATCAATTTACATCAGACTGTGTCGGTTGATGGGCGTGCTTTTCGGTATTCACCGCCAAAAGCTTGGTGGTCGTTTCCACCTGATCCTTCCTGCCATGCAACGGCTCCTTAACTGCTTGTTCGCTCGCACAAAAAAGCGTACACGGGCTATGGTGTCGGAGAAGAGATACACTCAACAACCATATTGGCTTGCACCCCTGCAGGCCGCTCACGCCGTGCACTTCACCCGTCTCCTCACATCACTCTGCGACCCGACCGTTTCTGCAGTGTCGAGACCCACCCAGACTGGAATTGGCCACGAAGGTCTGACTGACCAGACCAAGAAAGCTAAACGGATCGCGGGCCAATATCTCCAGTATCTCGTAATGGAGTATGCACAGAGCTCCCTGCGTGGCTCATTAACGCCGGAAGTTAAGGCTGCTATCCTGCCAGGTCTCTATTCTGTATTAGATGTGATGTCGCGAGATACGATGCGGGCCCTGAATGCCGGATTAGATGTATCCGGACGTGCGATCTTCAAGAGCCTTTATGATGACTACGTGAAGTTCGGCAGATGGAATAAGGGTTAGAGGCACTTGAGTATGTGAAAGTAGGGAAGTGGAATATAGGTGGGGATGGGGCTTGTCAGTAGTTATTGATACATTCTAGCGAACCAAATAGATCTCGTCTACATGTCAATACCAATGAATGGATGACAATACGCATGTCCCAGAACTCGTCGCTGATATGTTTATACATAGCAGCATTGCTTACAATGAAATTGTTTGAAAACCACATTCAAACAGTAGCAAACGTAAGTACAGGAGCGAAGCCATGGCCTGATTCCGTAGACTTCATAGACCGATAGTCCTTCAGAAGAATAATCGGAACTGAGGCCTTTCACCAAATATAAAATACTACTGGCTTATTCAACCCTAGGATAGTGCATGAATTAGGGCAGAGGTAAGTAAGGTATATATTTCACGTCAAATCAGGCAAGAGGTTAACGGATGTTGGAATGCTAGGAAGTGAAAAGATCAAATAGCTGTGAACTATTGAATACGCCCATGATATTGCCTAATACCGCATGCAGATGACATATACCTAGTGAATGCCCGCTTTGTGGAATCAGGTGGGATATTGAACACTGTCGCAATCCGGCCTCATAGAAAAATATTAAATATTTCTAGTAATTTTCTAAGCCTTTTCAGTATTTTTTTTATTGTTGTTTAATAAAAGGGGGCTTGTCGGACCTAGAGGACCTTTGTATTGGTTTGCCTATATAAAGAGCCTTGCCTTACCTACCCCCTCAGATAGTTCTAGTTAAGCATCATCAGACAGTGGAATTGACTGTTTTCTAATTTTAGACATATTCCACATAAAAGGTCTCATAATTCCTACCTAGATAAGCCTTCTCAATAAATCTGATTGTTGTGATATCATCTACTTCCATTCGTATTATTGCCATATTCTTCTACACCTCACAAAGAAGCTACTCTACTAAACTAATTGAAAACAAAATAGAAGCGTATACCTAATACTTTAACCAGCTGACTACCTGATAAAGCTCTTAGTATACTCGCCTTAGCTTCGCCATCACGGCTACTACACTCAAACTGCACGTTAAGGTGCGAGTTCATCGCTGGAAGCCCGGCCCGAAGATCCTGGGCACCCACTGTCCATAGGACTTTGGCAGGGAACGCATTAACGTTAAAGTTCACTATCCGAACTGTCCGGGAGTGGGGGCAACTCCTGACCCTCAAAGGAATCATTCACCATGGTGTCTGTCCTCCATGGTTGGGGGCAGGGGTGGCTCCTTGGGTCGCTGGGGCGGGACCTGAATCCCCACCCCCTTGCTGATGAACATGCGGCTGCGGCTGCGGCTGCGGGGCCAGCTGGAGGGGCATATTCACTCCCTGATCCAGCGTCTGCGAAGTGAGAGCGAGATGCTGCTCAACCTGCTGCTGCTGCCGCCGCCGACGTCTACGCTCCTGAGGGAGGCGGACGTCGACCCGTCTGTTCTTCCGTCCTTCACCTTTCACGGCTGCGGGAGCAACCTGGTAGGTGGGTGGACACGAGGTATGGCGGTCAGAGCTCTGGCGTTTCCACAAAACTCGTTCTACCATCGTGTCAGCTTGCTCAGACAGACTTTCTGCACAGTCCAAAGTGTTACTCACCAGAACCTCGATGGCGTTCATATATGTCCGCTCGTCGTGCTCATCTCTAGTGCGGTCGTCCTTGCCACAGCGACCACACGGCTTATGCTTGTGCTTTCTCTTTTGCTGCTGTCTGTCTGGAGGGGGGTTTGGCCAGTATCCGCCACCAGGTTTACCCGGCGGGGGGGCAGGAGGGCCCTCGAAGTTATCCACCACAGCAGCCATGGCAGATGCGGAGCGGAAGAAAGGAAACGGGGAGAGAGTGATAAACACACACCTTAGATGGGAATAAGTAAAGCCGCGTGAGAACTAGTAGTCGCCGAAATAAATCGAAATGACGGTGAAGAGGGATGAAGAAGAAAAGGAAAAAGGAAAACAAGAGGAAAGATAAAGAAAGTGAGTGTTGAGCCTAGCAACGCAACATAGCGCGTCTAGCCACTGCGATTATTCACTTTCACTGCTATGGGACAGTCCATGATTGGGTACTGCACTCCGTGGATGTGACATTTCATCAATCTCCCTACAACTCCCCTCAATAACCGAAACAGATCTCACCTACCGTAAGACAGTAGAGCAAAACAGAGTTGTTGATAAGAACGAAAATATATAACGAAGATAGGCCTAGATAGACTCTGATAAATCAATTATCCATAGCACCAGTACTGCGCCGCGTACACCTCCTAGAGCTGTTTTTCCTGGTCTTCACAATTAGTTGTAGACTGACGAAAACGATAAGCTTCCTGCTCGTAGACTCATCTGTTAATTTTCCGTATTGAATGTGCTCACTTGACCATCTTACCTGAATTACCTGGCATCGAGCTTCAGCCATGATGTATCCTCCTCTTGAGGAGCGGTAACGCTACTGGCCTTATTCGCTTCCATCCAGTTGTGATACCCGCCAAATTAAAGAAGGGTATGTCAGCACAGGTAAAGTACTGCTCTCCCAGGAAGACGCCTTTAGCCAACACTGGGAAGATACGGTTCGTAAGCAGAGCCAGGAAGTCAACAGTGGTGGGAGGAATGTCGGCAATCATGGGTGGGGAAGCCGTGGAGTATCTCTGATATCCTTAGAGCGAGGTAGGAGGAGCGTCGAGGAGTGTAGCAACTGCATATATGACCACAGGAGCCGCTCCTTCATTGCCGGTTGCGCAGCTGTAGTTCTTGTGTTCCACGACCCACTGTCAGGTACTTGAAATTAACCCCATCGGAAGGGGAGGAAGTGTGGGTTGGTACTGTAGACTAGCAAGGTCGCGTTAGTTAGCCAGAGGGCAATTGGTCATCCGGAAAGCGTCGAGCCCTTTGGGGGATATTGAAAAATGGGTTGACCAGCTGTCCTTGACGTGGGAACTGCGTGCACAGAGAAGATGGTTAGCTCCTCACGCACCATATCATGGTTTCCAAGAAGACGTTAAATACGAAAGAGACAACGGTGTACGTACTGATTGATAGCTCAAAGTTGAGGACCTTACGGCAAAAGCTACGCAAAGAAATTGGGGAACGGTGTTGCTATCACACTAGGAGGGAAGAGTCGGCGGGGGAAAGAAGGGGAAATGAATAACAAACAAACGACTTGTAACCACCGTTTCCTCTATACATAGAAACCTGGACAGAACTATTCGAGGATGAAGTTAGAGGGCGATAATTTGGAGATTTAGATAGAATGGAAAGCAAATTATTTGGTACCGTTAGGAGGTGCTTCCTTAAAAGCTTGCCTAATTATGGGAACGCTAGAAAATGAAACGATCAAATAGCTGCGAACAGAAATGTTTAGGCCCTTATACTCACGTGCATTCAATGCAAGGTTACTCCACGGATCTGGGGAAATTGCATTCCCGCCGGAGTTTAGCAATTGATCTGCGAGTGTTGGGTACTCGTTGACATATAGTAACTATACTGTCATGTTTTCTGCCTAACATTTGCTTTGTTTGCCAAACCTGATCCTTTCTGTTTAACCTCTATGTTGATAGCAAACATGAGAGTGCTACTCCATATGGTGGGAGTCAATCATGGAGAACGCAAGGGACCATCAAGATATCTATCCTGATAAACGGGATTTTTGACGCCGTAAGAGTGCCTTGTACGTAGAATAGTGGCAACAGGTTTTTCTCTCTCTGTGGTCCGGAGCTCAAAAAAAAATTTTGAAACAATAACCATACGATGAGGAAGGATTTGCCTATCGGTGCTAGTTAAAAAAAAACACGGAATCAGAGACTGTTAATCAGCTCTTTTATGGGGGTCTAGAAACGTACCAAGTACGGAGTAGCACAAGGATTCCCCGTAACCCACACGTGACTGTGGGGTTATCCGTTATCGCCCGGAGAAAAAAGAGAAAGAAAAAGAAAAAAGAAGTATTTTTCCTTTGCTTACTCGATCTGATCGAGTCAGCAAGGGGAAAGCCGATGAGGCAGCGATTAGATATGCCCAGCCCGCCCGCCCCGCTGTGGCTCCCTTTGGTTCTATCTTATAGGCTGGCCCACCCTACGCCCTGTTTGCGGAGAGCTTATCGCAGATAACGAAGAGCTCTTACTCGAGAGAATCGAGCAATCAAAAAGAAAAAGAAGTTCAATGGACGCTTGGCGAGCGGCTCATGGAGGGTGATAAGGAACGTCATGGCGCAGCAATCAGATGCCTCCATCGGCCATTTTCTTACACACTCTTATCAGCTTCAGGTTCGTTGAACTGTCGCCCAGGGATTATCTCTGCTCATATGGGTCGATACCGGGTTTCATCACGCCCGTGATTGGCCGGATGGGGCTGGTCATGACGATGGTGCCTTCCACATCCTCAGGCTTCACCTTTGTTTGAAATGGATTTAAAAAGAAGTCGGGACGAGGGGTGGTTGGCGGGCAGACGAAGTACACAGATTGTCATACGTCTCTCGCCCATCCCTCCTCAATTCATTAGAATATCTCTATCCTTACTACAACCTGAATACAGTTTCTACCGACATTCTATCCTTCTTCGAACCCTAACCCCCCTTCCCCTCACACCCCTTACGACTACTGGAATCTTCCACCCAAGTCCTACCTAATCTTTTCGTATTCCTTCCCACTGGTGCAGCAGAGAATGGCGCGAATTAAGGAATGGGTCGAGAAGCTGGAGGTGCCATCCGAGCCCGGATTGACGAACGCCCAGATGATGTTGACGAACCATGACTTGCGGCCAGGTGAGATCATTTGAACTGGCCGGCGGATCCCTTCGAGACGCCTCTTACTGCCTCTTTCCTTTGTTCCCTACGATTCATCCACAGAGGACGAGTAGAGCTGACCGTATGCACCGTTGGTTTGCGTCGCGATTTACAGTTGACCCGGAGCGTCGTCAATGGAAATGGTTCAACTTTATTGCTTTCTGGATTGCAGACTCTCTGAATATTGTGGGTTCTGGTGCTCTTTGTCAGGACGGGAGGGGCAATGCTAACAAATCTGCCAATAGAACACTTGGATGATCTCGTCCTCGATGATTGTGGATGGTCTGTCTTGGTGGCAGTCATGGATTTGTGTCTGGGTCGGATACTTCATTGCCGCCTGTTTTGTATGTATGACGGGTCGCATCGGCGCCGTGTATCACATCTCGTTTCCTGTCGTGTGTAGATCCACGTTTGGAATTTGGGGTTCGCTCTGGCCCGTTTTCAATCGAGCTGCAATGGCGGTGATATGGTATGGTGTGCAGGGTTTCATCGGAGGTATGCACCTGTCTCTTGCCCACCAGAGACTGTCACAGGCTCGTCTAACACCAGAACAGGTCAGTGTGTGACATTGATGATCAGCTCAATTTGGCCCAGTTACAACCGCCTACCCAACACTATCCCCGCCAGCTCGGGCGTCACGACGAAGGACTTTGTAAGCTTTTTTCTCTTTTGGCTACTCTCACTGCCGGCCCTTTGGTTTCCCGTCCACAAAATCCGGCATCTCTTTACCGTCAAGGCGATCTATTCGCCGATTGCCGCCATCGCGTTCTTCGCCTGGTCGATCTCACGCGCCAAAGGGATCGGCCCCATCGTTCATCAACCGCATACCGTACACGGTAGTGCGCTGGCTTGGGCGGTGGTGAAGGCGATCATGAGCTGCTTGGGCAATTTTGCTACGCTCATTGTGAACGATCCGGATTTTTCAAGATTTGCCCGGAAGCCAAAGGATGCACTGTGGTCGCAACTTCTTACCATCCCCATCGGCTTTGGAATTACCTCCTTCATCGGTATCATTGCGTCCTCATCCTCGGCGGTGATCTTTGGTGGAGAGATGGTGTGGAACCCTCTGGACCTGTTGGGAAAGTTCCTGGACGGTGCCAGCTCGGCTGAAAGGTTTGGAATCTTTGTGATCTCCACTGGGTTTGCTTTAGCTCAGTTGGGAACGAACATTTCGGCGAACTCAGTTTCCGCTGGTACGGATCTGACGGCATTGGTTCCTCGCTATCTTACGATCCGGCGCGGAAGCTATATTTGCGCTGCTGTTGGCTTGGCTATGTGTCCGGTAGGTAGCCTCAAGCATCGCGTGTGGTCGATATGAAGCTAACAGGGATGTAGTGGAATCTCGTGTCATCATCCAACAACTTCACAACATACCTCTCGGCTTACTCAATTTTTCTGTCGTCCATCGCCGGTCCAATGCTGTGTGATTATTACATCGTCCGCAAGGGTTATCTGCGGGTCAACGATCTATACAGTGCTCGGAGAGACTCTCCATACCGATTTATCTACGGCTTCTCCTGGCAGGCATATGCCTCGTATCTCGCGGGAATTCTCGTCAACATTGTGGGTTTCGCCGGTGCCGTTGGACGTAAGGTGCCCGTGGGTGCCCAGTACATATATAACGTCAATTACTTCTCGGGAGTCGTTGTGTCTGCCCTCATGTACTACATCCTGACTCGGTTCTTCCCCGTTCCCGCGACGAGCTCCACGTGGTGTGAAGTCGATCAGGATGTAGACAGCCTTGCGGGTGAAGAAATTGAACCGTATGATGTACCTGAGCCAACGAAAGCAGATCATCTGAATTACGGAACGCTCCAGGAGTCAAAAGCACCGAAGGCTGGGTCATCGGCTGTTTTATGATTAATGAGACATGACTTGTTTTACTTGTGTTTCTATGTTTGACTTCATTCTTATTTGACCTTAATAGAACCGGGGGGTTTTTTTTGTCACACTTACAGCGGATAGTTGGGTAACTAGTATTGATTTTTATGGAATGCGAGGATTCTTCAATTGATTCATATATCACTATACGCAGATCCTTCTACCAAATTACGCAATCTCGGACAACATTTTGGGCCAAAATAGATTCCACCGTACAGATCAATTGTGTAGATCACTCTGCACCAAAAAAGACCCACCAAATCCACAAGTCCTAAATTCAACTTATATATCCCTTGGACATTTTCATAACATCATCCATTCATTCCACATCCATCTCCCGCTTTAGCGAGTAGTATATCCACCATTAGCAAAGATCGTCTGACCTGTGATCCACGCGCCATCCGTGCACAGGAACCGAACAATCGGCGCAATATCCTCGATCATAGTCAGACGGTTACCCATGCCATTCGCCTTATGGAACTCGACCGCCTCTGGGGATTCCTGGGGGTAGAAGAAGGCTATTGTCGAAGTTCATTAGATTTTCTTTCTTTCGGTCTTTCTTTTTACAAGAACGGTATTGTAAGAAGAGGACTAGACTTACGGGTATCCATTGGACCGGGAGCGATATTGTTGACGCTGACGCGGCGAGATTGGAGTTCTTTGCAGACGCCTCTGGGGGATGGTTAGATTGTGTTTCTTGAATGGAGTGAGGATATAGTAACGAGGAAGAGTAGCTTAGATACATACCGCGTAAAATGCTCCACGGGAGCCTTACTCCCCGCATAAGAAGTATAGTATCCCGTAAAAGCCCCCAGAAGGGCCGTGACAATCGTGATGATCTTCCCGCCATCCGTAACATGCGCGGCGGCCTCCTTGAGTACGAAGAATGCTGTCTTGGAATTGATCCTACCATTACCAAGGTTATTAGCCCACTGTCTCCTCTTGTTTCTAGGCTTAGGCTTGGGCTTCTTTCAATGCATATGAGAAAGTAAAGGCGTCGACAGAAGCGACAAGGATAAGAACGGGGGCGGGGGCGGCAGGTCAACATACGCAAACATCGAATCATACTCCTCCTCCGTGATCTCCGTGATCGGTTTCTTGAGCACCTTGCCCACGGTATTCACTACGATGTCGATGTGTCCGAAGTCCTGGAGGACATCTTGGAAGAGCTTGGTCACGGCACCGGCGGTAGTGAGGTTACCCTGGTAGAAGCTGACTTTGATGGAAGGATACTTCCCCTTCAGCTCGGCTTCGAGGGTTGAGGCGTCGGCTTTGCTGCTGGAGGAGTGGTAGTGGAGCGCGAGGTTTGCGCCGACGCTGGCGAGGTCGCGGGCGGTTTGGGCGCCGAGGTTTTTGACGCCACCGGTTATGAGAGCAGTTTTGCCAGTGAGAGACATTTTTCAGAGATGTAGTTGGAGGTAAGGGGTGTGTTTCAATTGTAGAGTAAGTAGTATTGCTATAATTTGTAGGACTATTGTAGATGAAGAGGAACGAGACATGGTTCTTATATAACTGGGATCCGGGGCCTTTATAGCTGCTCATGGAGACACAGTTGTGGTACTCCGGATATACGGCCCTATACAACCATGACTGATAGTGACCATTTCTGGCGTTAAGGGAACTAAGTGACGTTTCCTTGAAGGATGTTAAGAAATTAAGTTAAGTATGTGGTATCCGGAAAGGGTAAGCGGGACGTAACGATCGGACTCCACTTTGGTAGTTCTGGTGTCGTGGTTGGTGGAAGCCATTGCGGGTCTTATGGATACATGGTACGGGCTCGATCAGTGATGTCCGATTTGGGACATCGCACACTTAATCCTGGTGTCTTCCAAGGTTCATATCTGAGATTATAACCACGATGAAGGTTTCGTCATGAGACATGACATCCAATGGGAGAATTCCCTCATGGGTCGGTTACGCGATCGTTGAGGCATACAATCTGATTGATCATCGACGTTTAACCGAATAGAGTGTGGTCCGTCCACGAGTGATATCCCAATTCAGAAATGATTCCGGGCTCAAAGACACGTTGCATTGTTCAAAATGACAAATTTCATTAACTCCAGATGCCCGAGCTATCCCACGCTATATTATACACATACATATATACAGAGGTATATCCCAGCCCTATACTCAATCACGAAGATGCTAGAAAATGACCAGGATTCGGATCGGGGAGAGCCTGACCCGGCACGAAGGTAGCGCCAGGGAAATACAGCGTCGATCCGTGCAGGAAGGCAGCGTTGCGGTCAATCCAGACCACAATTCGCCGGAGCAAGCCGTTCAGACCGAGTGCTGTTAGACCGCCTCGTAGTCCGACGGCTCGAGTGAGGCCCTTCATGTGCACGCTATAATTATCTATGTTCCCGAACATCGCTTCATAACTTCCCATCTTCGCTATAGCACCTACCAGCGCATCACTTACCCGGTCCGGTCGCTGATACTTTAAGGAGTCGTTGATGGCTTGTACCGCTTCACAACGGAGGCTGAGGAGGTTTATCTTCATATCCGCTGTGTGCTCGTTCAGAGATGCATAATGGGATGCTGCGAGCAGCATGATGACTAGGAACAGCGCAGGCTCACTCATAACCAGAGGAAACCAACTTGTTCTCAAGAGGCCCTTGTTCCCTGGTAGATCGAGCTCGGGGATATCCACAGCCATGTCCATCAGATCTTGGGGTATCATCAGTACAGCTCTACTCGCTATGAATGGATGATGCTAAGCCCACACTCACAGTGATCCACAAGAACTGGCACGAATGGTCTGAAGTCGATCGGGTAGGATCGAAAAGGATCGACTCGAAGTCCCCCTAATTGAAACGGGAAAGGGAGAGTGGAGGAGTGGCCCGAACTGTCATGGAAATCGGTTTCTGAGTCGCTTCGGGGTTGCCAGGCTGGACAACAGTCTGCTCCCATGCAGATCGATACCACTGCGTTTCTTTTTCGCTTGAGGGATGGGCGGTTCTCAGCTTGCTTCCACTGATACCGAGCCACGTGGGATCGAATTTCAGGCTCCTTAGCGAGTTGAAGAGCATCCTTCGGCTCCTTGACGTTTATGAAAACAAATTCCATACCCATCTTGCCTTAGTTGCGAGGAGGGGAGAAGGATAAAAAGAGTTGATCGACTTGTGTGTATTTCTTTGTGGGTGTGCTCTGGTGCTGTACTAAAAGTGTAGTAGTTCAAATGAATCCTACGAAAGGATAATCATCATTTGACAACTTTTGTTTTTGTTATTGTTTTACTTTTCCGAGTTGTCCGTTCAGGAGAGAAAACACGGGGAGACCAGAATTTAAGGAGATGGAACCGGTACTCTTACAGTGTGGTTGGATATGATAGGGAAGAGACGGAGAAAGATAAAAGAGAGGCAAGAGGGGAGAGATTCGGTCGAGGTCTCAGCCGTACCCGGATCAGATCAGACTAACCCTCTGATGAGAAAAAAAGATTCCCTTAATGTGGAGGAAGCCCCACCGTTCCAGGCCAATGACAGTCCGGTACTCCCTCTTATGGTGTCGAACTACCAACTCTGGTCTCCTCCATTACCTTCTTCAGCTGAGTTTAATGTGAATTCAACTGGACGATCTTCCCACAATATAATTCATCTTTGGTGAAATATCTTGACTGGTCTGCAGGTATGGAACGGATAGTCTTTCGGAATCCTTTTCCTTACAGTCTGTTGTTGATTGGGAATGCAGCGTTGCTCTCAGAACGCGATGCCAACTCGTTGATGATTCTATACAATTTGAATATCAGCCCCTTATGACCACCTTCGATGGGCTAGATCGGAATCGTATCTCCACACGGCACAGCTTTATGGCTTGAGCTCTTAGTCTCGCTCAATGATCCCCATGATAGTTAGCTCGGTTTGAGGGAGAGCTTCCCCCGGTCAGCTCGTTTCAATAGTTGCTTCATTATGCCTTGAGCCATGGCAAAAGCACCCTTGTATTACTGAACAGGGGCAAACAACGGGGCTGGCGGGTTAATTTGAGATGTCTTGGAGTTGGAGCACATTGCGCCCGAGTAGGGCTCTATCCCAGTCCAACAACTTCCTAAACGAATCATGAGAGCATGCCTGGACCTGGAGATAGTGGCTTTCCTTGCCGTGGAAGAGGTTTGTTACCTCTCACATTATCCACCAGGAGTCATCGGCTTTTCCTATTGGTCTTGATATAAACTGTTCCCAAAAAAAAAGCTAGTCAAAATGATGCGTGTTCGGCTTTATTCTATATCTTGCTGCTATCTCACCAAGTCTTCGTCGAATTATAATTTCGCTCCACAGTCTACTGTTAGTATGGGACGGAAAACCTGGGTCAGGATACCATTGGGTGCCTATATTTCATTATTCTATTTTCATTATTCTGGAACGATATCTCCAAGTCATGACTTCGAACACGAGCCACGTGCCCCATGTGACCAGAGTGGGGTCTAAAAACAATGACAGCTGACGAATCCAACCTTACTTGTTCGACCATATCTTCGCCCACTTGATCTTGCTATCATGTACTTAAGTACGATCGCTGTCGTCGCTCAGTGTATCCTAGCCGCGTTTGTGGCCCGGGTGATCTACCTGTGCTACTTCCATCCGCTCGCGCGCTACCCCGGGCCTTTCTTAGCCCGCTTTACCAATCTCTGGTTCGTTCTCGTGTCCTCTCCTACCAAGCTAAGTGCTTTTAATTGCCAAGTGAACTAATCGATCTACCCGAAGGCGGCTTTTCACCTTTCTTGGCGGTCAACATCATCTCTCAGAACAGCATCTGCATGAAAAATACGGCCATGTCGTTCGCGTAGCCCCGAATTGGCTTTCATTTTCAGGGATACAAGACTTTGATGCTATATACGGCTTTAATAAATCGGTCGAGAAAGATGACTTTTACACCTTTGGCCGTGGGAACGCCAACCGCGTACCCAGTATCTTTTCTACAAAAACCGATGCAGATCACCGACAGAAAAAACGTAAAGTCCTGGGCCCGGCTTTGACGAGCGCGAAAGTCGCTAGATATGAGCCTGTGGTAGCGAAGCATGTGAATATCTTGCTTTCGCGAATAGAAACCGAGTCTACGTTGCGACGAGTTGACAAAACAACCACGGTGAATATGGCACCGCTGGTGCATCGGTTCACTACAGATGCCATGCTCGAGCTTATCTATGGCCCTGAGGTTGTCTCACATCCGTATACCGACTCTGCCACCGGGGGTGAAATGTGCTCAACCTTGCGCAAGATGTCCAAGATGGCATGGAGTTTCTCGCTATGTCCAACCTACGGCAGGAGTATAAACAGCCGTCCAATAAGTGCACTGTTGCGCAAAGTGGCCAACAAGAAAGGTGATCTTATGGCGTTGACTGCTCTCATGGCTTCGAGCCACGTGTTAATATTTCGGCGTCGAGAGGTTAGCGAACCTGAACAGCCCGGGATTGTGCACAGCTGGTTGGGGGTTCCTCCTAATGACCCCAATCGTATGACTCAAGATGAAGTCTTTTCAGAGGCAACCAACCTGGTGTTTGCGGGGCCGGGTAGCATGGCCGCAGCTCTAACGGCCACCGTCTACCAATTAGGAACAGAAGCCGGCCAAAAATGGCAGGAGAAACTGCGAAAACAGACCGATGTATCTTTAGAGCTGCAGGCAGTGATTAAAGAATCTCTACGCCATCGCGCTGCGTTTCCTACAGCTTTTCCTCGGGTCATCACACCCGGCGCCGAAACCGTAGTCTCGAGTCTGTCAACTCCGCTTCCCGTTGGTACGACCGTGTCGGCAAATACCTATGTTCTAGGCCGGTCGCGTGAAATTTGGGGTGATACTGCAGATCAATGGCTCCCACAGCGATGGTTAGGAGATGAGTCGCAACGTCGGGAGATGGAAGCTAAACTGGTCGCCTTCAGCAAAGGGCCACGAGGCTGTGTTGGTAAAGATCTAGCTTGGCTGGTCCTTGCGAAAGCAGTCATGGCGATCATTCAACGCTGGAAATTTGCGAGCCTGGGGGAGCTACGGGGGAAGAGCTATCTGGAAATGCAATATGATGATTGCTGGATTCAATATGAACAAATAGCATGAACCTGCTAGTGTGGTATGATATTAACCTTGAACTTTTGGACAAACAAGTTGAATTAGAATGCATAATTAAAATATCTGATTACTGGATTTAATGGCGCTTTGAAACTGCTAATTAGAATACGCTTCGCTTGTTTGCTCAATTGACTATCAATGAAGGCCTATCTAGGTCACCATGAGACTATAGATCTATGGCAAAGATTTTGAGCTCTTTTTTTCTACTCAACGCAGGCGCCTATTAACTAAACATGGTCCTATGTCTGAGAATCTAAGTAATATGAGGTCGTATTCCACGAGATTGACCACTCTGTGACTCATGAAGTGGGCTAGTGGTTGTCTCCATTTTGGGAGCCCGACGTTGATGCCAAGCCACAAGTGAGGTATATAAAGATCGAGAGATCTACACCAGAGCGATCCACTCCATCCCCACCTAAGGCAAATTAGTTCGTCTTCTCACGGCATAATAGAAATCAAGATTTCACCAGCACACAATCTTTCTCTCTTTTTCTTTTCACCGTCTCTTTCCCCCCCTCTCTCTTCGACTCCAACGAGGGGTAAACATACTACGTCATTGCTTTTCTTATCTTCCTACTAATCTCTCTTTATAACCCTTCGACCTGTTCCCCCTCATATCTTCCATCCCAAGAGACATCATGTCTACCCCAGGGGCTCTTCCTCAGACCCTTCGTTCTATCACTGATATCAAGATTAGTGAGCTTTCCAAGCAACGCTCGCTGTTTCAGAAGCAACGAGAGCAAATTCTCAAAGCAGCAGCAAACGCTCCCGACTTGCGATCTAAGGCACAAGTCCTCTTGGAAGGAGTCACCAAGCTCAATGGCTACGCGAACGACGCTTTCGACCGGGAAGATCTAGACACGTATCCCGAAGAGCCTGAGACTACGGTGGAGAATGGGACCGCCCGTGCCGCTCATGTCAATATTCGTCGCTTTCTTCTGCAGAGCCAGTATGACCCGTCGGTGTCAGATCGAAGCCTTAAAGGTTGGGTCGCGCAGCTTGAGGATGAAGTCAAAGTTTTGCAACTTCGCCACGAACATGCTTCCTTCTATAGCAGCCTCGTTACAGAGTGGTTGGCCAACCTTGAATCGGAGGGAGACTCCGCTGCCGCGACTGAAGAGCAAGGCGCCGGACTCGAGCCGGTGGGACGTGCTGAAATGCATGAGCAGCGAGCAACTTGGGAGCAGTATGTGTTCCACGAGGCGAGCGTGGATGAGAAAACGATCAATGCGTACCTTGACCAACTCTTCACAAAGACGAACTTATCTCAGCAAGCATTGAAAGATCTACGCCTGAAGATAAAGACCTTTGGAGATGAACTTACGGCGAAAAGGACGTGGTTTACCGTTGATGACCTTAAGTGGGTGAGCAAGGCACTCCTGAAATCGGATCTTCTCACCAGGGAAAAATCAGCCATCCTGAAGGACTTCATGCTCAACAAGTCTGTTGCCCAGGAGGTAGCGGACGTTTTGAATATGCGCCTTGCGTCTCTAGAGAGCTGGCACTGGCCGTCCGAAGGCGTCCCTATGGAAATGCGTCGTCACCTAAACGGTAAATACCGGATGTTCATGGATGAAGATCTGTTGGACAGTCTTCTTTTCCAATATCTCGGGCTAAAGTGGGCGGTGACTTTTCGCTCTGCATTTGTCAACTTCCAGGGCACTCGCGCCTGGAAAAACTTGCGCGAGTATATCCCTAAGACGGAGAGGGTACGACGTCAACATTTCCTTGGCAAGGAAAGGCGTTATGGCATCAGTTGCGTGAATGATTACAGACGCGATACGTACAAGACCCAGTACTTCATGACTCAATTGCCTGCCTCGGTAAAATCTGGCACACGAGAATATGATGATGACAACGACTTCACCGACGTTGTGGAAAACAAAAAGAACGTCCTAGAAACGAAGCACTCACTCCTTCATCTTCTGATTACTGAGTCTATCATGCACACCAGGCTTCATGGACAATTCACGGCCATCCAGTCAGATTTCAAGTACTTTGGCCCGTCTCTCCCACATACCACGATGCTCACAGTGTTGGCCTACTTTGGCGTGCCACAGAACTGGCATGATTTCTTCAGGAGGTTTTTGGAGTGCCCTCTCAAGTTTACTCAAGATGGGCCGGATGCCGCGGTGCAAACCCGCAGACGCGGGATCCCCATGAGCCACACCCTCGCGGACTGCTTCGGGGAGGCTGTTCTGTTCTGCATGGATTATGCAGTGAATCAGAGCACGGATGGCGCATACTTGTATCGCTTACACGATGACTTCTGGTTTTGGGGCCAGGAGACGACCTGTGTCAAAGCGTGGAAGACTATGACTGAATTCACTCAGGTAATGGGCCTTGAATTTAATGAAGAGAAGACCGGGACGGTGTGTCTCGAGAATAAAGATAAATCTGTCCAACAGCCATACCAAGGCTCGTCTTCCTCCACAGAGCCCGGGAAACCCGACGCTTCCGACTCCCTACCCACCGGCGATATTCGATGGGGTTTCTTGAAGCTTGATGCCGAGGAAGGCCGATTTATTATTGATCAAGAGCAAGTGGACAGCCACATCTCGGAGCTACAGCGTCAGCTCGCCGCATGCAAAAGCATCTTCTCCTGGGTCCAAGCATGGAACAGTTACTTCGGTCGCTTCTTCGCCAATAATTTCGCCAAACCGGCCATGTGCTTCGGACGGAGCCATATTGACATGGCCATCTCCACCCTTAGCCGTATCGAACGCACCCTATTCCCCGATAGTCCCAGCGGAGTCACTGATCATCTTCGGAAGACAATTGCCGAACGGTTCGATATCCACGATCTCCCGGAAGGCTTCTTCTACTTCCCTGTTGAATTCGGTGGGCTAGAGCTCACGAACCCGTACATCCCCCTTCTCGCCATGCGCGAGGACATCAAGCAAACGCCCTCCGGCCGCCTCCAAATGGCCTACACCGAGGACGAGACAGAATACCACGCTGCCAAAGAACGATTTGACCGAAACGGGCCTGAAGAACCAGCCTCTGCTGAAGTTTTCGGTGACGATGAGGACCCAACCGCTTTCCTCTCTTTGGAAGAGTACACACGGCATTCAGAGACGTATAGTCGCAACCTTCTCGACGCATACAAGGATCTCATCGGCGTTCCGGAGGAACTGATGATCAACCAGTCGCCGAAACTCCGCTGGAACCAAATGATGCTGGACAGGGGCATCAGCACCCGTAATGTCATTTCGGATTCGTGGAGCTCCATGTCGTCCTACTGGAAGTGGACAGCGGAGCTGTACCAGGGAGAGATGCTGAAGAGGTATGGAAGTTTGGCCGCGGTGAATCGGGAATTCATGCCATTGGGAGTTGTGCAGACCCTGAAGGAAGGGAAGTTCCGGTGGCAGGGCTAGTTAGTTTGTTTTAGTTAGATACCATCATATCGTGTTATATTTTCTAGGCAATAAAAGTCCGCCTTCAGTCGTGTCGCTCATACTTGCTTCTTATCAAACGATTAGATATATCCTGGCAACACATACCCAGCAAGCAACAAACCAAACATCACTCTCTATACCCAGCCTCAAACTCATCTAAAAGTCTATAAAGCCGCTTCTTCTCCTCCTCACCCCCAAAGATCACCCGAACCCCCTCCCGACATATATCCACGACATCAGCACGCGTAAGATCAAAATGCTCCGCCGCAATCAAATACTCATTCGACACGGGACTACAAAAAAAACCCACATCATCCGTCTACCAACACCAACACACACATCACACATATTAGCATGATCAATCACTCACTCCCAACCATACCCCCTCCCAAGGGCAAAAAGGGGCAAAAAAGAAAAACTCACACAAAGCACAACCGGACACTCCCCAATCCCCCTCCAATGCCCGAAATGATGATCCAGAAAACCCCCCTCAAACAACCTCGCATGGACATTACAAGAGATACACAATTCCAACGCCACCCCGCGTCTCACAATCTCCCTCTTAATATCCTCCCCAACATGAATAACATGGCCGAGCCGATCCGGCCCAAATCCCAATAACGTTTCTAACTCCCCCTCCCTCGCTGGCGTCTTCACCTCCCCGAAATGCACCGTGACGCCTAGACCCCCGGCCTTGGCTTTGGCGAGCGCAGGCCCGAAGATCGCAACGTCGCCTTTACTGGGATTACCGGCTATGTCGACGCCCACGACCAGCGGTTTGAGGGAGAGGGCTAGGTCGACAATGGCAGAGGCGTCGGGGGCGGAGTGGTGGCCGCGGTCTATGGAGAGGATGAGGCGGGTGGTTAGGGCTGGGTTTGCGGATTGGAAGGCGGTTATTGTGGAGAGGATGGTGGAGAGGTAGGCTTCCTTTGTGAAGCCGGGGGTGGAGCGGGGGATGGTGCGGAGTTCGAGGTATTTGACGCCGTCGCGGAGGAAGTCGGTTAGGACGGAGGTTGTGGCGTATTTTATGGAGGGGAGATCGGTTAGAAGGTGGTAAGTTAGGTTGCTGAAGGTGTTGAAGAAGCTGAGTTTTGGGTTGGTTCGTTAGATGTATATTCTATGGTGGAGGTGATTTGGGGCCGGGGACGGACGTTTCGAGGGTGTAGTCTACTTTGCCTGGGGGCATTGCGAGGAGGGGGTCTTCAAGTGAGAATGTTGGGTCTGCGGTGCATTTTTGGAGCCAGAGGTCATGGAGACATTGCCGGCTTATACTACCGCTCAGATGGGCGTGGAGCTGGGGGTTTGGTTTGGTTAGGTTAGTTGGCGGTTGGCATTGAAGTTGAGGATGTGCGGGGTATGAGCTTGATAGGGATATACTAACCTCGATTTTGGGGAGGGCTTTGGTAAAGGATGCGGTGACCAGTTTCGTGGGGTCCATTTTGGGATCTATGAAGTTTTTTGGTTCATGGGATAGTGAGTGAGGTTAATAATCTATAATCTATGGTGGGTTGTGTATGGGAAGTGGTGGTCTTTGAATGCGGGAGAGAGGTTTGGGTCTGCAGGTGGCTCGTTTGTCTACTTTTGTCTATTTCTCTTTCCTTTTTCTTTTTCGTGTCAACTCCCTTAATGATGATGTCTTTCGTTAGGGTTTACCGTTTGCGGAAATATGATTCAGATGAGGTGATTATTATGATCCATGGTTCTAAGTAGATTCTTGGGTTAACCTCGTGCTCAATTGCTCATTTGGTCTTTCCAAGTTCTGATCCTACTTGGTGATATATATATGAATATCTTCTATTGAATACGCCCATGAAATTACCTAGTATTGCAGGCACCTGACATATGCCTGGTGAATTAAAACCTACAGAAGTATGTGGATTGTTGAATACTATGGTAATCAGGCCACATATAAATGACCTCATGATTCCCACCTAGATAGGCCTTTGAGATAGTTTGATAGGGATCATAAAAACTCTGATCGTTTTGATATCGTTTAATACGAATATCTTACAAGCTATTCTACATCTTCAACGGCATAGCCTCGTTGACGATCTATAAAAAATTCCATATAACACCCATTTCACTTCACTAGAAACGTCACAGGGTTAGATATCCGTAATTTTCAAAGAGGAATAAGGTTACTCCATGTTTCATCTTCTGATACTCCGTCTTAAAAGTCTAATGGCTCAAATCCCGTGTTCAACGCCTCACAGAAACGTGACTCCTCAATGAATCGAAACATATATATAGTAAAATAAAAGGAGCCGCAGAACAGCCACTAGGGCCATACAAGTCTTATACGGAGTAAGCTGTTACATGAATCCTAGTCCCTAACTACATTTCCGTGTCCCCCGTCGGACAGGCTCATCCTACGGGCCCGGGTATAGATTGCAGCCCAGCCACACGGGAAGCAAGCGTGTTTGATATGGTGATCAGGTGTGGAATGACTCCATCGGGTCAAGTGTGTTACTTGACAGCTCAAGACAAAAAAGGGCATTGTCCATGACGGAGCTGTTAGGTTCAGTAGAACGTTTCAGTTGAAACCGTCGGCTAGTTAGGATTGCAACTGGCATGTAGTCAGTACTCATCTAATCGGGAGTGGGTCTGGCGGCCGAGTGCTTGGATCGTTGGTCCCAAGATTTGGGGAAGAATGAAGCGTGATCGTGGATCGCCGTGTCACCATCTTCTTGGTCGGGACTGTATGTAGCCTCCCTGTTTGAGTTCTTCCGGCTTGCTATTAGAGCTTGTTTTTGTAATATAGTGCTATACTTTCTGTTAGTCCCACCATAGAAGTGCACGTATCCCTTGCCATTCATTGGCCTCTACTTCACGAGGAGTGCGCACAAAGGCAATTTAGTATGAGTCAATTAATTCTTGTCGCTTATACCCTGATCAGAGTGATTATTGCCGCAAAGCCTCCTCTCCTCGGCTTGTGGATGTCTCGATATTAAACATGATATCAAGATACCGTGAGATGTTCTTGGCAGATCCGCGCCACCCCAGTTTGCAATATCAATACGGTCGTGCTATTTACGCGAACTGGTATGAACATACGTTGCACTCATGTTAGCCAGTCTCGTGTAAATTGGAGCCTTGCTATCCAAAGTTCGGATCTAATGAAAAGTGGAGAAAAGCGGCAGCCAAAGGCCGTAAGGCAAAAGGTGGGAAGGTCAAAGAAAGAGGCGAGGGAAGATGTGGGCAAAAAAAAGAAAGAAAAAGGGGGGGAAAGGCACAACAACACATTTCCGGACAGGCCGCGAAGCCTTCAATCAAAGAATAATTTCCATCGTGTCGTGGTTAGGCCCAAAGACTCATTCGATATCGATTGACCTCGTTGGTGGCCTCCCCCACCAGGATATTCACAAGGAATTAGCTCCTTTCTTTAACTCAACTTTGTATGACTACTCAATACACATATTAAGTATATCTTTCTCCAAGACGTGAGCTCAATGCAATCGTCCGTGAAGCAGTTTTACGTTGCCTGCCAATGCGCCGAAAAGGTAATGGAACGTTACAGTGTTTCCCCCAGGATGCGGCGCAGCCCCGTAGCGCAGGCAAGATTCGAATCTGATAATCTGATGGCTCAATGTGCCCTACTAGTGTTATCCCCATTGGGTACTGCACATGCATTAACCAGCGTGTTGTCCCACAGCCTCCGTGGGGGCCTTTCACCCTGCTCCTAGTCATAAAAGTGGAAGACAGACGACAAGGACTTTCCGGTAGCACAGCACGGAGACATCCATAAGCCCTGACACCGTGCACTGCCTCCGAGTTTCCCGCGGTCTTGTACGTTGTGCGGGCTAAGTTGTCGAAGCATTCTAGAATAAAACATGCTCCGTACGTACCATGTGGATAATTAGACGACGGCCGTTTCCATGGAGGGAAAAAAGTCGTCCTATTTTTAGGTAGGGACCCGACACTGAGTCACAGCGGCAAAAAGTGGAATCCCAGCAATAGACAAAAGTTCGCCGTGAACCCGCTCATTGGCGATACCTTGACTTAGTTGACCCATTGCCGATGTAGCCAACTTCGGTAAAACCGATAATCGTCAAAAAATACTCGGTATCGTTCACTCGTAATGGTATTGACGTCAGCCGTCGAAGGTCCTTGGAGTGAATTCACGAGGCACAATACAAGGCTATTCTTGAATTTTGCTCCTTGTTTTTCCAGAGTTGTGCGCGCCGAAATGTTGCATATTCTGTACGGCAGTGGCGCAGCTATCGGTTCGGACCGAGAGTAAAGTGAAAGGCAAGAGAAAGACGTACGTCCACTCTAAAAAAAAAATAATAATAATAAAAATTAAATAAACAAATAGAAACAAATAAAGAGGGGATAGCAATGGCGAGCACAAAGACAAGCCTGTGTAAAATGGGAAAAATCACTTAACATCCATGTGCATATCTTGTTCTATACCTTCCAATCAAAGCGAGGCTACACCGTTTGACTGTGAGAGAGTTTATCTATGGTGAGCCAGACCAATGACGATTAAAGCTTCGGTGGCTCATTTAGGCATGGAAAGACCAAAATTAATAACGACAAAACAAACAAAATCAAGAAGCAAAAAGCAAAAGTAACTCGCGACAGGTTCACTATTGAGTGAGACAGGGCCAAACCTCAAATTACACCCTTGCGGCTGATAGTCGCGCAGCAACAAGCCCTACCATAGTGGGCCGGCCCTAATGCTCGACCCAAGAGTATCAATGGCTCGATATCAGTAACAGTTGATTTTCGTGATTGTGGCTTGTGTCGAGCCACGACAGATACTGATTGGCGAGTTTGTACAGAGTATCTCAAGCTGATACATATCTGACCGAACACACGTCAGACAGTAGTTGTTGATGTGAGGGAGGAGCAAGTAAGAGGGAACCGCCCTAGCGAGTGTCACGGATATTTTTTCTTTTCCCAGCCAATCGTGATATCTGTAAGCACGTGTGGAGTCCTGAAGTGATTGTGGATCCGCTAGAAGTGAGTTTCATCCAAATAGGCTCCCACCTCACACATCCCGAGGCAAACAACCAACCCGCTGATATATAGCCAGAAAGAGGGGGGGGTTGGGATCAGATTTAGAATGTAAAGAGCAACGAAAGTTAAAGGATAGTAAGGCAAACATTAGGCATTAATGGTCACGAGGCTCCATACGCAGGTAAGTTGCAAACAAAGGCGTTGCTCATGCATGCCGCCTTATAATAGGAGCGATTTATAGACTATCAGCAAGCCACGAGCACGTTGTCTGGCTGGCTGAGAAGTCAGGCATTTGTGAATCCGACTGGGCGATACGCTGCAATTCTGGGAAACAACCACAAGGGAATGATAGCCTGAGCGCGAACCCTGACAGCATGATTGACTGGGGTTAAGAGAAGGCTGAGAAGCATCGAAGGCGCATCGAAGGATTTGATGTGCACTTACCTGAACTGAGCCTCAGGCAGAGACTTCGTTGCACGAACGCCCTCCATTTCCTGGTAATTATTCCAACCCAAGATACAGTACGATAATACAAGGCTGGTACGCAACTCTGTTTTTGCCTTTCCCAATCTATCCGACAAACACGGGACGGTTTACTTGATTCACTTCCATTTTATTGAACTCGAAGGAAGGCTGAATATGGTAGTGATAACTGTGTAACATGGTTGAGTAATTCGCAGCACAAATGGTAATTTGTAATCGTGGGCTCATTGGTTTAACGGGCAGAAGATTACAGTTTTCTGACGAGGACCCCGGCTCTGGAGGCGCAACGTTCCATCCAGTTGGGAATGACTGGTTTGCATTGTAAATTATTAATTTCGGACCTTCTCTTTTCTCTTTGCTTCGGGCAGTCCGAACATAATCTCTGGCGGTGCCACCGGTACCTGAGTCACTTTCAAGTGGTGATGTATAAGACATTCAATCAAAATATTTGAGCAACGAGGGAATTTCTCTTTTCGTCAAATGATCTCCTGAAGATCAGAAGTTGCTAGGAGCTAAAATACACCGTCACTTGATAGTCCAGATAATACATTCGCTCTCAGTCCATTAAATCCGCAAACATTACCAAACAAGAACAAAGAAAGCAAGGCAAGAGAGTCAAGCAATGTTTCTAATCTCACAGACAGAATAGAATGTCCCTGGATTGTTTTACCTATGATAGGGAAATTGTTGTGCGATGACGCTACAGGGCCAAGAAAACCAGACCGGTTTGTTGCTCTGTATGGTCGTATGTATGGTATTTAACGGGCTAGCGTAATGACATGACAGCGAACGATGATTGTATACCGCGCTAATGCAGTTGATTGTGGTAAGATGGGTAACCACTATGCTGGGATAATCTCTCTCTTTTTTTCACAAATTTTTTTTAAATGAACTCCTTTTTAGATGCTTCTTCCGCTTCGGGTGGTGGGGAAGCACTTTGCGTGCTACCCTGTCTATGATGTCATCACAGTCTCGCATCATTTAATTGATCAACTAAAGCACTTAGTCTGTAGTTGACCCGGGTCCTACCAAAGTAAGTAAATTACCGATTGTGAGGAGGTGGGGTGTTGAAAAGAATCCACTCTGACTACATGCAGAATGAACATATTGAAACGCCAACAGCATTAATATACGCTCAATTGCGAATAAAATTATTAATAAATCTTTAACTAGATATTATAATTCGTCCTTTTAATATCTCGCAGAACATAGAGGGGTAAAATGGACCGCAAGAGATCAAACCACTCAAAGGAAGGGAGAGAAAGCCAAGGGAAAGAGAAAAAGAAAGAGGGTACCAGGAACTCCACAAAAATTATGATCAACTATGTCTGCCTACAGCGATATGGATAATGATAGGGAGCTAAACGACTGGAAAGGAAAAGCCAAGGGGTTTGCCCGTTGGATGGTGATCGTAGCCAGGGAGTCCTCGGATGCGAGATCCTCAGTGAAAGAATGGAAGGGGATTAGAAGCTGTCAACTTAGTGGTCGAGTGGGCCACCGTTTTGGAATCCTCCCCACGAGGCAGATGGCAATAAACCAATCACTGTTGTCGACTGGGTTCCCCAAGGATGGTGCCCGGCAGCGTTAGTCCACTAGTGCCTAAGGCTTTTTCAGGTTCTATCGTCAGACTACGCAAGGGTGTCACCACTAATGACGGTGGACAATTGGATGCTATAAGAAACCCCGACGACTGATCCTGCCCAAGACGAGTACTGCTAATGGGGTGGTAGACCGACCGGATAGGTAACAGGCTAATCAAATATGCGGATCCACCGTAATTAAATGAAGTATGTAGAAATGCAATGCTGAGACTTAAATTCCGTCACTATTAATGAAAGCAATGCTACGTTGATACTACTGTCTCAGGCAGTCAAGATTCAGAACCCTGAAAATTGCCCGGAATCTTGGTACCTTAAGTTTTAGCCTTCACTAGTACCAGGTCAGTAGCAAACACGGCCACCCTGGTAGCCGGTGCTCCCGGCGCGAATGAAATGATCCGCTACTGGTCACGGGCTCAGAATGGCCTGCTATCAAAGCGATGGTCTTTCGTGGCACGTCAGAGCACGGTTGAATGGTGCGTGTGGAGGAGGAGGTTCGGTTGGATTGGCAGTACGGAGAATTCCTACCTTTTCCCCCTCCTTTTCCCACCATCGATCATCATGATTGTCAGCGCGAGTTTGCCTGACCGGACTTGACATTCCAAAGCGGATGAGCCGATGGCATGATATTCTATTACCTACAGACAGACCTGCAGATACCAACCCTTCCCTGAGATTAAAATGAAGTAAAATAAAAAATAAACAAATTGTAAAGCAAGGAGCAAACGAGAGGTCATGAAGCACGCGAGACGGCGACAACCTAAAGCCACGAGCCCTATTTTTCCGTTCTGCTTCTCTCTGATCATCGCTGTCTATCGGTCGCATAATCGAGGAGGGGTCAAGGGTTTTCATCTTGTCTTTTCCCCTATGAGGTAACTACATATGTACATACGCGCAACTGAGTACATACAGTAAACGTTCTGAGAAGGTAACTACTACGAGCCTAGGACTCTAGGGCAGCCAAGACAGAGCGGAACAACACTCCAACGGAGGTTTAGGCCCCTTATCGCCGCTTCCTACAGACACTTAATTATAAATGTGTTGATGTACAGCCGCGTGCTGATCTTAGGGAGTATAGGCTGATATGCTAGAACTCCTTGCGTCATCATAGTATAGGTGAGGCCTTTAAGATTATCGGTACGGTGTTGACTGCTACCTTACACAGACTCCCGCCACAGCCGAGATATCATACAGCGATCGGTCGGGGGTTTGTCGGGTATCGATCTCATGACGATTAGTAGTGATGAATGGAATTGCCTACTTTGCATTCATACATATGCCCACATGCCCCGAGCACCCCGGGCTATTTTATTGAGCATGAATAGGAAATTTAGGATGAGACGAAGAAACAAGGAAATATCATTGTAGCACCTGCTAATGCATCAGGTCATTCGTATCCCAAAAATAGCCTGCCATTGGACCAGGAATCAGCCTTGTCTGGAAAAGGCTAATAGAAGCCCAAAATTGTGAGACATTAAGGTTGGCAAGCATACTAGTTAATCTAATCAGACTTTACCTGCTCCATGGAAGGATGAAAGAACCTTCGACGGATAAATGATATGGTTGGATGCTGGGCCGATAATGCCCGATAGCCGACAACATCATTTCTTCAGAGTCTATGTTATCGGTAGTACAGGCGAAAGAAAAGGGAGATGATGAAAAGAATATCATTCTTTATTTGTTGCTAGCCTACCTAGCCTCCTTCTCACTCATAGTTCCTTGATGTTCTACTCCATAAGTAGTAATCATACTATCCTTGTCAAAATCCACTGTGCTATATATCCAGTACAATAACAAAGATTGCCCTAGGAACCGGTCTGGTATGAAATCTAGAGGGGGAGGGGAAATTGACGATATTAGTCAGTCTAAAGCAAGATTCCATAATCCCACTTGTTAACGACTTTCCAATAATCTATGGTGAGCTGAACACGCAAATGGCAATGACAAGCAGAACAAGAAAGATAAGCATTGCCAACTCAGCAACATGGCTCAGCTGTTGTGCGGGGGTTCACACCCCACGATCCAACAAAATTTTCTTTTCCCTTACTTTTGGTAACTGTTTTGAGAGTCTTATGGTTGCCTAAATTTATTTTTATTTTTATTTTTTATTTTGATGGTAGACACGATGCATCTTCTAAACTGGTCGCATTGCTATCTGTTTCTGTTTTACTGCAAAGGGGCCTTGTCTGTGGGGGGAATACAGTACGGAGTACATCCCTTTTACGACCTGCTAGCCCCGTTCGTTAATATCCAATGATACAAGCTGAGTTGATGGAATGACTACCGGGTAGGAACCTTGTTCCTTTATTCTCATAGGGCAGAGGCGCAGAGAATAAAGAACATATATTTGGATCAGAATTCATTGGCCAATATGTAACATAGCTCCATGAGTTTAAGACTTCAAGTGCTCTAGCTATCCTCATTATCGCTTAAGTTGTAAAATCATGATCAGCCCTCACACTCAGTGGATGCTATCTGACCGCTCTTCTTGGGACGGTGAGGAGGTGCTGTGATACTAATACTAGTGGTTGAGAATGAGTCTTCAACATGGGCTAAGACAGTGAATGATAAGGCGCTGAGGTGGTAGCCCATAACTCACAGGACGATAGTGTATGTAAAAGAGTGTATTACTTGACATGAGGAGAAAATACCTTACTAATTACTAGCCTCCAAGATTAGTATGGGGCTAAGCCACTACCTATGAGAATCCCCCAAAGGATCTGCTGACTAGCGGTTTAAGATTCATCGTTTCATAATTCTTACCACTGCATTGTGACGATGATCTTTCTTTCCTTTCTCCCTTTTTCCGCAACCCCCCCCCGCTTACGATTCCACTGCCACTTGCCCTAGCCTCAGAGCCAATGCATAGGGCAAATCCATTACTAAGGTATGTAATAAAATTACCTGTCGTACAATTCATGTACCTCGTTCTTCCAGCCTTAAAAACCACCCCGCGTTCGGTGGTAATGGCTAAGCTGCTTTTTTTCAGCATACATTAGTGAACATCGGAAATGACTAATTGAGATAAAAGAAATATTTTTTTCTTCTCTTGGTTTTTACTTCTGTAGTGTTTTTTAGCCAGTAGTCGATTAGTTGTATCTATCCTTCCCGCGTACTCCCCACGCACCTGCAAACCTTACGTAGACGAAAGAACCACTCAACACTCCACTGTCGTTGACTAGGGATAAGCGGCTTCAACCGTCCTCTTTTTTTTCTCTGTTTCCGGCGAAACCGCCCTTCTCCTCTCCTTTCCCCCCTAAAGTTCTGCTGCTAGTACCAAACCTCACAGCATCGCACATTGAATTTCCGCAATGCGAAAGTACCCGTGATTTCTGATCATGATTGGATCTCAATATCCCAGTCTCCCGCCGATACTAGTAAGGCATGGATCAGGTGACAGGCACCCGATTGTCGGAACTTTTGAGTCATTGTACCATTGGACCAAACGACTCATTCAACCTGGATTCACGTCTTACACCCCCTAAAGTGCGGAGGGATGGCGTGCAGGTCTAGGTTGGTACATACATTACTTCCCAGATTCGGGGGAGCAACGCAGAGTTATCCACCAGGGATAAGGCGGTTTAGTTCCCATCACCTCGCACCTGAAACTCTAAAAATCGCAAAAGAATGAAGGGGACTCAATAGATTAGAGATGACGATGGACAATGGTGATCGCAAATGATCCACATACTTCTTCCCCGGAAGGACCGGCGTGTCGGTGCTCTCAGAATTCTGTAACATCATATATTTACTGGATAGGCAATTCGATAGTTGTTCCCTGCCGTCGGTGGATCGTTGGTGAGGTGAGGCATGCTTCGAATTCTTTCTAGCGTAGTAAGAAAGGTTGTAAGAAATGACATGGTGGATTCCTCCGTACTCCGTATCACCGCCTCCCCGTGTCTATGGGGAACGGGATTTTCTGTGGGGATTCTCTTTTTTCGAAAAAAAAAGAAGGGCATGCAATCTGTTACAGCTATGGGATGACCTGTATCCACAAACCGACCTAGCGAGTAAGTTGTACAGGCACTTTTCAACAGACTAGAGATTCCCCCCCCCCTTTCCTCCCTGAGGAATTTTTGTCGAAAGGCAAAAAAAAAAAAAAAAAAAATTAAGAAAAGTAGGTGAAACTGTTCACAGCCAGTGGGAGTGTGTCGGCCTGCAAGATTGACAGTGACATCTTCCAAGGGATGATCGTCCAATGGTATAGCAGATCAGGGCCTGTTCATTGTCAGTCATTTCATTGTTCTTTTATGGTACCCAAGGAAATGCACTCTCTTGCATTACAGGTCACGTTTCCGCGGCTCTACTTTTGTACTTGTTTAGATACATCTAATAAAGCAAATAACTTTCAATCATATGAATTCATAGTAGTACCTAGGCAGAAGCAGAAAGAAGGAGAAAAAATGAACATGGAAGTCAGCCGATTTGCAATGATTTTCAATATCAAGGTGATCCTAGATTTAGCCTGTTGAGTACTTAAAGGGCAAAAGGAAACACAAAAGGGGGGTAAAGGATAGATGATGGGGGGGAAAAGAGAGTAAAATAATACTAATAAAAATCAAACAAAATGGGTATAGAGGAGAATAGACAAGCTCCGAGGACCATGACAATTAGCTTCAATATTTTTTGGGCCGCTGTTGGTATGCATTGTGACCAGCTCACCCACAATGAGTTTCAAGAAAATCTGCCCAGCGATAACGGCCCAGTTTGATTAGACTACATACCGAATTTCATCCCTTTCCTACTCCTCATTTGAGTATATAGATCGTAAACTCCTCCCGTTCATCCGTCACTGCTATCCCGGGTCTTATTCATTAGGTATTCAGGAAGATCAAGGAAATAAGTGTCTTTGACCGCCGATATTTGTTTTCCCTCTTCTAATATTTTAGCCCTGGACGCCGCTGTTATCACCACTGCTGGCCACCACCATCATTCCTTATCTTCTGGTTATATCATCATTATTACATTTTTCGACGTTGTTTGGTACCGAAAAGCCTAAGCTGTGTAATTTTCATTCAGCCCTTGTCTGACTTGCTTGGTTTTCGTTTTCGTTTGCAACCTCTCGGTGGAGCCGTTGAGGATTTTTTTTTGTTTTAAAAAAAAGAAAAAGAAAAAAGCTGGAATACCTGGAATAAGGCACAGATTCCATTACCGTTTACCGTGCCAATACGTGTACTGCGGACTGTGACCATACTGCAATACCACCCGAGATACAGTACTCTGTACGTCAGTAAGCAGTACCCACTCCAGCTTTCTTTCGATTGAAACATCCAGTAGTTTCTTCCGAATCGAGGCTTCCACAATTCTTTCTCCCCAAATCTCCTTGTTTGTTCAACCTTCACTACTCGTCCAAATGGAAAAATCCATAAGAGGACTTCCGAATCCTTTTTAACACCTTTCAGTACCTTCCTCGGTCACTACTCCTCGCCTCCTTCACTTCCGCAATTTGGTGACTCGAATTTCTTTGGAGCACGCTGCTGGCACAGTCTTCTCGCCATTCGTCGCATGATCACCATTTCTTACTTACATCCTGGCGGCTTTTTTGTTCGCTGCAGGTCCTCTACGACGCTCCACGTAACCGTGCAGTATTACCTGGAACAGCGAGACGAAGTGCACTAGAGCATCGCAACCTTTGCGACTACTGAGCTGTGTCCAATCTCTGATTGCTCCCCCAGCGTCCTCCTTCTTCCTGTTTGGTTCGCCTGCATCACTGTGCTGGCAGGCAATCCTGCATTGCAGCTCGGATCCTCGTCGCCGATTCTACATTTCCCGTGCTGCAGCCTTTCCCAATTACTTTTAGAACCACACCAACTGACGCGAAAAGTGAATTTCTGTGCTCAATTACTCAAAGCAGAGGGGCTCTGCTGACAACTAAGCACATGCGCGGCACAGATTACACAGATTACTTTTTGTCTTGCATGGTTCGTTTCTATTAGTCCTTTCTATCTGTGGGCCACTATCGACCTTCCCTGTCAACACCTGGGAAAAAAGAAAAAAAGGGAACTGCTACCGTCGTCGCCAAACACAGCCAATTGGCCCGTCTCCGCACCTCTTCTCCTTCTTGCAGAAGGACAGCTTTCCCCGCGCATTGAGAAGATCGACTGTTGAAGAGGGGTAAAAAGCAGGATTTACATTGGAATTACAGGTTTAAGAATAAAATTTTAAAAAAAATCCCGCCGAAAGGGGCAGAGAGCTCTAAAAGAACGTGACGAAAATCGGCTCCGTAAGCAGGGAGCCAAGCCATCGATCATCATTCTGATAGTGTACACCGACGGCAGCGTTACCGATTGTTGCCCCGTGGAGCCACCGTTACACGAAGCCACTGTCCGTCACAATTGTTATCAGGAACCTGAATTCCTTTCCATCCCCCCCACCTCCTTGATTACCCGCGAGCGCTCTCAGGAAGGGCTCTTCGCATTGCATCAAAGGCTGGCCAAGATGCAGATATCAAAATCATAGCAATCCCGCTAAGGACGTGGCTTTTGCATCTGTCAGCCAGACACGTTCCCTATTTCGGCTCGTATTGCATTACAACCATAGGACGCTATTTCTAAACCAACACGACCGCTTCCTTACTGCTGTGCTGCTCATTCGTCCTTTGCGAAGTCCAGGTGACTCAGGCATTGGCACGGTTCACGACAGGTTGACAGTCTCACGACCCTGCAGCTGAGTGGTGTCCTCTTTGTAGGTACTCGCGATGGCCTACGCCGCTACCTCGTCGGCTTCGACCGTCAATGGCGATGCCCGTTCTAGCTTAAAACTCATTACTTCACCCTCCAATCCCCCCAAGCTACATCATGTCATCACATCTATTCCACCTGCCCTCAGCCCTTCAGCACCGTCGTACGCCTCTTCTCTAACTACCACTCCGAATTCTATCCGCCCCGCCTACCTTCCTTCAAATGCTTCAAGCCCTTCAGGCACACCGTTACAACTTGCCACAGACGGGCTCCGTGGACGCATACCTCCTTTCCCTACCATTCCCCCTACTACTTTCGAGCTCGGGGAGTCCGTGATGGCTGTCCCAGGGAATGCTCCTGCCTCTGGCTCGGGGGACGCAGTCATCTCAAATGCCAACAAAGCTCCGGGTTTGATGCGCAGAATCTCCCGCGGCGCCGCAAACAAGCTTACACGAAGGCGACAATCCGCTTCTCACAACGACAAGCGTGATCGCAGCTCTGGCCCTGTCACTATGCGCAGACGCAGTGACAGCAAGACTGGGTCTCAAAACGGCCGCGAGAACGCACTTGAATCTAGCAACGAGGAAGATAGCAACGATGCTCTTGATTCTCTCGGCGTTTGGTGCAAACCAGAGTCATCCAGTTTGCCCAATGATAATTTTATGACAGCCCCCCGCCATGGCGGCACAATTGCACCTAAGATTGATTCAGCTATCCAGCGTGGGACTGTCTTGACGAAAGTCACGAAGAAGCGAAGAAAGCAAGTTCGTTTCTTCTTGGACCTAGATGCGGGCAAGGTCTATTGGGATGTTTCAAATCCCACCAAACGGTTCTACATTGACGATATCAAGGAGATTCGAGTTGGTGTGGATGCGCGTAATTACCGCGAGGAACATCAGGTCCCGCAAGATATCGAGAATCGCTGGTTCACAATTGTCATTGCCGATGATGAACGGTCTAAGGGTCGCGCTGTCAAAACACTTCACCTTATTGCCCCTAATGATCATATCCTCGAGCTTTGGACGTCAACTCTTGAACATATCTCTCGATATAGGATAGGCCTTATGGCTGGCTTGGCTGGTTCAAGCCAGAGTGAGGCTGTCCTGAAAGCACATTGGCAGCGCGAAATGTCAAGATTGTTCCCTCATGGAGGTGAGCAGGAGAGTCTTGATTTTGCCGCTGTCGAGAGCATTTGTCGCAGTTTGCATATCAATTGCTCTAAGAACATGCTTCGTGCCCAATTCTCCAAAGCCGATGCCGCCGCAAACGGCAAGTTGAACTTCACACAATTCCAGAACTTTGTTGCTCGCTTGAAAGAGCGGAAGGATGTCAAGGAGATCTTTAAGGATAGTGCGGTAGATGCCAAAGATGGCTTAAGCCTCGATGAGTTCTTGGCATTTCTCCGCGACATCCAGAATGAGGACGTTGAATCGGACCGGAGTTATTGGGTTTCCGTTTTCGACAAGTGTGTACGCAAGTCGAAAACGCGTGTCCCAAGTATTCCAGAAGGTGAGGAAGAGCAAGTTCCCCGAATGGATCTGGACGCATTTTCTTCTTTCCTCGCGTCTCCGTGGAATGGAATATATGCCTCTCGTGCTCCCCAGTCCCGATTCGATCGCCCCTTGAATGAGTATTTCATCTCGAGTTCGCACAACACCTATCTCTTAGGCCGTCAGGTTGCAGGTGCATCTAGCACAGAAGCATATATAAGCGCCTTACAAAAAGGGTGCCGATGTGTAGAAATCGACTGTTGGGACGGCGCTGATGGCCGGCCGATTGTGTCTCACGGAAGAACCATGACCACTAGCGTTTTGTTTGCCGACTGCATTACTGTCATTAACCGCTACGCGTTCATCACTACTGACTTTCCGTTAATTTTATCCCTCGAGGTTCACTGCAACCCGGAGCAACAGCTGGCGATGGTAAAAATCATGAAGGATGCCTTTAAAGAGCAACTCGTACTGGAGCCACTCTTGACGAACAGTTTTGTTCTTCCATCGCCCGAGGAGCTTAAGGGACGCATTCTTGTCAAGGTAAAGACCTGTGATGAGATCCAAGAAGACACACGACAGGAACCAATTGGCGCATTTGTCGTCCACGGCCGGAAACGCAGCGCGAGCTCCCCCTTTATGCGTCCGACGGTATCCGAAAACCCTGCAATCACCAGCCTGCCTCCTCTGTCGAGCCCTCCGACGCTTGGGTTGGATACTGTTAACTCGTTTTTGACGCAAGATAGACGGTCATTTACAACTACCAGTATCAGCAGTGCCACAGAGGATAGCGATGGCGCTTTAGCGAGCATCAGGAAAGAAAAGAACAGGCGCCAGAAGAGCAAGATTACCAAACCGTTGTCGGATCTAGGGGTCTACACTCGCGGGTACAAGTGGCATAGCTTCTCGTCCGCTGAAAGTCAACGGTATAATCATGTGTACTCTTTCGCAGAGCGATCATTCGAAGGTATTTGTCGTGACTTCGACAACAAGGTTCTCTTTGAAAAGCACAACCGAAAGTATTTGACTAGGGTCTATCCGTCCGGCTTCCGCTTGAGATCTTCAAACTTCGATCCCCTTAAATTCTGGCGACGCGGCGTTCAGATGGCGGCTTTGAATTGGCAGACATACGATATTGGCATGCAAATGAACCAGGCTATGTTTGCTGCTGGGACCGACCGCACTGGCTATGTGCTTAAGCCGGAGTCTCTTCGCGCTTTGGGCCCATCTGATGAAGAGAAAACGAAGATCACGGAGCGAAAACTCGTTCGATTCTCGGTAGACGTTATCTCTGCCCAGCAACTTCCTCGCCCTCGCAGCATTGGCCCCGATGATAATATCAATCCCTACGTGGAAATCGAAATGTTCAGTGCAGATGATCGAGGCCAAAGCTTCGTTTTTGGTGAAGGTGGCATGAACGCGTCCGCCCGCAACGGCATGTCGGGTATCGGGTATCCACATCGCCGGCGCACAAAGATCGAGCAGAGCAATGGGTACAGCCCGATCTTCAATGATCGCTTTAGGTTGTCGTTGGAGACTAAATATCCCGACCTAGTATTCGTTCGCTGGACTATCTGGAACTCACAGGATGGGCGCAGTGCAGGAAGCAATAGCAGTGTTCAACTTGCCACCTACACTGCAAAACTCAGCAGCTTATCCCAAGGTTACCGCTACTTGCCTTTGTATGATGGTGGTGGAGACCAGTATTTGTTCTCGACCTTATTCTGCAAGATTACCAAAGAAGATCCGGTGTCTGTTCAGCGGCTTGATGCTGAAGAACTAAGAGCAGAGCGGATGGGTATTCTCCGACAGATCGGTCAGACTGTTTTCAAGCGCGCATCGTCCACGGAACGTGAGAAGAGCAACGAGATGTCAGCAAGCGCAGAGGATAAGGATAGCTCTCCTGACCTGACCCCGACTGTTTCTGCAGCGTCTACTTCATCATTGCCTCCTTAACCCTTCGGTCGCAAAATCATTTTCGTCACACCCAGTGTGGTGCCAACACACTACTTTACATTTTTCTTTCTTTCTCTTTTCCCTTCCACGCGTCTTTTACTATCTACGGTTTCGTCAATTTCAAAATCATGTGCAAATAAACGGAGCGGCGTTCTTTCTAACTTTCATTACATCTGTTGTGTCCTTCCCAAGATATTTTCTTTGGCTGGTTACTTTCGCGGGAGACTTTGGCGTTGCTAAGGTCACTGGAGGGCCTAAAAGGAGAATACCGTTATCTACTTGTTTATCTCTACTCTGTTATTAAAGGGCGATGCATGGTTGCATTGCGAGTAAGGTACGGGCACTCCTTGACCTTTTCCTTATTTTTTTCTGCCTTGTCGTTTTCTTCAGTTTTATCTTGCGATCGGATTACGTCTGTTCTATCTAGCGATACCCTCTACCTTTGCTCTTCTGTTGTGTGTTGCATAGTTGTGCACTTACTCTACTTCTCACGATGTTCCTTTTTCTTTTGTCTGCAGCGAATCTTGTCCATCATACTCTTTTATTTATTTGTCTTCAGGGTTTGGGGTTAGGGTGGCAATTCACACGTTATCATCATCATCATCGGGTAGGATGGCAGCATTCAAGGAGTCAGCAGGGAATGATTGCATCTTTGGTCACAATTGGTGGGGGAATACATGTACGAGAGCGTGGATTGAAGCCAACACTGATATACTGTCTCAATCCTGTCCCATCGCTCTGAGGGTTCTAGATGAATCTCCGGCATGAGGCCAGGTCATGTCTATCTTTACACTTCTTATTCTTGTTTTAATATTAAACGTGCGCTGGGACGCTCTTTTCATATCAGGCCTTTGCATCACAATGATTATTATTCCTCCCTGTCTTTGGTAAACCAGATATTCGATTTTGATGATATATTTAGTAAAATAGATAAATGGTGCGGTAAATGATTAGATCGATTGATACCGTCACCGCCCTCGGAAAGGCAACGTGACGACTTTCGGCCTCCGCCTTCGTAGCATCAACATTAGACGCTATATACGGCACACAATCAATAACTACAATTGGCAATTGTCCTCACATTTATACGCACCATGGATCCCTTTTCGGCAGAAGGTGGTAAGTACAACTGTGTACCCTAAATTGAGACCATTGTCCTCTTAACTTACGTTCCCCCCCTCCATAGAACTCATCAACATTCACAATGCCTTCCATCAAGGTCAATACCAAGAGGTAATTGACCTCGACACATCGGCCCTCTCCTCCGAGAACCACCTTCCAGCTCGCACTCTACAACTCCGTGCCAAAATTGCCCTAGGCCAGACCGACCAGGTCCTCTCCGATGTCGACGGCGAAGAAGACACCCCCGACCTTGCTGCAGTGAAGGCCCTGGCTCAGCAGACAGCCGGCGATAGCGAGTCCGCCCTCCAGCTCGTACAGGACCTGGCCGAGAACTACCCTGATAATGCTACCGTGCAGGTACTGGGCGGGACAGTACTGCAGGCACAAGGACTGGGCGAGGAGGCTTTGGCTTTGTTGACGAAGCACCAAGGGAATCTTGAAGCGTATGTTTGAGATTGAGCTCCCTGGGCGATAATAATACTGATATGTGATATTGGGGGTTGTTCAGTGTTGCCCTGATCGTTCAGATTCATCTTCAGCAGAATCGTTCCGATCTCGCCCTCAAGGAGGTACAAGCTGCCAAGCGCTGGGCTCAGGATTCCCTCCTTGTTAATTTGGCCGAGTCGTGGGTTGGTTTGAGAGTTGTATGTGGTAGCCCCTACCTTCTGTATCCCCATTGCTTTTGGAGGGGTGGGTTAGCTAACAGGTGGGCTTTTGGTTGTGTAGGGCGGCGAAAAGTACCAGTCTGCTTTCTATGTTTTTGAAGAACTGGCTGCTGCGCCTAGTACATCTGCTCCGCTCTCAATTGTCGGTCAGGCCGTGGCTGAAATCCACCTTGGCCGGTTACCGGAAGCCGAAGCTGCGCTGAACAGTGCGCTCGAGAAGTACCCGGAGGACACCGAGCTCATCGCCAACAGCATTGTGCTGAATGTGTTGGCTGGAAAGCCGACGGAGGAGTTGGAGACGTATGTATCCACCTGCTGGTTTTTTTTGTGTGAGGCTTTGTTCCATGCTAATAGGTAAATTTCTCAACTGCAGACGTTTACAGAAAGCACAGCCATCGCATGCTCTCTTGGCTGATATTCAAGAGAAGAGCGCGTTTTTCGATACCGCTGCTGCGAAGTATGCGCCTAGAGTGTCATCTTAGATTCCTTTTCACTTTTCTTGTTTAATAATTCTCCTATGTACGGTTTCTATTTTCTTTTCTTCATGCGCCTTGTCCGATAGGGTGTTTTGTTCCCTTGATGATTCATATGACAGGCGTAGCTATTGTATTCTACCAGGTATTGCCGACCACCGCTGCCTTGATTCCAGTCCATTTGCTATCGTCCCAGTTGTGGAAATCTGATTTCATGATAAACATTAATATTCAAAACATACATGATGTAGTTGATTCGTGTCTCTCCCTTTCACTTCTGGCCTGCACACCCACGCTAGATACCCAAGTGTACATACAAAAGATACAAGGATCATCTGATAGCTGCTCACAGCCAACGCACTAAAGACGAGACCGCAACCACTCTCTCAACCCACTTCCCTGCTGCGTCTCACGTAGAAAACTGGCCCCGTACACCGGTGCAACATGAGTTTCCCCATGTGCCACAACATACGTCGTGTTCGGTACCACCGCCTAGACCGAGCCGAGTCCATCCGTTAGCATGGACATCGTATCTTCCTTAGGTAAGGAACAAGCATTGCAAATGTATAACATACCCGAAACTTCTCCACAAACGCATCAATCCTATCAAATAGCACCTCGTCCCTCCCCGCCAAAAACAACACCTCCTTCACCTTTGCCCCCCTCCACCACTCCCCTGGCGCCCGATTAGGCTCGCTCCACGCATCCCCCTCAGTCCCCTGCTCCCCTAAATAAACAGTAGACCAGGAATCTAGCACCTCCGCCCCAATGACATCCTTACCCCGATTCTCCCGCATAGAGACACCCTCATGAGCGAAACTCACCCACGGCGCAAACGCAAAAACCCCCGCTAGCGGCGCAATATCGCCCAGCGGGGTGATTTCCGGGTGCGGATGCGACAGATGCAGGAGGACGGCTAGGGCCAGATTCCCGCCTGCGGAGTCGCCGCCAACGATGACGGTGCTCGGATCGCGGTGGGTGTCGGTGAGGATGTAGCGGAGGGCTTCGACGGCCTGGCGCAGTTGGGTTGGGTAGACGGCGTGCGGGGTGAGAGTGTACGTTAGTAGGAAGAGGGCTATATCGTGGCCTTCTGCATTTAGAGTGTTGATTAGGGTGTTGTAGAAGGTGATGTGGCCGGGGGCGCAGGCGAGGGCGAATCCGCCGCCTTTTGGAGGTTCGTTGGTGTGTTAGTGTATAGTATCTTCTGAGTTTCATGCCTTGTACAGTTATGGGGCATATTCGGGGTGATGGGAGGGAAAGGGAAGGACAGTTATACCGTGGTAGTAGATGATGACGTTCTTGGCATTCTTATTTCCTATCCAGTGGCCTTGGGCACCATGTTTGAGAGGGACTGTTTCTGGTTGGTGGCCCTTCTTGTTTAGGGATGTCTCGTAGATGGAGTTTGTGGGTCCGCTTAGGTACCTTCGTTGTAGATGCGTTAAGACACATTGAGTATAGCAATGCAGAGAGAGGGTGTGTACTGAAGCTGTGCTACGCTAAATCTATCGAGCATTTTCCTGATCGCTGCGTTACCAATGTGAAGAGCGTATTCTTTTGCGCCACTTTCTCCGCGGAAGATGCCTGTGACAGCGGTATAGAGCACAGAGCCCAGGACGGCTAGCTGGCCGGGAATAAGATCCACTTTCTCCCAGAGGGAGAGCGACTGGGGTCTAGTGGTCATGGTGGGGAGTGGGTGGTTTGGGTAAAAGGTTGGTATGAAAAGTGGATTGTAGGTGGCATTAAAATGTATGTCGTAGAGAAGGGAATGCCGGGAGCTGAAGGGCTGAAGAAGCCTAGACAGACGAAGCCTTTACTAGTAGAGGAAGTTCCCCGCAGCTGCAGTAGGAAATCCACTGCAGAGTTTAATGTTAATTGCTTTTTTTCATTCTAACCTCGGTTGTTGCGGGCCGAGTGCATACCAGTCCACCTTTGTTTGAGTTGAGGGCCGGGGAGAATATTAGAGGTCATATTGTAGTCATTTTTACATACATTCGTCGCGGTTGATTTAGTTTCCGTTCACCATATCTTCCTTACCGGTCAAGTCACAGAATGCCTTGAAGGTCGTAAACACACTCTCCTCGTCGCCAGTGTTCTCGATAATGCACTCCGCATCAGCACCGACAAAGAAAACATAGCCTTCCTTGACTTCCTCGGTCTTGTGGCCAACGGTGATCTTTCCGGTGCCTCCGGTGCAAATCAAGATGCTAGGTCCTCCCAGCCCATCGAATGTAGCCTTGGCGCTCCTTCTCTTGAGTTCAGTCTTCACCACGCTGAACTCCTCAATCGGAGGGTCGTAAAGAAGGGACGCCGATCCGCTGGAGTAGGCGGGGGCATTCAGAATCACATACGGATACTCCTTGGGCTCTAGCTTCTGTTCCTCAATAGGAGCATAGGAGTACGTCAACATGTCGGTCAGGGTATCCACATCCTTGAACTTGGGAGTAAAACCCGCGCGGACAACATTGTCAGAAGACGCCATGCACTCGATAATATCTCCAGAAACGTAGGCGTGAATGTCGTCGGCTTTCAGGAACATGGCCTCTCCCGGTGCAAGCTTGACAAAGTTAAGGAAGAAGAACACAAACAGGCCGATGTCATTAGGGAACTGTCCGTTGAGACGAGTGATGACAGTAGCCAGTTCCGCTGGATTGCTCGGGTTTGTCTCCGGAGTGCTGGCAGATGTAGCGAACGTGTCGGGAGAGTTCTGGGCCGCAGAGACGAGCTCCTTCGTAGCGGCCTCAATGCTCTCGGACGACGAATTCATCAGTGCCGTGAACACGGTCTGCAAAGCGTCCTTATTCTTCTGCGTGGCTGTGGGGTCCTCCGATTTCTCAGAGCCCTTGACTGCGCTCAGGAACTGGTTGACTGCATCGGTGCCGATCAGCTGACGAAGAGGAGCCACGGCGTTGAGGAAATGTGAAATCTCTTCTAAGGGGCGGAAACCGCAGAGTCCTTCAAACGGCGTGATCGCAATGGTCATCTCGGGTTTGTGGTTGTCATCTGTAAAGATCTCATTAGTAAAGCCGGAATATCGGCGGATGTTGCGGTGTGTAGGCTTTGGTATTCACCTGGGTAGTTGCGAGGGTCTCTAGCGTGGAGCTTCTCCGCGAGCTTCTTGTTCGGGTGGGCTTGGATACTGAGCGCTTTGTTGACTGAAAGTACCTTGAAAAGGAAGGGGAGCTTCCCGCCATATCGCTCGCTTACTTCCTTGGATAACAAGGCTCGGTTGTCCTGGACCATATCGAGGAGTGTTCGTTGGGTCTCGACGTCTTTCGAAGGGAGGGAAGGATGTGTGCCCATCCATAGCTAATTTTTGAAAGTTAGAGATCGCTTGCTGTGAGTAACGAGTCATGAACTGACCTCTGCGTAGGGCTTCTCGGATTCTATGGAGAAGTCTGGCGCAGCTGTGGTAGCTGCATACCGGGCAGCTGCCGATTCATGGCCAATCTTGCCTAAGACAATACTCAGCAACTATAGAACCAACAGGATGTAGGGTTGTATATATGCACCCCAATCATAGCTATTGACACCTGTAATTTGTACACTGCTATTAGCTTAGACTGGGAAAAGTGTTATGAGACTATCATACCACACTGAAGCCGGAGTAGTGGCACCTGCATTTTGTTAGAGCGTGACGTAACGCGGGAGCTGAAGAAGGATGGATTGAGTGAATGAATTGTCAAGTAAACAGAAGAGATTCGGCAAGAGCGCCTTAAAAGGGCTTGATAATTCACTCAATGAGTTCAGAAATCTCTGTCGAAAAACACCCCAACACTTCACAGGGTTGTGGAAATGATCTGTCTCTTTAACTTCTCCCCGAGAAGAGAAGACAGCCCACATTCCCTCGCTGCCCCTCCATTAATCAGAGCAAATCGAATTATACCTGATTAGGCTGGCCGGAACCGTTCCCGTGACCGAAATGGAAGCCACCAATTATTGGCCCGCAAAGCGCTTACCGCTTAACCGCGATGCCAGCAATAGGCGCCATGTCGGGGAACCATCATTATCATCATTATCAATATCATTATCGTCTCCACGCCAGTCGGAGCAGCCAGACGAGCCCGTTACTGAAGATACTCCAAGCTCGCCCCTGAGCTCCTTCAGTCACCCGCACAGCCTCCGGCAGGGCGCGGCTCGTGGCACGCGAAGTGCGCATCGCAAAGAGCTTGTCTCCGCTTTTGCCTGGGAGGCCTTAGCCATTGAGAAAGCGAGGACCGGGGAGCTTCCAACCTCATCCGGAAACAGTAAAGGCCAGCAACAACACCCAGTTGCCGCTGCACTTCCAAGGACACCTCGAGTCAAGATGTCACGGAATCGTCCAAGGGGCCCTCCCGTGCCTAGAGACAATGGTCTTGCGGCCAATGAGGAGACTGACATGTGGAACAAGATCCTCCAGGACCTAAGGAAGGCAAAGGAGAAGAACGATAAGCAAAAGTCATTAGCCGAGCAGATATCCACTTTAAATGAGAAGATTGGCAAAGAGGGTGGGAGTAAGTATTGATCCTCTTCCTGTTTCTTGTTGGCTCTACATTGGGAAATGAGTATATGTGGGTTACCTGCTATTATGAATTGTTCCGTGACGTTTAGATTATACCCTGCTAATTAAGCATCAAACCAACATTAACTACCCTCACCCCCATTTTCTTTCCTTTTATCTTCTTTTTCTTCTTCTTCTTCTTTTTCTAAAATTATATTCAATGATGTATGTTAACTGTTGCACACAGGACCAAGTCTACACGAGCATAATCAGCTGGACAGTCTTTACCGGCAGATGCTCAAGCTCTGTGAAGACGAGAGAGCCATTCTTCAAGATGAGCCGAGTGATGTGATCAAGAACTTGGGACTCCTGACAGCACTTCGTCAGGCATCTGAAGCAGAGGCGCCCCTTAACCGTGCGGCGTCTCTTGGGAAGTCTCGTAAGAAGAGAAATGATATGGATGGGTCAGCTACGGACTCGCCGGGGCCTTCGGGTGCCTCCCTGTCCGACAAAGCCAGCCGTATCAAGGGAGGCATCCAGCGTGGCTCCAGCGTGTCAAGTAACCAGGCTCGTGAGAGTCGCGAAGGTCGAGATGTCCACATCAAAGTGGAGGAAGGGGCGGAAGGCACTAAGGGTACACTCGCGGAGCGCAGCGGACACTTAGTGATTGGCGCAGAAGTTGTCTTCAAGCATAACAAGAACAAGCAAGGGGTTGAAGGCGAGGGGATCCAGTGCATCATCAAAGGGATTTCTGGCGATGGGCACAAGAAGCGGTATGGCATGACGTCCCCGTGCGTCCTTAGCTCGGAACTGACCGATACTCCTTTCAAGGTATGATGTGCAGGATCCTGAGCCGAATGAAAATGGCGAACAGGGCGCGGTTTACAGAACCACCGCTGTATCTTTAATCCCAATACCGCAGATTGGAACCGCATTACCAAGTTTTCCGGTAGGAAAACAAGTTTTGGCAAGATACCCGGATACTACGACCTTCTACCGAGCCGAAGTGATGGGCTCCAGAAAGGACGCCTATCGCCTCAAATTTGAAGGTGAAGAAGATGACAAGGAGATGGAAGTGGACCGTAGGTTTGTCCTCGACATTCCCGGGAAGTAAAGGCAGCAGGGACGCACCAAAGATTCCGAGGGAAAAAGTGAAGTTAAAAAAGAAGAAAAAAGAAAACAACAACAGCACGAGCACGACCACCATCTATTGGAACCGTGAGTATTCGGAGATTATGATGATACCCTTTGAACTAAATTGATATAATCCCAAAGAAGGAGCCGGGCACGGCATAGAAATGTCCTCGCTATTGACTGTTGGTCAAAGTTAATTCGCAGTATTGGATAGAATTGCCTACTACCTAGCTAGCACCTATGGGAATAAATGATATTGATCAAATTGACTAATATTATTTTATTTTACTTTCTACTTTGCGCATTAATTTCCTTATGATGCTGGTTTTAAGGTAGGATTCTGTTTCTATTCTTTCATGTGATGGTAATTTGTTAGATAATCTTGGATACAGTAACATAGAACTACATGGAGCATTCTATAGGTTTAAAGTTCGGTCCGCGATGAGGATGCGGCGATAAAACTGGGATCGCAATGGGATATAAATGAGAAATATGGGATTGATGTTCCCATATCATTAGGTTGTATCCTTTTTTTATGAAACAACTACTAGTAGAGAAGGGACCCATCTAGGTAAAAAAGAAAAAAGGAAGTGCTTGAGAAAAGAATGGGGGTGGTTTTATTGGATGTGAGCATCTAGAGCGATGCATGACTAATGACACCTGTAAGGCCTGACTAATTGCGAGAAACTGACTCAGCAGCAATGGTCCCCCGCCCCAATGCGCATTCCCGCGGATCCGAGATATATGCATATGTTAACGATCATTCAATTAATTCAACTTGTTGTGAGCATGCGCCTATATGAAACCTACATCAATTATTTGCTGCACCACTGTATTCGCTGAGCCCATTCTTTTATAAGTATAGGGGCCCATAATTACTGTACAGCTCCTCATTCCTCCACCATAATCGCATCACTTCCCTCGGCATGTCGAACTTACCATCTCATGCCTCGCCGGCTTTCACGGCGCAGGTCCCTTCCTCTCACTCACCGGTTGATGATATATCTCTAGAACCGAGCTCTACGGCTTCATCTTCATTGAACAGCAGAATAGGCGAACTCCGTGGTGATGGTGCAAATCAGACTGACACCACAGAGCACACCCGGGGTGATGTAACCCCCACGGTGCCCGCCTGTCTCCTCTCCCCTTCCTTTACTCCCCCAGCAACGCCTGGGGGCACGATCAATCAGGCCAAATTACTTCAGCAAATTCAAATAACGAATAAACCACCTAAGCTCCTCTCCTGCCTTCCGAATGTTGAGTGTATCGTTCGCGCACGGATCCCCACCACCAATGGAGCGGAGATGTTCCTTCACCTCTATCACAATGACCTAGACAATAAAGAACATCTAGCAATTGTGTTCGGAAACAGTATCCGATCGCGGAGTTTGGACGCAGTTCGGCCGGGGGAGACGGAAATGGACCGGATGATCCGTGGGGCGTATACTGGTACTCTCCATCCCGGCCGAGTGAGCAGTTGGTATGATAATCCCACAAATGCCGAGAGTGCATCTGAAGGACAAAGGCGGAGCATCCCAGATGCCCCTGCTTCGAGCAGCACAATCCAAGCGCCGCTAGTTAGAATACATTCGGAATGTTACACCGGAGAGACTGCGTGGTCCGCGCGCTGTGATTGTGGTGAACAGCTTGACGAGGCGGCCCGATTGATGTCTCTGCCAATGGGGACTTTAAATGAGGTTGCGTCTCAGCAAGACCTATCTGTGCCTTCGAACGCAGCGGGAGGTGTGATCATTTACCTCCGCCAGGAAGGCCGCGGGATCGGCCTAGGAGAAAAGCTCAAGGCGTATAACCTCCAGGACCTCGGATCGGACACTGTCGAGGCCAATCTACTCCTTCGACACCCTGCTGATGCCAGAAGTTACGGTCTTGCCACAGCGATGTTGGCTGATCTCGGCCTAGGGGTTGATTCCAATCCACATGGAATCAGGCTTCTTACAAACAACCCCGACAAAATACGGGCGGTCGAGGGACCGAACCGGGAGGTCGTAGTGAAGGAAAGAGTACCGATGGTTCCCTTGGCCTGGAGGACCGGTGGAAAGATGGGAATCAAGAGTTCTGAAGTCGAGGGATACTTACGGACAAAGGTTGGTTTTCTTGTTTATTTCTCTCCCATTGGCCTCATTAGGGTGGTTGCTAACATAGGGAATCACGAAACAGATTTCGAAGATGGGCCATATGCTTCAATAAAACTTTTTGATGTTTACTTTTCTCCCTACTCCTATGCTTCCACGATCTTTACGGATCTTTTTGAAGGTGCTGTTAGTACATTGATACTTCACTGTATAAAAGGTATTTCATGATCATTACCTTTGTTTTACGGGTGCCATATATCTCTTTTCTTTTATGTGATCATTTATCCAGCATTATTTTTGGGAAACGTCTTGAGTATCATGATATATTGCTAGATTGAGCATTTAGTCAGTCTTCCGGGGTTTGTTTGGGAGTGAAGGTTCAAAACTTCAAGTTGGGTAACAAAACTGCCATATATAATTAAATGCGTTTGGTATTGTAAAGAAAGAGAGGGAAATATAACGAAGGAGGGTATATCATGTGAATGATTCCCATACTCCGTATTCATTTAGTATTTAAGAATAACAGGGTTGATCGGGGGAAGAGGGGGAGAAACGCCACTACCGGGACACATCTCCGGGGACGAGAACAAATCAAGTACAAGAAGAGAGAGCAGGAATTGTCTAAATTTGACAGGGTTTCGAAGATAAAGTTCAGCGGGACTCCACTTGTTCCAGACTCGAAAGTCATGCCGAAACATCGTCTGCTGAGAAGGCATCGTTTTTTCTCCCTCACCATAACCTCCTTCCCCCCATCTAGGATTTCTATTCTTCACATTAATGCTGATCTTTCTGGCCTTCTGCTGACCAGGATTTTTCCTGGTTTCCTTCCCCACTTCTTAATCTCGGCCGTCTTGAATGGCCGTTCCATTTCGATAACCACGTGAGAAGGAGGCCATGGCCAATCGCCTGCCTCCTCTGAATGATGTGGCCCCTTCCCCGGCCCTGGAGTCCGCCTCTTCGGGAACGCATGAGTCTCCAGTACCAACCGATGCAGTGACCTTGGATACGGATTATGTGAAGTTGGAGGATTCTCCTACGCCGTCCGCCTTGACATCCGCCGATGCAGACGCAGAAACACCGGCGCCAGACAATGGCGGGCCTGCGGGGCGGAAACGCAAGTTGAATAGTACTTCCGCAAGAGGCGTAGCCAATCTTACACCCGAGCAGCTGGCGAAGAAACGAGCCAACGACCGACAGGCCCAGCGGGCAATTCGCGAGAGGACTAAAGCGCATATTGATACGCTTGAACAACGCGTTCGCGAGCTCTCTTCCCAGAAGCCATTTTTGGATCTTCAGGCGGCCCTGAAACAGAATGAAGCCATGCAAGCCGAAAATCGTGAAATCCGACAGGGGTTAAAAGCGATCATGGATGTCATCCAGCCTCTAGTTGGAAAGAACAATGCGTCTAGCACTAGTATGTCGGACCTCTTTTGCAGTAAAACCGGGATCATTAAAACTAAAATGGGAGCTTCTAGACCCCTCCGCATCTACAGCCGCTCCTTCGGCCATGCATTCGGTCCCCCCTTTGTCTACAACACCACCCTTTGCCAAAAGCAGTTACTTTAGTGACAACAGGCCAATCAATGTCGAACACTCATATTCCGAGGCTTCCGCAAGGATCGAAACCCCGTCTTCCCTACCCTCGACGCCTTTGTTACGCACGACGCAGCGGGACAACGCGCCCAACGGAGCCTCTGCTTCGTTTCGCATTGCATTCGACTATCAGCGTCATAACCTGACACATGGTTTGGACTTTGGGAACGATGAAAGAATGGGCTTCAACTTTCTCCTTGATGCATCTCAACAGGTTCCAAAAGTGGAGGGCTTCCGTCGCTCATCGGGCAACTTCCGAGTTCCCCCAATGAATGTTTCTCCAGTCTATCCATCGCCGATCCACGGGTCCATGGCGGAGCAGTCTCTGCCCGCCTATATGACGCCAGTCCGAAACATTGCACCGACGTGCACGCTGGATGCTATTCTATTGGACTTTCTCCACCACCGACAACGTGAAGCCGCTTCGGGGGTCCCCCGGCAAAAGCTGGTGGGGCCTCCTTATCCCAGTGTCTCATCGCTGCTCAATCCAGAAAGGGGCGCCTTTTCACATCCGTTGTCTAAGGTATTCACTGACATTCTGCGCACATTCCCGGACATCTCTTCCCTTCCGGAGCAAGTGGCCGTCTTGTATGCCATGTTCCTCCTCATGCGGTGGCAGATTTACCCAACGCCTGAGAATTATGATAGGCTACCGGAGTGGCTGACCCCGCGTCCATCGCAACTATTAACACCACATCCCGCGTGGATTGACTACTTGCCGTGGCCGCGGATGCGCGACCGCGTAGTCATGGCACACCAGGACTATCCTTTTGATAACTGGTTTATTCCCTTTACTCGCACGCTATCAGTTAATTGGCCCTATGAGGAAACCGATTGTCTTTTGTCCACTGGGGATGGCGAGGATCTGATTATCAATCCTGTCTTTGAGAGACATTTACGCAACCTCAGCAATTGGAGTCTCGGCCCGGCGTTTGCGGAAGCGTATCCTTCGCTAGCTGAGACGGCTAAAATTAAGAAACCATAACAGTATCTTGACTGTATAGGTCGATCTTCACTGGGCGGTTATCTTGTAGACAGTCGAGTGGAATTTTGTGATATATACGTTCGACCAATTTTGGTCAAAAAGCTCGGGCGGGTGGCAATTTGAGGACGTACTCCATTCATTCGCTAGCGATCCCCTTATCTTCTCCTTGAATTAATCTTTCTCTCTCCCTCTCTTTCTTTCTTTTGTGTGTGTGTGTGTGTGTGTGTATGCGCGCGGTTCTCATCCTGAACTCTTTCCCTTCTTATTATGTTGCCATGTTACTCGGATACTTACCGGATAATAGCCGGGGAAATTGGCCGAGGTTTGCCCGAACCATACTGGCGAAACAGTGTATGGAAAGATAACAAGCATACTGACCTTTGCAATATAGCATCGTAGCAATAGAACTTCTAGACGCCTCGACTTTGGCTGCTTCGTATTTTCCAAAGCTCGGGGTCAGGATCTACCTGATGAGTCAAAGTTACGAATATTGGGTATATCCGACTGGAACTTAACAATAGAGGTGTTGCAGATATTAATAAATTCTCGTGAACAATACACTCAATACACTTATATACACTTTTTCACTTCTTCCTACTCTTCTCATTCCAGAAAGCCATGCCCGCCTTCTGACGCAGAACGCCATACATTGAGCTACTATCCAGACACTCACCAGCATATTCTCTTGCGGCCATCATGTTCTCATGTGCAACCTTCAGGCCTGGAAGTTCAACACCATGTTCCTTCGCCATGGCAAATGCATGATTCGCATCCTTAATAGCCAGAGAGACCCCAAACCCAGGCCGACAATCCAGCGGCGGTGCATAGGCACCCGTCGTCAATCTATAAACCATTAGCAATACACAAACTTTGCTTCATATATCGAATCATATCACCTCTTAGAATAACCCCCAGCCACAGCACCAAAAGCCTCACCGATGAGCTCTTCCATCGGGCCAGTTCCTAACCCAGTGCGTTCGGCGAAAACCTGGGCTTCCCCAACAGCTTCCATCATATTAACAGTGACGATATTACTACCTCCTCATCAGCAACGCTCTCTGAATCCAAATAGATAAGACAACAGATCATACCCCGCAATCTTCAAAAGCGAAGACTTAGTCGCATCCTCCCCACAACCAATAACCTTCCGGCCCATAACATCTTGAATAAGCGGCTTCACCACCTCGGAAGCTTTCTTCGGCCCAGCAATGGCAAAGACAAGCTTCCCATCCACCGCGATCGGATTCCCGCCGAAAACAGGCGCCGCCAAGAAACAGGCTTGCTGTTCTTTCAATTTGGCAACGGTCCGGCTTACCGTTTCGGGGTGGACGGTCGAGCAATCGACAAAGATCTTATCACGGAGCGAATGTCCGGATTCAATGGCGGATGTGATTAGTTGTTGGAGGACGGCGTCGTTGGAGACCTTGTTTTTGGCGTTAGTTTCGGGGTTCTAGCATGCATTAGGTAGATGGGAGAGGGGGAGTTGTTATGCACCATGGTGAAGATGATTCCGCATTGGCTGACTAGTTTGGGGAAACTGTTCTCTGGGGTGGCTCCTAGGGCCTTGAGGGCATCGCCGCGTGCCATTGTCCGGTTGGAGTAGATTAGATTCAGGGCACTTTTTGTCGCTAGGTGTTTTTGGAGGTTGGTGGCCATGGCTAGGCCCATGGAGCCTAGGCCATACTAGTTTGGATGTTAGTATGGTGGTTTGTTGTTTTGGGGGGTTGGACGTACCCAGCCGATGCGTGTCATGGTTGCCTGGAGCAATTGGCTTTAGTGGTAAGTTTGTGGTGGTTGCCTATGACGGAAGTGAGGTTGTAGAAAGGATACGGGAGGATATGGACTAGTAGTAGTACTGTTGTTGTTTCCAACGATAATCGATAACCGGGCGGTCCCGATACTGGGCGGACAACTGCGACAGGCCATTTATCGTCCTAATGGTTTGCTGACTGGTTCTTATAATTAGTAGTATGGAAATCCCATCATTTGGAACACATGCTAATAGATAGGGTTCTAGATCTGGGTTACCATAGGTCGGGTTTCGTTTACGAGATTGTTAGCAGGATTGATGATGGATGTTTTACACCCAATATAACTTGATACAACGCCCAGAATGATTGCTTCTTCATGTAATATTGGAGAAGAATCAGCGAGATTTGTTAGCTTGTTGTCGCTGTTTGGTTGTTGGTGTAGAAGAAGAGTGGTGAGATAGTGCCCCAGCTATGACCCTGCCAATGTCAGGCGTTAAGGCACCCAGGCATTCCCGGTGACGACTGACTTCAGCCACGCATTCCCAATACTAACGTTGTTCCTTCTCCTTCCCCTCATATCTCTATTTCTTCCCCAGGTTTCCCCCCCACCCCTGGACTTCATACCCATGATCGCATCTGTTTGTCTCTTTGGAATTGTTTAAGCATTCATTATCGTGATTCGCATTCAACACCATGGCGGACATGCCCATTGGTAAGCTTCGCCCTCCGCTTCTCCTGCCTGATGCTCCCGTCCGTCAACTAACCCGTACATCAGTCCTCGACGGAGGAACCGGCTTCCTCAAGGTCGGATATGCCGCGCAGGTATGTCCCCGACTTACGCCATCCGTACGATGTTCGAAGAGCTACTTATTTACTTTATTGCTATTCAACAGAACTTCCCCGAGCACCAGTTCCCCTCAATAGTGGGGCGGCCCATACTGCGGACTGAGGAACAGGCTGGCGACATTATTGTCAAGGATATCATGTGCGGAGATGAAGCTGCCGCTGCCAGATCAATGCTTCAGATCAGTTATCCTGTACGTCTCATCCCCACGGCTCGTTGGCGTCCTCCGATGGTGTCCGCAAGTTGCTGATACGGGGCCCAATGGATAGATGGAGAACGGAATCGTGAAGAACTGGGATGACATGCAACACCTATGGAATTACACATTTTATGAGAAGATGAACATCGATCCCACCGGTCGCAAAATCCTCCTTACAGAACCCCCCATGAACCCCCTAAAGAACCGCGAGAAGATGGCCGAGGTCATGCTGGAAGGCTACAACTTCGGAGGTGTATACGTCGCTATTCAAGCTGTGCTTGCGCTATACGCCCAGGGTAAGTGCTAGGGCCTCCCTTAGCTCTGACCGTGCAAAAGCTTATGCCGTCTACTAGGTCTGAGCAGCGGTGTGGTCGTGGACTCCGGTGATGGTGTTACGCACATCATTCCTGTTTATGAATCTACCGTTCTTAACCACCACATCCGTCGATTGGATGTTGCGGGCCGTGATGTCACCCGTAACCTGATCGCCCTCCTCCTTCGCCGCGGTTACGCCTTGAACCGTACCGCCGATTTCGAGACGGTGCGCCAGATTAAGGAGAAGCTTTGCTATGTTTCTTATGACCTGGAGTTGGATAAGAAGCTCTCAGAGGACACAACAGTCCTTGTAGAGTCCTACACTCTCCCCGACGGTCGCGTCATCCGTGTGGGAAGTGAGCGCTTCGAAGCTCCCGAATGTCTCTTCCAGCCTCACCTTGTGGATGTGGATCAACCCGGCATCGCCGAATTGCTCTTCAACACTATCCAGGGTGCCGATGTGGATGTTCGTACTAGCTTGTACAAGGCTATTGTGCTCAGTGGAGGAAGCAGCATGTACCCGGGTCTGCCATCGCGACTGGAGAAGGAGCTGAAGCAGCTGTGGCTCACACGTGTACTACACGGAGATCCGGAGAGATTGAACGTATGTTTAACAGCGCTTTTTTACAGAGAAAATACGTGCTAACCCTCGTCCAGAAATTCAAGGTGCGGATTGAGGATCCGCCACGACGGAGACACATGGTCTTCTTGGGTGGTGCCGTCCTTGCCAACCTGGTCAGTACCCAAACCATACCCATATTATACTGGTATCTAACTTTTTTCCAGATTGCCGATAAGGAGGATATGTGGGTCAGCAAACAAGAATGGGAGGAACAGGGCGCTCGTGCCCTGGAAAAGCTTGGCCCAAGATAAACATTCCATCTCTTTCCCCCCTTTTCATACATCATCTATTTCAACTCCTTCCTTCCTGGACATGTACAGCATCCTCTTATCTCTGGGAGATTGCCCTTGATGTTTTATGTCACATAGGGGTCTAAGGACATCGTGCACTGCGCCTACATTTCCTGTTCTTGTACCTAGTATAGAGAAACCCAAGCCAACTTGATCGACTCTACCGAGCCTGTTCATTGATTCCCTTGAAACCCAAAAGTCGACCGTATAGAAGTAGTATATAGATCGCATGTTTTGCACCCTCGGGCGAGAACTTTCGAAAACTCCCCTACTCTTATACCCCAAACACAGCACTTTATCCCATTAAAAAGAAACGAGAGAAGGAAACACAAGTACAAGACAAGTGGTAAGGAATATACATTGACCAAGAATGGAATGGCCTTCGGCATTCTAAGAAACACCACCAACAACAAAATAAATAAAGAAGTAAATCAAGTCTATAATATAGCCCAACCAAAGAATGAGAATAGAGATATAAAAAATTTATAGGAGAGAGGAAAGGATGGTTATACAAATAAGTGGCAAGCAGGCTTCTCAAAAACCCAGATGAAGATGGAGCACAGATATAGGGTTCTATCTTGATTGATAAGATGAGTGGAATGGACAATCTAGTCGTCGCTGTCGGATTCGACTTGGTCGTTTTCGAGGGACTTTTTCCGCTCCTCGTTCATTTCACGGTAGGTACTCCAGCTTAGGAGGAAGAAGGCTGTGATGATGAGGATGCCGCCGATGATGGAGGCGGAGGCGAGGGGTTGGCCTGTTCGTAGCCAGTCGACGATGGCGACGAGGAAGATGGTGAGGAGGGAGGCCACCGAGGAGAGGACCGGTGAGGTGAGCGAGATGAGGACTAGGAAGGATCCTGAGAAGGCTGTGTGGTGGAGAAGATTGGTTAGTTTTAGGTTGGGGAAGATTATTATTTGCTTTGTTGTTTTGGTTTACTTGGGCGGACTGTGTTTACGGTGGGAGGCCGTGTATATATGGGCACTTACTAGCATTGGCACAGACGGAGATGAGGAGCATCCAGGCGGCTTCTCCGGTGGGCCAACGGAAGGTTTCCCAACCGAGGATGTGAAGGACCGGTAGGGGAATCCAGAGAACCAGCAGGGTGAAGCATCCGATCAGACTGCCGAAGGTGTTGGCAAAGATCATGCTGCGTCCGGGACTGGTGCCTTCCGGGGGACACGCAAACTTCTTATATAGCACCTCGTACAGGCCATAGAGCACACTACCGATGCCGATGATAAGGTTGCCCAAGAGTCTATTTCTTACTTGGCCTTGTCCTTTACCCGGCGTGCCATCTGCATGATTCCCCTCGTCTCCATCTCCATATGCCACCACGAGAACGCCCACAATGGCCACAATTACAGCAAATACCTTATCGAACCGAAGCTTATCTTTAAGAAGTGGGATGGAGAAAGCATAGGCGAAAAAGGCGGAACAATTGTAGATGGCGGTTAAGTCGCTCGCGGTTGTCATGTTGACAGCCAAGTACCAGGAGCCGCCGGCAACGGTGAGGGCTAGGGTTACGAACGCGGTCGTTTTGAGCATGTACGGAATAGGGGAACGGCGGGAGGATACATGCACATCCTGAGATTCAACCATCTGCGCGGTCGTTCGAAGGAGGAAGATATGACGTCGCCAGAATGCGTCCCAAGACATTTTCCTCTTCTGTAACCGAAGAATAAGGAGTTGGACTGGCCAGAGAAGGGTCCATGAACCATGGGTAAGATAACTAGCCGTCAGTGATAGTAGCATTAGCCATCGAACATTTTATTGTATGTGGATTTCGCCAAAGTTAAACCTACAGCATACAGTAGGGCTTGTCCCAGCCTAGTTCGCTCGAGATATATACGGCGGTCTCGGTCTGTACCACAAAACTAGCCAAACTCAGCAACAAGAAACCGGACGCGATGATATATTTTCGCCGAGTGTCCTGCTCGGCGTTGTGTTCGGGACTGCTGCTCCTGATTGTCGGCCGTCGGGTATGGTGATGCAGCATAGGCCTGCCTTCCGCAGCAGCACCATTCCCAAAGCTGGAATTTGACAATCGCCCGCGCTCATCTTTCAAAAGCGGCTGTTGTGACCGGCCGTCCGTGGATCGGTGCATGGGGGGTCGATTCGTAGACATTTCGTCATCGGAATCGGGGGCGTCGAGAACCGGCTCGGTGTCCCTGACCTCCTCCTGGCCCAGCAAATGCGAACTATCTGAAGCCACCTTGTCTCAATCTTCCGTAACACACAGAAAATAAAAAGGGAAAGAGTAAGAACCTTCACTCAACCACTGGATCCCTGTGCTTAGGGATCCAACCGATAAGGCAAAGGGGAAGGTGGGGGGTTTCAATCGGACACTGCTTTTTTTTATGTCGACGGATACAGTAATGAGAGGAATCCCGAGGTAGATGCAGTATTCTCCATAGAACTAGTGGTGAAACGAGAGGAATGAGGGAAAGAAAATCAATTATAGCATAAGGATGGAAATCAGGATTCTATCAATTTCAGGGGAAAGAGTAGACCATGAGGTTTTGGTCGGGGACCTGCAGCTCATAAATAATACAACTGCTGGGGATTGTAGCGGCTGCGGCCACGTTTGCGCCAAGTGTTCGGTTTGCGTTTCGATATGGTAATCCAAATGCCGGGAGAGGGCGATAAAGAAAAGGGCTTGAAATTGAGCTAGGCGTGCAGGAGACGGAATGACACCATGTAAGGGGATCCAGACGGGGAAAGGAGAGAGAGAAGCGAGAGAAAGGGAAGAAAGAGTATAAATGAGTGAAGTTGACGTTCAACTTGCCGTCTGCAGCGAATGATTTGAGGAATTCCGGAAACCGGGGCTGGCGCTAGTCCCGCTTGGAGTCGTGGTGGGATAGCCACACGTGACTTCCACGGGGCACGACGCCTAATCACTTTCTATATTTGGCAAGCCAAAAGTCTTGGCATTCTCATCTATCTTCAATGACTAATCCAGAGGAATGCAAAACCACACACCAACTGCTCTAAACAATGGACTTGGCCAAGCTTCCATTACGTTTCCTATTAGTCAACTCAACTCAATTCATCTCAATGTGCAAACCGGAAATCCAAACGTTTATTCCCTGTATCCTTAGTAGTCGCAATGTACTCGATTCGCTGCTCCTCCGTCATCGCAAGCCACTTCCGATCGCGCTGGCGATTACGAAGTATATAGTAGCCCTTCGTCGCAACGTATACTGCCATGTTCGTGCAGACGAGAGCGAGAAGAACTCGATTCCCCAGCACATAGCGAGGAGCATCCCCTAGAATGGTTACCTAATTAGCCAAGGATTCCGACCCTGATAACCATGCTCAATGGGCTCGGACTTGTCGCACTCACAGTCTTGATAGACGTTCGACGCAATGATCCCCGATATTTGCACGCAGATATTGTACATCGCCGCGGACAGTGCACGCGATCGCACGCTGTTGGAATTGCGAGAGTTCCATCCCGCTTGGAGAGCATGGGCTAAGAACACCTCGCTGTCAGTCTCCATGTGTGAGAAAACAGTACGGGGTGGGCTTTCCAAACATACGACTGGGGAAGGAAAGGATCAAGGTGAGGACCGTCCACCCAATCCATTTCTTGGTCTGACTAAAATCGACCACATTCATGTAGATAAGCATCGGTAAGGTCCAGGCTTGGCTCAGAACACCCATCCATGCAAGGGACCCGAAAATCTCGGCGGCATAGGTGAGAATGATCCTAGTTACAATCCCGAGAACCTAGAGACCGGTCAGCCATTACTGGGTATCTCTATATAGAGCACTTATCTTTCAGCGCACTTACACTGCATGGGATAGCGAGCAGGATGACGTTAAACTCGCCAAAGCCGAAGTCTTTCATCAGTAGTGTAAAGTATTGAGAGACCGTTGCTGTTCAATCGCCCTAGATTAGCCCGGGCTCCATACCGTACGCCAGGAGCAAAAGATCGAAGAGAGTGATAGACTGACTATATGGGACCAAAAATATGAGGCCAATCATATAGAGTGGCCACAAATCGTAATCTTTGAAACTCTGCCACACAAGCTTGGCTGTCAAGGGTTCGTTGTTTCTCATGGAACCCTTGCTTGGGTCCTCGCGAAGGATTCGATTGACCAGAATAACTTCTTCTCTATCAGTCACACCTATTAGTGCCACCTTTGCACAGGAACAGAGATCAAACACGGGGTGAATTACCGCTCCGTAAACCAGCCTTTCTTACCCCGAGCCCAGCTCGCTGTTTGGGTCACGGACGGTGGTAAGAAAAGAAAAGACAGGATGGCAAGGACTAGAGTAAAAGAACCCTGCATATACATAAATATCTGTCGAGTGCCTTCTAGAAAGAGAATGGACGAACCTCGATCAAGAAAAGCCAACGCCAACCAGCTTGACCAGCATAGCCACGCAGATGCAGTATACCATAGGCCAAAAACCCTGCTAGAACGTCTGCTAATGCTTGTGCAGAGTACCAGAACCCCAAGCGAATAGAAAGCTCGTGGTGCTTATAGAAATTGGAGAGATATAAGATCATCTGAGTGTGTAAGCAAATATCTGAAAACATCCTGGAGGCCAGAATCACACACAGTAGGCGTAAACCCCCCTGAGAATACACCAATCAAGGCTCGACAGGCCAGGAACGAACTTCTATCTCGCAACCAAAACTGACATAGAGCCACCAACGACCATGAGGTCATTTGAATGGGAATCCACTTATCGACTCCAATATATTTGCCGATCAGTTGCGCAGGAATCTCACTCAGGAGGTAGAATAGCTTGAATATAGAATTGCCAAGGTTGTAATCTGGGTGATTTTAAACCTATCAGTCAGTTATCTGAGTAATACGCATCTGTCACTTCATCAACACGAACCATTCCTAGATAACCCAAGATCAGACAAGAAATCATCGGCATTGGCCTGCTCTGTTGTGATACACAGTCTTTAGGTGATGCTGATAACATTTGTAGCTGGACTGGCACATACGAATATTTGAGCGATCAAGCTCCATTGCTGTCATCATCATGCAGGCCAATACCATGATCCGCATATCGAGCTTCCGGGCCGCTCTCTGAATAATAATCAGACCTTGTTATGCTCTTCCACAAGTATTTGGATCCGACTTACATTTTCTTCACCCCAGGTCCATCTTGCTGACGGATCAAAGCGATGGACGCTCTCCCAGTCTGCTTGTGGTTTGTACTCCGCAACAAGTTCGGGATCGTCGAACACGGAAGGTTGCGTTGCGATAGCATTTGGATTGTAGCTTTTCGATTTCTGAAACCAAAAGCGGCGGTCGTCAGAGGCATCAGCTAGTGTCGAATGGTCTGAAAAAGGCGTAGGCTTAATCGTTAGGGTGGTGGCGTATTTTTCAATGTCCGATGATGTTGAAGAGCCAGGATGCACTGAGGATATGGCATCCCTCTGCAGGGAGCGAGCAATGACAAGCGGCATTGTATAGTCGTATCAATAAATAGCTTGACTTGGTAACGGCTATGGTGTTGTCCCGTCGAACTTTGTATAGGGCTGTGATGCTTCTTTTATAGGGTTCTACTATCAGCTATGGCTGATAATAGCTTCAGCAAGACTCAAGGGGCGTTATTTGTGATCAAATGCAATCATCCCTCTCCGCCACAAGTCCCACATGGTATCATGAGACTTCATATTAATAGTTGGTAAGTGATGCAGCTTCGGCTATCCGGGCCTCCGGCAGTTGTGGCAGCATGACATTTCTTGGGGTAGAAACTAGACGCTAATAGATATTACTGGACATAGCTTCAGAGCTCCGATATCACTAGCTCATGGTAAGGTGTCACTGCGGCATTTTTTCTAATGCTCATCTTGCAGGTAGGTTGGAATGGCAGTTCGGAGAAACACGTCGTAGCATCCAGTCTAGCCGGGGCTTTACGATAAAGATTCACGTCTTCTATTCAATTGGTTGAGCTCTCCATAATCACCGAAATAGTGACTATGACTTAGACAAATGTCACGGCATGCGATACCTTGCAGCTATTTCTGTAATTAGTACTCTTCGCGATAGGTTACATATGAAGGTTACCACTCATTACTTATCTAGAAGTGCTGCAGATGAGAGGCCAATCGGTCGAATTGCCTAGTCCAACATCTATGGATTGTCACGTTACCCACGTTACTTTCCACCATCTTCCTTGCTTCAAATCAAACCAAGATGGTGTCCATAGCCTCCCGCAAGGGGGAGAAAAGAATGTGCTCTCCAGGCGATGCAGTATGTGAGGACCATGAGACGCCCAGGCCGGACCAAAATATTGGCACGGGCTGGGACTCTGCGTCATTTGGCTGGTTTTGAGAGAAACCTGCGAGGTAGTTGGGGAGTATCTGCGCAAGGATGAAGCACACGGTTAAGGAGGTGGAGGAGGCAGACAATTCTTGGTGGCAGGCACCAGCCTTGAAGTTGACAAAATGTAAGGGGCTGGGTCGATGACATATTATTGATGTCCTTATGCTACTTCTCAGGTAAAATAAATCTCTATCTTCTGTATTCCGTATTACTTTTCCATCATTCTCTGCATGAGGAGATATGCACTCAACCCAGGATTCCGACAATCGCCGTTATTTCCAGTAGTATCAGCGGAGTATGCGCATATCAATGCAAATCTTGCAGAGACCTGGGCCAGTCCTCTTCTATGACCTAGAACCTTTCCATGGAGCTGATGCCTGGTGGGAAAGTTGACTTTATGGTTGGAAGACAATAAGGTTTGAACGGATATCAGTCCTATTCGTTCTAGAACTATTATATACTGCACGCCGAGATTTAGGACGAATGCATACCGTTGAATCCAACTAAAGGTGTAAGAGCCGCCTATGACCAACATGGATATATGGTGGTAAGTATGCTCAGCATCGTTCATAGGGTGCACTATGCCGTAGACTTAGGACCAAACAGAGCCTGCCTAGTGTCATAAGTGTACTTCAGATCGAGGTGCCAGTAGTCAGGAGCAGTTGGCTTAACGATCAACCACGCCTTATCCAGTGCTTCAACAACTTCCTCGGGCAAGGGGCCTTTTTGAATGTCCCTAAGGTTACTCTCCAACTGCGCGAAGTTGCTCACACCAATAATAATTCCGTCACGGCCATTCCCCTTTATATTAAGAGCCGAGTGATGACGGATCCAGCGAAGCGCAGTCTCGGGGAGTGTCAGGCCATGCTTCTGGACAGCAGGCTCAATGACTTGAAGCGCATCGAATGTTGCATCTTTAAAATAGCGTTTGCGGTACAGTTCCCCAAAAATGGATTTGCCGCTGTATCTGCCTTCCTCAGGTATGTCTTTCGTCTTATATTTGCCAGAAAACAGCCCGCCCGCAAGGGGGTTGTAGACTACGATGTCAATGCCATAGCGTTTGCAGGCGTGGACGAGCTCGGTCTCAATTGAACGTGCTACAGTGGCATAGATCAATATCATTCAAAGGGGTGCTGCATTCTTGGGGACATATTGGCTCACTAATGGCATTGTACATAGCCTGATAAATTGTCGGTCGCACCCAGCCTCTCGCCGTACAGAGAGTAACTATTTCCGCAACCTCAAATGCCGTAAAATTACTTAGGCCAAATTGGACAAACTTGCCTTCTTTATGGAGTTTATTGACTTCCTCAAGAGTCTCGGCAAAGGAGACTGATCTATCAGGAGCATGGAGATAAAATATGTCAACCTGGGTCGTGTCTAGCTCCTTTAGAGACAGCTCTAGTTTCTCTCGGAGAACACTGGGCTTGTGCTCGCCCGGGGCTTTTGGATACCACTTAGTTGCCAGAGTTAGACCACGTTCCTTCCACTTTGCCTGAGCGGTGAAAGCTTCTTGTTGTCCTCCGACATAGATTCTAGCGGTGTCGACCTCGTTGAATCCCTGTTGTTGGAAGTAGTCCAGATACTTGTTGTAATCATCGAGGGTAGTGATTCGAGCGCCATTAGCCTCATCGGGGCCAAATGTCATAAGGCCCAGGATTACTCTTGGCAGGGGATTCTGTGCGACGAGAGGCATTGTGTCGTAGATTAGAATTGAATTATGAGAAGGGGCTGGAAATGTCGGTATAAATGCTTCTGCGGGGTAACAGATTTCAGTCACTTGAATTGAATTGGGCACATAGTACTCAACCAGCACATATTCCGGATATTAGTATGAGACATACCTTGATCGTATCCAGGATTCTTTTATCGCTGATTCAAGGCAGGGGTATGTTGAGAGTTATCCATGTCTCCACGTGGATGATGAGTGGGTAACACGAAATAACGGAAATAACGGGATTTAATGGAGATAAGACATGATGTGATTAAATTGATTTCAAATCACGCCTTTGGTAACAACTCCAGTTCGACACTTCTATATCGCTAATGTCTGCCCTACATTTTGGTGTCCCACTCCTGTTTGGGTAATACTCTCACACATTTGAGCTCATTAGACCGAACATACCTGTTGCTGAACTTGTTCTTCTTTTTCTTGGGAAAGAGAAATAATAACAAGGCCAAAGCAGGTTTTGACAAGGTGGAGCAGTGAGTGAGAGACTATGTCACCCAGTTTAATAGCGCGGGACAAGCATTGAGCCATGTCGAGACTATTATTATTACGCAGGGTATGCATGATCATCTTGCTGAGGCGTGTAAAAAAAGCATGTATAGTCTCGGGGGACAACTCTATTGTTATATACTCAAGTCCCGAAATACTTAGGAGGTGGATCCTTCATATAACACTCATTGGTACAATAACGCACCATGATCCGCGGTCGCAGCTTGGTCATACTCTGCCTAGCTTGCTTGGCCCACGGATGCTTCTCATTAGGCAAATACTGAGACATGTTGATGAATTCTTGCTTCGACAGGTAAGGTATCCAAGCGGAGCCCGGGTCCGTCCCGAGAATGTCGAGGTTTTCCTTTCGCGCAGATTCCCACATGTTTGCGAAGATAATACATTCATCTTGTCTTCTCCATACTTCCACAGCCGTTTGGAATCGAGAACTTGTGCATAATTCGAAGAGTGTTTGCACGGCCGGTTCCTTTTCTAATGCGTGTTCCCTGAATAATGCTTGAAATTCCCTCGACCGAGCCTCGTCGTCAATATCAACTATCTGAACAGGCGCATCGCCTAACAACCCAAACAGGCCAGACTTCAGAGCCGCTTTCCTGGTGATATGCAGAGAAACCGCCGCCATGGCTATGTCTAGCCTGCTTTGACTTTCCACACAAATCGATGTTCCGTACGCTTCCTCATTTGTTAGAGGGTCATATACGCCGTGATAACGACGCCATAGGCTGTCGAATGGATCAGCGCCATCAGCGCCATCCAACAGCACCTTCAAGCTAAAATGGTAAATAATCTCTGCCACGACAGAAGGCTGCATCCCAAGATCCTTTGCCCCCGACAGGAACATAGCAATCGAAGACGAAGGTTCATAACCCGTCCACAAGACATTGTAGCTCGTTCGCGTCCAGTTAAGATGCAGCACATCCCGACGCGGCTGCACTCATATCGACTTTAAGCTAGTTGCGTCTTCCAGTTCCAACCTGCGTCCCTGTTCTAGCGCGACTTGCCGAGACTCGCTGTTAACAAATGCAATGAGCGGCGGCTGAGCGTTTTGGTATGTTATACGGTCGGCCCAGCAGACTTGACGGGACTCGTTGCCATCGAGAAGGAAGCCAGGGATGTCTTCTTCTGCTATACGATACGGTAGGCAGTGCTTCCAGATAAGACGGCGTAGTTCTAGAGGCAGCTGCAAAAAGTAGTGGAATGAGTTGTTGTTCATCTTGTACTCCTATTTATTATTTATTGTTATACAAGGCGCATGTATGAAGAAATATATAGAAGACACAAAAGGTGGGCATGCGATCACGGTTGTCGTAGATCTGTCGGCGCTAGTGGTCGGGCCGATCCTTGCCCAGATAGGGGTTTTCTGGTGACAAAAGAGAAAGGGCATTACATATAATATGCAACAATTAGTGGTTGACCTCGCGGTGGGCTAGGTCACCGGAGACTCAAGCACAGTACACATTTTTTCTATAAGCTTAGAGAGTGTGCAGCATACATATATATTTCTGAAAGCACTGCTAAAAGCACTGAGTCCCTAGTAGTTGACTTTGATCTTACTGCAATGGCAAGGTGTAGTCTATCTGTGATGATAGAAAAAAGCTCCTTCGTAGAAGGGAATGATCGCACATATACTCCCCTATCACAGTGCCTATGTAACTGATAGGAATTCCTAGTGAGGACCAGTATATGAATGTACCTATTGATTTACTAGATCATCTTTTTGCTTTCTCATGTTCATATAGGATATTGTGGCACCTAATATTAGTCCACTCAAGACAAAGTATTTGCACATCTTCAAGATCCAAGCTGCTATTGCAATACATGGTGACAATAGAGACTCTACAGAGAGTTATCCAGTGCGTTCGCACATCCTTCCCCCTGGGAACTATGTCAGTTGTATGTACAACATGGTAGGAGAAAATAAAGGTGGCGATGCACTTTCCGTAATGTAGTCCCCCTTGTAGACTTCTCACACCCGGAAATAGCATGAAGAGCTCATGAGACCTCCAATTTTGGATCTTCAAGTTACCCACTATGTAGTTCCCACAGCATAAAGTTTGCTTGACTCCCGAACGTCCACAAGGTACGTTGGCTTTGCCACCATTGCCTTTTTTTGGATGCCGGCTTCGGAGGACCAAATGGGCTAGACGTCTCCGTTAGCTAACGTGAGTCATCCCCTGGGCTGATCACTTCCCTATAACATTAGTAGTTCTATGGTGATCGGAAGTGGAGTGCTAATCATAACTCAATTCTACCCCAGAAGTAATTCTCACAATAACAATGGTTATCTGAGGGTCGCAATATGACCTTTGACTCCTGCTGAGTAGATGTCTGATCCGACTCCAATACATATATACAGACACCACCCTCTAAGAGAAACTGCATAGTACATAGTCTATATGACTGGCCAGACTTCTTAGACATAGACCTTACTCCTCCCACTTGTTCGTGACTTGCTGATTATTGATCAGATAATATTAGAGTTAGTGAGATCCCGCTGTGGAGACTTTCAAGGAGCCCCACTTAATTAATACTATTCTCACCGGGACAATGATCGACGAAGAGATTACTATTCTAGTCTCGTTTATTGCGACCGTTGGCTTAGGATTTCCTTTTCATCGTATGATCACACCCGTCTGGCTGAGAATGATTGTCCGAGTGATATTAGGGTTCTGTTAGTCTGTCGAAGCAGTCGATCGGGAGACTGTGTGCACAGACCGGATTTTATGTATCGCAGCATAGAAAGGACTCAGAGAGCACGTCCACGAGTAGACTATAAGCACTCACGGTGGCTCGCCTAGGGCAATTAGGATCAGCGGTACAATATTATCTAGTCCCACCTATAGTCATACTCTTAGTCCAGTCTTCATTTTTATAAGAAGGAACAGAAAGAAAAGAAAAGGAAGGACATCAAAACAAGAAAATACTGCAAACTACAAGGTAAGAATCTTGAACGAGTGAATTGGATTAAATAGCAGGATGGAGATTTAATATTGAGGATCTCCTGGGTCCTTATATGACTTTCCTTCTCTTTTCTTCGTAGCTCTGGGTGGTCGACCAGTGTCTCGGTCGGATTGATCCATGTTTGAAACCGTACTATCCACGATTTAAGTATAGCAAAAGCTAACCAAGTTTCAAAGAGGAACCTACACCCAGTTTTTGGGACAAGCCAGATTCCAGAACACAATGAACTAGTTACCAATATATGATATTCCATTACCTTTCTCCGACCGAATTATATTCTCCAGCTCCATAGCTTTTCACCCGTTGCATGAAGAGAACAAAAGACTTGTTCGTGTGTTGTTTTCACTAACCCCAGTTCTGGTGTCACTTCAGGGTCTATCTCATAGCCTTAGGCTAAATGGCTATTTTGCATGCATATACATGATACAGGAACGTCTCACCATGCATATTATTCTGTAGGGGCCAGGGTCTTCTGGTATGACTTACTAGGACTGAGGCCAACCCCGACCCACTAGCGCCAAGACGAATAAAGCATTTTAGCTTAACAGTGTTTCGAATTAGTGTTTTGGGCTGTGATTTTGTGTTTGAGTTAGATGGCATAAATCGACTTCTACTTTAAGAGAATCATCGAGTCTGTTCGAAACTCTTAAACCTTGGGTATTTACTTGGCAGGATCCCGCAAGGAGGATTAGGGAGAGGTGGTAATCTACTATGTGACCTCAAGGTTCCTGATCACTAGTATAGGCTGTAATAGGAGCTCTTGAGCAGGAATGAGTATATTTGTGGCTCCGCATAAATAGCGATCGTAGGACGGACGATTTTCCATGTAATGAAACCCTGTACGGCTCATCAGCTTTATGTCTACCCGGGAGAAGTCCAATTTAGTCATTCTTTTATTCTTTTCTGGTTTTTCGTTCTTTGATACTCTTTCTTTTATCATGAAGCCTAAGATCTTCAGCCCCATTCTGTTTACCTTGGCTGCCGCCCGGAGCTATTCACTTGAAGAACACTTTGACGTGCAAGCTAGTCTTTTGACCGACCCCAAAGAGGTTGCTGGGAAAACATTTGATTATGTGATTGCTGGAGGAGGCTTGACCGGTCTGACGGTTGCAACCAAACTGACAGAGAACCCCGATATAGATGTTCTGGTCATTGAAAAAGGCTTCTATGAGTCCAACTGTGGAAGAATCGTGGAGGACCTGAATACCTATGGCGACATTTTTGGCACGGAGGTTGATCAGGCCTACCAAACCGTTCCCCTTGCAATCAACAATCGCACGGAATTAATCAGGTCTGGAAATGGCCTTGGAGGGTCGACCTTGGTCAACGGTGGCTCCTGGACTCGCCCAGACAAAGTCCAAATTGATTCGTGGGAGAAAGTCTTTGGCAATGAGGGCTGGAATTGGGAAAACATCTTCGAGTATATGAAGAAAGCTGAGAAATCTCGCCCACCAAATGAAGCTCAGATTGCAGCTGGCCACTCCTATGATCCCGCTTGCCATGGAACAAACGGCACTGTTCAAGCGGGACCCCGTGATAATGGAGAACCATGGTCTCCAATTATGAAAGCACTCATGAAAACGGCCGCAGAGCGCGGTGTTCCAACGCAGGAAGATTTCCATTGTGGTCATCCTCGCGGTGTTTCCATGATCCCGAATACTGTACACGAGGACCAGACTCGGTCAGATACTGCACGCGAATGGCTTCTTCCAAACCACGAACGCCCTAACCTAAAAGTCCTGACTGGTCAAAGAGTGGGAAAGGTTCTACTCAACAAGACAAAGTCTGGCGCTAAGGCCACTGGGGTGAACTTCGGCACCCACAGGAACGTAAACTTCGACGTGTATGCAAAGCATGACGTCTTGCTTGCAGCTGGATCTGCTATCTCTCCTTTGATTTTGGAATGGTCTGGTATCGGCTTGAAGGATGTCCTTAGTGCTGCTGGTGTTGAACAGGTTGTTGAACTCCCTGTTGGACTCAACATGCAGGACCAAACGACTACCACCGTCCGCTCTCATATTCAGTCTTCAGGTAATGGACAGGGTCAGGCTGTTTACTTTGCATCTTTTAACGAGACCTTTGGTGACTATGCCCCTCAGGCCATGGAGCTTCTCAACTCCAAACTTAATCAATGGGCTGAGGAAACGGTACGCAATGGTGGTTTTCATAATGTGACAGCACTCAAGATCCAGTATGGAAACTACCGCAACTGGCTACTCAACGAAGATGTTGCCTTCGCAGAGCTTTTCCTTGATACCATGGGTCACATCAACTTTGACTTATGGGACCTTATTCCCTTTACTCGTGGTTCTGTGCACATCCTCGCCAGCGACCCCTACCTTCATCGCTACGCCAACGATCCCAAATTCTTCCTCAATGAATTCGATGTCCTCGGTCAGGCCGCCGCCTCGAAGCTTGCCCGCGAAATCTCCAACGCTGGTGAGATGAAGAAGTACTTCGCTGGAGAGAGCATCCCCGGTGACAACTTGGCATACGACGCTTCCTTGGAGCAATGGGCGGGTTATGTTAAGAAGAACTTCCGCGCCAATTGGCACGCTGTGAGCTCTTGCTCGATGATGTCCAAAGAAATGGGCGGTGTTGTTGACTCCGCTGCCCGTGTGTATGATGTCAAAAGTCTTCGTGTCATCGATGGCTCTATCCCACCGACTCAAGTATCTTCCCATGTCATGACCCTTTTCTATGGTATGTCTCTCAAGGTTGCAGATGCCATCCTAGCGGACTACTATAAGAGCTGAGGGGCTTGGTTCTGGACCACAATTATTATGTTGTGGCAGAAACTTTTCAAGCAATGATCTTAGGTCTGCACTGACTCGAATTTTCTTCTGACTTTGTATATTTTCCAATATTGTGTCCTTTTTATCAAATTTAGTTAAAGCTATTCTCTTTCTACAATTCTTATAATATGGTATCATATCTCACTGCTCTACAATCCATTTCCTTTTTGACATTCGGCTGTTGCCAGCCCCAATTGCTTTTTGAAACGAACAAGTCTGCTGTAAGGTTTCACCATCTGTTTACCAGTTTCCTAACACATGTTCACGTAGGAAACCGTCTTAGAGAATCCCGAAGATGACACAGGCGGAGCCAATGAGAGGTGCATCTACCTGCCCGTGTATAAAATGTACAGTGTCGATTGATTTATCAATAGACAAGAGTGGCAAGGTCAAAGAGAATAAAATGCCGTGCCGTGCCGATCTACACCAATATAGAGCAGTGGTTGCTTCCGTGGTGGTGTGGTGTGGACGACAAATAACTTAAGGTTAGAGTAATTATATAATCATATAATAAAAATGTCGATTCTTGTCTGATCGACATTCGGATTACCTTTTTATATACCTTCTTCCTTTTTCCTTGGCTTTTTCTACTTTCAGTTTATTTTGAAACCTGCGCCAAGTGCTTCAACCTTCAATATTTCTGCAACGTGTCTGCAGTAGTAGTTCTATCTGCGTTATTGCCCTCTCCTACTATTTCGAGATAATAATAATTGGTGTGTCTCACGATATGTGTGCTTTATTAAGGTAAATGCCTATTGCTCAACTGTTGGTGGGTTTGTTGGAATTTTAGGGCACTGGGGGTTTCTTGCTTGGGAGGCGTAGGCAGCCGATAATCTCTTCGTCACATTCAGTGGCCAGATATAGATCCCGGTGAAAACTAACATGAGACATACGGACTTGTAATCTGGTAGCCAAGCAACTATGTTTACCTGTGACAGGGGAAGCCATCCCGAAAGTGGAGATGTATGGAACAGTAGAGGGAAATGACCCTGCCGATCACTCTATACAATGTGCCTCACTGCCTGCAGAATATCATGAAACTTGCCTATTTAACCGAGTTCTTCTCCCTTGCACTTTGTAGACATCAGTCTCCGAGCACTAAGTATATTCTCTACTCAGCCGACTCGAACAGTACAGGTACTATCATCCCGGGATTCCTGGTTCTAATATTGCATGCTGCTATCAAGTTCACCAATTAACAAGGTATCTCATCGGGCTTAGATTTCCTCTGTTCGAAATGGTTACCTTTGGAGGAATGCGGTTACCTCTTTTGTTGTTGCTGCTCAACGCAGCGTTTGGCTCAGCCCACCACTGGTTCAACTGGCAGTATGAGGTTGGCTGCGAGTCCGATACCTTTATCGCACCAGCAGATGAGGCCGGCGTTGCCTCCTTCCTGAAGAAGGAGTTCCCTAAGCAATCTCTTATCAAGGTCGTCGGTAATGGCCACGGTTTTGGAAACTTGACTACCTGTATTAGCAAGGGCGCCACGAACAGAACGTCTCACATCGTTAGCCTTACAAACTTGAAGAAACTCGAGATCCACAAGGACAATACCATTACCGTCGGTGCTGGCTGGGACGTCTACGACCTGATCAATGAGCTCAAGAAGCACAGCTTGTCCTTCAACTACCTCGGCGCCATGCGTGTTCAGAACATTGTTGGTGCTATCAGCACCGGCACTCATGGCACTGGACAGAAGATCGCCAACATGGCAACGCAGGTAGTTGCTCTCCGTGTCCTTGACGCTCGCGGCGAAACCCGCATCGTTGATGAGCATAAGAACGCCGAAGAGCTGAAGGCCTTCCGTATCAATCTTGGTGCCCTTGGCCTGATCACTGAGGTCACCCTCAAGGTTCAGCCGACTCATTTCTTGAAGAAGACCACCAAGGTGCTAAACGCCACCACCGACTACAAAAAGCTGTACACCGAGCTTGCGGATCTCTACAAGGAGCATGACCGCATGACTGTTTGGGGTCCTCACTTTGACTGGGATGCTAAGGCTCAGAACTGGACCATCGAGCCTACCTTCTATGCCAGCTGGTGGGAGCCAACCAACTACACTAGTGTCCGCAACTGCACTCTCAACTACTGTGCCAACGGTTGCGGTGACTGCATCAAGGACTACATTTGCTACGATGAGACGAGTGACGCAGTGTCGTGCCCTCCCCAGGGTATCTGCTCGAGTCAGTTCTACGCCGAAATTGAACACTTCTTCCCTATGGAGCACTTCGTGGACGTCGCCACCAACTACACCAACTTCCAACAGGCACAGACTCCTAGAATGAAAGGTTTCGAGAACGACAAGATGATCTTCCAGTTCCGTGCTCTGAAGGGTGATGATTCGTACATGTCCCCTGCCAACACCTACAACCTCGGCTCCGAAAACAGCGGTGTTTTTGGTGTCCTCGAGATTGATTGGATGCAGAAAGTGAACCACTGGGGTACACTCTACAACAACCAAGAGTTTACTAATGAGTTCCATGATGAGTTCGCTACCTTGTACAACGCTCGCTCCCACTGGAACAAGATGGCGCCCAGCGACCCCAAGCACGCCTTGTCTGCCTTCCCTAAGCTGCCCGAGTTCCTGAAGATCCAGGAGCGTCAGGATCCCAACTGCCAGTTCACCAACGAGTTCTTGGTGAACCAGCTCGGTATTGAGCGCTGCCGGTCCGCACTCAAGCTGTAGTATGAAGGAAAGTTGAATTGGATCTTCTTCCTTTCTTTCTTTCTTCCTGCTTTTTTTCCTTTCTCTCAGTTTGCTCTCCATTCTCCCAATTTTTGGTCCTCTTTCCGGCCACATTTCATGGGATTTACCGTTTTCGTTATTCCGGCCTTTCCAGTGCTATTCTATTATTATTAGATATATTTATCCCATGGACATTTCTCCATAGAAATCACATTCGGCAAGTCCTCCTGCTTTCCAATAATTCAAGAATATACTCCGAGCCACCAGCGAAACAAGACAAGCCAAATCCGTAACCCCTAACCGCCAATCCTAAGTTCCAGCCTATAAAGAGCCATACTAACCACCAAAGGCAACATTAGATCATCACAACCTACAATTACACCAGCACATAAAACAACAACCCCCTCACAGCCAGAAACACATCTCATAGCCATACACATACGCCTCAAAAACAATCCAAAGTCACCCCTCCCAGCCAAGTACCGCCCATCAAAAATACGCCACATCCAGCAAACAATAACAAATCAGTCCTCAAGCCTGTCTACTTTATACGCGTGCTCTGGGCGGGGATTGAAAGAGCTCACCCCATCATCACACACTGCCTAGTTTTTTACAGGCATCTCGAATATCAAAACGCTAGTATGCTCCCGTTTACTCGATAAACTATCGGGTGATACATATGCCTGGTAGCAATCTTCACCAATTTCGCCTTTGATCCTATCGAAGGAGGGACCATGCGTCGATACCTCCTTAAAAGTGGCCAACTCCGGCGTTGTTCTGGCTATTATGTTGTCCCGGATGGGCGGGACTTCGCGGAAGCCCCAGTAACATCAAGGGTGAGCATCATCTATATGGCCAAGATTATCATCTTTAGCTCTAGTGAGGGTGCATGCGATGAAGAGGGTAAGGATGTAGGGCTTGAGGTGCATTGTTAGGGTTTGCGGTAGAGTTTTCGCATGTAGTATGAGACGTAGTTGAATCTTGGAGTTAGGTAGGCAGCTTTAGGTGGGGTGCGTTGTGTGTATTTATAGAGGAGTAGCTTTGTTGGTTGGGCTGGTGGATGAAATAGTAGGTGATGAGTTGTATAGACGATGTATGGAAGGCTTCAGAGGGGAGATCGGAGAGAGTTGCATTCAAAGAAATGAAACCATGCGAAGGGGGACTGAAACATATTCGAAAGGATACTGAAACGACCACAAAGAATAATGATACTCTAATGCATAGATTATTCATATGTTTTCTTCTTTGGTCCTGTTTATGTATTCCGAACTTCTACAAATCTGATACCTCTTTCAGTTATGGAACCTTTTATTTCTCTGCCCACTCTATTGCTGTTACACTAACGACATAAACCAAAGGACTAATCGAACAAAGCTCAAGATTACATATATGTCTTCCGAAATGATGTTTGAAATCCACAGCAGTGGCAATGCCTCAGTACACTGTAAGAGCCTCTTGCCTCTGTTCAATGTACATCATTCTCCTTGTGTCTCTCTACAAACCTCAAGGGCCTGTCATCGTTACTCAATGAAACGCACATTCCCTTCGATAATTTCTCCATCTCGCCTTCATTATCAAGCAGTCGAAGATGGGGATGTTCGGGGTCCTGCTCTAACTTGCAAGCCATCAATGCGAGTGCGGACGACTTCCATATACCAATACCCTTTGCCTGTATTCCTGTGTAGAACTGTGATGACCAGGAAAACGATTGATACAACGGATATGACAACCGGGAACACGATCCAATACCAACGTACAGAGATGAATGTCTGGTGCACGGAGGCGTTACCGGTCAATGTTGTGCTATTAGGACCAGCCCGAATCCGGTCTGTGATGCCGGTGGCTAGTCTTCTCATTTCTTCATTAACGTCCCCTCCGTCATTCATAGAGATGGCCCAGCCAGCTTCAAGCCCGTCAGATAATGAAACTGCAGTGTTTAATTGATTGGATATTTGACTAATTGTACCCCCTTGAATGGCGTAGTTGGAATTGGACGAGAAGGTTTCTGTCCCCTTTGGAGGGGATAAATAATTCTAAGAAAACATGCAGAACTTTGTCTTCACAAAAAGCTGCTGTGTCTTAGCGGGCTCTAGTGAGAGTTGTTTAGAAGTATAGGAGTTGTTTTCATATCTTTGTTCGCATAAATATAAGGCGCATTCACTGATTATTGGTCTCTGTTCTGGCTCCGTCACATTATCAGGCGTGTATGCAATGTAGGGATATGTATAGTCGGCAACAGCAAACCCTACAACAGGTTTAATATTCCAGCTAAGTATGGCCCACCGGAGTCGCTGAGGTTCACACTATTGAGACTCGTTCCATGTGTGCAGTTTGTTGATGGCCAAGTGAAGTTATTCTGATCAAGCATGCTCGTATAGATTTGGCCACTGATCTTAGCGGTGCAGTTTTGCTTTGTTTAGGCTGTGACTTCCTGGCAGCGGCTGCAAGCCCCTAAGGCTTCAAAGTCAGGGTACTTGCAAGTCCCCCAAGTACATACCGAGTTGAGTGCGTTGTTTGCTCCATAGATGCTTCTCAGGAATGTGACCCCCACGGTGTTATCTAGGTTTGTGCTGACAGGTAGATATACCTATGCAGCTTGAACCGACGCAGTCTCATTCGATGCGGGGACCACTCGAGAGGGGAAGACGAGAAATTGTTGGGCTAAAGGGTCAATGACCACAGAAAGAACCACCGTGATCGCCCCAAAGCTCGCCACCGAAGGACGAGTGCTGAAAATCATCTGGATCGATCCCCATACCCCACAACTAGTCCGGCCCAGAGCGTTAAGATTATAGAGTCGTCGGCGTTCACGATATTGATTCCATTTAATCTGACCGAGACAGCTACTCACGGGAAACACTAAGGCTGCTCGAACCACCGCAATCACCACAGCGAGAATGGCGTTAGGAGAGACCCGGTACGTCTAGTCGGCGTATTGCATTCCGTCAAATTGTTTTAGTAGTACAATTAGGACAATAGAAGACACAATGCTCAATATTGAAGCGGTGACTTCCCTCCCCCCCCCCCCCATGCTGTCAGAAAACCAAGTTTCTGAGTCACTTCGCTCTGCTGGGAGATATCAGTCTGTTGAGCCAGCAGCTCGGTGCGATCGGCAGAAGTATCCATTTTGGTGGCGATTTCTTCAGACTGTAGATGAACAGGGCGGCTTGAGTATTTATCGGTGTCTCCCGGAGGCTGGGGCACGAAGGGATAGTCAGATGTCATGTTGCCAGTTTCGCTCACAGGTGGTCCTTGTAACGCGAAATTCAAGCCAGTCTTCGGTCGGTGACAGCCTCGTCACAGGCCGTGGGCGCTTACACAGTCTGAGCTTCAATAACAACGCGTCAAAGCAAGACTATAAAACGACCACCAGCCAATTCCATTTCCTTTCCGTGGTATTGCGGCACTTGTAAGGCGCACACCGGAGTAAAGTTGAGAGATGAGACAGATTGAGACTACCTTGACTCTTTCAAGGAGCCGATAGATACTGATTCATAATTCATGGCCATGAATCCTTCGCTCCATTCATTAGTTTAGTTATGCGCTGGAGATAGGGGCAGAACCTGCAAGGCAGATACTTGAGAGTCACGATCGTCATTTTAAGCCTGATTACTACGTGTTTTCGCTTGCACGATGAACAGACAGTATTCCATTCGCAGGCATTATAGATATAGTTGAATCAAAGTGAAGAAACACAGGTGAGACATACGAAGTACGATATACCACGGTAGCCAAGCTCATAGACAGGTGGGGCACGGGATGAACTAAACCCTTTCGGTCTTTCTCATCATGGTGACTCAAGAAGAGGACTTCCAACTCTACTGTTTTACTCCTCGTATTCAGCAACATTCTACTATCCTCCACTCGTTTGACTCCTCATGATCATACTACAACTTAGTCAAATATTCTGTTTATAGACAACCTTCACAATGGCACATCAAACCCGTAAAAAGCTCAAGATCCTAATTATCAATCCAAATACATCCACGACAATGACGGATGCGTTGAGGCCTATAGTGGAAGAGCTTGCATATATAGAGGTCCAATTCGACTACTTCACGGCTCCGTCAGATAAGTCGGTTACTCTCGAAGATGGGCGTACGATAAACGGCGTGAAGAGTATCAATTCAGGAGAGGACTCAGTTACATCAGCATTATATTGCAGGCCTTTTCTGGAGCCACATCTACCCAATTACGATGCATTTCTTGTAGCCTGTTACTCGGCTCATCCCCTCGTTGGAATGCTGAAGGAATCCATCGCGAAACTAGAGGAAGCAGATATGGTGGCGAACCTCCACAAGTCGGTGCCGTTACCGAAAAGGAGGTATGTGACGGGCATCTTTGAAGCGAGTGTTCTCATGTCGCTGTCTCTGGTCGGTTCGTTTCATCTAACCGATCTGGGAAAAACCCAATCCAAGGAGATGTTTGGCATCATCTCTACCGGGAGCATATGGCGGGCTGAGCTAGGGCAGGCGGTTGAAGATTTTCTTCTCAATTCCCATGGTAATTCAGACTCGATCCATCGGTTTGCTGGTGTAGGGACTACCGGCCTTACAGCCGTACAGTTGCATACTACTCCGGCCGATGAGGTGAGTAACAGAATCCGTGAGGCTACACAAGCCCTCCTCAAGTCCGCACCACATCCTGTAACATCAATCTGTCTGGGCTGTGCTGGTATGGCTGGTATGCAGAAAGCAGTGAAACAAGGCTGCATTGATGTTTATGGCCGCGTGCAGGGTGATCGGGTGAGAATCGTTGATGGTGTTGTTGCCGGTGCCGGAATGCTTGTTGCGGCTTGCAAAGGCGGGTTTTGAGATCTGCCAACTTGGGAGCTGAGATGATTATGGGGCCAGTGCTTCACTGTTCTGCTTACACGAGTGATCCAGCGGTCTCTGCTTTTTACTCTTTGATTTTAAGGACCATAAGACAGGGTCAAGTTCAGATTTAATATCAGCTGGTATAACTGCATCGACATATACTATAGGCAGCATCCATAAGCTGATTAAAACAAAACTCTTTTGTTTCGAATCTTACAAAGGTAACTGCTCATTTCGTATGTGGAATTATACTTCACTCTTCTATTCATATGCCTAAAATCATCTGTCAGTTATTCCAGCCCTTTGGTGATTCCCACATCTTCTTAACAATGGGGAAAAGAACGCCCACCCCCCGCCAATCGGGGGTGCAGAAGCCCCATAAACCTAGTTAATGCCTACTATTCTTGAAGGAAAAGTCCCTTGTACGTATTCCAATTTAATTGTCGTAGATGTATTGGGGAGGAAGCGTGACATTTATGGTTCACCGCATGGATGTGTATACCTGAGGCTTCCACCACCTAATGTTTCCCCGCGGGAACGCGCTACGCGTACGCTAACCTCGACTACTTGCACTGGTTAAGCGCAAAGATGCCTAGGTACGTGCCATAACCGGACAGATCTGCTCGCTATCTCTAATTTTGAATATCAGTGGCACTTACTAACAAGGAGAGTAGAGAAATCATCACAATTCAGGCGGGCCAATGTGGCAACAACGGTATGAAACCCGCGACACACGTACACACCACCCAGCTACACTATTATTGCGACGGCGAGACGGCGCATAGATATACTCCGGTCGATGGATATCTCTGCTGACAGGTTCTAGTCGGCAGCCAGTTCTGGCAACAGCTTTGCCAGGAGCATGGTATAAGCCAGGATGGAAACTTGGAGGAGTTTGCTACGGAAGGCGGTGATCGGAAGGATGTCTTCTTCTACCAGGTATGATACTGATTTAAAGGTCTAGTTATGTGGTGTTTGCTTGTGTGTGAGATGCTGATTCGATTCTTCAGAGTGATGATACCCGATATATTCCTCGAGCGATCTTACTAGACCTGGAACCGAGAGTACGAGTCTACCTGCAGCGAACAACGTGATGGGTGTATGAGCTGAGTGAAATGGTCTAGGTCCTCAATACGATTCAAACCGGCCCTTATCGAAATATCTACAACCCTGAAAACTTTTTCGTTGGACAACAGGGTGTCGGAGCAGGGAACAACTGGGGTGCTGGGTACGCCGCGGGTGACACTGTACAAGAGGATATTTTTGACATGATTGATCGTGAGGCCGATGGTAGCGATTCGCTAGAGGTATGATCTCGGGTTATTAGAAAGCATAAAGAACCAGAGCAGTCAATGCGGTTATAGCAGAACCCAATGGCTGACGTTCGCATCGCTACAGGGATTTATGTTTCTGCATTCAATTGCAGGAGGTACCGGGTCTGGGCTAGGAAGTTTCATCCTGGAACGGATGAACGACCGGTTTCCCAAAAAACTGATTCAAACATACTCTGTCTTTCCGGATACTCAAGCGGCAGATGTTGTGGTCAATCCGTACAATAGTTTGCTTGCAATGAGGAGGTTGACGCAGAATGCCGACTCTGTGGTAAGCTTCCATGTCTGTATCAACCCTCTTTATAACAACAACTAAAGACCATTAGGTGGTTCTGGATAACGGAGCTCTTTCAAGAATCGTTGCAGACAGACTTCATGTGTTGCAGCCTTCGCTCCAACAAACAAATCAACTTGTGAGTGCACCTTGATTCAGAGGGGCTCGTGTCAAGCTAATTGGTTCTAGGTCTCAACTGTTATGTCTGCATCCACCACTACTCTCCGTTACCCTGGTTACATGCACAATGACCTTGTCGGGATCGTCGCCTCTCTTATACCTACGCCGCGCAGCCACTTTTTGATTACCTCCTATACGCCATTTACCGGCGATAATATCGAACAAGCTAAGACGATCCGCAAGACGACAGTGCTTGACGTGATGCGTCGTCTACTGCAACCCAAGAACCGCATGGTGTCAATCAACCCCAGCAAGCAAAGTTGCTACATTAGTATTCTCAATATCATCCAGGGTGAAGCCGATCCCACCGACGTGCATAAATCCTTGCTCCGTATCCGCGAGCGTCGGCTAGCGTCTTTTATTCCCTGGGGCCCGGCAAGTATCCAGGTCGCACTGACAAAGAAGTCACCGTACATTCAGAACACCCACCGTGTCAGCGGGCTGATGCTAGCGAACCACACATCGGTGGCAACACTGTTCAAGAGGATCGTTCAACAGTACGATCGACTGCGGAAGCGAAACGCTTTTATCGAGCAGTACCGGAAAGAGGCCCCGTTCAGCGACGGATTCGGGGAGTTTGATGAGGCCAGAGCCGTAGTTATGGACCTTATTGGGGAGTATGAGGCGGCGGAGAAGGAGACCTACCTTGACCCGGACGCCGGGAAAGAGAAGGAAATGGGTGTGTAATGCGAATACCTTTTATTTTGCTTTTCTTCTTTCTCCATCTTTCATGCTGGTCTATAGTTATGGTTTTCGAGGTTACCCGGTGTGTTTGGCATCAGGCGTTGCAATCCAGTTGTTAAGTAATTCCTTCTGATCACGACGTTTTTGGGCATGGATACTTGTTTAGGGATAAATTGATATGAAGCTATGAATTGTAAATACCACAATAGTCATTCTCATCCTTGTAAGAGACGCCATTTTCTCAACATGGACTGCCGCATGAATGCGAATATTTTACAATCCCCCACCCAACCATCTCTGAAGTGTCCGTCCACCTGCGCTTATCTCCACCCAAGATTGGGAAAATGATCGACTGTTCGCCTGACAGATGTGGAGAAGGCCTAATTTATTATGGAGGGAAAGAGTCTTTTTTTTGTTCTTCGCCTAGCAGTGTCTTGCCACCAGGAAACCAGGATTTTAGTTCCCGTTGACCGCTCCTCGACGTCTCAACATGACTAGCAAATATTTGTGAAACTGTACGGTGTTAGTGACTGTCGTGGAGATTTCTGGGTGGATAGATGTGGTAGTGTGAGAACGAAGCATTTGTGCCCAAGATGAGGAATTCAAGTGAGGGGAAAGCGCCTAAAACTGTTCAAGCGGTCCCCTCTTATCTGGATCGGAGGGAGAAGAGACTTGAGAATGGATGCTCACATCGGCGGACATCCTGAGGGGTTCAAGGTATGGAGCTATGGTAGTTGGTAATTTTCCCGCATACATCTAGTTTGATACCAGTGCTAGAGTTATTTATTTTCTTCTTTTATTTCGAAAATTTCCTTTTTGCCTCGATTTTGTGGTCATGAGTCTATACTCTTGGTGTATATCTACCACGATCGATAGGGAATGGACGGAAGTCTATCCCATTGATGCTGCAATAGACAGGTACTTGCAGCTGTGCAGGTCCTGTATATAGTTAGTTTAGTTAGTTATCCCAACTAGCTAATTGTCTCCCAACTGAGAATATATCCCACCCAATGCTATATCGGTCTATATCTACTGGGCGTTCAATCCAACTGCATCGGAAGTAGCATCGCCCATCTTTATGGGTCTTTGGCCATGTAGTAGTTACTATTACTCCGTATCCACCTGAATCATGAATCATGACGGTATAATCTGGTCTCCACCTGAACTTCAATTCATCTACCAAGGTAACATCCCACCCCTAAGTCAACGAAGGACTTCTTTTTTAACGTCGCACACCTTCTGCGTGACCGGGGCACGTGACTAGAGACCATACCATGGGAATGCCGCAGATTGACTTCACGGGACCAGTCCGGGTCATTGGATAAAGAAAAGAATTCCTTGGATGGGGTGCATCTGCAACTTCAATTTGATTTCTTTTCTTTTTTTCGCTTTTACTTTTTCGGATTGGGAGCACGGGAGAGGCTCACCGGATGGTATTTTCGGAGGGAGGGGCCTACTCCTGTTTCCTGTACATATTGCGCGCAGTGATGTGCTATGCCAGCATGTCGGATGGCATGCCTTTGATACTCAATTATTAATTAGGTAGGTACCGGTACTTCCTTTCTCTTTTTTATAGATTTCTCATCTTCTCTTTTCTTTTCTTTTCTTTTCTTTTTTTTCTTCTGTCTTTTTTCTTCTGTCTTTTTTCTTCTCTCTCTTTTTTTTTCTTTTTTTTTTATACTATAGAATTTCTTCATACATACGGAGTATATATAGGAAATTAAAATTAGAAAATTAGAAGAGGTGGAAGGTGAAAGGTAGTACGGAGTGCTAGTGTTCACAAGAATGGTTAGCTATTGCGATATTTATGAGGGCATCGGGCAACGTGATGAGCATCGTCTGAGTATGGTCAGTCAAACCACAAAAGGGGAAGAAAGGGGGCAACGCTTTGAGGAAAGGCCGATGGGAACACATCCCGAAATGAACTGTAAATTATTTCAGAATCAGAAATTTTTACAAACTTTTCTTTTTCTTCGATTTTATTTTTAATTTTCTTCTGTTCGAAAAGGTGTCCTAGATTATTAAAAGTTTAATCTAACCAGACAATTCATAACTCGTGCTGTGTTGGGAAAAAAATTAAATAAATAAAATACAAAATAAAAAGGTTGCCTCACTTACGAATATATGGAAGTTTCTGGTTTCCACTCCGGATTTTTGCCTCCACTCGAGTATAGTACTGGTAAAGGGAATCGCTGGTACCACTAAACCGTAATGGTTCCCAATTGGGATTAAAAACGGCTACCACATCGGATCTGCAACTGCGGATGGACGTCGTGACTCAGCAGGTCAATGAATGCCTCTTCCGTATAAATTGACTTTGACTGCGCTTGTCCTCAAATCTTTGTCTCTTTTTCCCAGTCATTTCATTTGCGTCCTTCTCATTGTGCTCGTCGGGTTTGTTCTTCCCCTTCCCTTCAACTGTTCTTCTCTAACCGTACATATATAGCCTGGTCGTCCTTATCTACTACCTCCTTATCTACTCTCCCTTCTCCTCACCCATACCTCTCTCCTCGGCGCTCCATCCCCCAAGAACGTCCACGTCATCCGTTCACAGCGACTTCGCCGTATCACTCTCTTGAATTTGTCGTCACCACGGTTTCCAGATACTTCCGGTAAACCCTAGAGTCACCATCAATCTTTCACAACAAGCGGTAGTTCGCCTTCTCCAACTCGGCGCTTATCGGCCCTCTTCCGACGTCACCTCCTGATCCACCCCTACTTGCCACCACTCTTCCAACATGGCTCCTCGCAAGCCTCGCTGCAATTTCAAGGAATGCAAGGAAGCCGCTCAGCGGATTGTCGGGGACTGCAGCTTTTGCAGTGGGCATTACTGCTCTAAACACCGCATGTTGGAAGCTCATGCCTGCACAGGCCTGGAGAACTGCAAGAAGGAGTCTCACGCCCGGAACGCCGATAAGCTGAATAGCGAGCGCACCCATGTCATCAAGGGTGTATAAGCGACACCCTCATAGTCCTCAATCTTCTTTGAAACATTTCCTTGCGGTTTCTCGCATCTCTGCCAGCGAAACCGTTTGATTTAGCGCGGTGTTCGATCTGATTACATCATCGCCGGTATCGGGTTCGCGAACAAAACCTGGGCCATGGCCATTATCTCCTTTTTCTCCTTTTCAAACAATATCTTTGGGTTGGGAGGTGTTCTTTGTTTGTGTTTCTACTCTTGGTCTTTGTGATTTACCTTTTCTTTTCCCCTTCCCTTTTTATTCCCAGTATACGCAAGGCGTTGACACCTGTGGGGTTTTGATTATACGTTTCCTTTTCTTTTTCTGTCTGTCAAAGTACATTCTGCACGGTTTTGGGATCGTGTCGAACCTAGACCTTCCTACTTCCTGCAAACGATTGGCGAGACGACACGAAAACTTCCCTCTACTCCTATTTTTTACCATTCTGGATCTCTCGCCGGTCATATGCTTGGATAGATTGGCGGATCGAGCTTAGGCCGTTCCGTTCCATTGGCGTGTCACATAGCCAAACGGTTTTAGGTATATACTGCATATTTTCTCAGCCTATCAAGTGTCCATTGAGCACCCAACTGTTTAGCGTAGCGGCGTGGCCGCAGGTTAGTCGCCAGCGGGCCCCAGGTGGCCTATAGCTCCGGCCAGTGATATCCCAGAACGTAGCAGTGTCATATGATTTTAGGCTCAAGTTACATCGTGACGGACGTGAAAAAAAAAAGCACATGAGAAAAAAAGGTGTACGGAGTGGGATGCATGAGATCCTGATTCTGATTCTGATTCCGACTTTGACTCTTGACACAGGCAAACAAACCATAGTAAACTGAAACAAACCCTACAAAAGACCCAGACAATCACACCCGATCCTAAACAAAGACAAGCAAAAAAGAAAAGAAAACACAGAAACGAAACCTCAACCGGGCCCAATCTTCGGCCTGTTAAAATTCCCCTGGTTAGCCCAGAATTCAAAAATAATCAGAAGGGGACCAGACAAAGCATGAAAACCAAAAACAAAATCCCAAGTTGAAAATGAAATGAGACATACATATCATGATGTTCGCTCAATCGACTGAGGTACTTGTTCAACTCCTCCACTCGCTCTTTATGCGTTTTGACCCCTTCTCGTTTGAGACGCTCTTGTAACTATATCATCATCAGCATATTCATAACTAACCATACTCATACTCATCAATCGTCGATCACAATGAATCCAAAGATAGCAATCCCATCCCGCCCCATCTCATCTACGAAAACAAAACCAACCCCAAGAAGAATAAAAAACAAACAAATCCAAAAAGAAAGAAAAAAAAACCCACCCTCTTCCTCCTCATCTCCTCATGCTTCCTCTCCGCCTCTGTCTTGCCGACACCAGAGACAGCCTCAGATCCAGATCCATCCTTCGCAGGCGGTTCAGGACTCTTCCTCTCGTCTGATGCTGCGGCGGGCGCAGATTCACTACCTTCTTTCTGCTGGGTGCTGGGTTCTGGGTTGGTTTTCTTGGATTTCTTCTTCTTTTTTTCTATGCGGCCGTCATTTACTTTAGAGCCTTTTAGTTTGAGCTTGCCCGCCCCGCCGACAGAGTATTCGTCGGCTGGCATTTTGGGGACTGTGCGAGTGGCAGAGTAGTAGTTTGTACTAGTATACTTGGAGGGATTTTTTTGAGGTAGGTTGGTGATGACGGGATTGCGATTGGTGGGCTTGTGTCATGTGACCTCTATCTGAAATTAACTTGTATTGGGAGGGAAGTGGCTTACTTCCATTAGATGTACGGGGGTTTTGTTCCATTATTTCAGTGTTTACTGATTAATTCTATATTGGAGTTATATCCCAACGCCAGGTCGTAAGGTCATGTACATACAAGACTACTAATCAAAGGGGATCGGCCGCAGGCCTGTTCCTCGTTTGCGCGCTTCAGCTCCCGCAGCTACAGTGCTCGGCACTTTAATTCCACAGCAGTCACCAAAATGGTCCGTGTGCTTTGTGTGAGAGTGGTCAATGCCATTGGTGTGATCGTGTCCGTCCGTCTCCACGTCGTCCGTCTCTCCCATGCCTGGTACTGAGGGTATCATGCTGCCAAACAAAAAGTGCTGCATGATGGGCAGTTTCCCCAGAACTTCTTTGACAAACATCTTCTTCATGCCGCCTTCAATCTTGCTCCAGTTCTTGGCCCCTGAGATGTCGTCGAGCATAGGGCTGTGCCAACGTAGACCTTTGACCGTCTTCACGCTATCCACCCACCGCACTTGATCCAGGTAGATATACTTGTCTCCTTCTTCGTCGAGGATGGCAGTGTTATGGATTGCCAACGGGGTTATGTAGGGGTGTTCCACGAGCTGGGCGGCGCCGAACAAGAAGGGAAGGAAATGGTAATCATCAAGACCCCAGACACCATGAGAACCAGCCGGTTCCAAATAATATGCGGACTGGACGTCACGCATGAGTTGCATGTAGTTGACGTACACTCGGAATACGACCATCTCGAAGTCCGCGGTCGAGAATATCTGCATCTGGCGCAGGCAGAGCAACCACATCATGAAATTCAACTCATGGCCCGAGCCGTAGTCTAGACGATCTCGCGAGCCCAACGAGTGTATCAGATATGATGACACCTCTTCTATGGCAGTTGTGTCTTGGATGCCGAGGATCTCTCGGTGCCACTTTGCGCTCTGCGCGGCGACATCATCGAACAAGTCGCGGAAAGCAGGGTTGCCGAATCTTGAGCCGCCCTGATCGATGGATGGATGTTGATCCAGAAGCGTTCGGATGCAGTTGACAACGGACAAAATTTTAGAAATATTGGGTGAGCTTGGGCGTTCTTCGATGTGAGTCGTTGTGCGTCCGCGGACTGAATCGGAGAGGCCAAAAATGAAGGCGAGAATCAGGGAATAAGACGGCGAGGAGAGGAATAGCTGGTGGTCATGGTTCGATAAAATTCGACGAACTGGTCGCGCATATTGGTGGGATGATAGGTCGGGGGGGTTAGGGAGCAGCGGGGTGACTGGAGCAGGTTCTCTGGAAGGCCTGGAAAGTGCAGCTGGTTGGGATTTGCGATTCGATCGTAGTTCTGAGAGTTTCTTCGACAGATCGATCTTGGGTGCTGATACCCCCTGCGATGCAGAGACCTGTGACGCCATGTTGGGAGGTGTGATGGGTATTTAATCAGTTGACTTTAACCTCTCGTTCCCCACGGAATAGTTGTTGAACAATCAATCACTTGACAGATGACATAAGTCTCGGGGGCTGAATTCCGAAGTCGTCCTTTTGACCGCCTCTGATCACCAAGATGACGCCATACCCCAAGCAGCCTTAGTGCCTCACATCGATAATCATGTGATCGATATGTGGTCCAGCGCTGAATGGTCAGACAATGTCTTGAATACGGGCGCGTGATAATTATTGTGCTTGGGTAAAAACTGCGAGTTAAGTAGTAAGTTCAGCGCGGTTGACATGCTGGCGACTCGATGGGAGTTAAGTCGTTTATTACTACTTGTTCTTTTCCTACTTTCTCTACCTATGTTGTATTATTTGAAGTGAGACTGGTCGGGGTTGGGCGATCCCAAAAGGCTTTTTAATTGTTAGAACACCATCGCATCGAATCAAATCCCCACCGGCTCGGGTATCAGGGAACCCAAAAGCCTAGATTTCACGGCAGTAGCGTGCTTGTCACTGCCAATGCGAGCACGCCATCATGAACTCCTCTGATTTGACCGAACCCTACGCCAGAAGGGTCAGATCCTCCTCTCCCACGCACCGATCTTCATCCCCCCATTCTTCTGGTAATGATTCGAGGCGCATGTCTCCCTTAGATGCGCGAAACAACAATGTGGCGCCTGACGAGGACCACCTACCACCATTCAATGAAATCACCCCGATCGTGAGCAACGGCTCTACGAGGCGAAACTATCAATCTACGGAGGGGCTGAGGAATCGAGATTCCGGGTTCGGAGAAAGTCAGCCAAAGAATTCTGATCAACGGCAGACAGGGCAACCCGGCCAGCAAAATCCGCTGTCCGAATCAGCAGAAACCCATGTATCGTGGTATAGTCGAATCGCCGATAGATATGGCAGTCTGGAACTCGAAAATAAAGGGAGTGTGGCTCGCGACCATCTGGCATTAGGTGCGTCATTTCCCCTCTATACCTTTCACTGCGTATTAACAGCTCTCATGATGACTTTTAGAGCGAACATTTCTTGCATGGCTACGGACATCATTGGCGTTTGCTTCTATCGGGATCGCCATAACGCAGCTCTTCCGCTTGAATAGTTCGAGTGGAAGCACATCGACCGCTGAATACTCGTCACAAGCTCTTCCCCCTCTGTTGTCACCCCCGTTCTATGATCCAACGGCCATTAGGGTGACTGCCACATCCCAGCGGCTTCGGAGTATCGGTAAACCTCTCGGAACAACGTTCATTGGTGTTGCTATTGTTATCCTGCTGATCGGATTCCACCGCTACTTTGAAAGCCAGTACTGGATCATAAGAGGAAAGTTCCCTGCTAGTCGTGGCAGTATAGCGATAATCGCGTTTGTAGCCGCTGCTTTGATCATAGCAGCCTTAGTTGTCATATTGGCCATCTCACCAGGTGCTGTCGAGGCCTAGTACTTACTAGCAATGTAGGAGACATTGCTCCTTTACACACCAATCCTATTTGGCAGATCAAGGTCCCGGAATTCTCGCTATTTCAGCACTTTTCTTAGGGGTAAGGAGAAGACCTGTGGACGACTGCTATGATTTGTTCCCAGCGTATGTAACCTGTGGAGGCTGTATCATTTAGATATTTCTATAATGCACATACAATGTAACGTGTCTATGCCTGTGTTGAATAGTTAGTCGAGTGTTGTAGAGTTGCTTTTAGAGTCGAGTCAAGAGACTAGACTATAGATATCATTCATGCAATTTCTGGGGATCAAAATGAAACACGCGCCGGGGAACTCTCGCATATCTTCACCCTATATTTATAGAGCCAAATTGGTGAGCCGTAAGTAGATTAATCGTCTAGCTTCTCTCAACCGGTTATCACTTAAATGTTTGGGCGGTGAAGTGTACCTAGAGGTGTATATCCAGTCAATCTCTTACTTCGCCCCTTGTCTCCTACAAGATCTTGAGTGCGGTTTCCATATACAGTTGATCAGCTTTGTTCTAAGGAAGCGATGGTCTAGGTGGTATGTCATGTGAGAAATGAGTGTTAATGATAAATATATCCTCTGGATATCAGGGGTCTCAGTGTAGAACAGGAGTATGGCGGAGAAGACATTCGATAGGAATCAAATTCTTCAAACCAATAGGAGTCATCGAGACTTGCCGATTGGAGGATGGAAAAAGACAGAACCATACCAGGTTCGTGTGTTTTCTTCAAACGTGAAGAAGGCCATACCATAGCACATCCGTTGGAAATTATGTGGCATCACCAAATGTGGTCTAATACCACGAGATAGACAGTGTGGTCGCACATTCATTAACGGAGTTGTGTGCTATAGTGACTAGAATACGCATCTTTGCTTTGTATAACACTATCAGTATGTTCCTGCCCTCCGCTTTAGGTATACAAGATGCGCCTTTCAACTCCAAGGTTCGAGAGACTGAAACCCTGTCCAGAAAATGGCCCTGTGCTGTTGCTAGCGCTTTGGATTCGTGATGCCTTTGCCACCAGCGTATGCCCTGCTTGGGTATCATGCAAGACACCAATGAAACAACAGTCCCATGACGGTACGAAATGTCACCTAATGGCTCCCAAGGCCCTGGGCATCGGCATTACCTTCAGCATATCGAAAAGCACACTGGCCAAATAGTTACCGAGACGACGCTGTTGGGTGCCAACATCATCAAGGGGCGCCAAGGAGTTCATGTCTGACGGACGTTGTGGTACAAATTTGTGCCGCAAAACTTAGAAAAGCTGGCGCATCCATCCATCCTTGTTGCCAGGCCAAGCGACCAGAGCTCTCTGTATATAGAGTAGGTACAGGGCTAGGTACCATGGCGATGACCAGTACGCAGATACGGTCTCTTCAAGGCGGAAACCCACATCTTGCATTCGACCGCGCCCTTCACTATTCAGAAAGTACTGTAAGGTCTTGCCAACTAAGACACTTTCGGGAGGACACATAGGCTCCGTGTGGAGAATTGGCCCGCCATGCCGACGGAAGGAACAGATTGTAACCTTGAAATCGGTGAGTTTCTTCAAGCACAACTGGCTATTGGATGTGGCCATCAGTCTGCAGGGGGATATTAATAGCGTGCTGCAGCAAGTCACACAAGTCCCGCCGAAAACACAGCATGTTGCAAGCTTTAGATGTACCGGATACAACCTTGCAATCTCAATGCTCTTGTTTGCTTTTTTGGTTACAATTGAAAAGTCCAATACGTAGGCGTGGTTTTCGAGCCCCTTCAAAAAGGGAAAAAAAATTTTAAAAGAAAAGGGACAAAAAGTGAAAAATGAAACTAAGATGGGGAGAAAGCAAAAGTTCCTATAGGTACCAAAAGTTGGATTTCAATCTTCCGTACCGTGGATTCCACATGACATAATGCAGTGAAACCCCCGAAGCGTCTGACATCACGCCGGTCGGACATGAACCGTTTTGTCTCAAAAAAGAGAAGTGCATAAATTTGCTCTTCGATAATTGCGGAGTGGATTGGATCGGTTTCCAACTCGGCCGGTTCCATGGTTCAAACAAGTTTCTGGAAGGGTAAGGAACGATTCCCGTGTTGAACCACGGATCAGATTTCAATGATCTGTACTCCGTCGAAGTTTGCTGTGAACATTGTCAGAATCCGGAGCGTATGGAATGGGAAACCACAGCGGAGAAGCCAGTCGATCGTCTTCGGGATAATCTTCCGTAGTATGGCGAGATAGCCTTCCTGAGTTGGATAGATCTGGCATTGTGGTTATGTCTGGTTGGACCAGGGACTGCCGCCCCTTGCGTTGACTTGGGCTATTGTATGGTTGTATTCCGGCGGTAATTAGGGCTATCCTCCATCCTTTATTGTATTTTCATGTATGGGGTGGGAAGGTAGTTTTTGTCTATCTGACTTCATGCAAGGTGTTGTTGCTACCTGGTACCCAACGACGGTTTCCCTAATTCGGTACGGGGTTGCATCAGGTACTCTAGAGACGATGGAGAAGTTCCACCTCCAGTTTGAACCGCTTGTCCACTGTTGATTCGTTGTGTGTCGCATCCTAGGCTACCAACGCTTGTTATCGAACTCTATTGTCGGCAGTTTTATAACTTAGAAGGATGAAGTGCGGAAAGCACCGAGATTGCCTCGATCAAATTTTCCATGACAATCAAGGATAGAGATACTGATAAGGTCTATGGACTCTGTATCCGTCCCTATTGTTGGTTAGTGCCCCGTCAGGAACACGTCCAATCAATTTCACCCCTGAATCGCTGTCGATCGGCAAAGGTTTCCAGGGAGACTAAGAATCTGGCTTTGGCAAGTAAATCACTTGGCTGAATTGTCAACAACTGCTCAAAAGTCTAATAAATTGACTGGCGCATCATTCATTTGATCACGAGGGGCAAACAAGGTGAGAAATTTGTATGCAGAATGGTCGCAAATGACTAAGTAATTAACTCTGCCAGTTATTATTATTAACGTGAGACGTGTTGAACTAAGTATCTACTATAACTGCGACTGTATTGATAATTAACCAGCAACAATACCATTCAGAACTACTAAGTAGCCACACTCCCTCCTAGTTTCCCTCAATGACTTTGTAAGGTACTCGTATCAGCTCCTTCACTTCCAGACGCAAAGACGAACCATTCCTGAGAATAAAAGATGAAAGTCGCGCAGCAGCGTTGGAGCGTAAGAATGAAAGTTTTGAAACAGCATTTCCCTCTCCACTCTGCCTTGTTTTGTAGCTCTAGGGGAGGGGATAACAGTCGTTAGCGGGTGACCAGGGCCAATAGGCATCTCCGTGCCAGAGATTCTGACATGGAAGTTGCGGCCCATCTGTCTGGGGACTTGACCAGTCTCTATGAAGTTAGGTCTTGCTGTGAGTTCAAGACTTGCTTCGGTGATGACCAGGGGGCTGAATCCTTCGGAGCCCATATGCGACCACATGCAGGTGAAGATACAGATCCATGTGGCACGACCTGGAACCTTAGCAATGGCAGATAGCAGAGTAACTACTACTACTATAAGTCTTAAGTTGAATGGTTTCTAAAAACAATAAGGACTCAAGGTAGAAGGTCGAGTATACTTCACACAGAACTCCGTACCAAATGACAAATCCCGCGTGATAATCCCCATCTATTCTTAGTATCGGCGTAATGAGTCCCTTTCCTCCTCAATATTTATTTCTGTACTAAGTATCTAGAAAGATTGTCGGATGACGGTTTCAGCTTTCGTTTTTTTTCTTTCTCTATTTTCATATTTTATTTGGTTATTTTTCCCCTGGCGTCGGGAGACCGAAAAAAAAAAAAGACCAGACGTGTCAACCTTTGCAGGGATCACTTGCTGGCTACACCTTCGGCCAAAGAGGGAAAACTTTCATTACACTCGGCCTGGACTTAATATTAGGGACTTCCTAATGAAACTAGTGCTCAATATAGTTAGCCCCAAGCGTGTAGTGGTGGCGGCTGTTCAACTCCATTGAGACAAGCGAGATTTTGTTGCCTGCCTGGGAATACCTCATTGGTTGGCAGTTCAGGTACCGGCACACTTAGTGTACTAGCATTGATGCCTAGAGGGGTGGGTTTCAACAGTTCAATAATAGCACTGCCATTTTTATTAATATTATTGAGATAATAATAACAGCAGTGAAAACGAGGAAGAGAGAGGGACGAAAAAAAAAAGTTGCCATCTTGAACCATGGCTGGTTTAATTACCTAGATTCCTTCCTTTCTCTTTTTTCCCTTCACAGCAGTTAATATCAGAGACCCATGATGGGGTGAGATCTCAACTAGGGTTTTGCTTTTTCCTTTTCCCAACCAGGGATTGAGGTCGTATCAAAGTGGCAATGCCAGAGTCCATGACGTCTTTCACTTTATAGTTTCCTTCAATGTACCGTGTATTTTGTATACAAAGCAACAATGAGACAGTTTAAAGCAATTCAACCCCTCTATCATATCTTCTGCGGTTCTGCTTTGCAAGCTGTCCAGGAACAATGACAACAACAGCAACAACAAAGGCTGCATCCATCCGAGAGGCCCTCAATGTAGAATAGAACCTGGTAATTGTAATTCACCGGTAGTACCTAGTATAAGGGTACTGGACACTCTTGAGGTCAGGTCCATTCCTCTCTGATATGCCCCCATTACGCCATTCAGAACCACCCATACCAGAGTGACTGAGATACGAAATGGATCATTAATATTCAACATAATTACTTGTCTTGGATGGTTCGTTCGCCATCCCTCCACACTCTGACTGACGATCGGATGGAGCGGCTAAAGGGAGGCCACCACCAATAGTGAAATTCATCGCTCGTAATATAACCCGTAATTGACTGGTACGGGCTCGGCCCCTCCGCACTCCCAGCCAATCATCCCCTGCCGCCCTCCATACGTCCCCGTCTCCTCCTCTCCACTGCATGGCAGCGCTTTTCCACCTTGAACGGCACTACTAATCTCATCCATTCACTCCTCTCGCTCTCCTTCCTTCAACTTCATTTTCCTTTTTCCAGGTTGATCCTCTTTTTCCTCCTCCTCCTCCCTCCCCTCGTCCCTCCTCATCCTCCTTCTCTATCTTTCTTTCTCTCGCTACTAACTATCCAGTTTTTGTTTTTTTGTTTCTTTGCATTTCTTTCACTCTTTCATTCGTTTCCCTCAGCTTCCGACTCTCCGTGGCCTTTCCGGGGCCGTCCGCTCCTTACAGTATTATCTTTCGTAGCCGGCGCGCAACAAGCAACCTTTTTTATCCGATTTCAACTCACTCCTTCGGTATCAGCTTTATCAGCTTGCTAAGGAATCGCCTGATTGTTGGACATACTTGGTGGACTCGATTTGATCAGCATATTTTCTCCGACCTCGCTCCGTTGTGAAACTTTGATACTTGGTTATATCTCGAGGCTGCGTGGCTTGGGTGCAGCGCAATCAATGGTGTCAATGGGAAATTGAAGGCCTCCAGACAGCATCGGGCTTTCCATCGGTCATAGGGAAGTCACATTGGTCTGGAGGTACCCGTGCATCTGGATCACACTTACCACGAGGTTAGCCGGACAGCTGTTACTTCGAAGTTGGATTTTCGACGTCATCGAGGTCGACAATGGCTTCAGTATCTTTGCCTCTACCACCACAAACTACGTCAGCGTTCCCCCAGTATCTCGACTCCGCGGGCCAGTTCCCCAGCAGACACACCCGCCGCAATCTGACAATGTCCGCACCACTTCCAAACCCGCCTTTTGTCTTTCCAGTGCGGGATCCAGATGCAACCCCTCCACCTGCAACAACCAGACCGGGTGGTCCTCCACCGCTTCCGGCCTTCTCTTTCAACCCAGGATCTGCTCATTCATCACAACCCTCGATGCCGGCCCTCCCCGTGAATCGAGCAGGCGGACATCGCCGACGGTGTAGCGAGTTCGTCGGTGGGGAGCGCCTTGTCAGCCCTGAGGCTGTGGAGGCGAGCCAGAGCAACAAGGAAAATTCGAACACGACTCCTACGAAACTCCCAGCCCCTGGGCCAGGCTTTAGCGCTGGTGGTGCTGGAGGGCGTCGCCATGCCCATCGACGTTCAGCAGCAGTCTCCAGTGTTGACTTAACCGCTATTTCTAATACTCTGGATTTGAAGCCCACGGTCGGGAGCGCGCCACTTTTCTCGACAGGCGCGAAGCGTGAACTTGGTGCATCTGACGAATCCCTTCGACCTATGTGTTATTCGGCGACTACTTTAGGTCGGCCGACCCCACCCGCATCTCCTCAGATTATGATTAATGACGAAACTCTGCCTCCTGTCCAACCCGAACCAGCCAGCGACCGTCCGACAGACAGCCGGCCGGTTTCCGAAGTCTCAAAGGATTCTGGAAGCACAGTACGACCGGAAGCTACCGCTAGAAATAGCGAAGAACTTGTCCTACCTGCAAGCGAGCTGTCGTCATCTGTGGACCGAAGCCAGAAGCCTAGACCAAGAACCGCAGATGCATCTCTGATGCTTAATCCCAACACGATCAGTGGAACTAATGATGCGTCTGGGATGAAGAGGCCACTTTCTGCTACAGGTCATTCTCGTTTCCGCAAGAGCATATCTTCCGGAATTATTGACGCCGCACTGAGGAGGCATCATGGTGTGAGTGATGACAGCCATTGGACCGGGTACTCAAGGCATTCTTCTTCTGATGACGGCGATTCATATGCATCCACAGAGGGCCCCCGTGGGTCGTTTGAGTCTTCCTCTAGCGCAAAGAAGAAGTCAAAGTCTAAGAAGAGACAGAAGAAAGTGCGTTCTTGGGCTGGAGCCATTCTTACCAGAGGAAAGGGAAAGCGCAATCAATCGAAGAAGGACGAAACGAACAAATCTCCAATTCCCCCTCCAGTAATCACTCGGACTAATTCTGATCTCGGGTCAGCATTAGATGTGAACTTTGACGATGACGAGGATATCGTCATCATTCGGACTCCTACCAACCCTACAGCTCCAAATTCACGTGAGCCAGCAGCTGATGCTGAAGCCTCGCCATCCCTGGAAAACTCCTGGAAGCCACGGAGTTTCTATGAACAAACCACAGAGAATGATGCTTTGAGCCCAATCATCGATTTAGATGCAGCGCTAGGCCCCTTCAACACTCCTGATGGACGCTCCCGCCATGTCGCTGAGAGTGGTTTTTCAGCAGCGACAAAAAGGATGTATAGCGGCGGACGACGAGGTGAATTTGTTGGGCCAGAAATGCGCTACCATCGTCGTGCTGAAAGTGCACCGGAAATGCCTCCTTTTGATCGTAGTTTTCTCAACCAGGCTAGGTTTGCAAACACCGCGGCCCTGGAAACCCCAGATGTCTTCTACGAAGAAGAGGAGGATGCTTTCTTGGCGGCCACGAGTGAATCTCCCAAGCACGGTGATGAAAAGCCTGTGGCACAAATAATTGCATCCCGCACTGAAAGTGTCGATCATCAATCAAAGGACAGCAAAGATAGCTCAGCTACCCTCACGAAGGACCATACCAGTCAAGTTGATCCACAGCAGTCAGGTCTCGGTATTCAGAAGGACGGGTTGCCTGAACCAAATGCTATTCCTGCCGATCAGGATAATAGCAGTCCCGGAGAACAACAGTATAGCGTTAGCCAGCTCCAGAATGCAAAGAATCCTTTCGGCACTCGACCGAAGAGCCCAGGACCAGCGGGAATCATCAAACAGGAGCTTTGGCAGCGCAGGCTGGGAGTCCCTCCTAGCCCCGATGTTTCTCCACGATTTACACCGGCTGATAATAGGCCGTGCACCTCACCTCTCGAGCTCACTCCCAATATCCCTTCTTTCTCTCTTCAAGGTGGCAGTTCTTTGTCTAATTCATCCTTTCCATCTCCTGACTTCGCTGGCTCTTCATCTGATGCTCCTCGCTCGATCACGACATCCTCCACCACCGATCGTAATTTCTCGAGTCCTTCTTATAACCCTTCCATGGACTTTCCTCATGCGTCTGTTGAAGATGTGCCCTCGCTGACTAGCAGCGCATCAACAACGACGAACCCCCTGAACCGATTCTCTGCGACGTTCTTCCAACGGCCCCGGCTGTCTACCGATCGCTCTGCGTCATTTTCTGCGGCCGTTCATAGGCGCAGTAGCCAGGCCAATAGTTCGAAGCGATCGAGTCTAGCCAGCCTCTCTAAATTAGTTGTGGGCCCGCACGCAGAAAGGAGTAAGCTGAGTTATGAGGAAAAACCACCGAGCGACGAATCCGAGAGGGTGAAGAAGAAGGGCCACCGGATTAGCCGTCTGATGCACTTCTGGAGGACGAAAGATAAGGACAAATTGAACGAGAGTTCTGTCCAGGAAGAACGGCTGTCATGACCCAAACCCCGATTCTACCAAGGAATCCGCTTCTTGTACATAGTTACCCTGATTATGATTCCCTCGACATGGTCTTTGGAAGATCCATTATTTTCCTATTGGCCATTTTCTTCTCTTTCTCCAGTTTTCCCACTTATTCCGTTAGGGTAACTGACGAATCTCTTTTGATATGTGTTTACAAGCGTAAGGGTTTTATGCTCTCTTTACATCATTTCTCGTCTATCGTTAACGTCCGGTTGCAATTTATGGACAGCTTATTCTCTGATTGCCTTTCATTTATCGTTCAGAGCCTTTTTCTCTTTTCCTGAATATCTTCGGCGGCCATATGAGATGTGCACTTTGCCTTTTACTCTTTTATTTCTGTTTGACCCATGAGGTATTCGTTCATGCCCTTTGGCTATGTTAATTTGGGGCCCTTTTTCTTTACTTGAATGGTTAACTGTTGGAGGTGCCGGTCAGTAATATACTGTGAGGCTTTGTGATTACTTCGAGGCATTTGAGTCTACGAGCTGGAAGCTATGGATAGATTATCAAATCTACACTCTGTCACTACTGTATATGCCGTTGCCAGTGATTGACTCTATGGTTCCGAATAATATTTACTATGAAAGTAGCTTCATCCGCTATCTTATTCATACTATATTACTCTATACTTATGTGATAGTCATTTATATACAAGAATACCAACGGGTGTCGGTTGCCTTACACTTCAGGCAAAGAGTTGTAGGTCGAGAAAGAGAGGATCATAAACACCCCCATAAATTGAAACAGTCGATTGCACAAATGCAGAAAACCGATCCAGAGACTGCCTTCTCGCACCAAAGAGAGGACTAAGGAAGAATTCCAAACACCATATATCGCTCTGAAAGACATAGGTAACCCACTCTCCGTTATATAAATCTCCATCGGTGCCCCACAGCTGAACCCAAAAATTATCAATCACCAGCAGCACCATCAACGTACAAGCCACCCAACCATCCAATGAAACAGACATAAGACGAGAAAAAAAAAAAATGGGACCTCCACGATCAAACACGACCAAAAAGCCCTCTAAAGACCAACACGCCTGCGACAAGAAGGACAAAAAGAAGCCCCAGCAACCCGTTCGACGGGGCAAATTGCTATTAACGGAGCCGGCCGAAACCAATCTCATCAATCTGTCGGCTACTATCCCGGTGACTCTGCAGCAATTACTGTTGAATGTGTTCAGGGCTGCTTTGTTAGATGACACGTATGTTGGGCCTCGGTCTGCAAATAATGCAACCACAGATCCCAACGAGAGTGTTACTTCTCCAGAGCCACGGGAGTTGGATATCAAGACGCTGATCCAGACTCTCAAGTCCCATCTTTATAATCGGGACTTTGACTCTGCGTTTACGGATGCAAGCGAGGAGCTCCTGCGGGCTTATGCGTTGCGGTGGAGCGCCGCTAGGGCCTTGGGGTATGCGGGTGTTTTCAAGTCCGTGTTGAAGGGTTTGCTTAAGCAGGATGGTTTGATTTCTTCTACGGGGTCCAACTATGTCGTTTGTATTGGGGGCGGGGCGGGCGCGGAGATCATTGCCCTGGCGGCTGCTTGGAGGGACTTGATAGATGAGACTGATCGGGGGGAGATGCTTTCAGCTGGGGTTGCGGGCGTTTCTCTGGATGAATCTGGTGGTCAGGTCTCTACGGACACTGCGTCGAAACCTGCACGCCATCCCGCCCTCTCGGTGACGGCTGTTGATATCGCAGATTGGTCTGGCGTCGTTGATCGTTTGACTCATACCATCCGGTCTCCTGCTGTGCCGGGGTCCAAGTCTCATCCAGCGCCTTTGTTGCGTCTTGAGAAAGGTAGGGATGAGAGGGAAGGCGAGGATGACGCTGGCTTCGCGGTTAGGTTTAGTCGCTCGGATGTTCTTTCTATGTCGGAAGATGACCTTAGAGATCTTCTGCACCTTGAGACGCCGGGTAAAGTGTCCAGTAACAGTACCGTCATGGTGACGCTCATGTTTACGTTGAATGAGCTGTTCTCTACTTCTATGGCGAAGACGACGGCTTTTCTGCTCCGCACAACGGATCTTTTACAGCCAGGTACTGTGCTTCTGGTGGTGGATAGTCCTGGAAGTTATTCGACATTGAAACTTGGCAAGGGCAAAGCGCAGGAAGGTGCTGGGTCTTCTACTATACAAGAACGGCAGTATCCTATGAAGTTCCTCTTGGATCATACGCTTCTCTCTGTTGCGGAGGGGAAGTGGGAGCGGATCTACTCGCAGGATTCGCGGTGGTGGAGGAGAGATGCGTCTAGGGTGGGATATGATGTCGGTGAGGGGTCTGGATTGGAGGACATGCGGTATCAGGTTCATATATATCGGAGGCTGGCAGCTTAGGGTAGGGTGTTGGATGGGTTGTACGGAAGGTCGTGTTAGTAAGAAAAGCGGACATGCTATTATGAGACTAGAACTCCTTGATCCACGGAATGATACCATTACCATCGTTGTCTGAGGCAGAGCTGCCCGTGCAAGTAACGAATATGTGTAGAGAGGATTGTATATGCTATTGCTACAAGTCGGTCGAAATGGGGAGAATAAAAAAAGAAAAAAGTGAAGACAGCCATACAACATCATTCGCCAGGGGATTTCATGCATGCCCAGAGAGACCCGTCCGGATGAGAAGGTTCAAAAAATACACATCAGTTCAGGCGAGAGTGGAAGGAAAATAGTTCGGAAAATTAACGACCCCCAGAAACCACAGCCACGCTTAGTTCCTCAGCCCCAGTAGAAGGCTGGTGCTCTTACCACCCTCCTTACCATCATTACCCGGGAGATATGTCACGTTCGGGTTGGTCGATAGTGTCTGCGCAATTTCCTTGCTGGCGTCTATACGACGGATCTCAATGAGACCGCTACCAGCCTTGGCGACAGCTTTGCTGATGATATCGGCACTCTCGGCTTCACCCTCCGCACGGATAACGTTGGCCTGACGCTCCTGTTCAGCTCTCTCGACGATGAAGCGAGCCCGCTCGGCATCCTGCTGGGCGATCTGCTTCTGCTCTACGGCGCGGGTGAATTCCTTTCCGAAGGTCATGTGTGTGATCGAGACATCTTCCAGGGCGATGTTGAACTGTGATGCACGCTTCATAAGGTCTGTGCGGATGCGGTTCGAGACGGCTTCACGCTGGGTGATGAGCTCGGCGGCGTCGAACTGGGCGACGATGGCTTTGAGGACTTCATTACCGATGGAGGGGAGAACACGCTCATCGTAATCGGTACCGTAAGACTAAAGGAGCAATCAATATCGATCGCACACCATATCAATTTCCTGAACACATAGGTCCTACCTGGTATATGGCCGGCAGCTTCGGGACCTCAGGACGGTGGAGGACACGCAGTGTCAAGCTGACCATCTGCAGGTCCTTACTTCCGGTGGTGGTGGATATGTTGCGAGGCTTAGTGCGGACATCGTAGACAATAGCTTTCTGCAACCAGGGGATCAGGAAATGGGTGCCTTCATTGACGACCTTCTCCTGCACACCAGACAACCGATCGAAGATCACAGCGCGGGAACCACCACGAACATCGTAGATGGAGTTGTTGAAGATGATGGCACCCGTGGCGACGGGGATAGCTAGCCTGTAGATGTTGTATAGACCGTTTGCCGCCATAGTGAGAGGTGTTGATCAATGATTAAGGGTTTCGATGGGGGGAGCTTCAAAGGGTCGGTTCAACTTGATGATGTCGGGCTTTTCGCATGCTGTCCCGATGCGGACTAGCGCCGGGCGGAAACCTCACTCTTCCCAACTTCGCCGTTTTGGCCCGAACTCGAACTTCAGTCTTCTCTTTGCTCTTAGTCTCGTCCCTTCTACTTTCTCCGCATTTCCAGTCGTTTACTTCTCAAACGCACTCTTTCACAATGGTTGGCCACGTGGATCCTAAGAACGGATAGTGAGTGCCCTTCTTCTGTTGGTGTGGGCTTTCGCTCTCCCTTGGTCTTCCGGCCGGGTGCGGTTCAACTAGGCCGGCCTGTACTCTTTCAATTCGTGCCAAGATGGCTATATTTTTTTTTGGTGATATTTGCGGTGTAATGGAGATTACAGTGGCTAATGTACGATCTGATCAGTTTCATCGGTCCCTGGGGTGATCTCGGTATGTTCCCATGACCCTCGCATTTTGTGAGAAATTTCGCGGCACTTTGAAGAGGAAGAGCACGATCAATTAGATGCCTCTCTTTCACACGGGCTTCAAAGAAATAAAGAGCAGCCTCTGTGGCTACGACAAGTCGCCAGCAGGACAACGCAAAATGTCAACTTGCATCTGACACTGATACTGATATCCATGACCTTATCTAGGCTGCCCTACTCCCCAGCGTATCGCCTCCTACTCTCTTTCCCCTAACCGTCAGCGCCCCTTGGCTGGTACCGCTCACGCTGCTTTCTTCAACACCTTCCGGAGATTCAGACACCAGGTTCTCTACGTCGCTCCTCCTTTCATCATCGCCTACGCCGCCATGAACTGGGCTATTGAGAAGTACGCATTGACTCTCTCTTATGTCGACTGCTTACAGTCATTTGTGAACGAATTGGTGACTAACGTTCGCTTTCTCACGCTCAGGAACCACTACCTCAACTCCAAGCCTGGCCGCCTCGCTGAGGGTGGTGGTGAAGAGTAAATAGATATATAAACCGGATGCTATGGGTCTTGAATCGGAGATAAAGGGGTGGGATTACAGTGTACAGTAACTAGAAGCAATCGAATGCGCAGTGTGTTCCATTGTCTAGGTCTTTGTCTGTTGGGTTCTATTATGCTACGATTCGGATGATTCTCCCGTGACGGTAATCCGGGGTCATGGAGGTGTCTCTAAGCCTTGAGATCAGTTTAGAATCCTAGATCCTTGCTTAAATCAGTATTGAGAGGCCAATTATGAGGTACTAACAGCCTCATAGAGGGGGCAAGGTGATATTCTGTAGGTCGGGTAGTTGACATTGGACTTAAGAGATGCTCCAATCAAGCGTCTTGAATTTGGCATAGGATCTGCTAGCTATGATTGGACAGTTAGTTACACTGCCAAAGCGCGAGACCGCCTTTTTAGATTGCTATACAGAGTAGGAAGGCGGTCCTTTCGCTATTCCCCGCTAGTCAAACCTCATGGGCTCGTCGGTTGGGAGAAGGTGGTTTTTTTGCTTCTATAATATACCACCTGTATCTCTACAAATAAGGCTCATTCTTACGAAACAATTCATGCAATAGATGAATACATACACATCTGTATCGAAAAATCTTTTGATTACCTTAAAAAAATGGCTGTTGGTAGTATGATGGTCCTTATATCGTGGTCCCGCCAAAAGTTCAACATGCGATGATTTAGCAGAGAAAGTGTTCGAAGTATTCTGCCAAATTCATATAGTGATAGACAGAGCCAATGAAACGGAGTCCTTCACGCTCTATGTTGATATCTCTTTGCCTGCTAAGGTATGCCACCTTATATCTAGCCACTGTCAGCCTTCACTAAAAAGTGAGCAGTGCAACAAATTAGAGAAATTTGAGAAACCAATCGTAGTTAGCAACAATGTGATTTTAGGCAGACTTGACGATCCCAGATGATCGTGCCTAGTCCGCTACTCTCCACTGTACCTGTGCCAATTACCATAAATTCTACCGAACGCTTGTTTAAAGACAACAGATACTCGCAGTTGAATATTCAACACTCTGTTGGTTCTTGGCGATACCTGAAAAATGACAGGTTCTAGTCCCCTTGATCTCCTCATCTCCATTGACTGGGGCTCCCTCCGGCACGCCTACGGGGAAGCGTCAGATGTCCCTGGTCAGCTACGAGCTCTCCTTTCAGCAGACAAGGAGGAGCGAGCTGACGCTCAACACGCCCTCTGTGGCAATATATTCCACCAAGGCGATCGATATGAAGCCACTGCCTATGCAGTCCCTTATTTATTTAAGATTCTCGAAGACTCATCCACTCCTGAACGAGACTTCTTGATTGACCACCTGGTCCACTTGGCCCTGGGTTATGCACAGATGTTCCTTCCAAATGGCGTCGATCTACCGGCATGGCGGGAGAAGGCCAGTAAGATCTTGAGTCCCGAGTATGAAGTCCACTATTATCGGCGACACAATGATTGGATCCAAAAGGCAGAAACTGCTGAAGAAAGAGTTTCGCGCATCGAGTCCTGCAACCTCAGCATTCAAAGGGACCGTAGAGCTGCTAAATATGAACTTCTTGCGTATGAAGTTGTCAGAGCTGGGGTTTCTGGTTTCCAGAAATGTCTCGAGGATGACGATGCCCAGATACGGTCTTGGGCTGCTTTTGCGCTAGCATGGTTTCCTAGAGAGGCCGATGAAGATTGCCGCAATAGCGTTCCTGTGTTGATGCGGGTCCTTGAGCAGGAGAAAGAGACCGCTGTTTTAGCCTGTACCATCATTGCACTTGGCTTGCTGAATGGCCGTTTTGATGGTGCCCGCCCAGAGGAAATAGATGAGTTGGTCGCTGGCCTACGCGGCTACTCGGCTGATACGCGTCCCCTTATTCAATGGGCTACGGCAGTAGCACTCGTCCGACTTAAATATCAAGGGCAAGAACACATCGATATGTTGATTCGTTGCATAAAAGACCCGTCCTTTATCCCAGATGAATATCGACCAGAGTACAGCAAAGAAACATTTCCGTTTATAGGCCCGTTTGATGAGGAGGACGTGGACGGTTATAGCGCCAACGCTCTGGGGAGCATCAACGCGAACGAATATCCCGGCGTGGTTACGGCTGTGCTAGATGCTTTGTCGCGCTCATCAGGCTGTGTCCTCTCTAAGCTTCTTAAAGTTCTTTTGACCTTGACTTTTGGCCCCATGCTTGAGCACGAAAGCGATACGGCGTTTGAGGGATTGAGTGAACTTCAAAAACGAACTGTGACAGCACTCGCAGAGATGGACGACAAGCTGTGGAATGAAGAGGATTTCGTGTGGATTCTGCGCAATTGGGAAATACCAGCTCGCAGTCGTGATGAGTGTCGCACCTATGTTGGCTTACCGGGCGCTGGTTTAGGCTAAGATCTAAACTACGTACTATTAGTCGATGTAGTATTTGCGAGACTAAGTGTGATCTTGTCTGTGCAATATATGAGGCTGCTAAGCTCATATGCCATGCTAACCATGTGCTTGTCAGTGGAAATTTTGGCCGTATTAATTGCTTCTTCTTCTGGGGACTGTGCCATCTATTTTCAAACCTGGAATTTTGGGATCCGGGTTCTCTGATATTGACTCGGTCGATATCATATTATTGGGACTACGGCAGTTCTAGGATTCTCCTGCGGTACATTGGCTTTTCTTGAACCTAGTATATGCTAAGATAGAATTAATGATTCCTGGTTCGTGTAACTAAGATACACTATCGATACCTGTGTTTCTTTCATCAAAATATTGGGCATATCATGTTTCATCATCCCTTCATTCACTCACTTTCTACAAGTGCCTCCAGAGGTACATTGTGATTCTCATAATGATCCAAACAGCCTGCCCTAGAAAAGCATATCTCACTGGTACACCAACGGGACCCAAAATGGAACTACTGCTCGCTTAGGCTCTCCAAATAGCAACGACGTTCCAGTCACTCGGAAATGTCGCACTCCACTTCTGATCTTGCCTGAAATCCATCAGGATGAGAGCCGGGAGCTTATCCACAGGCGATAGCCCGACGCTCCGGGCCAACAAAGCGCTCACTTCTGTGCCCAACCGCTTCTTAAATTCCGGAAAGGCCAGACGCTTCCTAGTCCTGCTAACTCGATCACCCAGAGACGCGGGCCCCATATAGTACGGCGTTGCCACTAAGGTCAGGAAACGGACACGTACAAAGGGGGAGGAAGACAGCAAGTTGGCGAGTGTATTCACATGCTCCATTGAGATTGCTTCGACACAGAGCCTGCTGACAATCGTGGCGGTCGCTATAAGGCCCGGGATACTGTCGCCTTGAAGACCGTGAATGAAATCGCGTAGGTTACTCACCCTGCACAGTGTCGGCGTAAAGTCGTTGTAGAGCACTTTACGCGCTTCATCGTAGATTTGGTGGTTGACACGCAACAAGGAAAATCTGTGTGCCCCTCGGGGGTTCTCAGGATATGCAATGATTAGTCTCTCTTCTGTACCGGTGGTTTCGAGCGCGAAATAATTCTCGTACACCATCAAGCGCAATTCATACGGGAGGTCTGGGAAGGGGAAGATGAGCTTCTTCTGGCCCTTTTTGAAGTACCGGTTCACAGCCCTCCAAACATCGAAGCTGTCAACACTTTTACCATCGCTCATCATGATCTTGAGCAGTGGTATCACTGTAGTGGGCGCAGTTTTCCCCATCGTCACATTCGTCATCCACTGGACGAGACGATGTTTTACGTCAAGCTTTGTGCTCTCAGGAAGTGAGGCTAGAGTGGCTAGAAGCTCAGCTGCGGATTGTTTGAAGAAGTTAAGATCTTTGTTTGGCATACATCTCCTGTCAGCGGGTTCTTGTGTCCTAGGAGTAGTCTCGCATACGTACCGGTTTGAGACGCGAATTTGTTGATTGTAGCTTGAACACCGTCCTTGTAGAAAATCTTGTGCTTAGCTTTGAAGAGCCTGAGGACCTCAGCAGAATGCTGATTCTCCTTGACTGTCCTTAAACCTGTTAGCACGTTGTTCATTTTGTTATGGTGTGCGTGGTTTCTGTAGATAGGATGCGTGGGTTGTGGCGAGAGTATGTGTTAGTGCGTGTGCTTTGAGAGCGTGAGACGTGCTTGTTCGTGGGGATAAGACACTTACAGTGAATGTTGTAAAGGAATAGTATATTTCTAGGGTTACGCAGACAGTGAGTAGTTTTGTTGACACTCACTCAAACTATCAACTATGCACATGTGTATATAAGGGATAAAGATGCTTTCACAAACCAAGTGCTTGTACGGTATTGCTTTAGAGCAGGTAAAGAATAGGTTGAGAACTCAGTGGTCAATCATTTCATATCATAATTGAAAAATGAGAGAAGTAACTCCTGATATAGTAATGCCTGGGGGCTATATACCCACAAGCTAAATATGTATACATCGTGGAAAAACTTCTGAAATACGAAAACGATCGAATTCAAATGACTTAGTATTCAACTAAAACTATCTGAGGGGATAGGTGAGATCATTTATATAGGCAAGCCCATACAAAGATCCAACCTTGCAACCTCAATATATACAACACACCCCCTCATGGTTGACATGATCTAGAGCTGTCAATCTTAGGTCTCCTCTCATTTTCTAGAGCAGCACCATCTCCGGTGGAGGCTTGGATCTTGAGGATTTTTGCATGGCCTTGCCTATATAAAGGATCTCACCTACCCCCTGAAATCGCTCTGTGTTAAACACCTTAGGAAGTTTTCAATATATCGTTTTGTAATTATGCAAGTTTTTCTACAATATTTGTGGTTGCAAGGTTAGATCTTCAGCCGACGTTAGTCTTTGGTCAAGTGGGAAAGGCAGAGATTTCCACAGGTCATAAGCCCGGATCTACTTATCCCGGCCAACCTACCTTGTTGATCCCACCTCTTTAGTGAAGCTATTCAGACCCGCCTACTGGCGTACTCCTCCTCTTTCGCTTGGTATTTTAAGCGAACTAGGATACGTTCGTCCTCGTCCCTAATAAGGGCGACATTTATTCCGCCTTGGGCGAAGTGTTCTAGCCTACTGATCTACCCAGTCTTAAGCAATCTGTTGGTTGACATACTCTGAACGAGTATTGTCTCGCTCTACACGCTTGTAACTAGTGAGGGGGCCTTTGACTTCCTTCAAAGAGAAGAAGGATCTGATTGACTTGCTCAGGACGAGTGCTGTTCTGTCTGTGGCGCTTGTCAGATTGAGCAACGCTTGCGTCGTCAGGATATACAGGGACCTGATGTAACCGCGCCGAAGATTACCTGGATTGGGTGTGCTTGCGTGGGGTTTCGCTATTATCATTTGTTCTATCCCTGCCTTCTGTCACACAACTGACAGTCATCTCTCAAGATGCCTCAAGTGGACATCACCAAGCTGCCATGCTGACCGGGGCGGACTCTTATGAGACCTGGTCGGAGGCAGTCACTCTGAGGCATGTAGAGAATCGTCACTGACAGTTACAAGAAGCCAGAAGTGCCTCGTGAGATCCCTTCACTAAGTAACAGTGGAATATAGTGTGAAGGTTTGAAAATTACAGTATAATTTAACATATATATACTAATATATATATGAGACCTCATCAACAGACAGATACATGGATATATCCTAGGGTCATCACAAATATTCAGGATCTATATGCAGGGTCCTAAGATCCTTGTCTGGGGTCATGTGCAGCCCGTACATTCGATGCTAGAGGATAGTCCCGAATGCTTACACTTCTCTCAGCGTTATGAAGTCTAGAGTTCTTTGATATTGTGGTTGGGCTTCTATAGAGATGTAGAAACATCTCATAGACTTATTTGAGGGTCATCTGTCCTTCTGATGTTTACGATTCCTTAAAGAGTTCCCTTCATCCTCTAGGCTATGTATGTAGAGTATCTAGTCTTGGGTAATTGATAGATTTTGAGCTTGGTTATGTTCCTTATATTTTGTTTTAGCATCTCTTTATCTTCAACCTCCTCTCCGCTTTCTTTATTATTAGAAGACACACTCTTTTCTACATAATACCTGGGAATTTTGCCCCAGCGATAGTTTTCCCTTTTAGGGTAAGATGCATTGGGTGGGCCGCAAACGGAACGAGATTTACTAGACTATGTACCGGTACCTACCTACAAATTTCGAGATGAACCAATGACCACGATCAATTGAGACCTTGAGAGAGGGTCAGGATGCTCCTGAATGGGCATACTCTTACTCAATTGATCCAGTTTTGGAATATAAGATCTTAGTGAATTAAAAGAGTCAACGACGGAGTTAGTGCTTAAGTTCCCTACCCCTTAAAAGGGCAAGAGAAAGAGAAGAAAAAAACTCAAAAATACGGTTGTAACCCCAATACATGACCTTGATACCCAAAAAAACCACATCTCGATGAACCCCCACCTGGCACGCCTTTCTTCTTCCCTCTTTTCCTCCTTCTCTTCCTCGCTCTCTCGACCTTTTCTTTCTCATCGTCTCTTGCGCTATCCTCGTTCACACTTCTACCGCTCCATCACCATGTCCGAGATCACTCACCCCACTATCAAGGGTACGTTTCTACTATTCCATGATCGCCGTCAACATGAGCCCCTCCATCCATCAAAATACCCCGCCTCAACACCCGCCAATCTGAATATCCCAATGGCTTGACTCGCTCGACGGCGATCTTCCCTCTAATTGAATAACTACCGATTCAATTGCATCGCATAGCAATCATGCTTCCCTCTGATGTTGAATACCTTCGCTAACATGGCTCCCCTTCCCAGATGGCTGGTTCTCCGAGCAGTCCGAGATGTGGCCTGGCCAGGCCATGAACCTCAAGGTCAATCAGATCCTGCACCACGAGAAGTCCAAGTACCAGGACGTCCTCGTCTTCGAGAGCAGCGACTACGGCACTGTTCTCGTCTTGGATAATGTCATCCAGTGCACCGAGCGGGATGAGTTCTCGTACGTCACCTTCGGTCTCCGAGTAGGGAGGCACGTCGGCTAATCAAAATACAGCTATCAGGAGATGATCACCCACCTGGCCATGAACTCTCACCCCAACCCCAAGAAGGTCCTGGTCATTGGTGGTGGAGATGGCGGTGTCCTCCGTGAGGTCGTCAAGCATGACACCGTCGAGGAAGCTATCCTGTGCGATATCGACGAGGTACGCAGTTTTGGATCTACTTCCGGGTAAACTCGAAAAAAAAAAGACTCACCTCGCTTTTTTTAGGCCGTCATCCGTGTCTCTAAGAAGTACCTCCCCGGAATGAGCATCGGCTTCCAGCATCCCAATGTCAAGGTCCACGTTGGTGATGGCTTCGAGTTCCTCAAGCAGCGTCAGAACGAGTTCGACGTCATCATCACCGACAGTTCTGACCCCGAGGGTCCTGCTGAGAGCCTCTTCCAGAAGCCCTACTTCGAGCTTCTGCGCGATGCGCTCCGTGAGGGAGGTGTCATCACCACACAAGGTTGTTCGTCGCCTTTCCTTTACCCCTTCTGCCTCCACCCACACTTTTTGTTCTTTATTTTTTCTCTGTTCATTCTCCTACTCTCTTTTACTATTCTTCTCCCTACAAATTTTTCCAGCCCCCTCCCCCCTTCCCCCCTCTCCCCTGCCTCCTCTTCTCTTTATTCCAGCTTAACGACACTTGAAAAATAAATTCGAAAAACATAAAGCTAACCAGATCACGCCCCAAACCACCCGACTCCCTGGGGGGAATCGGTTTGGGTTAGTATTTTCACCTCTACAGCCGAGAACCAATGGCTTCACCTTTCCCTGATCACCGACCTGAAGAAGGCCTGCAGCGAGGTCTTCCCCGTCGCCGAATACGCCTACACCACCATCCCCACCTACCCATCCGGCCAGATCGGCTTCATGGTCTGCTGCAAGGACCCCAACCGCAACGTGCGCGAGCCCGTTCGCACCTGGACTCGCGAGGAGGAGGACCGTCACTGCCGCTACTACAACCAGGATATCCACCGGGCTAGCTTCGTTCTTCCCAACTTTGCCCGCAAGGCTTTGCAGAACTAGATTAGTACATCGGTCTCCCTTGCACCCACCCCTTTTGAAATGATTCTGTTTGGGGCGGTCGATGTTTTCCATCTAGAGGCGCCGTGTGGTGGCTGGCTGATAATCAATGATGATTTGATGATGATGAATACAACAAGGGTTTCTTCGTTCTCCTGTCTTTTATTACATTCCTCCTTTGTGATGATAATGCCCCACTTATTTTCTACAGTGAAGGGAGCGGTCGTGCCTGTGACATGCAGCAATAGAGGATAAAAAAGTATTCTGTAGTATTGTGCTGTCTTGTCTTTATCTTAGGGGTCGTACATTGTATATTGACAGACATATTTGTGAAATTTCGTAGTTGGAATTTTACATCTCTACATTTCTATAATGGAGATCAACTGAACAGGAACATGGTATTCTTCATTTTTGTGCTCATCCCTTAGATCTACTAAATGGCAAAGGGAATTTTCAAACGAAATCATATATCATAGGACATTTCTCCGGAGATCTGGCTCCTAAAGATCAACATCGTCCCATGGATTCATTAAAACGAAACGTAGCAGGCATCATCACGCTAACAAAGGACATCTACAGAATCTGCTGGAAAGCACGGTTAATGGGCGAGCGCACGGTGTGGCCCTTGTAGAAGTCAATGGTAGCGATGGCGCGCTTGCTGATACCGGCAGGGGTGAACTCGAATTTCTGTAGAGGAATAAAGTTAGCATGAATGACACACAATCTAATAATGTAGGACAGATAAACGTACCTCGTAGACCTGCTTGTAAGGGCCGGAGGCACCGAAACGGTTGAGACCGAACTGCTCATGAGCGTAGCGCTCCCAACCCATGGTGGAGGCAGCCTCGACGGAGAGGACGGGGATACCGTCAGGGAGGACCTTAAGCTTGTAGTCCTTGGGCTGAGCATCAAAGACCTCGAAGCAAGGAACAGAGACGACACGGGCAACAACGTTGTGCTTCTCCTTGAGGTAAGTGGCAGCCTCGATGGCGATGCTGACCTCGGAACCGGTGGAGATGATGGTGACGGCGGCGTTGGGGGCCTCGATGGCGACGTAGGCACCCTTCAGAGCAGCCTCAATGCTGGAGTTCTCCAGCTGGGGCAGGTTCTGACGGGTAAGAGCCAGAATGCTGGGGGTGTGCTTAGAGGTAAGGGCAGAGTAGTACGCAGCGCTGGTCTCGTTGCCGTCAGCGGGACGCCAGACCATGCAGTTGGGGAGGGCACGGAAGTGAGCCAGAGTCTCGATAGGCTGGTGAGTAGGTCCGTCCTCACCCAGACCGATGGAGTCATGGGTAGCGACGTGGATGACGCGAACGCGAGAGAGAGCCGACAGACGGACGGCACCGGCAGCGTAGGAGACGAAGTTCAAGAAGGTACCAGCGGCAGGGATGACGGTACCGTAGGCGGCGAGACCGTTCATGATGGCAGCCATGGCGTGCTCACGGACACCGTAGCGGAGGTAACGACCGGACCAGTCACCGATGTTGTACTCAGGGGGCTGGAAGTCGACAGCGTTCTTCCAGCGGGTGTTGTTGGAGCCAGTCAGATCAGCAGAGCCGGAGAGCAGCTCAGGGATGACGCTGTGGACCTTCTCCAAGACGGCCTCGGACAGCTTACGGGAGGCAACGGCGGGATCGGTAGGCTTGTAGGTGGGCAGGCTCTTCTCCCAACCCTCAGGAAGCTTGCCAGAAAGACGGCGAGCAAGATCAGCGTGCTCATCCTTGTACTCGGTGGCATACTTCTCAAAGAGCTTGTTCCATTCCTGCTCCTTAGCAGCACCCTGGGCAGCGGTCTTGTGGTAGAGATCATAGACCTGCTGGGGAACAACGAAGCTCTGCTTGGGGTCGAAGCCGAACTTCTCCTTGACACTCTCGGCATCATCGGCCTTGAGGGGGTTGCCGTGAACACCACCTGTGCCCTGCAGCTTGGAACCGAAACCAATGGTGGTGGTGAGACGGATAACGGTGGGCTTGTCCTTGACCTCACGGGCCTCCTTGATGGCAGCCTCAATACCCTCAAGGTCGTTGTCACCATCCTTGACCCAGATGTGGTGCCAGCCGTAAGACTCGAAACGCTTCATGACATCCTCAGTGAAAGCACACTTGGTGTCGCCGTCTATTCAACCAGAAGAATATCCAATTAGCAACCCTGGCGTAAACACACTAAGGGGAATTTTGTGTGCTTACCAATGGAGATGTGGTTGTCGTCGTAGATGGCAATGAGGTTGCCAAGCTTCAGGTGACCAGCCAAGGAGGCAGCCTCGCTGGCAACACCCTCCATAGCACAGCCATCACCGAAGAAGGTGTATGTGTAGTTGTTGATGAGATCGTATCCGGGCTTGTTGAAGACCGCGGCGGTGTGAGCCTGGGCAATAGCCAGACCAACGGCGTTAGAGAAACCCTGGCCCAGGGGACCGGTGGTCACCTCAACACCGGGGGTGTCGTGAGCCTCGGGGTGACCGGGGGTGATGCTGTCAAGTTGCTACGTGGGCATCCGGTTAGATTGCAATGCGGTTAGGATTAGAGGGAGACATACTCTGAAGTTCTTCAGGTCATCGAGGGTGAGCTTGTAGCCGAAGAGGTGGAGGAGAGCATATTGGAGCATGCAACCGTGGCCGTTACTGAAGTGGCGCTACGTCAGCGCGACGCACTAGAGGGGTTTAGAGGACTAGAAACTTACGAGAGAACAAAGCGATCACGGTTAACCCAGTCGGGGTTTTGGGGGTTGAAGTTCATGAACTTGTTGAAGAGGACGTGAGAGACGGGGGCCATGCCCATAGGGGCACCGGGGTGACCGGAGTTGGCCTTGGAGGTGGCATCGACCTGGAGGCCATTAAATTAGTATGATGTCAATCGGATCATGAACAAGGAAAAGTCTTCTGTAATGCCACTCCCGTGTCTCAATGGTGCAGGTCATCGAAACAAGGAAGATGCGCGCGGGAATTGAGGCTTTTTAAGGCAGGGATTGCTCGGTTGCAATGATGAACTGCGGGGACATGCCCAGTCTCAAACAGCTGCCATTGGCATGACCGGAGCTTCCCAGCGCCCCTGTCGCCCATGGAATACTCGAGGATCGGGGACAGTATTCAAGAAGGAAGCTGGGGGCGGGTGAACAGTGCATACCGCGAGAACACGGATCGTGTTGACGGCCAATTGATCCAAATCAGTGTAACCCATGATTGCAGCGTCTGATGCGGCTGATGGTTAGACAGCTTGAGCTTCAACGGTTGAGAGAGAGGTATGGATGGACTTACTATTCCTATTCTTCCTCGTAAATCAAGATTTATACGCAATGGAAGAAGCGGGGGGAGGGGGGGAAAGACACTGCGAGATGAGATGAGAAAGAAATGAAGAGTGAGAAGAGAGAGAGTGCGAGAGAGGAGAGAAGAGAAGAAAGAGAGAGGAGAAAGAGCAATGAGGGAATGAATAATGATGGAGGGGTCCAGCAACTCTCATTGATTGGCAAGTGGGGGTGCAATGATGTCTTCCGGTGGGGCCTTTCATGCTCACCGGTTTGGGTTGAGGATTTCATTTTTCTTATTATTTATTACTGATTAATTATTCAAAAAAATATGAAAGAAAAAAGAAAAGAAAAATGGGAAAAATCTAATAGGAGAGGAATTCCCCCCTATCCTCCGCCATCAGCCATTGAGCGCCGAGCATCCTGGCGCATGCTCCCCCAGTTCAAGTTCTTGGTAGGAGTTGATATGCCACTGTGGCCTCAGGTATCCAGCCCATCCCACCGAATTCGGAAGTCAACAATAGAGGAAAGTCTGGAAAGGAAGATGAGGAACTAACTCGAGAAAAGGAACCCTAATCCCCGTTCCTATAATGATGAATCTCTCTACGAAGTCCCCATGTAGATAAAGGAAACCACTTCATCAAATACTTAAAATACTACACCCGTACCTATACTCCGCAAAACAACTACCCCTCCAAAACCCCTCATTAGACCAGTCTTATGCATTAAATCACCCCCAATATCAACTCATTGACTTCATACTGCAGATGACAGATCACGGATGCGTTGGTCCTTCCTCCCGCGCGCGTTCACATGTACGGAGTACATGTTACCGGTATATCGAAGTAAAAGTAGAATGCTTACCATAAGGATTATTCAAGAATTACAGATTCATCAGCCGGACCAACGTAGTCCTAAAACCACACCCACCGAAGTCTGGGTCCCGGAGGACTATACTCCGATGGCACCCCCCGCGTCCATCGAGAATTTTCTTCTATCTTGCTGAATAGAGTATTTTTCCGCTTTGGATTTTATGCGCAATTGATGATGGAAGGGGGTTGTGGTGTGGGAAAAAAGCAAAAAAAAAAAAAAAAATATTATCTCCGAAAAACATATGGATGGGTTTCTGTCAAGGTTCTCCTCGCTGATGTCTCTCTGTCTTAACCTACTAAGTTACGTACATGCATACATATTCTTTCTATACTGTATATGGAAATATCTATAGTGTGCACATCCGCAACTAGAAAACACACCCCTGTAAGTTCAGAGTTACGGGACCAAAAAAGGTAGTAGTTCTTTCAATCCGTAAGGTCATGGAGCTACCGAATCAGATTGTTATCGACGGCTTCCCCAATCAAGCCAATCCGGCGGGCAGCCTATGTTAAGTAAGACCTACGACCTCGTACGATCAAGGGAAAAGCCGACGTCTGTCGCCTTTGTTTGATCTTCGCGTTTCATCTACTGAAATCTCCGATTGTACCCGGTTTACGGCCATGCATGATCTCTCTATCTGCGACATACCTTAAATATCCTTGAGAACCCCCGCATCCTGACTATCGATCAGGAAGGATTACCGTGAGGTACAGTATCAAAATGTGCATCTCGTTCATTATTCGCTAGAAGCAGATTGGCTGCCAGATCCTAGTCCCTGGCACTATACGTAACGGAATCATCCAAAAGACGAAAGCATATACAAAACATTAAACATCTCCCCAGTGCCCCTCGTTACAAACGAGAGATATCCCGCCGGAGAGCCTGTTGTACCATACATACGTAACCCATGAACTCCATACAATTTCCCAGGTATCAAAAAGAAAATCATCTGTGCATACGCCGCCCAAGTCACTCCAAGCCAGCGATATGAAACTCCACAGCCCAAGACAACAAATGTATATGGTGCAATCGGTTCAAGCGGCCAGCCGCCGATCCCACCCGTTGATCAGTCCAAAATCAGTGACCTCATCCCCCGCAGCCGGCATCACAACGCCCTGGAAGGGATCCAAAAGATTAGCTTGCCCTTCCGGAGACAACCGGATGTCATTGTACGGTGCCGCGTCTTCCGTGCTGCCCATGCTCTCATCCGAATAACTGAGCACGCTCTGTGCCGGCGCAATCTCCCGATTGGTGGGCATGTCGCTATTGCTGCTGGAAGACCAGGCTTCGGGGGAAAGTCCCTGGAGATCAATCTGGGATCCTGGCAGAGGCGCGGTCATTGGGCTGGGCTTATGTGCATATTCGGCCGTCAGGGATGCGAAAGGCCCGGTGTCGTCACCACACTCCTTACCGCCATAAATTCCAGTGAAGATGTTAGAATAGCCTCGGTCCATATCACTGAGAACAAACTCCCAATCAGACATCGTAATGGCTCCGTGGGGGACATCTGAGGGTACAGAGCTGGACAGCACATGGCCGTGATCGTAGCTTATAGGATGGGAGGTATAATACATCTTGTCCCCTGGAAGGTGCAAGTCCCCGGGGGCAGGGAGACTGGCCCAACTAGAAGACCGGATCTGACGCTGGGCAGCATGAGGGCTAGCCCCCGAGATGGTATTTCTGCGCGACAGCGAGTCTTGTTTTGCAGGCTGACCCAAGCCCGCACTAGCAGCTAAGCGGGCCTTCAAGGCTTGAAGCTGCTTTTTAGGGGACCTTGAAGTCTTTTGCTCCGGTGGCGACATTTCGCGAGACTTATCAGATGTTGCTCGTTTGCTGCCATCCAGCGAGACTAATGCGCCAGCCAACGTACTAAATTCCGCAGCAGCAACTGGGGACTCTGGCTCTAACTGGTCAATGATCGCAGTGAGCAACTTCTGACTCTCTTTGACAAGCTTGCTGTCGCGTTTGAGCCCAATGTTTTGCCACAAAAGACCGAGACCGGAAGAGAATATCAGCTCTCTACGGTTGACGCTGACAGAGAGGCAAAGGCGCCTCTCATCAAGAAGCTGAAGAATTTGGACGATACGTTTGCTGCAGTCGGAGACGGCGAGAGCAGACGGTGAACGGATTTGTTCCTCGCCGAAGCAGACAGCCGGGCGATGGATTAGTGAACGGATGAAGTAGTAAACAAGGGACTAGTTGAGATAGTTAGTAAGCGCCAGGTTTGACATGTAGAACGATACATGAAAACTTACCAAAAGTGGCGACCGGCTACTCGTAACATTTGTGCTGGGCTTATCCTGCAAGAACTCGAGACGGAGGTGGGGAGGCAAGTTCTTCACCCATCCATCCAGCTGTCCTGCAACTGAACGGAGTTTCGACACTGGAATTTCGTATCCCCCATCAGACGGATATAGATCTTCCAAAGCCTTGTTCAGTACTCTGGATGCCGCAAATAATGCGATCGCGCTAGAGATCCGAGTGGACTCGCCAGGAAGGGTGGGTAGGAAACCTGTTTCAGTGACATTCTCGTCATCAATATCCTCGGGATACTCTGTACGAATGCCCTCCTCGCGCAGTAGAACAGGCAACCCAGTTAGAGCAGTGGTGAAACTGTGATTGAGTCAGAAACAGAGCTTTGGGAGGAATGCAAAGCACTCACCGATCAACCACGTATTGGCACCAAAACACCTTCTTCCGTGTTTCAGCGACAAGTGGGTTGGGAGAAAAGCGTTTTTGACTCTGATGAAGTCTCAATTGATGACAAAGGCTAACGGCAGAACCTCGGTAGCGTAGAAGACCGGTATAGTCGCCTTTGGTCATGCAGTACAACTGAGCCAGAACATAGCATTGCAAGGTTGGGATGGAGACATCGCCAGAGAGCGATTCAATGACAGGAGACCAATTATCCTCGAAGAACGTTGGGTCCTGGTTGGTTCTCGTCTGTTGATTAGAGTTAGTTCAAAGCCTTGGAAGTGTCGCTATAACTGTCTTGAACTTACAGTTGATGCAAGCGCAGCAATGCCAAATATCAAGTTCAGCTGCGCCATATCGTGCTTACTGCCTTGCAAGGTTTCCGTATTCGACAGGTACTGCTCGTAGGCCTTGAGAATGGTAGGCCTGTGAACAACTGGATAGAGAGGAGCCCACTCTTGGAAGAAAATATTAATAAGTTGATCAGACACGAGTCGTGGTGCGGTCTTGATGATCTGATCGGTACGAGAGGTAGAGATAGCAGCGGGAGAGGCTGTCAAAGCCCTCGTCGAGACATTTGGGGGCAATCGGCCCTGATCCATGAGCCTACTTATGAAAACATCTGAGCCGATTAGCTGCAAGTCCCTTTTCTAATCCTGCCATTTTCCAAATTTCCACGTCACGCGAAAGAATAGAACATACCACCATAGCCACGTATACTGGAGATCCCAACGGATCCGCTATTAGATGATTCGCTTGGCGGCTCCTGGACCTGAATGACACCCTCGTTCGTGTCGGACGGACTCGACTTGGCCGATTCGGACGACCGTACAGAGGCAGCAGTCCTTTGTTGCGAAGAGGGAGAGAAAGAATGTATCCGAGACAGTACGTCGATTTTCTCATCTTTTTCATCCAACAAATTCTTCAGATCCCTCACTTCTGACTCGAGAGCTCGCACCCGTTCCTCCAACGATTCGGTGTATCCACGAGGGAAAGCGCGGCGACTCAGTTTGTCGCTCGTTTTACATTCGAAACCGACATTGGCGCATTGTGTACAACATGGACGGACACCATCACAGCGAATCTTCTTGCTTCTGCATCGATCACAGGCCTGGGCGATACGACTTTGGGCGCCGTTGCCGACCTTGATCACTTTCATCGGGAGAATTCCAGGCATGTTGGCCGGATGCTCTTCGCATCTGCCGCCGAAAAGGCTGTTTCTTGGCTTTCGATTTGATTACTATTCGTAGTGAATTCGATTTACACTTGGGTGGGCTGAAATGTAGGCTCTCAAGTGATAATATGTATTACTGTACAGTAGCGGGCCCGGTGCCGTTCAAAGTATGTGACCGACTTTCAAAAGTTGGTAAAGGATAGTCGATAGTCGACAAACGTTGTAATAGACGAAAAATAATTCAGATATATTGGCGGTATAGGCTTATCGACAAGGTATTGATAGATGTAAGTATGTATGAAAGGTGGCGGTTAGTCGTGGAGAGGAGAATAGGAAGAAAGGCAAGAGGAGAAGCCTCAGCGCGCGTTGGGAAAGGCCAATCTTTTCCAAATGTCCGCGGTGCTCCGTACGGCAAATGTATTGGCAGCAGTGCGGGTGACGGATTCACACTCAAAGGGGTGTGGCTGTGGGGTAGCCCGGTGGAGCCGCTACCAGACCTTCCGCCAATGGAAAATTCTAGCTTACGATTCCCAATTGTTCACCCGACCCTCAGATTCGCGCGGTGGTTCTAGGGAGGGACTGGTAATACCGTTACGGTCACTTTAAGTTCACTTAAAGTTCAATGAATATCCGTTAAGTCATGCTAAAATCTTTGGACTTTCAGCCCGATATCCCTCTGCATTTTCTACTCTATTGTCTTCAAGGCGTGGCTCACCAAATTGATAATGTGATCCCATACGATACTTGAAGTTACTCTCAGGGATCATCTCGTCTAGAATTGGTGAAGGACTAGGTACAGTAGGATAAGAGAGGAGCAATTGTCAATGATTGGCTTCGTCATCCATAGAAGGGCTAAGTTAAGCAGGGAAAATTTTCATTGCAGAGACGAACAGGGGTTATGCCCAAAGGCATCGCATTTCTGACATTTAGACTCAGAAATCCTGCACATTTCCTCCGCTCAGAAGGTTCAATTTAAATTAGCCGTTCCTCCCCTTTTCATCTAAGATTATATAGGACTTTTCTTCCTATGCCAATCTACTCCGGACGTACACCACCGCTAGTCTACTCCAGTACTGTCCATCTGTACCGTACATGAGATAGGGAAATTAGTGGGAGTAGTTGTAGTACTTTGTACCGAATCTCCCCGGTATCACTGCACCGATCGTCATGACTCCAGTCCGGACAAGCTTCCTCGGGGGTAACAAGTCAGCAAAACGAAGATCTCTCCAAATCATTGACGTCTACTCCCCGCAAATCCCGACCCTCAACCTATATTCACCACTCAAAACCCGATACCAAATGAGTTAGTTAGTAGCCTAAACCATAGGACAAAAGTGAAGTCCTCGCAAACATGGAGTTCTCATCCTGGGACCCTAATCTGAAAAAGAAAACTAAACAGACAAAAAAAAAAAAAGAAAAGAAAGAGGAAATTACCGGCTAACAACCCCTTCTCCGCATGCCTCGCCCTTCAAGTTCAACCACGGTTATTCTCAAACCCTTCCCCATCGTTTGGATCCGCCGGTTTTTATTCGGGATCGGTCTCCCGCAATTCTGCCTCATCCTCTACAATTCCAACCAGGACCTCCATCCGCAGCCACCCGCCGAAAATAGACCGGGAAGGTCTATTGGTTTGGGAAAAGCGATGCGAGCTACTGGAAGTAGATACTCCGTAGGGTCCCTTTAGTTTTACTCTTAAATGAAACCCGCCAGTTAGAACCCTTTACCTGGGATCTTCGTAATCGGACCTCGTGCCATGCCACTTTTCCCCATCCGTTCACGACTGGAGCAAAACGCGGGGGATTCCCAGGAAACTTCCACCGGCTGCATCTCCTGCCATTGTGATTGATTGGAATTTTAAGAATGGCCTTGTGTTTCGGGATCTTATGCTTTTGATTTTTTTTTTTTTTTTGGCTGTCCCGTCGGTACCTACATACATCGTTTAGCACACCTCTGTAAAACTAAAGGAGTATTGGTAGCATCTGACTAGAGAGTTGTCTCAGCCTAGATGGAGATGACCTTTTTCCAAAAGGTCCGTAAAATAACACGTCACAGTTTCGATGGTACGTCGAATGAGGTTGCAGGAATTTTGTTCACAATTTTCAGACCTGAGAAGAGTCACTTGTGAGCACAATTCTTTTGTGGTATTTGTGTAGAATCCGAGAGTTTCCCGAGAAAACTGCAGAGGTGGAGCAAAACCCGTTCCAAAAGGGGATCTTCATGTTTTGAATTTTGGATTTTGAAAAAGATTTTTCATTCCCTGGTTTAATTTGAAAGGATCGTGAGTCTGGGGATGACGGAGCCGCCACACTGCCGAGGAGCCAATTGTAGCCGGAATGTCTCTCAACAAATGCCTGGTGCGCGATTAGTATTATTATTGTTGTTGCCGCATTAGGCGTATGAATGGTCTCTCTCCCCAAGCTACTACTAGATCCATATCTACTACATCCTTCGTACAATGGGTTTGTCCATTTCCAGGATAGGGTAACGGGTCATGCATCTACTATTTGACGCTATGATATTAGACTCAAAATGATATTTGCCTGGTCGAGGGCGTTGGGTTTCAGCCCTCCAGCCACCTCAAGAGAGCAGATCAAGATACGTGTGCTTGATGCAGAATGGACTCATATCAACCAGGAGACTGTCACATGGCCACATGGCAAGAGAACAACTATCGAAACGGAACTCCCAATCATGAAGCAAGAAAGGGGGAATTTCCCCTGGAGCTATGCAGTACCCTACTCAAGGACATACTCGGATCCAGGTCCGTCTGGTTCGATTGGTCCGCACACGTCATAGAACTCGAAAGGGGTTTGTCTCGCCACGATCTCGACCATTGGTCTAGAATAAGCCATGGATTTGGAACCTCCGACCTCTTCCTTTCTACTTACCCCAACTGGGGTTCTCCACAGTCCATGTTCATTTTAATTGAATGATCGACCTCCGCAGTGGGTATGGTGAAACTCAAACGACCACCGATCTCGGTATGGATAAGTGATCGATAACAATCTACTAATATCAATGACTCAAGTGTGGTGGCGTCTGGGTTCGAAGAGCTCGTGTCCTATTGCTATCTACATCGACGAATGGTCATGAGAAATCCTCCTCAACCTCATCAGACCGTTGCTGAGTGAGATACGCAGCAACCGTCTCACTCGTCATAAGATCTTGTCTCTATAGATTGGTGGCCACGGTTAGTGTTCGCTTCACCCAATGCTATGACGGGGGGCAATGAGATTACCCCACTTACCTGCTGTACTAAATCCTCGATTCCCTTCTCCAATAGCCTCCCCTCCAGTTCACGTAGGCTGTTGATGGTGCTAAACACCTCAGGCCGGAAGAGGGCAAGCATATCCTCATTCTGACTGACCTCTCCAATCATGATCTGGGTCTCTCGAAGAAGGAGAAATTGAGACTCTAGCCGATCCAGTACCGTTACTACGGCCCGAAGCTGGAAGATATCCCATAGAGGGTCGCTAACCAAACGAGTCTTCAGGTCACTAGGCTCTTTGATCTCCTCCCCCTTCCAACTAACTTTAAGCTCTCTACCCCCATCAGTAGTCTGCAGTACTTCAAATCCAAGCCCGTCCTCCTGATTCACACAAAGCCACCAGACAAACGGGCTATCCCAACTAGTGCTACCCGTTTCCGTTGTAGGAACATCAAATAGCCGAATTCCCGACGGTGCCTTGCAAAACCGTTTCTTGGCCATTATCAGAGGATCGTCGTCGGGAATATCCAGGTCAAGAAGCATCTGCTTTGCACTTTGTCTCTCCTTTTCGAGAAATCCGTACGAGAATATCATCTCGGATGCTGGTTTATCATCTCCATATCTGTATATTGTTGCCCATCATAAGTTGTCATGCTCGTAGAGGATAAAATCCCAGTACTTACGTTATAGTAACCTCCTCGTCCGGTTGGAGTGTACACCCCGCCCGTAACTGCAGAACTGCATATCCTTCCGCATCCTGTTCATATAAAGCTTTCACGGTATCCTCAGGTGCATGGTTAGCCATGTCAATACATGGGACTATCGCATGGCCAGACCCCGGCAAATCCACCATACGGGATCGGTACATAGCGTCGACATATTTCCAGTCGTCAATCGTGAACTTTCCTGTATCCCCATCCCACCAATGCCTTTGGCACCAAGATATGTGTTCTGTCGATTGCTGTAAGTACTCAAACTCCTGCTCGAGAGAGGCAATCTTTGCATCCACCGCCAATTTCAGGGATGTACCGCGCAGCAGCTCCCGTTCCTCTGCTGTGTAAAATGTGGGCAGCGCTATCGAAGATGGTAAGTATTGTATGTATTCGGTCCAAGGGTTAGATAACCCAATGCGACGATGCTCGTCTACGAAGTCTGGACTAGAGTATGTGATTTGGAGAATTAAGAAGATTAAGATCGCACCCCTAGCTGTCTGCTCATATCAGCTCATGTACTCAATGCAGCTCCACGTAGAGTTTCAAGTATAACACGGCATTTAAGAGCAAAGATAGAGGACATACTCTGCCGAAATCACCGACGGCTTCCAGGACTTCGCGCAGATACCGATCAGACTTGGCATGGTCTTCAACCAACCGATGCGACAATATCATATCAGATGGGACCCGCAGGAGAGTTTCCAAGCCCGCTCCTTCAATGTCTGAGCTTTTGTTGGAAAATTCTGCTGTCGCTACTATCGCACATCCCTTGTCTATACCATCATCGGTTCGCAGCTTGCAGAAAGAGACGCCGTCGACAGAGACGCCATTGAGTCTTGTCCATGAGGGCAAAGTCTCAATAGGAAGATATTCACGCTTCATTTTGCCAGTTTCGCAATCAATCACCAGTAGACTTACAATTTCATTTGATAGAATCTACCTTAGTGAAGGTATGAGAGAGAGCCACCAGAGGTCCCCACCAACTTCCTTATCGATAAGCAGGAACGGTGATTGAATCTAAGAGCCCTATGCCCTAATTTCCTGATGCAGCTCTTAGTCCAATTGCAGCATCTAGACGTCATAAGACCATGGTGCGCTCTTTCGAATCAAGCTTTACAAAATGTAGAACATCCCCAAATACTTGAGCATGGACATCTTCATGTCTTTACTCGGATTATAGCAGTACATATTTTATTTTGTACGACAATACCTGTCTCGAGAACCCCGTATCCCTGTCATAAGCCACGAGCCCAAGATGCCGAGCACCCCAGCTTCCACGCTGCATCATATACTCACCCCGCGGCCGCCACGCCTTTGTTTGCTTCCAATTCAATCCGTATGGCAGCCGGCGGCTTTCCATACACCCAGAAGCGTCCGAGCTCGCCTCAATAGCTCTATCACACAAGGTTGGAAAGGAACTTCACCGGATGACCATACTGTGGACCGGAGGAAGAAGGGCGATACCACGGATCCGACCGTAGAAGGGGCTCATTCTGGCATGAAAGACAGGGAAGAGTCTAAGGGAATAGCTAGAGATGATAAACCTCAGGCGGCAACTGAAAGAGGAGGTGTGAAGCATGGAAAAAAGGCCAAGGAGGAGCATCCTAAGGCACCTGAACCGATCATCGGAATGAATGATGAGAGAGCTCAGGTATGTTTTCGAACATCCAGACCAAGACTAAAAATTATGAGGGCCTTTTGGAATAGTTCGGTACCTCTCCCATTTTGTCAAGGCGGCTAACTATTGATCTCTTTAATAGAAGGGACATTGATATCATAACCGGATTGCCTTTCATTCATTTTCGGCTATATATTTGGGATAAGCGTTGTATTGCTCGTCATCAGTCACATTAACTGTATATAAATTGAATAACGAGGTCTATCGGCCAGGCTTGAACGAAAGCACCTAAGAAAAGGGGTATTGTTAGTGGCTGATATTGATATAATATGAAAAGTTAACACACATCATGTTTTCCTACTCGCACAATTTCATCTTCAGAGACGCGGATGCCACCAACACCCTCGATATAGGAAATAGGTATGTCACCCATCACTTTTTGGGCAACATCACCAACCGTGGTGCCCCTGTTCGGTGTCAGATGAATGCATGAGATGTGGGATCCGCAGCTGGTGTCACTTACTTCTTGACCAGCACACAATCTCGAAACGCCGCATCACTTCCAGCTCCTGATGCAAAAGTATGTATGTTCCGTACTGGGAAAACTGGTACAAGACCCAAAAGCTCTGCAGCACGCGAAAGGCACTGGACAACTCCGGTTGAGCCGAAACGATAAAGCACCATGTCTTTCAAGTTCTCGACGCGGCTGGATTGACGTTAGTTTTAGTAAAAAAGTACATTTTATCAGTGCTGGAATGACCTACCCCTTCAACTTCTCGTCCATCTCCTTCAGGCCACCGCCATCGGGTTCGCCCATCTCTATGAGGTCTTCTCGCGTGTCTACGAATTCGCTTCCTTCTATGTATTTGACGTAACCTTGTTTTGTTAGTCTCCGGAGGAACACCTCCGATATTGCGGAGCAGAGAACAATGGATTGCGGGTCCTGCATCTTGGCAATCTTGCTAATATTCTAGAAGACACAACTGTCAGCATCGATACAAATGCCACGCAGGAAGCCAACAAACCTTGTCCGCGTCAGGATGATCAATCTTATTCAGGGCATAGACCGTAGGGAACTTTTCATCGATGAAAGCTCTGACAACCTTCTCGACAGTCTCATCAGACCAGTTCTCTAGGGGTTCCTTCAGGGCTATCCGATCTAAGCAGCGAGCAACAATCGTTGACGTACTTCCATAACCGGAGAACTGTCCCTGTAAAGTGTCCACGGCCGTCGCCTCTGTTACGGGAGTCAGTATGCAAGAAAGATTAGGGATCTGATATAGACTGACTTATTGCCATATGTCGCCTCTTAATAGATCCCCTATGGAAATCGTCAGCGACGAGAGCATGGGTTTCGTAGTATATCCATTTACCATCTCTGCATCAAATTCCCTAACACCCAACGCACAATCTCGGAATGTAACCACTCAATATCTTGTGAGGGATCATAACCTCGTGTTGCTTTCCCTATTATGCGCACAAATATATTAGCCAATATGCTCCCTTGCAACACGCGCAGCAAAAGCACTTGCGAAAACATGGCAAATTCTGACCTTCTGCGTCTGTGGTTCCACTAACATCAACCACATGGATCAAGGCATCTGCATGACGCAAATCATCCAAGAACTTATTGCCCAGTCCACGGCCTTGATGCGCGCCCGGCACGAGACCCGCAACATCCAAGAGCTCGATGGGAACAGAACGTCTGCCTTCTATACAGCCTCCATAGTTCGGTTTGCACTTATCCGATACACCATATCGCTGACAGGCACATTCTATTTGGAGGTAGCCAATAGCGCGCTGAGGATCGATCGTTGTGAAACTAAAGCGCACAAATTAGACGTCTTCGGAGCGCAAGATATGGATTTGAGAGATTTCGTAATGGGGCGATATAATGGAGCGCATTCGGATCTACTTACGGAAAGTTCCCTACATAGACGAAATGTTCCGGTCAACGCACATATACTTTGGCTACGCAACTAGAGAAACATGACCTTACCGACTTTGGAAGTAGCATCTGTCAAACTATTCAATGTGGTCGATTTTCCGCTGGATGGCTACATGCCCCTCAGTTCAGTCAGCGGCGTTACCTTCCGAGATAACGAAGAGTGCAGACCTTTCCAACCAACCCAATCAGGGGATCCCTAGGCATACTAGCAAACACCTGAGTAATGAGGTGTACAACGAAGAAAAACAACGGCAGAATAAGAGTATATTCCCGTCTAACAACATGCAACCCAAGAAAAAATCATTCCCCTGCCAGCGGCGAGAGTCGTCAGTTTCGGCATCTTGTAAAGGAAGGCGGTCTATGGATTGTATACCCCTCACTGCTTTGGGTATAGCGTGTTACATGTTCCTTAGTTGACTATCTATCAAAACATCAAGCAATCCTTAACATATGAACGGAAGTACAATGTGATGTCTCACATATGTAACAGTGGAACACAGCACAGCATGTGAGCTAATAAGTTAGGCGCTAGATCTATGTTATACTGGAAAGGCATCGTTTATTCGTAGATCATCATAGGAAAGCCATATGCATACTATATATATCCGTCAGAGATAGTAATGTGGACTTTACCTTTAAAATTGCGAGTTCTAAAAACAAAGAGCTTAGAGAAGCGCGTATGCCTAAGAAAATGAACCGAGCTCAACGAGTTTCTAAGGGTGCATTTAGAAAATCGACTGCTGTACATATATAATGCAATGCTTCGGCGCCTTAAACAACAATATCGGTCGAGTGAATTTTGCGATTGATAGCTTGTTTTGAGCAATACCACATTAAGCGTCGAAGACGCTTTCAACTCAACCCCCCTCTTCTGTTGAAGTCGAGTTTTATGTTACATCAGAATACCTCATGGTGCTTGTATGCTGTCAAATAGAATGCATGTGTACCCATGGATTGCGGTTGATTATCCATTCTCCTCCACGACAATGGTGCAACTACTACTGAAAGAAGAAAGAGATACAGTCTATATAGAGCATTTTTATAAATATATACCATATAGAATGCTTCCGGCACTTTTACCTACTTGTAATACGCTTCTATAGATGACCATAATGCGCATGCAGAATGTCGCTTCATAAATAAGAGCTTGCTAGCGGATAGTATGGCGGTCTCTTGTTTTCGTACACCGGTGGGGCCTCGTTCACTCTTATCTTGGCTCTTTGTAACTTTTCTCTTTGTTAGGAAGGTTCATGGAGCTATAGCTTGAAGGGTTGCACATGCGGCAATATAAGACCGAGATGAATACAAATGAGGTGGCACGAAGGCTCGAGATTTCTAGATCCAACAGCGAATGGATCGAAGCCATTGCAAATTCTATCTGAAGGACAGGTGTTACACGCCTGGAGTTGATTCGCGAATGTCTGAAGGCAAAGATCAGCACTTGTAACAATTCTGCAGCCACAAAGATATTACGCGGACGAAGGGCCTATATAAGTCTCCCGCATCTGTTACGGTCCTGGAGTCGCTACTTAGATAGGATTGATTCTCTCAAAAAGGTTCTATCGTGCCTATATTCGGTGAAAGTACTAAACCGTGATCCTTGCTCTACACCTAAGCGTAAAATGACACAGATGGTTAATTAAATGGCTAGGCTATCCCTCTTTACCATGCGTTCTATTCTGATCTCGCTCTTCTTTGGCACCCTGGCTTCAACTGCTGTAATTGGTAATGGATACATTGCGCTTCATAATAGCGACCGCGAGTGCTTACTGCTGTTAGACAACGCCGAGGCCGACCATCAGGTGGCAAGCCCAAATGGAACTGTTCCCATTGCAAAACTCGTACAAGCAAACTGCTTCTGGAGCGGAACTGCCCCATTCTGTGCGGGAAGTTGCGATAATTCCACCCAGTGGGATTGCGGTACGTCAAGTTGTGGTGATGGTGCATGTTGTTTTACGGGATACAAGAAGCGTTGCTGTTACAAATTCGCCTATCCATCCGGCTGCCCAGCCTCAAGAATATCCCCAAACGTGCTTTAGATATATTCAGGGAGGGTTTACAGTTTGAGCACTAGCTCATGCTGCTATTATGTTGACGTTAAGGCCTGAGTTGCCATGGGTGGTTCTACAGCTACCGGATATCATAGAACTTACGCTTTGTCTTAGCTTTGCTTTTATAAATGTAGTCCTCTGATATACGGTTCTCGTTTTCTATTCTCTTTCTTTTCTTCTCGGATTTTGCCCTTCTATACCTTCGGTTCTGCTAAGGTCAATTGCCTTTTGTTCCAAGCCTTGAAGGACTTTGTGCCTAATGATTTCATATGTGTGAAGTTTCACAATTCTACCTAGAAGCATCTACGAAGCTCTATCCCTACTCCACTTTCTTCACTAGTCTGTCATCATGTACCTGAAGACATGCGTCATAGCATATCCATATGATATGTGTGTATGTACTTTGCTGGGTATGCCTTGGAGCCCCACTACAACCATTAAAATGGAGCATCCTTTGAGAATGGATGATGGCACATGTTGACCTGGTACTAGAGCACTAAATTGATTTTCATCAGTTTGGTATAAAAATGCAAATATGTAAATATTTAGCGTGTGGATGATTCAATGATACTATTCTACCCTGAGCAACTGGGGATCCTCATCCTATGAAGTCAGGAGGGTGTACATCCGCTGAATGTACTGTACCACGAAGACATTTGAAACCAATTTCCTCACCGCCAGACATTTAATTGGTTGAATTGAATCATCAACTATGTCCCAGGGTTCAAAAGCTCTCCGCCGCTGTTGTTCCCAGAGTGGAAGTGGGTTTTTCATTCCAAAGCCTGGATTTGATAATATGTCGTCATAGGGTGCAACAACGTCACCAGTATTATCATCCACTCAACCCAAACCATATAAGGATCCCAATTCCCTTTCTCGATCAGTTCTCAATTATAATCAGAATTACAACACAATATCTCAAGTTGAAAAAGTCATCAATCTATACGCCACCTGATCTCTTTCGATCTAACTTCTACAAACCTATCTACCTACAACACAACACGTACACAAAATGTCCGAACAGACCTTCCACACAACCACTCAGGATATCCGCAAGCCTGAATCCAAGATTTCCCAAGCTCACCAGGGAAACCCCCCTAAGGACTCAGATGTTTCGGCTATGAAGGTGAGTTTAACCTTTTAGTGATAGTTTCCATTCATTTCGCAACCATACCAATAGCTTCACAGTCCGTCCTCAGCGACAACGCCAACAAGAAGGAGCAGATTGACAAGGCCAAGTCCAACCTGCCTCTACCTGATCAACCCCCAGTCGCCAGCGACTGGTCATCCGCCGACCAGAGGACCGTCAACGTTGGTTCGGGCGGTCTCGAGGGACCGATCTCTGGCGAGGCCAACAGTGCTCTGAGAGAGCCGGCGACCGCTGGAAGCAGTGTTCGTGAAGATGGAGCGGAGTTGCACAAGAACACCCAGCCAACGGGCAATGTTGGCCGTCAGGCAGCGGAGAACCTGAGTGGTCTGCCCAAGGATGCTTTGGCGCGGTAATTTTTGATATCGGGAGTTTGAATGGGTAACGGAATGTAGTATTTGGGCATAATATATTATGAGCGAGACGATATTGTAATTTTAGTACCTTTACTTCCATTAAAATTCCATGGAATTACTTCGGAAACGTCATATCCACTTCTTTTACCTTGTAGACATATAGTCGTACCTGAATTTATGATACTTGGGCATTGCATTATACTAGTAGACTATGTTACCTCAAATTTGAACAATAAGTCCATTTTTTGACTTCCTTTAAAAGTTCTGTCTCATTGTTCACAGCATCACCGTTACATGATTTGACATCACGTGACAAACACAGGATGGCACTTTTCGAATCGGGTTAATCGAAAAGCCTAAGAGGGAATTCTTTCATTCTTATTTCAACCCACCCAATAAAACACTCCCGGACAACGGGATATGATAGACCCGTCTATACATTTGTTTGAATGATGTGAAACGAAGGGCATCTCGATACATGATACTCATGTTCGCAGGATTGAGGAAGATGTCGATGACGTCACCGCATCATATCTTTTATGCCATAGAAGCAGCCAGGATGACATTCTTCCAGCATTCATAACGCAATCGATGAATAATGCACCGAACATGGTAGTTGGGCATGTGAGGAACCAACTATGTTCGGCTATACGATACCATAGGCGGCAGGAGTGGTATGCGAATGGAGACGCACTTTTCCGACGAGTTTCTGGACAAAGTGGGCTCTCTCTTTCTTGTCGTTGAACTAGATCGCCACTATGAGCATCTCAACCTTGGGATCGATACTTGTTGACGTACCTAGAATAGACTCGTTCTGGGAATAGTGGACTCGTCCACCGTCAGCATGACATCATCCTAGCGATGATCTGGATATCAAAAGTCGATGGCATAGAGCTTCCAATCTTATATAGAATTGCAACCGTGCCGTGTATCTCAGTCCTCATTAATTTCTCGAACCACAGAATCTAGGAAACTACACTTCTATACGCCTCGAACCACCTCAATTCTATTTAACAAACCTTGCAAAACAATACTTTCTATAATCATGGATCTTCAAGGAAAGCCCATTGGCCAAGGGCCCCGCAGCACTAAGGTATATTTACAAAGCGTGGGAAATTCAACAAGAGAACGTGTCTAACCGCTCACAGGTCACCACTGACCCCGAAGCCTCTCGCAACCCCATCCAAGAATCCTCTGGACCAGTTGCCGGTGACTCTCTTGCCGCCGAATCTGCCACCAAGGGTGGCACCTATTCTCAGAACCGTGGCGCTCAGCCACTCGGTGTTGCTGGCCAGCAGTCTACCTTGAACACCAAGGACACATCTTCTGCCACCGAGCTGCCGTCTGCCCCAGTTGGCGCTGCTCGTGAGAACCTCGACAGACAGGAGAGGTACCCCGAAGCCCTCGGCGGCCAAGGGGACTACTCCGGCCCACATTCCCAGTCTGGCTACGTTGGTGGCGCTACCGCTGCTAAGCAGCAACAGCAGGGAGCCCGTCAGCCTCAGCAGTCCAATGCCTCTCAGAACCAGCAACGCGGTACTGCTAGTGCTAGCGGCAGTGGCTACCACAACCAATCCAACACTGGCACCGCACCTTCATATGCTGAGGACGTAGTCGGTGACTTCAGCAGCAAGAAGCCCAAGGGCCAGAACTTGAAGGAGGGCGGTTTTGATAATAGCAACAACGCCAGCTTCACCACCCAAATTGGCAGCGAGAACGATCCCGGTCGTCTCGCCACGAAGGGCTTCCAGCACAAACAGACAGAATCCGGACCTACCGGCACACCTGCCGGCAGAGAGCAGAAGGGTGTCGACAACCAGCACTGGTATCAGCCTCTGCAGTCCGACCAGCGCGCTTAATTGAATAATGACTTGAACATGATGGATGGTATGAAAAGCTTATGAGCGGGGTATCTTACGTGCTTTTTTCTTCAGCCTACACAAATGGCCATGCATTATAGATAATATGAATACAAAAAAATTGTATAAAAAGCCACCCTCCCACCAATCTAATCATAGACCCTTATAAGAACCCCCTGCACAAATAGCCCAAACCACCTCATTTACTCACCCCTTCACTAATCTCCTATACTCATCCGCCTCACAATCCTCAGCTAAAAGATCCTCAGCTAATAAATAATCCTCCTCAACCCCAACAGCAACAACAGCCACCACGAACAACCCCGACAAAATAGCCATCGGCGCCATCAACATCCGCACATCTAACACCGACCGGATCACAGCGCATGCCACCGACGTACTCTTTTGATCGCGTAAAACACGTATCTTTGCTTTCAGGTAGTGGATGATCTACAGCAATATCGCTCTTCGGAATGAATACACCGTAGAGATGTTTTGGCCAGGTATTCATGGTTAATTTGAGACTGTGATTGGGCGTGGTACTGGTAGCTTGCGGTTGAAATGTTTGGTTTGTTATTGGGGGTTCGAACTTTTATTTCTTTCTCGTTCAATCTTATTGTTTTTAACAGAGGTATTGAAAGGGTTTTAGCTTGAACGAACCATTTGGGAGGGATTGAGGTCGTTTATGGCATGAGCTGTCCGTTAATCATAATGAAGCTGTGAATAGGTAAAGGTAAGGCTGTAAGGGTGTGTGGAGAGCATAGTAAAAGGAAGGTGTAGTAGAGGAATAATAGCATGTTGAGTTCCGATATGCTAAATATATATGTATAGCAGCAAGGCGAATTTAGGGATCTGAGAGCGAGGGTCCAACACAGGAATAACCGGATGTTATATGTAGTCGAGAATAGCTCATCCGATTCACGGATCATCGGTCCTTGCATGTACTACCAACTGGGTTTGGATTTTTCCTTTTTCTTTGTAGGACTACGTGCCGGGGTTGATTGTCCGTTAGTTTTCAACCCTTGCTAATGGATGCTTAGATGAGCATATATTGTTGGGATAATTATCTATTGGGTGGATCTGCGTCTATGATTTGATCTATGAGGGAGGGAGAATTGTGGGGTATTTTTATGGGATTCTACTGTATGTGCATATATATGGGTTTGTATTTGGATGTGTTGGTGGGAGATTGATTCACCGCCTGATAACTATATTCTTGCCTGGAAGCTCGAGTATACGGACTGGGTAATGATTGAAGGTGTCTGTGAAGATTAGAAACTTCAATCAGTTTCATTGACTTCATCGTGGTGCTTGCTTCCTTTGACTTTTCCATCTCAATCGGAGCTGATAATGCTCCTTCGCCTTCTACTAGCCCCTGATAAAAAGTAAGGAGCTTCAGCGCGGGTTTGGCGGCAACATCAGCCGGTGATGGGTGTATAATATTCTCTAACTTTCTCTAACTCATTAACCCATTCTGACACCTCAACTGGTTGGACGTTGTAGCGTTCCTGAACTGAGGGCAGAAGGCTCTCCCATGAAGTCGCCAAGGGGTTGACCAAGTGGAATACAGAACAGCGGGAGTCTGCCCGAATTGTGCTACGTGTATGAATGAGCTCTGTGATGACAGTAGCCAGAGTATCCTATTCGATTATCAGTCGTGAACATCAGCCGAAAGATCATATTGCAACTTACCACTGGAATCCATTCCACCGACATGGACCCTAATGTACGAGGGATTTTCCCATAGCCTTCGATGTGGCAACAAGTGGTAACCATTCCTGCCGATTCCATATGCCGTTTTCTGTTGTTGGGCCTGCAATTTGTCCCAAGCGTAATATGGTCGTTGGTATACCTGCCAATTGGGACGTTGTGGTACAGTTACGCTCGCAGATGTGCTTTGTTTCCACATACCCCTGACGCAAAGTCACATCACAATCTTCCAAGGGCATTTCAGGAACAGATGGTCCATGGGTGGGCTTCCACTCTCCAATGGTTCCTATAGAAGACATGAAATAGATATGGGCATTGTGTTCGCTTTGCAAGCTGAATTCTATAATATGACGAGTGCCACGGATATGAACATCTTCGAATGAATCAACTGAGATGTTGAAGTCTTCCCCTGGCATTATGTATGACAGCATCCACAGTACGAAGCATCTCATCGCACATAGGACCACTGATACCAAGTCTAACCTCACCAAAAGATGCGACGAGGAATTCGACTCGCTCTTGGTTAAAATCGTACTGCGATTTTTCTTCTTGGAAACTCTTTGCTTGCCTATCCTTCCCCTCTGATCGGTTTAGACAGTACACTTTTGGCAAAGGTACTATGGTTCAACGGTGTATGAAGCAGGTAATTCCCAAGAGAACCAGTAGACCCAGTAAGAATAACAGTATGCCGATCTACTGTTTCGCTTGTACCGGGGTCGCGCCCTAGAAGACCAGCCGTGTATTTCTGTACCAGAGCATTGATATTTTCAGACCTCAATACCGTGCTCTGATCAGCGTTGCTGGCGATGCCATAAATAAATTGCTCAACTGTTTGATAGTGGGGTTTGCCGTAAATACATTGAGCTGTTTAGACTTGGAATTGATCGACGGCCGGCATGAACATGGAGAATCCAGCTAAGTTGCATTGTCTGTAAAGAGTCTAGTCCCAGATTGTAAAAGTCCGTTTGGTTTGAGAACGAAGAGAATCCAAGAGTGTCCGAAACTACATTCCGAACAAATTCCTTGATGCCGGACATTTCGGCAGATTTGGGCATCTGATACCTAATAGTGTCATCATCCTGGTATGTATAAATGGCCTCTATCTCCTTCTCATAGTCGCGCGTTACAAGTCGCCGCTGTGTGCTCCCTTTGGGGGTAGTCTGGAATGTTTTAATTTTAGACGCTAGCCCAATCTTGTTTTCCATAATTCGTCCATGGGCTGGGTTGATACGGTTCGCCTCTTGAACTGTAGACCAGATATGTGCGATCAGATCTCCAGCTGGACTGGATTCACCCCACTGGTTCCAGTTGGGCTCAACAAGTAGAGCGGGTTGGAATCTGCCATTGCCTACAACAACGGCTCGTGCAACTAAGGCATGCCCCTCAATGAGTTTTTCTATCGCAACAGGATTGAACTTTTCCCCGTTGCTCAGAGACACAACATCATCTAGGCGCCCACGCAGTTTCCAGAGTTCAGACTTCGTCAGATGCCGCGTATAGACATCCTTCGTATGGTATTCACTCAAATCAGGAAACGTGTGAAAAACAGGGTGAAGAAAGGGGTCATAATGTCTGTGTATGACAAGTTCATATAGGTTTCCATCTACCAGTTCCATTTCAATTCCGTTGGTCGGCCACCATTCGAAATACTCCCAGTCTTCCTTCTCTTCAGGAGCTAACGCGAGTATAAAGCCAGCTTCAGTCATCCCCATGAAACCTGATAGCGACGTGTGATCCCTTATCTTACGGCCAACCTCAGGTGAAAGAGAAGAGCCACCCCAGAACACGTACTTCAGGTTCCAGCAAGCCTCCATGGAGGCTTGCGATAGAGTCATGTCTTCCAAGTTGCAGGGAGGTAGAAGTACCGCTGTGAGCTTGGTTGCGCTAAGTATGGAAGTTAAGAACTCGGTCGATAACGGCTGTCCGGAGCTACCACGCAACAGATACCATGAAAGACAGATATGATTAGCAAAGAGAACCCATGTGGTGAAAAAATGGCGCTGCAGCCAAAACAACATCGTCTTTGCTGAGTCGATCAGGCACGCCCGCGAAGCGCCCTTCAGGGACTGGAATATAAGCACCAGCATCGAGAGCTCTAAAGTAACCAAAGGTTAGTTGGATGGGTTTCGGAATCCCTGTCACTCAAAGTCTAACGTTAGCTAGGGAAAGTTGATATGTGTCATTTTTATCTCTAGTATGATGGAGTTGATCACTACTTACCGGTTGTGCCAGAGCTGCGCGCAATAAAGGCTATTTCATCCCTGACCTCTTCAAAAGTCTTATAAAATGGATACGGTGCGGTAACACCCCAAAAATATCTGCCAAGGATGGAGTTTCCACTGTAATCAAGTTGGGACGAAGAGCCTTTAGTTCCACTGCCCTCTGTCTTCGCTCAACGCTGTATGCTAATTTCATACAATCTGTGACTTCGAGGAGACGAAGATGTGCTTCATCTGAGTTCCGAGATGATGAAAGTAGAGGCTACCGGTTGCCAGAGTCAGTACAAGGCCAATGAAATCAAACAGATTCACAGTCTCACCTTATCACCCGTTTTATTACACGCCATTACCACCACAAGTTAGCGTATATTATTTGCCCCAATATAGGCCAGTGTCTTCATGTTCGGACTACAGCCGAAAGTCTTTACAATCCACCAGCACTGATAATTCACCGCATGAGCAAGCTCCTGAAAGGTCACGTCGAAGAACCCATCCGAAGATCTTAGAGCCCTTAGGCACAGCACAAACTTTCCTCTGTGGATCCTTCTTAGCCAAATCATCGATGACTTGAACCATGAGCCTCTTTCCAATAGAGGCCAACTCGTGCTCTGCCATGATGAATAAGTTCACAGTAGATTATCAGAGCAAACTGAAAGCCGAGAGAGTAGGTATTAGAGAAAGGTGAAGCTCGTGTGCAGGCCTGCCGTTGCAAGACTGCACATGCTCGACATTTATAGCCGTTCTGAGGGACCATCTCGGACTGATGTTCGTAAAGAACCTGTCGGCTTTTCGGGCTGCATATGCTGTTTTTTGTCTGAGGGCTTTTCGGTTATGCTCGGGCAAACATATGACAGCATCACCTTTGTAGGCATATAGACGCTAAGAGGCGCGCTGACGTACTGGGTACACAGCCATGGCCAGACACAGCAAATTGACTACGCAGAATAATGTGACGAGATGTTCCAATTGCCATAGCTACATGGAGGCAAGGCGCTTAATCAACGGAGACAAGGCATCCCATGCGCCATATCAAGGCAGTCAAAGGACAGGCTGCATATGAAGTGCTTAAGTACCGCAGTTATGCATGAATCACGTAGCCTGAGGATCCAGATGCAACTTTATCACGCTCTTGGCGTTTCCTAAATGGAACTCTTTAACCCAATTTGGGTTAGTAGCCAGATAGCCAGAGTCTAGGTGTCGTCAACTTCCCGGATCTATTTCCTCTATGGCGAAGGCAAATGCGCAGGAAGGTGGCTTTCAGGTCTGCAAGAAAACAAATAGTTTCTAACGCTTAGCATGTCACGTGCACCGCGCGGCGAAGAGTACCGCCGGTACTTGGGTGACAACCTCTACAGTTCCAGAGCACTTGGTTGAATAGAAAATTTTCTATTGCCACATTTCCTGCCTTTTTTCATACACCGATTTGAGAACGCCAGATTTGCAACGGACACATCATAAAAGATCAACCCAATGAACACGTCCCAAAGGCCAGACCCCGAAGACATGCACTGCCTTGTCAGACAACAAAGTGGAAATGTACAGCCATAGCAAGTAACAAGACATAAGAAAAAGCCTTATAATTAAAATAACGAAAACATATAACGATGGACAAAGTCGCTCCGAATTTAAAGGTTGGCCTTCTTAGCCTCCTTCTGCGCGAGCTTGACCAGCTCATCGTATACGCTGCTGAAGTCCTCATCGTCATCTGCGGATTCACCCTTCTTGCTCTTTGCGGCCGACTTGGGAACAACCATGGTGACACTGGTGGGACGCTTTGTTGCGGCAGAGTTACCGAGCTCAGCTCGGGATGTGACGAAAACGTAGGGAATACCATGATCCTCGCAGAGGATAGGAATATGCGAGATAACATCCATCGGCGAAATGTCCGCAGCGAGGACCACAACTCCGTTTGGAGTGGTGTTAGGAGCGTTGGGTGCAGGAACAGGCGATTTCCGGAGGGCCTTGACAACTTCCTTCACACCGCGCTTGAGGCACTTGTTCACAGCGGCTACAGGAGAAACATAAGATATTAGCTTCATGAGAACGAAGTGAGAGCTTTACATATGAACAATACGAATCATCAAAACTTAAGATGTAATGGCGAACTTGACTCGAGTAGAGGACGAAGCGCAGGACGCATCCACATCCAGAACCGAGCCAAGCCCAATATTTAACTTACCCTTCTTGACACTCTTCAGCACCTTCTTTGCCGACTTGTCTTCGACCAGAGGCTGAGCGAATGGTACGAGGGCGCCAACGGGACGGGTATCGACATCCATCACCTCAGTCTCAACATTGGCAGTGGCTTCCGCAGCGACAGCATTGTCAATTCCATCCAGAACCTTGGTGGTGAGCTCCTGCTCAACTGCGTCGGCGAGAGCAGTCTTATCCTTCTTCTCCTTCTTGTCCTTCTTGCTCTTGTGGACACCGTCCTTCTCCGAGCGCTTTTCCTTCTTCTCGCGCTTGTCCTTCTTCTCAACCTTGTCCTTGGCCATTTTGAAGTCTAGTGTCCCTAGGAAATCGAACAAAAACGAGGAGGGAAAAGGGCGGCAATCGGAGGTGGGCGTGGGGAGAAGTAGTTTAGTTTATCGGTCACTTTTGGAGGCCGCAAAATTTCGAAATCTTTCAAAATTTCGGCGCTAATCCGTCCTGGGAACGCCAGCTTCTGGCGGGCGGTGAATGCGGCTGACTCATCATTCTCCGAATCGGGATTTGTTCCATCACCCCGTCGAAAAACAACGTTGACTGCAGTTATACTCGTATTCCTCAATTGTGTATCTTACTCTGCCGAGTTGCGATTACGAGAGCTGCCTAGGGGCTTACGGCAGCTTATATCCGACCTGTTCAATCTCCATGAATCCACGCGCAATTCACTGATGATTACATCTTGTTTTATTTACATACACAAAGGTAGATAAACAACACATGGTACGGATTGTCAAAGAGTTTGAACGACTAATGGGCTTCAGATGAACTCAAGGAGGAACTCACAACTCTCTTGGGGCTCGCCACCCCGGAGTACCTCCCCTTTGTCGATCCCTCCGGCCCCAAGTCCCTTGCGACAATCAATCCGCCCTTCCCAAGTGCCAAAGCCTGGTAAGCTCAGATCCGACGTGGATGATATACATTACTTGTACAATTGACATGTCTTGTAGATACGGAAAAAGAGGAGCTGCGTATCCAACTCAGTACTCTGAAGTATGAGTTGGAGAATATCAAACAGGAGCGGGATCTAATGATACTGCGCCATGAGAAGGACCTTCGGGATGCTCAGTTAAAGGCAGATGCGGACTTCCGGAAAGCGCAGGTGTGTACAAAATATGATATGCGATCAAATTCATACCTAACACCTCGCTCTCTCTAGGCTGCAGAGTCTGCCAGTCACCGTGCCAGTCACAAGAGTGAGGCGCTCGCGAAAGAGTTGAAAGAAAGCCAAGAAAATGCGTTGAAAGAGAAGGGCGGTCTTGAGCGGAAGCTCAGAAGTCTTCAGGATCAGAACCAAAGTTTACAAGATGATGTCGACGACGCTAAAGCGCAACTGCTTGACCAGGAGAGACAGTTCAAGTATCAAATTAACGAACTAGAGACCATTCGCTCATCCCTCCAAAGGACGCTGGAAGGATTGCAAAACGATCTGCAAAGCGCTAGGACCGACCTACAGAACACTCAAGAGAAATTGTGTGAACGAGAAGCGGATGTCGCCAACCTGGAAACCGAGAATATACGACTCAAAGCCGAAGGAAGTGATGCGGAAACAGTATCTATTCTCAAAAGAGAGCTTTCAGACCAAGTCAACCATATACGGAATTTAGAATCTACAAATCGGGAACAAAGCGCAGAGTTGCGACATCTTCGGAAGGTACAGAAAAATGTCGAGGTGGTGGAAGAGCAGAAGAAATCGCTGGAGAATCAACTACAGTTGATGAAAGACCTTGAATCTGAATTAGGAACCGTCCAGATTCAGAAGCAAATGCTTGAAGATGAGCGAACATCATGGACTAGTCTTCTCCAGGTCAACGATGAACAGACCGAGATTGACTCACCGGAGGCGGTTGTGAAGGCTCTGCTACAGGAGCGGATTGAGAAGGCCACTCTTGTTGATAAGCTCGGCAACGTTGAAGCACAGTTTCTGGAGAAGGATGAGCTCATAAGAGGCTTGGAGACCGAACGAAGCAACTTGCGACAGGAAATTGAAAAGCTCCGGAGTAGCAGTACAGCGAATGGAGGGGCTATGGCTGAAAGCAGACTCCGGGCGAGACTGGAACGCCAACGAGCGCTCGCAGTGAAGGAGGTCGAATATCTTCGGGCACAACTAAAGACGTTCGACACGGAAGAGGTGACTATGAATGCGGAGCAAAGCCAATTCGATGAGCATAAGTCGGAGCAGATCGCCAACCTGGAGAAGCTTGTTGATGAATACAGAGTGGAGTTGGAGAAGGTCCATGAGGAGCTTTCGAAACGTGAATCAACCCAACAGCAGGATCCAGAACCTCGGGGTATTAAACGGCCCCTCTCCCCCGCTGAAAGCGATGCAGAGAACGAGCGTCTTTCTATTTTGTCCCGGAAAAACAGGACATTGCAAGAGTCACTCTCCAAGTCAGAACAGGTGACCACCCTCTTACGCCGAGAACTCGAAGCTACCAAATCCCAGCTCAAGTCTCTTAAGGCCAAGTCGCGTACTCGCGTTCTCGAACTCCGCGACAATCCCACAGCGCAAGCCGAGAATCTCAAACTCTCCACCATTACAACCCTCAAGGCTGAAAACCGCGACTTGCTCGCCCAGCTCCAGGGCTACCACGAAAATGTCAAGGCCGTGCCTGCGAGCACCCTAGAGAGCCTCAAACTAGAAATCCAGGACATGGAGCGAGTAGTCGCCGACAAGGAGAAGCGCATGCGACGACTGAAGGAGATTTGGACCGCCAAGTCATCCGAGTTCCGCGAAGCTGTCGCCTCTTTACTCGGGTACAAACTGGACTTCCTCCCTAACGGCCGTGTCCGAGTAACTTCCATGTTCCATCTCTCTCCCGCCTACAGACATGGAGACGGCGACGCTTCTTCTGACTCCCGCGGACCCGGCAGCATGGGCAATGGCGAAGAGAACTCGATCATCTTCGATGGAGAGAATGGCACGATGAAAATATCTGGTGGACCGAACAGTCTCTTTGCTATGGAAATCAGACCACTTATTAAATTCTGGGTCGAGGAACGGAAAGATATACCTTGTTTCCTGGCTGCAATGACGTTGGATTTCTATGATAAGACTACACGAGCTGCACGGATGTAGTTGATTAGTTTAGTTCTAGCCTTTCCCCCTCTTTCTTTTTGTCTCTTTGATTCCATCACCGTTATACCTGGGGTATGGATCGGGCGTTACATGTGTGTGTTGTTCTTTAGCGATTCCCCGGCACAGAGGCGTCTATGTGCCATGTTTTATCTGATCACCAATTTTGTACTACTCGAAGAACATGTAAATGTATGAATCTGAGATACATCATCATTTGGATTAGTAAAACATACCACCATCTTCATACTCAACTTGTTCGTTTGGAGAGCGCCAAGGCTAAATACATTGCTGGATATTTGGGACGTTAATATGGGCCGACTATTTCCACCGGGACAACCTATTTACAGGCAAAAATGCCATGCCTACCTGTGGCTATACACAAAAGATTACCACGACACAAGGGAGAAATAAAGAGAAAGAACAAAGAAAAGAACGTGATGAAATCAACAAGATGGAACAGACGATAGATATATACCATGCACAAGTGGGTTAAATCGAAAACTGGGAAGAGGAAATAGATTAATCGAATGAGGGTGCCATATAGAGTCGTTTGAGTAGATTATGTGCTAAGGCGAAGATAGCTAGGTGATGTGATGTCTGCAGACAAACTTTTGGAAGGCGTGCTATTCCAAAAAAAAAAATCCAACAAAGACAGTTACGATGGTATCTTGAAACTGGAACAGTCCGGCGAGATTTGATCATGCTTTGTTCGTAGAAAGTTCGAACTATGCAGTTCTTGTGTCTCTGAGACCTTCATCACGAGCTAACGGTTCAAGAACATGAATGATATTGAGTTAAGAGGAGACATATTTACCTCCAACCAGCTTGCGAGTAGTGGGAACTTCTTTCCATGTCAGAGAGGGTTGGATATCGTCATGTGCTCCGAAGCTTTCGTCTGCAAAAGGGTCAGACCCCTTTTGTGCACTCTCGGATTGCGAAGCGACGCTGATGCCCAGCCGAGAGCCAGCATCAGGTGTGTGGACCTCAAATCTGGCGTCCACCTTTCCTTTTCTTGGCCAACTAGTCGCAGTTGAGAATCTAACAAGCAGCTTGCCATCAGGCCCAGCTTTAACCTCGAACTCAGGGAGCTTCCAGGTCACCGCTGAGCTCTTGCGACGGAAGGATGCTCCTGTATTAGGGTACATGACGGCATTCGTAGCATGAGCTACTTCTCGCCCCTCCTCAGGGGATGTATCCAGATTCACCGTCAGAACCAGGTTTTTCAGGGTTATTGATTGCCTTGACAGGGAATATGCAAACGACGGGTTTAAAGAATAGAATACGATCACGCTAGCCTGATGTTCCTCAATGTTCCATGCTGGTTTAAAGATAACCGGACAGTAGGCAGAGGCGTCAGATGTGTCAACATGAAGTTGGTATTTGAAGGCCACTGTCGGTGAGGGGCGAGCAATGCCGGGAAGATGTATGTTGTATTGCCCTCTTTTTTCATCCGACAGATCCTTGTCCTTCTCTTCGTTCACCAAATGTGGATTTGCAGCTACCTTCTCCAGAACTTGGAAGTTGTCTAGACGAATTGTAGTGTTCGGCTCTGGGGCTCCGTTATATGCCAACGCAAGCTCTCCAATCACGGAGGTCTTGGTAACGACACCTTCAGAGAACCATGCATTTACTGTCTCAATAATAGACGCATTGAGACCGGGCTCGTGGAGATCAGGATGTGGGATTTGACCTGAAGTACCGCGTAAGGTGTGCCCTGAACGGACAGAGGTTGTATCCGATAACGCATGGTCATCAGTTGCAGTGCTAGGAGAAGCTATGTGCTTCGATGGAAGGCTCGGCGATGTTGGCACAGAGACATCTGACCCTGAGGGTAGAGCGGGTACATCACTGCCAGGTGGCGGGTTAGGAATGAAGACCGTGTTACGAACATCACGCCGGCCGCGCAGAGTTCCTGCATTCCGCCTTACACCAGTTTGCTGGGCTCGCTGAATGGATGGACAGTCAGAAAAGGTAACAAAGATGCACCTTCATGTCACACTCACCAGCCTCAACTGATTAGCCATATCGTCCATTGCTTGCTTGGCTTGATCTTCGTCTTCGAATATCGGCTGATCCCGAATCGTTAGATTGATGCTAGGCTCCTCCATGCTATCGTAACCGTTAGTAATTTCATTTTAGCAAGTCCTTGGAGGCCGTTTACCCAGATGCTTCTTCTCTCTGCGCTCGAGTGATTTCGTCAATAGTTTGAGGTGGTTCTGAGAATCCTTCGGAGTCGACTCGAGGCTATCATCTGAATTAACAGTCTGGACTATATCTACCTCATCACTATAACTCACCTGGCTCGATTCACTGATAGCAAGGCCTGTCTCGGCAGGGGGTTCTGGGGATGTTACCCCATTTGCGGTTGTTGGTGGTGACTGAGCGGTCGGGATGGAAGCAATCGTACCGTGGCCTTCGTGGTCTCGTGTCTCGCTGGGTATACGCGTTACTTCATTGTAGCTTTCATGAGTAGTTAGCGCGGTGCCCGGTCGTTCCTCGCCTGTTGGCGACTCGGGGATTTGCATGTCACGGGAGTCTCCTCGCTTGAAAGGTGCAAAGGGACTGCGATGCTTCTTATCCGAAAAGAATGGGGCTCCTCCGGAAGGCTGAACTATGCTCTTCCTTCTGTTCATGACAGTTCCCAATCGCTTGAGTCCGCCAAGGGGTGTATGACGGGGCTGGGGTTCAGGTGCTATAACACGTAAATGGTAAGCATCATCTCAAATCTTTGGAGGCCAACATTCTGGCCTGAGCAAGGAACAGTTCTTACCAGGGGGTGTCCTGACGGGACCAGATGCCTCTGAGAGCTGGCTAGCGGTGTCATCGTGGATGCGTGGCGGTGGTCCATGGGGTGCGGCTGCAGGGGTAGGAGAGGTTTGTTGCCTCGGAAGAACCGGTCGTCCACCATTGACCTTCGCGGCAAATGTCTTTATTTCGTCTGCAGTCTCCACGTTCAGGAGTACATTCAGACAAGTTTCGGCTGCTTGGCGGCAGCGCTCAACCTGATCTGACTCGTGAGTCTCCAGCTGGGTGAGAACGTCTCGCAGATGGTTGAGCCGACCCTCATCAGCTGCTTGGAGCTGCTCAAAAACGAAAGGTGCCCGTGATTCCCATTGCTGTTTGACTTCTTCTGCGGTGGCAATCGCACCAGCTAGCTTATCTGCGCCCTTGGGCCCTTTCTCTCTAGCTTTCTCCACCTTCTTGTGCGATGCTTCTAAGTTCTTCGCAAGACCCGCAAGGTCGCTCTGGACTCCAGGCATTGAGGCTAGTTCGCGGTTCTTGCTGTGGTAATCCCTAAGAGGGCGTTCGACATCTTCTTCGATTTTCTGCGCAAAGGTCTCGTGCGATGAGGCGACCATTTCCGTCGCATTGACAATGCGTTGCCACGGTATTTGAAAGACTCTAATTTGGCCAATCGACACCACGTTAGAGAGTTGATACCCCAGGTAAAGCCCTTCTAATAGCTGGAGCTTACCCTAATGCCGCTCCATTATCCAATTGCTGCCGCGTCGCGAGTTTCCGCAATCCTTGAGCATACGCTTCTTCGACGCGACGTCGCTCCTATTGCACTTATGAGAAATAGCTCAAACCAATTCACACCACTGAGCTCAAAAGGCGCTAAGGGCATACCTGGAGCCAATCTGCGATATCTGCATTGATCTTGTTGATGAGACGAATGCGATCGTTGAGAACAGCAGTAGCTTGGCCGGGCTGCAGAGAGGCCTGGAGAGAGCAAACAGTCAATTAGGAAAATTCAAAATCTCGCCAGGGCTATTTTGAGTGCCTGCGAGGTGGAGAGTGGCTCAATCCTACCAGCAAAGCTGGATACTCCTGCCGTGAGAGGTCCATCATTCATATACACATAGGTCACAGCTGTATCAGGAGATGAGGGGGGTGGCGCATAATAAGGGCCAGCCCACGGAGATCGAGAAAATGAGGAGTTCAAATCCCAAAAACGCCCCGTCTAATGAGTGAGTGGCTAACGAAAGTGTAAAGGACGTCAGAAAGTACCAATGCCCGAGGATAAACGTGGGATGTGGAGGAAGAAGTGCTATGATGACGATGACGGGTTGCAACGCCGGAAGAACTAAAAGCGGACCCGAACTCGGAAAATGGGAGCTAGGCCGCCTTGGGTTTAGCGAGGCAGATGTCACATGCCCCCTCCTCCAAAATCCACTAAGCAAGTTTAGTGCCTGAAGAGGTATTTTTGGAGAGAATGTTGGCATGCCATGCCATGGAGTTATGGAGAGTGATACTTTCAAGTGGCTTACGGGGATCCGTTACCATATCTAACCATGGCGGATTGGAAAAGAGCCCTGGGCTTCACAGATAGGTTAACCGCCATCCAATCTTTGTAAGAATGGACACACCCTGCACACAGGCAATGCTTATATGGCGTCTCTTTCACCTTAGGACGACAGCTTATCAGCGCGCTTCATCTTCTGCCGCATTTGTAGAGGCACAGACTCAAGCAAAGCAATTTGAGTGTGAAGCCTATGATCAGGCCACATCGAAGGTATGGACTCTTAGCTACGCATCGTACTTCCCATCACCTTCCAGATACTCAATCTTTAATGCGTAGGAAGAATATGATCAGCTATGCCAGAAAGCTATCGACGACGCAGAAGCTACGGGCTCAGTCGCTCCTGTAATTAGTAGCCTCAATCCGTTACAAGATGCTGAAGAGGTAGGTAACTGGTCTGTGGGTGAAGATATTGGCCCGTACAGGGCGTGTCTCCATCATTTTGACGGGCTTCATTCTACTATCTACAAGTGTAGGGGCGCAGACGGGGCCCTGGTTGCTGTTAAAGTCACTGTACCCCATCTTTTAACACCGCCACACAACGCAAAGTGTGAAGCTCAACTCTTGCGGGAAACTGCTGGAGAGCATGTGATACCTTTGCTGGAGACCCTGAAACTTGATGGGGGACGGTTTCTTCTAGTGTTTCCCTTCATAAATCATGACTTTGAACATTTGCTGCGTCGGGGCATGTTGACTGCCACCCAAACCAGGTCTCATTTGCACGATTTGTTTCGCGCACTGGCGCATATCCACGAGTTGGGAGTCATACATCGGGACATAAAGCCTTCGAACATTCTGTTGAGCTCGCCTGATGGGCCAGCCTACTTGGCAGACTTTGGCATCGCTTGGAAGGACGGGCATAACGTTTCTGAGCCAGCTGACAAGAAAATTACGGACGTGGGAACCACATGCTATCGACCTCCTGAGATATTGTTTGGTTATAAAGGATATGGAACATCTCTCGATCTTTGGGCGGCTGGGTGCCTGGTCGCAGAAGCTGTGGCTGTAGGGCACCAACAGCTATTTGACTCGGGGCCCGTTGGGAGTGATCTGTCTCTTATTCAATCTATATTTCAGACCCTAGGTACTCCGGACCAGGAGATATGGCCGGTATGTCATGATCATGCTGAACATTTCCTGATTGACCCATACTGACGAGGTGATGACAGGAAATAGAGAAACTCCCGGATTGGGGCAAGGTGGAATTCTTCAAGTATCCTGCCAAGTCGTGGGATGATATTCTCAGAGGGGCCTCTTCGAAAGGTCGTGATCTTGTCACACAATTGGTCCGTTATGAGAGTAGCCAGCGTATTTCCGCTAAAGAGGTAAGCTTCCCCGGAGGAAAAAAGAATTGCTACAATTACTGAAGGCATCATCGGTCTTTTTTTTACCTCCCCCACCTAGTTCTAATAATCCAATAGGCTCTAGAGCATCCCTATTTTTCGGCATAATTGATACGGGATACCGTGAATCACATGCTACGGGGAGACAAGCGATCTCAAGAAGGATGGGAAAACAAAGAAAATTAGGGGAAACAGGAAAAGAATCAATCGGTCCACTGGATAAGCGTTCATTTGACGAAGATTGTACGCCATATGGCGGCCTGCTGCGGTCAACAATCAGGCCGGGTCCCACCAGCATCTTTTAGGCGTTTCAGCATTTTTGACGGCTTGGAATCTCCAGACGATCACGCATAAGGCACGAGGACTATCGGCACTAACCGCTGGGGAAGCCTTCGGTCAACTTCAGTCTCAGGAAAATGCCAACTACTCTGTCCACCTCCCAGAAGTCGCTTACGCGCCGGGAAGGAGAACGTCGTCCGTTGATCACGTGACGGTTGCCTGATGTGTTTTGTGCGAGATTGAGAGCCGAAGAACTCAAGATTCAGGACGTTGAAGCCCAGTTTAAGATCACCTGGTCCACATATTTGCAGAAACTCTGTCGGGACCCCTTGTTTCCATGGTATCCTTCGTAATTAGAAGCTGCGAAAGAGCAGTAAATCCCCATGTCGTTCCTCCGGAGTAATAAGAACAATTTCCAGAATTAGGAGTAGTATGCCACTCGAGGCTGAAATGTAAAAATGCAATGCAACGTCTTCGGGGATGAGTGGAGGCCACTAGGAACGGCCGGAGGAGCGAGTGGCTTGGCTAATTAAAATGGCGGTTCCTGTCTGATTGAACAATTGACGATCAACTCCAGAGTAATAAACAGGCAAACTAAAACCTCGGCCTCTTTCCATGGTATTGTGTTTATTTCCCCGTGGTGGTACAGACGAACTCCTGTTCTCTCTTTGATGGGAAAGAAGAACATGTATAATAGAACATCTATTGGGGAAGAAGGAAAGGGGGGAAGGGTCCAAAATATAGAGCAGGTAAAAATGAAGATACATGGAATCACTGTTTATTGGATGCGTACCATACAGTACCAAGGGACGCTCGTGCGTGGGGATCGAATAACAGTGGCGGGTGACTCGGCATGTTCCTCGTGTATGTATTGACCGTCAGGTTACCAGGCACCGTACCATGACAAGCCAATAAAATCCGACGATCTGGTTCCCCAGAGGGTTAGCGTGGTCCAGCCCATACCAGCAGATACCAGACCCTGATTGGGTGGGTTCCCCCTCATTAACCTCCATAAGCTTTGATCTCATTTCGTTTACAGCCTGCCGCGGTAATTACCGGTAATTTATTTCTCTTAGTTCTAGGGTTGGGGTTGGTCAACATCCCAAATACTGTGCTATTCTCGCATTCTCACACTTCTCTTTCCTTCACTTCGCTGTCCCTCCTTCCTTTCGTCCCAATCACTTTGGGATCCTACTCTCTGGGCGCCCTTCCTTTCTTTCAAATCGCACGGCCTGGAAGCTCGTTGTCCTTCATTTATCAACTTGCGCCGGCTGGCACCCAGCCTCTTCAGCTATACTGATCACTACTTGCCATTCTTTGACATTCCCACATTCCTCATTCCTTAACGCGCTTGCGCCACATTAAATTTCAAACGCGGCCGGTCATTCTGGCGAGACCAGCCCAGCGCCGGTTTCTTTTCGCGTCCATTTCTTGCCAGCTCCCATACATTCTTTTGAACTATATCCAGTCTACAAATACAATCGGCAATCGCCACACCTCGCCAGACATTGCTACTTCCCCAGTATAACCGTGTGAAGGGACGCCAGAGCGTATGATCCCTGGCCCTGTCATCCCAGGCCACAATTGACCCAGGTATCAAGTATATTCACCGGGTTAACATCGCAAATCATGGTTCACGCCCACAATCACAACCATGGGCGCAGCCTGGAGGGACGAAGCCCCGACAATGGGCAAGAGGTCACTATAGTTTATGTGACCGCCCCCGCAGATTTCGATGGTCCCGTAGGTGGCTATGTGACAGGTGAAAACCCGAAGACGAAGACCGCAGCTCCCACAGCCGGCGTCGGTCCCGCCGTTCAGCACAGCCGAACTTCTGCGAAGGAGGAGCCAAGTACGGCTGAGGAACCAGCAACGAAAACTAAAGCAGAGGAGACAAAACCAACGGCCACTAAGATCGAGACGACTCAGACAGCCAAGGTACAATTGACTGAGACGGAACAAACTACCAAGGCAGTTGAACCAGAAACATCCACTATTGATCAAAAGAATACTCCTACCATGATGACGACTTTCTCAACGGCTACCTCGTCCACTTCCTCCTTATCTAATACTGGATTAGAAGAGGCCGCTGCCACGCACTCGTCCTCGGATAATTCGGCATCTTCAGCAACCGCTCTTCCCGGAGCTTCTGGGTCTGACGGTCTCACAGGTGGTGCAAAAGCGGGTATTGCTATAGGTGTAATTCTTGGAGTAGGCTTGATCGCGGCCCTTATTTTCTTGTTTATGCGCAAGAAGAAGCAGGGCCAGAAGCTTGGCGACATGGAGACAGAAAATGAAAAAGCATTTGGCGCCAGCAGTGTAGCACCTCCACCGCCCCCGCCAAAGTTTGAACCAGCAACGCCAACCAACCCACCTCAGCTCAACGTCAGACCGGTGACTCAATTTGCGCCCGATCTCACACCTAGTGCTACGAACGCCCTCTCTGCGGCTGGTGCAGGTGCAGCTCTTGGAACGACCGCCGCTGCATCGCGCAACCTCACTGGAAATCCCTCGCCGCCTCCCACTCCGCAATCGAATGCAAGCAGCTCGAATCCTTTTACAGATCCCGAGAATCCCTTCAGCAATCAGGCGGAGGCCCCGTCACCTGGCAATGGGGTCAGACCAGTTACTCCTCCAATTGCCCCTGGCCACAATGGGGCCATTGCTCGCTCAAGTGCAGTTCCTGCTGAACCCGCTGATCACACCGTCGCTATCGGTGCGGCGGTATCTACAGCGGCTGTGGCTGTGGCAGTTTCCTCAACTTCCAACCCGACGGAGAATGGCCTTCCTACTCTACATGAGAACTCGGAGCCGCAGACCAATTCTCAACCCGAGCATCCAAAAACGAACGCTGTCAATTGCCCACCAGCCAATGAAACACCCGACATTAGTCCTGCCGTTGCTGCGGTTCCAGCTTTTGGGCCTTCTGAACATGGCCCGGCTCCGGCCCCGGCTCCGACAAATGTGCATCGTGTACAAATGGAATTCAAGCCTTCCATGGACGACGAACTGGAGCTCCATGTTGGCCAGCTTGTTCGGCTTCTTCATGAATACGATGATGGGTGGGCACTCTGCACCAGAATGGATCAGTCCCAGCAAGGAGTGGTTCCTCGATCATGTCTCTCTTCTCGTCCTGTGATGCCTCGACCACGTCCACCTCCCGGAGCTGGCCCCGGCCCACGTGGCCCCCCAATGATGGGACCTAATGGACCGGTTCCTCCTGGTTCCCCTCGTTTCTATCCCCAAGGTGGACGTCCAATGTCACCAGCGGCGCGTCCCATGTCTCCAGCACGCCCAATGTCTCCGGCTCATCCTGGATATGCTGGGCCCCCGCCTCCACGTCCCTATCAACAGCGTCCGATGTCCCCTGCTCAGTTCCCCCCTGTTCCTCGATCGTATTCCCCTGGACCAGGTCCTCGGCCAATGCCGCCTCGATCGATGAGTCCGGGTCCTTATGGCCCTCCGGGCCTGCAGCGGCCGGATATGCTAGTCAGCCAGCGGCAACGTAGCAACAGTGCTGGCGGAGCGATTGGCCCAGTCCCACGCACGGCAGGGTCACCAGGACCAAGCCCCTTGGCGGCTCCCAAAACTCCACCTCCGTCAGGTGCATTGCCGGCAATCCCTACTCCGACCCCAGTCGAGGCTCCAGCTCCAGGCAGTAACGTGCCAGGCCAGTGAGATGTTAACGTCCGTCAAATGAATGCCCATCGGTTGGAATTAAGGCTTCGGCTGGCTTTGCCGTTAATAGATATGGCTCTGCTTTGATATCACGCGCTCCCGCAACGAAAGTAATAACACAAAGTCTTCAATGTCTCACATCTCCCAGATCGACTCCCCCAGTTTGGTTCTTTTTGCGTTTCTTTCCTGCTCTATGCCTTCCTTCATATTCTGTACGACCCTTTCCGTCTCACTAGCAGACCACTTTTATGAAGCTTTACCTACGTCTCCTTCACTACCAAGTGAATCTGCACATATCAACTCTGACGGAATATACCCAATGTTGTAAGATTTTACTGTTGAATCACGAAACCCACATATTTTGGATTACCTTAAGTCATTAGCCCCTTTTTTTCTTTCACAATATATTCTTCTTTTCAATTTTTGCCTTTTTTACCGATGCGTATCTTGCGTCTAATCGATCCATTTTGGACAGTCTAGTCAACCTGGTACAGAGCTTTTACATTGATGTATGGATGCAATGGATAACCGGAAAACGAAGCAAAAAAATAATGTATGATCGTTCAGCCCTGTTTCAACATTTTGACGTGGTTCATGATTTTCGTTCAATTGTTTGCCCTCTACTACAAGGGTTGCAACTATCTAGTGTATCTATGTAATGTAGGTAGATAGGACGCCCTTGGAAATAATAAAAGTAATCGAGGAATAAAGTCACAAGCTTCACATAAATGCAATTCTACTTCTACATCCACAAAGCTCTCTAAGCCACAGAGAAGTAATGGTGTGATCCACTTTTCTAAAGAACCAATCCGATTGCCATCTAAATCTACAGATGCGGAACTCCCACACTTGCTAAAAGAAGATTGATGATGCTAATGATTCCTTCACCAAGGATCAACCCGGAAGCCAAAACAACGACGGTTGAGGACGCGGCATCCGCGTCCTTGATAACCTGTCCGGGGGTGTTTCCAGCCGCTGAATTCCCGGCATTCAGTCGAGGTGCATTGTCTTGGGAGTGTGTCTCGTTGGACAACTGAGTGGGAGGTTCAAGTTCTTGGGTATGGTTGTTGCTGCTGTGTTTCTGAGACCACCACCAGGCGACTAACCCGCCAATGGCTCTAGAGAGGGTGAAGGAGGGGACATTGAAGATTCCGACGGCAACGGCGATACCACCTGGGATCCAGGCTCGCCACCAGGCTGTTGCGTCGCGTTTACCGCCGTTTGCGATACTGGATGCGCCAACGATGCGGAGAATGGTGATGGCGACGTAGGCCACCCCGGCGATAAAGGCTGCTTCCCATGCCATTGGGGGAAGACCTTGGCCCGTGACCAGTCGGGCTGTGAAGATCCAGACGTAGGCTGTTGGGGTCTGGAACATGGGGCCTGGGACCTCGTAGACGTTCACGTACATTTTGTATACCGCGGTTGACAGCACGGCACCGACTAGACTGCCGATCATCTGGCCATAGAACTGCGCCTTGGGGCTTGCACCAAGTAAGTGGCCTGTCTTCAGGTCCTGCATCATGTCTCCTGCCTGTAGGGCGCCTGATTCGGACACCGCGCCGGCAAGAAGATTTGTGACTAATGCAGTGCGTCGGGAGAAGCGGGAGGCAGGGGTTGCGAGAGAGAAAAGTAGCTGTGTCAGTTTGCTGATTCCAGATACGGGGTTAAGGTCAGTTTCGCCGAGAGCGCGAACACCCATAACGGATAGGAGAACGGCCAGCAGTGTTGCAAGGCTGGAGAGTAACGGGGAAATAACGTCGCCAAAGACGAAGTGCATGCAGACGACGTTCAATATCAAAGTCAAGGGTAGCAGAATGATCACTGTTCTTGTGGAGATAAGTTGAGATGGAGGAGCATCTTCATCATCAGCCTCGGCTTGCCTCCCGGCCAGCAAGACAGGGCGGCGACTTGGTACAGAAGGCTCCTCAGAAATAGGACTCAGCGCAGAGTAGCTGATATAATCATGGTGATGAGATGTTGTGGGCCCTCGCGGAGAGCCTCGACGCCAAAACTGGCTAGGGAAGAATCTGGTCTTTAGCTTAGGGGCATATTTCACAGCTGGCTTGAGCACTAGCCAGCCGAGACTAACAATGGAGTCAGCGAGCATAATGGCCAGAGAAACCCATACTATCCAGGCCTTGCTCCCGTCCTCCCAGCTGTCCACCGGGCCAGGAGCCCAACCGCGGGCCTTGGCAAGCGGAGATAAAACACCCCAGCCTAACACAGCACCGAATAACATATGCATACAGGTAGAAGGCCCCATGATAATCCCTTGCCCAATATATGCTGGCGATGGGTTGAGAGTCCATAGCCAATTATGTGCCAGCGAAAGTCCGAATAAGGGAATATCACGAACTTGTGGGACAAAGTATGAGAACAATGTCTGCATTTATTAGTACACGAGCACAGTATTGGTTAAGAGAAGCGGTATGTATCCTCACATAAACACCGGAAACGACGAAGGCACCAACCAAGAGGCGCATCTTCGACCTCCAATCCTTTTTGTCACTATCCTGCTCTTCAGAAAGGGGTTTCCTCGGGAGAAAACCACTCTCCTCAGTTTGCCGCGACAGTATAGGTGCCTCTTCCTCTTCATCCCGCTCCACTCCCGCATTGCTCACTCTGTCCTTTGCTTTTTCATCATTCTGTCCATTTCCGTGCAAGACTCTCAGCATCAACGCAGATGCTGTCCCACTGGGGAACTTCAACTTTTCGCGGACAATCACCTCCTTCCTCAGAGGAACAGCAAAGACAACACCGAACAAGCACACACCAAGACTCCAGACGACCAGCTTCCAAAAACTAAGCTTTAATGGCCCACCCTCTCCGACGCCTCCTTCACCAGAGGGCCCGTCTTCACCATCTCTTATAAGAAATTCCAACGCAGGTATCACACCAACAAACCCACACCCCAAAGGCATCGTCCCAACTGCCCCTGCTACCGTTTGAATGAGGACGTTCTCAATGGGGGTAAAGGGATAGGAAAGGTGTTTGGATAGCACTTTGAAGACCGAAAATCCTATCAATGCCGACGGCATTGCCATTGTACTGATCCATCCCGTCTGTAGTCCGAAATAGGTGTTCGAAAACGTGATAAGGGCACCGATAATGAGGCCGACAAGGAGGGATCGGGGAGTGAAGCTCTGTGAGGAAGTCACGGGCGGGCGTTCCGTTGCAGCGTTTGCGGCAAACCCATCATCATTTGTGCCCACCCTTACCCTAGTACGATAATCAGAATCTCTGAGATGCGATCCATCTCCCGCCGCTGTATTCGCCGATCGATCACCCCTAGAGGCGCTGTCCGACATGTTGATGGCTTGGTAGTTCATTGAATCGACAGCAACACTAACCCCCTCAAGCCCTACGTTCCAGGGCCCACCGTCACAACTGAGATCGAAAAGAATCTCAACAGTCCATAACGTAAGCGATAAGTATAGAAGAGGAGTGGGGGATGACAATGAGAGTTGAGGAGTTGCTGATGATAAATCACAATACAGTCACAAGTCCAGCCGCATTGATTCTGACTAAGCACGATAAGATAGCTAGGCCGTGATCCGGTGATGTCACCTTCTCGATAAGCCATCTCTATACAGAGAAGTTCAATTTATACTACAACATTCGGCCGATTTCCTGTGAACCATCCTTCCACTGCATCCTTAAATAACTTCGAATAGCCTTTTGCCGTCCGTTGAGACAACCATGCTAAGTGAGGCGTCACCACCAAATTCAAATCCTCGGTCCCCTCCGCCAGCAAAGGAGAGTTATCAGGCCCAGCGGGCTCTTTCAAGAACACGTCTGTCGCTGCTCCAGCAATCTGATGCTTTCGCAGTGCTCTCACCAATGCTTCTTCATCTACAACGCCACCGCGAGAGACATTGATCAGTACGGCATGAGGCGACATAGCTTCCAACTCCGGGGTCGAGATAAGGTTCCGAGTAGTCTCATGCAACGGAATCGCAAGAAACAGCACTGTGCTCTGCTTGATAACTGCCTCAAAGGGAGTCCTCCCTTCACTAATGGGGCTACCAATACCCCCAGGATTTTTCCGGTCAGAAATCAGAACTTTCATACCTAGTCCCTGAGCAAGATGAGCGATTCGTTTCCCTATAGTCCCCGTTAGACTCATCACTTAATATACAGAACACTACCATAGAGAACACTAAAATAAAAGAAGAAAAAGTCATACACACCTACGCGGCCATTCCCAATGATCCCAACCACCTCCTCTTCGCACGTCAAGGGCGGAATTCCATCCTTATCTAGAAATTGAAACATCAGAATCCTTTTCTTCCATTCCCCGGCTCGGGTTTCAGCATTCATATCCACGATCTTCCGTCGTGTCGTGAAGTAAAGTCCAATCGCATGTTCAGATACAGCTGCGATATTTGCACCGGGGCAATTAGTGACAGCAATGCCCCGTTTTCTGCATGCTTCTAGATCGACGCAGTCGGTGCCAGAGGCCACGATCACGACATGCTTGAGATACGGGGTTTTTTCTTCGGATAGTGCAACCGCGTCGACGGGGAATGCGCACAAGACTAGAATGGACGCATCATGGATGCGCTCGTGGAGATTGGCTAGTGTGGTTTGGGGGTACACTGTTTTCGTGTACGTGTAGGGTTCAGGAAGGATCAACTCTGGGGCGTAGAAAAAGTCGCCTTGTAGAACTACCATGTGGTGGTGGTTTGGTAACTGTGGGGGACTCATTTTTTAAGTGTTCTTGAAATGTTGAATCGTGTGGTTTGGTTTGCGATGTCAAGGAGGATTGGAAAGCCGAGGCTTAAACCAGTCTATATATTCGGGAACCCCACGCGCGCCCTAAGGCTGACATTTCTTACTTAGTGGGTCTGATACCAAAGCCAAATTAAATATAACTAGCAAATAATTGGATTGTTACAATCACTGCCTATCAAGAAGAACCTGTTGACTCTATCTTTTTCCTGTTTCTTTAAACTATACACACTTTCTCTGAACAATGGATATGTTTCCCTACCAGGTATCTGTCTACTGTGGCTGACTTGATCATAACGAACATATACTTCAGTAGACCCACGGCTGAGAAAGGATACTTATCAGATAGCTACAAGACTGCCCTCTGTCTAGGGCTCCGGAGAATCCCCTCAAAATATTTGGACAATCCCTCAACATCCTCCAACTCTCCAATCCATCCAGCATATTGATCCGGCCTCAAGACAACAACAGCACCCCTCAGCCGATCAACTCCCCACCTCTCATAGGTCTTCCCGTTACACTGCCATTCCCAATAGCATTCTCCGTCGCTCCAGACCTTGCTATAGTCCCAGCCACTGTCCTCGTCGAAAGGTCGTAGAGCCTCGGGCAAGTCAGAAAGCTCAACGTCTTCCACAGGCGCACTATGAATGGTAATCGTGTCAATGGTCGCATGAAGCCTCCCGGGGTTGGATGTATATCGCCGTAAAACCGAGTTATGGGATGCTAGATACTCGCCGAAGGCCAGTACACGTCGTTTCTGCTCCGCCTGTCGTATATCACCAGCAAGTAGTAAAATGCGGAAGCGACCATCGCTTTGAAGGATACGCGTAGTCCACTCAGGTCGGCCATCAGCTTGATTGCGAACCTTGGCTGCAATGAGTCTCTCTCCTGCTGAGAGGTTCTTAGCTACGCCTTGCCCATTTTTATGGACTAGTGGACTGTCGCTATAGAGAGACACAATGCATTCGGCAAATGCCTCATTCGAGTCGAGCACCTCCTTCATGGCATCGTATTTTCTCGGTGAATCTGGAGAGACGGAGCTACCCTGCTGTTTTAGAAATAGTGGTGACCAGTGGCGATCGAAGTTCACAAGCATCTCAGCAATCCGGCGACGCTCAAGCTCATAGGTGTCAAGGATGGAGGGATGAGTCACACCATTTGCAACGAGGGCTACTTTCCAGCCAATGTTGAACCCGTCCTGTATGCTTACATTCATGCCGAGTCCCACCTTTGGAGAATGGCTGTGGACCGCATCACCAGCAAGATATATGCGACCTTTGGTGAAGTTCTGGGCAAGCCGTTGGCCGATCTAACTCAGATATTTAGCATGATGCCGCTTGGGAACCCGGCACAAATGATATACCTGATATGTAGTCCACCAGTCACAGACCTTGAAATCGAACCGATACGGCTGTAGCATCTCTCTAACCTTTCTTCGCATCACGTCTAACGTAATAGATGATCGATCGAATCGCCCTGACGATGGGTTGACCTCTATCAGCGGGACATAGAAACGAACCAACTGCCTCTCTCTTGGAATAATGATGAGCGCTCCATGCTTAGTTGCCACGGTAGCCGCCCGGCGCACGTCAGCTAGCCATATGTCAGTTAAGTACTTCTGTAAAGGGGGTGGTAGGCTTACGAAAGTTTGTGATTGGAACCACATCAATAACACCCCTATAGTCAACCAGTCAGTCGCCCGCCAAAATAGATTGACCGCGGGGGGAGGAAGACATTACCATATGTGCTCCGTCGTGGAACCAGTAAAGGGGATACCTAACTGTTTCCTTGTCCAGCTGTGGCCACCATCGCAACTGATGAGGTACTTCGCCTTCACTATTTCAACTGTACCCGGCACATTCCTTCTTTTCGGAGTCAAATCTTCCACATCGTCCGGTGCCACATTGTCCCGCGTGAGGGATGCAGAGCCACCGTAAGCTGAAGCAGCATTTAGCTCTTCCTCAGTGAGCGTCCTCAGCTTAACCCTAATAGGGTATTCATCATGGTTATTATCAAGACTTGTATCATACTCTAGCGACTCCGCAGCGACTCCTCTCTCGACCACAAGTTCGGAGCTACTCTTGATAGAATCGAGGATATAACGCTCGATTCTTCCTTGGCCTAAGGCGAAAGTACGATACGGTAAACCGTCGAGACTTTTACTGCGAAAAGGTTTGTGTCGATTCAACTTTCCGTTCTCATCATGTGCCTACAAAATCTTTTAGTAACGAAGTTATCTTTTCGCCCAAACAGCCGAACAAAAGGGATTCAACGAACCCAGAACATGAATTCGGGAAGCTCGACGCCCTCATTCACGACCCTGTGCTGAAAGCCCATACTGTCAAAAAGCTCCATTGTTCCGGATTTTAGCCCATCAGCATAGCCACAGAAAACCTTAGTGGCGCGTTTGTCGACAACACGTGCATTGACACCACATCGGGCCATCCAGTATGCAGCGGCAAGGCCAGCCGGACCAGCGCCGATGATAAGTCTAACAATCAACCATCAATGACCAATATATAGAAAATTCAGTGCTATTATCGCAGTCAAACTTACACATCGGTGTAGGATTCGGACGCAGGAGCCATGATAGAAGGGAATTCGGACGAAATCGGTACTACTGAAAGTCTGGTTGCAGTGTCAGATCTTTAGCAGCACAACACGAGCTTTTATAACTTCGAATTTTCCTTTCTCGGCCAGGATGCCAGCAGCAAATCTGCAACAAAGACCCTTCATTCGGCGGGAATGATCTCCTGTTTCCGCTTACAAAGCGATGGGTGGGTGACTGAAGTACGAACTAATGCAGAGACGTGCATGAGGCCCACTGATTTACTGATTAGGATGAGCACAGCATGACACGTAATTCTGCAGTAAATCCTACAACGATATAGAACATCATGATATTTCTTGGTAAAATGGAAAGAAAGTTAACCGTAGGGGGTATGCACACGGCTCTCTGTAGAAAAAGACAAGGTACAACCCTGATTATAGTCCAGGTAGTGCTTCGTAGATAAATGGACTTCTCGGCCTCAAGGCCTCCACAAATAGCGGATGGCCCCTTCACCAAGAAAGTATAGTTGCATTGCTTTAAGGCAATCCTCTGGCATGTTGAGTTTATTAGAGTCCCGTTATATATGTATTGGTTCTACTTTTTGCGCATGTATATGGTCACGTGCACATAACAGTCGTAATACTATTAAATCTATTTTATTTTATTATGAAATATCCCTTTATCACAGTTCAGTTGAAGTATGCAAAGGCTGTTTCTCATTTTGAGAACTGAAATGAAATAATTAGTGTGGGTAGGTAGGTAACGAGGGAGCCCTAAAATGGCCTATCTCTGGCGAATTTGCAGCTAAAGGACTACGCCCTACAGTAGAGCGCGCAGTATTCAGAAGAAAAGTGTGTGGAGGCTGTGCAAGTACGACTGAGATGGAGTACAGGATACTTGGTAAATTAAACCAACAATAGATTTCCAAGGAATTGGGGTGGCATTCCAGGGCAGGAATACATTCCCTCAGCACTCAAGTCAGGTCTACATAGAACATCTTCACTACCGAAGAAGTGGTTAATCGGGAAGGGGGAGGACTGGACGACTTTGTTTATTATTAACTGAAGATGGAATTATTTGCGTGCACGGAGGCCAAAATCGCGTGCCCTTGCATCGAAGCTCGACGACCCCTTGCTTGTGTCTGCACAGGTCGCGAGGCTGCGAGGTTGCGGAATGGCATACAATCCTATAGCCTTCAGCAATAGTTAATGATCTACAGGCACCCCAGGGGAAATACCTCCGCCTCATTTAGTAAAATGCATTCCAGGATCCAGGATATGCCCACACAAAATTTTACTGCACACTTATCTAGGATAACCGGATAACCCGTTGGCTCCTACATTCCTTAGGAAGATAGAAAAATGGAGATTGTTTAGAAGAACCCTAGGCGCGTCGCGTTGGAATACATAAAGGAATCCCCAACCTTCTCTGAAAGATCTCTCTTTCTTCCTAGTACAATCGTCGACAAGAAACCTTTAGGCACTTTCAGTGACAGACGAAACACTACACTTCGGCCCAAGCACATCTCCTCTACAAACAAGTACAAAATGCACTTCTCTACGGTATGTACTAGACGTCCCATTCAATGGTTCCGCTTCTAACGAACATAACCAGCTTTTCGTTGCTGCTCTCGCGCCGGCCGTCTACGGCTACGGCGTAGCTCATGTCCGAATCAACGCCCACGACGATTGCCCCTCGGGAAAGCTGCCTGGACGTTACTCCGAGGGAAAGACGATCAAAGGATCCTTTCCTCGGACGATCGCCGCCACCCAGGACACCTGTGTCAAGGTGAAGGTGGATCACCACGATGACATCGACTCCTACTCCTTCACCGCAGACGCCATTACCAAAGACACTTTCCGAAAATGCCACGGTCTCGGTATCTTTGCCAACAAGGAATGCGTTGGTATTCCTGACTACATTGTTCCCTTCCACCCGGATGAGAACCACGCCCAGAGTCCTTGTCTTCCCGAGTATGCTTTTGACAAGTTCCTGACGCTCAACCTTATTTGTGAGGATGGACACACTGTCAAACACCCTGTTCAAGAGGCCGAGGAAAAGGGAGAGGAAGAGAAAGGAGATGCGAAGGAGGACGAAGAAGCCTCGCAACCCCATCGTGAGGCTGCGAAGCCCCCATCTAAAGAGCACCACGCGAATACTTTCTTAGGTGGTCTTGGTCTGTGAGATCAATGTCTTGTGGAAAAGTACTGAGTACAATTTTTGTCCGCCAGTGGATAACTTTGTGACGATGTATCATCATAAAACTTTCTTTCGTGATTGCCTCTTTATTAATACCTAATTTACTTTCCTTTATATTCTAAATACGCTGCTATATGAAGTGACACTATAATTGAAGTCCAAACCACGACTATCATTGGGCCCTGCTTAAGCAATCGCTATACTATAACTAATACCACCCTAAGTTTGTTAGACACAAACGTACCACCTGAGATATCCGCCTTTTGTAAAGTAGAAAAGCAAGTGGTTATACCAGACACATACCCTATCTCCACCAAAAAAAATCATATCCTGTCATACCATCGCTTCCAATCATTCAAGCACAAGATACAAACTCAAGATAAGAGCATACGTGTCGCATCCACCCTGCCGACCCAACCCGACAGCGGCACCGCCAGTATGGAATGGAACCACTGGAATGTTTGTAATTTTCTATGTGAGCCGAGCACCTCTCGCAAGAATGTTGAGCGACAGATGCTTTTCCTGTAGGCAAGGATATACATATTTCCATGGAGAGATAGTCCAATTCTTCCTGTTGCAGCCATACGACACGGCCCTGTCTGGCGGAAGAAGATGTCGATCTCCCTGCCTTCTGAGAGCATTTCAGCGAACGAGCTTGTGCCAAAGAATACAGTATATAACGAGTGCAGGAATCAGACAGTCCACTGGAATTAGAACGTTTGATTCATTTGTTGTTATTAATTTCACTTGATACCCAACTATCGTTAGTTGTATATATCACTTTTACTCCTGTACCAAGAAGCAAGCATCCCACCTACCATGCATTTCACAAACGTCAGTAGCTTCAAAAAGCCCCCCACAGTACACTATGCCTTGATAAAATGATTGACAAGAATACCTACAGCTTCTCCCTCTCTTAACCCTCCTTGCCACCCCACCAACAACAACAGCCCTCAGCGCCGCCCGCGTCTGGGCAAACTTCTCCCCCCAATGCCCAGCCGACGACCACACCTCCTACCCCGATGACCCCAATCTCAAACTCCACGAGGAATTCACAACTGCCGTCGACGTCGTAGCCAACAAATGCCAGGAAGTCCCCGTTCCGCTCCGCTACACCCTCGAAGTAGACCACATCTCTATCGACGCAGAGCTCTTTTGGCAAGACAGTCTCGACCAATGCAACATTACCGTACACGAGCTACCCGGGTGCAGCGAGCCACCTCTTATACGGAAAGCGCTTGGGCAAGGCAAGACGATCAGCGAGTGCGAGGAGCGCAACTTTACGACTTTTACGCAGGTTTGGGTGAAGCTAGAGTGCGAGAAGATTAGGCCTGTGTATCATGAGATGGCATCGTGGCTTCATGGGAAGGTTGGGAGTTATACGGCTGGGAACTATACGGGGGCCGTAGGTGCTAATAATACGGGGAATAATAATGGGACTGGGAACGGGGTGCATAATGGATCGGCTTTGTCGAGGGTTTGGAGGCCCAGGCTTCTGAGGTTGTGAGGCTTGTTTACATGAGATGTTTTTTTTTTTGGTTGATTTGGAAAGTCTATGAGAAGTGTGACTATAATGCGATATCGGGTTTTCTTGTAGCGTATAATTTGACGGCTCACGTAGTTTATGGCACCCCTTGAAAGATAGTTACGTTGCATACGGGATTAACCCTGAGGCATCTAGTCCCCTATTCTATATTACAGGGTCCTCCTAGATAACCTTCGCAGTGGGCCTTATATCTACCGCTAAGGTAGGTACCCGCGCTGAATACAACGATCAGTGGGCAGTTTTGCAACCTAGACTTCGCGAATAGTGCATGTTATTGTGATCGAATCAATCGATGCCCACAGGTATGTAGTACCACTATGTGTTCATTATATTCAAGGGTAAAAACTATAGGGATGGGTGGTTTAACAACCTACCTAATGATTGGCAATTCGAGGTCCGGACCATAATTTACATGCCCGAAAACTAAAATCCATGGGTCAGCAAACGGCTTCGTCAAATCATTGTGTCAACATTTGTATTTGAGTAGACGGCACCTGTACCATATCGGATAGATATCCGCCCGATGATCTGCAGTCGGGATCCCCCTTTATAACGGAGGAGCCTTCGCTCCGACCTCCACTTTAGCAAGCTTGAGGTAGCATAATACCTATCAAGATTTATATAAAGACGTTCACGGTTTGTAAATGTATATTTTACGCATTATAGGCGCTATTAGTTCTAAAAGTCACGTTTAGCTTTATTTTCAATTCGAAACTGCTTTCACCTACGGTACTATAATCACGCTGTCTCATCCGTGACGTCTCACATATATATATATATACATATATATAAATATCGCCACCATGGTTTCTTCACAAACGTACGAGAACCAAAAGGATTGGAAGGATGTACAGAAATTTCTTCCACAGCGTCTAGCACTCACTAAGGACCACTTGCCTACTGAAGACTGGTGGGAAAACCGTGGTCACAAAATCTATCTAGACTGGTGGAGAAATCTGGCAGCTAAGGTTCGGATCATTCTTCATCATGGAGTTAGCACCAACGTTAGCGCTAGATGTCGATGATCCTCGGAGTGCCTCTATATATAGTAGGCATCGAGCTTGTGGCTGTCGATATGCCAGGATATGGGTGTATTTAAGTAGCGCGAGGCAAGCCGGTGTCTTATGATGACTGGGTCCAAATCGCGAACGATGTTATCAGTTTCGAGCTTGAAAATGACGATCGGTCCATAGTGCTCTATGGCCTTAGCGCTGGAGGTATGCTAGCATACCACGCGGCTGCACTGAACAAGAAAGTCAAAGGCATTGTAGGCATGACATTCCTGGACCAACGCATCCAGCAGGTCCGCGACGAAACAGCTAGGAACATTGCATGAGCAGAGTTGGAGTACCTCTGGCCAAGCTGAGTGATATTCCGCTGTTGAGGTCCTTGTCCCTTCCAATGTGGCTCGCGAGCAGGATGTTGATTTTGGTCAGCAATTCAGACGCTTTGAAGGATTTCCTGGCAGACCGGTCTTCTGTCGGCTTTTGGGCTTCGATGCACTTCTTGTCCACGTACTCGTCATACAGACCCACCTTCGAGCCGGAGGACTTTAATGTCTGTCCTGTCCTTCTTACGCAGTCTGATCAAGATAAATGGACGCCCCTGCACCTTAGTGAACTGATCCTGTCCCGTATCAAACATGTGTCAGTCAAGACCGTGGAACTTGAAAATGCAGGCCATTATCCTCCGGAGGACCCAGGACTTCAGCAGATGGCTGATGCAGTCATTGAATTCGTTCACCAAATTGCACCATGATTATTATTGAAGATGCTTGTGTATTTGTATTAATCTTGTTCTTATTCTTTCAGTTTCATTGATGCTTCTCTTGTCCAAATGGCGGCTGGTGATAATATTGTCTTTCTACCCTACGTTTCCATTGCCAGTGTGACACTAGATAATTATAAAACGTCCATGTATAACTTAAGTTATTTTCGAGCTTCTTCCAATGATAGACGTATTTAACTGGATGAATCCGTAGTATACTTAAAAGCCTGTCTTGCAACGCCCTGATTGGTTCCGGGCACACCGAGTCTAACCCAATATGTGAAGACGGCCCTAATACCTAGGTACGGTACCTTTCACTGGTCGAATACTTATATCTAGTCGCCGTGGCCTTTCATCCAGGCTATGCAAGTGAAGCCCTCAACTGCAATATGAAACTCTTCCCATTCCTTGATATATGCTCAATGCATCAGCATGGGCAGAGAAATTAGGCAACTCATCCTTCAACTTAGCATTGAATGTTCATAGTACCTCCCTCCATCAGCTCTACCCATACTCTGTTCTCGAAGGATCAGGAGGCTGTTTGGCACAGATCCGCTTGCTCCCGATGCGTAGCATTGTCGATAACTGCATTGGACCCGGCTTCTTAAGCAAGAACTACAAGGCTCTTGGTCGTGCAGGGCATGGAACGCAGGAATTTATGTGCCCTTCACTTGAACTCAATCCCGGAGCTATTGCTGAATGAGGCACCTCTTCGAGGATTGCTCTCTTGCAAGAAGAAAGGTTGTTACTAAGAGCAAACCGAACAACAGGGGACCAGTCGCGCCACGTGACTTTGCTAACATAAATCAATCTCTTAAATTGATTCATGTACTACTAAAATCTCTGGTCCTTCAAGAGTTTACGAGATATGATCATCAGTTATTATAATTAAGTAAATCAAAGAATTCCCTGATTTTTAACCAGAGTGAATAGTTAACTAGTTAATATTTGCTGAATTAGCCCTCCAGTATCCATACTAGAAAAGTAAAGCTCCCATCAATGGGTCAAGAAAATCCGGTACATATATGAACAGATAGACATATTTTGCTAAAATCCGAAACTATCGAGTAGTGCATCAGGATCGGGTTCGTGAAATATGGTTGGGGGTGGTTGGGGTTTCTTTAATGTCTCCGAAGACTGTGCTAGGCCCGGCTTGATCGGCAAGTCGGCTACCACGAGACTGCTTCGTCGTCGAAGCATTTTACGATAGTCAACACCATTGTGTTCCAGGTCAAATGAAACTTTCTCCATTGTACTGGTGGGTGGAGGTTCGGCCAAGAACTCCCAATGGCACACCAGATTCAAAGCTAGAAGGTCACAACCCATTCGATCGTAGAGGCGCGCATTGCGGATAACGAACTCCCACTCCACTGGTCCAGAGACTTTAGATGCACCCTTCAAGGTCTGCAACGTCTTTTCACGTAGTTGCTTGTATAAGACTACTAATGCGGGATCGTTCGATAGATATGACTTGGCGTGTAGTGGAATCGTTCCAGGGCTTCCCGGAGACAAAGGTGTCGAAGGAATGAGGGTCTCGACTGGGGACTGAAAAGTTGCGAAAGCATCAGTATCAAGAGAAAGGATTGAGTAAAATAGCCTGGTTGGTCGGTCAACTTACGATGAGCGAGCGCACAGCCATATCGCGACGGCCCAACATCCAGAAAGCCCAGGAAGCCATCCATCGGTTCCCGTCAGAGGCAGCTTCAGGCAAGACCCTCTCTTCCAGGATTTCCTTCAACACCGGCCCGTCATCCCCTTCGTAGGCGCGTACAATCGCAATCGCAAGCTGGAGATCCCCGACTTGATTGATACATACCATAGCGGCATCGTGCAAATGGTCCGCAAGAAGGAAAAATGCCGCAGCGTACTCTAAAAGAGTCGTTAGCGGGGAGAATGAAAGCAAAACCTATATTGGACAAAAGCTCACCAAATCTGCGCTTCCCAAGTAAGGCATATGCATTTTTTAGAGCGGTTGTCTTCCAGCGAGGTTCTTGGAAATTATTTGCCAGTAGACGTTGAGTCGCAGCCTGCTCACGATTCCAATGAGCCATACGCCAGAGGCCTTGAAGGATGTTCTTCTTTCTGAGCGCAATATAGTATAATGAACAGTCGATTGGGTTCTTCTCCTCCGATTTGGTATACTCATTTCGAGCAACCACTTCTAGCTGAGCTCGCTAGTAACTATCAGCATAAAGAGGCGCGGAGGGACAGGGCATGGGTTATATATTACTTACAATAGCAGATGTGCTTGACAACCACATGAACAAGCCGCTCTCTCTGGCTGCCTTCCATACCATCTTACCGCCGAACTGTCTCGATATAAGGTCAAGAAGGATATCCTGACTGCCGCTATGGAAAGCCCAGACAATCTCTCTCCAGGAGACCGTATCCTTGTTTGCAACACCTTGTGTTCTTCGCAGCATGTGTTGACGGAAGAAGAGCAGATAACGCGCAGCATTGTCGTCCATTGAGCGCCTGTGCTTTTCGACAGTGGCAACACACTCAATGGTATCAGCTAGGCGGAATTGCTCCTGACTGGAAAGTTGTGGCAAAGCAACCTTAGCCAAGTTCTCATTGAGCGCGACGGCAGTGCTCTCATCCATGACTGACGGTTCATCCTCTAGCGAAAGATCTGCATATGCGGAGTGTAACTCCTTGGATTCTTTCTGGGAGGTCTACTCAAGGTTAGAGAAATGACTACAAAGAGCAAGCATATCTCGATAGACTCACATCGTGGTCCAGATAGAAGTCTTCTAGAGCCATGTCCAAGAAACCGTCAAAATCGTCACCTTCCGTATAGAATTTGAGTTTCCGGTGCAAGTTTATCAATATAGAATGTACCAAGTTACTCTTTCCACTCAGGATACACTGTGCCAGAAATTGGGGGTGGAAGACAGGCAACGGGCCATTCAACCGACTGACAACCTCAAAGAGGTCAACAAAGCCTAGACCACGCGACGGAATACGAAGGTGCGAAACTAAACGATCGTGGGCGTCGATCTCATTATCATACACGAAGATTTGGTTCCCCGCTCCAATCACGAGGTGGCCGTTGTTGAGCCAGCAGGAATCTCCAATCGGGTGAGGTGTTAAGTCACGAATCCAGATTTCTCTAACTTGCGTCCAGGAAGGTCGAGCATCAAGGTAGTCATAGCGAAGCTGTGACAACAAAATGACTTTGTGAGGAAATCCAACCGCAAGAATGGACTGCATATCTGGGGTAGACGTCCAATCCAGATCACGAATTATGTCTTTCTGGCCAAAATGCTCCTCATACTCCAGTTGGGCGCCATTTGTGTCCCAGATTGTTAAGTGGCTGCGGTTCTCGTCGACAAGAGCAGCCTTTCTGATGGAGCTTCCACTAGCAAGAGACGGATTAGTGATGCCCGTCTCAACTGTGGACGTCAGTAGCCATTCAACTCGGCATTTTTCCCTATCGACCTTAGCGGCCCAGGTGTGGATAATACCGGTCCGGGTATAGGATAACGCTATGTCGGGGGAAAATATATCGAAAAACCCGGACATCTTAGCTTTAGGTCCAGCCGGGTCAACAGGCAAGATATAAGACATATCCTCCTCAAGGCCTAGGTGAAAAGTGCAAAATTTCCGTAGATAGCATTGAGGATCATGCGTCCCATTCACTTTGTGCGTCGCAGTTGGTTGTCGGATTTCCCAAGCTATTCCGTTCCGATCAGCTCCAATAGTTGCTATATATACCATTCCCTTTTCAGTTGTAGGGATCGGTAGAACACAGAGTGGTTTGCTTGATAATTCAAAGGTCGACGCAGCAATTTTCCTAGCATGGAATGAGCGGAGATCCCAGACGGAAATTCCACTATGGTGGAGATTGACAAGGAAATTTCCATTCTCGACCACACAGGTGCGATGGATATGTTCATCTGAGTATAAGGAGCTTTTGCGGACGAGCATCGATCCGTCATCTCTCCGCTTCTGCTTCCAAATCATTGCTTTGTTGTCGTCTGTACGTGAAACAAGAGTATCGCCAACCGCATTACGGACGATCTTCTTGACTGGGCCATTGTGGCCAGTCCAGGATGCTTTCAGCGTAATCCGGCCCTTGCGAGACGCCGGATCGAATAATGTATCGACCTGCGAGTCATACCATTCTATACGACCGTCGAAATGATGCACAAGAATAGAAAGTGAGTCCCCTAAGTGGGTACTCTGGAATGCACACAACTGAGCGTAGTCTTCATCTGGAGACAGCCCCGGCATGAATGAAAAATTGAAGCCTTCTGCATGGAGGATGTTGAAGACGTTCAATTCAGACTTGATCTTGGAGCCGACATCCTCGAGTGCCCAGGCAGACATATGACCCTGCCCATCTATCACAACGCAGATTTCAGGGCTTTTGTTGGCGATTTCGATGATGTGCTCTAAAGCGTGGTTTCCCTTGCTCCCTGCACACCTTTGCACTGCCCGTTCGGTGGCCATACAAAAGTCTCTACTATCAATGACGAATCCATATCGTCGAGATACATTGCTCTGGTCTGCTGTATGCCTTGGTTGAACAGATGCGCCCATATCAATTTGTGTCCATAGTTGTAAAATCGTCGGAGCGTGATGATCCATCATTGTCCATATCCTGATCTTATTGTCCGCGCATATTGTGTAGAGAACGATATCGATCGATTGCTCCTTATGAAATGGCCTGCGCCAATGGATACCCGTGACGATTGCAGGATGCGAAAGGTATGACACCTCGAAGCGAACATCGTCCGCGCCGAACGACAAACGTCGCCATACTTTGACTAGGCGGTCGTAATGTCCCGTAGTAATCACCAACGTTGAGTCGGGGGAGAACCGAGCAAATTTAACAGGGTTCGCGAGCTTTTGCTTCCACACAGGACGCGGCACATCATTCAGGAACCAGAGGGTGAGGTGTGAATTTCCCAGGAGCAGCTCATCGGAGGAACCCCACGACAGTGTCCGGATCGTCTCGTCGTCATCCTCCTGATGAAATGTATGCACAAGAGACCACTATACCAACAAGCATCAGCATTTACTACTGCGCTTCCAAATCGACCGCTTCCTCGCTGCGAATATTCATTCCCTTCAAGGCAACGGACCTTTAACGTTTCACGCTTGATTCCGTACGGCTGGTAAATAAAAACATCCGATCCACCACACACAGCAATCTTTCCAGAAGCTTCGTCAATTGTTACTGCTTCGAGGGAGTCGGCATCATCCACGTAGATGGTTTGTAGGAGGGTGTGGGGACCGCCGAGGATGACCAGCGCATGGCCAGAGATGTATACCTACAGCGAACACAGACGAACAAGCATTAGCAGAGTTTAGTCATAATGCGAATTTTTATTCATGGGATGATTTGCGGTTTTCCTTACGACAACGCGGAGACCATCCCACAGTGCGGTGCTGAAAGACTGGAGCTTCGCTCGGGGTCTCCCTGGCAGTACCGCTCGCATAGAGGCGGGTTGTTGTTTGAGTGGTCGCTTGTTGCGCTCAAGATAGGGTTACACCATTGCCGGGTCCAGACAGTGGAAAGATGTTAAAAATAGAGGTCTCAAAAACATAAAGAAGCGTAGGGGAGAGTACACGCTCTTCGCGATCAGAAACATGGGGGGTGAAGGGAGCTGAAGCTCGGGGAAGTTAATTAATAAATCCGCCCACCGCTCCACTTGCCGCCGTGTGACTGAGCCATGTGGACAGTGACGTCCGTGATCTTATGTATATACTCCCATATACTCCGTACAGTGATTGTAACTAGGTAGGTAGACAGCTTGGAGAGGAAACCTATGTATATCTTTTGCTTTACAGCGATTCAATGCCCGCCATCAATTATATACTTGAAGGGAAAACACACTAAGACCAGAGCCGAATTTAGAACAAACAACTGCCCAAACCAGCTCCCAAAGCCTTATAAACTACGTGCCATCGCATGTTGCAAAGTGGGGTATCAAAGAAAAGGAAGCTCCAACCCAATATCAAAGAGCGCAAATACAGAAGAAGAACTGTACAATCAAAACAGTTTTTCAGGACCCCACCCCCCAACTTTCAAAACTCTAGACCCGTCGATTAGCGGACCTTCTAGCATCCGTGGGTGATTCGGGCTCCTCATCCACGAACCGAACACTCGTACCCAGAGAACTACCTCGACCATTACGGTTCCGTTGGTTGAAACCAGATCTTGGTGCCGTAGTTCCCGCACGTAGAAGTCGGCTGGCGAACGGTGTGTACAACGGTGTTGCTGGAGTGGTGGAGACCTGCGCCAGCGCCCTCGCTCGTACGGCCCGCTTGGATGGCGACGTCAGGTAGTTAGGGGTAGTCAGTGGTGTTGTAGAGGCATTCTGGGCGTCTGAAACATATTCATTGAGTTTAAAAGGCGTCTCGGCTTGATACCAAGGGTCAAATATAGGTCGATTGGTCCGAAGGTTTCCAGTTGGGCCGTCAAAATTCCGTGCAGGGGTAACGAGCGGCCTTGGGGAGTCCCGAGCCTCAAGGGTCATTCTCAACTTCTCTAGCCAATGGCGGAACATGTTCCTTGAATGCCGTTTCAGATTCCTCTCTCTCATGGCGTCTGCAGTCTCATTGGTGCTTTTTATTTGGAATATACGAAGGCTAAGCCTGCGGAGGCAAAGATTCGCCTGGCTCAAGACGTGTAAACGATATGCACTCTCTGCTTGTTGTTGTAAACGGTGGCACCTCACTAAAACCTCCGCTAAGCGTATCAGTTGGTCAGAAGCGACTCGTCGAGAATGATAAATCTCGGCTTCGTGGTATTCCTGAGTTTGTTTTGCAGTTTGCTCGTGCCATCGGTTTAGGAGCTCAGATGCTATACTTAACAACTTGCTTCGGTTGACTTGTAAGGCCTGCTGATCCATGTCGAAGAAATCCTGAGCCCTTGCACGCCAATTTTTCAAGGCGCTTGAAGCAAGGTTCATCTTGATCTTTCTTCGTGTCTTCGCGTAAGCTGTCTGGCGACGTCGTTTAGCTGACTCCAACATCGCCGTATGCCACTTTTTCAGCGTCTTTGTAGCCGAAAAGTAGAACTGTGCATTGCGAGCCCACCCTTCGAGTTTGAGTACATGTTGCGATTTGGATCGCCAGGCTATTAATGACTCTTGTAGCAGTCGTGGAGCATAGAATTCAAGAGCAACGAACTCTCGGTGACGTTGAAGTGCGAACTGGTCGCGCCAGCAAGTAAACTTTGACTTAAGCAATTCTTCATTCCGGCGGTCTTCGTGTGTTTCAGCATGGTCAAGTAAGCGAGTGTATGTTCGGCGGACATTGGTTACAAATGTCGAAAACACCTCCCGAGTAATTCGTTGGTCCCGAACCCGCTGCATAAGAGAAAACCTTTCCGCCAATATCCATTTATACATAGCTTCGATTTTCAGACGTTCTTCGATCCGCGCGCTGAGAGCTTGACAGCGAAGGAGGTCATTCCATGTTGTCCATGAGTTACGTAGGATTCTCAGTCGATTCATTTCTCTCGCCTGCTGGAGCATCCGGACTCGGTTCACCCACTGTGCGTATGCAGCTTGGAGAATGTGTCTGTCAACCATCTCAGAAACTTGAGAAGCGGCAGGAGCAAGGTGGGACTGGATCTTCCATTCTCCGAAGGTTTTGTTCAAAAGTTGTTGACGTTGCTTGATTTCAGCCTGCTGTTGGCAGGTAATGATGGTTTTCGACCTTTGAGACCACATATGCCACGCCGAGCTAAGAGCGAGATGTTTCGTTTTGATGTCTATCTCAAGTCTGCGCTCTCCGTTTGTTCGAAACTTTCGCAGCCAATACAACAGCGACCGTCTCTTGAGACAATAATCATACCATTGAGGAGCACGGCGTTCACAGAAAGACCAAAACCATTTCCAATACATGCCATGCACCAATTTCTTATCGTGAGCAGCAATTACCCCTTTCTCGGATTCTTTAATGTGATATACCTTTCTCTTCCAGATATTGAATGGTCGCCGCAATGAAAATCTCTGGGCCTTCAACTCGTTCACCGCGGTTATTTCACGCCATGCATTGAAGTATTTCACACTTAGTACATGCCTTCGCGCAGCAGAAGTCCTCGCTACTTCTTCCGAAGAAACCTGTGCCCAGTGAGTGAAAGCTCTAGTCACAAGGTAAAGATCACGGGCCCGCGCAGCGCGCTCTTCCAGATGCTTAAAAAAGCGCTCAGTTTGTGCCTCTCGCCGTTTTGATTGAATAATAGAATGCCACGTCTCAAACGCTTGCCGAAGAAGAGTGCTCCTGTCACGATTGACAGAAACAATTTCCATATGCTGATGGCTTTGTCGAGTTTGGATGGCTTTCTTCAACCATTGTGTAAGTATCCGTCGGTTAATAGCACGTTGGCGATACATATTAAACGTTGATGCATCACGTAGCAAATCCGAGAGCGATGGTCTATATAACAACTCCAGTGGAACATCAGGCTTCTCCACCAAGTTGTCTCCACCTTCACCAGCCGATACAGACGAACCCTCCGTATCTCCCTCGGAGCCTTCCGAGCTCAGTGAGTGGCGTGTGTGCGATTGGGAGGCTTTGGCCATTCTCCTTGAGCGATCTCGGTCGACTGCAGACCTTGCATGTACTCCGTTAAAAACGTGAACTTCGTTATTTTGTTCATTTCGATCTAAAAGGTCCATTTTATTCATTAAACGACGTCCAACATCTAGGAACTGTGCAATCAGCTGAGTTCTGTCCGTCGAATCGGCCAGCTTGGTGGGTGCGTGTTTGGGTGATGGCCTGGCATTCGGGAATTCAGGTTTGTCGATTGGCAGACGAGATAGCGATGAACGCGAACTTGGGCGATTGGCAAAACTCCTTTGCGTAGGATCATCACCAACATCATACATTGAGTTAAATGAAGCTCGCCTCCTTGGAGTGGGCTGTATAATGTTTTCTCTATGGGTGTCGCGATCGACCTTGGCCTTGAGGCGACCGTCCGTTGAAGGCACACTGCCTGCAGAAGTAGCATTTCCTTCACTATCGTCTTCGCCAAATTCAATGACTATTCCCATCCGCTCGAGCAAGTTCTCGAATTTCTCAAAGAGGGAATCGCCTATGACATTCTTGCTGCCCATCTTAAGTAAGAAGCGCAAGCAGGCATAACCTGGATCTGGATCCACGCCATGTTCTGCAATGACTTCATCGTACGCCTTGAATAGCACTCTATATGGAAGGCGCTCAACCTTTGGGTCTCGCTCAGCGCGGGTGATGACTTGGTAGAGAAGGCCGACATCTAACATACGGGAGCCGGTTATTATGCGAGTTTCAGATGTAAAAACCACGGAATAACGAATTACACACCTTCGTCTGAGAGCGACGGGTCTTCATAGGACAAATGTCTACGCTGAGAGGGTACGGGAGGCATCGAAGTGTCCGCGACCTAGGGCGCGTTTTTCGCAACAAGGTCATGGAGGCGGAAAACGATATCAACCATTGCGAGGCACAGGGTTGAGCATGAAACGAGAACCCACGGGCCTCAAGCCTGTTTGCCAAAACCAAAAAGGAGGTAAAGAGGAATTAAAACCAAATCGTTTGCTGAAGCAATTGGACGGCCAATACTAGGCTTTGTCCCCAACCTCCACAATTGTTTTCTTCTTGTCGCGCGGAACCCAAGATGGAATGTAGAGGTCATGTGACTATAAGTAGGCGTTATGTAATGCCGCGGATTTCCTCTGTATTGCATCACTTCCAGATCAGATATATTAAGCAAAAATCAGAGAGAAAATGCCTTCCACAAGGACAAGACCTATTGAGAAGTTTGCCAAAGCCACTTCGAAGTGTTCTGTCGAGGTATGCTCCTGTCCCAAAAGTTTTGCCGTGATATAAGCTAACCGTTTCTCAGGCGGCGGCGTATGGCAAGTGCATTGTTGCGGATTACAATTCGGTCCACAAAGATATGTGTGCTAAAGAATTCATGAAGCTCAAAGACTGTTTTCTGGTAAGGCACCGGGATGGTTCCTTGAGTGTTGAAATGCTAATCTAGAGTTGCTGATAGGCAGCGTCGAAGAAGGTGTAAAGGAGACGGTGAGACCCAAAGTGGCGAGGCTTTTACCTCTCAGATGCCGGTATTGATTGCGACTTACCCTTCCCGATTATTTCTTATTATTACTATTATTTATTTTTCTCTTGTACATTTATGGATGAAGTACACCATTCCAACTTCAAAAAAAATCATTCCATGTATAAAATATAATTGTATAGAATAAATGCTACACCTCAACAAACTGGTGGACTAATGGAAAGGGAAAGATCATTGAAAAACATAATCTAAGTACTTGACACCGCACGTCTAAGTTACTCAGATATCTAAAGCTTGAGCAACCTCAGCATGAAGGTCGCCTTTTGGACTTCCTGCTCCTCCTCCATAATCATGCGTCCCTCGTCAGCACTGGGCACCTTGCCATCAACAAGCTCAAACCGTTCAAGTGGTCTGCGCACAACCTTCTCAATAGCCTGGGACTGCGTCTCAAAAGCCTCGCCGAGACCAACACTGTCAGGATCCGACAGAACTGCGTATTCCATCTTCACATCGTCAGTGGGGACTAAGCCAGCCTTCTTACGAAGACGCTGCAGGCGGTTGATGATTTCTCGACCCAGTCCTTGATGCGCAAGCTCCGGGTACAGGTTCGCATCCAGGATGGTCAACACATCGTCATCAGCATTTGGCTCCATGCCCTCGGATGACGGGTCCTCCTTGACACCCCGCCGTACGATAAGGTCAGCTTCAACAAGCTCAATGCCGTCAACAAGTATCTTCTTGTCGGTCACAAACTTCTTCACATCAGCGCTGGTGAGCGACGGCAGAGACTTCTTGACCTTTTGAGCGTCCTTCTTCAACTTCTTGCCCAGAGTTGGCCAATCAGCAGACACGCTATACTGGACATTGTACTTCTCTTCGTCGGATGACAGGATGAGCTCGATAATGTTCAGTTCCTCAAGGATATAGCCTTGCAAGGACTTCACATCCTCCAAAAATTGGGGATCCTGATGGATGACGACAAGCGTCTTCAAAGGAGTCTTCAATCCGACGTTGCGGCGCTCACGGGACACACGGCCCATTTCGATGACCTTCTGCATCCGGGCTACCCGCCTCTCAACAACTTCATCGAACAGCTCCTCACGCACCTCAGGGAAAGGAAGGAAGTGCACGCTGCGGCTATCCTCGCTACGAAGCTCCTCTGGGATATGAGGAAGGAGCTTTTGGTATATAGTGTCGGTAAGGAAAGGTGTGAAGGGAGCAAGTCCTCTGACCAATGTGAAGAGGACCTCAAAAAGAGTGTTGAGGGCATGCAAAGTATCATCGACACCGTTCTCGCCCTTCAGACGTCTTCGGTTGAATCGGATGTACCAGTTCGTGGTGTTATCAATCAGTCCAAGTAGTCGGGGAACCACTGTGTATAAGCGGTATCCTGCCATCTCCTCATTCACAAACTTGAGAAGACTCTGGCAGCTTGCCAGGATCCAACGGTCCATGACGTTGGTGTTGGTAGCCTCTGCCTTAGGATCAAAGACGTAGTCGACACCCTGAGACTTCTTGAGAAGAGCCACCTGACCCTCGAAGAATTTGTAACTGTTCCAAAGTGGAAGAAGTACCTTGGCGACAATCTCCTTAACACCCGACTCCTTGAACCGGAGTGGTTCCGCCCGTACGACAGGAGAGTTAATCAGATAGAGACGCAGAGCGTCAGAGCCGTATTTGTTCATAATAAGAGAAGGGTCTGGGTAATTCTTCAATCTCTTAGACATCTTTTTTCCATCTTCAGCAAGGACGATACCGTTCACAACACAGTTCTTGAATGGCAATTTTCCGAAGAGATGGGTGCCCAAAACAGTCAGAGTGTAGAACCAACCACGAGTCTGATCCAACCCTTCCGCAATGAAGTCACCAGGGAAGCTCTTCTCGAACTGATCCTTGTTCTCGAATGGATAATGCTGGGATGCGTAAGGCATGCTGCCTGATTCGAACCAACAGTCAAACACTTCGCTCACACGGCGAAGGACACCCTTCCCTTGCTTGCTGGGGATGGTGATTTTGTCCACTTTATCGCGATGGAGATCAGTAAGCTCGCCCTGATAACCGCTGAGCTCCTTGAGTTCTTCGGCACTTCCCACGGCAACAATTTCTTTGAAGTCATCACTGACCCACAGAGGCAGAGGAGTACCCCAGAATCGGTTCCTGGATATGTTCCAGTCACGAGCATTCTGGATCCAGCTAGAGAATCTCTTCTCCTTCACAAATGAGGGTACCCAGTGTGAGTCCTCAATGCCCTCCAGCATCTGAGGAATGATAGGGGGGATCTTGACAAACCATGCGGGGACAGCTCGGTATATCAGTGGAGTGTCTGAACGCCAGCAGAATGGGTAACTGTGAGTGATCTGGCTGTCAACAATCAGGCGGCCAGTTCCCTTAAGATGCTTAATGATGCCCTTGTCGGCAGCTTTGACATGTTGTCCGACAAAGTCCCGAACCTCAGCCGTGTAACAGCCAGTCTCATCAACAGGGTTAGGTGGCAAGCGTTTGTCGTTAATGACGCCTGCTTCCACAGCGACTCTGTAATCGTCCTCACCGAAGGCCGGCGACTGGTGGACAACACCAGTACCATCCTCAGCCGTAACATATTCAGCATTCAACACACGGAAGCCGTGGTCTTTGAACTCTTCATAGAAGTAATCAAACAAAGGCACGTATTTCCAGTCCTTCATGGTAGAACCCTTAAACCGATCGACAATCTTGAACTTGGCCTTCTTGGGATCTTTATAGAGCGTCCGTAGCAAGGACTCGAGGAGAATATAATGTTTGCCCGAGGCTTCATCGAGAATCTTAATGTATTCGAAGGTGGGGTTGACTGCAAGACCAGTATTCGACGGCAGGGTCCAAGGAGTGGTCGTCCACGCAAGCAGGAACGTCTCAGGATCCTCAACCAAAGGGAATGATACCACAACGGCAGGATCCTGAACATCCTTGTAGTTTTGTTGTGCTTCAAAGTTACTGAGGGGAGTGTTGAGTGCAGTTGAATATGGCATAACACGATATCCTCGGTAGACCAGGTCCTTGTCAAACAGTTGCTTGAAGACCCACCATACGGACTCCATAAAGGATGTGTTCATGGTCTAGATAACATCGATAGCAGAGACATTGTCAGCAATCCTATACTGAGTGCGTAAAACTGGTCCGCAAGATAAACGCTTTTCACGCGCTCTTTACCAGACTTCAATAATTAGGCCTGGGGTTCTACCTTGTAGTCATTGTCAAAATCAATCCAGCGACCAAGCCTCTCAATAGTCTCTCTCCATTCAGATGCATATCTCATAACAATGGCTCGGCACTCCTCGTTGTACTTTTCAATTCCAAGCTTCTCTACAGCCTCTAAGCCCGACATACCCAACTTCTTGTCGATCTCATATTCGATAGGGACACCGTGCGTATCCCAGCCGAATCGTCTCTCGACATAATGGCCCTTCATCGACCAGTATCTTGGGATAATATCTTTAATAGTGGAGGCCAACAAATGGCCATAGTGAGGAAGACCGGTCGCGAACGGAGGGCCATCGTAAAAGGTGTACGGTTTGCGGCCATGAGAGAGTTCGACTTGCCTCCTGAAGGCGTCAATCTCCCTCCACCGCTTGAGGGTAAGCTCCTCCTCCTTAGAAAAGTCAATCGACATGACGGGCGAACGTTCGGTCTTCAGGGTGTGGCAGTTTCGTTACGAATTTCCGTAGGAGGGACGGCCGCGGGGTAACTTAAATAAAAAGATTTATGCAAAAATGAATGAGTCAACCCCGCGGAGCCGAATTTTTGCCAAGCCCCTCAACTGCGCCCTATCACCTAACAAAAAATGAAGGACCCGCCCATACTTGGACTGCGATATGGCTGTTCACACAGCGGTACCCATGTATATGTATATACATCATTGCTTTACAACAATCGTGGATAGCGTTATTGAAATCTCTAATTCAACGGACATATAGAAAAACAAGGTACGGCATATTGAACCATAGGAAACAATGTTTCCATATCATATCTTTTCTTTGACCTACTACTCGTCGTCTTCATCTTCCTCGTCATCATCATCCTCTTCGGCATCGGATACTTCCTGTCCAAGGTCTTTCAAGCGTTTCTAGGGAGTTTATGAGTCAGTTGCACAAATACTACATTGCCAATGAGTGACTCACCTTGTCTTCATTTCTCTTCGCCTCCAAGTCCCCAAACACGATCAAGAGATCCTCCAGCTCAGATTGAGCCGACTTGCGGGCTTCTTCTTTCTCTTTGACCTCCGATTTCATCTTCTCCAGCTCCTTCCTCAGCTCATCAAGCTCTTGCGTGAATTTACGCGCATCTGATTCCTTCTTTCCTGCCTTGTTGGCTTCTTTCGCCTGATACTTGGCTTCTAATTTGAGCTTCCCTAGCTCCTTTCGTAACTCTTCGACTTCGGTTTGCGTTGATTTAAGAGCTGCTGCTTCTTTATCCTTGGCCTCTGACCTGGCCTTCTCTAACTCCTTTCGTAACCTTTCCACTTCGGATTGTGCTGACTTGCGCGCTGTGTCTTCCGTTTCTTTGGATTCTGCCCTTGCCTTCTCCAGTTCTTTTTGCAATTCTTCCACTTTCGACTGTACAGATTTGCGAGCCGCTTCTTCTTTTTCCTTGACTTCGATCTCGGCCTTGTCCAGCTCTTTTCGTACCCCTTGCAGCTCTTGTTCGGATTTACGCAAATTTGAATCATACTCTCCTACTTTGCTTTCTGCATCCTCTGCTCGCTTTTCCAGGACGGAACACTTGGAGGCACATTCATCTTTCACAGCTTGGATATCTTGCGTAGCTTTTTCTTTGGCTGTTTCAAGTTCCCTCTGTAGCCTCTCGTTTGTAGCTTTGAGTTCAGTCAGATTGTTCTCGTTCTCTTGCTTGATGGCATCAATCTCTGACTGTAGACCTTGGATCGTTTTGTTGAAGCGAGACACTTCGGCAGTATGCTGTTTCTGGCCCGTGCTAGCCTCCGAGTCAAGCCTCTGTACTGTACTCTGCAGGTTTGATACTTCTGCTTTATGGTCTTCCTTTGCCTTGTCAGCACTGGATCTCAGAGTTTGAATAGTAACTTTCAGATCAGCAATTTCGCTGGCATGCTGTTCTTTGATCCGACCAAGTTCTGTTTCCAGCGACAGAATCTTCTTCTGAAAATCGGCCACCTCAGCCTCATGATGCTGTCGAACTTTGATACTCTTCCTCTCGTACTCAGCAGTGGTCTGTTTCAGTTGATTGTCAATAGACCCGAGCTGTTCACCATACTGCTTTATAAGTTCATTTTTGGCGTGTTGGTGCTGTCCGTCTAGTGTTGCTATTTCTTGCGCATGATGTTTCTGAAGTGACTCGTTGATTTGCTGAATCCTAGTGATTTCCATAATACTTGTTTCCCGGGCCTTCCTGTGTTCAAGCTGCTCTTGCTCAAGCTTACTGTGCAATGTAACTAAATCCGATTCCAATTTCTGAACTGCTTGACTTCTTTCTTCGAGTTCAGCTTTAAGAGAATCGACCAATTCACGCGAGACACCTCTCTCAACACCATTCGTGATGATAGATATTTCCAGTCCTGGCTCACGGTCGATGGCACGAGTCATACGGCCGAAGTTGTCCTTGAGGAAGTCCACGAATGTCTTGTCAAAGTAAATCTCAGGTAGTCCACCCTCGTACTGCCCGCCCACCGTTTGTGGCAAGACCTCAAAATCCCGAACCATAGGCGATTCTCTAAATCTTGTTATCTTGTCGATATATTGCTCTCTGCCCAGTTGCTCAGCCAGTACCTGGTGCAAAGTTGTGCGAGGGATCGGTGAATCCTTTGAAGAGAACTCATAGAGGATTCCCAACAGGATTGTACACAGTCCGGACACAAGCACATTAGAAGCATAGCGATGTTTGATTTCCTGTAGTAAGCTTTGGATGCTGCTGCCTTCTCCTAGGAAATCATTGACGGCATCTGGCTCTTCAAAAAGCCAACCACAGAGCAGCATCAAGTATCCGAGGGAGATTCTTTCGTCATCACCTCTTTGCATGCCAGTAATCAGGTTGCCTACTATCGATTGAATGCACGTTATGACTTCTTCGCCACTCTCAGCATCGCCTTCGGTTACCCCCATGGCAATTACCTTCGCCTCGGCATTCTCAAAGACTAGGTGAAACATCAGAACAGAAGCCATCCATGTCTGATATGGATCGGCATTTCCGCGGGACTCGGGTGGGACTAGTAAAGCAGTCAAAATATTTGGGATTTTATCTTGTCCGCTCAAGTGACCATCAATAGCTCTGCGTAGAACATGCACGCGAATTCCAGCATGATTCGCGAAAAAGGCCTTGACACATTCGCAGGCAGCTAAACGTGCATCTAGAAGCTGTAAAGTGGCAGATTCAAGGCTTAGTTTCAGCAATGCTTCGATCACATTAATTCGTTGAAGTCCCTTGTTCGCTAGTTCTCCATTAGAGATGTTTTCTGTAGGCTGTGTACCCCAGAAGACCTCAACATCCCCAAACCTTTCCTGTAATGGCCGGTTTCCACGAATCAAATCAGCACATGTTGCCAGGGCCTAGATGAGTCAGTACCATCCAGCGAGACTAGGGCGACGCTATTTATAAACAAACCTTGGATGTGACATTAACACTGAACCTCTGACTAAAGGCTGTGCTTAAAACCTGCTCCATGACGCCACTATGCCAGAAGGCCATTTGGTTAGCAGGAGTGTTGACCCCACCCCGAGCTAGGAATAGCTGGATGATGACCAGTAAACCCCAGATGTTCTTATCGCGTTGAGCAAGGGTCCACTGCGGGGTGGGTTCATCGGACTCCTGCTCATGGTTGACATCAGCAAGGAGCTTTGCCAATTGCTTGACACATCCCGTCTCCCGAAAATAGGACTGGTTGGAAATATTGAGCCTCAAAAGGTTTGCGAGCAAAGAGAGGCAGTCTTCCGCAACTTCGGACCCATGTGACAAAGCGCCTTCTTTTTCTATTAGGGAAAATATGAGGTCAAACGCATTTTCGAAGGCTACGAGTTTTTGCAATTCTTCCGACGTAGGTGTTAGAGCAATAAGGAGCAGTAGGGCTTCTAGAAACGCGAAGACTGTTAGCAAAAGAGCTCCGAGGGTCTCATAACCGTCTCTTAGATCTCAAATTTTGCGTACCATTGCGTACTGGCTCCCGGGCATCGCTCAGAGCACTAACTAGCCTCGGAATGCCCAATGGGGCTGTTAGGATACACTCCTGCGTCCTCTCGGGTCGCGCACTAGAGATTTGGAATATCAATTGCAAAGAATACAGCCGGGAGTAGAAGTCGCGAGTGTCAAGAAGATCAAGGAGAGCTGTTATATTATCTTGTCGCTTTCGCTCCGTTAGCAACATAAGAAGTAGATGCATACTGAGATAACACACCTGAGTAAACTCATCGGATAGCCAGAGAGCTATTTCATCGGACGCCTCAGGCTAAGAAAATAAATCAGCACACCCAATTAGGCCACCCGGAACCAGGATAACCAACGCTACTCTCATCGGGGGAAAATAACATCAACAGGGACTCCAAGACCACCTTGATTGTGTCCACATCCTCTCGATCATTTCTGAGACAGTTGATCAATGGTCGTAAGGCACCTGATGCAACAGAGGCAGGGTAGATTTTTGCAAAACTTCTAAGGCCTTGAATTGCCGCCCGTCGGTCTTCCAGTAGCGTCGCGCTCTGCAGCCTATTACTTAGAGTGTTGATTGTATCCGTTGCCGTTTGTTTGGCCGGTGCCTGCGATTCGAGAATTCGAAACATCGTGATTGATTACTCGTAATATCATGATCACCACCAGCCGTGTGGGTACTAAATATTTAACATTGAACAAACTGAGAAACAAACCCTCCGAACGTTTGGGGGTAAGTTCATAAACAAGGTGAGTTGTTCACTCCAAAGCTACTCAAAGAACAATATTAGTTAGACCCGTCTGGGGCCAAACGTGCCAAGGGTCCGCTAAGCTTAACTCCGGAACCGCGATAAGAGAAGCGCCGAACACCGCATTCAAGCGTACTTCTTGACAGAGACTTTATCGCCCTTCCGACTCTACAAGGGCCGTCGTTCATCATCCTCGCGCGTCTGTTCCGTCTGGCGCAATTTCCTTTGATTCACAGTGTCCGTAGGAAGGGTGCTCTTACAATTCCAGTGAAGTCCGGATATTGACATTGCGACGGCCCATGGAGCCTGCACCGAGAATTATCTGAATCGCGATAATTTTGTCTTTTACTCCTACAATTTCTTTTTATACATCTCTATTCTTTATCCACCTTCCTTTCCCCTTCAGTTAGCCATCATGGGTGTTCCAGCGCTATTCCGTTGGCTCTCCAACAAATACCCGAAAATCATCTCGCCCGTCATTGAGGAGCAACCCTACGAAATCAATGGGGAACAGATTCCAGTCGACGCCACGCGCCCAAATCCAAATGGTGAGGAGATGGATAATTTATACTTGGACATGAATGGTATTGTCCATCCATGTACTCATCCGGAGGGAAAACCTCCACCGGCGAACGAGCAGGAGATGATGTTGGAGGTCTTCAAATACACCGATCGAGTTGTAAACATGGTTCGCCCCAGGAAGGTTCTGATGATTGCCGTCGGTATGTGGTGTCTTTTACTCAAAACAATATTCTGAAGAAGACACTTGCTAACAAAATTGTAAAGATGGTGTTGCACCACGAGCAAAGATGAACCAACAGCGCGCACGTCGTTTCCGCTCTGCTCAGGAGGCCAGAGAGACCGATGAGAAGAAGGAAGAATTCCGGAAACAGTTCCTCAAGAAGAGCAAAGGAGATCTAGAGGTTCAGGAAGAAGTCATACAGAAAACGTGGGACAGCAACGTCATTACCCCCGGAACGCCTTTTATGGACATTCTTGCTGCGTCTTTGCGCTACTGGATTGCTTACAAGCTCAACACAGACCCAGCTTGGGAAAAGGTTTGCCACTTGGATCCAATTTATTGAAAGCGTGTCTGACCCGTGCAGCTTAAAATCATTATTTCCGATGCAACGGTGCCGGGAGAAGGAGAACACAAAATCATGGAATTCGTCCGGTCGCAGCGAGCTGACCCAGAGCACGATCCGAATACTCGTCACGTTATCTATGGCCTGGTAAGCTTATCGAAAGAAAAATGGACAAATTGACACCGACAACTAACATTTCCTAGGACGCCGATTTGATCATGTTGGGTCTCGCAACCCACGAGCCTTATTTTAGAGTTCTTCGAGAAGACGTGTTCTTTCAGGAGTCGAAAGCTCGGACATGCCATCTGTGCGGTCAAACAGGTCATAAAGCTGAAGAATGCAGAGGTCAAGCAAAGGAGAAGAATGGGCAATTTGATGAAAAGGGTAAAGGTTCATCGCTCAAGCCATTTATTTGGCTTAATGTTTCCATTCTCCGAGAATATCTTGCTGTCGAGCTGTATGTTCCACATCAACCCTTTCCCTTCGACCTAGAACGGGCGTTGGATGATTGGGTCTTCATGTGCTTCTTCGTAGGAAATGATTTCCTGCCGCACTTGCCCTCTTTAGACATCCGTGAGAACGGTATCGATACATTGATAGCAATTTGGCGGGATAATATCCCTGTCATGGGAGGATACCTAACAAAGGATGGTCACGTTGATTTCAAAAACGCCCAATTGATCTTGCAAGGCCTTGCCAAACAAGAAGATGCCATCTTCCGCCGTCGTAGGCAAGTTGAGGAAAGAAAGGCTGCAAATGAGAAGAGGCGCAAGGAAGAGGCTCAGGCACGAGAGGAACGTGCCAGGAAACGCCGACGAAGCTCGCCTAATTACGAAGGCGCTGAGCCTCCTGCAAGCAACCGAGCCCGGGGTGGCGGCGGCGACGCAGCGCCGCCAAATGATCTGGAATTGATCACACCCGGTCGAGGAAACCTATCACGGGAAACGCGAGAGCTAACTCACAGCATGGTGGTAAACCGTGGAGCCGTCTATCGGGCTAATATGGCTAACAAGAGCGCTGCTGCCATCTTGAAGAGCAAACTCATGAAAGGTTCAGAAGATGGTGATGCCGCGGAAGAATCCAGTCCTATACCAGATGCAGACGGACCTTCGGACAACAAGTTAGAACCAACATCGCCATCCGTTCTTGGCAAAAGAAAACCAGATGAGCCAGAGGGCGAGACGGAAACACCGGGCAACGACACGGAGTCTACTCCTAAACCACCCAAGAACGATGAGATGCCTCCTGATACTGTCCGCCTTTGGGAGGAAGGCTATGCTGATCGTTATTACGAGCAAAAGTTTGGCGTCGATCCTCAAGACATAGAGTTCCGTCATAAGGTAGCGCGAGCGTACGCTGAAGGCCTTGCGTGGGTCCTTGAATATTATTTCCAAGGTTGCCCGTCATGGACCTGGTACTATCCTTATCATTATGCACCATTTGCGGCTGACTTTGTGGATATTGGAGATATGGAGCTATCGTTTGAAAAAGGAACACCCTTCAAGCCATTTGAACAGCTCATGGGAGTCCTTCCAGCTTCATCAAACCACGCTATTCCCGAAGTGTTCCACAGTCTCATGCAGGATCCCAATAGTGAGATTATCGATTTCTACCCAGAAGATTTTGCTGTGGATTTGAACGGCAAAAAGTTCGCTTGGCAGGGTGTCATTCTGCTACCGTTTATCGATGAGAAGAGACTTCTGGCCGCCATGGAAAAGAAATACCCTCTGCTTTCCGACGAAGAGAAAGCTCGCAATACTGTGGGCCGAGACGTGTTGCTACTATCAGACGGTCATCCACTATACCAAGACCTAGTCGCCAATTTCTATTCCAAGAAGCAAGGTGCTCCAAAGTACAAGTTAAATATGCGTATAAGCGAAGGGTTAGCGGGTAAAGTCGAACGCAACGAGACATATATCCCCCACAGTTCGTTGGTATCTTCACTCGAAGAGTACGGCATGCCTACTTTGGACGATGACCGGTCCTTAACGTGAGTTTCTATAATTTGCTCCGTCTGTCTCCAACTTCTGCTACGGCTGGCTAATATTCTTATAGGGTCAATTACGAGATCCCCAAGTCATCTCACATTCACAAGTCTATGTTGCTTCGAGGCGTCAAATTCCCTCCCCCCGCGTTAGACAATGCAGACATCCAGGCGACCAGATCTAAGGCTCAGCACTCGGGCCGTTCCTTCGGGGGCGCACCACTTCGCAATGGCCATGGAAATAGAGGCGGTCGGATAAATTACGCAGGCGACCGACCCAATCCGTTTGCCGCACATCTTGATCCCAGCTTCATGCCTCTGGGTAATACAGGCAACCAAATGCCTTCTGGTTGGATTCCCCCAGCACCAGGGTCTGGGAATTTCTCCAGGGGTCCTCCGCCTCCACCACATGGAGGAGCGTCTCATCAACAGCGGAATAATTATGGTTCAGGATACCCCCAGCCACAAGGCTATCAACAGGCGAACTATGGCCGAGGAGACTACTATGGGCGAGGTCAGCAGGGGCATCAGCACCAGGGATTCCATGGCAGCCAGCCTGGTCAATATAGCGGGCGATCGTCCGGCTACGGGGGGCAGGAGCATCGGGGCGGAGGCCATCAACGAGGAGGATACCAAGGCCATGGTCAAGGCCGGGACTACTACTCTTCTCGGAATCAGGGGGGATATGGTCGGTATTAAACCCGCCTTCTCTAGTTAGATGCTTCTTGGCAATTTTTGTATACCTTTCGTGTACGTTTTGTTCTTGTATCTTTTGATATCGTTAAAGGAGTTACACTGGATACCAGCAAGGGAAATATGTGAAAAGCGTCTCGAAAGAGAGAGGGAAAAAAACAAAGTCAACAGAAAGAATAAAACATGGGCTCAGAAAAGCTATGTGATGACATTTGGAACTACAAATCGTAGAGCAATCGAATATGGTATGATCGATGTATGCAGGATATATACCCAAAGGAGTAAGCGGTGCGAGGCTCGGAAAGCCATAAACGATGGCAAAAAGCGTAAGTCTGGGGCGACATCGGAGAGCGGAAACGGTGAGTCAATTTATCTTGATCTAGTGGAATTTTTGGTAGAAACACCACCGCCTCTTCCACAATAGAGCTACGACACGCTCTCTTTTTTTTCGCTGTTTGTTCTGTTCTCTCTCTATTAGAGCGGCTATAGTCAGATTTCCTTAGGTAATCTGTCGGCGATTGCTTTTTTTTATCTTATCGTCTCTCTTATACACCCTCTTTTTCCGAGCCCGCCCCGCTCCAAATCTTACGGACGAGTCATCGCTCAACGTGCGATTCCTTACAATCTCTACGCTTGTAATCGGGCGTCGGACGAACACCTGGAGTTCTTAGGTCTATTCACAGCATGAACTAAAAGGAGATATTAATTGCTTCCACGTTGAATCGCCTGTTGCAGCCCCACTTGGTTACAAATTCAATTCCTTAAAACTTCAGCAATGACCGAACCGACCAAGATAGAGATCTTGGGGCGTGAGAGTATAGTCGCTGATTTCGGGCTCTGGCGCAACTATGTCGCAAAGGACCTGATTAGTGGCTGCCCCTCCACAACTTACGTCCTCATCACCGATACGAATATTGGATCGATTTATACCCCCGGATTCCAAAAATCATTTGAAGATGCCACTGCCACAGTTTCACCTGCGCCACGGCTGTTAGTGTACAATGTCCCTCCGGGAGAGGTCTCCAAATCCCGGCAGACTAAGGCAGATATTGAAGATTGGATGTTGAGCCAAAGCCCCCCGTGTGGCCGCGATACCGTAGTCATTGCGCTGGGCGGAGGTGTCATTGGAGATCTGACTGGATTTGTGGCTTCCACCTATATGCGTGGTGTTCAATATGTCCAGGTTCCGACGACCCTTTTGGCCATGGTGGATTCGTCAATTGGAGGAAAGACTGCAATTGATACTCCACTAGGAAAGAATTTAATCGGTTCCATCTGGCAACCGACAAGGATCTACATTGACCTGGAATTCTTGGAAACGCTTCCCGCCAGAGAGTTCATCAACGGCATGGCTGAGGTCATCAAAACGGCTGCCATTTCTAGTGAAGAAGAGTTCACTGCGCTGGAGGACAACGCTGAGGCGATTTTGACTGCTGTCCGACGTGAAACAAAGCAGGGACAGCGTCGATTTGAAGGGATTGCGGATATCTTGAAAGCAAGAATCCTCGCATCTGCGCGTCACAAGGCCTTTGTTGTCTCCGCAGATGAGCGAGAGGGGGGTCTCCGGAATCTTCTGAACTGGGGCCACTCCATTGGCCATGCTATCGAAGCAATTCTCACTCCTCAGGTTCTTCACGGAGAGTGTGTTGCTATCGGTATGGTAAAAGAAGCAGAGCTCGCCCGGCATCTCGGCATTCTCAAGGGTGTTGCAGTAGCACGTGTTGTCAAGTGCATTGCCGCTTACGGGTTGCCCACGTCGTTGAAAGATTCGCGCATTAGGAAACTCACTGCTGGAAAGCATTGCTCCGTCGATCAGCTGCTTTTCAACATGGCTCTTGACAAGAAGAACGATGGTCCGAAGAAAAAGATCGTTCTTTTGTCGGCTATTGGACGCACTTACGAGCCGAAGGCTAGCGTGGTCCCCAATGAGGACATCGGTGTTGTTCTTGCTCCCAGCATCGAAGTACACCCTGGAGTACAGCCAGCGTCTAATGTTGTTTGCCTCCCTCCCGGCTCAAAGAGTATCTCTAACCGAGCTCTTGTCCTTGCTGCGCTGGGTTCAGGAACTTGCCGTATCAAGAACCTACTACATTCGGACGACACTGAAGTTATGCTGAATGCTTTGGAAAGACTCGGCGCCGCCACTTTCTCCTGGGAAGAGGAGGGTGAAGTGCTTGTAGTAAATGGCAAAGGTGGAAACATCCAGGCCAGCCCTTCTCCACTTTACCTCGGCAACGCAGGCACTGCCTCAAGGTTCCTCACCACTGTTGCAACCCTTGCGACTGCCAGCAGCGTAGACTCAAGCGTTCTCACCGGAAACAACCGCATGAAGCAACGGCCCATTGCCGACCTAGTAGATGCTCTGGCAACCAATGGAGCATCAGTCGAATATATGGAACGTAAAGGCAGTCTTCCTCTCAAGATAGCTGCCTCTGGCGGATTTGCAGGGGGAAGAATTAATCTTGCTGCTAAAGTGTCGTCTCAATACGTGTCGTCCTTGCTAATGTGTGCTCCGTATGCTAAGGAGCCTGTCACATTAAAGCTGGTGGGTGGTAAGCCAATCTCTCAGCCATACATTGATATGACCACGGCAATGATGAGATCCTTTGGCATCGATGTCCAAAAGTCCACCGCTGAGGAGCACACCTACCACATTCCTCAAGGTCGTTACATTAACCCTGCCGAGTACGTTATCGAAAGCGATGCCAGCTCTGCAACCTATCCTCTGGCAATTGCAGCCATTACTGGAACGACATGTACCGTTCCTAATATTGGGGCCAAATCGCTTCAAGGTGATGCCCGTTTTGCTGTCGAAGTCTTGGAGCCGATGGGTTGTACTGTCAAGCAGACTGACACTTCGACCACTGTCATCGGACCGGCCGACGGTGTCCTGCGTCCGCTGCCAAATGTGGATATGGAACCTATGACAGACGCGTTCCTTACAGCGTCTGTACTCGCTGCTGTTGCCCGTGGAAATGGCGATAACCATACCACTCGCATCTATGGAATTGCAAACCAACGTGTAAAAGAATGCAATCGCATTAAGGCCATGAAGGACGAACTCGCCAAATTTGGTGTCGTCTGTCGGGAGCACGATGATGGTCTTGAGATCGATGGTGTTGACCGTACAGCACTTCGGCAGCCGGCTGGGGGCATTTTCTGCTATGACGATCACCGTGTTGCCTTCAGCTTCAGTGTACTCTCTCTCGTGACCCCTCAGTCGACCCTCATCTTAGAAAAGGAATGTGTCGGCAAAACATGGCCGGGCTGGTGGGACACTCTGAGGCAAAAGTTTTCAGTCAAGCTCGAGGGTAAAGAATTGAAAGAAGAGGAATCTTCACCTACTTCTCGTGCCGGCAAGGCCAGTGCTTCGGTCTTCGTGATTGGAATGCGTGGCGCTGGAAAAACTACCACTGGACGCTGGGTTGCTAAGACCATGAACCGGCCATTCGTCGACCTTGATACTGAATTGGAAAAAATTGAAGGCCAAACGATTCCGGACATTATCAAGCAACGCGGCTGGCAAGGCTTCCGGGATGCCGAGCTTAGTCTCTTGCAACGCACTCTAAAGGAACGTCCAACTGGCTATGTCTTCGCTTGTGGTGGAGGTATAGTTGAGATTCCGGAGGCCAGGAAGTTGCTCGCCGATTATCATAAAAACAAGGGTAACGTCATGCTTATTATGCGTGATATCAGGCAAGTGATGGATTTCCTCTCCATTGACAAGACCCGCCCGGCTTACGTGGAGGATATGATGGGCGTATGGTTGCGCAGGAAGCCATGGTTTCAAGAGTGCAGCAACATCCAGTACTACAGCCAACACGCCAGTGCGGGTAAGCTCACTAAGGCATCGGAGGATTTCACTCGTTTCTTGAAGGTTGTCACCGGCGAGGTAGACAACCTTAGCATTATCAAGCGAAAGAAGCATTCCTTCTTCGTATCCTTGACTTTGCCCGACTTGCGAACCGCCAGCGATATTCTAGAAAAGGCATGCGTGGGGTCCGACGCCGTGGAACTCCGTGTCGATCTATTAAAGGACCCGGCATCGGATAGCGACATCCCATCGGCCGACTATGTAGCGGAGCAGCTGTCTTACTTACGCAGTTGCGTTTCCCTTCCATTGATATTTACCATCCGGACTAAGAGTCAAGGTGGTCGTTTCCCCGATGATGCTCACGATGCTGCAATGGAGCTGTACCGCCTCGCAATCAGGTCCGGAAGTGAATTTGTGGATCTCGAAATCGCTTTCCCTGACGAAATTCTCCGCACCGTCACGGAGATGAAGGGTCACTCGAAGATCATCGCATCACACCACGATCCCAAGGGCGAACTGTCATGGGCGAATATGTCTTGGATGAAGTACTACAACAGAGCTCTTGAGTACGGCGACGTCATCAAGCTTGTAGGCGTCGCAAAGAGTCTTGATGATAATACGGCGCTCAGGAAGTTCAAGTGTTGGGCAGAGGAAGCTCACGAAACTCCGTTGATCGCGATTAACATGGGGGACAACGGACAGCTCAGCCGTATTCTCAATGGTTTCATGACCCCTGTGTCACACCCTAGCCTGCCTTTCAAGGCTGCTCCTGGCCAACTCTCTGCGACTGAGATCCGCAAAGGGCTGTCCTTGATGGGAGAGATCAAGCCAAAGAAGTTTGCAATCTTTGGTACTCCCATCTCAGCCTCTCGCTCCCCGGACCTCCATAATACCCTCTTCTCCCAGTCAGGCCTTCCTCACGAGTATGGCCGCTTTGAGACGGCAAACGTCGAAGATGTAAAGGACTTCATTCGATCTCACGACTTTGGCGGTGCTTCCGTAACAATTCCTTTGAAGCTGGACATCATGCCTTTGCTGGATGAGGTCGCACCCGAAGCCGAAATCATTGGCGCTGTGAACACTATCATTCCCGTCTCCGAGAAAGGCAAACCGGTGCGCTTAATCGGATACAACACCGATTGGCAGGGAATGACCCTGTCCCTCCGTAACGCCGGTGTCCAGACTACCAATCAAGATGCCAGTGCTCTCGTTATTGGAGGCGGTGGTACGGCTCGCGCCGCTATTTACGCTCTCCACAGCATGGGATTCTCTCCCATCTATGTTATTGGACGATCGCCCGCTAAGCTCCAGGGCATGGTCTCGACCTTCCCTACCGGCTACAATATCCAAGTCGTCGAGAGCCCGGAAGCATTGAAGACAGTCCCGAGCGTGGCCATCGGCACCATTCCTGCTGACAAGCCGATCGACCCCGTTATGCGTGAGACACTCTGCCACATGTTTGAACGCGCCCAAGAAGCCGACGCCGATGTCGTCAAGACTGGAGAAAAGGCGCCCCGCGTGCTTCTCGAGATGGCGTACAAGCCATCCGTAACAGCATTGATGCAGCTAGCTTCCGATTCTGGTTGGAACACTATTCCTGGGCTCGAGGTCCTAGTTGGTCAGGGATGGTACCAGGTAAGCTTTGATTCCCCATGCATACTGCCAGGAAAGACGGCAGACACTGACTATGTATACAGTTCAACCACTGGACTGGGATTTCTCCCATCTACGAAGATGCAAGGGCAGCCGTCCTTGGCTCTCCCAGCTCTACTTAGACGTGGATAGGATGGAAACTTTTATTCTACGCTTCCTTTTTCAACAAAAGCGCTATTTTAGATAGTATTAGGTACAGGGTATTAGATACAATAAAAGGTGCTTCGCGTCCATGATGGTAGCAATCCAATATGTGTGAACTTTGTGCTTCAACGACGCCTTCTCCTCTTAATGATGTCTCCTCCAATGTCCCTTTACTTATTATACCATAACAGTGATTTCGATATGTTCATGCCATCGCTTAATTCAGACCGCTTTCCTTCACCCACCGGGGCTTTAGTCTACACCGCTAGCGTAATTGTTCACATCGAGGCCATAACATGTTATATTCTAGATTCAATCTTTATATATCAGTCTAATCTAGCATGCAAGAAAGTCTATCTTCCCGAACTGTATTTCAAACCCGTTATCATAAAGTAACAATGAACTCACTTCCTTCAAAAACTAAGTCATCACTCGAATAAAACCATACCCCTGTGTTCCTAGGGTAGCCAGGAAACCAGGAGGGGGATGGGGAGGATATACCGCCCCTAAGATGACTTTTGATAGGCATTTTTGCCGGCGATAGAAATCTCGCAGCGGACAGTCTTTCATATATAAAAGCAGTGGTGACATCGAGGTTTCTGTCGCAGGTATAGTAGTTGATTATGTTGCTTCAATCTGGCAACCAGCCACTAAATTTGGCATTCGAGTGGCTTGATTGCGAAGACTGATCCCCGGGCGGGATATGTATCACTCATTCTGCAAATATAATGACCATTGCGGGAATTAACATTCCCGATTAATCCACTCTGGGGTATCAGACTCTGTTGAACCTGCGTCCAGCTTCAATATCAGTCAGTCATCCGTCGAGCGCTCACTGGGCCTGTTATGGTCCCCGGTCTCGGATATGAACCATTCCGAATGTTGAAAGTTGTTGATAGCTGTTAAACAAGAGTCGCGGCAGGAGTGCCGCCAAAGGGAATTTTTCAACAAATAGAGCGATTGCTAATCTCTTCAACGGGGAGTGATAGCATGTCATATTGACGAACTCGATAGCCTTCTTGGCTACCCGTTCTTTTCTCTCGTGTTCTATCACCATCTGAATCAGGACGAGTTTCAGGTGAAAGATTCCATATTTGTTTGGCGCCGCCATTGCGATCTGGCAGCAGATCCTGCAAAATATGAGAGCAGTGGCTTCCAAGGGAGAGAAGCCAGCTATCACCGAGTCTGTAGTCTGGCAAGGAATCCCACAAAACGCAGGGTTTCTTTGCTATTAGAACGCCGAATAATACGGGAGTGGTCGAACACATAGACAGATGAACAGAATATACAGTACGAGTGTCCTTATAGAGACACATGGTCAGGTAACAAGAAGATTACGGGCGGTCTAATTGGAGCGTTGCCGAAGGATCGCAGAAAAAGCTTCAGGGACACCACCCGGGTCCCTGCAGCCATGATTATCCCTGTTGCATACCACTGGTAGTGCGTCCCCAATCAAGTCCCTCTATGACTTGGATCATCATTCGGACTTGACTTTTCAAACGGGCTACCGTCTCCATAATCCATTTCAGGTTGCAGCGACCCGTTTCCGTTGCCGTTTCACCTGTCTTCTGTTGCATAACTTCTGCGTACTGGATCTCTCGCACCGAGTTCCCTAAGAGGTCCATGATTGTATCCACATGGCCGAGAGATGAGACCACGAGTAAACTCTTGTGCGCTCGATCCTCTTCCTCGGACAGTCGAAAGGATCCTAATCCCAAACGTGCATTGGAGACATACCACGCACCATTCCTGGCCACCTGAAGGAATATATTCGTCAGGTGTTGGAGGGAAACCATAGTCATTATAAAACGGGTTGAGTCCTTCGCGCAGAATGTACAGGAGACCTCTTGCCTAATTTGCTCACATGTTCGACGGGACAGTTCTAGGATAGAACCCAAAACCATTTGGTCAACGTCATCTTGAGCCCCGTAAAGCTCAGCAATGCAGAGAAGTTGTGCTCTCAAACAGTTACATCTGGTCGAACGGGGCCGGGTACCCAAGTCGAAAGGACTTGGTGGGAAACTAAAGTTGGAGAGACCCGTCGAGGAACTCCATTCATCATCCGTCGAGCTGCTGGAGCCCAAGCCCATGCCAAGCAATATATCTGACGACAGGAGTAGGTTGGATGGAGGATCCGTCAAAGCGGTTAATGGATGGTTAATATTAAGATCACCCTGTGGGGTCCAATCCGGGGTTAGCGGAGGCATTCGAAGTGGGGTGTTGGCAGACATACAGATACTTGCAGTAAGGAGCTGTGGTTCGGTCCAGTTGTAAAACAATGGGCCGCGAGAGAGGGATCTGTATCGCATCTAGACAAGGTATCGGTTGGGACGGGTCGTGAAATGGGCAACGTGGGAGGGTTTATCCCATTGGTCAGGCCCAGGTCTCTCGAGCCTCCACGGCCATGACTGTTGGCCGAGGGAGGAGAAGCTTGGGCGACTGGCTTTTGCACTCTATTCGCCTTCAGTCTTCCGTTCCGCAAAGAGACACTATAGTGACAGATTGTGCCATTGTTTCCGCAGCGTTGGCATGGACTGCCACCTGTGCATTTGACCCGAGAATGACGACAAGCGTCACAAGCGGAACAGAGACGGGGTGATGAACGTCGGGATGAGGCCTCGGTGGTTTTCCAACTTGAGGATAGATGGCTGGGAACTTCCGATGAAGTGACCATGGTAGTCTGTATACATGTATGTATGTATGTATAATAGGCTGTGGATCATGGATGGGGTGAGAAGAGAGGTCCGCGGAGACAGCAAAGTGAATAGGCAATTTATAGATCGTGACCACGATAGCCCTAAAGGAGATCTGACATTTCGCATGTAAAAATATTTATTCAGCAGTAGTTATGAAGTATGCTCCAGATCCATTGAATAGAAATGGGTTGCATCTCATTCTACAGGGCAATCGGGGACTGTTCCCTTTTCACCTTAAATAATTCTAGATTAAACCATGCAATATACACATCAACAAGCTCTGATTGGTCTGATTGGCATCTTGGGACCCGCTCTCCTCTCTCTGTTTCGACGAAACGGTTTTCAATTCAGGGCCCATCATGTCCAAACTCTATTGTCCCTCATCTGCACGTTCATCAGTTGGCGTCAACGCCATCAGGACACCTCTTATTGGCTTTTCTTCGACGCCTAGTCCACCCTGGATTGTCTCACAGCGGACCGGGTCACCGGGTGGCGGCAGGGCCGTTCGTAGACAGGCGCGGTGGAACGAAGGATCCAGCATCCGGAGACTTGAAGAGGGCAAATTTTGATTGACTGCGGAGGCTGGAGTAATTCAAAGGTAAGCCTTAGGAGGATCCGAACCCTAGTCGCCATGGGTGAATATATGCACATCAAGTCTCCAATGAAACATGCAGCTGGAATCGGAAGCAGAAAACAACCCGAACTTCCTCATGGCGCTAAAGGTCTTTTTATGAGCTCGATGCATTTCGCCTTCACGCTAGAAGCACATGGTTCATTCTGAAATGTCCTCAAATCATAGGACTATTAATGAGTCGATCCGTTTTATTAACATGCGCCCCAAGCGTAGCAATATCGTTAGGCATCCCAGGCAGCTGTTTCCGCTGTGCCATTCCCTGTCTTCGCTTAACTAACAGCTCGGTTGAAAGGATTCAGGCTTGACCCACTCCTCCGGCTGAAATCAAAGCGGCCTAGCCTGTCCGGCTGAAGAATAAGATGGTTTGCTGGCAAAGGTCCGGCCATGTTGATCAACAATATGCTTATCGTGGGAAGAGTTTGAATAACGCCTTCCTGACTATCCGTGCCGAGCGACTTCCAGACCTTACTGACCCTAGGAGTATACAGATGGCAGTTTCGAATAAGCCATGGTCTCGACCAAGGAAAACAAGTTAATGAGTGTGGGTAAGGCAGCAAAAGGAATGATTACGACTCTTGTGTATACGTTTGTAATTCTACTTAGATATTACACCATCCAATATCTACAGTACTATGTATGTACATACAGTTGATCCAGGGCGCAACAGTCCGCGCGTACTTTACTCCGTAGATCGAGCAACGGCTGGCTTGTTGAGGCCGGCTTGGCGAGTCGCATAAATAGACAAGACAAAGCGTAAGGTTGTTTGAAAAATAATACAAAAATAATAATAGTAATAATAATAAATAAACAAATACAGAAATCAAAAAGAAAAAAAATAAAAAAATAAAAAAAAAGCTGTCTCAGTCTTCCATAGGCAACGACAGCTTCTCACCCAAGGAAATCCGCCTTCCCTTCCTCCCGAATTAGAAAAGGATTAGCATGAATCAATCCCTCATCTACCTCCCCAATCTATGGCTTTTCACACGATTTAAAGGATTATCTTCGGAGAAACAAGGTTAGCGAATCATAGAATGATGGTACCCACTTTCCCCAGCTCCATTGGCCCCTCTATCCCGATATATAGATTAGTATTATTGTATCGAACGTGGCAAATATGGTGTTAGGGCTATTACACGTGACGAATCCGGTGTGCGTATATATGTACTAGGATGCAAGTATTCTTGATTAGTCTTGCCCCTAAATGGATCCTCAGGCTTCTACCGTAGACAATCAATGGACTCCGGGATATTATAGAGAAGCTAAGGTTTTAGAGGAGGGGGAAGAAAATCTCTTGCAAGTGATCTACGTTATCGGCAGGATTTAATGAGGTGTTGTCTTCTCCGCGGGTCCGGAGCCGACGAGCGAAACTGCCCATTCATCAAAAGTCCTCAGCTTCACCAAACCCCAATAAATTTCTCAACGTCCAAGTTCTTACAGGTATTCCGCAGACCTCAACAGGTTGCGAGTTCTGTGTGGGGACTCAGAATCTTATATACTATATGCCGGCAAAAGTACAGTAAAAGCTAGTAGGTATACCTCCAACTGATGTTCACCAAAGGTTCAGGGTAGAGGGGAGGGAAGAACTTCATAGCTTCATGTCTCACCTTTCATTTTCCGTTTAAGGTCAAGCCTTGCCCGAAGGCTAGTTCTTCAGAGATGTGCTAGGCGTCTTGAAAAGCCGAGGCAGGCGGATACTATCACTAGCTTGTCTAAGCCATGAAACCCCCGGTGGGTTCAGCGGGACGTTGATTCCGCAAAAACGCCAAGCCAGACCGGTGTATCTCCTGCGAAGGTGGGTTCAATTTGATTTCCCTAGTGGACAGGGGATATGGCTATGTGAAGAGCAGAAATAAGGTTGAAGGGTACCTGAAACCGAGATCTTCAGGCTCAAAGTCTGTTCTGGCAGGCGATCAACAGCTGGGCGATGTCGTTTCTACGTTTTATCCTTCTATCTTATTTTTTTTTTCGATCGGTCCCGGGTCCTATCTATCTTTCTTTTTCTTTTCGTCTCTCTTTCCCCTTTTTAGTTCAATCCTATCTCAAAGCATCGATGGTGAAAATAGAGCCAGACCCGACAGCATCCGGTCAGATCCCTGTAGATCGCGAAAAGGGTACAGGTCGCTAACTGAATTGGGACGCTTGCATTACTAGCCAGTCTATCGTGCTCATTATAGTCACATTCAGTGTCCTCCAATCAAAGCAATTACCGGTGTAGAGAGCTGGCACATTGATTAAATGCTTTGAGGCGGTCAAACCTGGACGTGACAAGCTGACAATGGCTTCTTGTCATCTGATGCATTCAAAGAAGAGTGGAGAATCAATATTGAAGTACTCGTCGTTATAGTAAAGTATGCGAAACATCTTGTCGATCTACTCTTGGCCGACGATAGAAAAGGGCGCAGTTATGCGGAATATAAAACGTGGCCTTTTAGCGCTATATGGCTTACTGTCTACTTTAGCTGCTTAGCGCTTAAATCATAAATACCCTAGTATAGTATTAGTTTAAAACAATTATTATGACATATACCAAGTGCAAAGAGGTAGACTTCTCTCTCCTCTACTCCGTCGATCTCTATAGCCACAGTCAGTCATATGGGCCATATTTGATCAGCAGAAGAGGATCGGTACGATACCGTATTTTGAAGTTAATGTCCAAAATAAAAGCGTCAATATCTTCCAGTTGTTCCCTCTGAAATGCAGAAGGCAGATCTAGGACATCCCGTGAGGCAGTACGAGATCCAACCGCCTCGTAAGAGGTGATGATCTTCCTGATCTAGTAGGCTCATCGCGGCAAATAAGCCAACATCCAAGGCGAAAAAAACATTATATTGAATAGCAGGAAGTTATTAGGAAGGAATTTACTTTGGAACCATGAATAAAAATCATAGGCTAGCAGGGAAATTCGAATTTAGTGGCCTATTCTATGGCAAGAACAGGACGAAACATAAGAGTTTAATCTATGAAGGGCCCTGAAGCAATCTGGTTATGCAAACGTTTGCTCCATTTCGTAGTTAGTGATCACAGACCGGCCTTCCATCCTCAATCTCCTCAGCAAATTATGACAAATGGAATGTTTTAGCAGCAGACACTGATATTCAGTAGGCTCGCTATGGCCGCCTGTCAACATCATTCAAATACTCGAATACACACACAGAGAAAGAATAGGCAACCATCCTACCATGCTTCTTTTTAGTAAAGATTGACCCTTAGTACCGCAGTCGGCAGCCCCAAAACTTTCCTTCACACCCCTGAGGTCACTATGTTTCTTCTCAGTATGATCCTGTGCTCTAGAAAATCCAGATCATGAGGGAGAAACCTCGGAGAATCCAGCGATCTAGTGAAACCGGGCATGACCAGATTTGGGGTAGCCTCGCATATGCTAAGAGCTCCAGTGCAGAAGCAGATAGACCATCACGATCCTGGCTGAGGTGGAACACTTCTGGACCGTTAGAGACCAGAGGGGAAGTTCTACCCCCACTCAGTTAGGGCCACAAGATCAGCGTGATCTACAAAGTCCCTCAAAGCGTACTTTATAATTACTGCCCATAAAGTTATGCCGTAGTTGCCTCGGACAGAATCAAGTTGAGCATTGGCATTCTCTGCCAATTCATTGGCCCCCACTTCTTCCTTCTACCCCGCTAAAAAGTATAGTAGGTCCGTCTGTCATGATACTCCCCAGAGATTATCAGAAGCCCTAATTCATATTTGAGCCACCCCGGTAATCGAGCATCTACGTTTGGATTATATGGTTTGTAGCATGCAATGAATGCCTCTCGTGTTCAACACTTCGCTCCCGTATGGTGTAAACACGTATTCATATTATAGGTTTTGTCGGCAGGCATTGCAGCCTAGAAATAACAGAACGACGGCTAATGTGAGTCCTCAAAATCATTCTTTCCTCTTTGAAAGGGTGTCATGGCTAATGATTTACAGCATAATAAATCCAAGCGTTCGAACGTATGGAGTTCTTAATACTTGGAAAATTCCATTCTGACTCAATGTCATCGAAGCATGACTATCTCTAACCACCGAGATCGAAAATATCATTGGGTACTATAGGTATATAATATGCACAGTTATGTTGAAGGTATTTGTCTCTTTTTTGAGTTGTCGATTTTTTGATATATCCTGCCCTCATTACAATGGGCACAACAGTGGCCTTAAAAGGCACATCACACCCCTAACAAACCCCATCTACTCTTAATACCCCTGATAATTCGTATTATATGAAACAGTACCGCCCAATATTTAAGTACAATTTCTTAGAGACTACACATTTGCTTAACTTCTTATCTCCATCTCCTTCATACTCCAGTTTCCAAAGACTGCACTTAGCTCTATCTGAAAGAAGGAACAAGTTATTTCATCTTGTTGGGACTCCACCCTCTCCATGTGCATACCTCTACCAGCTATTTAACCCCTACTATAAATCTTCACATACCATTCTATTCGCGACTATGTGTTGCTTCCCTTGACATAATACCTCCCCAGCTTTTAGCAGCGAATGAATTTAACTAACAGTATACAGTAACCGACACATTCTTCCGACTATCTATATGGAATCATCCACCGTGCTAAGTGACGAAGCCTGTCGTCTGTTCATCGATCGATAAGGCAAAGGTTCGCCAATAATATGGTATATGAGCTATTCCAAACCTGTGTCGTATATCTACCTTCGTATCTCCGCGCCAAGAGGAAACACTTTTTACAATCATCGTACAGCCAAATCATACACATCAATATATAACTATTCTTGTCCTTATTCGAAATCGCTGTACATCATCGCATAGTCTACGTTTCAGGCCTTACACATCAATTACACGCACCCCATCACAACAATATTGACTATGAAAGTCCTTCAGGAGCTTCTTTTTGTTTGTGGTACACCTTATTTATCTTTATGGATTGAAAGTATGGGTTAACCATATCTAATACGAGACAGAGGCCCATGACACTACCGATAGTAGTAAGCCTCAAGCCAATATTTGCCTTGATGACCAGATAGTCTCTAGCAAGTGTTTCTTAAGGTAGAGGACCATTTCCAAGGAACACTGACTCGCATGTTAGTAATTGTTCACACTCAGGCTTGTCAAGTGTTTCTTTCCTTCACGTAAGTCTCCTTTGAATGTGTTACGAGCCCATAATGGCAACAAATAGAGGCTCAGACGAAGAAAAATGGATGCTATTCTACCCACTGACAATCCCAAAGACATTTAGCAAAGGCGCATCATTAGCGCTCCAAACCAACAGGCTAGCAGGGATTATGGAATATTACTAGAGATATGATTCTGATTCAGGCGCCACCCTTAGTTTTGTATCCCTGACTGCTGCAACGGTGTCAGATCGAGACCAGGATACGAATCCCTTCGCCATCTTACCCGATCAGATTACCTTCAGTAATCTCACCCAACTCAAGTTTTAACAAATATTATGATTCTCTCGAGCTCACTTTACGGAACTCTCTTTGTCATTCCACGGAACCATCAATTAGGTCCGATGTTATTTGGCATACCCCCGATTGGTTCCAGGCACCAGATCACCCGACGCACCGCCATGTAAAAGGCACCTTTATTTTGTCTGCATTTTAGATGGTTCAATCAATAAAACAGTTTCCAGCTTCTTCTTATCTAATATAACAGATAAACCACCTCTTTTCGGTATAAGCAGTATACCAACCCCTCCTCTTATACCCCAAAGACCAACAGTCAGGCTATCCGTATATCAGCAACTCTCCCTTCTAGCAAAACGCCAACTTTCGCATCCGTAAAAGTTCCACTTCGCTAAAATCAGAATAAAAAGCCAACCGTAACAAGTGTTCTTGAGAAGTGAAGTTAAAACTCGAAGATATAAATCTAGCCACGATCCTCTAAGCCGCACATCCGATCCAATAAAGACGTCCATCTGTCCTTTTCGTATCCATGGCACATCACAAACCCACTTTTGGTAGCCAAAGGCAGTTTCAATGCATTCTAAGAATTATCCTGAATACTCCATTTCTGTTTGCAGGCTGTCAGAAGTACTTGGGTAGCATACCACCGGGAGAGACGATTGCGGTGGTTAGTCTACCATTTATCTAGGGTTGTTCGTGTTAAGTTGAAGGGAATTTGATATTCATATTCTGGTGTGAATCAAGTCCCTTGGTATGTTACTGACTTATTTAAGTGTTTTAAAGTTAAATGTCTTTATCTTCTTTCTTTTTGAGATTGTTTGATATCTTTGGTTTTAAACTATATATTGGGCTAAGCCGGGATATGGGAGGTGGCTTGGATTAATGGGACTGTATGCGGCTGTTCCTGGGTTGGCTACGAGGTGTTCAATTATTTCTGACGGGGAAAGAATAGATGCGGATTCGACTACAAATGAGTCGCACTGTCATTTCTTTGGATGGATCTCACTGGATGGCTGGGTCCATAGATCACTATGGTCTCGCTCCGTTGTCTTCCAATCGTATCTGTTCATCACTTCGACTGCCGACATGCCTGTTCGGTTTACGATGGTCCGCGGCCATTCGGGATCTCGGAAGGATAGTTGTTGGATTGCGATGTCGAGAGCGCGACTCGTTCTGCAGGGACAGATAGGATGGTATGTAGAAGAAAGAGCGTCCAGGCTTCGACATTTTAGAATTATGCATGATCGGATGGTATAAAGATTTGTAAATGGACTCTCTTACTGTAGGGCATAAATAAGAAAAATACATGAAGGTGCTAGTTTCGATCGCAGAGCCTGTTGACGATATCACACTGGCAATATGCTCTTTCTCATCACCTGGTGTTTCGGGATACGTGTAAGTCCCCACACACACTAAGACCCGAATTCCAAGAACAGATAGTAAACGAAACCATCAGTGAACAATTCGACAGGTACCGCAGAGACCCATCAAAGTCCCTGTGAGAAGGTATCTCGACCTCCACTTTTGAGCCACAATGGGCTGCTGCCTCAGGATGCTTGAATAGTATTACTCTAGCTTACAGCAATACATACAGAATTCCTCCCTAGCCCTAGGTACAGCACCCCACAAGATCCACTACTCCTCAGCCCAATTGTCTAAATCCGTTTGAAAAGAAAAGATAGACAGGTCAAATAAGAGGTTTCGGGTCTGCATTGACCCGCGGACAGTCAGGAACAGACCCGTCTAGGTAGGTGGATACCACTCCCACACACTAAGAAACGGGTCCAGATAGGTAGAATCACCACTATTGTAAACTACGAGCAACTAGGTAAGTTTGACAATTTAGTGAATAATTAGAGGAATATATGTAGTCATACCCAATCTATTCGATTGACCATCAGACATACTCGTATGCATTCACACACACAGTATCACAAAACACACAATCAGAATGAAATATACAAGAAGAGAGTAGATATGCACCATGGCGTCATGATCGACCACCGCATAAAGTCTTACCGTACTTGACCCACTTCAGTCTCGTCTTCCATACCCTCCCGAAATATTACAATTACATACATACATCCGGTACCAAAACCAAATAGCCCAGTTTCAAGAAACAAGGCAAGAAGAATGATCTGATGAACAAATAATGATATACCTTTGACCTCGACCCCATGTTCATACATATATATGATATAACGACTGTTATCTTTAGGAACCAAACCAAGATCTAGCTATGTACATAATCTTAGACACAGTACAAATGCAGCAACATAGGGTAACTGTACCTGCGCCACAGAGTACATTCATTACTCACACTCATTAACTAGTATGTAGGTGTGTATATACAAACAAACAAACAGTCTCGTATACAGTATTCTTATTAATGTGTACTGTACCACATTCCTCCCCCGCGCATAACGCATCAACATTTTGCATGACAGGGCACCATTAGTCGCGATTGGATCGGGTGGGACATAATTTATCTTCGGGCTACAAGAATAGAGACTGGGACCAGCCACCCTTGTACATTCGAAATACAAGAAAAAGACTAATAGCTGAACTGATGGTGTCGATATTAATAATATGGACAGAGATAAACGCGCATTGGCGAATCAATTGGGGGCAGGAGGAATGGGAGCCAGTTGTCTCGCGTTGTAAGAGATGGATGGTGGACCCGAGGAGAAGATCGGCCGGTGATGATGGTTGGGTTGGATCCAATGGGCAAGGTATGGATGGAGAATGACAATTGACTGGAGGGGGGAGTTGGAAAGAATTCTACGCTAAGTGAGGGGAAGCTACTAAGTAAGCGGGAGCTTGGACCGGGGCGGAAAGGGAGCTGTCAAGAGCTATAGCTTCTAAGGAAAAAAACACACAGATGATCGGAAATGCTGTGACCTCGCTGTTCATTATATGGACTATTTATACATGTCTGGTTATACTGTACAACCCTCCATTTGTACATCTCCAACAACACACACATGATGCAAATCAGAAAGTAAAAAAGAAATAAAGAAATCTCAAGGGACATGCAGACGTCATCTCATAGTGATCGTACAGGCTGATAATAATGAATATTGTACATCGTAACAAAAAGGATTCGTGACACGGCTTGCTCAGAACTGGTAAACCAAGTGATCAAAGTAAACAATAGTAATAGCAAAATCCCAGAATGACCCTGTTGCTTCTTTTTTGATGCGACCGTTTTTTAAACCCTCCCATGGTCAAAACCAAATGAACACAAAATCTAAGACCCACTGATGCTGACACAATTAAAAAAACTAAATGCGGAGCCCTGCTGTCTGAATTCGAAACACCACACCTGTATGGCAGAAAAAAAAAAAAAAAAGAGAGAGAGAGAGAGATCGATAACATCGAAAAAAAAATCCGATCTGTTAAATCCGTTGACGTCATGCAAGGTTCGGAGCTTGAACATGATGTCACCAGGCTGCAAGGCCACAAATGGAGGACCCGCTCGGTCTCCGAAAGTGGCAAGTCGCCCGACGATCCGGTCCCGTTAGCGAGTCCTTTCCCGATCTGGAAGCCCCATGACGTCAGAGGCTTTCCCCGGCGTCATGTTGACTCAATGGAAAAGGATTCTCCAGAGTTGGGAAATCACCCATTTGTGGTCTCCCAATTGGGTATTTGTAACCAGTCGAAAAGGAAGGGGGGTATGCCACCTGACAATCGTAACTCCGTTGGGCCTTACTCCCTGCCTCGTCTTCTCTGCTTTCCGGGCCAATCCACCTCAGGATGCACCACGCGCATGTGCCGGGTCAGCGCATCATTACGTGAAAATGTCTTCTCTTCCGTGCACAGATGACACCGGACCTTCTGCTTGCGTGCGTTGTGGATCGTGTCCTCGTGCCGCGTAAGATCGTAGGGCCGCGAGAAAACAGAGTTGCATGGCTTTCCCGTAGATGGGTTGATCCGCTCACATTTGTGGGGTCCAGCCTGAGAGTTGCGTGCCGATGTGTCGCGCGCTACCAAGTGACCCCCAGGCGTAGTTTGACGGTGGGCCTCACGCTTGTGCTTTTGCAGCTTCGACGGCGTCTCAAACCGAAGCGTACAGCCGTGATAGGTGCACGTATAAGTCCCGCCGTCGGCAGTAGTGCGCGCTGGGCGAGTAACTTCTTCTTTCACAGGGCGCATAGCCATAGCGGGCTGTGGCTGCGGGGAAGTCACGCCATTGTTGATTCCCCCGTCGCTGTTCGTAGACTCGAAGTGGGGGAGCGATGCGGGGAAATCGGGAGTCTGATGCAAGAGGTTGTTCTGCTGCTGGGGCTGGCGATCCTGCTGCAACTGCTGCTGCTGCTGTTGTGGCTGCGCAAAGGTGTACTGCTGAGGAAGTCCGCCCTGCGTAGCATATTGAGCGGGGAATGACTCCATTGAGGTGAAGCTTTGCGACTGCGGGAATGAAGAGGAGCTTTCGCGTCGTAGGCTAAGCGCATCGCCGAGGTTGAAGTCGGGTTGATTGGTCGAAAACAGAGGCATTCCAGCGTCGTCACCTTCGTTGAAATCAAGCAGTGCATCCTTGGGGGACATGGTTTTGGGCTCTCCTTCCCCTTGGGCCTGGCCCACATTCTGAGGCATAGGCACACTGGTCGCCATCTGGGGCTGCTGGAGCATCGTGTCGTATTCAGAAGCCAGTGGAGAGTTCTGTCGGAACGGAGACCGACCACGGTTCATGGCTACAACGGGAGATTGAGACCGTGCAGACATGTGGCCTTGGTTGGCAGCCTGTAGTCGATCGGCGAACACGTTTCGGAATGGGTTCAGCAGATTCTGCTGGTTGGTAGAGGGTTTAGAAACTTGTGGAGTGGGCATGAGGGCTGGGTTGTAGAGTTCGTCTTGATAGATATCAGACATAGTTCGATTGATCTTGGGAATGCCGATCGGCATGTTGTTTCCGTTGGGGTTACCGTAGTCTGCAAAGGCATCGAGTTGTAAGTATTTATCCATCCATCCATCTATATCGGGATATCGTTTCTCACCATTAACCATCGCCTTCGACGAGTCATCGAGGTCCTCATAATTCGTATGAGGAGTAACGGGCGAGTTATGACTCACGGTTGACACAGAAGGTGCCAGAGAGTAATCACTTGACTGATGCTGATGGTTATTTTGTGATTGCTGCTGTTGCTGCTGCTGTTGCTGCTGCTCCATAACAGCTCGCCTCACCATCTCCGCCTCAGCTTGACTACCATCATGTACGGAAGTGTCGTAGTTCTGGTATGGTGTGGTGAGAAACGAGTTCTGAACAGGCGTTTGGACGGGAGTAGGCAAAGGTTTTGACAGCGAAGAGGCGTTGGATCGCTGATAAGAGCTTCCTGCAGGCGCAGATCGGCTCGACGAACCACTGGGTGATGGTTTATGTTGAATGCGAGCGGGGCTCAGCAGCTGCAGATTGCCTTCCCAACCGTGGTTGCTTGCGACAGGCTGTTGTGCCAACATGGAGGAGTTGTCAAACAGGTATTGCTGGGGGTATTGTGACAAGTATGGTTGTGAAGACGGTGGTGTTGCGGTATGTTGAATATTGAAGGCAGAGTTGTAAGAGGATACAGGTGTCATCGAAGGGGCCTCAAAGGTAGTGCCGTCAGAAACGGTAGAGGGGTATTCTGCGGCAACCGCCGTTGTCGCAGGGAGGTGGTAGGTGGAGGAGGCGGGAGAGGAGGTCGGTGACGACGGTGCGGAAGACGGCGGAGAGTAAAATTCAGGACCCGGATGGTACTGGAATGGAGACTGCAGTCTAGGCAACTGTTGGTTGTAGTACTGCACGGCGGCCTCTTGCGACAGGTCGGGGAAGTGGTCGTCTTGGATGCAAACGGGATCCTGAAAGTTGATAAACGGGGCCGATGTTGGTTCAGTGATAAAACCCTTATTGCGTATCGAAGGGTACATGGACATGTTCTCTTTCAACGATTGGACGTCAGAAGGTATGACGCCGGCGTTATGGATGCAGAGCTATTTCAGCAAATTTGCCACTGGGGGAGGCTCCAGAGTTTAATAGGTTGGCACCCAAGCCTCCCAAATCAAAGTTGATGGCCCAAGATCCGAATCTCTTATCCCCGAACAATTGCGTACTGAATGGTCGAAGAGTCTGGAAGCGTCCGGCCGGTCGTTGGTCAGTCGGCTTAGTGATCCTTGGGTAGGAGATGACCTGAACTTTAGAGATTGCTGGTTAGTTCGATCTGTGACCGGATGACCAAGGTTTTTGAGTGGACCAAGGTTGAGGAAGGAAAGTAGTCGTAAGTTGGAAAAGTCAAGTTGGGTAGTAAAGGATGAAGTCACGATATTTTGTACGGGGACCACACTTACTATATAGTGTGGAAAGGGGATGGTGAGAAAGTTAGACTGAGGGATGGGGGAAATAGAATTGATTAAATCTGAGAAGTCGAAGGTGATATGAATTGAGATCGTTTCAGAATGTAGAGTAGAGGAAAATAAGTTTGTTTTAAAGATATCGAGTAAAAGGAAGGGGAAAGGAATCCATAGGGTTGGGGGTAGTGTCCTCTTTTATGATGATAGGTAATGACGTTTGCCTGCAGTATGTACCAATGACCCAAGTCAGTAGTACCAGCAATGACCGAACGATTATTACTGTACACACCCCCCGGTGATCCTGACTCAACCGAGTCAACCTAGTATCGTAAGTTATTTATTTTTTTTTTATTTTACTAACACTCCCGTAATCCGTATTTACGCCGGACTTCCGCGATCCAGTAATAATTACCCACTTAATTTAGTGAAAGTTTTAGATCTGCATTATTCATCTGGGGTTTGAAGTTCCCTCGGCTGTGAAATTAGTTTACTGGTTCAACGAAAAAGCAAAAAAGCAAATTGTCAGTCGTTCATTCGGTCTTCCACCCTCCTCCCGGGTCCGCGAGCACTTGAAAAAATGTCAACCCTACCAAAAAACTTAAACGGAAATCTTACTATGAGATCCATTGTTCAGGGTACAAGCCACAATCCCGGTCTCAATAATGCGGCATGATTTGTTTTAATTTTTTTTGTCCTTTATTTTACACTCCCTTACATACTTTATGCATCATTCTTTCATTCATGTTCCTTCTCCACGACCATCAGCCACAACTCTTCTTTTTTTACCTCCGAACACGGAGTATATGCATTAACCCCATCTCGGTTTCTACATGCCGATGAATTTTTAGTAGAAGAATATTTTATGTTCTGGGATTCTTCTCTAGCAGTTACTATAATTATTACAAATCCTAAAATTAAATCGGTGTTGCTTATCTCCGTAAACATAATTGAATCATTCATCATCATACCTAGCATCAAAATATTCAATAATAGCTCCAATCATTGGCGGGTCCAAGTCCACCCTATCTTCAGCATTAAACTGTATGTATGGCTGATCCCGATATAGTACAGTAATATCTACCCAACCACGCCAAAATATTTTTTTGGTTTTTCACCCTAGAGGCTTTAGGGCAGCCAATCAGCTGCCCAATGACTCGGGAGCTGAGCCACTGTCATGGGAAAGTCGATCTCGTGTCTCAAGGTTGCTGATGGGACCACGACATTTCAAGGGTCCCTTACAGGTGACATGTTCAACCCGCTGCATACTACCATCCCAAAAGCCATGTAATAGTATTGGGTGACGTTGTATCCGTATTCCCCCTTGTGGATAACTAGTACTTCCCCCCCCAACCCCCACCCTCCCTTTGTGAAGATCCTTTCTACAGTTCTCTCATTGTGCAGTTTTGGTACCCACCAGCCACATACACTGCCACGCTGTGGCTAGTGCATGACCCTAGGCCCGAACGGTCGAATTTGTCATGTCTGAATAAGTGGGTTGTCCCGTCCGGGTTAGCCCGGCGCCTGACAATGTTCGCCGGGTCGGAGTTGTCCGGGTGCCCTCTTTTGGCTAGCTCCGACGTCGACAACTTTCTGGTATCGACCAGTGCTTTCTGCCAACGTCGTCAGCGCACTTCTTAACAACCTTCCCTTCTTGCATAAGCTCTGTCGGGGATGGTTCGGAGCTTTTGTCTGCGCTGAGATCCCGGTCCCCGGGTCTCACTAGTTTCGATGCTAACCATCGAACTAACTCCCAGTAGCGTGATACGCCGGCAGTGTCTGATCCGACATCTCACCCAAAGTGTCTCGACTTTCTCGGCCGTTACGTTCGATCAATCAACAGTTTTGGGCATGTAGCGTTGACTGCAGTACATGCTTCCCTGGCTTGGTCAGCTGATACAAGTTCATGGCATGACAGGTCAATATCCTAGGGATGTCCATGGCACATGGACGAACGATAACCTGATCTGAGTCACGGTAATTGTAAATAAGCTGCCGTAGTATAATATGTTTGGTAAACGCTAACCTCAGAAAGGAAAGATGAGCAGATACTACCTTCATGATGAATCATGATTAGTAGAAAAAAGATAACAGTAAAGGGAAGAAAAAGAAAAAGAGAAAAGCAAGTTACATGGAATTTCACATGTGAATTTGATACATCAAAACTCCCAAGCCCTAGGCATCACCATTTAAACAATCCTGGCAATCATCGGGGATCCTCAGCTCCCCGGCTGTACGGACCAAGCCCGAGGCTCAGAAGTCTTGCCATCCATAATGATCCCTAGACTCTGATAGGGATAAACTTCCCGTCGACACAACCAAGGATCCACGCAGCCGGACAGACGGTGCTGAACAGCCACAAGATAGTGCAATAAAGTGCGCCGCCAATCGCAAAGGAAGGCAATCAATCGAGAAGAGATGATTCGTATAAGTTGAGACAAGAATCGCACGCAGACCTGAAAAGGTCAAAATCTTCCTAGCAGGAGAACCAATCCCCGGACCCGTTTGCAGGCCCACCCCACCCATTACCCATCGCAAGACGGCAGCTGAAACCGGTGGCAAGATCTACAAGTTAACAAGGTCTTTATCTCAACGTAATTGCCTATAATTGCCGGAGCTTGTCCCGTCGTCAGCCGCGGTTTGCGAGCACCCACCCCCGGCCGGAGCTAAAGACCGATGTCGCTGATACTCGGCGAAGGGATATATCTCTTAAGGATGTACAGTGATAATGCTATATCAAGCCTGACAGTTGGTAACCCGGATTCTGGGCAAGTCAAGTCTTGGGACCCAGCCAGCGGGTCTCTCTGGATAGCCCCATAGTGTTCAGACCAACTTTCAATCTTTCGAATGCTCCGTGCGAATGATTTGATATACAACGATTGCCCTATGTGGCATATGCGCTGATGGCATTACGGAAGGCCCCACTATTGGTGTAGTTTGGGTAGGGTATGGGGAATGTCATATGGGACTGATAACCAGCACATCTTGACCTAGATCTAGGGAGCCTCACATGGCAGCGACCGACTTTCCAAAAAAGAAGAGTCGGGTGAGTGCAGTCCGAGATACGCAACTACTGGGTTGTCTCGTTGCCGTGATCGGAAATAGAAAAAAAAGTATTTTATTGATGTTTATCTTGTAGAGTGATAGATTCTAACAGGGGTGTTATCCAAACTAGTAAGCACTTTAGAACAGCCTCATGGGGGCTGCTAGCCTCACGGGTAACAAGCAACCCATGTTCTACGTGCCAGTATCCGGATCTGATGCGTATAATATGCATGGAAGGAAATTCTTTCCTTCTAGCGTCTTAAGTGGCATAAGGCGTGCAGGGGGATTGGTCGCTTGATTGGAAAATGGCTGCAGGTATCAAAGCACAGCCACTTCCCGTTGGAGCGAACTACTCAAAAGGAGACCCTACAAGTGGGGCATCCGTTAGGAATATCAGCAAGGGTGAGAGAAAATGGGGTGTATGACTGTAAAATTGGGTTGGTAATTCCGAGGTTCGACGGGTACAAGGAGCACGAATCATGAGCTCACTAACAATGCAAGCAAGTGGGTCAAGTGGGTAAAAATACCTCATAACTGCGGTGTATGAACAAAGCGGAATAACAAATACGCAGGGATGTCGTACGAAAGGCAGTTGATACGTGGCTGCGAATTTCCATGTACCCGGAAAAGGGGCTTGGCAATCGGCGGCGCCGCACTATTAGAGTTTTCCATGAGAATTCTCGAAGCCTTCTAATTTTGGGCATGGATTGATAATCCTGCTGTCCGTGCGCCAAAATCTGTCAAGATGCGTCTGATCCCTGCCTATCGTTATGTTTAACTCTGCTACCTTATCCTATTTTGGAACTCATGTGGAACTCAATGAAAAAATTTTTCTTCGCTTCCTTCCACGGCTTTCATACCTATTTGGTGATCTGTGCATATGTCCACTTAGATCAAAAATGATGGATGAGCGCTGTTGACACGCAAGCTGGTTCGCTCGATGCCGCGTGCCCTCGTTCCTACTTACTTTAGTAGGCACGGAAAAACCAGGATAACGTATCAGCGGTTCAATCGCGCACGTTTACGACAGCTTAGACTGTGAAATCTCTGTCAATGCAACGCTTGGCTTGCCTAGCGCGATCTAGGAAATTATTTTACTACATACATAGATGTATCTACTAACCGATTCACCGGTCGGACTTAAAGCAAAACACTTATTGGTTAATTTATTTCTGCCTGCAACTTAATATATACAACTTGATATGAGCCGAAGGATTCCGAAATTTATATACAGAGTTTCTTGAGTACCATCGATCCAACTGCATAGGAAAGTATAGGAAAGTATGGAAACGGGACACAGGCTCAGATGGAGAGAAGTGACTTGGGTCATTCCATCGGCCCGGTCGATCAAGATCTCTCGGTAACACGGCACGACGGTCTGCACAGCCGAATACCCTACCTCTCGTACTTTATGCGGACTCTTCCCACCCATGCCGAGTTCTAGTAGGCCCTATTTGAGCCTAGTAGCAAAATAGATATGGTTACATTGCAAGGTGACAGATTGATAGTGTCTCCAAACAATCAGTGTGGCTGAAAACTCTGCCCGAGGAACAACAATTCCGACCGTTATGCCGAACATGTCTGACAGTCAGCCCTTTGGATATTATTATGGATACGATTTTTTTCCCTTTGATTCTTACACTATGGAATCTACTAGAGGGAATTTCACAAGAGTACTGTCTCAAATTTTTCTTCGTAGACATTTACGACTCCTAATGCTACCAGAATCTCGCTAAACTGAATCTTTCCCACACTAAAACCTTTTCCTAGCAGGGTAATAATTCTGCCACCATACAAGTCCAATTTAGAACCAACACATTGCTAAAACCAGAGTCAAGTAAGTAGTGAGTAGATAGCGCCAGAACCAACCAATACAAAATTCCCATCATGGAATCCAAATCATATCCCATGACCCCCGGCATCGATTCTTCTAGAACGCTTTTCCATTATCAATTTTTTTTACCAACTTCCCAGGATAAAAAAACAAACATTATGCATGTCTCGCAGCATAAGCACCCACAAGAGAGGGAAAAATGTACATAACATTTCCACATATCTAGAACTACCCTTTCCAAATCGAGGAGAACCATCGACGTTCTGGACCTCTGCCCACACAGCCCCTCAACGGTCCAGACTGCGACCGAACGCGGTCACCTGCCCACTAACAAACAGCACACAACTTATCAACCCATCAATCAATATCGGTTGAGTGATCGATTCGGTCCTCATACCATTAAGAGAGAAAAAAAATTTTCTATTTCCAATCGTGACAAAAAATTAGACCATACAGAAAGATGTTTTAGACATTGTTATCGATTTTACGTGCTAAACCTGATCACGCTCTCCTGTCATGTGAAACAATGTTTTTCCGGGGTTGTTTCTATTTATAGTATGTTTCTGGAGAAACACCACCATGGTATGCTATACTATGTCTGTATGTACAGTAGTACATCGCGGTTGGGTTATCGATGTCCATTACTAGACCGGTATGACTGTTTGCTCATTACTGACTGTATGGAACAAGACTAGCTGATCAGGTTCTGGGTTTATCATGGTCATAGTAATTAATCTACTTGTTGAGTCACGTCGGGTTGAGCCTCGGGTTACCTCCGGCGACTCGAGTCATGGACGAGGCTCTACGTTACTCACGGGATTCTCCATAATTTTGTTGCGCTGATTTTGGGTGATTGCCTAGTTGCTAGCGTACGGAGAGTTGGATTTTCACTGTCACGAGACTAGGATAAACTACCGAGGATGGAGAGAACAGTGAGAAGAACAACTCCTCGACTTGGTTGTTCCGGATCATTTGGATCATTTGGACGACGACGATAAGGCCATGCTCACCTAGTGAGGCATATGCTATGGCTCTCAGAAGGGACTTCAGCTTCAACATGGCGGCTAATTTCCTCATAGGTCAGTCTACATATGTTTAGCAATGATCAACCTGGTGAGAGAAGTGTGACATTGGCTGTTCGCAATCATGCGACTCCAGACGATAATACATAAGCTTTGAAGAGTTAAGGGTTGCGCCTCGACTTAGACTGCATACTACATAGAAGAGAAAGGCTCTTTATATTAACTGTATTCTAGATATAGAGGCCCTATTACTATATCGGGGTTACTTCATCCAAAATATAAATTAAGGTTCTTATAAAAAAATGTACTGAGCAGGCTAGAGTTGATCTGTTTTGATACTAGAAGAGTTTCGAGGCGTATCTAACATTCTTAGATGTTAGGCGAGCTGCGCATGTTTGAAAATGTATCAAAAGAGCTATAGTATGCTTTCCACTGATCACATGCATTGTGAAGACGAGGATTTGTCTTGAACAAATTTTTTGGAACATATATGACATATTGTCAAGACTACAGCAGTATAATAATACAGGGTAGGACATAGTTTCAGTAATAAATATGTATTCTAAAGTAGTCAGCATAGACCGCAGCTCGGCCTCCATGAGACCACGCTCTTCAAGATCGACTTCAATGCGAAAGCCCTCCGGCAAGTACGTCGAATTCCCGCTTATCGGGCTTTCATTCCACCGCACTGCGCGTGAATTGTCTGGCCTTGATATAACACATAGCCACCGGCGTACTCGGTTTTGATAGGGCTGAGAGAATCCAGCCAGACAATCGATTAAAGGTCCCTTGCAAGACTCTTAAAACCAGCTTCCAACAGCGCCAGTGATTGAGATGACTTCCCCGTTCTGTTGGTGGTTTCTCTCTTCAGGCGGAGTTCGGATAAACATTTCTAACTGATTGGTTCACGCTAACCTTGCCGTGGTAGCCTATGCCAATAAATGCCAGATTATGTCCACTACTGTTACATTTGCATCAAGAATGACATTTGCCCATCCAACGCTGGGGATCACCTCGAGGGATTCATTAGGTAAGGCAGAACGCATTAGTAATGTGCATGGGCGATCTATGATTCCATCGTTCGTTTTTCTCCTGTTCTTTGTATCATTATACACCAGAGAGCGCTTAGAAATATAGACGACACACAGAATGAAGAGAAGGGGGAGTCTTCATCCACGTGCAAGAAGAATTCAGGGTAACGAGGAATCACAACTCCGGAGCCCCAACCCAAGAACAGCCGGAGCCTTCACATATTCCGCTCGAGCCTTGACCCATGGTTGAAATGAGAGCAAACTCTGCGAGGATGATTTCTCTGAACGTGGCGCCGTTAGGAAAAGAGCTGGACACCTACACGAAGAACAAGCTTGCGAGACCTCTGTGGGTTCGGAACCAGACTGGGGCCTCGAAGAAAGCGACAGCAAGAGGATATACTGTCGATATTGATAGCGACAAAGTACCACCAGTCGTAGGTCGACTCGTTCACAGGCTTAACTTTGTGACCATCGAGGCCATTGTGGCAGGAGGTAAATTGCGCTGTGACGGATCCTGGTTCCGGCTTTAGTGCGAATGTTTTAGTATCTGTCAAACGCGCACATGCTGCGGTGCACAGGTTGTATTTAGAGAGGATCGCCTCGGCTAATGAAAGAGAAAGGCAAGGTGAATGCATTTTTGATGGCTATTCGGATCAGAAGGGACTTGGTGGAGGGTTTTGAATAGAGGTGGGCGAGTTGGGAATACTTTATAATAGGGAGACCACGCAGAGTTGTTACACCTGAGTCAAGGGAACCGCTTCTTCCGGGCCTTCGTCCACGTCAAACAATCCAGACGTTCAATCTCGAGCCCCTAGTCAAGACCATGTGTACTTCGGTGCTTCAAGCCTCGAGTGGTACCGGATTAGGCTGGCTTTCTTGGCCATCTGAGCATTCTGGTGCCTAGTTCAGCCATGATAGGTTCCTCTAGTCGTGCAAGTCAACCTGATTGGCACTAATCATAAGCTCAAAACCACATTCACCGTCTGCAGCCGTCATGTCAGCCCCCTGACAGCCTATAATTTCAGGGTTTGGTTTGTTCCTCTCAACACAACGTGGAAAGCTCGACTCGAACCAGACTCCTGGAACCCTATTTTCGGAAAGTCCCAAGATGCAAGACCGTTATTCTAGTGTTTGACGTTAATAGGTTCGAGTGGAGACGGGCCGTTGGTCAATCGATCCACGCTGCTCAGCCAGTATATGAAGAAGAATTCGTGGTCAATTGTGCGTCTGGTCCTTTTTGTACGATTGGTGATAGATGTGGGCACAGGCTCTGGGGCTATAGATGATGAGTCCTTCACGCCCTCTGCGTATGACATGTTCGGTACAAACAAGTGACTGTCGTCGATGGGTATGTGTCGCTATAACCTTGATATGTACAATTACCTAACCGCTGCTGCAATAACGCAAAACCAAAATTATCCATATAAGTATCATAGATACCAACTGTGCCCTGATTTGCTTGGTTTTTCATTGCTTATGACACCAGGCAACTGCCTAAGCTAACGCGGTTCGACGTTTCCTGAAGAACTGCACGGTCCTGAAAGCAAGGAAGGAGGCTGGCTGCTGGTCAGTATATCTATTGTTGAATTCCTGTTTAAAAAAAAAAAATACATATCGACCGAGACGTTTCTTAGGAACACATTTCAGATTTTGAAAGGCCAGTTGAACGAGATATTCATGGCAAATGTTGCTGAACGCCTTTTGGGTCCATAGTTGAGATGTTGGAAGACCTAGTAATCTCAAAAGCTAAGCCTACGACCCATGATTCTCAGGAAAGCACATGTTCAAAATTCCTCGCTTACTAGGGGAAGAAGTCAAGAAAGGGTTGATTCGGAATAGCGTCCTAGATTTTGCTACGTTGGCTCTCAGCCTCAACATGCAGCACCTTAGGTAGAGGGGAAGTGATACCTTGTACCCATGTGTTCTAGGAACCCCACGGCCACGGCCAAACTACATGTTTAGCTGGATATATTCATGTTAGTTCACACGAGGGGACAACCATGAAAAAAGGCCAACCAGTAATTTGAATCTCACCCGTCGAAGCAGTGCAATTCTTGTCATCGGTCGCTCCGATCCTACAGCCCTTGGTCCATAGCTCTAGAAGCTCCCAGACTATATCTGTTAGATATTGTTCATTGTGGATTTCCCATCCGTAGATTACGACCCGGATGCAAAATCGTCATCGGTTGGGAGTTCTTTGCAGCATATTCCAATGATGAGCCAGAGCCCTGAGCAAGGGTCAATGTATTTCTCAATACATCCAAGAAATCCCTGTCGCTATCGTCGCAAATCAAATCTAATTAAAGATCTCCATGGAGAGAAGCACTCTATGGCATTCCAGTGGATCCCTAAGTCATCTCGGATTGAGCAATTTGGGTTCTTCGGCGGACTGGGTTCACTTGGGTCCACGTGTGGGGGACTGCGGGTTTGCTTTTTCGCTATTTTTTCCGGTACACTCTGGGGATACTGCAGTTTTTTTTTATTGCTATAATAACTAATCAGCTAACGAGGTATAGCCATCACGAGTAGAAAGCTCCTAGGCTGCGTTCTCCAAATGGGCCTATATATGCCTTGTTCCGATTTGGCTTGTGGTTTCCCGCCGCAGTGTATAGGAGTCGATTTTTGGGGACAAAGTTCCCCCGACGAGTCACAAGGTCGACGTCGCTGGCATAGAATATCGGGGAAATCTCTTGGGCAAGCCCGATATAGGTAGGAAGATAACAATGCAAGGTTAGCAGGGTTAAGATACATAAAGAATAAAGGGGCAATATATGGGAGGAAGAAGCAACCCGGTACCAATTCGGTCTTCAAACGTCTCCTGGACACTCTGGTTTCAGTCCAGTATGGATGATTTGCAAGTGCGGGTTGCCCTATTCTGCTTGGTTATAATGGCCCATCGTCTAGCCCGTCAAGTTTGAGGGACGGTGACATACCACGCGGGGGAGCACCTCAAATGAAGCTCCGCCGTGTCTAGGCAAGGGAGTTAAGGGAGTCCGATAATTTAGATACTACTCACTGTATGAGACAGGTAACCGGTCCTCGGCATTCTCGGTGATCTCGTTTCGAAATTCCACTGCCTCGCCTGCGAGCTCTTTGTTTATTCGACGCTAGCGACCGGTGTTATAACCCTCTGCTACACCAATCATACAATTCATGGACAGCTGAAGGTCGAAGAATAGTAATCATCTCTCCAACAGAGCAACCGCCCTGATTCTTGGCTGTGATTGCTACCCATATGTCTCCATTTCCTAATAATGTTGGCTGCGAATCCGCGACTGCTCTATGTCTTTTGCAACACATAGATGAAGCGAAACCTGGCGTCTGGGGCCGTGCGCGTGAAACCACCACATCGGTCAGCCCAAGCATTCAGGGTGTCAGTATGATTGATAAGCGCGGCCCACGAGAAGATTGCCTCCCTCTCTTCATACCGTATAAGTCTTCGCCCGGTGATGATATTCTACCTCTTTGTTTTAGTATCGGTCGCGTTTCATGCCAGTTTGAGGACGCTGTAGAGCCCATCATGCTCTCCACGTGATGCTCTAAGTCGGCCTGGAACAAATTTCATCAGCAAACTTCTAGGAAGTGGAAAGAGCAGTTTGATCTCACCGACGTTAGTTGGATACATCCAGGAATCTCGACACCGCGTAGAGCTGCAAATAGAGTATGCACGGCGGTGCCAAGCCGCAAGCACGCTATACTTGAGTCGCACTTGCGCCAGTCCAGGAGTAGTTTAGTGAGCGCGGGTCAAACAGGTGACCTGAGCTGACCTAAACTGGGGGTTCAACCCTTGTCGGGTTCAACCCGACCCGAGCTATCTCGAGTTCCAGACGACCACTACGATGCACAACTTGTTTGATCTTAGACGTATACTGTGGTTTTCGGGTACGCTGGCTGCTTATATGGGTAGCCTACTATGGCTTCTTTGATCTGAAGCTATTTTCGAGCTTGTGTAATGCCCTTTTTGCGTTATCTTTCTTCCAGATTAAATTAGAAGTATAGTATATATACATTGATATATATTCTTACATGCACCCCATACCACCACCACAGAGCATACCGACATATCTAACCCTACATCTGAGTATATACCCCACATACACAAATAGAACAGGCATCTCGCATAGAACGTCGCTGACCCAATATACACTTTTGAAAAGCCGCATAGGGGCCCTTGACGAAGTTAAAAGGCAAGTACAGTACACCCGCGTAATACCTATCGCGCTCATGAACATCACCAGAATCAAATACGAACTACAGTGCAAATTACTTCAAGATACCAAAGAATAGATTCACTGGACGCGAATGAAAGCAACTAGAACAAGCAGTCATACAGACAGTAGCCTTAGACGCACAACAGCATCGCTAAAATCGTACCCAAACGCGTAGCTCAAACACGCGACCGAATTACAGACAACATAAACAAACCCACTACAGCAAGACTACACATAAATATGAAGGACCAGGACACAAAATTATTTCTTCTTTTTTTAAAGCGTTCGTATTCATACCAGACCGCGCATTTCGATGACGCGATGGTTCTAAAGGTACCAGCCGGTAGCATGAAGGCCGCTATGATACAGAAAATTCAACCACGAACACTAGCAGACCCAGTAGTGGACGCGTAATAGTGGAATAAAATACGTTAAAAGCAAACCCAGAGACCCATGGCAAAAGATCAATAACACCCCAACGTCCCAGTCATACCGTAAACCAACCCGAAAAAGCAACCCGTCGCGTCACTGCTGCGGAAGGACAACCGACGCGCCGACCGCGCAGGATGGCTAAAAGAAAAAGACGAGAAAAGAAAGCATTTAACCACCGAAACCGTAGAGGGTACCTGATTGGAACCGTTAGACACGCGTCGAGGGGTAATCATAGACAATGGAGACAACTCACGTCCTTGACGCTTCAGGGCGTAGACGACATCGAGAGAAGTAACGGTCTTGCGCTTGGCGTGCTCAGTGTAGGTAACGGCGTCACGGATGACACCCTCAAGGAAGGTCTTGAGGACACCACGGGTCTCCTCGTAGATCATGGCAGAGATACGCTTGACACCACCACGACGAGCGAGACGACGGATAGCAGGCTTGGTGATACCCTGGATGTTGTCACGCAAAATCTTGCGGTGACGCTTGGCACCGCCCTTTCCGAGACCCTTGCCACCCTTTCCACCTGCAGAAGGATTAGTCACTGACCATGATCGCGTCGTGGAATCCAATTAGGGTAAAATGACTTACGGCCAGACATATTGACGATTGATTAAAGAGTAAAGTTGTTTTAAGGTTGACTTAAAGAAATGTGGAGAGATTGGTGGTTAATTGGATGACAGATGGGAGAGAGATGCGAAGAGAAGGATTGGGAGAGCTTCCATGGGACGGGTGATATTTGTATAGGAAAGGGTAGAGCGCGGGGAGGGTATTGGAATCACACGCTAGATGGGGGATCGACCAATCAGCGGTTAGGATCCTCCCGGCGGGTTTGATCTGTCGGCAACGTGACCGTGAAGAGATGATTCCGCTATCATGAATTTTGATCCTCACGGAATGCCATTCAACCACTGAGATCAAAGATCAAAAAGAATCAGAGACATTCCTGGACATCCCTACTATCAGTCTTGTCTACTGAATTTACCCCCATACCTTACCGGCGGTTGGGATCAAGACGAGGCAGGGAGGAATTCTAGATCCGTGATCCTACAATCCTATTGGCCAGACTCTCGCTTAACGCACGGATCAATTCTATTCCTGCCTTGGGCGTGGACTCCCTGACCGCCCGCCAGGGAACCCTTTGATTCTGCAGCGAAAAGTGACCCCCGAAATCACGGCTTATGGTGTGCTGCTTTCCGAGCATTTTTTTGATCAAAGGGAAAGGGCGCTAAGACCACCCAAATTGCTGGCAACGCCATCAGATCACCACCCGCCCTTCGCTTACTACAAATACCTCCCCCCACCCGCCTCCTCCATCCTTCTTTCATCTCCTCACCCGCCCAACTCCTATTTCGACAACCATCGACTTTTCATCTTCAACGTCATTTTTCATCTAATAAGTCGACTTAATCTATCAAACCTTATCCGCTAAAATGGCCAGAACTAAGCAGACTGCCCGTAAGTCCTAACCTCACTGTCCTTGCTCTTGGTGTCATCGCTCCGCGTCACGGTCGCGTCCCTGGAGTATATACCGCGCCTTGAACATGTACCACTAACACCAAACCAGGTAAGTCCACTGGTGGCAAGGCTCCCCGTAAGCAGCTCGCCTCCAAGGCTGCCCGTAAGGCTGCCCCCTCCACCGGAGGTGTCAAGAAGCCTCACCGTTACAAGCCCGGTACGTTCCTGTCTTCATCTGGCAAATCGCTGTCGTATATCACTAACAGTCATGAAAAGGTACCGTCGCTCTCCGTGAGATCCGTCGTTATCAGAAGTCCACTGAGCTTCTGATCCGCAAGCTCCCCTTCCAGCGTCTGGTTCGTGAAATCGCTCAGGACTTCAAGTCCGATCTGCGCTTCCAGTCCTCCGCCATCGGCGCTCTCCAGGAGTCCGTTGAGGCCTATCTCGTCTCCCTCTTCGAGGACACCAACCTTTGCGCTATCCACGCCAAGCGTGTCACCATCCAGTCCAAGGACATCCAGCTCGCCCGCCGTCTCCGTGGTGAGCGCTCTTAGATTGTTCTCTAATGAGTCCGGTTTTTCTGGTTGTCTCTGGGTAGGCGATTAGGGGTTTCATTTCTTTTTACGACTGGCGATACATGATGGGTTCTGTTTTTTTTCTTCATTTGCGAATATCAATGGGTTTCGGCACTGGGTTTTCATTTTGCTGCGCAATAAATAGTAGGCTGTCGACAAAGCAGCTGAGTGGATTGGGTCTCGTGGGATGCATCCGAGTATGTACATTAAGGAAATTTACTTGACCAAGCGGTGTTCCTCCGGAATCGCCAGCGGATGGCATAGATTCGAAATGCAGATTCTATGACGAATTAATCCAATCCATTTCTTTGCAGTGATTACGTTTTAAGTGGTGTTTCTCGTAGGTGGTTTGGTCGGAGTCTAGCGGATGTGTTTCTACGGTCGCGACTTCGTGTCAGGCGTGGTGTTCTATTCGCTGAGGATATGTGTGAAATGCATGATCACCTATACAACTATACATACCTCGCCTATCTCAATCTGGGATATGTGTGGTTTACATTAATGATAATATTTCCTAAAAACCTTCTATCCACTATATCGTTCTATCAACCAAGAGGAAATTATCAAAGCGGAAGACTGATATCCCAGCGCATGTAACACTCAAAAGGGGAACTCAGCCTTGGCAACAAAGCCCTTACACAACATGCCAAAGAGTATCGCGCAAGATCTGCTCGAATGATGAATCATCGATTGCAACGCTTCGCTTGACTTCATTTAACCACCCAGTGCCGAACTCTAGAGTGGCGAGCAGACCTGCACTCGGTCTTGGCGATTTTTACATCCTATTCGAGACTGCTTTTCAGTGTATGTGGTGGATCCCACCCACCCCGGATTAAAATATCCAGCACAGAGATTTGCTTCTCCGAGACTGTAATGGAGGGAAACACTGAGCAAAAAAGAATTTTTTATTTTATTGATTTCTTGCAGCTTCTGCCTAAAATTTGATTTTTGATTACTGGATCTTACAAATCGTGGACTTTGGGCATTATACTGTATAAAGAAACAGAGCCATTGTGAAACCTTCGAATACTCACTTGCAATCAACCTATTAAACTACTACTCATATTTAATCGCAGCGCAACATAAGAAGAACAAAACAACCACCACAATGGACTCAGCCCAAGTATCCATAGCCGACAACAAAGTCGCCGTCACCCTCCACCGCGTCCTCATCCCCAAGCCCAAACCCGGCCAAGTCCTCATCAAAGTCATCGCCAGCGGCACAAATCTCAAAGACTGGAAATTCCCCGCCTTGACGCCCTGATTCAAGGCCACAAACACCGGCGACGATATCACAGGATACATGCACTCAGTCGGCGAAGGCGTCCTGGACTTTACCGTCGGGGGGCGTCGCAGCCTAGCACGACTAAATGACGCCGTACGGCAGCTACGCCGAATACGCCATCGGCGAAGCATACGCGACATTCAAGCTCCCGGAAACGATCCCCTGCGAATAGACTGCTACTGTTCCTCGCGGCTATGACTGCGTCGCTAGCGCTGTTTGCGCGGCTGGGACTGCCGGAGGCGTGGTTTAGGGAGAAGACGATGGCTGGATCTGGAGGTTCATCATGAAGACAGCAATCATTGTTCGGTGTTGGGAGAATATCTCGATTCTACCGATAACGGTCAAGATGACTTTTGGAATTGTCAACCCGAATAGCCAATTCATGTTAAAATAATTAATAAACAGGGAAAAATCCCCTATAACATGGTGTTACTACGTTTCCAATCTACCCAATCTTCTTGAATTAGGGATTACAATATCATGCTGTTGGCATAAATTATGCAGCGACCGGCATTCCGAAAGTTGTCCGGTAAAGAATCCCGTGCCCCTCCTCGGGCGAAGCTAATGAAAAATATGAAACACTCTATCGGCGGAGGGGGCGCCGACTACTAACTAGTGAGGTTCTGATTAGATTGGATGTGTAAATTAGGATTATATTTGTAAGATAGAGAGGGGCTCTGTGGTGATTGCGGGATTTGCCTCGATTGAAGCCCTTGGTACATGAGTTGGACGTGCTTATCTACCCCTCTATGCTGACTGGTATTTGTCAGCCCTAGTATCTTTGACTTGGTGTTTGTTTGCTTATCTTTGTTATGGGTGTTTAGGTTGTGCCGTTGTACGGAAGATGCATATACATGGCACAAGGCTGAACTCCAGTGAGGATTGGAGAGTGTCTATGGGGTATCGACTAAAGGAAGGGTTTCGGGATATGAAGTTAGAGTGCATGCTTCATACAGATGAATGGCTTGGTTGTTAGATTTCTATGTTGACTCGTCTATAAGGTACTGGATGAATGAGGACATTGTAAATATATATTTCATGAGACATGCCGACGCAATAGCGATACACTCTGTTTCCCGGATAAATAGGCAGACAGCTACTGGGCAACCAACTATGTAAACAGTAAATCCAACCGGACTCCACTCCAAAATTAACTATCAAGAGAGCTAATCTTGAATCCTAGCAGCGCAGTCTTACTCTACAGGGCCTATAGATTGTTGCCTTACGGATAAGGCGGCAGAAAGCGACAGGGCTCTCCTCACGGAGTTACACTAAGGGGCAACCCCGTATGCTTGCTTCAAGATAGTTTATCAACGATTCCCGGCTGAGATCAGCGTGGCTTGTCACGAGGATCAACCTGCCATGCGATCATGTAGACAGATGGAGCCCATTATCTACTCTGAAGTAGTACAAAGGGTTACCCGGTTGTGCCAGAGTCAGGATAGAGTATGACAAAGATCCATCGTTCTCCATTTAGATTTATGCAGTGTCAACACCACCAGAACCTACTATCTTCCATGAGTGGCTCGAAAGGCCCAGAATAATCAAGTGGCTCTCTAGCTAACCGTCTTGGGATTGTGGTTCAACGGCAGTGGGTCATGGACGGGGCACGCCGAGTCCCCAACAGCTCATAGCCTTTGAGGCTCCTTCAGACTACTGCTCCCTGATACAGTGATATTGCGCCCAGGAGCAAGTAGATAAACACTAGCCTATGCCTAGGTAGTAACAGTCATTTAATAAAAACGTTTATTCAGACCCTCTTCACTCATTGGGGATGGACCCGAAGCGATAGATTGTAGATGATCATCCCTGCCAGCTATTAACGCTCCCGTCAACTCGCCCAGCTCTGACGACAAGAGCAGTAGCCGATGTTTAGCCCCTACGGGCCATGGCATCGATGGCGTAGGAGTTTGAACGATGATTAGGAAACGCTAGGACGAAGAATGACCCCTTTTGAATTATGAGTAGGTAGTTGTAAGTAGGATCATGTTATGCCGGTGGTCTCATACCGGAGTTAAAAGATCAAAATGCCTTCTTGAGTTTGTGGCTGAAATCGAATCGGAAACGAAATGACGTCTAACCCGAAACGGGTAAAATTCCAGAGGTGAGGCCCTGGAAGTAGAATCGGACCGAAGTTTTTACGAATCATTTGGTCACCTGGTTAATCGATGCTACGATGCAATTTTCCTTCTAGTTATGCATACATACCTTGTCGATGAGTGGATGGATAAGAGTCAGTAAGCATTTTCGGGTGATCAATCACACAACATACGTGTAAGTAATCAATTCATCGTACGGAGCACTATCTCTTTAAGTCATTCTCCCGACGATTGAACTCGACTAATCAAAAAAGAAAAAACCTTTCAGGAGTTTTTTGGTCTCTAAGCCACGAGGCACACGGTTAGCCCATGGATCCAGAGCCTTAACAGATGGGTCATGGGATCCACACCGGTTAAGACCGACCTATCTATGCGCTGCATAATGTTGCATAATGCTGAGTTCCCGGGTACATCTCGCCCTATTTCCAGCTTGGATCCGAGGTAAATTACTACAAAGTGACGATGTTATTAAATCCCAAAAAAAAATCTAATTGCCCTGATGTATATATAGATTGCTAGGATCCCCTTCAGCTCTGCCTTTTTTGGTCCTGGGTTCTGAGTGATACCATTTTATACAATTTTATCTTTCATTTTTTTTTATTTATAATAGAATTTAATCTCTTGTTTCATTTTAACTTTTAATTTTCCGGATCGACAATCTTGATTTCCAACTGGGAGTCTCGAATAGAGTCTCAGGTTATACACTTGCCGCTTTCAGCCACCACTATCCTTGACAGGGATCACCTAGGTTATCTGTACACTACGACTGGTACCACTTACTAGCTAGCGCTTGTTAGTCTATTAATACGTGCGAGCCCCCTCAGCCGCTTCTTTGTCCGTTTCCCCCGAGTCGCACGGCACTGTTTCCTATCTATAAACGAATTTTTACGGTGATTCCACTCCCTCTCGCCATGTCGAAAGAGAAGGAGGTTCTCGCCGAGTCTCCCATGAGTCGGAAAATCCCCTACTGGCGCATGGTGGCAGATCAGGGTGCTGTGACCCAGGAAGTTATCGATTATCATTACCCGGGTTCTGGAACAGAAGAGGATCCATATGCCGTCACTTGGATTCCCAATGATCCAAGGAATCCTATGTTGTTTCCTAACAGCACAAAATGGTTCATCACTATGCTTGCTGCCCTTGCGACGCTGGCAGTGGCGCTAGTCTCATCGGCTTACACCGGTGGTGTTGCACAGATCAGACAACAGTTTCATGTCGGTACTGAGGTTTCGACCCTGGGAGTTTCGCTTTTCGTCCTTGGTTTCGCTATTGGTATGTCTTTCGTACTTCCCATCTCTCTGACCTGCGACGAGTTTTCTAGCTAACAGCAACAGGACCTCTGCTTTGGGCCCCTCTCAGTGAGATGTTTGGCCGTCAAGTCATCTTTTTCATCACATACCTCGCACTGACTGCTTTCAACTGCGGAAGTGCTGGCGCTCAGAACATCCAGACCCTGATTATCCTTCGGTTCTTCGCTGGATCGTTTGGTTCCTCCCCCCTTACCAATGCGGGTGGTGTCATCGCCGACATGTTCTCTGCTAAAGAGAGAGGTGTTGCAACGAGTCTGTTTGCAGCAGCTCCCTTCTTGGGTAAGTTTTCTCGGATATTGTATGCTACGTGCGGTAGAATAATCTTGAGTTAACCCTGCTCGCAGGCCCCGTCCTTGGCCCTATCATTGGAGGTTTCCTGGGTATGAATGCTGGATGGCGATGGGTGATGGGCTTCTTGGGTGCCTTTTCTGGCTTTGTTTGGATTGTGGCCTCTCTGCTTGTTCCCGAGACATATGCACCGGTTCTTCTCCGCCGCCGCGCCGAAAGATTGTCCCAGGTTACCGGCAAGGTCTATCGCAGCAAACTGGACATCGACCAGGGCAAGGTTAGCCTTAAGCAAGCGTTCGGCACCGCATTGTCGCGCCCATGGATCCTCCTCTTCCGCGAGCCTATTGTATTCTTGTTGTCTCTGTACATGGCTATCGTGTATGGCACCTTGTACATGCTCTTCGCCGCCTACCCAATCGTGTTCCAGTTAACTCGTGGCTGGAACCAGGGCATTGGCAGTCTCCCGTTCCTTGGTATCATGATTGGCATGCTGGCTGCTGTGGTCTACAGCATTATCGACAACAAGCGGTATGTCAAGACTGACGAAAAACATGGAGGGTTCGCTCCTCCCGAATCGCGTCTCCCACCATGCATGGTCGCTTCCGTCGCTATCCCTGTAGGCCTCTTCTGGTTTGCCTGGACGAACTACCCGTCTGTTCACTGGATGGCTTGCGTCGCGGCGGGTGCCCCCTTCGGATTTGGAATGGTCCTGGTGTTCTTGAGTATCTTGACCTACCTCATTGACACATACACTATCTTTGCCGCGTCCGTCCTGGCAGCAAATTCAGTCCTTCGGTCGGTTTTTGGTGCGGTCTTCCCACTTTTCACGACTTACATGTATAGCGACCTTGGTATCCACTGGGCCACCACCATCCCCGCATTCCTGGCTCTTGCATGTGTGCCGTTCCCATTCCTTTTCTATATTTACGGTCCTAAGATTCGCCTCCGCTGCAAGTACGCAGCCCAGTCTGACGCCTTCATGCGCAAGATGGCGCAGCAGATCAAGGAACAGCAGGGTGGATCTGAAGAAGAGGAAGAGCAAGTGTCATATGACCGCAGGGAAGCACCTGGTGTTGCGGTGTCCGATAGCAGCGATGACGAAACCGAGTCTCATATTGGCGAGCTTCCGCCCGTGCAACAGATTCACACCAAGTCATCCGTTCGGACAGCTGGCTCTGCACGCCACTCGATTTACGACGGAAATCCGTACGATATCGATCGGGTTAATACTCGCGAGTCTTTCAAACCCACTTGAGCAGTTCCTAGAAAAAGGATCGCTCGTCCCCTTTTCTAGGATGTCCTCCCTATACATACCGATACCGACAAACCAAGTCGATAATATTTAGTATCTATAACCTCTATTTATGCCTATACCCATTGTTGATAGTACTCAACGTGTTGATCCGTGATGCGCATGACGGAAGAGAAAAAAGTTATTATCCATGCATGGAGCCCTTTCGCGAGGGCTCTACTTTTACTGTTTAGACGACCGTTTCATGTTGATATACCCGGCGTGTCATTGCATATTTTCTTTGTTTCCTTGCATTATAGGCCGTGGAGTTTGCTGGAAAGATTTGCCTTGGTGTGTGTAATGTCATAGAAAATATAAATACATGAAGTTAATGATCTTTCTCGGACTTGATGATTCAAATTTGCCTCCGGTCGGAAAGTTTGCGGGCTCTCCGACCCTCGGCGGAGACGCCGTGCCGACAGTGCTGACAGCGGATTAATTCTCCTTTGCTGATTCAATTTTGACTCAATGATGTGCCTGTTTCTCTTCTGACAGGACTGTTTTTCAGATGCGGCTACTGGGCTTCACGAGGTGGCTTGGATATATTCTCAATAGGCCTATTGCGATTATCGATGAATGGCATATGCGAGAAATAAACTACAATACAGCCTCACAATGAGAAACACCCTCGTCAGCCACTTTGGCAAGCGGCCGACACTACCGCCACGATCTCATCTCTCATCTCGCGTCCGACCACAGGGGAATCGATCCACCAGCTCATCACCCAAGCCAGAACCGACTCCGGAGAAGAAAACTCCCCCCTCATCTACACATTCCTCCCTTTCCTCCACCCCGCCTGCAGTCCCCACCGGTGCCAGATCTCGATCGCTGCGCGACGTTATCCTGGAGGGTCCTCTTGGCAAGCTTGGCCGATCATATTCGCGGATCCAGGAACGACGACCCTATGCGACGCAGTTCTGGAGCTCGATCGTCGTATACCTATGCGGGGACCTGAGCGCGCAGTTAATGTTCCCGTCGGACAGCAAGTCGATCAAGGAAACAGTTCAAGAAAACTCAGAACCAGGGGGTGAGGACAATGCTGCTACGACTTCCGGAGGATATGACCCGTGGAGGACATTGCGGCACTTGACAGTGGGCGCGGGATCAAGTATCCCGTCCTATAATTGGTATTACTACCCCTTCCTACCCCTACCCGTGATAAGATGCTAATATGCTAATGCCCCAACGATAGGTTCATGTTCCTCCACAACCACTTCAACTTCGCATCCAAGTTCCTCTCGATCCTCACCAAGGTCGTCGTGCAACAGGCCCTCTTCACACCCGTATTTAACACCTACTTCTTCAGCGTCCACTCCCTTCTTTCAGGCGCGACTATAGAGGAGACCTGGGAGCGCCTGAAGAAGGCTCTCCCCGTGAGTATAACGAACAGCGCGAAGCTGTGGCCCGCGGTCACGGCGTTCAGCTTCATGTACGTGGCGCCTCAGTTCCGGAATATATTCTCTGGGGTTATTGCGGTCGGGTGGCAGACATATCTGAGTTGGTTGAATCAGAAGGCGGCGCGAGAAGTCGAGGCGAAAGAGCTGGCTGAGGAGGCAGCTTCGCAGATTGGTATTGGGTCGTCTGCGACGCTGAAAGCGTAAAGTTATTTGGAGTGGATTAGATGGCTCTTCTTATACCCGTTTGTTTTCTTTTTTTGTCTCTTCTTGTTGTATGTATATAGACTTTAGACTTGGCGGCATTGGGTGGATTATAACTTGTAGATAGCGTGTGTTTTGAGAGCTCGTGAGAGCTCGATAGAGAAATGAATCGTGATTTATAGACAGTATTTCCTTTTATTCTTATTATGGTTCTCCTACCTACTTAGACACCGTGTTCAATAAAATACCATTTTGGTGTCAACTGACGGGAAACCAAAAACCACGATAAATAACATTTAATTGAATGTTTATCGAACAGCCCCCCGTCGCAACTCCACATCACCATGATATGAGGCATCGCAGGCCATGTCCTGCCCAGCCTTCACCCCAATTTTAATGAAAGATACCCTTGACGACAGCAGCGACTACGGATCCGACTTCACCCCGGATGAAGAGGAGACCTTGAACGAACTCCTCGCCAAAGCCGCCACGGAACACGCGGCTCTCCACACGACACCGCCGCCACCCCAGCAATCGACGACAGATACAACCGTGAAGGAGGCATATTTCGCCGTAGCCGATATTGAGGATAGCTATGTTGCTCCATCGAGCTCTCGGACGCCCAGGATGCTGGGGCCCGTATGGCAGGTTTCTAGGACGGGGAGAGCAGGTCCGATGGCGAATGGGGGCGTCGCGTTTGGTATTACGCTCCTTCCTCCACCTTTGCTTTTTGATTTGGGATTGGGCGGCCAGTTTGGTGTTTTGTGGGTGCTGACATTCTGACGAAGCGTTTAGTTGAACATGAGAATTCTACGGAAGGGCGGGTGAGGGAGCGCGAGAGACATGTTGCCCGTGAGAGGGAATGGACTGTCGATGCCGATGCCAATACTGGTGCGGATACGCGGTCGCCGATCGAGAGGTTTCGGAAACCGCCTAATAAGGCTTTTTCGGCCACGGATTTGATCTCGCCGGCGTGGTGCGAGTTGCAGTATTGGTATACGTTGACGAAGTTTGGGAGGAAGAGGAGGACCCCGGCGATGAAGCAGGGGAGTACGATACATAAGACATTAGAGGATGAGATTTGTACGACGGTCTCGGTAGAGATTACGACGAAGGAGGATGCGCTGGCGCTGAGGATATGGAATATCATACAAGGGCTACGGATGTTGAGGGAGTTTGGTGTCACTCGGGAGCTGGAAGTGTGGGGGCTGGTGGATGGTGAGCTGGTAAATGGTGTCATTGACCAGCTCTCCTATGAGTGTCCGGACCCAGATTTAGAAGCGACGGCTGCGTCGTACTATGCCGATGTGGAGGCGTCGAGGGCTGTGTTGTCCGAGTATCAAATGTCGCTCTCGGATTACTTGTTGTCTCCGTCACAGGGTGGTAAACGGCTCTCGGATATATCCTGGCATGATGAGCCACAAGACAGCTTGGATGACTCCATAACTGGCAGACAATCCTCAGAGGCATTCAATTTGCCTCGGATATACATGACAGACGTCAAAACGAGAGCTAGTGACTCTGTTCCCACTGTGAAGAGCTCGTCGTTCCGGCCGACGCTGCTTCAACTCCAAATATACTACCATATGCTCAACCGACTTGCTACCAGCGACGATGTGTCTATTGAACTACTTGCCTCGCGCTACAACCTGGATCCTACACGCACGTTCACCGAGACCTTCATAGCCGAAGTAGGTGGCCTGAACGACCAATTCTTCGACACCCTTTCGTCGCAAGAGTTTGAGTACGACTTCGTTTCATTACAAGGAGAGGCTACTAAACGACAAGGGTCAGAATTTACAGACTCAACGCCGTCCGGAAGCCAGGACTCGACCAGTATTCTTCTAGCGCACAACAACTTATCTAGCCTGTGGAATCTGATGAAAGAACAACTCCGACTCACCTTTCTCCCACCTCCACATTCGTCACCGGTATCAGTGGCACCATCGATTCCTTCTGAGTTTCAGCCTGGCTTACTTGAGCCTTATCCAACTGTACTATCGCCTGTCCTCACAGCCCGATACCTTTCATCAGCCCCAACAACAAACCACGCCCGAGTGCTGGGCAGCCGATCTTTTCTATTTGACCCTGTAACCCTGACATCGTATCTGTCCGACCAGATGGAGTGGTGGCGTGGGCAGCGTGCCCCACGCGGCGTCGAAGTCACGGAGGCGTGGAAATGCCGGATTTGCGAGTTCCGAGATGAATGTTCCTGGCGTCAAGAACGTGAATTGGCTTTTGCAAAACGTAGACGGAGAAGGTCGTCTTTGGCTGTGTAATACTTTATTGTTCGTGTATATTGTTGGGTCGTTGGTCGGTGTTTGGAAGGTTAATCTACATCAGGATTCAGTTTAGGAGGTTCTACTGTGTCTACTAATGTGTTTGGGGTTTCGAAGTCCCGTTCAACTTCTAAGACTTGGGAGAATCACAGGATCCAGAGATGGTATGATCATAAGAGGTATATCTAGTTTAACCTCAACGATACAAAATCTAGACTAAACAAAAAGCAAAGAAGTAAAAGGAAATATATATACATACATGCCATCATAATTTCATAATCATCAAAACGGATAACTCCTAACCTCCTCCTTTCCCAGATCCAGCCCTTCAGAAACCTGCGCCTCATGCATACGATCCAAATACTCCAACAAAACCTCCCCATACTTCTCCCTCCCCTTATACCTCGCCACATCATCCCCCCAACTCCTAATCGCCGAAGCCAACCGCCCAGGCACATACGCCTCCTTGACCACCTCCGTAACCGGCTCAAAATACGTCCGAATCGTAAAAACCACCGCTCCCGTCCTCGGCAACCGCCGCAAACTCTGCCTCTCTGAGCGGAAATAATGCTGCCCAATCGCCTTATTCTTCTCCGCCGTGTTCCACGACACCGAGTCCGCATCCTCAGACCCAATACTACTCGACCAGGGCAAGTTGTCGTCAACCTGGATGAAATAATTGTTCCTCAGCACGGGATCCTCAGGTCGTAGCCTGCGGAAGAAGTTCATCATCCCCTTTTCAAGCTTCTCTTTGTAGCCCGGGACGTCCCCGGAGGTATGAATGTCGGACAGCCGCATGCCGAATTTATCCTCCAGGCGCCAGAAGCCGGCTAGCAGGATGGACCCGGCGAGGAGGTAGTACTCGCCGTCGGGGCGCTCGAGCATCAGGGCGAGGTCGTCTTGGATTAAGCGGGCGCAGGTCTGCATGGGGTCTTCTGGGAGGGGGCGGGCGGTTGTGTTGAAGGATTCGTGGGTGATTGAGTTTGTTATTCCGGTGGGTGTTTTGAAAAACATGCTTGGGTAGCGTTGGGGGAGGTAGGATATTCTGTTTTTGTTTTGCTTTTGTTAGCCTGGTACGTATTCTTGGGCTGGTGGAGGTGGTAGTTATGGGGCGAGAGGTACGTACAATTCTTCTAGGAGCTCGATGGCTGCGTCCATGGCTTCGGGGGCTGTTTTGGAACATTTTGGTCCTCGCTCGGTGATCCGGCGGGCTTTGTCAGCGTGGTAGCGTAGGTAGTGGTTGTCGAGTTCGATCCAGTCGTCCCATTTCATGCTTCGGAGGCCCATTGTTATGAAGTACTTGCTGGGATGAGTGTTAGGTTTTCTTTTTTGGGATGTTGGGGGGTTTGAGGACTTACGGTCCGTATTTGAAGGGTCGATACGGGATTGGTTTTGTGGTCTGGATGCTCCAGTCTGGGTATGGGGTTGCTGGGGGTCTTTTGAAGTCTGATGGGATCCATTCTCCTGGTTTGCGGGCGAGGGTTTGGAGCTTTGATGAGGTGGAGTTTTGATCTAGATCGGTGGAATCGTGGATTTGGTGGTTCTTCCAGTGGTGGAGGAGGGAATGGAGGAGCCAGGTGGTGAGGGTTGTTAGGAGGCAAATGGCAGTCACATTTTTGAGGTTATCTTGGATGATGATTTGGAGGAAGTCGAATATCATCTTGGATCCTTTCTTATTGTTGGTATAGTATGATGTGGTGGTTGACATTAATGTTGAAAGAATGCCAAGTTAGGGTTATGGGTGTTGAGGATGAAGGAAGATGTGATTTTAAAGCCGAAGAGATCTAGCGATAGGCATCGTTCTGCAGGATATCATCATTGCCGCTTCAGTTAATCGGATGCGATCTGCGGGGACAAGATTTACGTTTATCTTTGAATTCCCGGGGGATCTTTTGTCTCCTTCTGGTAAAGTCGCCCTGCCGCTCTACGTCCTGCACCTGCAAGGTCGCATGTAAAATACAAATGGAGGCAAAACTGAGAGAAACCTTGCTGAACTGTTTACATTGGTACATATAGATAGCACATCCTTTAGTCCGTCTCGGCCGGGACATTGCGCCGCCGGAGGAGACAATATTGTCCCCATTTACGCTGGAATTTATCGGGAAGCCCTGGGATATCAGGAATCCAGATCAGGCGGCCCAGAAGGCCGGTTTGCGAAGCATCAAGGAAGTCCTTGCACGATACCGCCTCCCACTGTGCGTCGTCATGGATATAGTCGGGCTCTAGTGCGCTTGCCCCGCGACTTGGGAAGTAAGAGTCAACAAGGAAAGAACATTGGGAGATGTCAACCTATACACAGGATGAGCTGGCGCAGAAAGCAAAGTATATAGGTAATCACTTACGTATTTTCCAGGGTCTTCCTGATTCAAATCGTTCATACCAACTGGGATCCGCGATGCGCCATCGAGGAGAGCGGGATAATCGGCAGCATCGGGGAATTCCCCAGGTAGCAAACCACGGAATTCACTGCGGATGAACTTGGCCCGCATGCCATCGGGTAGGAAGAATGAGGACGAGAACCGATACCACTCCTTGCCGAAACAGACCGAGTCGCCCGCTTGGGCAATGTCCAGCCGTTCGAGCGGCTCGAACACCTTCAGAGGAGCGTTGTAGGCGGTGATCATACCAACAGTCCGCAGTAAGCCAGCGTTGATAGCGGCAAGAACAATAGCAGTTACGATGGAAAGCTTGATGTTGGCTAACAAGGACCCATTTGACCCTCCTGGGTTCTTAGATCCAACGTAGGATAGAACCATATGGATTGCAATGGCCGCATTAAGGGCAAGAAAAGGGTATGCAGGATACATGAATCTTTCTTCCTTGTGAGGCTGAGCGGTAAAGATCGCAAACCACATATAGAATGGTGTGATCAGAGCAAGGGTTCGTAGCAAGGTTTCCTTGTTGGTAGCACGGGGTCGGAATGCGGCCTGGAGAAGCAGTAAAGGTGCTGCGGACATTGCAAACACGAACCAGATATTGAAGTTGAGAAGCAAATTCTTGATATAGAATGTCCAGGGTTCAGTACCGAAGATGTCAGGACCCTTACCGTCTCCTCCAAAAATGTTGTACGCGACAATATTCCAAGGCACAATAGCAAACTTCCCAAGAAAAGCGTAGTCCACGGCAATTTCCGCAGCCTGTATCTCATTAGCACAAGATAGACTTCTAGAATTCCAGCCGGTAGTAGCATACCAGAATTACCAGGCACCCCATAGCCCCGTTTATGATCCTAGAGATAATAGTCCCTAAGGACCCTGAGAATGAGCCGACAGTAATTTCTGCGAGCAATAGAGGAACGACCAAAGCCCCTGCAAAAGGCCAGCCTACAATCGCACCGACGCCAAACCACATAATTCCTTGCGCGATTTTCTGACGACGCCAATCCAAAAAGGCCGAGAGGCCAAGCATGGACATATACATCGTAAAGCTGGAGGGGAGGAAGGCTGCGGAGGCGTGGAACGTGCCCGGGCTGAATGCAATGATTATGAGAAAGAATAAGCCAATTTTGGGGCTTAGTGTTCGGCAGATAGCCGCATATAACCTGGTCTGGCAGGCAGCACAAGTGATGGCTAGAAAGAAGCGAATCGCATAGAACTGAGAACTTTTTGAAGTTAATGCGAGCGAGCTCGATTTTCCAACAATGGCATGGATGGTGACATAGAGCCAGCTCCGGATTGAATACACTGGCGAGTACTCCCACGTTTGGAGCCCGTACCCATGGTCAAGATAATGTGTGGGCTCCCAAAAGTTGAAGACTTCATCGCAATCCTGAATGGGTGCAAGAAAGGCAGCAATTCCATTAGAGATGAGGCCCACATAGAGTGTTACGTTCAATGGAAGGTAATAAGGCGGCGGCGGGGGTCTGCGGAGGCCTCGAAGGTTAGCAAAACCGATAAGGAAGGGATCCCTGATGCTGATACCGTTTCTTAGACCGCGGTGGTTTCCCTGTTAGTACTGAGGGAACCTCAACTGTCTTCCTGGCGGACGCCATCTTGTTGACAATGGCAGAGGGATATTGTATATTTTAAGCCAATATTGAAGCTCGATCGGAACACGTTATTGTTATCGATAAGAAAGCTCCTCCGGTGGCCGCAGCAGCAATTGTGGCACTTCTAAGAAAAAAAGTTTCCGCGCAAGACTTCGTCGGCCAATTCTGAACGTTTTACCAATTTTTCTTCTTTCTCCTTTTTTTGATATTTTCTCTCGTCTTTGAGTTATACATTACTCAAGGCTGCAGAGTTACATCATGAGCGACCAACAGCCTCCTGTTCAACCCCAGCATTCCCTGGAGGCTACTAATGAGGGCCCTCCTGTGAAGCGAACTTGCATGAATGATACGCCACCCATTGCGTTAACGCCCGCAGACGATGGAAGCGATTTTTATAGCACGCCATGGGTCGTGCGCACTCCTGTAGAAAGCAGTGAGAATATGGAGGGTGCTACTCAGGCTCAAACCAGCGCACCAACAGCGACATCTCATTCATCCACACTGATCCCCGGATTAAATCTCGTCAATGATAGTCTGAAAGGTCTGCAGTCGGCGAAAAGCGAACCAAACCCGTCGCCGAACACTACCGCCGGGGAAGAAATGCGTGCGGATACGCAGAACCATATGAATGTTGTACCAACTGAGCCCCAGAAACAAGAGCCTACCTTGGAAAGCACCAAAAAGGTCGAGGCGGAACAAAATCCCGAACCACGAACCCAGGCAGAAGCTACGAGTCAGAGCCAGACGGAAAACGTCCAGATTAACGGGACCGCAAACGGATCAGATAATGCGCCTACCACAGACGCTATGGATCATGACCAAGCCGAAGAGGATGAGGAGGAGCACCCCGAATGGGAGATTGACTCTTCCCCCTATGAATCATCTTCTGATGATTCTTCTACCGATTCTTCCGACGACAGCGACGATGACGAAGACTACCCAATCCTCAGCCCCGAAGAACAAGCGCGCATTTTGATGCAGGCGGAACTTGGTTCCGACGACGAGGGGGAAGGAAAAGGCAAATCGGGTGGTCATATTAGAACGGCGAATGAAATCCAGGAGGAAGCGCCCGATATCCCGGATATCATTGTGACTCCCGAAATGAAGATTGTCCATCTGGGACATGTAGAGGCGATTGTCGAGAATAACGTCCTAATTGCGGCGAACACTTCCGGAGAGTACCAGGTGCTTGAATCAGGCTCATTACTGTGCCTTGAAGATAGGAATGTCGTCGGTGTGGTTGCTGAGACTTTGGGAAGGGTGGAGAATCCACTGTATACTATCCGTTATCCCAGCGCTATGGCTGTAGAGGAACGGGGCCTTTCTCAAGGAAAGAACGTATACTACGTTGAGCAACACTCCACTTTCGTGTTTACTCAGCCTCTCAAGGGAATTAAAGGTAGCGATGCTTCGAACTTCCACGACGAAGAAATTGGCGAGGATGAGGTCGAGTTTTCCGACGATGAAGCAGAGGCTGAGTACAAGCGGAAACTGAAGCAGAAGCGACAGGAGAGAAAGGAAGCCAGGAACGAGGGTGGTGGCCCGGCAAGGGCTAAAAAGGGCCATCCAGGTCCTTCGAAGCTCAGTCAGACGGAACTAAACTACGATGATAACGCAGGTGAAGATGGGTACACTCCTCTTGCTCGCCCGAAGAACCTGCATGAGATGATGGGCCGGCAAGAGGCTCCTCTTGAGAACGATGGACCCCCGGCTAGAGGTGGTTTCCGTGGTGGTAGAAGTCGAGGCCGGGTTTCTGATCGCGGCCGCGGAGGCCGTGGTCGCGGCGGATCCAGAGATACTCAGCATTATGATCGCCAGCCATACCAGCGGCCAGGATCGGACGCGCAGCCTCAACATACCAGCTATAGTCAACAGCAAGCGTACCAGTCAAACCAATCCAATACTTATGGGATGCCACAGCCATATCCTTCATACCCATCTTTCCCGCAGCAGCCGCAGCAACAACCGCAACAACAGTTCGCTCAAGGTGCTGTACCTCCGGCGTTCAATACTCAGATGCCATTCCAACAGGCCCATCCTCAACAGAACTCTTTACAATCCTACCCTATCAACCCGGCGTTCTTAGCTGCTCTGCAACAGCAAATGCAGCAGCAGCAGTATCAACAGCAGACGCCGGGGCAACAATTCCATCATCTCCACCCGGCGTTCCTAGCTACTCTGCAACAGCAAATGCACCAGCAGCACCAGCAACAGCAGACGCCTGGACAACAACAACAACCTGCGCAAGCCGCAACGATGAATTTTGACCAGGTTAAAGCGCAACTAGACCTATTGCGGCAATTGAGCAATGGCAATCAAGGACCGCCTCACCCATGAGCCCTTGATACCATGTTGTTATATTTAGGGTTTCCTTGCTTTTCTGGGTTTGGGTAAAACTGATACATAGGGATACATAGGATTTCATTATTGGGGAGTTAGGCATCTATCCTGTTTTGGCTCAAAAATTTGTACGTTGTATCACTTTGTTATTTCAAGCACAAGATATCGTCAAGAGGTTTACCATTTGAAAGATGTGGGCAGTGAGACATAATTGCTTATTAGATAGACATGGCGCACGTGGGCCATGGGCTGGATTTAATAGAGACAGCCATGTTCTGCCTTGCGACCAATATATGTAAATAAAGAAGAATATGGTATCATCCATCATCATGACCATGAGTCGCTCTGCTTTGCACTTTTTCCCAGGGCCCAGAAGTTCTCCAGCTTTACTCGAGCCAAGACATCCTTCGCTTGAGCATCTGTTTCGCACACTCGTGCTCCCAACCATTTCCGGAAACTTCGGGCTTTGACCTGACCTTCCCACAAGAGGTTGCATGTGTTGAAGCTAAGATCTTTCAAATCCCCCGTTTGTTCATCTTCAGCAGCTAGCCACGACGTCTGAGCTTCGCGATTGCCTTCTCGCACAGTGCCCGGAACTGTGTTCTCTGTCCAGTCAATGCGGTTCAACATAAGCTTCCTGTAGTTGTTGATAGAGTGGGCACCTCCCTCAACAATCACAAGATTGAATTTAGGATTCATGACACAGACCCCTGTAAGAGCGTTTTGCTCAGCATTTTTGCTGATTTTGAAACGATTCCGTCCGTTTGCAAGACTGTCAATGCGATAAACGGACATGAGAATTCCTTTTTCGGCATCCTGCTCTTGTTGCCTATGGAGCTTTTCTCGACGTTCATCCTTTGTCAGCTTACGCTCTTCATTAGATTCCTCATGTTTTGTACGACGTTCTGCGATCTCTCGCGTTACGCGTGCTTCGACAGCGGTAGGATCCTTGACTGCTTGTTCACCCAACACTCGCATGAGGTTTGACTTTTTGACCTTCGGTGGAGGAGCTGGCTCAAGTCCTAGTCGGATCTTCGCTTGCTGCTCCTTTAGATCGGCCATTCGCCGTTGGCGACGAATCTTAGCCTGTTCCTTCGGTGTGAGATACATAGGTTTCTGCACGGGCATATGTTTTTCTTGTGGAGGGTCGAGGAGGACTGGGTGCTGAACATAAATAGTCACGATGGAGTCAGGTGTATCGATCTTAAGATTCCGTTCGTCTTCGATAGTAGAATAATCCTCGCCATCCACTAAACCTTCATCCCACCACTCGATTGCTGGTGGAGCCGGAACAAGGAAAGCCTTTTCGACGTCGAGGTCTTCATCGATACCGGCCTGTCGTGCTCTCTCTGCAATGCGTTTCTTCATAGCTTCCAACTGAGCTTGACGACGCAGAGCAGCGCCCTGCTGTATATATTTACCCTTTTCGTTGAAAATAAGTTGTCGCGATTGTCGCGGTTTTGCAATTGTAGCTTTCGGACCGAGACTCGGATCAAAATACGGATTGTTTTTGATTTCTTCCAAAGAAGGACCGGAAAGATCGAGCCCTGCTCGATCCTGCCTACCCCTCGCAGCCGGAGACTCCGTCCGACGGTTTTTCGACTGCACAGATTGCCGTCCTTTGCCGCTGCGGAACTCTATAGTGTCTGAGAGCAGAGCCGGATGAAGGCCGACATCCAGACCACCCCGGCCTTTGGAGCCATCATTTTCTTCTTCGAAGCGGAGGGGTTGAGGTGTTGGTGAGGGCACGGCCGGTGGTTGTTGAGCTGCCGAATTGGCTCTTCCAGTAGCAGCTGCTACTCTGGCTTTCATCTGTTCCAATCTAGACATTGCAGGGCTAGGGGCCGGAGGTGTGGGACTGGGGCTTGGAGCTGCTGATGGTGTAGATCCTCCTCTTGCAGCCTGAAGTCTGGCGCGTACAGCTTCGGCCTTCGCTCTTGCCTCAGCCACCATTCTCTCGATATCGGGCTTGCCAGAGGCCGGAGCCCCTTGACTGGGTAATGGGGAGGCATTATTGGAACGAGATCTTTTCTGCGTGTTATTTTCTTCGTCCTCCGGGTGAGGTCGCTTCAGCATGTTGCCTGACACGTCCGCCATATCTTGAAGTACAAAACAAATGTGGCACTCACCCACTGGCACCGAGCGCGACTCAAAGTTGGGGTACGAAGGATGGATGACTAGAAGTAAAATGAAAGGAGAGCGAAGTACGTACGTAAATCACGGGGCGATTTGATCCAAACGTGGGTCTAAGCGGCATCGCACGGCAGAAAAAAAGTTGGGTGAACTTTTTCTTCCGCAGCGACAAGACCGAATGAACCCGCTTTTGTTCCTCCAGACCAGCAGGCAAATAGCCTAACAGCTTCTACTGTCGCTCACGGAGCTGCAGGGAACTATGGCGAACTTTGCACGCCCCGTGTCGTCCTCCATTGGGGGGATCGACTTTACGATCTACGATGATGAGGATATTAAAGCCACCTCTGTAAAGCGAATCCATAATACTCCGACTTTGGATTCTTTTAACAATCCTGTTCCTGGCGGTCTCTATGATCCGGCTATGGGAGCATGGGGTGATCATGTGTAAGTCTCTGCCCTCGGTGGATTGTTGTGGTTTGAAGCTTTTGTGTCTTGCTTCGGCCTTCTCGTTGGCAGTAGACTGACCTGATCTAGCTGCACAACCTGTCGCATGAACTCATGGTCTTGTACTGGACACCCTGGACATATCGAGCTACCGGTCCATGTGTACAATGTCACGCACTTCGATCAGATGTACCGTCTTCTCAGAGCGCAATGTGTATACTGCCATCGTCTTCAGATGTCTCGAACACAAGTTAATTCCTACACCTGCAAATTGCGCCTATTGCAGTATGGCCTGGTCGACGAGGTAGCTGTCTTGGAGTCGATGGAATTGAAGAAGGGAACAAAGAAATCGGCCAAGGATGGAGATGATTCCGTCAGCGAGGACGAAGATGAGGATGACCTTGTGAAGCGCAGAAATGTGTTTGTTAAAAAGAGCATTCGCGAAGCCCAGGCTACGGGTAAACTGAAAGGCTTGATGGCTGGAGACAAAAACCCGATAGCTGCGGAACAAAGAAGGGTTGTGGTCAGAGACTTCTTCAAGGATATTGTCGCCATCAAAAAGTGTGCCAATTGCTCGGGGTGAGTTTTATGATCACTTCCCTAACATCTTACTATCACACAGACGTTAACTCTGAAGAAGAATATCGCCAGGTTATCGGAGAGATCGGTATTCGAAGATTTTCCGAAAGGCTTTGCCTGAAAAGGCTAAACTCGCTATGCAACAAGCTGGATACAGTGCGTCTAACTCCTTGGTCCTTCTCCAGGAGACTCGGAGATTCAACAACAAAGAGAAGGAGGCGCTTGTGAGCGACAATGCTAGTACTACTTCTGAGACTCACGGGGCAGAGGAAGAAGTTGCCCGTGGCAATGCCATCCTAGCGCAGGTGGATGGCAAGAAGCAGACCGGCGATTCCAGTCAATTCATACCTTCACCAGAAGTTCATGCTGCAATCACCCTGCTGTTTGCGAAGGAAGGGGAGATCCTGAACCTAGTTTACACGTCTCGCCCTATGTCAATGAAAGAGTCGCGTGTTAGCGCAGGCATGTTCTTCATCAAGAATATCATGGTGCCGCCGAACAAATATCGCCCTGTCGCCTCCCAGGGAGCTGGTGCTGTTGTTGAAGCACAGCAAAACACCCCACTGTCTCAGATCTTGAAGAACTGTGACATTATCAACCAAATCAGTAAAGAAAGGCAGAGTGCAGGATCCGATTCTGCCACACGTGTGCGCGACTACAGGGATCTGCTACACGCCATTGTACAGCTTCAGGATACTGTGAACGGTCTGATTGATCGTGATAGGAGTGGACTGTCCGGCCCAGCGGCAGCCAGCGCCCCGAACGGTATTAAGCAGATTCTGGAAAAGAAGGAGGGCTTGTTCAGAAAGAACATGATGGGTAAACGTGTGAACTTTGCTGCCCGTAGTGTCATTTCTCCTGACCCTAACATCGAAACCAACGAAATTGGTGTTCCGTTGGTCTTTGCAAAGAAACTGACGTATCCCGAGCCTGTGACCAACCACAACTTCTGGGAAATGAAACAAGCCGTCATCAACGGTCCGGACAAGTACCCGGGTGCCGCTGCGATCGAAAACGAGTTTGGCCAAGTCACTAACCTCAAGTTCAAGAGTCTCGATGAGCGGACTGCTTTGGCCAACCAGCTGCTCGCCCCATCAAACTGGAGAATGAAGGGATCGCGTAACAAGAAGGTCTATCGCCATCTTACCACCGGAGATGTCGTTCTGATGAACCGCCAGCCTACGCTTCACAAGCCCTCTATCATGGGTCATAAGGCTCGCGTACTTGCTAACGAACGAGTTATTCGAATGCACTACGCTAACTGTAATACTTATAACGCTGATTTCGATGGTGACGAGATGAACATGCATTTCCCTCAAAACGAGCTTGCCCGTTCTGAAGCTATGATGCTCGCGGATGCTGACCACCAGTATCTTGTTGCTACGTCCGGTAAACCTCTGAGAGGTCTGATTCAAGATCACATTTCCATGGCAACATGGTTCACATGTCGTGATAGTTTCTTTGATGAGGAGGACTACCATGAGTTGCTTTACAGTTGCCTGAGACCGGAGAATTCCCATACTATCACGGAGCGAATCCAAGTTGTGGCCCCGACAATGATTAGACCAAAGCGCCTCTGGACCGGAAAACAGATCATTACTACCATTCTCAAGAACATTATGCCTCCAAACAGAGCCGGCCTCAACATGAAGAGCAAGTCTTCGACACCGGGAGATAGATGGGGCGAAGGTAACGAAGAAGGAACTGTCCTCTTCAAAGATGGAGAGTTGCTTTGTGGTATTCTCGACAAGAAGCAGATCGGTCCTACTGCTGGTGGTCTCATTGATTCTATCCACGAAATCTACGGACACACCATTGCGGGACGGCTCATCGGTATTCTTGGCCGGCTTCTGACTAGATTCCTGAATATGCGTGCTTTTACTTGTGGTATCGATGATCTTCGCTTAACCAAGGAAGGTGACCGTGTTCGTAAAGAAAAGCTTAGCAAGGCATCTGAGATTGGCCGTCAAGTGGCGATGAAGTATGTGACTCTTGATCAAACGACAGTCCCCGACGAAGACGCTGAATTGCGACGTCGCTTGGAAGATGTTCTCCGCGATGATGAGAAACAAAGCGGTCTGGATAGTGTCTCGAACGCTCGGACGGCGAACCTATCTACCGAAATCACTAAGGCTTGTCTCCCAGGAGGCTTGGTCAAGCCTTTCCCGTGGAACCAAATGCAATCGATGACAATCTCTGGAGCCAAGGGCTCGAGCGTCAACGCCAACCTGATTTCTTGTAACCTGGGTCAACAGGTTTTGGAAGGTCGACGTGTACCAGTGATGATCAGCGGTAAGACGCTGCCGTCATTCAGAGCTTTCGACACGAATCCTATGGCAGGCGGTTATGTTTCTGGCCGTTTCTTGACTGGTATTAAGCCTCAAGAATACTACTTCCACGCGATGGCTGGCCGTGAAGGTCTTATTGATACTGCTGTGAAGACGTCTAGATCCGGTTATCTGCAGCGTTGTTTGATCAAGGGTATGGAAGGCTTGAGGGCCGAGTATGATACTTCGGTCCGTGAAGCCTCAGATGGTTCTATCGTTCAATTTTTGTACGGAGAGGACGGTCTGGACATCACGAAACAGGTCCACCTGAAAGACTTTGATTTCCTGGCATCGAATTACAAGTCCATTATCTCCCAAGTTAACTCGAGCGACTTCCACACCTTGGAGAATGAGGAAGTTGCTGATTGGCATAAGGAGGCCATGAAGAAGGTGCGCAAGACCGGAAAAGTCGATGCTATGGACCCTGTACTGTCTCGTTATCATCCTGGAGGTAACCTGGGTAGTACATCCGAGCTGTTTGCTCAAGCTGTCAAGAAGGTAAGGAGACCATTAGAAGCACTTCTCTAACGAATCCAATACTAATTATGAGTAGTACGAGGATGCCAACCCGGACAAGCTTTTGAAGGATAAGAAGAAGAATGTTGAAGGTATTCTTAGCAAGAAATCATTCGGTAACATGATGAATATGAAGTACTTGAAGTCGGTGGTTGATCCTGGTGAAGCCGTTGGAATTGTAGCTGGCCAGTCTATTGGTGAACCATCAACTCAAATGACTTTGAACACCTTCCATTTGGCTGGTCACTCTGCGAAGAACGTGACACTGGGTATCCCCCGTTTGCGTGAAATTGTGATGACAGCTAGTGCTCATATTATGACACCCACGATGACCTTGATCCTGAATGAAGAACTGTCTAAAGAACATTCCGAAAGGTTCGCCAAGGCTATTAGCAAGCTCAGCATTGCAGAGGTTGTCGATAAGGTCCAAATTAGGGAGAGAATCACGTCGGGCAGTACAAAGGCTAAGGTTTATGATATCGAAGTCTCATTCTTCCCGCCTGAGGAGTATACTGCAGAGTATGCAATCAAGACTAAGGATGTGCAGATTGCTTTGCAGAACAAGTTCATCCCTAGGCTTGTGAAGCTTACCAGAGCTGAACTCAAGAGGAGGGAGGATGAAAAGAAGCTCACTAGCTACTCGACCGCCCAGCCTGAAATCGGTGTCTCCGTTGGTACCGTCCAAGAAGCTCCGCGGGGTGCTGATGGTGACGATGAGCCAATTGACAATGATGATGAAGAGGACCAGGACGACGCCAAACGCGCCGGTGGAGCTAATAACCGTTCCAACCAAGTATCCTATGAAGGCCCCGAAGACGAAGAACAAAACATGATTCAGGCCCAAGATGTCGTCGAAGATGATGAAGAGGAAAGTGGCGAGCCCCAGTCGCGAGATGTTGAGATGAATGATGCCTCTGATGACGAATCTGATGATGAAGCCAAAGACAACAAGTTGCGTGAGGATGATATCAAGAACAAGTTCGGCGAGGTTACCCAATTCAAATTCAACCCAAGCCAGGGTACTTCGTGCGCTATTCAGCTGCAGTACGACATCTCAACCCCCAAGCTTCTCGTCCTGCCTCTGGTGGAAGCAGCCGCTCGTAGTGCCGTCATCCAGTCTATCCCTGGTCTCGACAACTGTACATACGTGGAGGCAAACCCTATCAAGGGTGAGCCTGCCCATGTTATCACTGAAGGTGTCAATCTTCTCGCTATGCGTGACTACCAAGATATTATCAAGCCTCATTCCCTCTACACGAACTCCATCCACCACATGCTAAACCTGTATGGTGTCGAAGCTGCTCGCGCGTCTATCGTCCGTGAAATGTCCGACGTCTTCGAGGGTCACAGTATCTCGGTTGACAACCGTCATCTGAACCTGATCGGTGATGTGATGACCCAGTCTGGTGGCTTCCGGCCCTTCAACCGCAATGGTCTTGTCAAGGATGCCTCCTCGCCTCTTGCTAAGATGAGTTTCGAAACAACTGTCGGATTCCTCCGGGACGCTGTCCAGGAGCGGGACTTTGACAACCTGAAAAATCCTAGTAGTAGGATTGTTGTCGGTCGGGTTGGAACAGTTGGTACCGGTGCTTTTGATGTTCTTGCCCCAGTGGCATAATGGGTGGCTATTTTTGCGATGTATGACATCTCACATTGTCTTTTACTGTATATGAGTGAACTCACGTGTATCTATTATGCATTTTTCCTTGATGTGTTTTATGACTTCTGGAGTTTTCTCTCAGCGAAATCAAGAAAAGTCTTTCATTTTCTTCCAGAGCAATCATTTATGATATAGCAGATCAATAGAATCAATCTTTACTAAGCAATTAATAAGTTGACACTAACAACTTCTTTTGACACGGGTTCTATCCACATCTTGTAAGAGAACTGGAAGCTTTGTCCTGATCCCCATCATGAAACGCCTGTGTAGTCCCAGATTGCGAAGTCGGTCATAGACCAAAGCCCCTTCTCTCTTGATGGTAGTGATCCAATAAGTTAATAGTATCGCCCAAAGGCAAAGGCAACTGGAGTCATTTCCTGTCCCACCGATCTAGAGCAGTTGAGCGGACTTTAGAGTAGTGGTAATTGGAAAAAGCGCTTGTCCTGAAGGGCTCAAAGCAGGGCATCCTAACAGGGGAGCATGCCCTGGCGCATCTTACAAAGGAAGCAAATCTATCAGTTCTAAACCCTCCACTTCATTGCCCACCTACCATAACTTCTTTGTTAAGGTGCGTTTAGCATTCCTTCGGGGTCTCGGGACAGGTTTGGAACAGCTTGGCATATCAGGCTATTAGTTACACCAATATATTTGGTGCATATGACTATGTCCAAATTATGGATACGATACAAGCAGTGATTGTCCATATTGATTTTTACTGCGCATCCAACATCATGAGGTCGTTGTCAATGTCGTCATCAAATTCATCCACAACGACGCCAGCACCATTGGCGACACCGTTTGCGCTATGTCCATTAGCTAGTGCTTCTCGCCGTGATCGCTCCTCCTCCAACATTTGCTTCTCTCGATGTCGCTCTAAGTCTGCTAGGCTCCATGTCGAGATACCGTCCTGGTCTTTGGCTTTGAAAGGCTGAGCCATGCCACGTAGGAAAGTCTTCGCAGTGGCCACAGCCATATCAGTACTGAGGTTAGTTTCACTTTCGAGCATGGCCTGGCTGATCCATTTAGGGAGCTGGGTCCGTTTCTTCTGGAATCGCCTGTCGGCGAGGACCATGACTCCATAATCGTCCTTACCACGAAGGACGCGACCGAGACACTGTGCAGCATGCCGCATCGCGTCGAAAGAGAGGAAGTCGTTCTCCCGAATACGGTAATTCTCTCGAAGGAATTCGAGACGTGCCTTCAATATTCTCGACTCAGTGTATTGGAATGGAACACCAATGCATATGACCGCACGTCCGTAGTGATGGTCAAAATCGATACCTTCCGAAACCTTTCCTCGAGCGACGCACATTAGAATGGCTCCTCTTCCATTGCAGCAAGCCGTTCGATATGTCTCGAGCGCCAGCGAAGACTCCTGTGCATCAGGAGTTTCGACGAGAATCAACTTGTAGTTCCATATAGAATCCAAAATACCCATACCTTGCCACATACTGATGATGGATTCCATGTACAAATATGAAGGAAAGAAGACAACGATCCCGTCCGGTGTAATTCGTGAGAATTCTAGGACAAGGTTACCATAATTACGCACCACACCCGGGTCGTTACGTATTTGGAAGGAGGAGGAAATTTGCGCTTGATCGGAGCCGCGAGTAACGACCATGGGTAGGAAGGAACGTCGTGCGAGAGTCATGCTGTATGATTCCTGCATGACAGTGGTGAATCCGAGCATCTTGGGATACATCTCAAGGGGTGACAGGGTGCCAGAAGTGATGATGACCGAGCTAAATCGATCGAACACTGGCTTGATGGCAATAGCGGCGTCTAAGCAAGTGAAATGCAATACAGGATTCGGAACAGTCGCTGCCTCCGATTCAAAGGGCTCCAAAATCAGGAGGAACCCTTTGTCATACGTTGAGACGAGAGTCGCAAATGTTGCCACTTCCTGCAGCGGCTGATAGTCTTCTATGTTGATAAGTTCCAGCGTCCGCACAAGTGACGTTAGTCGTTCGGCGCAAAATCGCAGAGGTTTTCGCTCAATATATGTCAAGTCTTTAACATGTGTTAAGAACGAGGGGGGTGTCTCGGATATGGTATGAGTGACTTTCATTCGAGTCTTAAGGTATTCGATAAATCTTTTAAGAAAGGAGACAAAGTGCTCCGCTCGGCGTATATTGCCAGGCACGGCCTCCGTGAGAAGATCATCTGGAAGGACGGGATTTGAGATAAACTGATCCTCCTCCCTGGCTTGCTCTGCCTCACGTAGCCCCTCAACAAGCTTGGAATATTCATTTTGAAGTTTTTCCGCGTCCGAACTCTTCATCTCATTAATCTTTCGTTCCAAGTTGTTCGCCCCCCTTGTGGCTTTCCGCAGCGAATCTTCCGTTATATCAATACTAAGCGACTCGATACAGACGTTATCGATGTTGTGTGCTTCGTCGAAAACCACTATACAGTCCTTTGAAAATTCTCTCGAGACTCGCTCTGCGATTTTGGGGTCAAGAAGATAATGATATGAGTATATTATAACGTTGCAAAATGGCATCATCCGCCTTGCTGAGAAATAGGGACATTGTTTGTTGTCTTCGCCGTATTTGAGTAGCCCGTCGAGGGTGAAAACACCCGGAGGCACAAGGTTGTGCGGTTCGAGGAGGTCAAGGTTCTATACCAAGTCACCAATCAGCTCAATAATCATCGGCCAGTATTTACACACCTCATGGTAGACACAAAGCTCAACATCCTCGCCTTTCTCTTTCTTTTCCTTGACGAAGCCAGCAGTTAAGCTCCTGCACCTGGCATCAACGACTGTGCCACTTTTCTCCCTTTTAACAGACGGATGTAGACACAGATTCTTTCGGCTGGTGAGCCCCAAAGCACGAAAGTCCTCGGTGTACCCAAGTTGTTGAGTACGAAATTTCATCAACTCCTTTAACTCTGCCAATGCTTTCTCAATTTCCGACATGGTTCGAGAGCAGTAGATAAGCTTTCTATGTTCTGGGTAATGCATTTGATAGGCGACAATTAATGATAACAAAGAAACCGTTTTCCCGGTGCCTGATGGCATTTCCAGGACACAGTGACCCCCGGCATCGAGGGTCTTCTTGAGATCGCACATGTAGGCATATTGTTCGGGGTATATACGAGGATACGGGAAAAGGATCGGAAGGTCACTGTCGATGAGATTTAGAAGGTTAGATTTCGAGTGGGGAAAAGCAGATCAGAACAGTGTACTTACTCAATGAAAAATTTCATTGTGACGGCCGAGCGAGGTGCTCCAAAAGTTGGGCTGCAGAGAAGGAAGCTCTCGGACAAGCTCACCTCTGAGGACGGAGTTAAGGCCGCGGCCAGACTTCGCGACGAACTTTTCCTTATCGGGGAGATGATGACACCGGTCCACGTGACTGTCCCGATAGGGACGCCGATTATCACGCCGCTTTGAGCATTTGATACTCTGCGACAATCCTTCCAAGGAAGACAAGACTTCGGGTTGGGAAGTTGTTGTTTCTTTGTATTGGAGTGCCACGGTATCTGCATTCACTTTATTTTTTTTGTCTCTTTTTCCTCTTTCCTTATATTCCCATATTCACTCATTTGATCGGGTTCATATCCCACTTACCCCACATTACTATGAGCAAAAAGTTCAAGTCTCAGGCATCAAGCAGCCGCGCTGCTGCTAGCACCTTTGGTTCGTTTGGTGGATTCTCCAGCGCTTTTTCTGGTCATGGAAGGGAACCATCCTCTCTCACTTACGTGGCGGAGCCACCAGACCTTTCACGGATATTTGAAGCGCAATTGACAATTGCCTTCAAGAACTTTTTGAAAAAAGATGAAGTCACGAGGTCAAAAGGACTGGATGATTTGAGGGATTACGTCTCTACTGTAGAAATTCGCAGTGGAACCCTCGATGATGGTTTTTTGGAAGCCTGGGTATGTCTGCGCCTGCACTACGTGAAATGGAGTAAAATGTTGATTAGCATTTGGTACCCAACAGATTAAAATATACCCCAGAGCATCAATTGATATCTCTCGTAGAGTGAGGCAAACCGCTCACTCCTTACAAGGATCTATCGCGTCCTTAGTGGGCAAGCGGATTGCCCGTTTCTTACCGAAAGTAATCGGGCCATGGCTTGCAGGACTCTATGACAACGACCGAATGGTTCATCGGTCCGCGTTAGAGTCATTTACGCGGGTCTTCTCAACTGAGGGGAAGAGAAATAACGTGTGGAAGATCTATCAGAGCTCAATCCTTGGTTTTGTAGATGATGTTATCCTTCAACAAACCCCTCTTACTCTGAGTGATGAAAGAACTGTCAAGTCTGATGATGCCGAAGCGAAGTACGCTCGCGTCGTAGGAACCGCAGTTTTATTATTTAATCGAATTATAGGTACGTTTGTACATGCCACATGATCCCTTAGATATGCTCTAACTGGGTGTCAACTCAGGAAATTCGACGCACGAAGACCTCGAGAAGGATGTAGCTACGATAGAAAACCTTCTGGGAAGTAAATCGTTATGGTCCTTATGCTATCATGATGATCCTTTTGTTCGCAGATCAATCTATGTCCTCCTTCGATCTGCTCTCTCTAAAGAGCCAGAGCAGCTTGACTGGAAGCTCATCAGTGCCGCTATCATTGGAAAGTCTTTACACATATCTCAGCTAGGATCTTCTTCGGATCTATCAGAGTTGCTATTACAGGTGACATCCGCAAGGCCACAATTATGGACGGACGACTATACGGGAAAGTCGTCTTCCTCTAAAAGACTGATTCAGTATATCCAGAAAGGCTCGGAGGGTGGTCCTGCCGCCTTCTGGCTAAATCTATACGACTTGTTGCAGATTATTCCATCTCAGACCCTGGTAAAAGTTGATGCGAAATCCACAAATGAAGGCAGTATTGGATTATCGATTGCCACAACATTGACTCAATCTTTCCAAGAGGGGCTGAACTCTAGGGATGAGCCTCGTCAGAATCGAGCTGTTGGTTGGAAAGCTTATATTGACACTGGAATGTGGCTCACAAATAAGCTTCCTCAAGATGAGCAAGAAAAATTTTTACACGAACGGCTATCTCCTGTACTAGTGCAGTATGTTAAACCTGAGCAAGACCGCTCTCAGTGGGAACTTCCTCCGCAGTCCGCCGAAGCTCTCTGTGTCGACTATCTTGATGTGCTAGTCACTCATAGCCAGGAAGGCGAATTATATAAGTTGTGGACCGAGTTGTCAGATAGCCTATTAGAAGCTGTAAGGCTTTCCTCCCCAGAGCAGTCAAAGGACTTCAGGTCGTCACAGGACGCAGTATGTGCTGTGGCCGAACGCCTCCTTACTTTGGAGGCTTCAGTGCTTTCACGTCTGGCCGACACGGATCGCGAATCCAAACTGCTGAAAACCTTCGAGGACACAAACCTAGGCCTGCTTCGAAAATGCTTGGATGTGCTGCGATCCAGGAATGGCAAGCCGTATGGAGCAGCTGCAGTCGTTGAGGCAATGGTCCAACACGTTGCACAGATTGCACAACGTTCCCAGGAGCTCTTGAGGTTTGTCCAAGAGGCTGCACCAGAACTTCTGTCTTCACCCTCGGCTGATCGTTTGATCTCTATCATACTGTCTTGTCGTGCATGGGATGGATTCGGCCCAAGCTTTGAGAAAGTCGTTGAGAGGGTAGCACAGTCTGAACCCGAGTCGTCCAATGCGCATGCCGTTCAGAAACTTCTCTCCACTCTCGATTTCAAGGAAGTGGATGACAAGAGCGGTCTTGGTTCTTTAATCGCACGTGCTCTGGACAGCGCTTGTAAGGGTAGTTCTCTACACTGGTCCATTGTTGTCGCAGTGCTTCAGAACCCAACGTCTCATGGGGAATTGACAGAGTCAATATTTTTGGCAATCATTGACGCATTATCTGATGATAGCAAAGTTTTCGATACCTTACATGGTCTCTCACTAATTGCAACTTCTGTTCCGACTGCAATGAAAGGGTTTCAAAGTGGACTTCACGGCTCGAAATTGACCGGGAAATTGCTTTTCCTCGCTGAGTCCCCGTCCGAAGAAGTGGCTGGTCTTGCCGAATCATTGACCAGAAAGGTCAAGGAATCAGTTGTCAGTGAAACCAGCGCCAGGTCAAGTTTTGAAATCCTTCAGCACAACTTCAATAACGTTAACGAGGAGTCACTCTCGTAAGTACCTTCCTGACAACTAAAGGGATGAACTTGACTGATATGAATAGGATTGGTTCTTTACTGAATCTTGCGGAAGAACTGCTGCATAATATTAAACCTGATGACCTCAAGCACGTGATGAAAAACATCCTCCCTTCACGTCAAAGCTGGCAGAATGCGCTTGAGCCCTTCCTTGCACTTCCTCCTCGGCTATCGACCGCTATCACAAGTCCTCTCGGAGGCACTGTTCATATCATCGAGCGCCATATATCAGACATATCTAGAAGGCGCTATGAAACAGTCCCACGCGACTCTAGCCATTGTTCGTCTGCAATGCGACTCGCTTATTTCACCATTAGAACTCTGTCGTCATTTGATGTTACGATTCAACTTCGGGCAGAAGAGCTCGAAACTCTGTTCTATTTCGTACCTTTGGCTGTGCAGCTGATTGACGATGATTTAAGCATTGATAATTGTAATGGCATTACTGGGGCAGTGCTACCCGAGCAACGAGAAGAGTATATGGAGGTTGTGAATGATGGTCGTGGTTTGATCAATGGATGGGCTCATTCGAAAGAGCCCGCTGCACTCTCAATCACATCTTTGTGGGAAAGCAAACTTGAAAGTTTAACCGGTACTTCCACTGTCGACTATCGAGTCGGCGAAGCTTTTGTAAAGATTATCGAAAACCTGGACTCACTAAACTATAAGTCATCGGAAGAAGTCACTAAAATATGCAAAGAGGTACGAACAGCAAATGCTATCCGCTCGGCCGCTTGGGTGGCTGTTTTACGACACTTAATCCTGTCCAACCCTGCAGGGACACGACTATGCAATGAACTTGTTGCAGAGTCCACAGGATTGAAGCCCCATGATGAGCGAAAAGATGGTCAGACAGACAAGCTACCCTTGATATCTACACATGCTAATATTGCGCAGGCCTCCGAAAACTATCTCTGCTCAACCTTCTTATAGCAGGATCCGAAGACGTGATTGGGTCTATTCCGACCCAACGTGTCGTGTTCCTGGTCAAGCATCTTATACAATGCCTGCAGTCCGAGAATATCCCTCTTAGTGTCAAGGGTGAGGTGTTGCAAACCTTGTCTTTTGCTCTGCCTTGTATTCATGAGATATATGGCTCGCACTGGGAGGATTGTATGGCCGCCCTCAGCACAACCTGGCGAGAAACCAGTGGCAGCGATGAAGCTCTACCAGTACTTCTAGCATCTTTCAGACTTTTTGCTCGCCTGAAGACCATCATAGGCAACGAAGACAGCAACGACGACGTGAAAGATGCTTGGTCAGATAGACAGGCGGCGTTGTTTAATGACTTAACATTAACAGTCGAAAGATTTGGTCAGTATAATCCCGATATTTAATTATTCTATTGAACTAACGAATCAGACTCTTCCATCACTTTCCATCAACCTCGCGATGTCACCGTATATCTGCTGTGCCGACTGATCAGCAATATACCGATCGGTAACCTCGAAGACGTGAGCAAGATATTCCCCCTTCTGACAGCGCAAAGCCATGTTGTGCAACGTGCTGCCTATACTATTCTTCATCGGTATATCCCAGGTGTTCAAGAGCAGGTCTCTTTTGATGTGGCATTGTCAAAGACGGCCGTCAAATTACCCGATGAGCTCCTGTCTCTGTTGCTTGAGGCGCCCACTGTTGAATCGATATCCTTATCGTATGGTGATAGCAAGGTCTGGTCGGATATACGGTCGTACCTTTTGAGCTGGAAAGTCATCTTCGACCACTTCACTAATGCGGTAAGTCTATTTACTGGGGTTTACTAGCGTTGCACCATAGCTGACAACAGAAACAGTCTCTTGCCGTGCAAGAAAACTACGTAACTAGCATTAAAGAGAATGACGTTTTGATTCCGCTGTTGGAATTCACTTTCGAGTTCCTTCTGAAATCACACCAAAAGATGGTGGATGCGGCTAAGTTCGATATTCGCGCTTTCGAATTAGATCAGTCGGAGTCTCAGGAGATGGAAATCGAGTGGCTTCTTGTCCATTTGTATTTCTTGTGCCTGAGGTACCTCGCGAACATGACCAAGAGCTGGTGGATTGACACCAAGAAGCGCATTAAGGGGCCGGTGGAAGCGTGGACTGAGAAATATGTAAGTGCCTGGGAATGACGCACGCCTCGTCTATTGTATCTAACCTAGTACAGATTTCACCCCTGATTGTTGAGGATGCCCTGCAAGGAGTTGCCGAATGGACGTCAACGCAAGATTCGAATGAAGAGCGCGCATTGACTGTGAAGATCTCACCTAAGACTTCTGAAATCATTGCTAGTATCCCGGTTGATGAGGAATCACCTCCAGTTGCCTTATCTATATCTCTCCCCCCCGCCTATCCGTTACAGCCCGCTTTGGTGGTTGGCAGGAGTCGAGTATTGGTTGACGAGAAAAAGTGGAAGAACTGGCTTCTTACCATCCAAGGCGTGATTATGTTTGCGAATGGCAATCTTGTGGACGGACTGTTAGCCTTCCGGAAGAACGTTCAAGGTGCCTTGAAGGGGCAGAGCGAGTGCGCGATCTGCTACTCCGTCATCTCTACGGATATGCAGACTCCGAACAAGCGATGCGCCACCTGCAAACACACATTCCACTCGGTGTGTCTCTACAGATGGTTCAAGAGCAGTAACCAGAGCACTTGTCCGCTGTGCCGGAACAACTTTGTTTATGTGTAATGACATGATCGCACAGTGGGGGAACTGGAAAAAAGTCTTTTCTTCAAGCGTTCATATTTGAACAATATCCCGATATTTCTATATAGGGTGACTATGTTACATACGTTTCATGATGCTGCATTATGACCATATAGAAATGTACAATATACCATAACTTATAATTACTAATTTCCAAAGACGACTAAGCTAAGAGCATATGCTCTAAGCTACTGGGTGCGAATACACATCGTTTTTCTTATTGACATATGGTAGCAAACAGGATAGTTTATTGTAGTTCTGCAGGCAATTGAAATAGTCATAAAAAGAAAATAAAATCGTAGAAATCCTTTCCACAATGTCATAGGAAATTTTATGTATTGCTGACATGAACCGGTTTCATAAACTCGCATAAATCACGGAAGTTCTCAGTATTTACTCCAAAAACCCCCACCGCCCGTCGCACTTCCCCTCACATAGACTTGTTACCCCGACATGTCAGCTCCTCAGATCCCTAACCTTAACTCTCTACGTCGAGGTGGCGGTCGGGGCCGTTTCAGAGGGCGTGGAGGTGCTGATGGAAGTCTTTCAGTTGGATCGCGCGGTACAACAAGCAAAGACCGTGTGGTCCAAGGTACCGACAATGACGCCAGTGTCTCCCGGCTGAGTGCGGTGGCATTGGGATATCTACAAGATCCCTTTGCGAAGGCCGTACTTGCGCCAGAGTCGGAGACAAGGAGACTGCCGATCATTAACAGAGGTACTTGATCTTCGATGACCCGTTAAACCTATGACCGAGTATATAAGTATTCATTCCAGTTTAACCACAGGTACTTACGTTCGGACTACTGCGATCGACCACCTTGTCAACAAGTTCCTCTTCCAAGAGCCCCAAAAAAAGAAACAGATAATATCATTAGGTGCTGGTACAGACACACGCGCCTTCCGACTCTTCGCATCGGAACATCCTCTAAATCTGATCTATCACGAGATTGATTTTGCTGTCAATACAACCGCCAAGATTAGGTTTATACGATCAACGCCTCTCCTCCAACGGGCATTACACATTGGGCGACCTGAAGACGTCACAATTTCCGACGCTGGGGATGCCCTGCATACAGACGTCTATCATCTCCACCCGCTGGATCTGCGGTGTCTCAAACGCGCATCTGCCACTTCGGATGCGGCACATGCTGATTCACGGGAACACCTGCAGGGGGTGGACGCGACATTGCCTACACTCTTGATCTCTGAGTGCTGCCTGGTGTATCTTTCTCCGAGCGAAGCTGCGGATGTTGTGGGCTATTTTACTAGTTTGTTTTTTGGTGAGGGTGACAAGTCAGACGATCATACCGCCAGTTACGTCGAGAGCACAGGATCAGGGACACCGCTTGGCCTCATCCTCTACGAGCCTATTCGTCCGGATGATGCTTTTGGACGGACAATGGTGTCCAACCTTGCGACGCGCGGGATCCACCTGCAAACTCTCCACCAATACGCATCACTCGCGGCGCAGCGAAAACGATTACAAGAACAGGGCTTCAGCGGTGGCCGAGCAGTGGCAGACGTGGATTTTCTCTGGGAACGATGGGTAAGCGAGGAGGAAAAGGAGAGGGTATCGAGACTGGAGATGCTGGACGAGATGGAAGAATGGAAATTGCTGGCGCAACATTATTGTGTCGCGTGGGGATGGCGCGGAGGATCTGGAGGAGCTTTTGACGGGTGGAGAGGGATTGAAGGGCAAGCTGTGGATTGACCCCAGCTGGGCTGACTCTGCCATGCCTTGGTATCTCGAGGATATCCACTAGCATCAAATGGCATGATTTGATGTCGCTCGCATAGGCGCCCACAATTTCTTAGGGCCAAGCACTGCGTATTACCTCAAGAGAGACTATCGATCAATTAGCCGAATACTACCCAGGGAAGTAGTGTCCAAACAGAGTTTGACCGGTCTTTTCCCATCATTGGCCCCCCTTTTCAACGCTACTATTAGAGATCCATTCTGTTGCACACAGTCTGTCCTCCACGCTGGTTGATGAGAACGTTGCTACGCTCCGGTCGCTCTGCTGATCTTTTGTAGAAATTGGGAGGTCTGGACCGGGTTCTTTGACGATCAGCATCTGTCACTGGCCACCTTAATATCGCAATATATTGTATGATGTACATATATCGAGATAGATGGTATGTACATATAATGCGATGTGATATGTCAATCTAAATATCTCTTCCGCCTCATGAAGAAGATGATGCAACGTGACCACCTTACGAGCCCCAGGCGCCAACATTTTTAATCGAAAGCCAGAGAAAAGAGGAAGCGGAGTGAGACAAAAAGGGTCTTAATCAAAAGGATCCATCAATCAAACTTCAGTAACGAACAGACCGAGTGGACCTGGTGTTCACGAACCGCCGGGGCCAATGCCTCAACTGCCGACGATGATTGGCCCTACCCCTGAACCGGTTACCTTTCCAGGCGGAGTCCCATCCCAAAGCAGTAAGACGTCTTCAATAGCTTCGAGGTTATCCCGAATGGGTAGTTGTCTAGTTCTCATGATGGCCGGGATCCCTTTTTGGTCTTGCCCGCCGGCTTTTCTTTCCTTTTGACCCTCTTGACCCTCTTCGTCCTCTTCCTCATCTGTACTTCTTCCCTTCTCCCATCGTCAGGCCGTTAATCTCGCCTGTGGGTGGTGGTGTTCGCTCACTTTCAGTCATTCTTTTTTAATACTCACCCCAGTCTTTCGTTCTGTGACCTGCGGTTTTCACCTGCAGCGTCAATCTCGCTCTCTACCTGACTGAACGCCATTCTAATACAGAAAATATACTATATAACAAAAAGACTTAGTCAAAAATGAAGCTCACTATCGCATCATCTGCACTTCTCGGGCTCATTGCCACCGTCGAAGCTGCAAAACATGGTTACGGACACGCGCACAATCACCATCGCGATGTCCACTCCGTCGCAGAAGTGGGAGTGCCTCTGGAGAAGAGAGGAGGAAGTTGTGAATTTCCCAAGGATGCCGGCTTGGTGGCCGTCACCCCGAATATGAAGAACGCCGGCTGGGCCATGAGCCCGGACCAACCTTGTAAGCCGGGTAATTACTGCCCATACGCTTGCCCTCCTGGACAGGTGTCGATGCAGTGGGATCCTAAGGCTACTTCGTATAGTTATCCTATGTCTATGGTGGGTGTCCTATGTTTTGTGTTGCGATATTGAGCCCTATACTGATGGATCTGGTAGAACGGCGGTCTCTACTGTGACGAAGATGGCAAGATCCAGAAGCCATTCCCTGATATGCCCTACTGTCAGGATGGTACCGGCGCTGTCGGCGCGCGCAACAAATGTAAAGAGCAAGTCTCGTTTTGCCAGACCGTCTTGCCCGGCAATGAGGCTATGCTGATCCCGACCCTGGTCGAGGATCTGGCTACACTCGCTGTACCGGACCCTAGCTATTGGTGTGAGACTGCCGCGCAGTAAGTATTCTAGTATGGCTTTGATATAATAAAACATACTAACAGGCCCAGTTTCTATATCAATCCTCCCGGCTACGGACCCGAGACCGCTTGTGTCTGGGGTACATCGTCCAACCCCTACGGGAACTGGTCACCATTTGTTGCCGGTGCCAACACCGACGGCGACGGAAACACTTTCGTTAAGATTGGTTGGAACCCGATCTACCTAGAGCCGGCTACTCCGTTCCGCGATGTGGTGCCCGACTTTGGAGTTGAAATCGAGTGCGAGGGTGATGGCTGCAATGGCCTGCCCTGCAAGATCGATCCCGCTGTCAATGATGTCAATGAGGTTACCGGTGGCTCTTCAAAGGGTGCCGGTGGCGGTGCGTTTTGTGTGGTGACGGTGCCCAAGGGCGAGAAGGCCAATATCGTTGTATTTGACAAGAGTGGTGGTGACAGTGGTTCTTCATTCACGACCTCTTCCACCAGTTCGAGTACTTTTAGTAAGAGTAGTTCCTCCACTGTGGAGTCTAGCAGCAGCACAAGCACCACTACCAGCTCGACAGCCTCATCCACTACGCCTACCTCCACGTCGGTGTCTGAAACAAGCACTATTTCCAACACCCCAACCCCAACGGCCACTTCATCCCTCATATCGACGTCCCAGCCAACACCTAGCGTGACTCCTTCATCCGGCTGGGGTTCCAGCTCGACCATGGTCTTTAGCAGCTTGCCTAGCTACACCCAAAGCCCTCAAGCGCTAGTTGAGACCGATGTCAAGTCGTACGCGGTGGCCACTGACAAAGCTGATGAACCTGCGGCATCGTCTGCCTCTCCGACCCAGGACCATAAGGATAATGCGGCACCCGCTACTGGCGCATCAATGCTGAGCTTAGTTATTGGTCTCATTGCCGCTATGGCGCTTTAAAAGCCAGGAAAGACGGCATTTCACTTCACAATTTCTACATTCTTATTCTTATTATTACTTTTATTACCTTCATTACTCCGGGATACCCGCTTACGATTTGATGCTTCTGTATCTTTATTTTTATTGACTGATTGACTGATTGTACATGATTCGCTTTTCAGCACTTCATACGATTGATGGGTGGATACTTTTTATATTCTGAGTGGGAATTTATACTTCTCTAATGTGCAATAATACTATTGTATACCTTTCTTTTCCGATATTGTCTAAAGTAGTGAGTTCTGAAATTCAGAGTTAATCACTGAATCTGGGAATATTCCTACAAACAGCCCATCATTCCTCTTATTCAACTAGCCCTAAGACAAGATCCAAGTTCACCCAAGATAAATCCCTTCAATAACATCATTTGTATTCATCTTGGCACAGCAAATAAGGTGATCTTGCGGAGAAAGCCTCTGGTCCTTCAATGAATGATAAAGTAAACAAAGAGAAGCACAGTGAATAGCTGTGACGCATCACTATTATATATAGAAGCTCCCCTCAACCATTTCTCGTTGTCTACCAGGCTCCTCCCCCAAGCGTCATGCAGCACGTTCCATATTCATCAAGCACCAAGCCCCAACCATGATATAGACCCCTTCTAGGTCCCCTGGCTCTGCCAACATTTCCACTTAACCAGGAAGCAGCTATGTTCCATACCATCAGAACGAACATGAATCCCCCGAAGAGGCACAGTTTGGAAGCCGACACATCGACAGACTCAGCTGCCAAACCGTGTAATAAGGACTTAGAAGGTCCGTTCAAATTCGTCCAGGTGCAACAACGAATATAGGTACTGGTCTTCAGCCGAAAGGACTACTACCTGATCGCGATTGGTATTATAATTGCGGGTGCCATATTCCATGGTATGGCAGGTGTCTCCGTATATCTTTATGTGGTCTGGATTCAGAGTCGGTATGTATATCCCTACAAATTTTTTGTATCCATACCAAGCGCTAGTTGCGTATCTTAAGGATTTCAAGAAACGAGAGCACGCAGCCACTACCAAGTTACGGCATCACACTCAGAAAACTGAAGATAGCACGGCCTACTGGAATCGCCAGGCTGTACGTTTGGGCTTGCTAGATGAAGGCCAACATCAAGCCATGCAGGCTCATCAGCCACTCTGCTCCCGCCAACTGCCCACAAGGAACGGGGTGAAGGATACTACTGAGTTACGGGACTCTGGTTCTTGAAGGCGCAATGGCTATTTCCATAATACTGGCGGATCTTGAATAGTGCTGGCTTGAACCTTCAAAGCTTCTGTCGTTACGTCCATATGTTCTCTCTTCCCCACGCCCAAGGCCACTAGAGACCAGGCCATAAGCTTCCCTCTTCACCGTCATTTCGAGTTATTTCGACGACTACGAACTAACAACTCGTACTCACGCGGCTTCACTTACCTTCATCTAAGGGGCGTATTTATCACTCCATCCCCCTTTCTTTTCTTCCGTGTCTGCCATGGCTGCTGTGGTGGATGACTTTGAGGCCCCTTCTGTCCCTTAGATCTATGATCGTAAGGGCTTTTGTTACGTTGAAGATAGCTTCAACCCGTTAATCCTGCTGAACGATGACTGCTAGAACTTATACTGGTACTTATATAGAATTCGCACTTATTTGGGCTGGAAAATACACTCATTTTGGTGGATTAGGGATATATATGAATTCTGGAAAGCAACCACAAGAAGAAGACATAGGCGCACGGCACGGTTGTTTGGGGAATTTGGAAGGTTTACACCTAGGTCCGTAGGGACGTCTACGCTACTCTGCTGCATGATGCGTGGAATGATTCATTAGTCTACAGACAGATGAAAATCATTCAACTGTGTGAGAGGACTAAAGCAAGCAGGCAGGCGAAGAAGATAGGACCGAAGTGTCCTTGCACCTAACAGTTTTGAGAAATTCTGCATAAACTGCTACACTAATACGACGTACATATCGTCGCCTGGGACCATTATACCTCAGTATCGAAGAGAAGAGAAGACAGATGGCACGCTGCGTAAGAGGCAATGATGCGCATTGGCACACAAGTATCTTCGAATCATCCTCGATGCTGCACCACCTCCATGCTTGTTCCTCGGTGGCTTAAGATGCGGATGTTACTAATATATATTCATTTCACTTTCGGATACTACCATAATCAACGCTTCGACTCATCTCTTTATTGTTGTTATCTATTTGGACAGTAGAATGTTCAAGACCAATCTAGTCTTATACAAGATGTTTTTGAGACTCTGTACACTTGAAGAGTAGCTATTTCCAGCCCTTGTTAGCATACTGAGTAGCTATGGACACCTCCACACTCAACAGAGCTAACCACCCACCTAATATTGTCACTCCTCAGTAATATGAATGATCTAAAAGTAGAAGATCATTTCTTCATCAAAATCAGCATGAGAACGTCATCCACATAAACATCGACAACTTAGGGCTTTGACGTCATCCCTACGCCATCCCTATCAATATCAAGTACAAAGGAAAACAATATATAAACAATCATCAATCCTCTCTATTTAACAAACATCTCACTTCCCAATCACCCCCTGGATTTTCATAATCCACATACTTACCACAACAACCCAAACAATCTCCCCAAAAATGTCCTCCACAATCCCTACCGCAAAAGGCGACCAACCCACCGACCCCTACAAAGCCAAAAGCCTCGAAGACCCTCCCCTAGCCCAAAAAGTCGAAGACCTAGTCGACTTCATCTCCGAAGCAAAATTCGGCATGCTCACCACCAAAGTCTCCGGCTCAGACTACCTAACCTCAAGGTGCATGGCCCTAGCTGGAAAGGTAATGAGCCTCCGCCCCCCGCCCCCCAAATCTAACACCACATATACATTCGTATAATATACTAAAGGCTGGAAAAATGATAATACAGGAACACGGCGGCATCGACCTCCTCTTCCACATCAATCTCCTCTCCAGCAAAACGCTCGATTTAACCACCCACCCCCGGGAAGTCAACATGTCGTTCCTGGATCAAGTGAGCGGATCCTGGGCGTCGATTTCGGGGACGGCGTCGATCGTGGCCGACCGCGCGACGGTCGAGAAGTATTATTCCGCGACGCTGCCGGCTTGGTTGGGGGATTTGGGCGATGGGGTGCATGATGGGAGTCCGTCGGATCCGAGGATTGGGCTGATTCGCTTGGAGGCGAAGTTGGCAACGTATGCGGTGGCTACAAGGGGGATTTTTGGAAAGGCGGTTGAGACGATTAAGAGTGCGACTAAGGGGGAGGTGCCGGCTATTAATAGTATAAGGGAGTTGGGGGAGGGGGAGTTGGAAGAGTGTAAGTTTTCCTGTTTATGAATTTGTATTTGAGGGGGGTGATGGGCTGACTGGGTTTTAGGGCGCCGGACACATAAATGAGTGGTTTTTGTTGGGTGACGCTGTGCTTCACCTGTGGGTGTTGGCTGGATTTAAAGTTGGATTGAGTAGCTAAGGCATTGAATTGACAGAATTTTGTTATACACGTATAGCTTAAGGAAAGAATGGTGTACCGCGAATAAATAACAAAGGAAAATTGGAAAAGAGGTCCCGATATCGTACAGTCATCATGAGGGTATCTTGTGTGTATAAAACTCCAACCATTCCCGTGTGCAAGCTCAATGTAAAGCCATTCTGTTAAATCTAGATTATGTCAGCAACATCAATCCATGAAGGGTGAATAGGTAAGTTTACCAATCTTAAAGGCATCCGTGCTGTGATGCGCCCATTGTGGAGAAGCATTGCGATGTTCTTGTTCCCAGTCGCTTGAAGTTTGCGATATGCTTCGCGAATATGCCTCGGCTCCACTGGAGTACGACCCTCCTCGGGAGGATCGAAAAGACCAGTTTCACGCTTACGCTTCTTGGTGTTTTCGCCCGACCCATTTTCAGAGCCTCCTCGGCGATTCTTCTCCCGGTCCTCGCGTTCTTTGACCTTCAGAGCTTCCTCGGTCAATGTCTGAACGATCTCGAATGTGAGGAACCCGAGGATGTCAACGATGTCATCATTGGGCTTCGATTCAGTGACGATACCAAAGCCGGCCCATTCACGAAAGCGCTTGCTCTTACGATAAGTGAAGGATGCTTGACGGCATTCGGACCAAAACACATACTCTTCCTTGGTCATGTTCTTGGTTCGCTCATCTGCCGCAGCCAGGCGTTGGAGGGTCGCATAGTTCTGTTCCTCCTCCTCTTCGTCTTCCTCATCGTCTCGCTCTGGGACCTGAATCGAATAGAAACTATTCACATCCCACGCGAGACCAACACGGGCCCGCTTGTTCTTCGGCTTTGAAGCAACATCTTGCGGCCCAGCAACGACACCCCCCGCGAGAGGGTCATCGGCTGCTGCAAAATCAGCAGCGTCGGTGCCACCTTTGTCATCGGAATCTTTGACATTCTTGCGGACATCTTTCCAGGAAAGGAATGTCTTCAGGCGCGAAACTTTGGCCTTATCATGCCGAATGAGAAAGATCAAATCATCGGTAGAGATAGAGCGGACTCCTCGGCGGGTAGCCAACGCTGTACTTCGTGCGAGCTGCATTGTAGGTCAGTACAGTATAATTTGATGGGCGAGGTTGTCCATACAATCTCAATGACTTGTTGGCGAACGATCTCCTCAATCAAGGTAGTTGTTTCAACGGATGGTTCAGCAGTTTCTCCAGAGACAAACATCATCTGGTTGTACATGTCAGTTGACTGGGAGTATTCTTATTGTCTTCAGGCTTCTTCTAAAAGGTGATTCGTGGTTCTTCTCCCTCAATCACTCAGAATTTCGGGAAGATCGCATATATAGAGCACAGTTATGGACAAGCCTTGCTACTCCAAATGCTCTTGAGACAGATCAAATATACTGGCGGTAGCTCGGCCGCAAGTAAGATAGACGACGCATACGGAAACAACACATAAAGTCAACGCCCTTTGAGACTTATCGGAGACAATCGCATCACAAAAGAACCTCAGTACACTATGCTGGCGGCAAAACTACACTCGGGAGGTGAAGTATGCATATGGCGGTATTATCTTGCCACGCCCCGAGATGCGCAAGTGGTTTAAAAACATAGAACGAAAAGAAGACAAACCGAGGTTCAGATATAAAGTGATAGTATGAGCTTACCTGCTGGATTTCCTGCCGATACTTCGGCGTTCGATCAGTCGACATATTGGCGAATCAAGGATAGCAATTTAACATTATTCACAGCACGAGATAAAGAAAAACGAAAGTATACAGATATAGTGTCGCGGCAAAACTATCGGCAAGAAAACGAGTGAATTGCTTGATGAAGTTAACGATGGGGATGCCTGAAGAAAGCATTCCCGTGACCTGATGCCCAGTGATCACCATATCCGGAACATCTCTTTACCCGCGTCCCGCCGCCCCGCCGCATCTGGTGGGGTGATAGCGAAACTTTTTGATTGTGATTATCGCAGCGATTATACTTATTGTGAAATTACTTTTACGAGTTTAGAAGCCACAATGCTCTACCTTGTTGGCCTGGGTCTTGCTGATGAAACTGACATCACTGTCAAAGGCTTAGAGGTGGTCAAAAAGGCCGAAAGGGTCTACCTCGAGGCATACACAAGTATTCTGCTTGTGAACAAGGAAAAGCTAGTGAGTGTCCCTGAATATGATGTTTGCTTTACAATATTATGTAATTATCTAACCAGATTATCAATTGGTTCAGTAGGAAGCTTTCTATGGACGCCCTGTTATTGAAGCAGACCGCGAAAAGGTCGAGACTGGAAGCGATGAGATCCTCGCTGGAGCAGATAAAGCAGATGTCGCGTTCCTTGTAGTCGGCGATCCTTTCGGGTAGGTGCTATCCTTTCTATAACTATGGTGTGTGCACGATTCTTATGGCTGGGCAGCGCCACAACCCATACAGATCTCGTTCTGCGCGCCCGCGAACTGGGCATCGAATCCAAGGTCATCCCGAATGCCTCGATCATGTCCGGAATTGGCTGCACCGGACTGCAGCTGTATAACTTCGGACAGACCGTTAGTATGGTGTTCTTCACGGATAACTGGAAGCCCTCGTCCTACTACGACAAGATCAAAGAAAACATCCAAATAGGACTTCATACCCTCGTGCTTTTGGATATTAAAGTCAAGGAGCCTTCGTACGAGAACATGGCCCGGGGACGAATGATCTATGAGCCCCCGAGGTATATGACAGTTGCGCAGTGCGCCAGTCAGATGCTGGAGACCGAGGAGGAGCGAAAGGAAGGCGTTTACGGACCTGACAGCCTCGCGGTCGGAGCCGCAAGAGTTGGAGCACCGGACCAGAAATTGGTCGTAGGAACTTTGAAGGAATTGTCAGAGGCTGAGATGGGCCAGCCTCTCCACAGTCTCGTTTTGCTGGGAAGGAGAGCTCACGACCTGGAGAGGGACTACATCCGGCAATATGCTGTGGACCAAGCGACCTTTGATGCCAGTTGGCAGAAGGGATACGGAGCTAGTTCATAAGGCAGAGCTCCCACTTAGCTTATCACGAAAATGCAATGAAAGATAGATGCAAAACGCCGTGAATTCTAATATCCAAGAAATAGTGTTCATAAAAACAATGACTCGTCATATTTTGGTAGATCGCATGGCTAAGCACGTCATTCATATGGCTAACTCAAGCGGCCTTTTTAGAACCGAAGAACTGCGTTAATCTTTGGGGAAGGAATGCCTAAACGTGACCGACGTTAGCCAACATTCAACAGCAAAAGCATGTAACCTCACAGGCAAATTTACAGTAGGTGTTGAAGGGGGCCGTGATCCATTCCCATATGCGCTCCCTTCGCCATCTTCATCCTTTTCGTACATCATACTGTCATCATCATCCTCTTCATTTGGGGGGAACCATCTCTCCGGGTCTCCATTGTACACAATCCACCAGCCAATCTTCTCACCGGCGGCATATTTATCCCGCATCTCAGTCAACGCTTCCATCGCGTCCTTCTCTAAGCCCGGGTCCTTGACCAGCTCCTCAGCGTCCCAACTTAGCACTCCGGATTCCGGTAGTGTAATCACTTTACCCGCGACGTAGGCGTAGGGCTTGCTAACGGCTGCATCGCTGACGTCGTTGGGATCATACTGTTCAATAAACCGCAGGTCGGGGAGACGGGATACGATACCCGGTTCGGTCTTTGCGAACGACTCGAGGAGCAGCTGGGTAGTAGTCGGTTGTTGGAGATACTCCGCTGTCGCATCCTCTAGGTTGTGTAGGACGATGTAGACTCGTATACCCGTGAAGCCAGCGCGCGGCCACTTAAAGCCGTAGAGCATGTAGACCGGCATTGCGAAGTGATGGAACTGTGACGGTTTAGAAGTCTAACAGGGGAGGCAATGGTTCAGTAACCCAGCTGCTTCTATGGACAGTGTCATGTTAATATTGACCGGGGGTTAAGTCAGCATTCGCCGTGTGTAACGATGATTGCAGGAAGTGTGTGTTTGCGACATGAGTTGATCGTCAATCAGTGGATAAGGCACTTGGCGCTAAAACGTCCATCACAGTTGACAGGTCAGTCACATAGTTAACGGGCATTTCGGAACTATTAATATAACCAATTCCAAATATACAAGAACACATCGTCAAGTGTAGCCACAGCTAGAATATTGCTGATAAATATTCCTTTTTTATTTCTTCTTTCTAATTCTTCCACGGCCGCCCTCATTTGGAACCACCAATGCATAGATCAATCTAAGGCGGTGACATCCGGCAATATCGAGTCTCGGCTTTCACATCTTCAATACTCCAGACAGCGAGCGGAGACCTTCGGATGTATCCAACTGTGGCATAGCCTAACGCCACAATCGATATCAGCATAGCGCTGTCCATCAAAGCGGGATGGTTCTCTCATTCATAATAGTCCAGAACCGACAGTAAGTCGCAGTGCCGTTGCTAAACTCCGACGATATACTATGCTAATGAGCGGAAAGGGGCAAAACACGCCTTGCAAAGTGGTATGCGCCGTACAGTGTATGTGTTTCAAACTCCCTCCGGAGACAATGTAGCATTACTAACACTGGCAATGTGCAGGATGAGGAGAAAGTGAAGCTTAAGGGCGAGGTTCGTAACACTCGATTTGTTTGCGACTGCCGTTGTTACCTTCGGACCGAATCATTGACCAATTGCATCAGGTTCATCGCCTAGTAGCACCAAGAGATCAGAAGTATCAATCCAACTTTGTCGAGTTTAAACGGAGTACAAAGATCGTCTACCGGAGATATGCTGGACTGTTCTTCTGCGCCTGTGTGGACGCTACCGATAATGAATTAGCGTACCTCGAAGCTCTTCATTTCTTTGTCGAGGTGTTGGATCAGTTTTTTGGGAATGTGTGCGAACTTGATTTGGTGTTCAATTTCTACAAGGTGCGTTGAGCTCTTTTTTGATGGTGGTGAGAATTGGAAGACATTGCGGTCAATTGAGATGTGGTTCAGATGCGACAAGGAACGAAGGGAAACTGTGTGCCCCGGCTGACAGATGATTGGTGCAGGTGTACGCGATCCTAGACGAAGTGTTTTTGGCCGGTGAAATTGAAGAGACGAGTAAGCAGGTTGTATTGACAAGATTGGAGCATTTGGACAAGCTGGAGTGAGGGAGCTCTCGGTTTTGTTTTCTGGCGGTGGATGGGATCGAACCTGTTCTGGACATTATAGCATTGAATTGGTCACAGGATGGCCATACGGAGTTACGGGTTTGAAGGATTAACATATATCAGGGCGCTGTGCTTGAGACTATTGCCATCCATGTTGGTAGAGGATTCTATGATGACTTTGTTTATTTAATTCCAGCGACAATACCCTATGGAAAGCAAATACATTTGTTTATCTACAAATGTAGCACTGTAAGAGGAGCAGTGACTATTTTGTAGGGCAGGAAAGACTCCTCAAGTCACCTAATTCCCCCCGCTCCCCCGCTCCCCCGTTAGGACGGTTGGTGGTACAGTATAAAATCGGCAGGTAAGTCAACAGCCGAAATCATTGCCGTGAGACCTCGAGCGGAGACACATCTCACACTGGACCAGTCACTGCACGAGGCAGACCTGTTATTTAAGCTTAAATAACATCCCCCAGACTAAACATAGTCTCGTTGGTAGCTCTCAGACCCTTGATAGAATTAAATAGGTTATACTCGAGTAGACATAGTTGCAGTGAGGTGATCAAGACGTGTGATTGCGAGCGTATAGTTGGTTCTTGGCATCCATTTCCTTTATAAGGGAGTGACCTCCTTTTGTTACAAAAACTTGGTTTTAATTTTAGTGATTAGTGCTGATATCTTGATTCTCCCCCTATTTCCTTTTCTCCCCCAACCTCATCAAAGGTTGTTTTCATCAGGATGTGAGAACCCATCCCTCTTATCAGATTCGGATCAATCATCTGACCTCTACGCCCTCGAAAGGGAAGTGATGTTGTTATCGGGCATCACATGCTTACTACTGAACGCGACTGCAGCACAGACTCAAAACTCCGAAGAGGGTCTGAAGGAATAACAGCACTCAATTATCGTGATGGCTCCCTTTCAATCTTGATACATACTGGTATAGATGGATACGTACGGATACTCTCCAGTATCCAAGTCTATTGTTTTGCTCCAAGTGATTAGCGGAACAAACGGCACAATTTTTATAACGGCCTTCGCTGGCGGGCCAGTGATGGACTCCGGACGGAGTAGGGAAAAAGACGGAGGTAGACGAAGATCTTCATAAGAAGGCGAGGATACTTGCCTCTTTGATCAGAGTCCCCAACGCTCGCCTCAGTGATAAGCCGTCTTGGCAGTACAGGCCGTTGATGGGAATGATTAACTCGGAACACCGAGTCGATCCCCGTCGGGACCTCGTTGCATGCAGGATTGCAGGGCATTGATTCTATCAGAAATGAGGCGAGCCCTGTAGGGTCTGTTCACCTACCTGGAATGGGGATTTGATACCTTCATTGTCGGCAATCCTGAGAAAATAATGTATGCACGGGAAGTACGGTGGGATGCGTCCAAGCGGAGATATGGCACTTGTGACACCTATCTGTCAGTTTGCGACTTGCAATCAGTAGCCTCCATCTTTTGGATGTTTCCGACTGGATCCCAACCTGCCCTATTGATAATTGATTGACCCAGTGATGGACTAGTAGGCTAAACGAGTCATGTTCAATCGTGCCAATTAGAATTACGACTCCCACTTCGGAAAATTGGTCACTAGAGTGATGGATCAGACCTTCACAAATTACGCGCTATGGCCGTATGGAAATTCACTTCGAGCCTTCGTCATCGGGATTGTTAAAAAGTCCGATGGCTGAGGTTCCCACCGGGGTGGATTGACCGCTTAGGTGGATAATGGAGTGTGGGCACTAGAGATGGGACTGTACATACTAACTTAGTGGACGAGATATCCATCTCGAATTCTTCCAGCATCGTTGACAAGCGTTGCCCGTGCATGAGACTTGACACGCATCTGATACAATGTCAGCAATAACAAATTTCCAGCAATGATAAATTAGCAACAACCAAAACAAAAGGGAAAGGAAGGATTGAGGGGTGGGGTTAATGGAACAAGCGAAGCAAGAAGGAAATGAGAACCCGAATGCAATTGTTGAGTGCTGTGGAGAGATGAGTACGTTTCAGGATTGTGCATTATGCATTGGATTTGAATATCTGCAGAAAGGTACGCGTCGTCTAGATGGACGGTTCACCAATCAGGGCAGATCTGCGGGCGGGTTGAATTTCTCAGTGCTTCCAGACCAAAGAAGCCTCAGGCCTCACCATCCAATCCCAGAATACCAGTGACCGGCCAATTAAGGGCCTACGCGGCCGATCAGTGCGCTGTCTTGCCGACGGGAAGCCTTGGCACGGGTTCTCTTCTCCAGTGTCTGATGTTCCGTTCATTCTTCGCCCCGCCTCTCCTTGACAAAACGATGAAAGTCAGGAGACCGAGGGTACTCATTGGAGGCCAATACACGATGAGGACCGGGCATCCGGGTTGATTTTCATGCACTACGTACGGAATTAGGTCAAGAACTCAGCCAGGGAACAAGGGCCACACCCCCCTGACAATCGTTAACTTTCCATGGGCGTCATCCACTGACGTCGTGGGTTCGCCCTGCCGAGACTGAGTTCGATGGGTTCTACGGTTAACTGCCGCAACTGATTTGCCCCAAACGTGGTTGGAAGACCCACCTATGGGAGTACCTGAGAGAATGGAAGGATAAAAACAGAAACTAGAAGAAAAAGGTAAAAAAGGAGGATGGGGGCATTGCCAAGATTCAGGAGACCGAAATTATTTAACAAATTTTTTTCTTTTTTTGTATGATTACGACTCCGAGGATCCATATCGCATGTACACTTCGCGTACACAGGTACGAATGGGTTGCCACTGGTTGTCATTTCCATACCCTTGGGTTTCATGATTTATTTTAATTACTGAGTATGGGGATTATTTAGTACATCCGGGGCGCTAATGGCCTCTTTTGGTACGGATATATGACTTTTATTATCAATCTATTCTCCAAACTCCTTTTCGTCTTTTCAACATCACTGTGAATTGCTTGGGTCCATCCTTTTAAACAAGCCTTGACCTCAGAAAACCGTCATTTTCCTTGCGTTCTATCTTTCCTCGGTTTCTTGGGATTCATCCTTCGTTTCTCTTTACTAGACCTTCAATTTTGAAGACAGTACTGTCTCTTGAATACGCATTATAATACAGTTCATATATACACATACATCGTTTTCCAATCTGTCACCATGTCCTTGACTTACTCGGATAACCTCGCCCCCCAACCCTGGACTGATATCTTCACCGATGACACTTGCATTGATAGGCGCAAGTGCCACCGCACAGTGCCTATGAAAGTGCTGGCACTCGGTGTTGGAAGAACAGGCACAGCGTCTCTTCGCAAAGCGTTGGAGCGCATTGGATATCTGAAGTGCTACCATATGATGTCTGCCAGTGTCGAGAACCCACCTGACTGCCTGATGTGGCACGATGCTCTCCTCGCTAAGTACGATGGCGTGGGTGAGTTTGGAAGGAAGGAGTGGGATCAGTTGTTGGGAGAGTGCCAGGTGAGCCTCATATTGTCGACCTGGCTGATATTGAGAATGGGACTGATCTTGCATATATAGGCTGTCTGTGACTGGCCCGCCTGTGCTTTTGCCAAAGAATTAATTGAAGCCTATCCTAACGCTAAGGTTATCCTGACTACTCGTGACGTGGACTCGTGGCATGCGTAAGTTGATATTGAAGTATACCTGAGGAAAGTTCCATTGTCTAACTGGCACATGACAGATCTGTTATGAAGACTGTGTGGTGGCGTGTGAGCGATCCTGAGCACAGCTTTGTTTCGAACTTCAGCTGGGCTGCGGGCATGTACTACCCTATGTTGAACAAATTCTTCCAGACTTTCTTCCGTGGTGACTTCCCCAACAAGGGCAAGCAGGTGTACGAGGATCACGTTGCAGAAGTCCGCAGTCTGGTCCCACCCGAGCGCCTGCTGGAGTACAAGATCAGCGATGGCTGGGGCCCTCTGTGCGAATTCTTGGGAGAAGAGGTCCCTGACACCCCATTCCCTCGTGGAAACGACATGGCCGACTTTTTCCAGCGCTGCCGTACCCGCAACAGGCACCAGATGATGAACGCTGCCCTTCAAGCTTTCACCATGGGTGGAGCGCTAGTGGCGACCGGATTGGCCGCGACTATGGCTTTCAAGCGCTTCTGTCGGTAAAACGGTGAAATAGTACCCTTTTCTTTTTACCCTTTTGTTTCTTTTTTTTGGGTGTTATGGTATGCGCTGGGCGCAAGTCATGGTTTTTCTTTCTAGTTCATAAAATATGCCCTATGTTCGTTGTTCTTGGCTAGCGTCTATTTATTTTGAACACTGTACATAATATCCAACCAAATTATTCCATTGACCACCGTGTCGACTTGCTCCTTGAACGTTAGTGGCTTGATATTTGAAGGGAGCGACATCTTGGCAATCGGCCTCAGGGGTAAACTGGCCGTGAGGGCTCGAATGAGACCACCCTCATCTCGTTAAAAATCCTCATAGCCTGAGACAACAGAATCAGGTTGATGGTTTTTTTTTAAAAAAAAAAAACCTCAGGAATATGCAGTGGCGCACGGGAAGTCATGCAGTGCAAATTTTCTCACAAACCTTGTAAACCGGATGAGGGAACCGTCTTGGCACATTGAGAGGGCTGAAGCGCCCTACAAGGCCAGACAATGACTGCGGGTGTCTTGACGCTCGCCCCCTGTGGTGATAAAGGAGACGGGGGATCTAGTGGCCGGCCAAGAACCAGTGGGCTTGGAGCCGTTTGCTTGGCCGTGGATTGTGGTAGCGCGCTCAGGTTAGTTTACTGGATCAAAGCTCCATTCCTCTCTCGTACCGACCTCCTATTTGGTTGATCATTGCTGACCGAATTTGGTTGCGGGAAATTGGAACATCAATAGGAGAGGTCAATTGCGCCAATGCTTGGAACTGTTTTATACATAGTCATGGAGTAGGACTTGTCGGGTGGGTAATTGCCATTGTTATTGTTCTGGTAAGAACTACATATGCAGCGAGAATTTGCAAAGCCCAGTGAGGTATTTCTTGGTATAGAAATCTAGAGGTGTAATGCACCCATGACGCTGCTCAAGAGGATACTCGTAATCGTATAGTTCCGCCAAGATCAAGGAGACACGGAGAGATAATTATACCGTACCGTCTGTTACGGGGCCAGAGACGTGAAGTGTCTAAATATACATACGAATCTCTATGTATCCTCTGTAGAAATAACAGGCAGATTTGATACAGCTCAGAACTTTAGATCAGCATGGTATACGTATGACTATGAATAGTTAGTTATTGATGGGTCGCCCCTGGAATCCCATACAGAGCTTGTTTGGAAGGAGATACACTTCCTGTCATAGCATGTTTGAAGTCTGAACTGCGTAGCGAAGCCACACGAGTGGAGTACATTCGCTTCAACTCCACTCCCTCCATTCTGGCTGTGACGTGGCGCTGGAGCAGAGGAAATGGCAAGAAAAAAAAAGGGCCAGCCACAGTGAGGTGCTATTCTCTTACTACGGCCTCGGCATTACTATTTAGTGTCGGCGTTAACGGGATTGTTTCGTCGTGGGGACTCAAATGATTCTCCAGAACAGGTTCTTACAGGGGGGTAATTTACACCCTACTGCATTTCGGTGTATCGTTCAATTCCCGACTAGTTCAGATGGGGCTTAGCCTTGCGTTCTAGATATCACCAACTATGAACGGACCTTACGTAGAGGACTACGTATTCTCTAGAAGCGAGAAACCGGAGGCTGCTAACGTGGGTTGGGCCTTGAATCTGAGTGGAGGAAGAATGAATGAACGACTATTCCCTGCGTACGTTATCACAGACGATGTGGGTGACGTTGGGTTGGCTTGATGGGTGCAGAAGAGGCGCTGCAGATAGTGCAGTGGATTGGACTAATTACAGAAAGCACTGTCGTTGAACAGATTTTACGAGTCGATGTCTCAAGACTGATGGTTTTTTTCACACTTCGGGTGTTTAACAAACTTCGATTCGGATCCCGAAACAGATCCATTGAGGTATCGATGATGGAGACGTTGGGGACTTCTACCAAGTTCCATCACTTCATCTTTGTCTCAGGAAATCCCATTGAGGCACGACAGACTCCCGTGACCACTATGAAGACTGAGCGATGCTAATCTATACTTTGTAGCACGATGCACAATGGTAAGGCTAACATCGGTTCAAATATTGACTGGTAGAATTGACAGCGCCAATCTCGGTGGGTGTGCCGGCGGACTGGATTCCCCCTGGCTGTTCACCAATCAGGGCAGTCAAGAGGCCTCACCTTCGTTCCAAAGAATAATGAAATGTAGTACGAGACCTGACTTAATGCTCCACATGGGCGTGGTGGATGCCCATTGGAAACACTCGTGGCTGTCTCAGCACCGACACTCACTCTCCTTCCGTTTTTTGAGTTGCGATCCGTGCTGATCTTCCCAAGTACTGTACATTCCCCATATCCTCTTGCCAATACTTGATTTCTTGGGGGTTTTGTACTCTTCGCACATATTCCCAATCTATCTCTCCCTTGTGCTTGGATCTCTTTTCTTGGTTGGTATTTTCCGCCTCAGAGACGAGTGATGAACTGGTATTGCGCATGATCGTTGCGAGCCATCTTTGACATCAATGCCGGGAAGATCACTGTTCTTGTCTCCCCTCCGCATAATGACTTCTCTGTTTTTATTGTTACTATCGTGCCTGCCGGGTATCGTTGCGGAGATTGATTCTATATTTCGATCGGTAGGTCCATGTTAAAGGTAGTACGCGGATAGGGCTCATAGGACCGTCTTGGAAAATTGGCTAATCGTCCTATCACACAGAGACCCGATCTATATCCCCCGGTTCTCACGATAGAACACAGCATTCCTGAGAGACTCGCGTCAGGGTATATATTCCTTGGTCTGTATGAAGCCGCCAACTCAGGCCCTTATATCTATGATGATGAAGGAGTAGGTCTTGTCCTCCTCAGGCCGGTTGTTCTCGCTGACGTCGCTGCAGAATCTAGTATGGAGCGGTTGGGGGAACTCTGGACCTGGGAACGCCCATGGCATGCACGTATGCGAATACAAGGGGAAAGATCATCTCTGTTTCTTCCAAGGTGTTCAACAGAATGGATACTGCAGGGGTCATGGTGTGATCATGGATAACCAATATCGTATAGTGAAGACAGTGGTTCCTGGAGGTGGAATGGCATCGAGCGATATGCACGAATTTTTACCCATTAATGGTGGAAAGACTGCGCTATTGACTGTGTACCAGCAGCGACAGTTTGACATGAGCTTATGGAATGTTAGGACTGGGATGGGGTGGGTAATGGAGAGCATTTTCCAGGAAGTGGATGTGGAGACGAACGAGGTGCTGTTTGAGTGGAAGTCCCTTGACCATGTTGATCCTACAGCTAGTTACACCTGGCCTGGCCACACTGATACTTCGGGTACTGGACTGGACTCACAATCCCCGTGGGATTACTTCCACATCAATTCCATTGACAAAAACAAGGACGGTGACTATCTGATCTCGTCGCGCCATACTTGTGCGATCTACAAAATCTCCGGCCAGAACGGGTCGGTGATCTGGCAGTTGCATGGGGCCAACCCGTCGTTCACCAATATCAACTTTAGCTTCTCCCAGCAACACGACGCTCGATGGTTGAATGAAAACGGTACTCACACCTTACTTTCCTTATATAACAACGGCTACAACGGCTTCAATAAAACTCACGAGTACTCCTCTGGTATGCTCATCCTGATCGATCATGTTGCGATGACGGCCACCCAGTTGCAAGATTATGCCCCTCTCAATGGAAACATGCTCAGCTCAAGTCAGGGCAACATGCAGGTTTTGCCGAACCGAAATGTGTTCATTGGATGGGGGAACAATGCCTACATATCCGAACACGATCAGCATGGCAACCTGTTGCTCTGGGGATATATTGATAAGGACAAGATTATGAACTACCGCGCCCAAAAGTTCAAGTGGGACGGAAATCCGACGGACGTACCGGCCCTGTGGACATACTCCCAATCATCCAAGCCGTTCTCCTCGCTGACCATGTACGTGAGTTGGAACGGTGCAACACGAGTGAGGTACTGGCGATTTTACGGTTCCCTAAACATGACGGGTCCGTACGCATTGTTGAATCAGGTGACGAAGAAGGGATTCGAAACAAGCTATAGCTTCCCGCACTATTATCCGTGGACGTATGCAGAAGCGGTAGACCCCGAAGGCAAGGTGCTGGGCAAGTCGCGGCTGAAGTTTACTTTTACGCCGTCGGCGGAGCTCCAGCAATACTGCACGAATAACATGTGCGAAAATGCCCAAGCATATGGACTTCCTGGCGAAATGGGAGCTCTCGCGTTTGTCCCTCCCGCAGGCCTCAACACTGTGCCATGGGTAGACCCTGAGCATCCTGAGGCGCACTACGACTGGGGCGAATCCACAGAGCCCGAGTCATCGTCGTTGGACGAAGCCAAAGAGACCCTGAAAGCTGCATACGGTGAGCTTTCCCTACTCCACAATAGCAAGTTGAATACGTTGACGCTAATCACCATGAAATGCTCAGATCACGCATGGGTTGTCCCTCTGTTAGCGGTTGGTATTGTCGCTCTTGGGTTGTATGCGGTACTTCGAAGATGGCGACGAACCCGACATCATGTGCACCCGATGAGAGAGCGGGCATCTTCAGAGCCATTGGATGATGGTGCAGACGTAAGAAAACAGCCAGGCCAGGGGAGCGAGGCGCCGTGGTGGCATTGGCGGCGATGGATCGGGGGATCCGACGGGCCTCACTATTTCCCGTTGACGGAGCCAGGTTATTCGAATAGGGAATGAAGATGGCTCGTCGCATCCGGATTACTTAGCATGATACCATAGATAATTTTATTCTATAGAAGTAAATTAATTTAGGAATATAATACAATATAATATACTCAATCCTAGGATTTGTCCAGGTGGCAGGATGGTTGACGCTAGTCTATCTACAGAGTATATTAAATTGAATGAATCTAGTTGCTCGGTTAGCAGCTGATCAGGTAACAATACGGTACACGGATAGATTACCAGCCCGCGTCACAAGATGACAAAACGCAGGGCCGAACATGACGGAGAACCAGTTCCGCTTACCAATCTAATGTACACTCTTGAGCATAAAAATCCTGGAACTTACAGAAAGAATCAAGCTAGACAGATAAATAAATAGAACAAAAAGCTTACACACGTCGCAGATGATGTACGTGACGTCGTAGGAGTCCAGAATAATTCGGAGATGGGACAAAATTATGTTCTTTCTTTCAGTGAAAACACCGTCTGTCTCAAGTGGTAATCACGGGAACCATGAATGCGTTTCGCCTACTGGTCGGAACGCAACGGTGATTGAAACGTGTGATAGATTGATTAAGGGTTGGAAACGTAAAAGAGAAAAATAACAGCTGGGTATTGTGAAGGATAAAATAAAAAATAATGAACAAATAAAATTATAAATCATGGGAATTATTCCACCTGCCAAGGCGCCAACAAGTAGTGGAGACAAGCGTCGCAATCGCTCTTCAATGTATTTTGCCGATCCAATACTCCGTCACAGTCACTGCTCCTCCTTTAGTTTACTTACTCTTCCAACCAACCTCATCATTTCTCTTTCCCTTATCGTACCTCTGTCTTTTCTCTTCCGATTCACTCATTTAATTTTCTTATCTAGCTTGTTTCTTTTTTCCTTTTTCTTTTCTATTTTTGCATTTGTTTTAGTTGCATGTTACACGGATGTGATCTCCATCGACCCAATAGAGACACGGCTTCCTGCAGGTTTATATACTATACTAACGAGCTATTTTTTGCCCCTCTCAAATCCACGGTCTCACTCCTTGACGTAGTCTTCCAATACTTGGCATCCTATCACGGCGTCTGGAAGATTCCGCCTCGATGCCTGTACCAAAGTTGGATCTACAAAACAGTAGTCGACTGAGATCTATCTCAACGTCCAGCAACTCCCCGGTTCCCTCTCCCGCGCTAACGCCGACACAACAACCATCATCGGCTTCATACGCTAATAAAAGTCGGAATGCCCGTCACATCCGGGCGACTTCTTGGACATCTGGTCACGATCAAGGCGGCGAACCCTCTCCGCGAGAATTTCCCTCACAGCAGCGCCGCCGTCGCGAGTCAAATATCTCTCTAGACGACGTCTCCGAAGGCTCGTCGGACCGCGACACCGGCAATAAGATGGCTCTGAGAAACACCTCGTTCGAGCAATCCGGCCATGCCCGCAATCGGTCACAGAGCCAAAACCTGGCTTCCTTCAGGCAACCGCAGCACTTCTCCAGTGATCCGCCTCCGCGTCCAGGGCCCGTCACTTGGATGACCCTGCCGCGGAAGAAGCAACTAGCACTGCTCGGGTTATGCCGTGTATTTGATTTTCTGCAGATTGCCTCACTGCAAGCGTACATGTTTTACCAGCTTAAATCATTCGATGACAGTTTATCCGATGCAGATGTGTCTACCCAGGCTGGTATCCTCCAGGGCGCCTTTACCGCGGCCCAATTCGCGACAGCGATTCCCTGGGGCCGAGTAGCGGATGCGGAATGGGGTGGACGGAAGTTTGTTCTCTTGGTTGGCCTGTTAGGCACGGCAGTGTCTTGCCTGGGCGTCGCCTTTGCTACATCGTTCGCGCAGGCCGTGTTCTGGCGTTCATTCGGCGGTGCCATTAATGGTACGGTGGGCATTATTCGGACGATGATTGCGGAGAACGTGAAGGAGAAGAAGTACCATTCCCGTGCCTTTCTCATTCTACCCATTGGGTTTAATATTGCCTCTTTATTTGGACCTGGTGAGTTCGGTTCAAGTTCCATGTACATGAATATCAACTAACAGGCTCAGTGATGGGTGGTATGCTCTCCGATCCGGTGCGCAGCTATCCTGCCTTGTTCGGCCCCAATTCTTCCTTTGGAGGAGCGAATGGTATACAATGGCTCGAGCGCTATCCCTACGCATTGCCAATGTTGGCCAATGCCGTCTTTCTCTCCTTTGCTGCCTTCTGTGTTGGTATCGGCTTGGAAGAGGTAAGATCAAACCGTGCTATGGCTGACAAACCCAGCTAATTCTTCAATTAGACCTTGGATGCTTGCAAAGGAAAGCCCGGACTGGGACTTTTCACTGCTAGGATCTTCGCCCGTGGTATCCGGGCCGTGATTCCTTCTTCGTCACCTTTGTACCAGAGACTACCTTTCGCCGATTACGATGAAGAAGGCCCTCTTCTGAGCCACCACCACGATCCCACCGAGAGCTACGAACTGGAAGAGAAGGCAGCCAAGCCCTTGCGGTATAAACAGATTCTCCCTTTCCACAGACTTTGGACGAAGAACGTGCTGTGTACACTTTTGGCGCAGGCCTTCTTCGATTTCCAGATGGGGTCAGTTTAAGCCACTCAAGGTCTCATGTGGTACATCTGCTGACTCCTGCAGTGCATTTAATAATCTCTGGCTGCTCTTCCTGTCTTCACCTCGCTATGATTCCAACGATCCCGCTGCTCCTGCTCAGAGGCTGCCGTTCATCTTCACGGGTGGGTTGGGTATGCTGCCTCAGAGTGTTGGATTTGCCACGGCCATCCTGGGCATCATCGGCATGCTCCTCCAATTCACCGTGTACCCAGCAATTAATAGCCGCTTGGGGACGGCCAAGAGTTACCAGTATTTCTTGACTCTGTTTCCCTTAGCTTATGCGTTTGCCCCGTATATCGCCCTTGCACCGTCAAGCACACCACCCCCAGGACAGGCCAACGGGCCGTGGGTGTGGTTCTCTATCATTATCGTCCTTTTCTTACAAGTTTCGGCCCGTACATTTACGCTGCCGACCTCGATTATCTTGCTGAACAACTGCTCGCCACATCCTTCGGTGCTGGGCACCATCCACGGAATTGGCCAGTCAGTCTCCTCAGCATTCCGCACCATAGGCCCCATCTTTTCTGGCTCGTGGTACGGATATGGTCTGGAGATCGGCATGGTAGGGTTCGCCTGGTGGCTGATCGCCCTCGTATCCGTTTTTGGATGCGTCGCAGCCATCTTCGTCTATGAGGGATCGGGGCATGAGATTCTTCTTCCAGGAGAGGAGGACGATCCGCCCCGTTAATGATCATCTTTTGCATGTCATTCCCTACCCCATTTGCATCTTAGCTTTCTTTGGTATTTTGTCTCATATATATTGATTTTTCCTTTGGTTCAGCTTACTGTACATATGGGGACACGTGCATAGTCGGTGTCCGGTTACTTCTTTCGTTGTCTTATTGTTACTGCACCGACGACCATGCTATGCTCATAGCGATGCTACCATTGTTCGGATACCTCTTTGTTTTCCATTCTTGTGACATATTCTCGCTTGCTTCTCTGATGCATGATGACAAAAAGGAGTGGGTGGATAGATCGTGATACATAATACATAGAATTCCTCATGACAGTGCGTTCGGGATATCGTTATCTTAAGCATGTAGATCCCAGCAGGGAGATAGGGAAAAGAACATAACTACCGCTTTAACGCGGCAAAGCGTTTAGTCAACTCATCCAACTCCGGGATCCCTCCTTTACTCGATTTCGAAGGGCTCCTGGGCTCCAGCTCGGTCTCTCCATTCCCATTTGCGTCTGGGACCTTGACGCGCGGGTTTGGATTATCAGACCTGGGCCCCGGCGGCGCAACACTGACGGGGCTCTTTCCAGCCTGAAGCCCCTTTGGCGGCGTAGCACGATTCAGCTCCGCCGTATCAGACATCCTCCGCTGTACCTCAGACGGTCGGCCCTCCTTCCGCGGCGTCACCGGCAAATCACCCCCATCACCACCCTCATCAGCATCATCAACAAATTCCGTCGGCACCTCATCCAAATCCTCCGCATCCCCACCCCAAGAAACCCCATACGCCCTCGCAATCTCCCTTAGATAACTATCCACCAACTCCCTCGACGGCGGCCGCACCCGCAACCCCTTCACCAACCTCTCCGGAACCTTCAACCCATCCGCGACGGGAAACCGATCATCCTGCGCAAGCGTCATAAACTCCTTCCCATACCGATCCGCCAATAACCCCCTCAAAATAGTCAATTCCCTCACATCCGACGGAAACCGCGGATATGCATAAAAAATCGCCGCAGCAGCCTCATCTAGCGCCGAATCAATATACGCCCTCTCCCCAACCCCACCACCCCCCTCAACACCCACCGCACTCACCCCAGCCCCAGTTTCAGACGCGGGTTTCTCCTCCCTCCTTGCCTGCCCTCCACCTCCAAAAATCGCCCCAAGCCCAAACCCCCTCCCTTTCCCCTTCCCCTTCCCCAAAGTAGAGCCCCCACCATCCTCCACGCCCGACGCCAAACCCCCCATCTCCCGCCTCCTAATCTCCCCCAAAGCCTCCTTCGCCCGATTCCTCGCCTCGACCCCCTTCTCACTAAAGGCGTTCTGGTCTAGCACATTCGCCCGCGCAAGGATCAGCTCGCAGTACAGCTCTACCATTTCCATGACTTCGATGGCGATATCTGTTGCGATGACATTTTCGACGCGGATGCGGGCGCTCGCGTCTTTGTTTTCGGAGAGGAGGTGAGAGAGTTCGCGACGTTGGATTACGGAGCTGGCTGTGGATTTTTTTTGGAGGAGGCGAAGGCGGGGGATTAGGAGGTGGAGGGTTGAGGTTAGTTTTGCCTGGGGGCTTTGTTAGGATTTGTTTGGTAGGTTGGGGGTTTGGTGATGGTGGGGTTTTCGGGGAAGCGTACCGTTTGGGGAGAGGGGGGCATTTCGCCTTTGGTTTCTTTTCGTTGGCGGTTTGTTGCTGTGGTGTTTGGTTGATTTTATGCTGGGTTGGGTGGATTGTAGGTAGGCGATAGGAAAAGAGTAGACGGTGTGTTGTGAGGGTGGTAATTGTTTGATTGTATGGAGATTATGGGATGAGGGACTGGACTGTAGATATCATATGTCATCTTTGGAGGTTGCCTTGGGGCTAGTGTGGTTTGGGTTTAGGGGAGTAGGTTTGTGGCTGTGGAGGAACGGGCTAGACTATTTTGGGGATAGTGGTACTCCGCTCCATATCTATACTCTATAGGTATGTTGACAGCAAAACTGCTAGACACTAGATCGTGCGCGAACTTATATGTACCCTATGACTTGTGTCTAGAATATACTTAGAAAACCGAAATGGATCTAGGAAAAATACATGGAACTGGGAAAGGCAAAAAGGCAAAAATGCAAGTAAGGAATATATCTAGTAAACACTCGCTGCTTTCCGAAGTTCCTCCGCATGGCTCTTCTCCCACGGATGTTTCTTCTCAATGGATCGAATTAGCTCCTCATGGCCTGCACTGCGAGGCTTGATATCGACGTCGAAAGGCTCCGGATGGCTGATAACCCCAGGGTAGAAGACGGGCTGGATGTCCATTTCCTTACCGTCGCAAATTGGCTTGGTGATATTATAGACGGCCAGTAGTTGAACGATAGAGAGATAAAGATTGGAATCTGCTAGATTTCGGCCCGGGCATATCCGTCGACCAAATCCAAAAGCGAGAAAATAGGGATCACGTTCGGGAACATGGCCGCCATCACTCAGAAAACGCTCGGGCTTGAATTCCATTGGGCTATGGTAGTCATTGGGGTCGTGTGCACATGCCCTAACGGTACGCATTAGCAGCCAAAAAGAAGAAAGGGGTGTGTTGTAAGGAAAGGAAAGGGTGTGAGAGAGGGGTAAAACCAGCGCACCATATATTTGCCAATATAGCTGCTCCCTTCGGGATATGATACCCCTCGCATTCATCATCCTCGATGGCCATGTGTGCAGCTCCCATTGGAACAATGGGATGCCAACGCAGGGCCTCTTTAACAATGGCTTCAATGTAAGGGAGGTTCTCGCGATCTTCAAACCCAGGCAGACGCGATGTCCCAACGACCCTGTCAATTTCCTCTTGTGCCTTCCGCTGCACATGCGGATACAAAACCATCGCGAGGAAGACACATGTCATCGTGGAAACTGTCTGTGGGCATTTATTAGGATCTTCAGCTTTCAGGGCACTGTCAATGTTACTATGTTGTTACTTACGGTATCTGCCCCGCCGCCGTAAAGTGAAGCAGTAGTCCACTTGACAACGTACTCCTCTTCTGAGCCAGGCTTGACGTCGCCCCCCTGTAGGTAGGACGATATGATGGACGGCGCATTATAGCCCCGTGCCATCTGCTGCTTCGTGAACGTGTATGGGATGTCACTGAAGACTTTGGAAATCTTCTGAAACTCTTTTGCAGCCCGTGTGCAGCCTCCACCCGGTAGCCAGGAAGGAATGTGTCTCACTATAATGATACAACGTTAGCAAAAATATAAATATATCCCTATCCCTTCAAGCTGTACGCGAGACTTACGAAGAGGAATAGAGTCGACAAGCCAAGCCCCGGGAAGTATTGACTGAGCAAATTCCACGATAGCCCTGTCTGCGAGATCAACCAGGGGATCGCGCCCATGCGGCTCGACGGTGTACCCGTACGTAATCTTCAAAATGATGGCACCGGCTTCCCTAGTTACGAATGTGTTATTCTACTGTTCACATTCACCTTCACCGGACCAAGGAGCGAAGAGCACTCACTTCCGAAGATGTTCGATCCAGTGTCCAGGATCCTGGAGTATTCGCAAAAGGAATCGACTAACCTCTACCTCCTGAGTGTGATTGAAACGAGAGATCGCATTATTTGAACCTATCTGCTGATGCGCAACTTTGCGTGCGGCACGGAATCGGTCGGAGTATTCGAGAACGGCCAAGATACCCCCCCAACCAGCCCTATTATTATCAATCACGTATCTTGTGTGCAGTGGGGGAATGCTACTTACATATGAGAAAACGTGCATGCCGGTCGAGATGAGTGGATGGCAGATCGTTTCTCTAATAGCTCATGTGCAAGACGCGCATCATTCAGGATTATGATTGTTTGGCCGAAGGTAGTAACGGAGCTGATTGGGCCTTTTGAGAGCTATATATCAGTAAATGAATAACATAGGTATGCGACTGACGATGGGGTTAGGTACCGTAGAGATCTTTATGTTTTAACCAATGTAGCCAGGCTGGTGTGCCGGGCGATGGAAAATCCCTTAAATTGCCAATAATTGGCTTTGGTCGGGGACCGGGAGGGAGCGGTGCAGAGGTCTTCTTTTTACTTAAAAAAGATTTGATCATATAAAGGCATATGATGCCAATCGCCAGTCCTAGAACTATGAGCGACATATCTCCTTACTGTGGCTTTGTAGATAACCTTGACAGAATACTGAAAGAAGCATGCAGGGCACTCACAAATATCCAAGTCGGTCTGTAAGAATCCAGCTGAATGAGTAACGAGGCCATTGCGATGATATCAGTCATCCATTGAATCTCAAGCAATTTAGAAATCAGGTCCGGCACCGCGTCCAGAATATTATTGCCGGATTTGGTCTCACTTCATAAGCCCGGGGAGTTGTAGCGATAAATTAAATGGATCTGACTTCTTAATCAAATAAAGAGAATCATAATACTGTACGCAGCACCGACTTGCAATCATCCTTACTTAGTTAACTATTACTCTGTAAAGTATGCTCGTACACAGCCTCTTATGTAAAACAAGATCTCGTATTTCCAATACAATATGCGCTAGAGCTTTAGTTGCAGATGCTCTCTTTTCAACAAAGGTCACCTCACCTGGTCATCTCAAGGACTCTTCTCCTGGATCAGCATTCATACCGTGTATTCCTCTGCCTTTCTTCTCATCTATCCCGCGGCAAATCCCTTGATTTCAGAGATATCTCAGGGTCTTCACTTTCAAAGCGACCGGAGTAGTTACCTAGCAGCTCATTATCCGACAGGATATCTCCTCTATATTCTCCCAATGCTATCTTCTCTGGAATCCAGGGGTTTGAGTTCAAATTATATCAGAACCAGAGAGCAGTCTTGGTTGCAATGGTAACATATACGTGTCAGTAGAGTCCCCTTACCTAGGGGTAAACCACATCGGACTCGGCTGAGTAATTTGGGGACAATAATAGTAGGTTATAAGATGTAGTAAAGAAGTGGAATGGAATGCCGCTGATTAGGCTCGAACCAGAAACACAGTTCAGCAGATCAATAATGAGTTAGTCTAGAATTACGGATCAAACATAGTTTGCTACTAAAGCTGAAGCTTAATTTGGCGGCATTGAATAGTTCTCTAGACTCTTAAATTCTATACTAGAGGACTGTGTCGTAAGGCAGTGAATATATAGGAACTCCGAATGCCGACGGCCTAAATCCCGAACGCCGAGCGCAGCCCTAATCTGTCAGCCCCCACTCTTCAATTGTGCTTTCGTCTTTCCCCCTTCAACTGTTTATAACAGTCAAAACAAAGATACTGCATAGACTCTATCTAAGATGAGCTCGCGTCGTCGCAATGGAAAGCCCGCATCCTGCGAGCCCTGCCGCAAGGAAAAAGTCCGCTGTGATCATCGCCTACCTGTCTGTTCCCGCTGTCAGAAGAAACGTCGGACTGTCTCTTGCTTCTATCATCCAGCACCGTTAACTCAAAGATCGAGGAACACAACTGTAAAGATTGCCTCACTTGGTGTGGGGCACATGAGATCTCCCTCCCATTCAACTCCGGAGCAAGGTGAATCTGATTCTGCATCGTTGCGCGCCGGGACAGCATCCACACCGGCCACAACCATTTCCAATCCCGAGGAGCCCAAGTCGCGATTAGGAGATGGATTCTGCATTCCGGTAATTGGTCGCTCACTACCGACTGGCTACTTAGGTCCCACGAGTTTTGTCGCAGCATTCGAGGAAGATCACGAGCTCGTTTCCAGCCCTAGCGATCTGCAACCACAGGAAGGGGCGGTAAATGCATTTCCATCAGCCTTGCCTTCACACTGGGTGCAGAGGACAGCAGAGATATTGAGCTTTCTGAAAGAATTCTCGACAATTGAACAGATAGTCCGCGAGTACTACATATTAGGCCAGGCCGCCGTAGTTCCATCTTTTATACTCAATGCACTGCCTACGATACAGACCATGATCGACGAGAACCAACTGCATAAAAGTCCACCGGAACAAGTTGCGCAGGTACTAGAAAACACAAAGCATGCGTTCCATATACCGCCTACAATCACAGGAGGCCAGTTCCACGAGCTTTACACCGGATCTAATCTGCGTCTGGAAATCTTAGGTGTTTTCTATGCGATTGCTGGTCGATTGGCCGCCTTCGGCCTTGCTCATGATAAATTCCCTAGGTTTGAAGGAATGGCAGCTCGTGAGCGGTTTGGTCGGAGGATGCTGGCGGTTAGTGATGCAGTGCTCCAAATTTGCACACATATTACCCCAGTCAATGATCTAACGATATGGCTGCTGTACGAAATCCAATTGTTGTCAGGGGTGGCTCATGGCGATTCCAGTAAGTGAAACAAATCACTATACCTAGAGTAACTTGGGACTCGAAGGTTTTGCCTAACCATGCAACAGGTTGCGCAAAGTGGCGCAGACTCGGCGATCTGTCCACTCATATATTCGAGCTGGGGCTGCATAGAGACTCCCAACTATCGAATTCTGCCCCGAAGTTTCTTATTGAGACGCGTCGGAGACACTTTGCAGCGGCATACCAACTGGACAAGAGCATCGCGACGTTTCTTGGCAGGCCGCCGAGGATTTCATTAAGACATTCAGATTGTAAACTACCTCTTGATATCGATGACAGCTCCTTGGGTGCCGGCGAACTCGAATTTGAGCTAGCTTTGCAGTACTTAGACAGTGAAGGATGGAACACACAAGGCGCTCTTCATCGATCCTCCTTCCTTCGGCAGCGGTTTTTGGTCAGCACTTTTCGCGAAGAGATTCTCGAAGTCTCTTTAGAACCCCAAAGCCATGAAACAGCCGATAAGCTGAGGTGAGCCTGCCTCCCCACCTCCCCCCCCTCTGAACCTTTTGACAAGTCATGACCTTCAGTGACTCACAGGGATATCTCTGTGCGCTGTCATAAAACCTGGAATTCCTTTCCTAAGCAGTTGCGCTACAACCCAGATTGTTGGGACGAACAATTTTCAACACCAATCTGTCTGATGCTTATTGTATCATACCTAGCCTACCTTTACAATGACTTCCTCATATATCGGCTTCTTGCCGAGCAGGACCCCGAGGCCCAATCGGCCCTGCTCGACGTGAGCTCGACCATACTATCATCCGTGCTAGCTTTCTGCACCATGCGAGAAGATATGGTTGACCTTCGGCCAGATTATATGTGGACAGTCAGTGCCTCTCTGCTTCCACAAATGTTCGTAAACCTGCTAACCAGAAGAAACCTACCAGATTCTCCTGTACGGTTTCCCCAGCGCTGGTGTTCTCATCAAGGCGCTTCAAAAACAAGCTCGCACCGGCCGACCGATTCCTTACCGGGGTTCCCGGTCGGTGCTGATCCGTCACCTAAGCGTTTTTATCTCACATCTAGACTCCATGTCACGACCGAGTGTCGCGAATCAGGACCTGTTCCATCGTGCTAGTAAGATATTCTCGGACATCATCGACGAGGTTCTGGAGCCACGTGTTTCGGTAACTCTCCCTGGACTGGATATGGACACATTGACGGACTCTGAAATATGTATGATGGGCAGCGATGAACTGGATTTCTTGAACATGCTGGAATTCGGGGGATCAATTGATCAGTTTATATTCTGATGAGTCTTGCATGCCGATTGCGAGGATAAATTATGAGCGAAAATCCAACGTCATAGTTCGCTCTCGGTCTGCCCTTTATAACCTTTCCACCTGGTGCTGTCAGTTAGCCCCATCATGCCCGAGTTTACTGTGAATATTATCCCGGATTCCGAACTCCGGCACTCTGAGAATTAAAGCCTATGCTATCCACCGGTCCAAAACTTAGCCGGGAGCTTAGTGTGATTATACATTAGTTGAATATATACATATCTGTTATACCATTATGTTCGTGCCTTCGTAATAAGTATAGGTCGCAAAACGTGCAGACTGAAGAGCGCGAAAACAAAGAGCAGCCAGTTCAGTCCGATCGAGTGCGCCCCAAAATTTCGACCCGGTAACCTTTATGATCGCAAATATATCTCCAAAATGAGGTCCACCAGAATATACACCTAAGCAAATCAGCAACCCTAAACCAAGCAACACAGACGCACGCACCTAGAAAAGCTCACCTCATACCCAAATACTAGAAGGATGAATGTAAGCCTGGACCAAGCGCTAATTAACGTTCTCTATCAAACTGTAAAACCGTCGTCATTAAATGCCACAGCAAATTCAGCGCCAGAAAAATCAGCCCATGAATCAACACTACCACCCAGTCAGTTCCCAGCAGCCCAAAGGAAAAAACGGGGGCAGGAAATCACAGACCCTCACTCCCAACCGACTTAACAACCTCCACACGACCCTTCCTTTTCAACCACGTCGGCACCAAATCCATCTGGCAAGTCCTGCCATCAATAACAAGACACGCGCCCGTCTTCCGGGGACATTCAAGATGTCGACGTCTGCGCTCCATGATTTTCCGAATCCGCTGGTTACAGAATGCCTCGTCGGTTCGAAAAGAGCACTTCTCCATCGGACACTCTAGTTTTTGTTCGAAGCGTTCGACCAGCCAGTCGACTTTTAGGTGGACGCCGGTGTAGACGAACGAATAGAAGTGGCGGGAGGTGTGCTTCAAGGCTAGGGCGTCGGGGTAGGGGAGGTATGAGGATATGTGGATGTGGAGTTCGGTTGGGAGGCCCATAAGGTTGAAATGGGGAGGTCTTGGTGTGTCTTGGGGGGTGGTTTGGCCCATGGTTGTTTACGTGGAGGTTTGGAAGGATGTTATGGCGATGGGGCTTGGGGAGCACCCCGTGATGTTTTTATGTATGGCTGGACGTATGTATTGTACTGGAGGCGTGAGCTTGGATGGATACGAGATTGTTGCCTGAGAGTGGACGTGTTAACTACGGAAGAGGCCACGGTGGCTGATATATAAATAGAAAAATTGGAGTCGGATTTATTCCTGAGGAACACGAAGCTTTTTATTATTAGACTTGGCTTTCGCTGTATGGGATAAATTGAAGTTTGGGGATCAATTTATGAGAATGATTGTCGATGAATGAGGCTGAGCACTGCCACAGTAGTATAGAAGTCTAATCGGATTCCGTGCAAGTCTGGGGAGAAAATTATATGTGGACAATAACCTCTTCTGCAGGTAAACACATTGATGCTAATATCAGGCAAGTCACCTTGCCGACTCACATAGATACCTGGCCTGAGTCACTAAATTACATTAAGATATATTTCATGATTGTTCAAGAGTATTGCCTGATGAGTTCATATACCGTTGGTTAAAACGAAGACAAAACCCGATGAACTAACTAAACTGACAAAACCCGAGCACTTTCAAATATCTACAGCATTCCCAAGTCTTCTGCGAAACCGTTCTTTGGACAATCGATCCATCAACGGAGACAAGAAGCACGAACTAGGTATCAGTCATCAAAGGGGATAATGTCAGTCGTAGTCTTCGTCAAAGCATTCGCACTGGGCTGCCAAACTGCTCTGTGGTTTACAATAACTGCGGCTCCTCATTCCTTCTTCAATCGAAACCCAGCCGCCGAGGTCTTTATTGCTTAAGTAGACACCAATTAGTGGTGCTAGGTCTCGGCTGTAGCGCGGCCCGGTCACAACTGCAGCGTTGGCTCCTGGTCTGCTCGGTGGAATGAATTGGACGGAGCGAGTTCGAAACGACCGTGGGAGAAGAATGTCCTCTTTTGATATTAGGACCGTGAAGCTGAAACGCTCCTCCTTGGGCCTCTTTCCAGCCGACTTGGACGCGGAAATTTGCGCTGCGGGCAATACGATACGATAGACGCGGAGGAAAGAACCACTAACGCTGAAATACAGCTCTGTCGAAGTCCATGTAAAGGCAAAAGGAACTGTTGGAACATATGCCCCAAGTTTTAAAAAAACAAGGGACAGGGTTGTGGTAGCAAATTTCTTGGGAGGAGTTCTCGTGGGGCTAGTAGATGGCAACCGCAGGATTAAAATGTGTGAGTTGATGCAAGTTTAGGCTTTGTTGTCCTTGCTCTGGGGGCGAGAATTAGGCGTTGAAAGCAAGACAATTAGGCTATAAAATTCTTTCCATTGTGGCGTGGAGCATTTGAAAGCCGTTACCTCTGCTCCTATTAGATTTCTCAAGCTTATGCTGCAAAAGCTTGTTCTCAATATCTACGTAAAGCAAACGTGAGCCACTCAATGGCCAGATCGAACCAACGGATGCTGGGGGTGGATAACCGGAGGGGATCCATATATCATGCCGTTATACTTTCTGTGCAAGTGGAAAACGAGCTTTCGGTTGCATTCGGTACCCATGCAAAAAACGGCGAGCTCCTGCTGCACGTCAAAATTGTGTTGGAATATCACGCCAACCGGCTTTCTCCTGGCCATGTTGTACAGCTGATAGCTTAAGGTCAAAGCACCGCCTCCCCTTCTGTTCGCAGCATCCGCACAGATTGAAGCCGCCCTTTATGCGCATATCATGGTACCATTTGCGCAGTCGAATGTTCCTACGCCCATGGCAGTGTATGGGGCTGCTTGAATCGATAATCTCTGAACCATTCTGGGCTTCGAAGTCTTGTGAAAACTATGTCAAAATCGATCATAGAACCTTCTGATGACTCACCGTCGGTGCTTTCATTGTCGGAGTCAAAACGTGATCCAGTGCTCATATCTGAATCTATGGCGTCAAGGTTGCTTCCATTGCAGTTATCTTCTAATATTATGCCAACAAGTGATTCCATGCCAGAGGCTGCTCGAGGGGTATGATTCCAGGATTCTATTGTCAGTGCCATTATTCTTCTCGGAGTTATCGCTCATTATCTGGTCACTTGAGGATTCTCCAGAGCTACCGAGTCCCTCGCTCCAAGCGTCTTCTGCCGATGGACAGTCTGGTAGCCCCTCAGAGCTGGAAGCATGTGAAGCTGTGCTAGAAGAGTATGTCTCCATTTTGTCAAGATACCTCGCATATGGCTCATCTATGAACTTACCGAAGCATGAAACAAGATGGTGGCGAATATGAGAAACGTTTCGTGAACTTGAACAGCTTCTAGCCTGCACAGTCATTGTTGCCTTATCACTTCTTCTCTCTGTCTATCTTTCTCGCACACGGATGCGTTCGGCGCCGTCTGTGTTTTTGCCTGCGGTAAACAATAAAAAGCGGTCTACGATAGCAAACTTCCTCCCACAAATATCCAATCGACTCTTTTGTCCAGTAGGTCAAGTCTCATCTACTGAATATCACGGTGCTCTCTATGAAATAGCCCAGCTCCAATTCTGATAATAGAAGCACTGGGACAGAGAGAAGCCGCTTTTGGTGGTACAACGGAATTATATCTCGGCACGAGGCGTATAGATCGGAATGAGCTCGAGCAGGGACGTGAAACGTCAACCTCGCCAGCGGAGAGTAAAATGGTACTCTGATCCACAAGTTCAGGAGGCTCAACACCGTCCAATATCCACTGCTGTAGGCAAAATTGCCGAGAGCCACTGGGGATGCAATAAACACCATTTGTCTTGTTTGAATGAGACCATAACATACCCCGTTTTTTTGACTCGATACGACACAAAGATCTTTCCATCAGATGATCCTTGGTGAACTTACCAATTTTCCTGCATCACTTCCCTTCTTTGAACAGAGCTGAACTCGAAGCTTGTGTATTGGCTAGGTCTATGATAGAGAAAGCTGCTAGGTCAAGCTGTCCACCAAACTGAGATACGGGTTCAGGTTGAAGCACATAGCACTACTCACCCTGGAAAATGCGGTACTGGCGATCGAGATCAGGTTCATCGAGCTTCATCCAATTTGGTAATGTCCGCCGTAAGCATTTACTTCGATCGGTAATGGGATCAAAGCTCTGCATAAAGTGACCGATCACAAACAAGCTCTGGACCTGAATGATGGTCAAAATGTTGGGCGACTTTAAGAAGCGGATCATACGCTCTTTATCATCTGTCCGTAGCGCCACCAACGTGGGCTATGGATCGGACAAGCGTTAAGTCGAAGATCGAAGTGCTGATGCCAGTATTTGGCAGCATATAAAAGTAATCGATGGGAGCTAAGATCCTCACCCTCATATGTGCAGTTTTTGCCCGAGTTCTCTCTAAAAAGAGATTCTTTAAATCGGGGTTGGGAGATGTACCGAAGACAGCAGATCCCGAAGATACGACTATCGACGAATTGTTCCTCATCGTCTTGAGAGGTGACCTCGTTTGACCTCCTAAATAAATATGTCTGAACTGCCGAGGGGAGAGACACAGGACTTTGCATTCATAGGTATTGATACATTGCACCAAAGACAGACAGCTATCGAGGATCTTATCACGATTTACTCTATTACCGTTGTTGAGATTCTCATTGTGGTCTGCCTGAACTATCGCAATTGCCTCGATAACCTCGTCGATCTCAAGTGGACGCTTGGCAAAGGTGACAAGTGAAAGAACAATCCTATTGTGATAATGTACCTACTGCCGATGTGTAGAACTCAATTCTAAAGATTCACTTCCAGAGTGGTTGTTCCTTTCCACCACCTCGCTTTTGAATGCGAGCGATGATCTTTCCATATAATTCACTCACCTTGGTAGGAAGACATCTCATTGCCAACTCAATCTTGCCGTCGTCATCGTCATCGTCAGCAGTGTTCTTCAGCTCGACAAGCATGAGACTCGCCCAAAGAAACCTCCCTTTCACCTCCGTTTCTATAGCAGATCCGAGAAAGTCCTGGGCAAGCTCAGGGTCCCGGTTGAACCTTGGGAGAGCCGAAAAACATATCGTTTGATGTGTTCTTTTGTATCTGCTATTTGAAGCGGAAACTCCAGGATAGCGTGCCAGTATTCTGGGGTACAGGCATTTGCGAATCCGAGAAAGAGGCTGGCTTCTACACCAAATACTGACTTTGCCTGGTCATTTCACGGCTTCTTGAAGGAAAAGGTTACAAAGGTGGAGACCTGTTTCTCATGAAAGATGGCATACGACGCGGGATGATTCTCGGTATATTCTGCCTCGTCAAGACCGTCAATAGAAATGAACACCCGGGGAAGCTGGCCTAATAGAGCGTGGATCGGATTTTCTACCATGGCCGAGCCATCTTTGTTGATATTCAAGAAGGGTTCGATAGAGGGCGGCATTAGGTCCTCGATCATGCTGGTTAGGTAAAGCAGCAATTGTTCGCAGCGTCTGATTTCCCGGTACATATTGATCTTTGGTGATGTAGTGCCAGGAAAGGCACACTTCTCGTCAACTGCGGCCCTGAGGATATCGGATAGCTGCAGCGCACAGGCAGGGGTTTTTCAGTCCCATGGTTCCAATCCAACCTCAGGATAGGACGACTGGAGTCTAATGCCATCCACTCCTTGAATTTTGTACGTATTTCTGTGCTAGCGCTTCTATAGATGCACGCACTGAATGAAACATCGCAATTAACTTGGCTAGGCAGATCTTTTAAATTCTTTTATTGGAACTCAGTATGTTCGCTTGCAATTTATTTTTTATTTATGGAAGATGCCCCTCCTGATTTGATGGTCATTCTGCCCCCCTTTCCAATCCTCATCTTTACTTCAATATTGCCGCGTCGTGGTCCGCTCCTCTGCAGCTTTATGGCACTCGGCCTCCAGCCTCTGTCCCATCGTATCGATATCCTGAGCCACTGCAAAAAGGCCAGATTAGAGCTGCATGGTGCGTCTATAACGCTGGGCTCACTAACGTTCTCTCAACTGATCACTAACTGTTGGCGTATTGTTCACTTCCACCGCTGGGAGCTTAGAAGAAGTTCTTTAGCATAAGCTGCCGCTCTGAGGGCTGCATAACATTGCCATTTGTCATCGTTAGATCCGTCCGCATAATCAGAGATTCCCTTAATGACAGGCATGGGAAGTTGTTCTTGAGCCCAAATTCCATCTCAACGCAGCAGGCCCTCAGATCACTGACAAGCCAATTTTTCTGCTGTATGCTGTTTATGTCTTGACTTCCAGACGCGATAACCCCGTGGTGCACTTCGGGGTCAGCGGATTGGGATTCGAGTAGCAGTTCGCAGTCCGCGCAGATTCCCACTTCTTAAGGCATAGGGTCAATCTCATATATCGGATCATTATTCGACGACTGGTACATCCAATCTTTCGAAGGACACAAGTTCACGTGTTTCGCATAGGGGTGAATATTATTTTCTTCTAGCATAGCCTATGTTTTCAAGGGACCAAATAACCGAAACGGTCCCTCAGCTGGTCTGTTCAAGGAACCTTTTCTTTAGAAAACGCCCGCTTCTAATTTCCCAAAATCGCTCTGTACCACGCCTGGGAACTTCCTACTAGGTTCACTTACGACAATATCGCCTAGCCGGGTGCGATGTTTGTCGCTTGGAACTCCACCACCGATGCCTGCCATGAGAATGTACCGAATCTTCCGGAAAGATTTCATCATGTTAGTCGCAACGGTATGGGCAGACAAGCCACCTATTTCATTGATATAAGCTATAGCGATGTTATGTTCTCCATTTCCCCCGAGGTAGTATGTGTTGGGGTCGCCTTCAGAAGCGCTAAGCGGTTATGTATTTAGTGAGCATTGTGACTGCCGCAGTGTCCTCAATGGCGAGAGCCAGATCCAGCCAATTTTATAATCACTACGAGAGTAAGATACATTCGAGGCCATTGTTCTGGTATGGTGGTTGTGATCTTTGAGGAGGAGAGTGTGCACAACCTCAGTTTTCCCCAACTTGAATCTGGTTATAGCACAGCCATTTTTTTTTTCCAGTGGCTTCCGCGGCTTCGCCCCTTATATAAGAAACGCGGATGACGAGCTAGTGTAGCTCGGTTTGAACGTCATCTTATGAAGATGAATCCGCGCGATTCCTGCAGGCTTCGCTTTTCTGGTCCTATCTCATATCGGAAGTACGTTGGGTAGAAGCAACCCAACAGTTTCACCATTGAAGCGATCTGAGAACTCCAGGTAGTGAAGTCCCTTGTATACAATGCGCCTGAGGCTGAAACTGGAGTAGGAGAAGGGCGTTGACAACAAATCTACAAGGTGGTACGGCACAAGGGATTACTTCAGTTTTTCAGTTTGCGTCCAATAAAACATGAATGTACATTAACCTAATGTGGCAATCGAGTTGGCAGGTCATCTACAGTTTGATTGCCCGTCGGTACCCAAGGCTTATACGCGCGCAAAAGGCGTACCATTCCTGCGCCTGCCTTGTCGAAATTGCACCCATATAACCTCTCCTTGAGAGGTTAATATCTGCGGTGCACCTGCTATCAGCACCAGTTGAGCTGTTCATTCAATCCTCTCAATAAAGGGCCATCATGGATATTGAACAAGCCCCAAGCAGACAGAGGTAACAAATGGTGAAGTAATTGGGAGAGACAATGGAAAGAAGGGTGTCAACAGATTGTCCCGGTGGACCAGATTTGAGTATTATCCGTAAACGCGGCGGCTTTGCCTACCATTTCATTAGACGATTTATACCAAAGCCGACCAATGAATAGCTGGGATAAGTAAGCTACCAATGCAACACTAGACTAAGGGCTCTCAACTGTATCCTACGGGAAAATGCAGAGGCATCGTTATGTCAAGTCTGCGAAACCTAAAAACTGAGCAGAAACATTCAGACGGTGCGTTATCATTGTGGCGCGCATCATTTCTGAGCGAGCCGTCTTCACCGGCCAATATGTCGTGGATAACTGCGGGAAGTACTTGCAACAGGTGCTCTCAGAGGCCTACCAGGATGTGGACAGTATCTCATTTTCCGGGGAAGCTACACTTGTAAACATTGGGAATACTGATTTTTTTACCCTTTTTCTCCCTTGTCTTTTAGCTCACTAGCCTCCTTGCGAAGAAGGCGGAGGAGCAACTGAAACTGCTCTTTTACGAACGGGATACCTTTCGGAAAAGGCAACGTACCCAAGAGTCGGAAAATCCTGATCGGACTCTGGTGCTTGAACTTGGTGCCCTTGTCAACTTTGTGGAAGGGCATTTCTCTTCAACAATCTATGAATTATCTCAGCTTCCTCAAGGCCGCATAACATACGATCTCCATTGGACTTTGTTTCGCCCAAATAGTGAGGTACTTGGCGTCGATGAGATACAACAAGAACGAGTGCATCGTGTCAAGAGCTCTGGGTATGATCAAGAGCCGAATGGTCCGCGATATTATGCACTTTATGTCAGCAATCTGGACTTCAACGGCCTAAAGATAGGGATTGGTTTTCCCATTGCCCCACCAGATAACAGAATTCCAGGGATCCATTTCGATACAGCAATTACAATACAACCCTCTGTTCTGCCATAAAAGCTACCCAGGCATTGTAGGTCATCTAGTACGACGTGGAGAGAGGGTTCTACCCTTGCATGACCGCGGCCACCTCCAGGGATATCGTGGCCATGTCATATGAGGGTATTATAAAAGGTATCGTGAATGAGAGAAGCAACAAGTTGTTTATTTACGGTTATTGAATGTGTGCCTAGCTCATGTTATTTTGGTTGTCACTTGCTATTTGACTATCTTGGGGCACTGATGAGATAAACTATATATAGGTCCACGGGCGGGTTATTCTGATTCAATCGCCCTCAAACTACATGGAGCCAAATAATCAGCTTTTGCCAGTAATTGAAATTCCAGTTGATCCGGACAGCTTAACGCAGGAGTAAAATATACTATTTAATCCCGAGGCTGTACGGCTTCAGATTTACTGGAAAACAGTTGGTTATGTTGCTTTTCCTGTTAGGTGTTATGACTCTCACCTATTTTGCAGGGGGATTCACAGTGGCTTGTCTAGGAGATGTCGAATGGAACGATGATATTGTTGACTTGCTTGCCCTCTCCAACGAATGCAAGGACTTCATCCAAGCACTTTTTCGGCCACAACAGACGGGTTCTGGCGAAGATGAGATTGATTTTGATAATTTCGTTCACAACAAGGACAAGGGTCTGGTTGGGCTTCTTGCTGGATCGTCAGTGGTGGGCAAGACGCTTACTGCTGAGGTTGTTAGTGAAATTGCACACCGACCCCTTTATGTGATTAGCTCTGGTGAGCTGGGAGAACGCGTCAGAGTTTGAAGAGCAGCTAGCGTTAGCCATGGAGCTTGTTGAAACATAGAATGCCATGTTGCCATTAGATGAGGTTGATGCATTCTCGTCCGAGAGCGACAATATGAATCTGACGGGGAACGCCATTACCTCGATCTTCCTTCGTCATCTGGAGTACTACCAGGGGATCCTGCTTTTTACGACAAACCGACTCTCTAGTCTCTGACAGTGTACTTGAAAGCCGCATTCACTTCTGCTTCGAGTATTAGGAGCTGACAGAGGATGCACGGTACCAGATATGTCCCTGTTCCTGAAAAGGAAAATTCGGTATCGCATGACCGGATTGTCAAGCTCTCAAAGCTCGCGTTGAATGGTGGGCAATTCAAGAACCAATGAAATTATGTACTGTTGTAAAGGGAAAGAAGATGCATTTGACGCTGGACATCATTGAACAAGCGCTCAACTTTCCTGGACCTTGTTGGAGAAACGCAGAACCATGTGAGAAGGTTTATTCCGCGCCCTCTTCAGCAGGCTCGCCTTCCTTATTGAAGCCCGAAGCTGGGGTTTTTTTTGTGCATAACGCTTCTGACTCTGGTATTCATCCTATCACCAGTGGTCTCCGGGTGGGGTTCCTAATTTCCTTGTCAAAGTCGAGTTGACTTTGATGTTAGGTGTTGTGATACTTGCTTTGGCATTGTTCATAAAGGAACCGTGGAATTTCCCCAGGAATCATGATATTGACCCCAATCAAGCTCAGTAGTATTATGCTACGCCTGTGGCTTGCTCGGTTATCAAGTATAATCAATCCGATGTCGTACACACTATTACACTTGACAGCATCTCCCTCAGAACAATAATGGCCCACATTTTATTCGAGACCATGGTTTATTCCTGACTATCCTCTGAAAGAATCGAGTTTCTCAAGTCGGTGCCCGCCAATTTAACATTTACAAGGGGACTAGTAGTATCACCGACGATTGTCCTGGATACTCTCTGTAGATGGTTCGAATATCGATTCTATGTACGTCTTCCCTGTAGCCCATGACACAATCGCCATTTAGAAAAGCCACTATTGCAAAGATCGAATCATATCCCCCTGCAAGAAAGAGTCCCCAGGGCCACTCAGACCGGCGAGCAAGGAAAATAGGTCGTCTTCAGCTTCGATTCTAGCGATGTGATTGGACACGCAAGTATCCGTGTCTTTTAGCAACATCCATGGAATAAGCTATGAACATTACTGGCTACAAGTTAGACTCGCGCGAGGATTGGTGGTTGAGATGAATGCTAGTAGACCCGTGAATGAGAAACCCGGGCTTTTAGCCCGACAGCTGCCAAGAGCTGAAATAATCCTGCATGTAGGATCCATTAGTGCTAGTCAATATAGGAATGGCACGATGATACCTTCCCTGGACATGACGCAGCCCCGCATTTCAGCTGGTCAAAGATTGAGAGGATCAATCGCTCATCTTTTGGGTAAAATCTCAGCTGGCCCACTTGGAAAGAAAAGCAACCATTCTTAGTTGCCACTGTTGATTAGGACTCATACGGGGCTGCTTGGTTCCTGATTGCCTAATGGAAATTTTCATTCGCCGTTCCCATCCCACTTGTTCTGATTCTGTAACAGACAAGAATGAGGAGAGTAGGATGATCTGCGAAGACCCTACTCCCTTAGTTGCTACCGTGCTACTTCAGTGAGCCCGAGATCCACGCTCCCTCCACCGTGACACATACGGTCTCGCCGTGCTTGACTACCATCTGCAAGTGAATGGATCAAGCACTCCGTACAGCTCCTTTTTTCCCCTGAAGTTCTGAAAATAGATCATTGGGCCGTACTTTGTTTCCCATAAGCTGTCCATCATGGCTCTTGATTGCAAGATCAATAGAATTCTTTGCGCTGTGGATAAGTGGCTATGCCTTTTCGGAAGATGTGACCTTCAGTCTGTCAAAATAGAGTTTTTCGACAATGATCAACAACTATCTATTACTTGTATAATGCAACAGACACACATCATGTGATTGGGTTTACATCCGATCACTCACGCAGAACACTCCCCACGTCCTCCCCCCCCATGCTTCGATGCAGTAGCAAGAACAACGAACCTAACCTGTACTATGCATGAAGGGTTGTCTAGCCCTGTGATGCACCTATAAGATTAGGTAGTGGCTTTTTGATCACCTTTTCGCCTCCCTGTTAGCTTCCTGATTCACCTCCGATGCTGCCACATCTGGGTCCACTCTTTCAAGTCTTGACGGAATCCCACAAGTCCTAGTACCTGATGACAGGTCTAAAGAATGCACTTGAGTTATTCCCATGTATGTAACATACACCATGACATACACTTTCTCCACTTTCATATGCGTTGTCCTACAGAACCTGCATGGTTGGAAACCTCCGGGCAAGAACTCGGTTGGCTGGGAGAGCCTATATGCTATAAGAAGCAGGACACTTCCCAGCACCCCACCAAGTCCTCAGTACCATCTCAACTTCTTTTTTGCATCCGACCTTTTCTAGATACTTTGTTGTAACGGCCGTTTTCACAATGTCGGATACCGGTGATCTCAGTCACCAAGCCATCAGCTCCTATTTTATAGGACCTCAGGCTGAGAATATGAAGTACTTCAAGGACAATATTGCAACTATCCTCCAAGAGCTTGAAGTGGCTCGGAAAAAATACAGCTTCGAAGGTGATCAGGTATTTTATTTCGCCCTACAGAACATAACAGGCAAAGCTGACCGTTGCAGGAATTCATCACCTCCAGCATACAAAACTCCGATGAATTCCAGCGGATTACAAGGAATTTCTCTCACGCGGTTAAAAAGGCCGCCCAGCTGCTGGGCTCTCATTCGATTCCCTTCTGGAATCCTCGCTACCAGGCTCACATGTCCACTGACCTAAGCATGCCTGCGCTTCTGGGATATTTCATGACTATGATCTATAACCCTAACAATGTTGCCCTAGAGGCTAGTCCTCTGACTACTGTGGCAGAAATGGAAGTTGGAGAGCAGCTCTGCCACTTGTTTGGATACAATATCGATCCCACGAGGAAGGATGTGCCCACTGGCTGGGGGCATGTTACTTGCGGCGGGACTGTAGCCAATCTTGAGTCCATCTGGGTGGCGAGGAATCTCAAATTTTATCCTTTGGCCCTCCGAAAAGCGATGAGTGAGATTGTTGTGGTGAATGGACAAGAAAAAAGAGGACCGTTGAACTATGTGGCTGACAGATTCATGGTGACCACCTGCAAAGGCGAAAGCAAGCTTTTCGCAAACCTGTCGACTTGGGAGCTGCTCAACCTGAGACCAAAAACGGTTCTTGATCTACCACAGGCACTACATGAGCAGTTCAGCATCTCGCCCAAGTTTTTAGAATCCGCTCTGCAGAATTTCAACATCCAGTCAACGGGCAAAGACAGTCTCGAAAGGGAATTCGAGATCAAGAAACCGATCAAGTATTTCCTTTCTAATACTCGACACTATTCTTGGCCCAAGGGGGGAGGTAAGATCATTGGAATCCCATACCGGTTGATTTCAGTGTGATCACTAACAGCCGCAGCCATAACCGGTCTTGGATCTGATGCATTTGAGGGCATTGAGGTCGATGATGCCGCGCGCATTAACCTCGATGTTCTTGAAAAGCGTCTTCAGCAGTGCCTTGACGAAGGACAGGCGGTCTACGCCGTTGTGGCCATCATTGGCTCAACCGAAGAAGGTGCTGTTGACAGGCTAAGCTCAATCCTAGCCATGCGCCAGCGCTTCCAGTCGAAAGGGCTGTCATTCCTCGTCCATGCCGATGCCGCGTGGGGAGGCTATTTTGCCACCATGCTCCCCAGAAACCTATATGATATGCCACGGGGACCAAGTGCGAGTCAGCCTGAAGATGGTTTCGATGGTGGAGCAGAGGGTTTTGTTCCAGACCTAAGCTTGAAGTTGCAGACTCAAGAGGACCTTCTTGCACTGAAGTATGCGGATTCTATCACTGTAGACCCGCATAAAGCAGGCTATATTCCGTACCCTGCCGGGAGCCTGGCGTATCGCGATGGCAGGATGCGATATCTGGTCACATGGACAGCCCCAGTACTTTCCCAGGGCTCTGAGACCGGAATGGGAATTTATGGCGTTGAGGGCAGGTATGTTCACAAGGCAATCGTTACTTGCAGACACGAGAACTTACACTAGATAGTAAACCTGGAGCTGCAGCAATGTCGACCTGGCTCTCGAACAAGTGCATTGGGCTCAATCCTGAAGGATATGGCGCTTTGCTCAGCGAAGTATCTTACACATGTACCAGAGTAGGTGTCGACTTTTCATGGTAGGCTGATACCAAACTAACAAATCCCAGCTCTCCGCTCACTGGGCCGCTATGACCACGAAAGACGACGAGTACTTCGTCTGCGTCCCATTCCACAAACTTCCCTCCGAATGGAAAGATCCCTACAACGAGCAAGCGATAGAGGAGGAGAAAGAAAGGATCCGCCGAGAGATCCTTCCCAAAAGCAATGGTGAAATTGTTCAAAGCGACGTTGGGAAACCCACAGATGAGAAACTCATGACTCTTCTCCGGGGTCTAGGTTCAGATCTGAATATAAATGCATTTGCACTCAACTGGCGGTACGAGGATGGAACCTGGAACGCTGACATCGAAGAAGCCAACTACCTCATGAGACATGTCATAGAACGTCTTTCTATCAGTTCACCAGACCAGGATCCCACCAAGATCCCGTTTTACCTGACGTCGACTGAGTTCACCAACGAACTATATGGCAAGTGTGCGAAGGAGTTCAAGAGAAGATTAGGTCTTCCCCAGTGTGATCGGTCTTTGTTTGTGTTTAGGAATGTTGTCATGAGTCCATTCCCGACGGACAACGACTTCATTAGCACGATGGTAGACTACTTTCGCTCCGTAGTCGAGGATGGAGTCAGGCTATGCCGCAAGCGGAATGCTAGAGGCCCAGCTATCCACCGATTCATCATGCAGGGAACTGACCAGGTTTTCTTGGCTTATCAACCATCGTTCCACATGGGCAAGCACCGACAACAAATCATTCTAGCTGTGGAGCTTGAAGACCACGCTAAGTCAGATTACATCGAAGTCCGAGAATCCAACCCCGAGGATCCTATCCTTCTCAAATCATCCTTGGAAGTCGACATCCAGGACCTGGTAAACGAATGCAGCCACGGCCGCCCTGCGAGTTTCAAGGGAACTATATATACACGCCATGGGTAAGTTCAATAGACTACGAACGGTTACCCACAGTTAAATTCTAATTAATACCATAGTGGTCCGGTCCGCTCTTCCACAACCGTGACATTGAAGCGCGTGATCAAGAGTCGTCCCCTCAACTCCGCCCATCGAGAGGCCGACTATCCCGAAGATTTCATGCCGTTCTACCTCTATGGCTCTGGAAAGCAGTGGCACATGTCACATATGCTTCTACAAGCACCCAATGCTACATTCTCGGCTAACAATGTGACCTTAGACGAGGAGCTAGCCACTTCGCTCAAGCAAGAACATGCCGAGAAAGGCGCTATCCTTGCTTTGACAGAAGTACCTGAGCAATCGATGCAGCCTTTCCCAAGCTCCAAACATGACCTGCCGGGAGGTTTCTTCTTCCAGCCCGACAAGAAATACAAGGTAAAGGTGTGGGATGATCCAAGAGATGCATCAGCAGCTGGGCCCGGACTGTTGGAAGGCTTGGGGAAACCAGTTGAGGGAACTATTACATTAACCAATGAGGTTCACTTCGATCTGGAATGGATCAATAAGGATCCCTTCGAGTATGAGGATAAAATGGGTAAATGGCGGGACGAGTTCAGCCAGATTGGGAAAAAGCTGGAAAAACGAACTTGAAAGAAGAATTGTGGCAAGATATCCGTATTATAGTTTAGAACCACAGGGCAGTTCCATTGTGCTTTTGAAGTGTGCTGCAGTATAAGTCAATCAATGAAGCACCCTTTATCTCCACGCTATACCCAAACAGGAGCACCAATACCAAGATAAGATAAAATCACATGATTATAAATCACTCCTCCACCGCCTACCGCATTTAGAACTTTCGCATATCCATCTGATATCCATCTTCCATCAACCAGATCCAAAGCACTCAATACAGCCGAACCACCCCCAAACCCAGCATTACGAGAACATATCAAACCCAACAAAACAAGAAATGTCCGGCCAAACCCCCGCCTCAGTCTCCTCCGACACGTCCTTCCGCAAAACCTGGGACCGCACCGAATACGCCAAAAAAGCAGCGGACGAAGAAAGCAAGCGCAAAGAAGAGTCCAAAGCGCGCTACGAAGCCAAACTCCTCGGCAAAAAATGGCACGCGCCAGTCGACTACAGTTCGCTTGAGGCGACGACATCGCGGAAACAGCGGTTAGATGTTGCGTCGATGGTGGGCAAGACGACGATTGTGTCGTCCGGGTCGGCGGTGGGCAAGAAGGGTCGCGGAGCCGGATTCTACTGCTCAGACTGTGATCTTACGTTCAAGGATAATTTGCAGCTGGTGGAGCATTTGAATAGCAAGCAGCATTTGATTGCGACCGGGCAGAGTGGGGAGGTGACGAGGGCTACTGTTCAGGATGTGAGGCAGCGGTTAAGGATGCTGTCGCATCAGAAGCGGGTGAGGGAGGAAGAGGAGCGGAGGGCTTGGCAGCTTGATTTGGGGGCTAGGCTTAAGGAGAGGGAGGAGCAGGAGGCGAAGGAACGGGAGGAGAAAAGGAGGAAGAGGAATGAGAAGCGGCGGAAGGGTGGAGATGTGAAACAGGAAGATGACAGTTGGGAGGGTCGATTGGGAATCATTGCATGAAGAAAGGCTTTTTTTTTGTTTCTGGGATGTACTGGCTTATACATGGACGGGTGCTTTATGATCGATAAAAGTTGCAGTATACCCACGGCGTTTCTAATTTGTACTTGGCAATTTATAGTTGACCAATTAATTGGATCCAAAATTAAGAAATGGCTCTCATATATCACGCTGTTATTTAGCGAATTTGCATGGAAATAATAGTGAACCAGTCATAAACACAGCAGAGTATCCAACAACGCCCGTGTCCCTTTCCTTGACTCCTCCCAACCAACCAGATCATTAGATTCAGAATCAGTCAATGCATTCAATTCCTTCCAAGACCCGCATAGCACGGGCGCCCTCCCTTTCGAATTTTCCGACTAGTCTCTCGCATTCTTGCCTTAACTTCTCCTCCCCATTCTTGGCCTGCCACTTGATCCATTCCTCGACAGTCATCCTTTTCTCTGAACTTGTCAAGTCCCTTTTCACGTTGTGTAACGCCGAACTTAAGTCGGTGTTCTCTTTGTCACTGGCTCCAGTAAGAAGGATCTCATCAATATCGATAGAATTCCACGGGTGGGTTGTGTGAAGACCTCCTGTATTGGCATTTCGCTTCGACGGCGAAGGGGTGCTGGCCGCTAGCGGGATTCGGGCTGGCCGCTGCTTGGATGGTGATGCAATATGAGGTTGCGGTGCAGAAGGCTTCAAAGAGGGAGGCTGGTTCTCAGCATCGGAAGATTGTGGCGATAGAGATGGCGTGCTCTTGGAAGGGAGAGGTGATACCTTCTCTTGGTTGGCAGAATCTGATATCTTATAGTCACTTGAACCCCATGATCCTGCAAGTGTCCTAGCAAATTGCTTCTCCTCAGGGATATCGCTATATCTCTCTGCCGTCTTAGGTGGTACTTTGGATGATCTACGTCGTGAAGAGCGCCGCTCAGCTTCTTGTCCTTGCGGCTCCTTCGCTTCTTGTTCTTGCGGCTTCTCCGCTTTCTCCTGCTCAGGTACATCATGTTCGGCCGAAAGGTCCTTGTGATTGTTCGCATCCACGCTATGCTCGGCAGGGGGGTTTTCAGGCTCGGGCGCTTCCTTTTCACTCGTTTGCTTTGATTTCTTAGTCTTCTCCGTGGAAGTTCTTTGCTTAGTCTTCTTCTTGGGCCCGTTGTCATTAGGCTCACTCTTGTCAATGGATTCCGCTTCAGTTTCCTTTTCAGAAGTTGGTATCCTAGCTGGGATCTCCACCGAAACGAACGACTCGTGACGCCTGGGCTCTGCTTCATCTTTTGATTTCTCGTGGGCTCCTGACCGCTTGCGTATCTCCGGTGACTTCTCTGTGCTAGGCTCTGGCTCTGGCTCTGGGATAACAGAGCCCCTCGACCTGCGAGTTGCTTTAACATGGCTCAGCTTACTCTCTTCAGCTGCTGCTTCAGAAACAGATTCTTTGGGCAAAGCTTGGTTTGTCCGCGTCTCATTCTCGTCGACATGGTCGACTATATCCTCTGATGGCACTGCAGTGGCCTTCTGCTTCTTCTTGGACTTGGGCTTCTTTGGAGGTTTTTGTGGAGGTTCCACACTTGGCTCTCTAGGTTCGGGCTCTTCAAGATCGGCCACAGGGGCTTCATCGAGCTCATTATCACTAGGCACACGAGATTTTGAAGCGGTTTTAGACGTAGTTGAACCACTGGGGGCTTTTTGGTTCTTCGAAGATGTCTTCTTCGTCGAGCCACGGCTTTTCTTGAACACTTCCTCAGGAACACTTTCATCTGGCTGCGTGCCTGCGATGACTTCATCGGTTTGATTGCTATACTCCTGAGTGCCGTTTCGCGACTTTGTAGCTCGCTTCTTAGAAGGCGGCTCGGCCTCGTCGAAGGTTTCCGTATCAATAACATTGGCATGCTCTCTTTCTACTTGGTCACTTGCTCTCTTCTTTCCGCGTGTGGTCCGTTTCACTTTGGGGGGCTCAGGCTGGCTATAGTCGGCAGTATCAATATCCATTTGGCTATCAGTCTCTGTGACTTCATCTTTCTTGGATTTCGGGTTCTTCGCTTTTGACTTCGATGACTTCGATGACTTTTTTGTTCCTTTTGACTTGATAGCCGGCTGGGAGACAGTGCTCTGGTCCATTGGATCTTCAAGTTCCGAGACAGATTCAGAAACAGTAGATTGGGTTGAAAGACGAGACGCCTTGGAGGTACGTGCTTTTTTCGACCGTGAACCTCTGCCTTTCTTCCCGGAGGGTTGAGCAAAAACAAAAAAGGAGCAGTCCGCGGAACGGCGGTAGTGTTCATCACTGGACAGATTAGTTGGATCAATAGGGAAGGAACGATAATCACGTACAAAGGGTCATCCTTGGGTTCCCATCCATCAAGAGATAGTTTGCAGTATGCACAGCTCGCTAGGTCATTACTCTCTTCAGTGGGACAGAAATACCACCCTCCGTCGACCATCTGGCACCCAACAATCGTCAAAACGAGTCCGGGGGAGATGTACAAGCGGACATCATACCTTTTCTGACTGGCAAACCCAGCCGCGTTTCCCATCATGCGGCCATGAAGTACCGAAAGTAGCCAGTCTCGCCTCTCTTATCTTGTCGCTTGTGGGGTCTTCTATCTCAGCGGGGTTTGAGCTATGTTGCTGGATATCCATCATGATGGCCCAGCCACAATCATTGGCATGTTTTAAATGTTCTGTTATCGGATTGTCTTCTTCCTCCCATCCGTCGAGTGCTCTGTTACACTGGAAACATGTTGTATTATCGGGGTTCGTTTCGTAGGGGTTGTAGTAGAAGCCTGCATGCGCTAACTGCAATAACCTGGAGTTAGTCTACCGACTGACAAGAGTAGTATAAGAGGGGAAAAGGAAAGAAGACCAAAAAATGGTGTACCCACCTCAGCGGGTGAAGGCCTGCGATGAGGCCAAGCAATGGGTTTAACGGCCTTTGCGCCCGAAGTTCTTCGTTTCTCCGGGTGCAATACCAGATCAAAGCTGGCAAGGCGGGCAGCAAATGTTTCCATTTCTTCGGCCATTGTCGCAAGATATGCAGACCATTAGGTGTGGTCGCAAGTCCAGTATGCCGGTGGGTATAGTTTTATCCTGTCCAAAGGCCCGTGATTTCACGCGAGAAGATGGATTGACATTGAGAGTCCCTCTGTTTACTCCATTGTTTGGGTCGAACGCGCCGCGGAGAAATAGCACCACGTGATTTGTGGCTTGAATAGTTGTGGCGCGTGAGTTTCCAATTTTGGAAAGGCCGAGAACGCCGGCCGAGTTCTAAGCAGAGTACAGAGTACTGTACGTCAGACCTCCTTCCGGTCCGCCATTGGGTAATCGGCCATCATCCCGCAAGAAAGTATCTGCATTGTTTCCCTTTCCTCCGCCCCTTCCTCTACTTCAACTCTCCCCTCAACAAAACATGGTGTGAATCGGTATCATTCAATGGTCATTGATTTTGTTAAACGATTACAGCCTTAGCTGTGCAACTCCTTCTGTTCCCTTTGCGGAATCGCGACGATGCGCGAAGTCACTGTAAGACAGTATTTATTTCCTGATCCTGCACGCGGTAGTACTGATTGATGCCTCCCCAAGTCCCTCCTTCTAAACTCAAAGTCGGGTTCGTTCGTGCGCCTGCGCTCGGTCTACCCGTCTCTTCCGCGATGCCCTCGCATCCTAAACTCCTTGCGCTCTTTTTCCCATGATTCTACCTCGGCCCCTGTTTTAGGTGGAAGCTCGATACTTAGGAACCATACTGTCTCTTGTGGTGGTCTCAGTACACAGTCTGCTTTCAGCGAGCATGATCTCCTCCTTCCTTCATCTTCTACGGCCGCTTTCTCTACCAGCTCGCAGCTCTCGAACCTTAATAATGATTGGGAAGATAACGCGAACCTGTCAATAGACGCTTTCTCGGAGCTTCCTTCCAAGGATTTTGGTGTCAATCAGCACATGGTAATCAACCAAGAGTTCAAAGAGGCCTTGCGTCAGATCCTTTGGCAATTCCGAGCGCCAATCCGATATGCATTCGCCTATGGATCAGGCGTCTTTCCCCAGTCTGGCAGTGCTCCTGGCTCTGGCCAGTGTCACCCGTCTGCTCCGGCTGCAATCAAGAACATGCAACAAGGCCAAGGCAAGATGATTGATTTTATCTTCGGAGTGTCGTACTCCCAACATTGGCATTCGTTAAACCTCCACCAACATCGGGACCATTACTCTGGACTAGGGTCTTTAGGTTCTTACGCTGTCTCCCAAACGCAAGATAGGTTTGGCGCAGGCGTCTACTTTAACCCTTACATCACTGTTAACGGCACATTGATCAAATATGGTGTAGTTAATCTCGACACGCTATGTCGTGATCTTAGTCAGTGGGATACCCTGTACCTTGCTGGGCGCCTACAGAAGCCAGTTAAGATTCTACGTGATCATCCCAAAGTCAGGTTGGCAAACCAGATGAACCTACTATCAGCCGTTCGGGTGGCCTTGCTGCTGCTTCCCGCCGAATTCACCGAGTTTGAGCTATATAGTACCATTGCAGGGATCAGCTACATGGGAGACCTTCGCATGGTCTTACCGGCAGAGGATCCTCGTAAGGTTAGGAACATTGTTTCAGGCCAAATGGCGAACTTTAGGCGGCTCTATGCACCACTCATCGAAACCCTGCCCAATGTCACTTTTAACGACAGACGGTGCACCGAAGGCGATTGGATCGATGATCCCCATGCCAACGTGAAGCTAACCCAAGATATGGATCCAGTAAAACGTGGGAACATGGTCCGTCGGCTTCCGGAGTCATTTCGAGAGAAGCTGTACTTCCAATACCAGGCACGCTTTCAGATACCCCGTGGGGACTTCAACAAAATGATGAAGGAGAGCAATGACGCCGATCAGGCATTGATCCGACGCAGACAAGGCGGTCCCTTCGACCAGCGTATCGCAAGCGACAATGCCCTGAAGCAGGAAGTCCAAACCTCCATCATGAAAACTATCCGCTGGCCAAGCACTGTCCAGACGATTAAGGGTCCGCTCACTTCGGGACTGCGCAGGACCTGGCGCTACCTGCGAGAAAAGCAAAACAAGTACAAGACTTCTGGCAAGCATGCTAGCTCTCCAAGTGAGGAATCTACCCCCAAGGAGTCTAAGCAGGAATAGATAATTATCACTCTCATATCATGGCTATGACTGAAGCATGGCTTGCCGGCCGGCAGCCCTAGACATCATACAAGGCATATCCAGGCGTTGTGTTGGTTTCACATATATATAGTATAAATATGTATGTATGTATCTAGAATACTTTCACTAGCAATTACTATATAGCTCATTGACAGTACGAATAAAAAATTTGTACATATACAGAATATTTTTTTTTGAAAGATCCGCAGCATCCACTGCCGAAAATAAGAATGTTAAGTTACCGTACCTGGAAAGTCACACTTCCGACACCGGTCCTCCTCCCCACCTCTATCCCCGCCACTAAAGAGGTCTACTTACTATTCCACCCCACCCACTCTTTCTTCGATTTGCAACGAACTTCCTTTGCTTCAGCAGTAACCACCCAAAATGGTTGCGAGACAATCTCCGTTCGATCTGTCTAAATGTGCGCGCAAGAATATCTTGCAATTGCAGCCTTACCGCTGCGCAAGAGAGTGTGTTTGCCCGTCTAGTTCCTCCCACCAGCCGCCATGAGAACTAATGAGTCAGTGACTACAAAGATGACGGGACGAATGTCCTACTCGATGCCAACGAAAACGCATACGGTCCTGGTCTTGCCTTGAACTCCGAGGGCGCATTACAAGTTTCTACAGTTAATGGAGCTTCGGCTGGTTCCTCAAAGCCAGACATCGATTTCTTAGGATTGAATCGCTATCCCGACCCGTAAGTGCTGCGATCTCTTTAATTCCTCACTGCTTCATAAGATGAGTCATGACTTACTGGGTTCAACCATCCATTAGACATCAGATTGAGTTGAAGAAACTTTTCTGCAGCCTCCGCAATTCCCATATCCACAGCCAAAAGGACCTGACCCCCGAGAACCTTTTCGTCGGAGTCGGCTCCGATGAGGCCATTGATGCCCTATTGAGATGTTTTTGCGTGCCAGGCAAGGACAAAATCCTTACATGCCCCCCTACTTATGGCATGTATGGTGTTAGCGCGCAGGTCAATGACGTGGACATCGTTAAGGTGCCTCTGGATGTTGAGAATGGCTTCCAACTGCAGCCTGACAAGATAATCGAGACCCTTTCTGCGGATGATTCCATTAAAATGGCGTACATCTGCTCACCTGGTAATCCCACGGCCAACTTGATCCGCAAGACCGACATTCAGAAAGTGCTGGAACACCCGACATGGAACGGTGTTGTCGTCGTGGATGAGGCGTACATTGACTTTGCCCCCGAAGGCTCCAGTCTTGCTGAGTGGGTTAACGATTGGCCCAACCTGGTGGTTATGCAGACTTTAAGTAAGGCTTTTGGTCTGGCCGGTATCCGACTGGGAGTTGCGTTCACTAGCCCCCCGATCGCCCGTCTTCTGAACAGCCTGAAGGCCCCTTACAACATCTCGAGCCCAACTAGTGCAGTAGCTACGGCTGCTCTTTCGCCGAAGAACATGGCTGTTATGAAGAAATACCGGGAGCAGATTATCGCTCAGCGCGAGCGCTTGCTGCAGGAGCTACCCAAGATTCCGGGGGTGGGCCGCTTCCTTGGCGGACAGGAGTCGAACTTCCTTCTAGTCGAACTTTTAGATAAGCCGGCTAGTGAAGGAGGAAAGCCTAGCAACAAGATTGCTTTGGGAGCATACGAAGCTATGGCGGAAAAACGCGGTGTTGTGGTACGCTTCCGCGGAAAAGAACTAGGATGCGAAGGTTGCCTACGGGTCACGGTGGGAACAGAGCAAGAAGTCACCAAGTTCCTGCAGGAGCTGCGGGTGGTCCTAGATGGTCTCCTCAGGGGCGTGGGTGTGGATGTCTAGACCTTGAGAGGATAGCTGAGTCAGAAGTCGAGCCAACGATGTCGTTTTCTTTTCGAATTTCTTCTACTTATCAGGATAGACTTTTCTTAGCCTTTTACATTATCTTTGCAATATAGAACGGGGACTTTCATTGATACTAACAATTGATTGTACATCCATATTTCCATTATCATCTTTTCCCCCGATCGGAGAAAGAGGGAACCAATAGTACGTAAGGGGCGCCGTTGTTATCAACGTACAGTATGAAAATGTGGAAATTGCTCTATGATCACATGGTGATAAGACGGTTGCATGATAATATGCCTACTTATATATATGTGCCATAACACGGTAGTAGTTGATCACCGTTCTCTGGAACTGTTGGTCTGTGTCGCAATGAAATAAAACGAGACGGAACAAGAACAAGACCACCACGTGGACAAAAGAACCTACACATTCATAAAAAAAGGTGTAGCGTCGCACTTTCTAAGAACAACGTGGTACGGATTATTCTTACTGTACCAGAGGTGGTAAAAGAATGGATGCTACTCTACCTCTTGGTATCTCATTTATCCAATCTGATGGCACGAGTCATACCCCATCATGTTATTCATTAGATTAGATTAAAATGAAGGGTTACGAATCACCAATCGAATCGCTATAAACCGCGCCAACTATCTGATAAGGTAACAGCTTGGATTATCCTCTATGGGCTCTCTCTTTATTCGCCGCTAATAACCCACAGAATCCAACGGTATACGAGTCACTGCTCTAGACAGGGTTCTTCCTCGAAATGCGGATGATAATCAGCCAAAAGCTCGAGTTCCCTTCCGAGTCCAAGAATCACAAGCAATGCTTCATTTCGCCATCTCCGTCGGCCGGGAAAGTCAATAAACAGAAACTTCAAATTACTCCGCAAGAGCTAGCTCCATGAGAGGCTAGTCCCTTGCTCTATTGCCTCTCTTTGGCTGGTCCAATGTTATCTCATACTGTCCTGCCCAGCTCCTCCGGCTGCGAATCCTTCCCTGAGAACCAAACGGAGGAGCGATAAATGGCGCTTCCCGACGCCAATTGCAGCCGTTCAGCGTTATCTCTCGAAACCATGGTTATCGGTTGGACGCCATGACCCTTGGCCTCGTGGTGTGGGTGATTTTATCGTCACTATTAATCGACTTGCTTATTACTTATTATTAAATAACCTTCGATGGGGTAATCGCTTGGTCTATCCGTTATTTTTGATCCCATCATCCCTCCTTTTCTCTCATACGGTCCTTGGGTCAATATATTATAATAAAACTCTCGCCGAAACGGCGGTGAAATCCTTTCCTTTGATTTATCTTGTGCTTCATAGCTATATTCGCGGGGCGTCAAGCTATCCTGTACCGGGTTTCTCTTCTTCTTCTCTCCTTTTTGGCTTGTAACCTCATTATTTGCCCCTTCATCAACGACCCATAATCTATACGAGGTACGGCCTCCTCCATCGCGAACGCCACCAAGACCAGTATCTCTCTTACTCCCACCGTTACCATCATTTAACGCCGGTCCCACCCGCTATTCTTGCCCGCAAGATCGTCGTCTTTTATACTCCCCGGTTTCTCTTACGTTATATTTTCTTTCCCCACACGTCAAATCCGGGGAAACGCACGTGCATGTCTACTGTGGTTCGTCATGAGCAATGTGAGTGCAACGAAAGGCACTACGTTGTTCAACTTACTCCAGGAACTGGTCCGTGGTGCATTGCTATTTGATAACTTGGGCTGTTCGCGTTTATTTTCCACTGGCCCCTCTGCGGAGGTGGTTCAGCGGCCATGACTGTGCTGGACACTCGTGGCCTATATCCGGAAGTCGCTCCGAATGCCCGAACGAAGGTCGACAACAATCCAACGCTTTTGGTGAGCTGGTGGGCTACCGGTTTTTCCTTGGCTATCATCGTGGTTCGAGTCTGTGGTCGTTATATTCGCATCGAGCGTTTCTTCCGGGAGGATAAGGTGATGATGCTTGCCATCATTCCCCTATTAATTCGCATGGCATTGGTACATGTTGTCCTAATATGGGGGACCAACAATACGCAGACATCGGGATTGACGGCGGAGGATATCCAGCATCGAGTGGTTGGAAGCAAGTTGGTTCTGGTTTCGCGGATCTGTTATGCTATCTTGTAAGACCGCTTCCAAGTAATTGTTCGAGGTAGCACATGCAAACTAACTAGTTTCATTGCAACAAGCATTTGGACTGCCAAATTCACCGTCTGCGAATTTCTCAAACGGGTCTCGGAGATGATATGGCGCCGTTCTCTGCGTATATTCCTGCAGTTCATCTACTATTTCCTGGGTTCCACTCTGATCGCTGTGGTACTCGCAACCCTAACCGAATGCCAGCCTTTCAGTCACTACTGGCAGGTGATTCCGGACCCAGGTCCTCAATGTCGCTCCGGCTATGCGAATCTGATCACGATGGGGGTATGCGACGTGATCACCGATCTTCTCCTTGTCGCATTCCCTATTCCCCTGATCGTGATGACGCATATGCCTGCGAAGCGCAAAGGCTCACTTGTTATCCTCTTCGCCTTATCCTTAATCTTAGTAGGCATCACCTGCTACCGTGTACCATCTGTGATCAGCCATCAAGGGTCTCAGCAGTACCGATCTCTTCTGGCCTCTCTAGAGATCCTTGCTGCCACGGCGGTCTCCAACGCCATAGTCATTGGATCCTTTGTGCGAGACAAAGGCGTGAAGAAAGCCAAGTTCAAAAAGGCTCTCGGATCAGCGTCCGTCAGCGAGAGCATGGATCACAGCTCCGTCCGTCGTACAACCATCACACACCACCAATGGGGCAGCGACTCCGATCTGGCAGGTGACCTGGGTATCCGTCTAGAACCTGACCTATGCTCTTCCGACCGCAAACTGCCTCGGCCAGCCCCTATGGTCGCTCCCTGCGCGCCTTTTACAGCCCGTACGGGTACTATCAATCCAAATTGGTCTTTCAACCGTCCTTCCTCTACCACCGACGACGACCGATCCTCGACCACGGGCAGCCTTGAGATCAAAGTAAGTCCACATGAATACATCTCAACCAATAAGACGCCACGCAAAGCGCCAGGCGATTCCATCCCGAGCTCACCCGGCCGGATATCCATGTTCGACGTTGGCGGTCTCCTGGATCCCTCGCCCAGGAGTACCCCCCCTCCAACATCACATACGCAACGCTCAACGCCGAATTCCGGCCAACCAACTCGTACGCGCAATGGAGGCGCGGCGTTCCTGCAAGACGTCGGCGGTCTACTCTCCACCTCCACCTCGGGGACTAATTCAACCCCTCCACCGAACTTCTCTCGACCAGGTGGTCTTCGTAGTAATTCCTATGGTCGCCGACGAGGGTCTAGCGTGCACTTTAGTGATACAACAGAGTCATCAGTTCCGCCATATCGGTCCCAATCCGATATAACTGCCCCTATCCCTGAAGGGAATGATGACGTCGAGCTTCAGGATGTTGGAGGGTTGTTATCGAGACGTTCATGAGCATACGACTATATATATTATACGTACCTGGATGTATAAATAATTCTTTCCTTCTTTTTTATGATTTGATTGTCATGCGTACTGGGCTGGAGTTGGTATTAGCGATGGCGTCGGTATCGGTTCTCTTGGTCTACTTGTTCATGTATCTCTTGATGACTGGTGGTTCATTGGATTGCTCTGATCCGGCTTCGATATGGTTCATATCACCGTTGTCTACCTGGGAGAGGCTTTACTAAGAACGACCATGGAACATCTCATGACCATTGCACTTTCAGGATTCTATCAGGGAAAAAAATTGTACAATATAGTGTGGGGTTTTGCGAATAGTAAAAATCCAAAGGAATCAACCAGAACCATGACATACATTCCAGTCATGAACCATTCTTTTCGCCCTTACGCCATGCTGCCCATAATGCCTGCAATTGGACTCTCGTTTTTTGGTTTTCTTTCTTTCTCGTCCCGTCTTCTGTTCTCCATTCTGGTTTTCTTTTCTGTCTCGTCGTGAGATTTAGGTCCTCTTGTTATGTGCTCACCTCGAGGGTGTGGGGCGTGACTTTGGGCCATAGTGCAGGAGAATTTGTGCCTCATAATGCGACCAATGTGTTCAAGAACCTCATAGCAACCTGCGTCTTTAAACGGGCAACGCAATTAACAACTCCCAAGCAAATAGCCGTCCGTCCGTATGGCACAACCGTAGAAACCGTATCTATCCAGACCGTGGTTAAATGACCCAGCGGTAACTAGCATAACGACCGGCCGTTTCACTCTTGCGAATAATCTTGACGACCTGGCCTCTGCGCAAACCCAGGTACCTGGCCACGGGATCCGACACTTGAATCCGGGGCAACTGTGATTCCTTCAAACGATAGCGCTGCAACAACCGAGACTTCTCCTCCGGGCTCAGCAGGACATGCTTCGGGACCAGTTCGTGCCGAGTGATATTAACCAGCAGATCCTGCTCCTGGAAATGCTCGCAGATACGGCCGGGGACACCGCTCAGCAGACGGACGGCGGACGGAGAGATCGGGGTCTGGGTGATGAACAAGCCAGTGTGGAAGTTGTTCTCGTCGACGAAATGGTTGAAGGTGCGCACTTGCTTGGTACCGACACCAGTGGAATCGGGGCAGAATTCAACGTAGATGGTTCCGCAGTCGGGCTGGGGGTCCGGGTTGGCATTGGTCTTGAGAGCCGTGTATTTCGCTTGCATGGCCTCCGTGGGACGAGCTTGGATTTTCATCTTGTTGCGGCTGCAGAAAGACGCCGATTGGTTAGTGGCCGGTTGGACGTCAACAGGTTCAGTTTATACTGCTTGGGAGCGCATACTCTGGGTATCCGAGGGGGTCGGAATATTTCTGTTTGAATTCTTCGAGCGGGATTTGCACTTCTTCTTCCGTGACTTCGTAGCCCTGTCCAGAACCCGGCTTGTTAGCATACGCTGTGCAACAATCGCCGGGCTTAAATTCGATAGTTCTTCTTCTCAGCGAGCACGTACCCGGTCCTGAAGCATTTCGAATACCGTCCTCCATGTGCGCCACAGTCTGGTCATCTCGCGGTCGGCATCGACGGAGCCAGAAGAATAGTCCTCGTCCATGGTGAAAAATGAGGCGCACCTGCGCTACGATACAAAAATATAGTGAAGAGAGAGAGACAGGAAAGCGTAAGGGTGTAGAGACTGAGGACTAACTCTGAGCTCTGCGTGAGCTGTGGTGCGGATATAAGAAAAGAAAAAAAAGTTCGCTGAAGTTGAAGCGTTGCGAAAGCGATAGAGAGAGGTTCTCGAAAAATCGGCGGACCAGCGCTAAGCGGCAACGGTTAAGCGCCGCCAACAACTTAGGAAAAGGCCAGACCGAGAAAATGAGCACGACTTTCTGCCCCATTTCTTTTCTTCTTTTCCCAACGTCCCCTTTGGTTTCCCCTCATTTTTCGCTGTTTTGGGGTCCTCCTAGAGATTGAGCTCGGTCAATCTATTGCTTTGTCAAGTGTTTCCCTTGTTCGCCCAAATTCCCGACAAGATGACCGCTGAAGCCACATCGGTTCCTGCCACAGAGCAGAAGGTGAAGCCTACCAAGCCCAATGAGGAGGCGTTCAAGGCCGATCTCGCGCAGGCTGAAAAGGAGCATGCCGCGGTTCAGGAGAAATTGGTAGGTGCCAATATGTTTCATTGAGCTCTTTGGGTATCGCAATAGTTGTATACAATACAAGGTGTCTCTTATGCTTTTTCTCTGGACTTTTCCCCCACCGACTATCTATAATGTGTATATTTTCCTGGCGCTCTCTTTATACTGTTTCCCAATCCTCAACAATGTAATGAGAGACTAATATCTTCAAGAACCAAGTCAAGGCCAAGATCGAGACCGCCAAGCCCAACAACCAGGACTCCCCCGCCGCGAAAAAACAGCAGGAACTCCGTGCTGAACTCTCCTCCATCCGTCAGAAGCAGCAGGGATTCAAGGCTTCCCGGACTAGCACCCAGGAAAAGATCAATGCCCTGGACAGCACGCTTAAGGCTCGCATTGCGGAGCAGAACAACTCCAAGACCCGCATGTCGTTCAAGAGCATCGAGGAGGTTGACCGTGAAATCGCGCGCCTTGAGAAGCAGGTTGACTCCGGTACTATGCGCCTGGTGGATGAGAAGAAGGCCCTCGCCGATGTCTCTAACCTGCGCAAGCAGCGGAAGAACTTCGCCGGTCTGGAGGAAGCCCAGAAGGTCATCAACGACCTCAAGGCCCAGATCGCCACCCTCAAGAAGTCCCTCGACAACCCCGAGGCCAAGGCTCTGAGCGACAAGTATACCGAGATCCAGAAGGAGTTAGACGCCATCAAGGCCGAGCAGGACAGCGCTTTCAAGAACCTTAACGCCCTGCGTGACGAGCGCACCAAGCTCCACGGTGAGCAGCAGCAGAAGTGGACTGCGATCCGTCAGGTCAAGGACAACTATTATAAGGCCCGCAAGGCCTACAAGGAATACGAGGATGAGGCCTGGAGAATCCGTCGGGAGAAGCAGAAGGCTCAGCGCGATGCTTTCGAGCGCGAGAAGAAGAAGAAGATCGCCGACAAGAAGCTCGAGGAGGCTTCGCGCCTGGCTTACACTGATGAGATCCTTACCGCTCAGGGCCTTATCCGCCACTTCAACCCGTCGTACGACTTCGCTGCCCTGGGTTTGGACGACAAGAAGGAGGAGTCCGCCCAGTTCCGCGCTGGCGTTGGCCGTACTATTGATGACTCTGGCATGAAGGGCATGAAGGTTCTGAAGAAGGAGGAGGATGACTATTTCGTTGGCACTAGCGGCAAAAAGGGCAAGAAGGGTAAGAAGAGCAACGCCAACGGCAGCCCTGCCCCCGCCGAGAAGTTCAACCTCAATGTTGGTATCATCGAGGACTTCGCCAAGGTCAAGATCGATCCTCCCATGAACCAGAGCGATGTCCCCGCCGTTGTCGAGAAGCTTGCCGCTAAGATCTCGGAGTGGAAAAAGAACCAGGCTTCGAAGACTGAGGAGGTATGTTCCGTTCCGATCTACTCAAATTTACTTGATTGAACTACAACAGCTAACCATCCTCATAGAACATCAAGAAGGCCCAGGAGGAGATTGTCCGCTTGGACGAGGAGGCTGCTCATGCTGAGGACCGCGCGACTGACGCTGCGAAGAAGCCCGCCATTACCAACAGCGGTGTTAACGGCAAGGTCTCAGCCGAGGCTGAGCTGAAGCAGGAGAAGGACGCTGCCGCCGATGTGTCCGATGAGCTCCAGAAGGCCTCGCTCGAGGAGAAGGCCTAAATGAATCTCCACGTATAGAGATTTATGCAACTTTCTTTGCATATTCTTGCATCAGCCAATTGACGCTTTAGACCTGAGCGGAAATTTAGCATTCATATTTCCTTGTCTTTTTTTTTTTTTCTTTTCTTTTTTGGTTAGTTCTGTGCATCTTATCCGACAACTCTTTCCTCTATTGCAGATCCTCCGTTTTGCTTTACTCTGATCGGAGGGGGGTGTTTGCTCTCCTTTGCGAGACCGTCGGTATTCCTTTCTTGTAATCCACTTTGACTACAATTTTTGACTTCTCGCCTTGTCTTGTACCTTGCTATGGCAAGGCTTATTCCTTCTCCCCTCCTACCCAATCCTCTACCCTTAAAAAGTCTGCAGAGAAAGATGATGAGATTTAGCGTTGATTTCAGAGCTTGTGAGTAACGATATGAGCGATTGGGGACGCAGTTGCGGGTTTTTGCTATATGATCTGAATCTACCATATTCCGTTCACTTCTCCCGTATATTAGAAAAAGTATTGCTACCTAGCCAGGCCAATGGATGTGTCTCATGTTGCATAGTGGTAGTAGTAAACTAATTCCAATCATCGTGGAAGCACAGCCAGGCTTGGGAAACGGAGATAAGAAGCTGATTATTATTCAGCCTGCGTACTCCGTGCCGAACGTGACAAGTCAGTGTGGCGGTGCATTCCATCTGTCAAACCGGTGGTCTGTGGACTTGCCGGAAAAGAAAATGCCAGCGCCAAGGTCTTGCAATTTAAATCCATTTTATTCTATTCATTCAATTCCGAATCCCTTTCCTATTTTCTCGGCAGCGAGTCCGATCCCCTCTTTCTCTCTTTTTCCCTCCTTTCATTCTTCTCACTCTCTTCTCTTGCTTCGGTAAATCTCATTATCCCCGAATAATAGAAGAGTTAGGGCAATCAGCCACTCTCCATAACGAGCCACTCGGCATAAAGTTACCCGCCAGACCACATCCTACTCAACACCACCTTATACGATACGAACACCCTGTTCATAAATCCCAAACCAACTCCAATCCCCCAAAATGTCCTACAACAAACCCGTACGTAAATACTCCACCCACCACTCCACAAAAGCAACAATGCACTGACCAGAGATAAAAACCACCACAGGACGGTCCCCCTCCCTCCTATCCACCCCCCGTCCACGACGCCGGTCCCTACTACCCTCCACAGGGACAGCAGGGCGCCTCCGGAGACTACTACAACCAAGGCGGCGGATATCCTCCCCAGAACTACGGTCCGCCCCCGCAGCAGGGCTACTATGGCTCCCCTCCACCCCAGGGCCAGCCCATGTACTACCCGCCGCAACAAGGCCCCTACCCGCAACCGGGGTATTATGCCGATGAGCGCGGTGGCGGCGGCGGATCCGCGGGCGGTGGTATCTGTGCCGGTATCATGGCCGCGCTAGCTTGTTGCTGCTGCTTGGATATTCTGTTTTAGATTGCGCCTGGCCGGGAGGCTATATTGATTGGGGTCTGTTCCTTAGAGGCGCTGTGATGGAGTTTGTTGGGTTTCGGGATTTCGCCAGGGTGTAAAAGGGTTGATTCTTGCTTTATGGGGCTTGCTTTGCTTTTACTCTGTCGCGATTGCGATCCTGAATGAATGGTTCCATTTGTTATTTTTATTTTTATTTTTATTAATATTGTCGTGGTATATCACTTTTCGCTAGATTATATATATCATGGTTGTGCTCGTACATAAGTATAAGTTATTTCCATCAGTCGGGTCAGATCGCATCACTCATAACCAACGTAAATCGAAAACAGCTAGAACAGGGTATCAATCAATCATGCTAGCACGCAAGCAAACAATCCCGCATCATGATAAAAAGGAAAAGGAAACCCCCCTACACCCTCGAACTCAACTCACTCCCCTCTACATCCCCCCTCCTCCAGCCCCTCCCAGAACCTCCCCGTCTCTCCCGTCTCGGCGGCCGGTCAACACTACTACTCTCCTCAAACACCTCGATGACATCCCCCTCCGACCGACTCGTCACACTCTCCTCCACCACAATATGATCCCGATCCCCCCGTCCTGTGGGCCGTTCCCGTTCCTCCTCAACCACAACCCTGCCTCGCCGTCTCCGCCGCATCCCCCCCGCAGACGACTCCGATATCTCCGTCTGCGTCTCGCTGCCGAATCGGCGCCCGGAGCTTAGCCCCAGGTATAGGAGGTAGAGGAGAAAGACGAAGCCGAAGACGCTGCCGAGGATGATACCGGCTATTGTGCCCGGGGATGGGGAGGAGTTTAGACGGCCGTAGGAGGCAGGGATGGAGATTGTGTTGTAGGTTGGGGTGAAGGGAATGGAGACGGTTCGTTTGGTGGTATATGTGTAGTTGGTGTTGATGTTGGGGTTTAGAGCGTCATCGGGGAGCTGCAGGACTGGAATTGGAATTGGGGGCATTGCTTTCGCCCCCTGTTTTTTGTGGTCGTCGGCGTTTTGTTGGTGTACTTTTGAGGGTGGTTTTTCTATGGATGGTTATCGGTTACCTCGGAGATACGATAAGATCTGATGTGGAGATCTATGGAGACGGGGATGGACTTCGTTGCGTATTAGGCCATGAATTGAGAGTAGGGAAAAGAAGGGGATGGGTTGGTTATTCCTACATGACGAGAGGGAAGGGAGAGAAGTCGAAATGGAAAGGCTTATGCGAAGTCCGTCTGGACCGGGAGTAATTAATTGGTGGCTGGGGATTCAGCATCCATGCAGGAAACAGTATTGGTGGGGATTATCGCGGAGGAGATCAGTCAATCAGAAGAATCTAAAGATAATTAGGGTTCTAAAGTCAAAAGTGTACAACTTCGTATCGAGCATGAGGATCTGTGAGAATCGATGCGGTAAATGAAACTGCTATTGAGAGTCAGACTGGTATAACATCCAGACCTTGTAGGGTTTCACAGGAAGCTTTTTCTTTCTCTCCCTTTTCAACTCTCCACCAAAGCAACTACTGCAGCCAAACCCAACTTCCCGCTACTGACACGCCTTCCTCTACATCACCCCCTCTAGATCCCGAAATCGATACTTCATGCTACAAGAACCCACTTCAACCGCCGCTCAGAGACTTACATTTACACCTTCAACCTTAACCCCCCCATTCTCGCTAGGGTATATTGGAGATTCACTTTCTCAATTGGCTACCTCCATCTCGGCAGCGGGTGCCATATAAGCCGACTCACATACTTCAGCGGCTTGACAACCTGGTATGGGGTGACCGCGGTATAGATGCGTGATCTTTTCATCTCTCTCTCGTCCTTTACACTTCAACCTTACCTTTTCCTGTTATCCCAAGAGTGAGTCATTGTGCGCGTCGTCGTAGAGACTGTGTTGAAAGTAATGTGCACTGTGCTGTATCTAGCAGGCCACTTCCTTCGTAAATATGTTCATATATCTGTACATTACTATACAATAATTTAAAACCTGGTCGATATAATCACTGAGACGTTAACCCTTCATATTCCTACAGTATCTGGCACAGTGAATATACAAAGCAAGGATACTAACACCCACTTATTCACTGATAAGCAACACCTCATTCATGCGTAACTATATACTCCTTCTCACTTCTTATAGCTACTTCTATATGTCATCTCACCTTTCATACCTCAGCTTTCTCATTCTCCCATCAACATCCCTCGCTTTCTAGTCTTTCCTTGGCAAATCCCTTCTATGGTAACCATTATCACCACATATCCGCTGAATCTACTGCCAAGTCTTCACAAGTTGTAAGGAATCTGATTAGGGGTCAGTTCCCAGCAATACCAAAAGGCTAACATTGTTCACAGCATCTGCAAACACCCCTAAGCCCCATATAAGTAGCGCATAGGGGCGTAGGACATCCAGGTCTGCGCCTGCGATCGTTACAAAAAGAGGCAGAAATGTCAGCCAAAATAAGCGGAGAAGAGGCTGACGAAGTTACGATTGACTCCGGTGCAGTTTTGGGTAAGCCAGAAAAAGAAAAAAAAAAACTGACTGTCTTGGACGGTCCTTAGCTAATGTATAATCAAAGCAATGGAAGAGGCTGAGAATAGAGCAAGAACAGAGCAGACAGCCGGGCAAAAAGAAAAATACCCACTCAAACTCAACTTCTGGGTGACTTTATATTTGGATCGAAAGCAGAATGGGTAGAATGGCTGCGATCTAATCATGGCAAACCATACTGGGTGGCTCTTTGGGATGATTGCCTCAAGTCTATGCTACCTGATCGACGCTTCAGGCTGAGCTTTGTGCAGAACAGGATAATGACAGGAGAAGCAGGTGGAGGAATAAAATATTCAAATATCTACGAGACAAGGCAGGGTGGGATGAGGCTAATCACCTCGCTTGTTTTCTTTGGTGGGTAAAGGACGAAAATCCGAGATCGAGCGATGGGGTGTTCTATGATTGACACATGTCGGGTGCCCAAAAGGACCATAGTACAGAGCGTGCTAAGTGTACGGTTCTGATTTGCTCATATGAGATTAAAATCGTGCGAGATTGAACCTTCAAAACCTCTGCCGTAGTGTGCGTGATTTTTCTCCTCCACTGTTCAACGCCACTGGTGACCAGGCTATTGGAAGAACACGCCGTCTGGGATAGGAACGAATTGTGCTGGTCTATAATTATGCCGTTGAAGAAAGCTTTAGCGAACATATACCATCCCAAACAGAGCATAAAGCTATACCGTGATTGAGAATCGAGGCAACAGTTGCGACAGGTGATGAAGAGAGCAATATGAAGGCCGGCAAACTATCTCGTAGGATAATTAAGCACGGTGAACTGGTTCATCTTAAATCAGGCGAGATCCCTATTGAAAAACTTTACAGATATGGATCAAGGCTTCAACTTGGTTGTGGAAGGGCTTACTCATTGGTCTTAGGTAGTTTGCAGGAGCGTAAGTGAAGTGAAGTTGTAAAACGTAGCTCAGATCTCCATAAATAGTCGCATAGCAGATGCCTTAAGATTATTCTAGGCCTTAGGCATTCATTCATTACATCCTTCCTACTTTTGATCGGCAGTTGATCGAAGAGTATAGTGTTCATCGTTACTTATTACAGCTATATACTGTATATCCTTCGCATAGCACATTCCTTAACATTACCCCTCACAGCTACTTCAACAATAAGCAGATTAGTACGCTCCCTCGCGCTGCTCGTACTTGGGCTGGTCGGGTGATTCAACGTCCCCGTATCCAGTCAGCACCGGTGTGGTGTATGACAATTCGAAGCTTCCCAGCTTCGCACCGTTCGTCTCCTGGGCCCAAAGGCTCAGTGCCACCCAGTTGGTGCCACGGTAATTCAGGATACCTTCGGGCACAGGGAAGCTGGTCTGAGGTCCAACATTTCCAGTGAACTTACCGTACTGGTATCCGTTCACGTAGAGCTGTGCTCGAGCCGCCTTGGTGTTGTTGCCAAAGTTGAAGTAGAGCGGCACATCCCAGCCTTTGGGGAGATCGAGGTCGAACTGGGCAGTGTAGAAACCAATACCAGGCTTCGACAGACCTTCAAGGGGACTACCCAATTTCCATGAGTCGCTCGGGGGCTGAGGCTGATGGAATCCTTGACGCTCTGCGTAGAGTCCACCTTCGTTGAGAGGCCCTCTGGTCTTATCCTTGTAGTCTTCGCCCCCAAGGTTACCTGTGAGTTTCCAGGTAATTGCGCTGGCATCTTGTCCACGGAGGTCATAGTTGAGAATACCACGAGGATTCTTCGTCCCTTCTTCACCCACCGTCCAATCCTCGTCGAGTCCCAGGTTATCCACAACTACGGTGATCACATAGTGCTTGCCCGACTCGAGTTGAGAAAGTCTGTAGGTCGAATTATTGTCCGCGGCAAAATCTGCACCAGTCCAAGAACCCAGATACGTCTCGTTCAACCATACAGAGCTTCCGAATGCACTGCCACCCTGTGTGCGGATGAAAAACTCGCTTTCCTTGCCGTTGGCAACAAAGTGGCCTCTGTAGATCAAGTAGCCAGTGTGGAAACCATAATCGGAAGAGTACAGTGATTTTGGAGTGTCAAGAGGACGGTGGTCATTCTTTGTCGTTGGGAGGTCTGCAGACAGCCAGGCGGAGTCATCATATGAAGGCTGGATCTCAGGGAGCGTGTCCAGGTACTTCCATTCCAAATCTTTCAAGCTAGGGAGCTTGATTTCTGGAGCCGTATACTTGACCTCGCTGCTCCAGATTCCGTTCTTGTCGACGGTGTGGCTCGCCTTTTCGCCATTGATAATTAGATTCTTAGCACTGGTTGGAGCCCCAATCACTTCGATCGGGGTTGTCGCGTTGAAATCAGCAGTAAGGTGAAGGTCAGCACCATCTAGGTGAGCGCCACGGACAAGGTAGCCGGCTTTGACAATGATGGATGAGGCGGTCGTCTTCGAAGTACTGAAGCCGGGAGAGGTACCGTCCGTGGGAAGCTCAGGAACCCAGTAGTTATAAGCAGAGTTTCGATCTGACCATTAGTCTTACATAGGCCATAAGAGAATACAGCATGGTTTGACTTACCGAGCAGGAACACTCTCAAATCACCGATTTGGACAATGCGGCGTGTAGGCGAGACATCCCAGCTAATGATAACAGAGCTTCCCTTGTTCTTCGTGGTAATTTCAGAATCTGAACCCTCAATGACAGTTACATTTGAATTGGAGGCAATGGCTAGTTCGTGATGCTCTTTGGGTCCGCCGTAGATAACTAGAACCTTGCTATTATGGAATTTCTTCCAGGTGAAGACTTCAGCTGTCGAATAGATAATGTTCGTTCCAGACACATTATAATCGACAACATGAATTTTCGAGTCACGTCCATTCAGGCTCAGGCTACCCTCCAGTTGCGGAATGGTCAGGTTACCAGCGCTTGTAGGAAGCCTGAGCTTGTACGAGGTGGACTCTTGGCTGGAATAGTCCGTATGTCTGACCACAAAGAAGGAGCCCGAAGGGTCACCCAGCAATGGGGTGACAGCCAAATCAGAGGTGTCTGTGTAGACCCCGGTACTCAAGTTTCCGGGAGTAGCGAGGAGATAGGCCGGGGATACTTTGGCAAAGTTGCTGAGGAGCTTGATATCGCTGTACTTCTCCCGCGTAACGTTCCGCGTCTCAGTTAGCGGCGAGCCATAGTCATAGGATGTATATCCTCCGGGGTGGCCGAGGTTTCCCCAGTTTGTACCGCCGAAGGTCTACCCATGTCAGCTATGGTAATTGCGAAAGGGCTCCGTAAACCATACCATGTATAAGTTAAAGATAGAAACTCCGAAGCTGAAATCGTTTCTATAGAACACTCTGGAAAACTCGTGATTAACGAGAGCATAGCATTTTTCAAAGCCAGGTCCGCCCCAGGGGTCGAAAGCGCCCGCTTGGAACTAGATAACGGTGAGATAACGGTGAGATACAATGGCAACCTTCCACGGGTAAATGACATACCTCAAGAAGTGAGTATGGTGTTGATGGGCTTTGTTCGAGATGGAGATTTCGGAAATTATCGGGCAATTTATTCTTGGGCCATACAGAAGGGTTTGCCTGTGAAAGTCAGAATTATTCATCTGCGAGCGCAAAGTATAACATACGCAATCGAAGCCGAGTCTTAAAGAAATATTAGTCAGACATCCAGAGGTCAAGTAATGGAGTAACGTACGGATAGCTATCATGGCCATAGATATCGACAGCACCTACCCCAGATCCAGGAGTATTATGTCCTGAAGCTGAGGCATCGTTGCTGATGAAAGGCACAACCACACCAGCGTTCCGAGCTTGGTCCATAACATATTGCATGTAGTCTGCATCTGGGAAATCAACCCCGCAGCAAGCACCAGTATATTCGTTTTCGGGCTGATAGAGAATTACAGGCCCGCCGTTTGTGATCTGAGCATTTGCCACCGTAGCAGCGACATGCGCGACATAGCTAGAGCAAAATTATAAGCAACAGTCCGTATCAACCTTCAGTGAATCCATACTTATCAGTAGCTTCAAGAAACGCCTTGTCAGACGAGCGGAGGGTGCCGTTGACCCGCTGCAACCACCCGGGAAAACCACCACCTGAAACCTCGGCGTTGATGTACGGACCGGGACGGGCAATCAGATAAATCCCTGCCTCCTTGGCTGCATCGAAGAAAGGTTCCAGGGCGAAAATACCCTCTGCCCTGTATTCGCCAGGCTTCCCTTCGAGCAGCGCCCAATCGATGTAAAAAGATACGCAATTGAAGCCAAGAGCCTTGATCTTTTGGAAAACGTCGAGGTGCAGTGAAGGCACCGGTAATCTGCCCCTGTCAGAATAGAGTTCTTAGAGATAGGTAAGATTTATATACCTAAACGGATGCACTTCTCCACTGAATATCATAATCCTTTCTCCATTAATGAAAAGAGATTTGTCATCCCATGTTACCTGTAACTAGACAGTGAGTACGTTTACATAATCTCGATGGGGCACGAGCATCTAACGACGACGTACAATGTCCTGCAACAAGTCACGCTTCGCCGGGTCGGGGTGTTCCAGAAGCGTGAAGCCATGGAGGTGATGCTTGATGGAGACACCAGCTGCTTGTGCCGCCAGTAAGGCGACAGCAGTCACAGAAAGGAATCTCATCGCGTCGTGCTGCCGATGAACCCCAATGAGAGCTTACAGCAGGGTGGCATGTTTCGGGGGCAATTGCAACTTTATAAGCAGAATTGAAAGGATAAATCATGTAAATAGCCGGATCGATCGATTAAAAGTCCGACACCTTGCGTCAGTGATATATAGAGTGGTGAATGATCCAATTGAAACCTTAAGCGAAGTGTGGAGTCTCTACTAAATCCATCTAGCATCATGCAGAATCCAAGTGGGCTTGTATGCAACACACCGTCCACAACGACCCCTGCTGGCTGAAATCATGGTTAGTGATCAAATCAGACAATTGTAAAGAGACCAGGGGGTTGCTTACAACTACTATGCCGGTGGTCAACGAAGGGTGGCGGGCATGCAACGTGAACGGAGAAGGAAAGCATTGGCGACGATCCCCCACACGGAGGCCACTGATCAGATGACGATCACGGGTATATTTCTCCGCATATCAGAACATCCCAAATGTACTTACGGTAATACCTTCTAAGTAGTAGGTCCGAAATCATGTACTCTCACCGATCGCCATGAACATTTCTTCAGTTTCAGCTGCTGGATGGGCGTATACCTATGCAGGGTGCCTGAATATCATGTAAGATAGATATATTAAGCATAAACTAGCCCTGATGTTAGGTTGGTTATATGAGATCATCGCGATTAACTGGGGATTTATCAGACAGGATGCGATTTAATGACTTTGTCATCATTAGGCCACCAGGGGAATGAATTTTCTTCCGTCTAATTATCCGAAAAGGTCAATACTAATAAGCATCACAAACAGGCACCATAAAATAACCACCATTTCGCCGACAATTAACCGCTGGAACCCTAATAATTAACTAACCACGTCACTCCGCATGTATCTAATGCACCTCATGACGGCACCGCTGCCATCTTTCTCTTTTCTGATTCTGTTCTATTCTATCCTGTTTTAACCTTTGAGAAAATATATATAGGTGTGTTACATCTGCAATTGAGAGCGAATATCAGATGGTGGGAACAGTCCAACGAAGAACAGCTATCACACACGTCCCAAATGCCAACTCAAGCCCGTTTAATTCTTGTCCGCGGATTTTTAACGTCTTCGTCTGAGGTCCCATTGATTACTAAATCTTGGGATCGCATCCTCAAACGCGCAACGGCTAAGCGGAATTAAACCCCAATTGTCCGCGCTTTAGAGATCTCAGTTAAACTAATATCAATCTGCAAGTTCCGTCGAACCCAATTCTTGACCTCTATAGCCATGAGTGAATCAATAGAAAGGGCCAGCCTCGCTTCGTCGTCCATATCTTGAGCCTCGGGTAGATGTTTTGTGATCATTTGACTAAGATCTTGGGTAATCATCACCTCGGTCTCTTCCTGCAGGGTATCTGAGGGGTTCGCCTCCGCTTTGTCAATCAATTCTCTCAGTTTATTGATACTCGTACCACCGCCTGGATTGTTGAATGTAGAAGCAAGGTTCGCGTAGGATGCGAACCGAGCGCCCCGTTGCCACAATGTCTTGGTAGCAGGATCGGAGACAGGCCTTGTGTTGCAGAGCCTAATTGCTAATCGCGCCGAAAACCAAGTGACATATTTCGCGTATCTAGGCGGACTAGAGTTTGCAAATGCACCTCTGTAATCACTTGAGGACTTCTCCCTCACTCAGGAGCCAGGCATCAGCACTTTGTATCGACTGCAAAGCTCTCGGATCTCGAGCAACAATGCCAGTCTCGCCCACGGCACCAAGAGCGATTACCGACCTCGGGAGGCCCAGTCAGAGACGGTATTGTGTAAATCCATCGAGGAACGTTTTGCGGCTGCACAATCTGCCTGGCTTGCATGTCCACGGACGCCTACTACAGAGCCGAACAGAACAAGAAATCCAGCCTTTCTTCTGAGACTGAATTGTGAAGGTTCCATGTACCTTGAACCTTGGAAGGTGATGAAGTGTCCCATACCTCGTAGCACATAGAAGAGATCGGACGATCCTTTATGATGGCAAAGTTATTTAGTATTTAATCTTTACGCATAATGGTAGCAGTGTCTTACATTCAACGATGCTGACATATTCAAGACACCTTTCAAGGGACGCTTGCATTTCGAAATCGAAGTCTGTACATCTTCGACTTTTGCCACACTCCCTTGCAAACGTTCGACGTGACAACCCCATGATGTCCAATTCGTTAATAAACTCTTGGTCCTCATCTGTAGAGCCTGCTGAGCGAGAAAGATACACCTGGCATCGTGCACCTTGTTCTATCGTCCATCCATCTAAAAATTGCACCGCCTAAACCTCCAAGGCCACCCACAAGGAGATACAACGTGTCGGGGGAAGAAACTAATACTGTCACCTCGGCAGCTTGCTGGGGTAACTGGCTTGAGTTATCGGGTACTTTTATAAGAAATTCTCCCATGTGTGTGCCCTTCTGCATAAACCGGAATGCCTCGGTTACCTTAGAGGCCCGAAATACCGTAGTAGGACGGATTGGGTTTACATTACCTTCATACCACGACACAACCTGGGAGGGTAGACTGCATACAACTTAGCACCGCTGGCAGAGAGAGCTTTATTTTGAAAACTCGCCCGTTGAAAGTCTCTTTACCTTCATCATATAGTTCCAGCAAATCAACACCGAGAAAAGCTCTGTTATTTATGAATGGCTTCAAGCCCAAGATCCCGTTGGCAAGAAGTCCCGCTTGCTCAGCTCGATCGTTCTACCAAAGCTAGAAACACACTCCCAGGAAGCAAGTAATAGCTCTCCAGATAATGAGTTCAGCACAAGGTCTACTCCCTGTCCCTTGTTTGCCTTCATGGGACATGGACGAAAGCTCACACTTCTGGAATCAAAGATTTGGTCTGAAGGTATTCCGAAAAGTGTTAACTAGGTGATCTCTTTTCACCTGGCTGCCCACAGTCGCATAGATCTACTTTATCAGCTGAAGGATGTTCCTGGCTATACTTCACGGGGTATACCTTTTCAGCCCCGACAAGCTGACAAATTTGGATAGCTGCTTGCCCGACAGCAGCACATGCAGAATGAATCAACACAGTCTATTTTGCAATTAGTCGACCACTAAGAACTATGGAGTGAGTTCCCTACTTGTCCTTGCTTGAGTTGTCCTACATGTATCAAGGAATATATCGCTGTTGCCAAGACAGATGCGGTAGTGGCGGCATCCTTTAAGGACAGCTCTTTGGGTAATTTCAGGCATCGTTGTTGATTTGAAATAACCCGTGTGCTGGGAGTTCCAAAATGCATTATCAATACCCCGTCTTTAGGAAGCATATCACGCACATTTGAGCCAACGCATCGAATGACTCCAATGCCCTCTTTGCCAATGTCTCCAGTACTTCCAACTAACCCCATAGCTACCATAATATCCTAACAGATAGTTTAGCGTTATATATCACGTCAATATCCCGGAGGATGAATTTACGAACCCTAAAATTCAAGCCAGCATATTGAACATCAACTTCCACATCGTCCTGCTCAAGATGACCAATACTAGTCGTGACCCATCCAGTGTATCGAGAAGGCTAGCTGTACCAATACAGGCCTTCTTGGGAGCTTCTGGTTCCAAATGAGAGTCAGTACCTTCCATCGATACTCCCCAATAGCACTGACTAAGATAGGCAGTGTTGTTATGCTTAGCAAACTCTTAGTTTGGATCTTGTATGCCACTATCAGTAGGTCCTAGGATCTTTTGTAGAATCACCCCCACCGCTTTGGCAGACTCAGACTTAGCATTGAACGCATTAACTCCAAATGTATAAAGTCGAGTATCGTTTCTATCCTCAGGGTCCGCACGAATCCTAGAACCAGGCCATAGCTTGGATCTTCACAAGCAAATTGGGATGCCTTTTGTCACCCAGAGCAATTTGGACTGGTCGACGCTCGTCAGGTAGTTTTGTAAGGCATGGTATTGTATTGCGGCTGAGACAAGTTAAAGAAGAAGGGCTCGTTAAGGCCAAACAAGAACACGACACATCCATTGTCCTAGGGCGGTGCATCCAACGATCCCCATCTTACAGTGAAGTTTAATTTTTCGAGCTCTAAGAAGACTCAGTTCGCCCAGCAAGTTGGAGAGCCATTAGTCAACGTTATTGGCTGTAGGGGTAATTCATTTGGAACGTCAGCGCGTATGATCATAGTTCCACGCATTCGATGAGGGCGATTGTGGTCGAAGTTTGTTGCCTTTGATACTGTAAAACCCGCGGACTATACCTCCTCGTCCCATCTTTCAGGGATGATAGAAGGTCTATCCATCCTTGCATCCCTTTCCCCTGCCCACCAACTAGGGAGTGTTCACATAAAATTAACATCCACTTTTCGTTGAAAGACGTACTAAGTTACATATCTTACCATTATGTAAGCAGTGCATAATATCTCTCGTCGGATTATGAGTAAATGATGTTTCTGTAAAGTAGCTCGTGAAGACGTACCTGGAGACAACCTTTGAAGTAACAACCACCCATTCGGAACTAGCAAGTTTCTCACGTTATCAAGAACTTGTTTTGTTTCAGAGTTGTGCGGAGCATCTAGACATAAGTAGTTAAGATGCAGCACAGGCTATTGATTAGAAGGAACTAACATTCGATGCTATAACCAGATCAAAGACCTGAGCTGTCTTCATAGATTCAGCGGTGGCATCCGTAAATGTATACGTGGAATACATAGGCAACCCCGATATGACAGTGAACGTAATGCTTCAGTTGTGGCGCTTCTGGTTCCGGCTCCAATCTCAAGAATGCGCAATCTTGGGTTTGAATGCCTAAGAAGAGTAAGAGAGGCACCCCAGTCATTGTATTGCTGGGCAAATTGATAGTAACGTCTGATGCGGTTTTCTTCTATCAACAGGCCTTGGGCGGAGATTTTGTTGGCCATGATCTCTAAGCAATTCTCAAGATTAATTTCATACAAATGACCTCAAAACTATATTCACGGTGAGTTCCTCGTAGCGATACCAGCTGCTTTATTAGGACCTGACGCTCCTCACTAGATTGATTCGCCCAATCCTTAGATTGAGGAAACAATGTCTGGCTCCCATTACGAATCATAACCTCTTCTTTCAACAGCCAGGACTTCCATTTAGATGCATGCGAAGCCTGTGGCTGTACGTCTTTGACCCTGCCAACCGTCTCAAAGATAATAAAAGTGGAGTTGACCTGCTGTCTTGAGTACATTCAGGCGCTGGAGCGGCACATCCGACGGTGGTAATAGCGCCTCGGGTTTCTGAAAATTAATATCAGGTTTTCATTGGATCTGTGCAGCTAGAGGAACTGGTGAGATATTAAAAAAAACGCGCGTCTCATGGACAGCACCACCTTGTCCTCGAACATCACCGTGGCATTGCCTACCAGACGACTATCGAGTCCTTGATATAATCGACGCTGATTTCGACCTGATCTGATCCTTGTCCAACGAACATGTGGTCCATGCATGCAGGAGTTGCTCCTGCATCGAGGTCCCGTGGAAGGCCAGCATCCCGCAACGCTCATTATTGAAGGTATTGGTCAATCATGGCTGGGTCAAGGCTGTATCGACTGCCAAATATTCTATCTTCTTATCCGCCAGGGCTACAGCTCTGCTACCTCGGGATGAACTGAGATATTCTGTAAGCCTCTGAACTGAGCTCCGTAAAAAAAGCCCGATCTAGATAGCGTTTCGTACCATTTGCTGGAAGAATACTCGGCGTGCGTAGTGCTTTATGTGCACGGGATAGGGTCTCTCCTCAGCTGCAGAGCTGACTTGGCCGCAGTGCATAGTGGTTGGTAAATTTCAACTTCGTTGACGCATGATCTAATTACCTAGCTAAGCTCCTCTACGCACCACGTTAGTGGAATAGGTCTAGGTATTCGGGCTCCAGAATCTTACCCCTTAAGGACCACAAAGGAGATTTCGAAATCTATCAGAATGTTTTCCAGCTCCATAATATTCATTCGAAAGCTTTCAAATGAGTCCATTAATCCTTGACCCATGCCCGCCTACTGAGAACCCTAGCAGGTGAAAACAAATGTTAATTGCGGCGATGTGGGATAATGGGCAGTCTGGAAGTCTGATGGTGATAAGTAGACGGTGGGATTATAAACAGTAAATGCACGGTGTGTCAAATGCGTTCGCCGTACACCTAAAGTAAACGATAGATCTTGATAGACAGCAGAATGACGATTCATACAGTCGGTTACCTAGTAAATACACGCTTTCAAGCTTGTTACGTCCCCACCTGAGAGAACAAGAAGCTTGTAATCATTTTCTAGGTGAAGGGGATCCTGCACCTGGGTTTTGAGGTAGGTTTGTCCTGTGGACTCCAACATGGACATTTGCGCCAACCGATCCCGAAGCTATTGACACTGACCCTTTTCCGTCGCCCTTCTGGCCAGTTCAGAAGCTCCATTGGGGTTGTTAAGCCGGCCTTTTTGAAGGAAATCTCTGGGTTTGGTTCCTCAGAATGAGCATTGGGTGGGTGGAATTATCTCATGTTCAAGAGATAGAATAGCTTTTATAACACTTGTGATGCCTGATGCGCCCTCGGAATGCCCAAAATTGGGTTTTACCTGACCTAGGCGAGCATACTATAAGTCAAGTGTCGATGATTGCCAGTTCATCACAGCCACGATCACAATTCCCTTCACCTCGAACGCTTCGGCCACTGCCACTGTCTCAATCTTATCACCAGTGAGTGTGCCCGTCTCATGGCATTCTATAAAAGCAGTTCTCGATAAGTCTTTGGTATTAGCCCGTCGGTAGGTCTCCCGAATGAGGCGCTCTTATGCTATCTCTGAAGGAATGGAGATACTTGATATTTTCCCATCACAGTTGATCGCGCTTGAACGAATTACCTCCCTAATTGGATCATTTGCCTCAATTTCTTCATCAAGCTACTTGAGATAGAGTACATTGATTGCCTCGCCGCGTCCATAGCCATCGGCGTTGGCATCAAAAGTCGGGCATTTTCCGCCATGTGACAGTACCATGCTACTACACATGCTCGTGGTCATCGATAGATTGAGGATTGAATTGGTACCAGCGCCAATAGCCGATGAACAGGCTCCGCTGGCTAAGGATTGACAAGCTTCATGTATCCCAACCATCGACGATGAGCACGCTGTCTAATATTCATATTAAGGATAGAGAGAGTCGAATTTTAGAATTGTCATGCGACTAGATAGCACATACCTCGGATCCCAAAAATCAAACTTATAGGATACTGAGTTCGCCAAAGAGAAGCCTTCTGTACCGAGAACATGGGTTTTATCAATGCTGAGCGGATCTTTGTAGGAGAGGGGCTAGCCAATCTTCCCCGAAGACCACGACATAGCAACCAATATCTTTACCTTCCTAATCGCTGTCGCCTGCATTTTCCAGGCATTCCCATACCTCCTATAGAAGAACCTCTGCTGGGGATCTATGGAAGAAGCTTCGGGCTCGCTCACAGAGTAAATTTGAGCATCAAAGCAGCCCGGATCTTCAGGCAGAAAGTAGCCATATTTTGACTTTATGCACCGCTCATCCAGCACGTTGTAGAAAGCGTCCACTCCGTATCTTTCTTTTGGGACTTCACAATGCTCTGTCTATGTATTGATAAAAAACCGCCAGGAGTCTTTGGCTACCCGAACGCCCCCGGGAAGCCTCATTGCCATGCCAACTACAGCAACAGGCGAAATGTATCCGAACGCTCACTAGGAGTCAGGCCGCTTTGATGCTAACCCCCTGGTTGCAATTCGTCTTTGCAATAGAACTGCTTTTTCAGCGCACCAAGTGGTGGTTGGAGCATTCCCGGGCCGTCAGTTTTGTGGTATCTTCACGGGGCTCGCGCTACCGTCATACCCTACCGTGCCAAATTCAGCTGCTGATGAACCCATTATTGCGAGAACCTTTTAGTCGGAAGACGAAGTTTGTAGCGAAAAAGCTAATTCTGGGAAACTCTGGACGGAAACGGCGACACAAAACTAGGCAGAGAAATTGAGCGCAGGAAATAGGTGGCCTTCTTGTTGGTAGGATTTTCCTCCATACCATGTCAATGGCGTATCAGCTAATACACACCGTATGCTGATTATCAAACGTGCATACGTGTGCTCGAATATCCGTGTATCTTGCCAAAGCCCAGGAAAGAGCTAGGATTATTGAAGACCCACATCATGTGTGGTGTTTAAACGGTGGTTCTTGAACTGAGACAAACATGGACTATGTAGCATCCCTTCATACTTGATGTACACTCATGCCTAAAGTACCGCGGGAAACAAGTACCTTGGAGCTTCATATGCCACAGGGTAGCACCGGTGAATGGAAAGATGTTGAGCACTGAGATACTCATCTTTGATGGGACTAATGCTAATAAATAGAGCCCATCGAGGTAAAGGTAAAATACAATACCGGCTAGGACTACTTGGGTAGTGATGTACGTACATAGGCCCTGTGGAGCCTGAGGTTCCTTTTGTAAAATACATCGATACTACTCCTTGCATCTCGCAAGACCGTAAATACCAGCCACTACTTTTGACCCACTTGTACATGTACATGGGACTGGTGGTCTCATGATTTAGGTAGGAAGTTAGTTCTCCCTTCTTATTCACTTTTTATTTCCCTCATTTCGTTCTATTTCTGTCATTCAGCCAAGCGCGCGATAATCTTTTCTCGCTGTCCACTGTGCTCTCAGTATGGCCCCGAATCCCAACGAAATTAGCCAGTGGTACCAAGACCAGGTAGTATTTCTCACTGGTGGTACTGGGACCCTAGGGGGATGTCTCCTTTACAAACTAGCCCTTCAGGTCTGTGCAAAGAAAATCTTTGTTCTTTGTCGCGGGTCCGTACACGAGGCAATAGAGAAACTAGAGGATTCCATGCCTGATGAGGCCCACAACATTCTTGATACCCAAAAGGTCTCTTTCGTCGTTGGGGATGTCACGGAGTCGAATCTGGGTCTCCGTGGTGCAGACCTCCAACAGCTCCAGGCCCAGGTCACTGTTGTTATCAACTGCGCTGCCAGTGTGTCTCTGCTGCAGAATCAGCAAGGTTCGGTCACTAGCAATTGCCTTCCTCATCTGAGGCTCATGGAGTTACTAAGGAACTTCTCAAAACTGAAGACCCTTCTTCATGTCTCTACCGCGTTTGTCAATAGTTTCCTCCCCGGGGGACGGGTGGAGGAACGCATCTACGACATCTACGACGATAAAGAATGTCCCGCCAATGACCTGCATTCCATAATTTCAACAGGCCATTCACAGTATAATTCTCAATTTCCCGCCCCTTATGCACACGCAAAGTACATTGCAGAGCGCCTTATCCTCGAGAATCCCTGTCTCTTTTCCGTTCTAATTGTGCGGCCTTCGAATATCGGACCAGCTATTCGGGACCCCGCACCTTTTTATGGGCTCGATATGACGATCCCAATGCACTCCTATGTACAATTCCTTCTATCGAGCAGTGATACTGACGTACGGAATCTGGACGACATCCTGCCTCCACAGCATATTGTCGATGAGATCCCCGTGGATCTTGTAGCTAATACTTGTCTCCTTCATCTAGCCTCAGGAACGACTGGGATTGTGCAAGCCGCCGCGAATCTCTACATCCCTCGTACCAGTGCAGACATTCAGCGTCTTGTCGATGATCATCTCTCCTCGGAGCTTGAAGAAGAACTGCGCACAGTCGGATATTCGCAAAACCCAGAACTTGCAAAATACTTTACCCGTATGTTCGAAAAGTTTTGTCGCAATTGGGATTTTGACTGTGGAAGATCAGAGAGCCTCAAAGGGATCGATGGACCACTTTCACTGAGTCTAGAGGGACACGACCCTGAACAGTATGCCAAAGTTCGTATTCAGGCAGTGGCACGGAGACTCCGGGCCTCGTTCAAGAACTCCGGTAAGCCCAGCTCTGTTACGTAGTCCTCCCTATATGGGCGAACGACCGTCTTGGCCCTCGCGAATCGTCTTTGTAGACTATCAATATGGGCTGAACACGCCCGTACCTGAGGGCTTCGTCCACGTGGGCTGCAGACACTAGGATAAATCCCTTAGCGATCATAATCCCCATTCCATGTCGCATAATTACATGCTATAAGCTATGAATATAATCCTGGTGTATGTGTCCGTTACGTGAGATCTACAGATATTGTGCCATAATCTGCAGCGATACCTTTCCCGATAAAGCAGTAACAGTTGCATCTTACCTGGTAATTTATTCGGGCAGCTATAGTACGCTTTGAATGGGTGGAATGCACGGCACCAGTCAAGTAGTGGGTTTACCCTGCTCAGCATCCATCACGGTATGGAGGTATTCTCCTTCTTTAAGCCATTATCAAGGTTTCTGTGGGCTATGAGAACAAGAATCCACAATGTCTGACAGGTCTAGACCCAGGCGCCCCGTCCCGTCAGCTGGGTTAGAACGTGAATCAAATTGACCACAGTGGTGAGCTCCATCCAAAGGTGTATGTCATCCAACGGGGTAAAACGTAGGGACTGTCGAAAACCTACCGTCAATGGGTGAGCCCAGGAAACACCACAATACCAATCTCACCAATAGCCCACAGCTAGAGCCCTCTTCACCGATTCCACCAAACATGGCCGCAGAGATTGCGTACTGGGCAAGGAAGGAGGACTGGTTCCACCTTGGCTTTTACATAGCCAACTATCTAGCGGCATTTTAGCTGGTCCCATGTGTCAGCCTAAACCTGTGCACCATAGCGCTAGCTATTGTGTTAATGTATATCTAACCCTCCTAGGAAGCAGCGCAGGTAAGCGTTGCCGGTGCCCACTCAGCGTATTACCATCTAACACCCTACGACAAAACCTGAATATCACAGGCTATAGGCCCGCCGCTTCTACCGAGCAAGCGTACCCCTACAGATTTTTCCCGCAGTCTTCAGCGCAAGCTCTCTACAATGGCCCACGCTGTGGTGGCCAACCCACCACCGCGCACAGCGCCGCTACGTCGACACAGACAAAGAACCATACAACACCCGTCGGAGCCTCTTCCACGCCCACATAGGCTGGCTACTTACGCTTGATGAATTCTAATGAGGCAAAGTGGACGTATCCGATCTGAAAAAGGACCCAGTTGTCGTCTGGCGGCAGAAATACTACGTTCCCATTGCCGCCTTGACGTGCTTCGGTCTATGGGTATCGCTCACGTCGAGTGGGGAGATGCAGCGGGGGTCCTGGTCTATGCGGGACTTATTCGCATGACGGTAGTCCATTAGGTGGTGTTCTTGGTGAACTCACTCGCTCACTCGGATCTGGCAGGTGATCGGCCCTATTTGGCCTCGCATAGCGCTTGGGATACATGTATCATGGCTTTGCCCGTTGGGTGAAGGGAGGCATATCATAGTTATCACCATAATTATCCACCGATTACCGCAATGGGGCGCAGTGGTACGAGTTCGATTGGATTAAGTGGTTTATCTAGTCGATGGCGCAGTTGGGGCTGGCTTCGGATTTGGCTCGGATTACTGTTCCAAGCGGCGATAGTCGAAAGCTAGGGCAAGTGAAGAACTAAAAGTATGCGTTGCAGCTATATACCTTCTTGGGTGTTTCTGTGCAGACCTTGTGTGGATGAGTATACCAGTGAGTGACCTTGGCCTGCTGTGGTAGTAAAAATTTGCTGGGATTGATATATAGCCAGCATTACTTCCTGGGAGAGATCCAAATTGGTAGGAACTCGGGATTTTAAGTGTTTTCCTTTCGGGAGTTCAGCTCCTGATATTGGTGTCTCTCAAATGCAAATCTCGTAATATCACTCATTGTCTTTCAGTTTGAGCGCCCGGTGCGCTTTAAGCCCTAACTTTACAGCCGCCGTGGATCCTGTCTCTTCAAGGTTACTGGCATTACCAGCCAGGGAGACTAGGACTGGAGTGTTCCTTTGTCAAATTTATAGCCTTGTGAAACGCCGGTAGTTGGAACTTGTTCGTCTGCGAGTGTCCAGCACGGCGCCCGTTTTGCCCCGTTTCTATATAGCTCACTTACTTTACTGTATGCAACTATCGATAGCACATTCTACTTATATAATTTACACAAGATGCTATTACAGCTCTGCCTGCATGATATTTGTAGGGAGATATGATCAGGTTTGCAAGCCAAAGATTTGCCCCTTAGGTTAGTAAGACAAGAATAGAGTATAAAGAGAGAGTTTAATATTTTAAAAGAAAATATCAATTTAGTAGTCCAGGGGCTAAGGTGGCCGGAGCTACAAGCAAGAAAAAGTAGCAATTGATTCGAAGACACCTATTTTGATAAGTTGGCCTGGTAATACCCCGGCCATTCGTCTTCTTGTTTTTTATTACAGTATCACCATTACCTCTTTTCTAACTGAGCAGAAATGAAGCAGGCTAAGATCATTAGTTTATTCCTGTTATCTCTGGCTGCCAGCTAAGGCATCGAAATGTGGCATGCAGAGCAAGTATTTCAGAGGGCAATGGGAGGATATGGAGGCGGTCACGATCCGGGGGAACATGCAGCAAATGCTATCAGAATTATAAGAGGAATTGTCATCTTCTGAGCAACATTTGAGTGCAAGTGACTACAGTTCCCCGAGAGAAAATATTTCTTCTAAACTCGACATGGACCTGTGTCTTAGTAGGGATGACAAATCTCAAAGCTTTATCCCCAAAGAGACATATGTGCACTTACGTCTCGTATACGGTAAATAACCATATATGGTCCTACTGGGCTTGGTTTGATGCTTGGAGAATGTTGGGACTGTGAATATTTATACGAAGCGAAAGACGGCGACAACCTCCAACGCCGGTATCGAAATGTGGACGAAGGTGACAAGGATCCTACAATGTGGGGAGTGAGCTAAGAAAATCTTCAATCTTGGTAAACATTGTCGGCAAATAATGAACTGTTTTCTTACTGGAAGGCCACAGATGGATTGATCAAACCCGTGTATGGTCATCTAGGATGCCATGGTATGATAGGATACTGAGGAAGCGCAATGTCAACTTTGTATATCAACGGGAATGTCGTCCTCACTATATAATCCATCAGGAGGGCATCAGAACTGGCTAATGGGCGTACAGGTTTAAACGGTTTCACTTTATCGTCGACGAACACTCCTCTTATGATATTAGTCCGGTCCGGGTAAAAGTTGAAGCAGACCCTCAAGTATACGTGCAACATCATAATTTCTGTTCAAAAAATACATTCAATGCTTTTCACAAATATATTTATATCCCGACAGATCTCAGGTCATATTACAAATCTATACAGTTGTGTTGAACCGGTCTTCCTCGTCGCCAGCCTTTTGCCATGTCTCCCGGCTTTCGGCATGTTCCTGCTCATCTTGCCCCAAAACCTCGTTTTCATGCTTAACGGCTTCTTCCTCTGCCTCGGCGGGGGCTACAGCTGGAGTGATGTCGGCGTCGGTTGTCTCAGCTGCCGGGGTCGACGAAACTGGGGTGTCGACATTTGCGCGCTTCTGGGTGATGTTGACAAGAGGAGTATCATCGTTGAAAATACGGAGAAGCATTGCACGACGCTCTTCTTTAGGAAGCATGAGGTTAACGGAATGCAAAGAGCGCCACAACGGAAGAACCATTCGCTCGCTATTTAGCAGTTAGTTAACTTAATTCAAGATAACATGGTTGAAAATCGGTTACACATACCTGAAGCCAGTCTCAGAGGAATCAGGCTCGATGTACAGGATACTACAACCCATCGGGATATCCCTCACACGCGCGCCAATTTCTCCCAGCTCCTTCCATCCCTCATCGTCGACCTTGGGGAACATCTCCACAAGCAGTCTCCGCATAGTTTCCTTCCGCTTAAGGGTAACCGCTCTGCCAGAGCCTAGCCATGGCTCGAGGACTCTCAGACCGTCGGTCTGGATACGCCAAGGGCACACACCCGGGCGCTGCACATCTTGCTTCACGAACATTTTGACACCACAGTGGACGATCTTCATGCCCTGTCCCTCATTTGCGGTCAGGATGTCGCGCGCCAATGCGCTAGTGTAGTAGATCGTTCTAGCTGGGATTGCCTGTGCGTTGCGGACCATGAATCGATCTCTAGGGAACCGGTCTGATCCTTCGTAGAAGTCGAAGATAGGTTGGATTTCGACATGATTAGGATCTAAGTACTTGAAAGGCTCCTCGATGGGCTGGCCGGGCTTCCGTTTCTGGGGAGGCTGAACCTTGACTTCACCCGTTGCTGGTTTAGCAGTCTCAAGAGGTACCGGTGTAGAAGTAACATCCGATGTATCCATACTATCCGATTCGGCCACAGGAGCCGGCCGATGAACGGGTCGATCACCCACAACTACTTCAGAACCACCGTCGAGTTTAGTTCTCTTGGCAGGGATCTCATCCTCCATGCTCTCTGCGTCCCTTTTCGCAGGGGACATCTGGTTAGTAGCCGAATAAGGTGGTTGATGGCTAGCCTCTGCAACAGTAGCGTTCTTCTGGGCCTCTTCTGCACCCTCCTTATCAGGAGTAACCATATCATCTAAAGTATCAATCTTCTCCAAGGGCTGCCCGTTACCATGCTTCTGCTTGAATTCAAGTTCCTCCGCAAGCGCGGCCACGGTTCCTTTAGGAATGACCTTCGAGGAGTCCTCTGGCTTGGCGCGAATCTCGGACAACTTCTCCAGGACAGTGATGAAGAACCCACCAGTATCCTGAAGGTGGGGGTAGATACGAACACACCTCTCGAGGGGCAGGTCCGCGTTCTCACCAGTGGGTGGGAACATGCCTGCGGCGACTCTACCAAGACCACTGATACCTTCACGTGATCTGTATTCCTCGATTTCTTCCCAGGTGTTCCACATCCTTGTATCGCGATCCATAACCTTCCAAGAGCGCAATCCAGGAACTCTCTTCAGGCCCGGCAATTCGCTGCTGCAATCGACAATACGCACATTGGCGGCACCACCACAGCGCTCAATGGCGCTAGCAACGACAGCTTCGTTTTCAACCGGGTTCATACTGCAAGTCGAATACACGACGCGTCCACCGACCTTCAACATCTGCAGAGCACGCACAAGGATGCGGACTTGCGTAGCGTGCAATCCCAGAGCATTACCAGGGGTCCATTCTTTCCAAACGCCGATGTTTTTTCTGGGAGTTCCATCACCGGTACATGGTACATCCGCTAGGATACGGTCGAACTTGAGGTATTTGTTGTGGACTTTTCCACTAGGTCCGGGAGGCGAAGGAAGTTTGATTGAGGGGTACATTGTGGCATCATGGTTCGTGACAATCAAGTTGGGGGAGCTGAGTCGCTTCATCTGATGGATAAGCATGTGCGCGCGCTTGTAGTCAGTGTCATTGGCGATGAGAAGACCGGTGGTTCTACCATCATCGTTGAGGCCCTCAGGTCCCAGAGGCTCGGGTCCAGCAATTCCCTCCTTCACTTCTTTAGAAGCCTGAAGCATTGACTCTTCCTCGCCTGCATGAAGCATCTCCATGAGCTGTGCAGATTTGCTACCTGGAGCGGCGCACATGTCCAACACGGTCATGCCAGGTCTCACATCGAGCAAGAGCGGAGGGATCATGCTAACAACCTCCTGCCGACTAATACTTCCAACAGCGGTCTCGGCGACCAGGAATTTCTGGAAATTAGCGAACGGGGCGAAACGCCGAACAACCTGCTTGGGGGTCGTCATCGACCACGCGAGCTGATCGGGATACCAAGAGACCGGGCGAGGCGGCTCGACGAAGCTACCCTCATACTGAATCGAAGTGATTTCAGGGATGTAGAATTCCTTAAGACGCTCCTGGACTGCGAGGGCATGTCTATGAAGTCACGAATTAGTATCCAAGCTGTTTTTTATCTGCTGTGGACCATGCGCGCGAAGTCGCCGATAACGTACCCTCGTGACCCAGTGAAGCGGAAACTGTTGGGGAGATCTCTCCGGAGAGCCTCCCAGAATTCCTCCCTTTCTTCCTCGGGAATAAATCCTTGCTCGTTGTAAAAGCGCTCGAATTTCTCGTTCGTCTTGGGGATATCGTTCCAGTTTTGGCGCTGCCCACCACCACGGCCGCCCTGACCCTGCGATAAATCATGGTTAGTTACTGAAATTGAAATAAGAATATCTTAAGTACTGAATAATTGGTCTGAGTTATGTCTCACCTTCTTTCCACGCTTACCCATGGCGCGGAGGAGATATGATTTGAATTGAGGAAAATAAGGTTACAGGGAATTTCTCCGCTGCGGAACGATTATCGCAAATGCTTGCGGAAGCTCCAGAAAACATCCCACTCCGGATTATCCATCGGGCCGCGTTAGATAATCATGCCGTCCTCTTTAGGTTTAGACAAGCTGCGGAGCCCTATCTCCAACGACTTGAAGGTATGTAAAGCACAAGGAGATGCCGACACGGCCCACCAGGCTGTAGAATGAACCAACGATTGAGCTGGCATTAATATCAGAGCCTCTTGTTTTCAGTGTGATAATAGATACACTAAAAGTGAACTAGAAGCTTAAGTATTAGGGATGTAACTTGGTACTCTATATATCTATCTCTATCTGTCTAAGTACTTTTCTAAGAATTCATACATAGTATTCAATCAAATCTACACCTCTTTGCTATAGCATATATAATGCAAACGACTATAACCGTCGTCATCATCCCCGATAAAGTATCATCCCCGACCACTAGCAATGAACGCCCCGAGAAAGCAAGTATCCGCCCAGATCGAAGATGTTACTTTCATGGACTGTCCCTTCTCCTCGAAGGCTCAGGTGCAACCATAGGCCAGAATGCCCCTATCCAAGGCATCACTGATCCGTACAAGGAGCGTCGATGGGCATTGTAGCGCCTAGCTGGTGCATTCAGAGTCATCGCTCGCAAGGGCTATCTTGAAGGAGCCGCCGGTCACATCTCCCTCCGCGACCCGTAGATCTCAACACCTTCTGCATCAATCCTAATGAAAGTGAGCGATTTAGTCCAGGTAAATATGAAAGGCGAAATAGGCGGTGGAAACCACGTAATGCCCTCATTCTCTTCCTCAAAAGCATATCTCATCCCACACCGTACCCTTATCTGACGGTTCACTAAATAGGTAAGCATCAACAACGCTGACTTCAACATCCACTCCGCACTGCACCAGGCCTACCCCGACGTCAACGCAGCATGCCATTCCCACAGTATCCCCGGAAAAGCCTGGTCTCGCTTCGGGTGAGCGCTGGAGATGCTGAACCAAGATGCCTGCACCTTCTACAACAACCACAAAGTGTATGACATGTTCGGCAGGGTCGCCTTTGAGGCTAACGAGGGCGAGAGAATTGTAGCAGCGTTGGGCAATATGCGATGCTCTGTCTTGAAGGATCATGGACTTTTGACGACGGGGAAGACTGTCGGTGAGATAGCGTTCCTGTATTCTCTAATGGAGAATTCCTGTCGCGTGCAGCTGCTGGCTGAAGCGGCCGCCGCATCGGAGATTGAGAAACATATCTGTTCCCAAGAGGAAGCGGAGTATACGTATCGGATAACGACGCCCGAGGCTTATGTTGTTGGAGTTTCAGCCTGATTACGAGTTTAAGTTAGCTGTGTCTGGGGAAACTTTTTGAGATAGTGGTAGGTGTACAGTAGAGTAGTTGGTATAAGGTGAACAATATCGAGTTTACAGTGACTTTATCTGCGGAATATTTACTTGATTCCAGATCTAGTCATTTAATGATTCATTACTCCCTAGCTAAATAAGATATTTCATTTACAGAACTTCGGCATGGAGAAATACAAACTGTTTCGCCTTGAGAAGATGATACAAAGGCTGAAGCTGGGAGGACCGATAAATAATTGGCCACATCCCGATGCCTTCGGAGTTTCTTGCCTTGTGTTCTATTCCAATAACAACTAAAACTCACGATTATTAAGACTGTCGAAGGTATTACAATGGCCGCAAGACACTGTCTTGAAAAGGTTACGCATAAATACTAAGCATCTTCTTTCCAGTGTTTGCATTGGCTATTGTGAGCATCTACATTACCGCGTTGGCAGAGGTTATGTGGATATATCGAGAAAGTAGTATCAAAGATATCAAGGCCAATTGGCAGACAACTCACAGATCGAGTTTCAAGTCTCATGTTTGTCATTAGAGTCAAGGCCCTCATCCAGTATTATGACCATATGGTAGTGAACTTACTCAGAGATCTAGAAGTTTTAATAATACTCGAATAGTTTTATTGATCTAATATAAATGAAGAAGTATAATAAGCCTCCCAGCGAAGATTCCTGTAAAAATATAACTATCGAATAAATATTCCATCTTGATCCGGTTATTCCCTCGAAAGACAAAGATATCCCAATATAGTAATCCTACATACTGAACGAGGCCACAGCCAGCCAACGTAACTTAAACTCCTTTACAGAGCTTGCCTGTGTCCAAGTCATAATGCCACTTGTCGCTACCCACCCCCGAGAGAACAAACAGACTCTCGTTTGGATCATATTTGGACTTGACCTCGACCAAACGATCATAGTTCGAGCCGTAAAAGTCTTGCTTGAAGTTGGTGGTATATGGATTAGCCTCATTCATGTACGCGCCCGAGCCAGGCGACCATTCCCTCCACATCACCTCCCTGGCCTCGTACCAGCGAGCCGCATGTTCGAGCGCTAATTTAGGTGAGCCTGCGGCAAGAGGGTCAACTGTAGCGCCGTTGGAGATGAAATGCAGGTACGTCGAGCGCCACGCCGGAAGCAACGCGCCCCATGCTTCTTGCGGCGTGTTTCGTACACCAGGACCACCCTGAAGACCAATCGTCGCGAAAGTCCCGGCTGTTTCGTTTTGCGAGCGCATGGCTGTCTTGAGGTAGGCAGTTCGTTTGTGGCGAGGGGTATCGATCAGCTCAGCCCGTCCTAACAAACGGCTGGATACTACACTCTGTCCGCCGGCTGCTTCGCTACCGGAAATGGCGCTGAAGAAAGAGGAATAGTTACCTGCGGAGGATGCACGGAATGAGACGGTGAGGCTGCTATTTCCGCCAGCCGCACGAGTGATGTTTGACAAGATGGGGTTGACGAGCGCTTCCATGGCCGAAGGTGTTGAGTTGAAGGACCAGAGGGCCTGTTGGATCACTGCACCAGCTGTGAACTTCTTGAGAGATGCAAAAGACCTGGCACTTTCACCTGTTGCTAGCATACATGCACCAGACAGACCGGCATCCATGAGGTCCGGAAGAGCTGAGAGATAGGTCACGGCTGCATCCCAGGACAGCTCTGCACTACGGTTGCTGCTACCCTTAGGTGCAATCAATAGATTCCCCATGGTCACAGTGCTAGGTGCGGGATGATGTCGGATGACATACTCCGTGACAACGCCATAAAGACCAGGGCCACCTCCACGAAGCGCCCAAAACAAGTCCTGGTGCTCAGCGTCGTTGGCTATCAAGACCTTACCCTCTGTTGTCACAACCCTCATTTGGAGAACGTGACTAGAGGCAAGGCCATAAGTACTAGAGAGGGGACCATGACCGCCGCCCTGGATGTAGCCGCCGAGCCCAACACTAGGATCCTGGCCAGTGGTGACCACTCTTCCCTGCTCTAGGGCTTTGGAAAGCACATTTCCCCATTGCTGACCACTGCCTACAATGAACACGTCCTCGGAAAGATTAGTAGACGGATGCAACCAGGATCTACGTCGCTCAATTTTGCGCAAGTTATGGGTCCAGATAGACAGGGCAAAAGCACCACTGGATCTAAATGTAGATGAACAACTACGTCAGCGAGCATTTCGCGGCCAACTCCAATGCAACGTACCTTCCGTTCAGGTCATGACCGGTTCCTTTCACAACTATGCGAATATGCCGCTTCGCAGCCCATTTCATTGCCGTTGAAATCTGCTCCTCGGTAGTCGCGCTCACGACGTATCCCGGTAGACCTCCAGTTGTACAGCCTCTTTCCTTAGCGTAGCCCGAAGCTTCCGGTGGCAGGCAAGAATTGTTCGCATAAATCGGGTAGTTGATCGCTTCGGGAAGCCCTGATTGCCACATTGCGTTGGACCAGTTCGATTGGACAGTACCACAGGAGACGGGTGATCCAAACGGATTCCCAGGCCAGCAGGATGAGGCAACTGGTACTGTGCGTAGAAGCCGGCCATCGATAGAGGCGTTCAGGGATGTCCAGTCTGCATCGGAAGGCCATGTTGGGTCGGACGGGATCACTTTGCAAGCTGGTGACGCAAATGCTGGTGCGGCAAGGATCAGTGCCGACACGAGGATTGAGAACATAATGAGTGAAGCAAAGACGATCCTCGAGCCGGGATTATAGAAACGTAAGGTCAATGCAAGGCAAGTATATATACCTGGATGGTCTGCCCGAGGTCCAGGTGATGAACCATTGTTCAGCAACCAATGGGATACTACTGGATCAGGAGGACCATGATGATGCGTAAAAATCAAGGTATGACCGTTTCATGCGCCATTAACGGCCCACCCTGCTCTGAACTTTCTCCAAGGCAGCCTTATTTAGAAGAGTGCTAGTTCTGGGCAGTGCGACGAATACGACAGATTTTCCTGAATAGGAAGTCCAATAGGGTTCATGGACCATAATCATGGATGACTGCCGATCATCGCTGCATAATGCAAGATCGGTGGTTACGCGGAATCGTACTCGTATTGTGCCTGCATCTGAAATAAGGCAATGCAGAATACAGTCTATACTTAGTCATTGTGTATTATGTATGTGGTCTCTCACTAGGACCTGCTCTTCTAGTGAATAGAGAAAATCTATAATCCGAGGCTTGGTGATACAACTGTAGCAGACTAAGGAGTGGACCTCTAGAGAGCAAGAGTAGACCTAACACCTTCTAGAATACACAAAGATCTCGAAACATCAATGTACAGTATCTACGACGACCTTCTTCGGCCAGCTGCCTCCCTAGTAGACAGCAACTCATCATACAGCGAACACAATTCCTCTACATCAATCCGCATGCTCTCGTCCTTCTTACTAATCCACTCCGCTTCAGCCCACTTCGCCTCCTCAACCCGCTTCGCAGGCTTCTTCCGCATAGTACTCATCAGAGACCGATAAATGCCCTGGTTCGGATAAGCAATGAGCCCCACTGTTGCCGCCCCAGTTTTGACCGTCATACTAACTACTCCCTTGGCCAACCCTTTGGCCACTCCGAGAGCACCCTGCTCCTTCTTACCCCGGTACGTATGCACAAAAATATCAGTAACACCCTCGTACACACCGTGTGTAAACGTAGACCAGGCCACAACCGCGCCACTTCTCCAGTCCTTCACCGGGTCATGCACTCGTACCTCCTCGCCGTACAGTCGGGGCACGGCTCGCATGCCTTCGACGGCGGCGAGAGGCAGGTCTACAAGAGCGCCGCGTGAGGAGCGGCCGAGAAAGATACCCAGACTAGTGGCCGAGGCGAGGGCCATCTGCCGGGCGTAGTCCGGGTCATCAGAATTAGGCTTAGGGTCTGAAAGGGGTTGTGATATTTCTAGTGTTGCTAGTTCTGTCGTGGAAGGCGCCTTGGAGACGTCTCGACTGCGGCTATATCGGAGACGTTTGTATTCCTTGTATGGATCGATGAAGATGCCGGCTGTGGCGTCAGCCATGCCAGTAAGGGTAGATAACGAGGCCGAGGAAACGGCCGTGAGTGGATCCCATCGACGAATATCAATTATGAATGGCTTTGTTTTATACCTAATTATTTTCCCCGCGGGTTAGTCACTAGGGGGGAGGTGTTCTCGTGCTCCGAGATCAAGCCTGCATGCTTGGGACTTGACTTACAGTTTAAGATGCTTCTCCTGGAGACGCCCCTGGTGTTTCAGAATCCATGCGGAAACCTTTGACAATTTGACGGCTCGCTTTCCTTTCTTGAAATGCCAGACGGCTGGTTCGCTGGGTATGATATCGCACGGCATCTTGTGTCTCGGGAGATGTGCATGAAACGAGTCCACTGCTGCACGAACGCCACACTCCTGGCGCATTCTGTCGGCGATGGTTTTCGCCACGGCAGTAGCCTGTGGAGTGAGGCAATAGGTGATGGCGTCCGCCAAATTCTGTGCGGTGAGTGCCTTGTAGGGAATAGGCTCCGGGCCGGCACCCGCAGCCGCGATCATATTGCCCCAGAAAGGTTGACTGTGGTGCGAAGTTAGTATCATAAGAACCTAAGGTTATGAGAGGGGAAAGTACGGACTCTCCGAAAAAGGGAATTATAGCGGTCGGTTTTCCATTTCGCAGGCCACAAGCGGTTGTGCCGGCCCCGCCATGATGAACAACAGCAGCCACATGTTGGAAAAGCCACTCGTGTGGACAATCGCCGATGTAATGAACGTTTGGAAATTCCCGGCGTTCCAAATTGCTCCAGCCGCAGGATATGATGGCTCGTACCCCGGTCTCCTGGATAGCTTCGAGTAAGATGGACAACGTCTTTTCCACGTCCTCGAGAACAATGCTACCAAAGCCGATATAGACCGGTGGCGGGCCAGCATGCAAGAAAGCATCAAGCTCCGTTGGGGGGTCGTAAGCTGGCGGTTCACGAAAGAAGAACCCGCAGACATCTGCACAGTTAGCCAGTATTAGGAACAGGTGAGTTTTATCGTTCATACCTATATTAGAACCCCAGTCGTTAGGCTTCGGGATCAGCGCAGGTGACCAGCAGTATGTGAATGGCACGTTGAGCACTTCTACAAGATTTGGGCCCTCCGTCGTGGGAACGGGATCCAGACCGAGAACGTTCTTGCGCCAGGTATTGATCAAATCGCCTAAACTGGGATATATTAGCTAGAGCTAGAGTGACAAACAGTAGAGGTATAACAAAAGAAACAAAAGACGAACCCTTGCCATGTCAACCACTCCACAAAATGGTAGGAGATTAGGTTCCCCAGCGACGGGTCATTGCCAGAATACTTTAAATTCGCAAGGGGGTGATGAAAGGCCCTGGTACTCGTCCAGGGCATCGTAAACATGAGATGGACGGGGACCCCAAGTGCCTGCGCACAGTGGATATGGGCGAAACTCGGTGGGTTTGCAATGATGGCATCCGCCACGAATGGAGCCTCGTCATGCGGATCCGGCTCTAGACACGACCGCCAGCAGCCGTCCAGAATCTCCGCCATCAAGGCACGCTTCCGCTGGATGTCGCCCGCCCGCAGACTCTTGATACTTGGGATCAGCCCGGGATTGCGAACCATGTAGGACATAAGCTCGACAGGATCGCCACCAATGGGGTAGAACTCGAGGTCAGCAGTCTTGACGAACTGCTCAAACTTGGCATGCGTGGCTAGCCGTACGCGGTGGCCGCACCTTTGCAATGCCTGACCCAGCGCGACAAAGGGCTGGACATCACCTCGGCTGCCTACTACTTGGATCACGATGTTGAGGTGAAGATCCCAGGCAGGCGGTACGGATGGGCCAGCCTCTTCTCCCGTCGGGGTCGCCTCGGCGGCATGATTCCCCATCAGCCATTCTAGATTCTGGCTAAACCGTGACCCAATACGAACATCTACGCGGCCATCGTTCGTTGATGATAATTCTCGATATGGGGGCGCAGGAAATGGAAATCCTACCGAAGGAGTCTCTGAGTTGCTCCTCGTCGGGCCGCTATCTGTGGGCAAGCTAGACTCGTAAGGCGGAGGAGGGTCCCAGCTGCCATCCTCAGCGGCGAGGTTCCTGACATCAGCCATCTTCAGCACTCTAGAAAGCGCATCGGGACAGTTCTGCCAGTCTTCACAAATCTATTGAGATCTAACTTGAGTACATGCAGGGGACAAAAGTAGAAGGATGGACAGACAAAAAAGTAAGTACAAAAAAAAGCAAAATAGAAGATCCACTCATGATCAAGAGCCATGGACAAGCTTATGTACAACCATACTCCGTAAACCGATAAGTTTTAGCCTACGGATATCCACCGATCAAGACATACGAACACGACAAGAATACTTAAAACAGCTAGCTCAATGACTGTAAGCGGCAACAATTATACGAATACATCAAAATTCCCTATTCGGGAAGCGCTAGCCCTAAAATAGAGCTCTTTCCAAGTTCTTAAATATATAAAGATCAACCGTATCAATACTCCAAGTACATTTAAAAGCACAATAGGACCCCTGGAAAGACCAACCCGGGTCTCTACTCCATCTACTTAGTCCCTTATAAGCCAATACAGTACTCACTCTTACTTTCACTAGTTGAAAACTCCCACTCTCATTCCCACCCATCTACACAGTAAACAACCAACCATGCCCAAAACCAAACCCCCAACCCGAAAACTCGACCAATACTGGCACAAGCCCGGCATCTGCGGCCTCATAACCCGATCCACCCTCCGCACCCTCCAATTCACCTTCGCGGTCATCATCTCCGCACTCTACGGCGTTGACCTCGCCCACGCAACAAAAACCAACACCCATGCCTCCTCAGAATGGATCTACGCCGAATTCGTTGCCGCAGTATCCGCGCTCACCTGTATCATCCATTGCTTCGTCACGGTAATACATGTCGCATGGTCAGCGTGGGATGCAGTGCTATTCGTGCTCTGGCTGGCGCAGGTTGGCAGGTTGGGGTCGATATATGTGTCTGATGTGCAGGGTGAGTATGAAGATGCCACGATGTCGATAACCCGCATGCGGGTTGCGGTGTGGATTGGACTGGTTAATATGGTGTTGTGGCTTGGGACGACGGTTTTGGGGGTTGCATGGTGTGTGAGGACGAAGAAGGCTACGAGGAGGACGGATCTGGTTGAGGGGGGTAAGCAGGAGATTTTGAGTGATGTGGAGCGTGTTGCTGTGTATGTTGATAGGAGGACTCCGGTTGGAGTGGTTGGCGAGAAGGGTGTTGAAGGGGGTAAGGGTGAGAAGATGGTGTCTGAGAAGGGAGTGGATTGTTGAGGTCGGTGTTGAAACGCTCTTCACTTATACGCTCTATTGTCCGGTTCAAGTTGATTTTCAGTGCTGGTTGGCCCATCATTTACAAGCTCAGTGTGCTATTGGGTTATACAAACACTGTCCATTATTGATGTTACCTTGATGATGGGATTTATTCTGTACGGGTGCGTGGGCGTTCAAATGGGTTTGAGAAGACAATGGGTACGGGGACAATGCTGGCGATGGTTTTCAACCGACACTCACGAAGAACTCTCTTGTTCTCATCTCATTGGATTCAGTTGTTACGTCTAACGCAATGTGATGGATGAATTCATGGCACAACAGCCTCTGGCATTTTCGCTAATGATCGTTTCCAAGAAGTCTCTGCATAGATTCATGCAACCACTACTAAATTACAAAAAGGGGCCGGCGAATCGTTTTCTAAAGGTACACATCAAGGTTTAGTATGAGCCTAGCTAGCTCTTTCCGGTTCAATGGAGAAATACCAGGACTATCGCACCACGAGATCAAAAATCATAGCATAACATCATGATCTAAGCTTTCTCAACATGTTCATCAACACCATGATGTTTTTCTGAGCCTTCATCAGTCGGCACGCTCATGCGTCTCAAAGCACCAGTATCTGTGACAAGGCTGCGACTATGTCCATGCCTTTTTCTCTCCTTCTGGAGCTCCTTCGATAGCCGTACAGCGCCTTCGTCCAGATTCGTGAAGAGATAGTCGATCTCCTCGAGAGTGAAGTTAGCAGTTTCAGGGTAGCAGAAGTATACAAGGGGAACAAAGGCGAAATTGGTGCACATGAAAATAAGATATGCCTTCCACTGAAGACGATTGATAATCACTGGGGTGATCATGACGACGAAGAAGTTCTGCTACTCATTAGTATGCTAGAATTGTTGTCGGTTGACAATTCTCGGTCTCAGGAAGACTTACCCAGATCCAATTCGAAGAAATCCCAACAGCGGTTCCCTTGGCCCTAGCATGAAGGGGCAAAATCTCCGGAACATAGACCCAAGGAATGCAGTTAACCGATGCCCCAAAGATAAGCATGTAGATGAAGAAGAACGCAACTGACGCGGAAGAGGTAGCATGTTCGTTTTCCTTGCCCTTGAAACTGAGAAGGATCGAAACCATCATCATGCAAACACCGAGGCCGAACGAACCCCAGATCATGGGCGTCCTACGGCCTACTCTATCAACGAAGAAGGTAGGGAACAAACTACCAATAACAAACATGATCTGAACACAGCCTCCAATAATCATGGAGAGGTTCCTGCTAAGCCCGACATTATTTTTGAGAACCGTGGGGATGAAGTATCTACAGTTGTTAATAGGATACTTAGCGAAGATTAGTAGAAGACATACACGATAAGGTTGATACCGCCGACCTGGTTCATGAACTGCATTCCATAGCCGAGGAGACTGCGTTCTTGTTAGTTAAGTGCCGATATGAACTTTGTATAGGAACTTACACTCTTTGGCCTGTACAGACGTCGTCGCGCTTGAGGATATTTCTATGACAAGTGAGCTTCTAAACTTCACGTTATCGAATGAAAAAGGCGGGCTTACCTCCACTTGTACTCTCCATGCTTGGTCTCAATAGCGATAGCCTCGAGGATCTCCAACTGTTCGGCTAGAATCCTTTCATCATCTTTTGGCCGGCCGTACACATCACTCAGGATTTGCAACGCTTCATCATGGCGGCCTTCCTTGTAGCAATACCTAGGAGACTCGGGAAGGCCGAAGACAAGAATAATGACGACCTTGAAACTGTTAAATCAAACCCGGTTCAATTAAAATCGGAGAACTAACGAAACCAAAGATCATCTGGCAGGCGATTGGTAATCTCCAAGCAATTTGTCCCCCGACAAAGCTCATCCCGTAGTCGAAAAAGTAACTATAAGCAGTAAGCCCGAGTCCCGCTCGTATGTTAAAAGACATAATTGCCTGATCACAATACCCACACCGACCAGTAAAGGCTCACTACAAACGAGTTTTCCACGCTTCGAAGCCTCGCAGAGCTCTGCCTGATACATAGGCACAGTAGACGTTTCAATACCGGTGCCAATTCCCGTAACGAAGCGGCCCACCATAAGATGCGGAACGGAGAAGGCGGATGTTTGCAAAGTGGCACCGATCTAGCGACGAAATTAGCAACTGGGCGATTGGAGTGTAACTCTCTCATCTCCAAGTGAACTCACAATCACCCACACCATGGCGAGCCACATTGCTCGTCTCCGTCCTATCCAATCGCCTATCACGAAATTTAAAATGCAACCGGTAAAGCATCCCAGGTTGTATATAGACACAATGATGCCCATCAGGCTGTCTCCCGGGTGATTCATGGTATCAAGGAAGTCTTCATTTTCAACAATTCCCGAGAAGACCCCTTGGTCGTATCCTGCGAGCCGGGTTAGCGATTTCCTCGACGTAAAGATGCCATTAAATTGAGGGTGATTACCGAAGAGAATGAAAGCCATTCCACACGCTGCCCAGATGGCAGCTTGCAGGGTGAACCCCGTCCCGAATATATTGACCTTCACCATAGTGCTTCCCAGTATATGGTAGGTCTATGGAAGGATGTTCTAGAAAAAGCACCTGTGGGAAGAAGAGAAAGAAGAAGAAAAAATCCGCATGGCGCAAGGAGTACAAGGGAAGGGATAGATAGGATTTATACTTTTTCCAAATCGAGGTAGGAATATAGACTTATTTTGAACCATCGTATAGGTCTCGTGTGTCATTGACCATACCGCAGAGAAGTACCCCGGATGCAGATGCAAGACCCGCCCGAAGAGGCAACCCGAGCCACACGTTACCCCAGAGTTCGGTACTACCCCGCAAGTCTCTAACCTCAATGCGGGATATACTTGAGGGATCTTCAGCGACTACTCGTGTTCTGAGACGTCACTGCCGCTGTTTGTTCCGATTCTCCAAGGGGATTGTGGGGCCAATGGGCTGAAAGAATTCCAGTCTAACGAAGGTAACGCTGCCATTGGGCCAAATCGATACGGCTCATCGGTTAAACCATGAAAAAAATAAGGAAATCAGATAAAGAGAGTATCGGGGAACTACCGACTTGAAAATACTCCAACTACGCCCGGGCGTACTAAGGGTAGTGCCCCTTTAGGCTAATTAGAAGAGTGGTGGACCCTATACCCTATCAATTCTTCACAAAGGTCCGACGTCTCTTCTGTCCGCAAACACCACTTTTGTCCTGGTGTCTTTTCCGATGACACCCAAGATATCCGCCCAATTCCGAATTACCCATGTTATAAAGAAACAACTATTGGCAGATTGACTAATGTGTTCCATTGAGCCTCCCCTGAAGCGGCGACGAGTCTCTAGCACCGTTTCGCAACATCCACATCCCACAGAGGAAGAGCCATCCCCGGGTCCAGCTGCCAGTGATATATCGCATTCTATTACAACCGATCACAAAGAGTCTCAACCACTTTCTTCGCAAAACTATAACGGCAACAGTCAGAGCCCTCCCGGAAGTTGGTATCAGGACGGCTTCGCTCAAGATCCAGGTTTCCTCGCCTCCCAGGAAGAACTACGATGTATTCTCTTCTCGCTGGCTTACTCTGCTGCTCCAACGCGTGCAACTAGCCCCGATGCGGGAATCCTAGACAGTCTCTGCGATAGAGGGACAGATAAGCTTGGTTTTGGCTTCATTCCCCAAGACCACGGGGAAGAGCAACAAGAATCTGACCGACCACCTCTGTCAAGTAATAAGCGTATAAAATACCTGAAGAACTATGTGACCCAGGTAGCTCCATGGGTAAGTATAATGTGTGCGTCACTCTTAGTATATTCACCCTAACAATTGGCCATCGGCAGCTCGACATGTTTGACTCGCAGTGCACTTTCCGTCAGCAGCTCCCTGCACTCGCACGGACATTTCCCGCACTGTCCTACGCCATTCTTGCGATCTCAGCCCGGCATATGGAACGCAAGTATGGTGTCCAGGATCTTTTCGATAGCCTTGAGCTCTACCAGGAGGCAATAAGGCTCCTCGGCCCTGTACTACAAATACGCGATCCGAAAATTGTCGCCGCATGTGTACTACTGTGCTGCTTGGAGATGATGTCCGCTCGAGCGCAGGATTGGCACCGTCATCTTGAAGGCTGTGCGGCTTTATTTGATGCCTTCGAGATTCACGGATTCAGTAAAGGATTACTCCAAGCTGTATTTTGGTGCTATGCCAGGATGGGTAAGTCTTCCTCCCCGGGCCTGATCTTCAAGTCTATTTATGTACAACTTTTGACCGTTTACTCAGATCTCTGTGGTGCACTCATCTCGGATGGTACCCAAACTACACTTCTGCATCCTTCCAAGTGGCTGCCCCCCGGCTGTCAAGAAGAGGACGCATATCGGTTGTTCCAGGATGTTAGATCGCCTGACATGCATGCCAATTATGCCGTGTATTTGTGCATGAGAGCAACCGAGCTCGTCTCGGATCGCACTAAGTTTGTCGAGTTGCAAGAGCAGAACGGCTGTACCCTGGAATTATTCTGCTTGCGTTGGATGCGGCTGTGGAACGAACTACAAAGGTGGTTCTCGGAACGACCGAATGAATTATTGCCAGTCCAGACAGTCAACCGCAAACCCTTCCCACATATTTTGTTTGTTCAATGGGCTGCCATTTCTTCGAATCAACTTTACCATACGGCATGCCTCCTGTTGCTCAAAATGATGCCAAAGGGCACCAGATTGCCGCGAGCACCTAATCTGTCTATGCTATGGCATGCGCGACGTATCTGCGGCATTTCTTTAGCAAACCCACATCAAGGGTGTCTAAATAACGCCATACAGCCGCTGTGGATTGCGGGACGGCTATTTAGCCATGTGTCGGAGCACAAGGAGATCACGAAGCTGATTCGAGACATTGAAGCTGAAACGGGGTGGGGCACGTGTTGGCGGATTCGAGACTTGGATATTGCTTGGGGCTATAGTACCCGCCGAGGTGCGATATATGACCATAACCAACACATCTCTACACCCCGTAAGCCACAGGGAGCTTAATAAATATCGCACGCTCTGGCGGCCATACCAGTACTCACATCCCGTCGAGAAACGACCACTCCTCCTTGAGGTGGGTTAGATACTTACCGGTATCCCAGCCAGTGATTACATGAATTCGATCAAAGGCTTGCAAAATCTCCTGTTGCTGTGATTCGTGCGTCATATGCTTCGCCGCGACAAGCATAGATGCAAGCAGGCTTGGGTCCCAGCTCTCACGAGCGTCGTTGTTCAACGCGATACCGCAGATACGATGAGCATGCCATAGAGGAGACAGAGCCGGAGACTGAGGGTGGTTCAGCAGTGCAGTTCGCGGCTTACGTTGGAGCAATAACAGCATTGTGGTATGGTATATCTGGTTACTGAAAGTCCCAGCTCCGTTCGAAAATAGCAACAAGGGGAATTCACTCCCTTGATTAAGTGTCTGGTCTCTCTCATCAATCTCTACTATTGGTTGGAACTCTAGGGGTCGCAAGTGGTACCACTGGTCAAGTTCCCCAAAAGTTTGCAACCAGCTTTCCATCACCTCGTGCGAAGCCGCAAGCGGGTGAGGGGTGGCTTCTTGGTTGCATAAAGTGAGAGCTTTTCCACATAACCACAAGATAACGTGGGCATAATGGCTGACCCTTTCATATGTATCTTCGGTACGACAGATTAATGATAGGCTGGGAACCGGGAGCATCGGGAGCGAAAGCCGAAGAGGAATATCGTTTGCTAGTGCCACTCCTAGGTCTGTCAGATATCATGTCAGCTAGTGTTGGCCTATTGTTGAAACCACTGTGGCAGAAAGTATAGCATTAACACACCTATACGTAAAAACATCCAGTAAACAGCTGACAAAATGGTTTTGCTGTACGCATACTGAACCAAAGGATCAACAAGGGAAACATCCCTATTCACCAAGTCGGTCCAAGCTTGGGAAACATTTGTGACCAAAGACCGAACTTCTTCAATAAGGATTATCAATATACATTCCGTGAAATCAGGATGGTCGTTGTCTAGTTGGCTTAATTGGTGCCTCTTTCGAAGGCTCAGCTGCCCGAGGCTTGGTCTGTTCCATTGAGCCGGTTGGATGATGCAGGTTTCGGAAAGCCCCAATAGGGCAGAGAGGAGCTGCTCTGAGCTTCTTGCCGTTTGAAATACGGCAATACCGAACGGATGCCTTAGATCGCAAATATCAAGCTAATTATTTGCAAAGCCGCAGTTAGAAAAGCTTCAATCACAAATTGGCGACGAAGAATGTCCTTACCCAAGGAGCGACATGGTACCGATAATGGCGGAGAAGCTCCAACCTGCGAGTTTCAGATACAGTACTGGGGGTCGCAGTTACGGAGGAGGATAGTCCAGTAGCACTGAAGTGTTCAGTTTCGTCTATAACGCCACTAGTTGTTGTTGGTGGTGCACTGTCCTTAACCTCCCAAGGTCCGGTGTTTACAAGCGATGACAACGCGACAGGGGCGTTGGACAATGGTAGATCGGTGGACTTCGTCATGATACTGTTCAAACTGGACCCCGATCCTAAAGCTAGCAGTCCCTGGGCGGCATCATCGTTATCTCGATGAGGTGCTCCTCCATCTGACAGATGGGTGTCCAGGGCTCCAGCCCAGAGTGGTAAGTGCAAAGTATCCTGGCGCATACTATTCCCATGATCATGGGGCTCAACCAAGCCAATTTGGCTATCCCTTCTATCACCAGCAATAACTTCCGGGCTATCTACAGGATCACTCAGAGGATGCGTCTCCGAAACGCTGACGATGGGGGATGGAGAATCGTCCACGGAAGCATCTGTGGTACAACCTAGAGGGACTTCTTTGACAAACTGAACCCGGAAATCAGTATGTACCCGGGTGATTCACTATTAGAGATATGTAGCCCAACTTCAGACTGAAAACTTCGCTACCTACTTTAATCTTGTCATAGTTTCCTCCCCTCTTGGGCGTACGCAGTTCACTTTCAGTCACTGTAAAAGTGTTCTTCTGCAGGAAGCTAACCTGCAAGCCATATCGGCAGTCTAGGTTCTTATCGATGCAATTTTGGCAGCACGGCTTCCCCTCGTCGCCTATGTATTAAGCCAAATCGTAAATGAGTGCCGCGCTACACGTCTCATCACAAAAAAGTATATTAGAACTCACACTTCCGCCGTCGCTTGCGACACCGCAAGCATCCTGTCCTGCACCTTGTAAATTTGGGAGTGGATTTACTTGGAGAGCTAGAGTCATCCATTGGCGGGGGAGTGGGAAAGCTGAAGACGAGGTAGTATTAAGATTGGCAGATGTCCAGTGTCCACACGGGACTCCAGCGATCTAAATATGGAAAGCGCAAGCGTTGTCGGGTTTGTGGAGCACTTTTCCCGAACGGGCACTTCCCCACATCTGCGCTTCCAACTGCCGTCTTGGGTTGCGGGTTCCTTCATACTTGATATCAGCCCTCTGTCGCTCCTATTCTACATTCAGGCACAAAAACCATATCACAGCGTTTCCAATACTATCTCTGGGCCGTTGTTTTTCTATTGTCAAGTGGCATTCGTTAAATGTTAGGCATATCGTTAAGAGAAGCCAGCAACGGATTAACCATGCCCTTATTGAAAGCGAGACAACACAGCTCAGAAGCCCGCAACGACAGCGACAAGGTACATTCGAGCCTTGAGCATTTGCTAAAATAAATCGACCGAGGGGGGTCCTTCAGCCCTACGAAACTTTGAGCATATCCCACCAGACTAAATGACTTAGCAGATACTACGATAATCCTCCGTTCGAAGAAATGGGATCGTGAATATCTGATTCGACCGAGACGCAAGCTATTGACTAAAAACACCAGCTTAAATACTGGAAGTGTAATGAACAACATACCAAGCCTAATTAATGGGAGGGAGCTCTGACCCTGGGACCACTGGGTATTTTGGATCATGCTATTGCCATTCTCATTGTCTGGCATGATAGGTTTTAGGGGAGACTGGCAAATCCAGGCAATGCCTTACTTCCTTATCAGTATCACACCCCTACGTCTGGTTGCATTAGAGAAGGGACTGGGGGAATAAGTAGAAGTAGCTGGCCCACCCAGAGACACTCAACATAAGCGACATACTTGTAGAGCCAATAACAAGCCACCAAAGCCTTCTATGCAACATCGGGGACACCATGCGTAAGATTGCCATGTAGCTCCTCGAGAGCGAAATCATTGGGAAAGACGCCCCAGGCCACGAAGTGCCAACCAAGGAATTACAAATGGCCATCCGTGAATCGTACCGCGTGAAGCTGAGGACAACATAGGAAAGGGGTTAAGGCAAACATGACGCTGTAAAAAGTCTAGGTGGGTAATCCTGCAGTTTTAGCTAAGCATCTGTGGGCGTTCCTAAAGGGTAGCATTCACCCTACAAATATTTAAGGAGCAATGAGACAGAGTGAAAGAGGGTCTGAGCCTGTGTTATCTAACGTAGAGTTCCACAGGCCGCAGATTAACGAAATACGCGACTATATACGGAGTAAAAGGTAGTGTTGGGATTAAGCCAATGGAAGAGCCGTATCTCCTTAAGACCGACCCAGTCTGGGGTTACATTACTTGATAGATAATAGTTAGGAACAATCCAAGTTGGAGAGGGCATCTCTAACACAAGACCGTCGTGCATCAATGAAGCCTACCATTAATCCAAAGTTCTACATGATCCCCTCTTCTGAGGATGAAATTGATAAAGGGCCTGACAAGCCAGCCCAGTTGTGGGCTAGCAAGCTCAACGACTACTGAACCTGGAAAATCGCATCGTGTTTTAGCAGTCTTATTTCTTTATTCGCTATCATCGGCGTGCTTCTGGCGTTTGATGGCAAGGCCATCCCTGAATGGCCTTATGGCCTCACTATTGACTCAGTTACTATCGTGGATCACTCAGGTTTTGACGGCGTGCATGATCAGGACAGTAGCAACTTGCCTTAGCCAGGAAAAGTGGATCTATTTAAGAACTAACGAAAGGCCATTGGCGGATATGAATCTATATAACCGGCCGAGTAGAGGGTTCCTGGGATCTGCAGCATTCATATGGAAATCAAGGATGAGGTGGGTTTCACGGCTCCTTGTCAGTTTAGGTATTGGCAAAGACATGTTCTAACCTCTATCTCAGACAATCTGCAGCCATAGGTGCTATGATCACTGTTCTAGCCATTGGTGTAGGGCCGTTCATACAGCAAGATAGTTACACCGACAAGGTTAACATCGACACCCCTCCGACTACCGCCCGAAGAGAGGCGCTTAACGAAGGAAAGGCCATTCCTGGTGTAGATCCAGGCGACGTGCCATTGACATGGACCGGACCTCCTACATCAAAAATGCTGGCTGCTCTCTATGGGTCCTTCTTTTCCCTCCTAGACACCAATGATGTGGATACAATGGAATCCTATACTTCGATCAAGCCGGACTGTCCAACAGGGAACTGCGACTTCCAGCCATTCTAAACACTAGCTGTTTGCTCCAGTTGCAGTGATGTGACCCATATGCTGTCTCTGAACCAGGAACCGATGACTTGTAATCCCGAGTTCGTTCAACTTAGCCACTCCCTTCCTAATACATTGCAACTTAACATTACCGATGTCTCTGCATTCGGTATGTACCCCAACAACACTCTCGCATGCGAAAGTCTTCAACGCACCCAATGCAAGTATTATTTCGACAAAGACAATACGGGGGGTTATATTCTACCAGCCCTTCCTGGAAGTCAAGATTTCTGCTCTAGTGTTTTGTGGAACTTCTCTGCCATCAGAATTGCCATGGGGGCCGAACAGTTCAATTCCACCGCGACTCAATGTTCGTTGTATTGGTGTGTCAACACCTACTCTGTCAGCATGAAGAATAACAGGTTACAGGGAGAGTGTGGTGGATACCATGGTATAACGATGAATCTATGGAGTTCCGCCCTCCAAATAAACACAGCCTGACTTCCCTGTTCACCCTCGAGCAGACATCCACGTTGGTCCTATAATCATATGGCTCCAAGAAAAGCTAGAATTCAATAACACACTATCGGTTAAGCGCGGAAAGCATTGCAAGCAGGAAGAACAGGAAAAGTCATGGACCATTTTTCTGCTGGGGATCATTTCGATACGATAGCAAATTCGTAGGGGCCGATGCTGAAGTAACATAATCCTGATCTCTTCGACACACTTTCAGCGGCAATGGGCATGGTTGTAAGGAAGGCGAATATGACAGCTCGGGGGGCTTTTGATGGGCAATATGTGTACTATCCAGGCATCTGGCCGGCGCATGGCACATCATGGGTCATGCGGGCCAGTATTTTCGTTCACTGGGCGTGAATCACACTTCCTACTCTATTAGTCGTCTTGACTGTAATATTCCTCGCTATTACCACATGGCAAAGCAAAAGCCGGAGATTGGGCGTTTGGGAATCATCAATGGTCCCATTGCTTTGTTCCGGATTAGATCAAAGCATTTAGCAAGAGCTCATGGCAGTTGGAGATCCGGTGCGGATTGAAGGTCCTACGAATCAAGTACAGGTCCGGTTGATGGAGCACAATGATAGCAGTGGTTAATGGCAGCTTGAATCAACGGACAAAGTGGCCCATTGAAAGTATACTTCAAATGACACGATTTGGTTGATCCAATAAGCTTCGTTTCGGAAGAAACCTCCCACAACATCATGACTTACGGCCCCCTTCTTGCACCAGCTTCTGCTTACCGCGCAAACTACACTCAAAGTTTCTTTCGTCTAGCGCAGTGATATGATATTTATTCAAATGCTCTGGAAATGGTCTGGTAGCAAGCCACTATCAGGCAGAATCAATTTTCGGTATCTCGCTATGTCACGAGAAAAGCAATAATTGTGGACACTTCACAAGGCTGGTCAAAATAGACGAAGGGATTAATATAACTTAATATCGCCAAGACCAGCCCTCTGGGCAGGACGGTACCTAGAACGGGGCACCCTATAAGGGCCCAAGTCAGTCCACGAAGCTAGCTCAGCTCATTAGCATTAGCACCGCCGAGTCAAGGCCCCCGCTTACTGCAGCGCTCTTGCAGGCAGAAGGCAGAAATGTGAGAGAAAAATAAATAAAGGGAAAAGAAAGAAGTTAGAAATGCAGGAGCAGTCGTGATTAAACTCTGCCTCCTGCAAGGGGAGTCACGGGGCGTCCTCCATACCCTAATACCGGTTAGGCCAATCAACGGTGCAGAATCTCTTCAAAGAATTTAGTTTTTCTTAGTGACAGCTTCAGCGTTGCATTCCATTACTGATCGGAATTCAACCGCGTGGATACTTACTACTAATAGCATGGAGCAATATATTTCAGGCCATGGCTGGCGGACAGGCAAGACACTCAATTGCAGAAATTGCTAACAAACAAAATTCATGCACAACGCTGTCAAAACCCAACATCAATCGATCGAGGCTCGTATTGCAAGCTTCCAAACAACCTCGAGTGGCTGCGATGATCGTTAGAGCTGCGGACCAGACACGAGGATTAGCGCCCCTCGATCGCCCTTTTAGTCAGATCCTTTGCCAATCTTCATTATTCACACCGTGTTCCCTAGAATGGTTTCGGTATCATGAGTTTCGGGTCTTTCTTCTTCGGCTTTGCCTCAGTCTCAGGTCTTGCATGGCTTCATGTGCTTTCTGGCTGAAATTCATGCACCGTCGATGTGCGTCTTTGTGGAAATGGCAAGGGTCTCGAACCGTTTAAACTTGTGCCGATCATACGTCCCTGGTTCTGCTTATGTTTTGCCCAAGCTCCACATACTTTAGGGCTCCTAATAGTTTCAACCTTGTTCTACATACATCAACGGGCATGTCCGTGCCGGATTTTTTTCTATTTTATTTTATTTTATTTTTTCCATCCCATCTAACTAAAAAAGGGAAAGGAGATATAAAAGCTCTCGATCCCATTCTTCAACCGCATAGCTCTTCCATCCTCCTAAACCTCAAACGAATACACAACCCTCACACCCCAAGTCACTCATTCCCACCCATCACATCAACCTCCCATATCCAAACCCCCAAAATCAATCCCAGGGAAGTAAAGAAGAAAGGAAAAAGAAGAAGAGATGGCCTCCCAAGACCCCTCCACCCAAGCCCCCCAGCACCCCCGCGACTGGGAAAGCGGCCTCTGCGACTGCTGCTCCCCCATGGGAACCTGTCCGTACATCCCTAGCCCTCCTCCAACCTACCCAGACCCCAAACTAACACAAATAAAAACCAGGCTGCTGGGGCTTCTGGCTCCCCTGCTGCCTCTTCGGCAAAACGCAGACTCGACTCGCAGACCCCGCGCTCAAAGAGCACAGCTACCTGAACGGCAACGTACGCCCATCCCAACTATTAACCCCCTACGCCATGAAACAAATCCCAGAATCCCAGCTAACTAACCCACCAACCCGCAGTGCTGCCTCTACTACCTAACAGCGCAGGTCGGATTCCACTGGGTGCTACTGATGATCCGGCGAGGCGAGATCCGGAATCGGTTCGGAATTGAAGGCTCCGGATGCGGGGATTGTTGCACGTCGTACTGGTGCCCCTGTTGCGTTCTGATTCAGCATGAGAAGGAGGTCGAGGTGCAGAGTGAGCGGGTGCAGACGGGGTACCAGGCTCCCGCGGGCATGGAGTATCCGACTCCGGGTAAGACTAATTGAATCGGTTGAGTGATTGTTTGGGGCTTTTGTTGGTTTGGGGATTGGGGTTGGGGTTCGTGACTTGAGTACATATGTCGCGTGTGGCCGGGTGAAATTCGCTCTTTTCTTTACTTTTCTTTCTTATATATTAATGTCTTTTGGGGCTCTATATTCAGGGCGAGAGTTCAGGATTGGGGGGTTGGGTCTTATTCCTTTCGTTGGATATTTCTTTTGTTGAGGTTTTATTGGAGGAAACGGTATATATATCATAATGAGATGAAAAGACTGATTTATGGTCAGTGTTGTGTTTCATTCCTCCCCCTCCTCCCCCTCCCCCCCAACCGGGTTTTGTGGGATGGTAGAGGTTACTGGTGTTGCTGTTGTTTGTCACTGGGGTGGCTATGCTGAGGACATGCCAACATGTAGAGTTAACAAGATGCTCTACGTTTACACTGGAGATAGACACCATTGAACACATGAACAAAAGAAATACAGTTTTAAGTATATCAGCGACAGTTGTGTACTGTACAAAACACGCTACCTCAGCGACTACCACCACTTCTATCTATTAATCACCAAATCAAAACGGAACAATTGCCATAACTCTGAGACGCAAAAATGCTGCTAACCTAGCATTTACAGGGTGTTGCGGCTAGTGTCCGCGCGGATGCGGTTGTAATCGAGGAGACCCTCAACGCTACCGACAGCACTGACAGCGACGTCCTGATCCCAGATCCGGCGCATGGCGAAGTCCATGACATCCTTCTCGGTGATCTGGCCGATTGTGCGCTCGATATCCTCGGGAGTGAGGCGGCGGCCAGTGGTGATGATCTGGCGACCAATATCTTCGGCGACGGCTGTGGTGCCATCAAGGGAGAGGAGAATGGAAGCCTTGAGCTGAGACTTGGCACGCTCAACCTCGGCGGGGGTGACGTTGAAGCACAGACGAGACCACTCACGCATGGCGAAGTGGGTAAGGTCGTCGAGCTGGGTAAGGTTCTCAGAGACCATGTAGATACCCCAGAGACTAGATATACGCCATTAGCAACGCAATCAAACAAACGCGTTAAAGGGTCCGCTAGGTACAAACTTACCCAGTGTCGCTGTAGCTGGTGGAGAAGCTCATGAAGCTGTTGGCAAGGCCGTGCTTCTCAACGTGGGAGCTAAGCTTGCTACCGAGGTAGGGGGAGTTGCCCATGGCACGGTCCCAGTTGCCAACGATGGCCTGGGTGACAAGACCGGTGAAGTAATCATCGTCCTTCCAGCTGACACCCTCAACGGCAAGGGCAATGTGAGCAGTAGGGATGGTGTCATCACGGAGTCTCACTTCAGATCCAATGAACTCGGGGGTGCGCTTCTGCTCGGCGGTGATGGCGAGAGCAGCAGAGGTAGGGGGCTTGCTGGGGAGGCCGCCGAAGTGCTCCTCGGCGAGGCGGACGAGCTGCTCGTGAGGGATACCACCGGCACCAACAAGGACCATGCGGTCAGCAGTGTAGTTGGTCTTGATATAGTCAACCAGGTTGTCACGGGAGATGGTCTGGATGTTCTCCTTGGGGCCAAGGATTGTGCGACCGAGAGGCTGGTTCTGGTAAGCGGTAGCGTGAAGGTGGTCGAAGACAACCTCCTCAAGCTGCTTGTCAACCTCCTCCTGCTCACGGAGGATCACATCCCTCTCCCGCTCAATAGCACCAGGCTCCAGCTTGGAGTTCTGAAGGATGTCGGCGAGGATATCGACGGCCTTGGGAACATCGTTGTTGAAGGACTTGGCGTAGTAAACGGTGTTTTCTCTCTGCATGTGTCATTAGTTTCCGAGCCAATTCTTTATTCTATCGGACTCCCGGGCCGTACCGATGTGTAGGCGTTCAGGTGAGCGCCCATGTTCTCGATCTCAAGCTCCAATTGGTGCTGGGTACGCTTGTTGGTGCCCTAGAAACTGTCAGATGCATATCCACCGTTGGAATCTTAGCGAAAAATAGTACCTTGAAGGCAAGGTGCTCAAGGAAGTGCGCGGTTCCGTTGGTCTTGTCAGTCTCTGCCCTGCTGCCGGCATCGATCCACACTCCAACAGTGGAGGTCTGGGCCCATGGGGAGTACTCGGTAGCGATCTGAGGCCAATTAGTGATTCTGCGAAACGATTGAGTATTATTAATTTTCGTACCGTGAATCCGTTAGAGAGGGTGGTCGACTGAGTGGTGGATGGCAACGTAACCGGGGAAGCGAAGCCTCGCTTGACGGGCTGGATGGACTTCAGGGCAGCCCGACTCCGGAGAGCCTGGTTAAGGTTAAAGGCTAGGCGCCGGGAGGCCATTGTGAAAAGAATTAAGGTGAATGTGGAGGGAAGGAGAGGGATGGAGCAAAGGTGCAACGGCTGTAAAGACGGTCAGCCCTGGAGATGAGAGGTTGAAGTTCGGGAGTCAAATTGTTCGCCAGCCCGTCAGCCAATCACATGACCCGCTTTTCCAAACCACTGTTTTCGATCCCGACTGTTCCCTAACGCTGCATTGATTGGGTCTTGTCCAATACACCTACTGTAACATACAAATTCTTCCCAATTTACCACCACTCTCACCATGGATGTATTAATGACATGAACACTGATTCAAGAAACTAAACTCCTTCCAGATTCTACTGAGACAAAAGAAACATCCAATCTTGGCATCATATTTCAATTACAACTACCTTCATACGAAACGGCTTGCATATTGCCTGATGTTCTCAACCATAGAAATATCCTCCAAAAAGCCCAATTTGATCGCACGAGCCGGGTTAAAATTAGGTGTCCACGTTTGGACAATCTTATCAATATCAGCATCATACTTCTCCTCCACCAATGCCCTCCTTTCCTTGCCGCCAATCTCCTCCAGCGCGTCCAGCATTTCCTGGATACTAACCTTCAACCCGGGCAAATTGACAGACCTCGACTCCCCAAAAGCCTCCTTCGGAATATCCTTTGCATGCAAAAGATTCTTAACCACAGTGTAAGGCGAACAGATCCACATCTCCGTCTCCTTAGCCACAGGAAGAATCGCCTTTTTCCCATTAAACGGCTCCCGAATAATATCACTAGCGAAGCTACTTGCCGCCTGCGTAGGCAAACCCGCTCGAACCGTGACCGTGGGAAGACGCACAGCCCGGCCATCCAAGAACCCCCTCCTGGAGTAATCATTCAGCAATGTCTCGATGATGAGCTTCTGCGATCCGTATGAGGACGACGGTACGGGAGGAAAGTTGGTTTCGTCGATGACGAACCCAGCAGGTGCGAGGCCATATACTGCCAAACTCGACGTAAACACTACTTTCACCCCGGGCATGACGGCCCGGAGTCGGTCCAGGATATACCGGGTGGCATCGAGATTGACCCGCATGCCCAGTTCGAAGTTGGCCTCGGAGCCGCTGGACATAATTCCGTGTAGAAGGTAGACTGTGTCGAAACCGTGAGACTCGGTGAATGTCTCGTCGACCACCTTGGGCGAGGTCAGGTCGGCTTGAATGCATTTTACTCGCGACATATGTTGAGTGGCAGTAGTGGGGACGGGTGGCGTAACGATGTCTGTGAGCGTTACTGTAATATCTGGGGAACTCGATAAGAGGGCGGCAGCCAATTCCTGGCCGACGTAACCGTTTGCGCCGGTGATGATAATCGACATGTTGATCTGTCCTCGTTGACACTTTTATTCTCGTAGTGGCTCGGGAAAGTAAAGCAGTATGTATACACAGTTTATAATCCGCAGTAAGTTAGGGTAGCACGCAACTATTTGAATCACATACGGTGGTTACTGGGACTAAATAGCACCATCGCAGTCATCCAGGGACTGCGGGGTTAGACGAGGGAATCATACCCAGAGTGGGAATACCCCCACTCTCGGTCTTGACGAGCGCCCATCATCATCAGGAAGTTAGCTACGAAGGTTGGCTACCACGCAGCAATTCCGAAGTACTGTGGACATCAGTCGGCGAGCAATCCGATTGCCGAGCCGCAACTTTACAGGAGCAGTACCGGACCAACGGCGAAAGTCCGAGAAACGCGTTATCGGCAGGCGACATGTTCTCTAGCCAGACAATATGGACTTTCACGCGATTTGTTCTTGTTCTTTTCATAAAGATGTGAAGAACTTTCTACAATAGCAGGCAGGAACGCTCCTTCACAAACATGTTCAATCCTAAGACCGGCTTAGGGATGGTAATGTGATATCTAGCAAACCAGAAATGTATAGCTCTCTATTCCTTCGCAGATAGTCAACTAGATCCAATACTGAATGCAAGGAAAGAAACCGGAACTGGAACCGTGGAACATTTTCTGACTCAAAAAGTACATTCAGAAGAAACCTCGAGATAGCAAAAGAGAAACATTTCAGCATATCACAGAACACTTGACGCCAGAAAAAAAAGCATAAAGAACTAAGACATGAAAAGAGACCAGACCCCCATTTTCTTTTATGCAGAACGCTTGTAGATACCAGCCACGATACAGTGATCACGTTCGAAAGGCTCCAGAGTCAACTGCTCCTTAGGCTTAATCCTTTCCTCTCTCATCTTCTGAACTTCACGAGTGAAAACAACCTCCGGCTTAGCGGTACTGTCGATACAGTTGGCCTTGATACTGACGATAACACCACCACCCTCCTTGAGGAACATGTGAGCGTTCAAGCCAACGATACGGGCCTGGTCAGGCTGAGCAACATCGGCAAAGATGACGTCGACCATGGGCACCAGCATACGGTAGCGGAGAGGGTGACGGGCGTCCTCAACAATAGGGATGACGTTGGTACGGTGGGTGGCCATGCCGATCAGATCACGGCCGGAACGGTGAGAGAACTCGACAGCATAGACGTTACCAGTAGGTCCAACAATATCAGCAACGTGACTGACGGAGGTACCACTGGCGGAACCAAGGTACAGAACCTTGGAGCCAGGTTTCATGTAGATATCATCGAGACCACCGAGGACACCGGCAGCCAACTTAGAACGGAAGGGGTTCCAGACACGGTACTCGGTCTTATTGGCGGTACCATCCTCAGTAGGAGTCTCAACAGCGATACGCTTCTCTCCGTAAACAGCCTCTCCGGGTGTCAAGTTCTTGGTGACGAGCAAGTCTTCCTTACCACCACGGGCGACAAAGATACCGGCGTGACGGTGGGGTTCCTAGAGATGAGTGGAGTCAGTCACTGGGTTCATTATAGCATTCTGGATCATGAAGTACATACAATGATAACCTTGGCACCACCCTTAGCACCGCCGCGAGCACCGCCGCGACCGCCACGACCACCACGTCCAGGAGGACCGCCACGACCACCACGACCTCCACCGCGGGGTCCACCACGGCCACGAGAGCTTCCAAGCCCGCCTATAGATTGACGTAAAGAGATCGTATTAGCCACACCATTCTCCTCAAGGGCAGGACAGATCGAACAACTGTCGCGAATGTCACCCTCCATGGCAAAGAGATCTGGCAACGGATGAAGAAACAGATTTCAAGACCAAGTTGAGGGTGACAATGCTGAGAACGAAGGGGTCTGCTCGCTATCCCAAATAGAACTAATCGTGAACAAACCTCTGCCACCGCGGCCACCACCTCCACGGGGAGCACCACGTCCACCACGCCCAGGGGGTCCACCACGTCCACGGGGAGCACCAAAGCCCATTGTGTTATATGAATCGAAAAGGATCGACTTTAAAGGTTGGGTAAGTCTCGAATTGAGGTTGCTGTACTAGCAACGAGAACAGAAGAAATTTTTCCGGAGGGAAGTAATTAAACCCGTTGAATATGGGCAAGGTTGTGAGTCGCAGGTATCACTGGGCCTTTCGAAGCAGCTTGTGCAAAATAATCGCACTTGCACTTGCTTTCAATATTCGGTCGAGGCCGTGCTGCTCGTCGTTGTTGCGGTCGAGATTTTTCAGACTGACCGTCGGAACTTTGAAAATCAGAATGCGCTAGCCCGCATGGGGACTAGATCCCGGCCTCTCTGTCGTGGGAACTCCGGTCACGTGAAATTGGCCGATAGCGAGGTCACCTGACTCATACAAGCCCTGCGCCAATTGGATTGCGAGGTGAGATTCATGGATTGTCCCTGAGAGATACAAGCGACTAGTATGGGTTGAACACATGGAAATGACATTTGATCCCCTGTGCCCATATATTTAGCTTGTACTACAGTGGGTCATAATCGATCACGGTCATGTAATCTAGTCCTTTTACTGTAACTAGCAACTAGTATATACAAAAACATTATCAATTCTCAGTCAATACCATTATTTCCCATAAAAGTAGTAGTTTGCTGCATACTGAACTGTAAATTGTGATGGCATGCCGTTGCAGGTTTTGGGTGGTGATCCCGCAGCAGTGTCAACCCGATATACGCCTGTATAATCCCCTACTGTGCCACTGGTGGTTGAGAGATAAAGCCATGCAACAGCCCCGTTGTTCCCTTGAATAGCGCTCGGTGGGGCATCAATCTGAGCCTCCTTCTTCGTTCTTGCGATACCGTATTGATGCGCTGCCGTGGTGTCGAGGTTAAAAACGGGTGTCGGTCCGTCAAAGAAATGATGGCCCATCAGATCAAGATTTGCCGGTGGAAGGCGATCCGACTCGCTACCCGGTAAAGGTATCTTGTATGCAATGTTCGGCAGCATGTTAAGCATGTCTGAGAAGCTTCCCGCAAGGCAAGTAGCATTGTAAAGGTTTGCAACAGCGCCTACGGCTACGGGAGTCGAGTTCGTGGATGATGTCGCACAGGTATAGTTCTGTCTGATGTTAGCTCCAGTGCGGTTGGCGATGGATCTAAGGAGATCAAGTTTACCTGTGTACCACGCCCAAGTGCAACATATAGAAGTCGCTGGTCCGAAGGGGAGGGCAGCCCGGACGCATAAGCTGGCAATTCGATGCGAGATGCGTCGCACGTAGCTGAGCTGAGAAGGTCTTTTGAGTGCTCAATATGCTTGCTCACCCTCCCCAGAAACTCGGACAGGTCGTTGGAGTAGTTGTATACATCATCGTAAAGAGTTGGTGCCGCAAATATTTGGGCTGTTAGGCAGATGAAGACGAAAATGGGGAGCATTCCGGATGCTTTAATAACCATCCCACAGCCACAAAGCCAGAAGTATCGTAGAGGTTGATATATGGAATCGGGGTGTAGAAAACAAAAAGCAATATTATAAAAGAATATTCAGATGATTTCAACGGAAAAAAATCTAACCAAATGCCAGTTGGTTTAGGATAGAGGATAGTGATGAATCTCTTCGTGACTATCAAAGTCTTTCGAAGAGGCAACGGAGGAGGCGATCAACGTTGAGCTTGAGTGGAGAGCTTATCAAGGGAAATACAGGTTATGGTTGAGGAGGATGAGGCACTATTTCCAACCCTGAGGGCGCCCATATATAATGTCACGCTTATGCTCTTCCCGACGCCACCATGGTTTGTCCATATGCACAAAGAATACAGGTAGCCATCCTGCATTCGAAACCCAAACTGTTGTATCTATAAACATCCTCGAGTGAGAGGGTCCTAGAAGGCGCCCACGGAAACTATGGTAGATTAGGTTTGTTGATTGGTGGCCGGAGTTCGCTGACCGCAATCCTTCAACGTTGTACCATGCAAACAACGGGAATGGGCGGGCGGTTATTGCTGCAGCATACTGACCCTTCTTGTGGCTGTGATTGGCTTATCTCGCCATTGAAACCTGGTCTGACACAGTCTGTCGGGATATTACATGTGGCAGGGCATCCGAGGAACTCATTCGTGAAAGCCTACTGCAGGTAAATCTCCGAATAATCTTAATGTCTAATAATATCAATCCGTGAGCCAGGGAGGGCGCCTAAATCACTGCCGATGTTGGTTAGCGTGCAGAACTGGGATATGGCGGGGCTTCTCTTCATCAGCCGACCCCTGCCCTGTCAGGCCGGCAGTTGCTATCCATGAAATCGCACTACTACTATTTTTAGGGTGGGTTTACTATGTACCTGCTCCTATCCAATGCCACTCGAGTGTTCCTTGGCATGCTATCAAGCAACTCTCCCCACTTTCAACTATCATATCCAATCCAACTACGATATCAAGTCCTGTCGCGGTCTTCCAAAAAGGCTTAACTGCTAGCTGCCTCTATATATAGATTTTTATATGGAGTAATGTATTTAAAGTTGGGGAAACTATTGGTACGCATGTGTCTGGTAGTTGGCCTGGGGGTACATCCATTCCCAGAGTAGCGCAGTCCCGGATCTCTATCTTCGTCTAATTGATTGCATGTGATGAGCCAACTGAAGAGGGAGCATGGGATGAAAATATCTTCAGAAATAGAGTGAATAAGGCGTGAGGATAATTGGTTATCCTCCCCAGCTGCAAAGGCATGTTCTACCACCAGAAAGTAGACTGAGATATATATACATCCCAGATAGAACAGCCAGGCCAATTATATGTTTGTGTCGCTCACAACCTGCTATTTCTCCTCTCTTTCTACATCCCCATTGGAAATAGTAGCCCGTTAGTGAGATAGTACGCAAATTAACGCCGATAATATTGGCCAAATGCCTGGAAAAGGGTACTACCGAAATACCTGCAAGAACCTTGTACGTAAATAGTTCTGTAATATAATACATATAAATATTAATTATCATACTAATCATCGCCCGGGTGGTCTAGTGGTATGATTCTCGCTTAGGGCGTGCAACAGCACAACAACCCCAAGCATATATGCGAGAGGTCCCGCGTTCGATCCGCGGCTCGGGCCAATTAAAAAATTTTTTAATTTTTCAATTTTAACCCTCTCTACAATAATTCCAAGGGTTTTTGCAACCCCCCGCCATCTGGGAAAAACACTTCCTGTCAAAATGATACATATGCATGCTAAATTTACCATCACGGATAAGCCTGCGACCCCGTAATTTCGCCCCTGTTTGGCTGCTAGTAGCATGATTCCCCCGATTAAGAGTTATCGAGCCAAACAACGTATACCTCCTCTATATAAAAACAGGAAGCCATCAACGCTTATATGTAGTGTGTCTATATATCCCTGTTGCCATCACGCCACTGGTTGATCTCGCCTGACAAAAAACTGTATAGTTCTCAATTTCCACAGGGTATTCAAATAGTCTAACGTTCTCCAATAGTAATCAGAAATAGAAATGCAGAGTTACTTGTAGATAAGTACATTCTCAATATCACCACTGACGCCAACACCCGCCAATCAAGAAATGAAAAATTCGCCCATAAGAATATTAGGGTTCTCCTCAAGGTTGTTTAACTTGCATGGTGGAACCCTTCTTGTTGCCACTCATTCCCGTTCAGCTGCTGCCCGCTACCATAGTTGCTGCCACCGCCAACCATGGCTGCCGCGCCCAAGTTTGCACTGTGTTTCTCTATCTCCATCGTACTCATCATATACAACATAGCAAAGAGGAGAATATGGATGGCAAAGCAATACCCTGCAAATAAGTTCCGGCTGGTCCGATTGGCCAGTATTATTCGCGTGAGAGAGAATACTATCCGTTCAGGCAGGCTCATGCGCTTATATGCGCGTGCAGATTCTCGTCCCCTGAAAGCCGCAAAGGGTGAGATTTGAGCCTCGTATGCGGACTGGTAGCGATCAAGTGACAAACCTGACGGCGTGTCCGACGATAGGTGAACGGAGGATGCGCTTGGTTTGTTTCCGTAGGCACTCGCGGAAGAGGAGCCTCCCTGGCCACGGTTGTATGTCGACACATACCTTGTCTTTTCATACAGACTGAGGTTATCTTTCTGAAGGGAAGAAACCTCTTGCCGGAGTGATTTCACCGAATTATACATCTTTGACAGCTCTTCCTCTAGCTCCGCATTCTTCTTCTTGAACCGGTCCCGTTGTGCCTGAATCATAGGCAACAAGCCGGACCCACCCCCAACAGCTTCTCCTGCTCGAATGGCATCCATAGTACTAGGAGATCCAGACGAATGGTCAAAGCCCGAGATAATTGACGACGTCGGCGACGTAGCTCCCCGTCGAGAGGAGTATGGGTGTTTTGAGGTGTAAGTGCCTGCGATAGACATTGCAGATGACGGGAAAGCATTCGCTGCTTCTTCCTGTACACGGAGAAGGTCATTCTCAAGGGTAGTAGAAAGTTTCTGGGATATTTCAAGTTCCCGCCTAGTAGTCAAGAGATCCGCGCGCAGAGTCTCAAGTTGGCCTTGAAGATCGCGATGTGATAATCGTAAAACAGTAAGTTCGTCCGTGAGCTTCTTGTTCCTAGACAGCAGAAGCTGCTCTAAATTGTTCTTAGCATCGTCCTTGGAAGCAGTGCCATTGGTAGCGACTGCAGGATTATCCGTGGAATCTCGGGTATCATCATCGTCACCGGCTGAAAATTCAATAGACTATAGATGGCGATTAGTTTTCATCGGAGGGGTAGCTCATGGTCGCTTACTTTGATCATCTCCAGCTCGCGACGGATATCTTCATAATCAGCAACTTTCTCTAACCTCGCTCGTAGCTCATCCCTCTCGGCGGCAGCCTTAGCGCTATGTCTCTCAGATTGTGAGATTTTGGATTCCCAAGAATGCCGCTCAGACTCCCTGTCAAATCGAGCTGCATCTAACTTGCGCAACAGGGAAGAATTCTCTGACTGAAGGCGAAGGTAGGCGGGGTCTTCTTCAACAGACATTGTTTGCTCTGGTTGTGAATGCGAGACAACTTGAGCCAGCTCAAGTCTCAATTGCTCATTTCGAGCCTCCACCTCTGCTAGTCTGAGGTTTGTCTTTTCTAGGTCAGCAGACACTAGCTCCAGCTCCGCAGCAGTAGCCCCTCCTTGCTGGGGACCATATTCACTACTGTCCTCCTGGCCCAACCGCTGTGAAACCTCGTAGCTAGCTTTGAGTTCCTTAATCAAGCGTTCTTGATTCTCTACCTTTTCTTCCAAACTCTTCTCCTTGGCGGTCCAATTGTTCGATTTCTCCGACAAAACGGCTGACCAGGAAGACTCGATCTCCTTGATTTTGGATTCTTGATTATCCTCCAACTTTTTCCTTGTCGTTCGTTCCTCTTCGAGCCGCTTCTCGGCGTCATCTAATTGGGAGGTAAGACGGTCCACATTGCTCTGTAATTGATTCCGCTCGGATGTTAACCTCGGTACAGTTTCTTCGGTATGAACGAGGGAGTCAACTGATGCCTCGAGCAGCGGATAAGGGTCAGGCGCTTCTGATAAGGAAGAATATAGCTGCAAGAAGGCGTTCGAAGAGGCCTTTCCTTGGTTCGTCAAGACGTCGATAAAGCTTTGGTAAGCTGGTCATGAATTCGTTAGCCCCCCTCAAAAAAGGCCAGCTGAGAACGGTACACACCTTTCAACAGGCCTTTATATTCCGCAAGCTTTCCCGCATCATCCAACTTTCGGAAGTCCTTCGTCTTCTGGGCAAGATCCTTCCTTTGAACAAGAGCATCACGCTGCTGAGCGACAATATCCGAGGCAGTCGTGTCCAATTTCGCGATGGTATTGGAGAGATCAATACCTGTTTAGTGTTGACAAGTTAGCCTCCACCGACTTGGTACGTTAGGGAGTGCGATTTTAGGCTAGGTACCTCTCCAAGCTGCAATGGCACGTTGGAACTTGTTAGCCCCCTCGGGCAACTCTCCGGTGGTGTCCTTTTCGGCTTCGTGGCCATTTTGATTGTTCGCATCAGGCACGATGCCTTCTGTAAGAGCAAAAGAATCCATATTTCACAAATTTATAATTTATTACAGTACATTGAAAGACACCCTACCAGAAAGAGAAAAAGGAAAAACGTCAACACCGCTATCGAGAAGAAACGACTGAGGAACAATGCAGTATGCGATGCGGAGGCTTGAGACGCTCCGAGCGGCCCGACGATGTTCCGCACGCGTAAGGTACTGTTTCTTCTAAGTTTTGAATTCGTGAAAGTTGACAGGTTGTATTTGGACCACAAAGTAGATTGATATTTGATATGTCTTTCAATTGTCGATTCTTTTATGTACTATCACATGATCAATGGGATCTGAAAATGAAATCTTTCTTTCATACAATTTATATGATATTGCACACATAGTATTCCTCTAGTAAAAAATGACAGTATGTCATTGCTCCTGTGACATGTGACACATACCCTAGGAGTAATATCATGGTGATCTCAAGAAATGTACCTTCAATGTACCAATGCTTCATATGCACAGAGAGAGGGGAGTTCAATTGGTATTTGATACCGAAACCTTTGCTCCACTGGGTGCCTGAATCAGCAAAGCCTAACCCCGGCTTTTGGCCCACTCAGGCCACCTCCTTAGATGAGTTGATATGTAATGTTGATAAAATCACGTGACTGCCAAGAAATTAATAAGCAGAGTGGAACAGATGAGTTTATAAATCGAGCTTAGTGTATTTGGATTCTGATTTCCTTTGTATTTTTGTATTATTCCAAAAACAACTAAATACTTTATAACTGCTTCTGAACTACTTCTATGGAGTTTAATAATTTACATACTTCTGATTTAAATAATCAGCTTAATGAAAATACAGAGGTAACAAACTAACTACTTTAAGAGTTTACTTATAAACTAATTAATACTGTTAGGAACCACTGATTCCAATTCCTCTGACCCAGGCTAAACGCTTACCTCTTACTACACTTAATATTGAGTATATCAATGATTTACCCGAGTATCCAACAACCCATATTCGCGGTTATACATATGTTGTTGCTTTAGGACAGCGATCACAGGTTGAAGCCGAGCAACTGGCGCATGGGGTAAGTAGTAAGTATTCCTGAGCGGTTTTCAAGTGCTTTCTAACTACTTGTAGATCCAATATAATCGACAATTAAGTCAAAGTCAAAAACGTCCAGTATATTCCCCGTTTCTCGGCTGCTATACTAAGAAATGGACATGGAAATGTTCTGGAATCAACTCGTGTGAATATCTAAGCCCAGTGCTTTTATCTTATCATCATACATCTGTTGATGAAGCAGTTTGGCAACGAATTTGTGAGTCTCAAAGAGATATTAAGATCTTGGAGAATGATCTTGGAAAGCGGAATGCATATAGGTAAGTGCTTATACAGTGGTTTATAAGCAGTTCAGAAGTACTTACTATATATCTATAGTTATTATCGCTCAAAGGTCACTTTCTTTAAACAAGGACATGCGTGTATCGACCAGCTTCCAACATGCAAGCCAGTTTTTAAACGATATCCCCAGATGGTATAGTGAAGTATTTCTTAAGTGCTTAGAAACCACTTACTAATTGCTCTAGAATGTGCTCGGTGATTATGCCCCCTATATTGGGTGTGTCAATGAAACATATGACTCTTTAAATAAGCATCACCGAGGAGCTATTCAAGGTCATATAGCTTTGGATATTACCTTTCTTGAAGATCTTTTTAATAAAGAGATACTTCCACCAACAGAGGAGTGTGGTATATTTGAACCACTGTCAACAAGACGCAGATTCTGCCGTAAGACTTTTTAATCACTTTCATCACTTTCTAAACAGCTACTAACCACTTTGAAGAACGGGATCATATACAGGGCCCTGGGCGCTTAGTCCATACCCGATGTGATGTTATTTTTAATGCTTTAGTTCCTGTCGATATTACTAGATGTTCTTATCTTTTATTTACATCACATGGTGTACATAAGCACCCCCCTCCTCCACCAAGCAAGCCCCCAGAAAGGATTCTACAGGGGATCAAACAGATTATTCAACAAATAAGAGATCCTACTTTGACTACAGGTAAGTGCTTTTAAACCACTTAACAATACTTATTAAGTAATTTAACAGCTCAGTTTCTCCGTAATCCGCAGCTTGAAGCATTTTGCCAGCAGCATAATGCTACCACATTAACAGAACTACATTCTAGCTTCTGTAATAAAGATCGTATTGCTGCAATTATTCAAAAGCAACGATTATTATCATATCCTAAAGGACAGGATCTTGATGGACTAATCTTTCTACAAAATGTTGATCCCCATATGAAGGTCAGTTTAACTGTTTCTAGGAACCTGGCAACCGCTTACCAAGTACTTAGGAATATATTCAAGAATATTATCATGATCCTCAGGGAACTATGATACTATGTGGGTATAAAGAGCAGATTCAATTACTCTCTAGTCTATCCTTCTTTAAGGTAGATACGTCCTACAAGCGCCTCCGATCTAAAGATATGAATGAAGTACTTTTTACGACATTCTTATCTGATCAATATAAAAGTAAGTACTTTTATACTACTTGTGAACTGCTTACTAAGTACTTTGAAATAGTTATTACTTTACTGCGGGCGTTTACCAGTGAGGATTCTACTAAGGGATATTACTTGCTGTTTAAGCGAGTATTTAATCTAATCAAAAGAATTACAAAGTCACCAGTGCTCTTTGATCCAATCCATAGCTCTGGAATACATGGGATTATTCTTGATATGGATACAGAGCAATATACCGGTAAGTACTTAAAGAGTACTTAGTAATCATCTACTAAGTATTTAGGTCTTGGTCAGTATCTTGCAGAGATTGACCCCTCCCATCGGGATAGTACATGGCATATTCAGCATATAGCTATATTTTGCCGTGTCCATTTTCAGCGTACGGTTCTAAAAGCTATTGGACCAAACGCTCAAGGTTCATCTCTTTGGAGTCGCATGATAAGTTTATTAGACTGCAAATCTGAGGCAGATTATGATCATCTACTTAACTTATTGATTAGTAAGTATGTAACAACCGTTTCTTAAGCACTCTCTAATCATTTTATAGAATATGAAAACGAAAATGTTCAAAATTGGGCTAGTCACAAAAGGAATCCTATTATTAAAGCAGGGTTAATCAAAGCTTGTTCTGGGATTCATCCTTACTATTTTAGTCAATTACGGCATTATACAAATGCTGTTGAGCAGTCTCATCAAAAGTCATATGCATCGGGCAAATATCTAAGCTTAGTTGAGGCGGTTAAGAAGTAAGTACTTCCCAACTGCTTAGAAACTGGTGTATAATCAACTAATATATTCTAGCTCTGCAAAGTCAGATAAGGATGATATTCTGCAGTATAATAGTTTTCAGCAGTTTCATATTCATCATTCCTATCGGACTTCTAATATGGAATCTAACTATCTGCGTCATATGAGTCGGGAGAGTAAGTAAATACTTGTAAATCACTTGACAACTACTTAATAATTGATTGTTAATTTAGGAAGCCGCAAGCGTCGACGGTCTGCCTTATCGAGCAATTCGGAAAGTCAGTCTGTACAATCACCTATTAGAACTGCAAGATCTATCTCACAGTTATCGTCCGAACATATTGACAATGAGTAAGTCTTTCCTAAGTGCTCCCTGGGTGCTTAAGAAATACTTACTAACAGCTTAGATCAACTATATCCCAGCGGAACCTTCGCTGTGCTGCCTCAGATAGTATAATATCTCTAGAACAGAGGCGACTGGAGCTTGAGCTTCGTAAAATGGAAGCAGATATTAAGAAACAAGAGGAGGAAACACACCGCCAACAGCTTGAAAATGAAAAGCTAGAACTTGAGCTTATAAAAGAACGGCGGCGTATGCAGGAAGAGGAAGATGGTTCCTAACTGGTTCCAAAGCAGTTTGTAAACAGTTAGCGGAATATCAATATTGATTGTTATATTTCTACTTTGACCTTGTACCCGAGGCTAAGCCTTAGGTCCGACCATTATATTACGGTTGTGCCAAGCAGTTATTAAGCACTTGGTAAGTAGTTAGGGACTCCCTTATATGCCTACAGATATTCTAAATGCTTAAGAAGTGCTTTAAGAGTAGCTGCGAACTGCTAGAAATTTGTTCTTCCGAGCTAAATACATCTTAAAAACCCCCCATATCTTGCATATTGACCTAAGCAGTTACAAACCGATTGCTAACTAGTTCACTATTACGCCTCATCAGGCACCCGGATAGCCGGCGCGGGAGCAAGATTACCACAGTTAGAGAGTTCATACATATTTATATTTGAACTGCTTAGAAAGTGGTTAGTACAGTACCATCTTTCTTGCGTACCGATATGAATCAACCGGGGGGACAGGGAGCTCAATGTGACCAGCAGACACTTCTCTCAAATACCAGACATACCATTTTTAAACCATCAAAATTAACACTGTGAATCAAGGAAACGCTAATTTATCACTTAATAAGCAGTTCAATATACATTTTTAGCCAGGGAAGCCATGGTAGTGGTGGTGGTGGTACGTAAAAACCCTGAAAGAGATCGCCTGTTTTGAAATTTTTGGTGTCGTCACACTTTATCTGTCTTGCACGTGATCAAATCTGACTAATCAGTCCTTTTGTGACACACCACCTAGAAAAGGAACCTAGCTGACCTGCAACCACGGCCCACTCTTAAGCCACTAAGACACCACATCCAAACCAAGCTTCCGACGTTTCTCCTCCCCTTGCCAACCATCTCACATCGAGACACCAGAGCGGGCCTCATTATGGTGTCGGAAGACGATGGCACCTCTCCCCGCAAGAAGCGGAAGATCACTCCGCCTAAAGCTGCACCTTATATGCTACGACCTCTTTTCAACCAAGTACCTCTAACGGCTGACGATCCTAATGATGATATCCATATAACCTGTGTCGAATATTGGAGTAAGTATGCCCCTAGACTATCTTCCTTTAGATTTTCATTAATTGTGTTAATCGCGCCATGAACAGATGACAATCTTTATATCGGAACCTCTGCTGCTGAAATCTTACATTTTGTCTGCCTCCCGCCTGATCCATCGGACAACTCCAACGAGCCGTCTTTCATCTTAGCCTCGAGGCTGCCCGTTCAGTTCTCCAGGAGTACCTCAGCAACACAAAGGCAACTGGGAGTTCAACAAATTGTTCTTCTTCCGTCTGTGAACAAAGCCTGTATTCTCTGCAATGGAACGGCTACCTTCTACTTACTACCGGAGCTCAGTCCGGCATTCCGCGAGAACACGAAGGTTAACAACTGCTGCTGGATTGGGGGTCTTGACCAGAATGCGTCTATGGATGAGCCGGAGAGGCCGGTTGTTATGATCGCAACTCAGAACAAAATGATGCTCGTGCGGATCGGTGACGATGCTCGACTAGTGAGAAACATTGAGTTTCCGGGATGTTTAACAGCATCACGGAGGGGCATAATCGCTTGTGCTGCAGATGCGCACGCGTATTCGCTACTAGACGTGGAACATCGGCAAAAGATACCTTTATTTCCAACGTCCTTTTTCGACGAAGCGTTAGGATCTGGTCAAGTGGAGGATATGCCTCCCGCTTCATTGTCTCCCAGCCCCCCTCCTGCAGAGGGTCAGACGCATAGCAGAAGCGCCAGTTTGAATACACTTACGGGAATGCTTCAGCCCAATGCGCGATCAGCTTCACAGGATCGTTCGAGCTCTGTAACGCCTGAGCTCTCCCCCACTTCCGGAACACCCACTCGTTCACTCTCAAAAGAACGAGGTGGAAGCATTTCACCTAGAGTGTCATCAGACCACCCATCGCCTGATTCGCAGACTAATCCTCGTGAAGACCCAAAACCGCTTCCACCATTGCCCAAGCAACCCTCGACCCAATTGAAACCGCATGTTCTTTCCCCGACTCCATCTGAATTCTTACTGGTCAGAGGCACTGATGGAGCAGAGCCAGGAGTTGGGATGTTTGTCAACGTCGATGGTGATGTAGTCCGCGGCACAATCACCTTTCATAAATATCCAGAGTCAATTGTCATTGACAAAGGGAACGAACATAACCTTATTGGGGCGCCTAACAACACCCGTGAGGATCACATTCTTGCAGTTATAGAGGCAGAAGATCAAGACGGAAAACCACGCAAGTTTCTGGAGGTACAGCTCTGGGATGTCGATCCGGGGGAAGCGGAGAATCACAAAAGCCGGGTAGAGGTACCTTCTGTTGACGATACGCAGTCATCTCACGTTGGACTCCTCCATACGCTCACCCCCAGCCAACTCGAAATTAGCGAGATGAGGGGCTTGCTGCAGATGGTTCGCTTGAGAACCCTGTCACTCTCACCACACGTGCCCGCAACCGACCCAAGAACACAGGCATCAATAGAGCAGCTGCAGAAAGAAAAAGAATTGTTTGAGTCTCAGGAAGCAACTGACACCGAAGGATCGAAGAAAGACACGCCTGGCTGGGAAGCTGAGCGAAACGCTGACGAAGCCAAGTTCGCCCGTGAATTGGGCAAAACCCAAAGCAGCCTGGTCTTGTGGAGGGGTAATCAGATATGGCGGGTTGTGAAAAATCCCTTGACGACACAACTTAATGATGCGCTACAGAATGCTCAAGAATTACAAGAGAGCGGCCACAGTGTCTTGAATCGGGATGCCATCATGGACATTATTAAAATGGTACAAGAGGCGGAGCCTAAGTCTGAGGCCGAGTTCCTGGGTCTCAACTACGTGAAGCAAAAGTCCAGTTTACTCCTATTTGGTGATCTGGTTTTCATGGATCTGACCGCTAGGGACGGAGCGACAATTGATGTCACAGAGAAAGCACTCGCTGCCGGAGAGCTAGACCCTAGAGTGGCTCTGTTACTGGTTCCTCTGTTGCGCCAAGAGGTTTTGCAGGGACCGCAGGGCATCTGGGTTCATGCGGGCCTGGCAGAAATTGCCGAAGTGTACCTTAAGCGCTTGGAGAATGTCAAAACTGCGAAGGAATCTGACGTTTTTGATAGTGGGATCATGAACATGATCAAGCGCTTCTTACTTGCATGGCAGCAAAAACGAGGATATGGAAGCATTGCGGATGACACTTATATATTTGATAGCGTTGACGCAGCTCTTCTACACCTGCTACTAGAACAAGATTCGAACACAGTCACGGAGCAGCGTCTGCCTTCAACCCGTACCGAATTAAACAGGCTGGTTGATAATTGGAAGGGTAATTTTGACCGGGCGGTGGCGCTTCTGGAGGATTACAAGCGACTGTTTCTCCTCAGCCGTTTGTACCAAAGCCAGAAGATGTCCCGGAATGTCCTCAAGACGTGGCAGCGTATTATTGAAGGGGAGGAAGACTCCGGTGGTGAGGCCGCTGCCTCCGCGGTTGAGGCACAAATGCGCAGGTATTTGGTCAAAATCAAAGATGCACAGCTTGTTGAGGAGTATGGTTCTTGGTTGGCCCAGCGAAACCCCAGTCTCGGTATCCAAGTATTTGCAGACAACACCAGCAGAGTCAAACTAGACCCCGCCGATGTCGTCCGGGTGCTCAAGCAACGAGCACCAAATGCGGTTCAAGATTACCTCGAACACTTGGTATTTTCAAAGAATGTTGGTTCCCTCATACCTCAGTTTCTTTCTTGCATACTAATCCTTGAGTCAGTATACCCAATATGCAGATGACCTTCTGTCGTATTATCTCGATACCGTACTTTCTGTTCTTGAGACCTCTCCTGCCGCTCGGGAGTCCCTTTCAGAATCGTACTCCACTTACCGTGCACTGCAGCCGCCGAAACCAACATACATGAATTTCATTACCGAAAATACTCCCTCTGAACCTTGGTGGCAGTCGAGACTTCGGCTTCTCCAGCTGCTTGGTGGGGGCGGTAGTAGCCAATTTTCGTCCGTCCCAACTCCTAAATTAACATATTCCATCCCGGCTGTTCTTGCACGAATTGAGCCGTTTCAAAATGAACTCGTATCAGAGTCCATCATTCTCGATGGACTTCAAGGTCGTCACCGCGAAGCTCTGCGCCTTCTTACACACGGCCTAGGCGACTACGACTCTGCAGTTCGATACTGTCTATTCGGGGGACCTCGGAGTACGAGCTCGACAAAGACCCCGGCCGAGTTTGCTGACCGATCACATCAGTGCGAGCTGTTCGGGTATCTGCTTGACGAGTTCCTACACATCCAAGATCCTTCGGAATGCATAGAACGAACCAGTGACCTCTTGGCACGCTTTGGGTCGTGGTTCGATGTGGGCGAGGTCCTCCAACTTATTCCGGATGACTGGAGTGTTGATATCCTGAGCGGGTTTCTTGCCCATGTCTTCCGGGCTCTCATATCACAGTCTCGTGAAACCAGGATCGAACGAACGCTCAGTGCCGGCTTAAACCTACAAGTTGGCACGGAGTATATCGAGGGAGTGGAGAAGGTCGGCGGCTGGGTGGAAGACGGAGACGGACTGCGACGCTTGAAAGAGGGTGATATCCGCCCGGCTATACCCGTCGACGATGGGGATGATTTTGGAGATATGGTTGAACCTCGTGGCGGCGATTGATGCCACGTTTCCATTGATATACTGTACATAACGACGTAAATGACAACCATACTAATTCATCTCGCATCACATAGTTCCTTCTACTAAAGATGCCCACCTAATCGAGGTCAGGAACAGGCAGCCCGTTCACAATCTTCACCTTACGACCCAGGTTATCCAACGCCACCTTGGAGTTCCGCTCGCGCAACGCGCTCGTCTCAGCATCGGACACCAAAACAAAATCATACGTCAGAAGAGCATGATCCTCAGAGACATTATACTTCTCCGCATACTCGGGGCCCGCCTTCCCCTGATCAACCACCAGAGAATCCTTCACCCCAAAAACCGCATCCGAAGTCTCATACGGATCATTCCTGAGATAAAGCGCCCTGAAAACCAACCCAAGATTAGCCAACACCCCCAATATTAAGATCAAAGGAAAAAGGAAGAAAAAAGCCCCCACGTAATCAAATGATCAAACCCCTCCTTCTCAAACATAAAATGCATATGACTAGGCCGAAACGGATGCCTCCGCAACACCTTCAAAAGTTTCCCCACCGGGCCATCATGCGGAATCGGATACGGCACCGGCGTTATCGCCTTAAACCAAAACACGCCGTCCTTATCACTGCGCATCACGCACCGACCGTCGGGCCCCTCGCGATCCGCATACTGCACATCGTAGTGGCCCGTTGAATCCGTCTCCCATATATCGATCTTGGCGTTTTCGATGGGTCGCCCCTGGGTGTCTTTGAGGGTGCAGACGACGAGCAGCGGCTGGCCTTTCGGGTCGTGGGAGATGGGGTCGCCGGGGGACATTTCTTGGGCTTCGTGGGTGTGGAAGGGGCCGAGGACTGTGCCTTCTGTTGAGTTGGGGGGTTTGGGGTGGTCGATTGAGTCGACGAGGATGGAGAGGCCGAGGATGTCAGAGAGGAGGATGAATTCCTGGTGTTGTTTTTTCTTGTTAAATCCAACAGAAGAAAAAAAAAACACCCGAGGTTGGAGTGGATTGGGTTGAAGGAGGGAAATATTTACCTGTCGCACATCAGAGCAGATCTTCCCCACCTCCGTTAAGAACTGTAAACCTGTCATCCATTCTTTGGAACTGAGTCTTGTTTCGCGGGCGAAGTCGTGTAGATGCGAGATGAGGCGCTCGAGGACGTATTTCATGCGCTCGTCTTCGCAGAGCGAGTTCATGCGGATGACGTTTTCGGTGATATTGTCCACCGTCAGGTCTTTCATGGGCGGGATCTTGACCTGGGAGGGTTCCATGTTGGTTTCTTTCCTGGTCTTACCGGTGGTGGGTTGAGATGGAATGAAAACGAGTGAGTCAAGGAAGAGAAGAGAAAGAGATAGATAAATGGTCAATTGAGAGCGTCAGTGGTTTCTCATATTAGTAGTTCAAGTGAAAGCTCGGTGGATAAAATCACCCCCGCATTGGGCGGATCGCATGATGTATAAGAACTGAATAAGCATTATTGGCTGCGGTGTGGAATTGGTTCCTTGATGGGGAAGTATAATGTACTACGGAGACTGGAGTAGGCTCTCCCTGGATCTGCCGGTTGGAATTGCCATTGGTATGGATAATGGAGTAAGTACTAGTTTGTTGATGGATTGTCATTTCGGGTTTACCCCCACTTGATCGACTGTGCGCTTAAAGCCGTATATCCGGAATAAGCTTAGTCTACACGGGACTATAGGATGGAGGAATCCAGCTGCTATATGGTGAACAAGATCCAGAGAGAATGGGATAGATTCTGCAATCTGAATAATGCTTCACCAATCTAGCCTCGGATTGAAGAGCGCTGATTCACCGAATCGTGGGGCATGGCGTTCTATTCCCACATTGAAGTCTAGAAACAAGGCTAATGTCATTACCGATGATCAACTATATAGCAAATATTAGGCCTATCAGCCATTAAAAAGGAAAGCCTATCAGCAAATCAAGGTGCCGTAGTGTAGTGGTTATCATGCGACGTTGTGGTTTATTCCCACAGTCCCGTCTCGACCTGGGTTCGATTCCCAGCGGCGCCAATGGCGTCAGATACTTGGTTTGATATTTCTTTTTTTGACACGTTTTTGCCATCTCCATTATAATAATGCCCTGTTCGTCTCATCAGGTAAATTAGTCAGGGCTCAAGTTTACTATTCTGGATGGCTGTGCTCAGGTCATGTATAGAAAGAAGATCACATCTCCTATCTCGAACGAAACGCAAGGCCAAAAAGTGCGCTACACAGAATAGTAGGTAGTATCTCGCCGATTCCCAATAGTGGCACCATCTAAACTCTTAAGCTATTAAATACAATCTACCCTCGTAATTCTGGCCCTGCATACAGTCAGTCCAAGTCCTCAAGGGGGTACTTAATCAAAGGCCCAAAGTGTTTCACAGGGTCATATCCCGGAGGCAGCTCCTTGCCCTTGGGTCTAGGGCTTGTTTTGAAGAAATCGTCCTGAGTGCGGCCTTCATTACACCCACTCCGGGAGAATTAGATAAAGCCCAGTCCGCGTGCCATAAGCTGGCAGATGTAGTCATCCTATGTTTCGGAGAGTTCAGAGAAAGTGACAACTGTGTCGTTGTATTCATCTGGTGGACAGATCATGAGACTCACAGCCCGGGGACCCCAGACTGAGATTAGGGCGACTAGTACTTCCAGGGGAAACGGCAGCGATTCTCTACAGAACGGCTGTACTTGTCCGTTCGCTTGTTGGCATGGCTGGCTCTGTTAGCAACGAAGACTCAGAGAGCCCATGAGGAGCGGATGAATGGGGTGAACGTACGAACAGAGAAAGTTATGGAGCAGGTAGCCACTGCAGTTGCACTATTAGCACTTCTCTTGCATTTATAGTAGCCGGGGACCCCCACCCGTGTGACAGCAATTCAATCCCGTCAAAACCGGCTTCTTTGGCTAGTATGGCCGAATTTCGGTATTGTTCGACGGTAACTTTCAGTGATATTCTCAGTATGACCCTAAATTGAGGAATCAACGAATGGCCATACGCCATACATGATACTGGCAAATGGCACCCTCGATAACTCACCGGAAGTCCTTCCAAAATCCGATACATCCCACCCTGGGCTTTGATCTCCGACGGTGTTAATGTTGGGTATCCGGTTTTCCTGAGTATTGGCATGTTTCCATGATACGACCTGCCATCCAGGCCAATAATTTCTTTCATGTATACTGTGATTATGTCTGGGGTAGGGTACAGACCAGGGTGTTACGGCTGAAAGAGGATCTTGCCACCTTTGCGATGGACCGCATCGGTCACTTTCTTCCATGTCTCGGCATGACTCCGATCGAACATGACGGGCGCATGCGGCCATTCTGCGCCATGATGGGAGATAAAGGTAGTGACTTTCAAAGTGGTGACACCAGCCTTCTAAAAGTGATTCCCAGGTCAGTCTGTGATTTCGCTTCAGAAATGTTGGTTTGTTATACGCCCGCTGTCGCGGCGGTCAACCTGATTAAAGCCTCTGTAAGAGATTATATAATTTGGTGGATTGTATATAATTATGTTTATAGGTGAATAAGTTTGCTACTTAAATCAAAATTTATTTGCAAGATTTGTAGTTCTGGTAGTCGCTAACGTTGTCGCCTAGTAAAGTCTTGCTAATAGAGATGTATTGGGTAACTGAAGGCAGATACAATAATATTTAGGCTTTATGAATCTTTTACTGGGCTTGAGAGGAGTTAAATTAATGCTAAGGAAAAGAGGAAATGTTCTATACGTGATATATACTCTGAAACCCGAACAGTTGCCTTAGAATCCCAAGTGGGAGACATTTAAACAGCTAGTTCCTAAAGAATAATAGGAAGCATAACACAGTTCAGTAAGACAGGCCAATATAATGTATATATAAAAATTTACACTGGAATTATGCTCTCTGTCTAATGTATACATGGGTGGTATGAAATTGATCTGCCGTGCCCTACACCAGTACGCAAGGGTGAGGAACAAGGTCACTCAGTTCACCTTCCCCGTGTATAATTTCCAATGTCTTTGAAGATTCCGCTTTTCCTTGGAAAATCAAGTCACCAAGGTGGAAGCTAGAAAGCCAGTCTGGACAGTCTCCGTAGCGTCGAAAACTTCACGAGAACAGCGCAGTCCCAGTCCCACGCGTCTTTCTCATCCTTTTCAAGGCGGTGATAATAATAAGCGCCAAAACCAAAAGAAATTCGAAGATCCACGAGAGCCGGCATGGCGGGCACCACCTGAGTACCATTTGATAGATCGACTATATCAAGTGTCTGCAGCGGCTGGAATGACGGCAGAAATGGTAAGGAACCAGGAATACTGTGAAAAAGAAACTACTCTCGAAAGACTAGCTGCTCAATAAACTGTTGCTTTAAACTATCTGAGGGCTCTCATCGTTTCTGCCGCCATCGAGACTAATGGTTTTGTTGAGATTAATAGCCGCATAATAATGGAGAGGAGACCAGAAGCCTTACCAGCACCGCTCTGCATTGGGGAATCGACACAGCAATTTTAGCATGCAAGGCTCCATAGCTCGGTGAGAATAGACGCATATCTCTCGAATAAGTGCTAGCCACTCGCCTAAGCGCCGGAAAATCCTCGTTGCTGGTATAGCTGACCGCAGAAACGGCCTAAATGTTCACTATTTGACTTATTTCCAGAACCTAATCCAATTAACACTGAGACTCATTCGTAAAAGTTTTCTGTCTACCTAGGGCACAGACGCCGTATGTAATGTGTACTTGTTGCTGATGAACGTTTATACGAACCAGGTTTCACGGAAAGTGGTGGAAAGCTTCCTTACCGTCATATAAATTTGAAGTCGCTCGAGTACTCGATAACATGGATACATATTATTTCCTTTTTTCTCTCTTCAATCAGACAATTATGATACATATATCTTCCTCAACGCTCTGATCACTTATAGTTACCTCGGAAACACCAAACTGTGCGTGCTTTAAGCATCATGGCCATGATAATTAGAGAAGCGAGTGTTGCTATTAAGCTATTGGTGTCTGGGATAATATTTTTCTTTCCAAAGCTCTCTATAATGACTATCCTGAAGATTTTCGGTTTCGGAGCCTTGGGCCCTTGTGCAGGTTAGTGGTCATTCACCGCTGTATTCCTTATAACAATCAAGCTAATTCAGGAAGGCTCGTATGCTGCGTTTGTACAATCATGCCTCGGAAACGTTCCTAGGCATGGAATATATGCTATCTTACAAAGTGCGGGCATGGGAGGATACGGCTTCAATTGGGTGGTACAATATCTTCGCCCTGGCATCCTTCTGAAAATCAAAACCTTCTTGTTTCCATAACACGTCCGCTGGTCATCGCAAATGTGAAAACCTTGGATTGGGGCAGTTGATCTGAGAGCGATCCATATGTACGGTATGTATGGCTTGTTCCTTTCGACGCCAGTATAAAATAAATGCTTATAGAGCATTGTGAAGAAATGTGTGAACAATAACTTAATCTATTTGCCTGAAATCTACTCTTAGTTGGTGGTCTTGTTCAGGACTGATTTGTGAGATTCAAAAGTTCTCGAGTCATTTTGGCGCGCCACTGAATAGAGAGGATATGGCTGAAAGGGGCTACAGATAATGTTTGCAGCACTTAAATCAACCATAGCGAATTCAGATCAAAGTTACTTCGTTAACATAAGAGGTACGAGAAGAGCCTGGGCTAGACAGGGATATTGATTGCATAATGAATGTGAAATGAATTGTCGTGAGATCAGGCTGTGACTTGGTGCGCGGCATGAAAACAGTCTTATTGCTTGGGTGCACACCCTTGTTGTTCGCATGGCTAGTGGCAGTTAGTGCTAGATCTAATCTCCAAAGATCATGATCGGACCGCAGTGCCGCCAATTCAATGGCACGGCCCGTCCTTGGGCTTGTCTCATTGGCTGCTAGCATTGTTTAGTGTGGAGCCGGTTCCTTTCTAGTGGCATTTGGTTCCCTTTTTAAATTGATTCTGGACCACTGGCACGATGCTATTGTCGGAAAAATCTGGTCGGAGCCTACCTCTTAGTACTTTTCTAATTTAACCGATGCAGTCAATAATTGGCAGATTGGATGCCCTGCACAGATGAGATGCGATGGTGCCATACCAATGACTAGGGGTCATCAATTCCTAACAGAGGAAACGTTTGTAGTGACAGGGATGTAAAGAATCAGATTTTATTGTATGGTGGCACCATTCTCTCCGAGTAGGTCTCAAACTTGAAGACTATCTCATGGGGCGATGGCCGACCAAAAGGACGCCTTCCAGGTCCTGTCCAGTGAGAATCGCGGTACAATCATCAACTTGACCTCTGTCTCCCTCCTGATTGTGGCCATCATCTTCGTGGCCGCCAAGTTCGGATCTGCGATCTACTTCAAGCAGCGACGGACTCCCATTTGGGCGGCCTTGATTTTTGCAATCATCCATTTCGTTCTCTTACAGAAGGTGGTTGACCATGGACTGGGAAAACACCAAGACCGACTTAGTGATGGCGACATCCAGGCCTGGAGCAAGTTCGCATATACTGCGCATCTTCTGCTGATCGTTGCCATGTCGCTTTCCGAGATGTCGACCATTCTGCTGATTTGGAAGTTAACACCGAGTAAGAGCCTGCGTTGCAGCTGTGCTGTTACCGCTGGTATTGTCATGGGCTGGTCAATCTTCACGGTGTTGGGTATAGCATTCCAATGTGAGATGCCTGGTCCGTGGCTGTACTCGCCTGAGCGATGTGCTGGGAAGGTCAGTATACACCCAAACCGTCCAGGATTGGTTTGAAAGCCCGCTGAATCTGTACCAGGGTGCCATATTCTACCTGATCGCAGTCTTCAACATCCTCACGGAAGTCATCATCATCGGCCTACCCTTCATCATGATGCACAACCTCCAGAGGGTCTGGCACAAGCGAGTGAAGAACCTGTTCTCCTTCTCCTCGCGCTTAAGGTACCCATCACGAACTCCAACATTTTACCACCAATTTAAACAGCTTGTTAACTAATCCTCACAGCATCGTCACCCTCGGAATTGCCCACCTCGCCCTCCTCCCCTCCTTCAGCCACAACCGATGTCTCCTGTGACGCCCCATTCCCATTCCAAATACCTCACAAAAAAAAAAAAAAAAAAAAAAAAAAAAAAAAAAAAAAAAAAAAAAGGGAGAGAGAGAAAAGAAAAAGCCAAATGCCTGGCCAGTATCTATATAGGTGACATTGTGAACTAGGAAATGACCGCCCAAGCAATGATGCCCACGGCCGTTATAATCGCCTGCGTCCCAACCCTCTACCACACCTTCGCCGGCCTGCACTCGGGCCTAAACACAACGCAAATCCCCGATGGGATCGGCCTTGAACTTCCGCAGACCAAGGCAAGCGGGTATATCAATCAGTCTTCTTCTGGGGCCAGTCAGTCACATTCGCGTTCTCGGTCGCGCGGTCGCTCGAGGAAGAACGGGCGGTCGATGTTCGATGGGCGGGATACGGATGTGGTAGTTATCACGGAGGTTTCAACGGGTGGAGATCAGGGGAACAGACAGTCGAGTTCTAGTGAAGGGGCGGAGAGCACAAGGCATTTGACACAAGATTTGCAGGGGAAGAGGGGTGTGCTGAGGGTGGTAGACATTGAGAAGGTTATATATAGAGGCTCCAGGGAGGTTGATCGATTGACAGAGTAGATCAATGCCGATCGCAGTTCAGGTTACTGACTCTCTAAGATATACTATATATTAGCCTAGGTCCTAGCGCATTTTTTCGATCTCCAATCTGTTATTGACTGACAAGACAGGTTCGTGCAGTCCAAAGAAGAATTCACTGGGCGCTTTGCGCCTTCTTCGATCACTTCTCAAAATGCAGCAGATGCACCTCGTATAGGGCTGCACCGTCAGCTTTGGCATCCACCCAAAATTGAACATTCTCCATTAAGTCCAGGGAGTAGCCCTTCACACATGCCATTGTATGCCTCTGGACCCCTCTAGCACAAGTCGGTGGCTTTAGCTTATTCATTCAAGCCTCGGTTTGCAACAAATGGCAACATGCTGATCGAAGTAAACCGCGTCCTGACTCTCCAGTTATATACAATTAGGCCCACGCAAACGATCAAATTAATCAACTATTAAACCACATCGGCAGAAAAGGAACATAACTCCGAAAGCCAGGAAGAACCAGTTGGCCTAAAAGGAAAATAACAGTCCCTGCAATAAACCCCCTAGTCTGAATTTTACAAGCACGCGCCCACGAATCTTTCCTCCACGCATCGAACGTGCCCAGCGGAGCATCACCACCTTTGAGCCTTGGATCAAGCGGTACAATCAATTCATCATCATCTGGGACCATCGATGCTGCGATCCGAACCAATATAACTCGAGCAGGAAGAGCAAGCCAAAATTTAATTAATGTGGGAGCGATAGCCGCGAGTGCATAGACGTGGCCTGCTGCCTGGCTATTATCCAGGTTTTGGTCAATGTCTACCTTTCCCACAGCCTGTATCAGATGGAGTTCAACGAGTAGCGTGATTGGAACTGCCAGCCCGCGCAATATAGACTCAAGCAGGGCTATAGGAATCACTCGGAGCCAGCAGTTCAGGCTGGGAAGGCGTTGATAAAGAAACTTCGGCGATGGCCGGGTGATGACAATGTGGACCCAGAGAACTTGTACATTTGCCAAAACCGCTACGGAAATTAGGGAGCGGATGTCTCGTTTGAGCGGCGAGTTGCCATTGATTGGTAGGAGAGCTGGGAGGATGGTATCTCGGGCTATGTCGTGGATGAGGACGAGGGCGAACCCTCGGAGGTAGAACGAGTTGCCGACGTGGGTACGTAGGTGGTTGATGGTGGTGCGAAGAGAGCTGGTGATATACGCATTTCCTGCATTTGAGGGTTGGCCGTGTGGCCCTTCAATCATGGATAGTGTTCCGATGAGCATGGTGTACGAGTATTGAATCTAAACGGTTTAGGTCAGTCTTGGACGGAGCCGGGCTAGATTTCAACACTTACTAGCCATGACAGTATCATCAGAACTAACGGCAACAACATGTCTGGACGAGAGAAGAAAGAGAGGGTTCGGGGAAGTTAGAGAGGAGGAGTAGGAGATCGAGTATAAAAAGGGTGTTGACGAACGCAACCTAGGCGGAGGGCGGGTTCATAAGATATTCAGTGATCAACTACTAGCTCGTAATTTAAAAACAAAAGTCCTGAGTGCTATTCTTTCGAGTTAGACTATTTTGAAATTTAAAACCATCTACTTCTCCCGCTCAACATGCGCATGTAAATATTTTCCTACTCAGGGGTGCACATAAGCTAGGCTTTTCTCTAGGAGGGATGGCGTGGCGCTGCCTAGTGCTCTGAGAAAGCGCTTAAGATGAGGGTTTTATTGGATACCACCTCATGTTGGGCTGGTGGCTGCGCATTTAAGGGGTCTTCGATCTGGACACTGTCCTAATGATGTTTCAGAGGCATTACATAATATTATTAGACATGTCCAAAGTGGAGGCTGTGTACGAGTGTAACTATAAGAGCACAGCCGGCCACGAAAATGATCAGAGTTGGCTCCTGACTACATCATCACGCACGACAGTGATTTCTCGTTTATATCTGAGCTTCATCCTTCCTGACTTACTAAGGAAATACTATGGCAGAAGTATTTGGGATTGTTGCGGGAGCTTTTGGCGCTTGTTCGCTGGCGCTTGAGTTACTGGAGGTCACAAAATCTGCACAGCGTTATTGGCGACGCATCCATGACCTCCCTTCCATTTCCACGGAAATCTCGGACAGCCTCGGGAATATTGAACGACTTCTCACGGCTATCAGGAAGTTGGCTATCCAAGAGCCTAGAGATCATGATGTAATCGCATGTTTGGAACGCAGCAGACCCTCATTAGAAAGAGTCAAAGATATTATACAGAACGTCGAGGCAAGCGGGGCCAACGGGAGGTTGCGAAAAATCAAAGATACGTTCAAGCGCACTGCTTTGGAGGACCAACTCTCAGTGGCAAGGGCATCTCTTAGGGAGACAATAAATGATCTGTCTCTCGCTCTGCTTGTTTCACAACTGTAGGTACACCTGCCTCTACTTTGTGCGCTCGGCTCTAAGTTTTAGCTACAGTCAACTTCTTGTCAGCAATCTTTGATTCTTTCCAATATGGAAAGAAGGCTGGATGAAATAAGGAGGGAAGATGCAGTGATTAAGATCATTGCAAAGTCCAAATCGAAAGATGATATGGGCTCACTTGAGGGCATATGTAAGTTATACTAATACTTGAGCCATGAACTTGTGCCGTCCCTACCAGTTGCTGACTGGATACTACTGATTGAGCCATTGATTTAACTTCGCCCGCGAACTCCCAGGGTATTATCCGACGAAAAGATCTTCCTGGTAGCTCTTGTTGCTGTCGATTCGAGACCGATGAAAGTTTGGGAGCACAAAGCAGTCAACCCGATTTCAACCACAGTGACTATGGTATATCTCAACGTTCCTTGAGGCAGCGCACACACCACGAGGTCTACCAGATCAGAAGCCAACACTTCAATCTTTTTTGGGGAACGCTGTCAGTATCAATTCTGAGGAAGAAGAATACAGCAAGTGATTCCAGCAAAAGGCGAGAAAACTCATACGCAGAGATAAAATTCAGATTTGCTCCTTGGTCGTTCATCTGCAAAGCGTTTATAGCAAGGCTATATGCAAGTACGACTGGAGGACTGAACCTGTGGCAGAACCTAGCAACAGTGCAAATCGTCCCAAGATACAAGGGGATATTTCTTAATGTCTGTTGTGGCGAAGTCGGAACAGTGAGGAAAACATTTGAAGAGAGAAAAGCTTCGCCGAACAGTGCAGACAAGTATGGACATTCATTAATTGCTATGGTGAGAATATCTAACCTTGGATTCTATCAAAAAGTAGGCTAACATGATTCTTTGTCTTGAAGGCAGCTGGGAACAGCCATCTTGAACTGGTCCGTTACTTCCTTGACCTTGGAGTAAATACTCAGATTGTTGATGATAATGGAAGGTAATTTTCCTAAGTCTGCAATCGCTTTCCTATAATACTAAGAGACGTTTACAAAACAGAAATCCTTTGCAATATGTGTGTTACCTTCGAGGAGGTCCGCTCGATAAAAAAGATTGGGAAATTTTACGTTTGTTGATGGAGAAAGGCCAAATTGATCCTTGGACACCTGACTTTACTGGTCAAAACCTTTGGCACACCTTCTGCCAGGCTTGTCAATCAAGCACTGATTTTCCATGGAGGTCAATGGCGACTGAATTCTTTCCAATCCTGGATGATCAAGACTGCTTTGGCCGCACCGCTCTCTTCTTTATGTCCTCGAATGCCAAGGCCAGCCTTGACTTTTTTCAATGGCACCTGAAAAACGGGGCAAGCCTGTCAGTTTCTGCGAACGGGCGTTTTCCGCAATGGGACGGACTTACCTGTCTTCATGCTGCTATCGCCTCTCTTCAGCCTCGACATCCAAGATCAAAATCCGAACCGTTCCATGTGGACTTGGCGGAGATTTGGGCCGATGTGTTTCCAACTTGGAAGGCTCGAGGGCCGATTTATAATGAAGATGATCGCGTCAATCAGATGAAACGAATTGAATTGCTCATTCAGCATGGTGCTGACTTGTTCGCGGCTTCAGAATTCTATGGCACACCGACTGACGTTGCCAGATTCACTGGGAACTTCGATATTTGGATCAATTCTCTGAAAAATTGTGGAATCAATCCAAAACAAGTCTTGGCGACAGATAAGAAGATTGAGCGCAGCAAAAAGTTTTGGGTGACAGAACTTCTGGCGCGCAAACAGAAATTTGAGAAGCGGAAACTCCATCAGCACTTCAATGACATCTTCGGGGTTCTTGACGACTTTCAATTCTCGGAGAACGCGCACGGGATCAAACCCAGGGCATCTGGAGCTCTACCGGCAAATCCATTGCTTCTGAAGACGAAATCGTACAGAGAGGTACTACATATACTCCGGTCTTCCCTCTTCAACGCAATTCTTCTGGACGAAGAGAATCAAGGCTTTGGTACTCGGATTCTCGCAGACGCTGAATTCTTTGACGGTGCTTACCATGCCAACTTCTTTGACGACCACACCTACTACGAGGTGAGCTCGAAAAATATTCTGTTTTACAACAAATTGCACCGATATCTCGAAATGGTAGCCACTATTGCATCTGCAGATGCTGATCTTGAAGAGCTGGAGTGGAAATCCAACCACTATAAATACTATCCCTTTCTCAAAGCAATGGCTGCGTTTTATTTGGACAGAGCCTTTCGCTTTCCTCACCGTGGCTATGATTGGAAATATATGGATGATACGAGTGAAGTCGAGCCAAGTATACCTGGGTCATGGCCTACAGGTTAGGCGGGTGAACAGGGAATAGGATGTGGGTTCTTTGGGTACAAAAATTTTATAATATAATGCCTTGCAGCCTTCGGAGTACTTGGAGAAACAGTGCATATTGGTCACATGTATTTTTATCGTCAACCCATTGAATTTGGATTATATGAAAGAGGTGGTCAAAGGTATTGTTGAGATAGATGGCTTCATCTATGTCAAGGGTATCTACTATTCAGGGTAGAAGACCTGTCAACTAGGTAAGGATACGTAGGCTAGAAGGGAGAGAAAGATCAAAGGCAGGCAGTAGATACTATTCAGACAGGAGATTGATTCTTGATCTCCTACTACTAACGATTCGCTAATTTATAGCTGAAGACTCTGTACGTAAAGGGTTCAGATTTCCCGTTGAAAACCAAACCGTTGATGGCCTGATGTTCCTCATCGGTGGCCGATTGTTTATGCACCTGGGTCAGGGTATCCTGTACTGCCATCAGGCCGAATCGCTATTCAATCTGTGACAGAAGAGATATCTCTATATAAGTATATTCTGATACAGGGATAGAGATATATTAGAGTATAGTATTAAGCCTAGTTTTAAATTTAGATCCAGTTTTATCAGCTATATATATAATTGGATACTCAGTATCCAAGCTTATATATCTGATAGATACTCTCTGAAGAATACTATTAAGTAGAGCTTCTGGATCAGACAGATCTGCCTTATAAAACCAGTACTGCGGTAGATATTAATTTATAGGCAGGGTAAATAGCCAAGATAGCTAAGTAAAATAGAGATTATAGAAAGTTAATAATCTATTATACTTAATGCCAGTATAGAATACTTCTGCTCTGTAGAGTACTGTTGGTATGACATATTGTATGGCTGCTGCTTGTATAGAGGCAACTGGGCAATCTTGCTGGATATTACTAAGTCTTTAAAGATATTATACCAGCTAATTATCCCGGCTGAAGACTCAGTTTATATGTAGTCTGAAGGTAAGCTTAATGTCCAGCAGGATCCCTAGCCAGCGGGTAGAACTAGATAGTTTGACCGTGCCTAGCTCTGGCAGGAAAACTATAGAGGAAGACTAGTTCTGCTACTTAGAGAAGTGCTGTATCTCTGTCTTTTCTATAAAGAAGAGAAGGCCTGACTCTGTTCCGAGTGTAGTAATTGACTGGTAAGCTTTAACAAGCTACTGGGAGATCTCTTTAAAGATATGTCTAATAAATAACAGTCCTAGATTATCTACATAACCAAAAGGCTCTTTATGGGCAGCAAATACCTTTGCTGTATATAGTAGGAAGAGAATTGGGGAAAGGAAGGATCCCTATGGTAGACCTCCCTTTGGCAAGTCTATTGCTGTGGCATCTCCAATCTGTACTGAGACTGAACGGCCTGATAGCCAGTCCTGGATCAGTTGGATTAGGCTATTGCCCCATCCCTGTAGGCGCAGGTGAGAGAGCAGCCGCTGGTGGATTACAGCATCAAAGGCCCCTTTTACATCCAGTAAAAGTAGTGAAGCAACCTTTCCCGCTTGGAAGGTTTCATTCTGTGAACAAGGACCTGAACTAGATCACCTAGAGGCTTGGCCGGATCACCAACTCTTCAGCCCTTGAAGGCTTTACCTATTAGTAGAATAGATAAGAAGAAGCGGTTAAGATAGTAGATACAGTCGTCCATAGAATTGAGTATCTATTGAAATGGCATCCGATCCTCAGTAGGCTACGTACGTGTAGCTGATACAGCCTCATTCTGCCCATCTTTCCCCTGAGATCACAACAGATACTAATGCCAAAGCACCTTGATTGTCAATTCCCAATCGGGTTAGTAGTTCGCTATCAATCCCTAAGTTGATCAGCTCTTTGGGATACTTCCGAATAGCCGCTAGGAAGTGTCTGATCCAGTGCTATAAACGCTTGACAATGAGCTCCTCTCAGGATATATGCAAAGTGTTGTGATTTCAGGGAAAGATAGCATTTGAAAGGAGACAAGACGTAGGTTGAGCAGTATCTTCCCTGAATAGTTACAGGAAAGGGAGAAAGTCTCAAGGGTTAAAATCCCCGCACGCTGGCCAATGCTCTAGCTATACACCAGCTATACGCCATATCTTCAACACAGAGCAAGATATAGTCCTTTGGTAGTGCTGTTTATCCAAGGTCAATAACATGGCAGACGCGAATTGGCATCACTCCAGAATTATAAAGATAGCACTAGGGCTTAGTACATACCATCCTTCTACAGTATCAATTAATATAGTTTGGGAAAGGTGGACTCCTTGATGTATATCTTCCAGGCATTTCGGTCCATGACGAAATCATCCCTTTTTTATCCCATCTTTCCGCCCATATGTCCTTTGACTTGTTGACATGCTCTAGAATACATTGTCTGTCCTGGCCCTTGAACAGGAGTTTGGGAGAGCAGCCATGCTTTATAGCAGCTTTTTTGTATGCCGGGCCATTGAGACCAATGATATCTCGGGATGTGAGGGTCTTTATGCCGTGGTCATGATAGAAAGATTATTCTAAGTGTAGCCCGCTTCTGTTTTCAGAGAATATTTACTCGAGGGGAAGAGCCGCTGCTTCTTGGCCGGTAATAATCTCATGTATGTTAATAATAAGGCCAGGTTGGAAGCTGATCTCGTGTCGATATTTATTATAAACCCAACTATTCTGGAGACACGTGAAGAACTTATCCTGATACTGACAAAGATCACCTGAATAGTCTCTTATAATAAGGGCACCGTAGAGATGGTCTATGTCTTACAAGGTCTGAAAGCACTTAGATTATGCCCAATCAGGTAAGGAAGATATTGATCATGTGTCTCCACCAGGATAAGCCAGGTTTCGTCTTTAAAGATATATTTCCAGAGAGCCGAACCAGAGTTTAAGACATTTTCAACATTGACTGGATAAAGATAGTCCCTAACAGAGTGCCAAATATCTAATGGGAGAAACTTAAGGAGATCAACTCTATTAGACATAGGGGAATTAGTCGCAATAGACCATGCAGCGAAAAGATTAGTCAATACCGATTATTTCGCGCCAGCAGGGGCACTTTCAGGTGATATAAGTACCAAGATATCAAGAGATATGAAACTAGAAGACAAGTCTTGTATTTACACAAGTGCTAAGCTGTCCTTAAAAATTATACTTCAAAACAGCCACCAAGATATAGCTGCCTTACTTGGACAGTGTCTCTATCTTATGATATTTTAAAGATGCCAGGTCTATAATCCATTAACCCCGTGATTTATAAACTGAGAGAACTACATAATAGCGCCGGAAAATTAGGCATCGCCTTTGTGCAATAATCCATCTCCATTGGCTCTCCAAGAGAACAGTATATATAAATACACAATGATTTTGGTTGCCATCCAAAAATGGCAGCTAGTGATGGTGGATAAAGAGAGTCAACAAGTGATGCTTTGCCATACCTCTATTATAAAAGGCAAAGGCACAAGCGTCTATAAACAACTGGATTACCTTACAGCTGTCCAATTGCAAGACCAGCAGGAAAAAGCATACATGAAGGCCCTAGATTCTTAGGCTCTCTTCAGGCTGTGCTGACTGCAGCGCAGTGTCCCAAAATCACTCAACCGATTGATACAGTCAAAGAAGCAGGATAAAATACTCGAGGTAGATACAATGAGCTTCTGGAGAAAATTGTCTGTTACGGCTTCTGCCTTGGGCAGGCTGTCAAAGACCAAGGACAGCAGATCTTTAATAGACATCATATTTATTATGCCATTGCCTTTCCTTTTTGAAAAGGTACAAACAGCAAACAAAGTAGGGCTTCCGATAATATACTAGAGTATATGATCCAACAGCCCGCTATAGTCGTCTATCTAAGCGAAGTACCTGGCTTGTTAATGCCTTTAGATTTCTACTGTATCTCTACGTAAACTACGTGAATTAAACGTATAGAGCCCGCGAATCTACCGGAGAATCTACCGGAATTTCTGTATGGTTATATTTAATATTACGTTGCTTTTTTCTACATAAGTACATGGATAACAAATCTTTAACATGTACTGCCGACAATTGTATACACGTGTGGAAGCGCATGATACTGTAAGAGATCAGTCTTCTATACGCTCGAAGCAGTCGATGAGTCGCCGTCTCGCCAATTCCAAGAATAAAGCAAGATATCTATTCCTGTTGGTCAATTGCATAATGCTCTCCCAATCATTTTTATCATTTAAAAATTGCTACGAATGGTCTTATTTTCCTCGAACAAGTGAGACTCCCCAGAAGAGACATTCCCAGGCAATTCCTTTCAAAGCAAAAAGGTAAGAATCCGGTCAACCTAAATAGATAGATCTTTTTGAGCAAAAGTAGCTCGACGTTTAGGGCTCGACACGTAACCTGCGAGATTTGTCACAGTAATTTGTTCCAACCCTACACCAATTTCGCGGAGAATATCGCTCAACTCATCCTCTGAATTATTACTTCCAAGGTCTTTTGAGATTCTGGTTTCCCAGGGGTAACCAAGTTACCAAGCTGCAAGTGAGAAATAGCCAGTCTGGAAAGACTTGGTAGAGTCGAAACATTCACGAGAACAGCGCAGTCCCTGTCCCACGCGTCTACTTCATATCAACAAAAGCCGATATCGTAATGGATTGGAAGATCCAAGAGAGCTGGCGGGCACCACTACAGTACCACTTGATCAATTTGCAACCTCAAGCGTCCGCAGCGACTGGAATAATGGGGGAAGTGGCCAGGAGCTAGGGATAGTGTAAAAAAGAAACCATTCCCAAAGGGCTGGCTGCTCAATGAGCTGCCGCTTTAAACTATGTGTGTTCTCATCACTTCTGTTGGTATCGAGACTAATGGTTTTGCTGGCATTAATAGACAGTATGAAGTGAAGAGGTGATTCTAAAAGCCTTACTAGCACTACTGCACATTGGGGAATCAACTCAGCAGGTCCCTTTGCCTCCGAGGCTTCGAGAGAAGCCAACATTACCGGTGGTTGTATGTCAATTGTTCGGGAGACCTAGGGAGGCTGTTCTCGTCATCTTCTGTTTAATATCGTATAATAAAGGAGCCAGGGAGATGGAAATAGGACATTACCTACAGTCGTGCATGGTAGGGAAAGTAGAGTTGGCGGCCCAAGAGGGGTGGCCTAAGAGGGGCGGCCGTAAGCTTATGACTGAGGGATCCCACACAAGCCCCGGCTACCCTTACGCTCGAAGTATTTTCGAAGAGATAGAGACAGAATCTTTTCAGGTTACCGTCTACTTTGATCAGGTAGGATATTTCGCAGCCCGTGCCTAGTGTATGTGGCTGAACTCTTGGAATGAACAATTCGGTTGGTCCAAGATATAAGAATGAGACAACGTCCTCATTCCGTTTTCTTCCAATTGAAGGTACTGGACCGAAAGTAGTAGGAAAACCACAGAGCGCGATTCTATGTACCCAATTCTGACCCTCCAATTCTATTGCGTTATTGACAAGTCAGCTCATGCGTTGCGCAATATCTCGCATATTCGATCAAACAGTTTTTCATCCTCCTTTCTTAATCTGCCATCCGGGAATATTGCCTTTCGTAACTGACCAACCCAAGTTTCAAAGGACTATAAAAATCCGTAAATTTGTCCATAGTGCTTCTAAAGGTATGATCATCCGAGACTGTTCTTAATTTCAACTTAGCCAACTCTTCCATGCTAGCATAATTCTACTCGTCGAATTCTCTTATAACCAGGCTTTTCTTATCCGGACCATCATAGTGGATAGACATCCAGAAGAGAACCCAAAAGGACTCTAGCCCAAGGACCCAGGACAGCCGCCCACCCAGCAACTGCCCTATAGGCATAAAAGCTCTCGTACCAGTTTTATCTCGGAATTACCTTGTCGAGCCTCAATTCACAACAGTAGCATGCACACGTGAAATCGGAAAGAACATACTGTAAAACATAATGAGTCTGGGCCATATCGGCGGGTTGAGCCATGGGAGCATTCTCATGATCTGATTGGCCAATCCAGAATTCTAGGATGTTTTGTATATCCTTCACCATAGACGGCAAGATGGTTGACACTGTGCTAAATCAAAATGTTCTGGAACTTGTCTAGTCTACCAAGGGACTACAGTACAACAATTAATGTCATATAGACTTTATCAAGGACTCAGACTCTCAAACACCCGCATTTGACTTTGGTGTGATCCATGTTCAGGCTCATGCAGATGCCGCCACGCCAGTGAGGCTTAGACGCTTCGCCGAAATTGATCAGCCTTATTCACCCTACCTAACCTCCGCACAGCTTGTAAAATCCCTTCTCACTGTATATAAAACTCCATCTTCGACGTCTTCTTAGAGGCAGAGTCTGTGATGGCTCTTATAAGATCATCTCCAGATATTCGGGCTGCGGATCCCACAAAATCCCTCACAGCAGCGTTGCTGACCTTCGAAGATACCCTGACTAACAAGCAAAAGCAACAGTATCACGCAAGTACTGTGAAACCAGATGCTGCAAGCGTCATTGCTTTTGTTGCAGAGATCGACGCCAAAAACAACAGCACGAGCAGGAGATGTGTAGCACCGCGGTTGTGCACCTTTCTGGAGGCGACGCAACAGTTTAGCAGCGTCCTGGACACGTTTGTTAGCTCCAACCCCACACTCGCCGCCCTCATCTGGGGAGGCGTGAAGATGGCCATATTGACGGCTAGCAATGTCGCGTCTTATTTCGACAAGGTCACCAGCATGATTATGGCGATTGGAAAGTCATGCCCGACGTATCAAGAATTCGGTCAACTCTATCCTGGCTGCGTCGAGCTCCAACGTGCGTTATGTGATTACTATGCCGCCATCGTGAATCTGTGCATCAAGATTATTGGAGTCTCAAGAAGGACCCCTGTTACACATACATTAACCGCCATCTTCGTTCCTTTCGAGTCTGAGTTCAAATCTGAGCTAAACGATATAGACCAAATCGCGAAGGATATACAGTTCCAGATATCACTTGCCTCAAAGCTGGCTCTTGAGGAAACAAGGAAGTTACTGGAGCACGAAAGGCAGGACAACACAGCGTTTCGGCAGTTGACATCGAAATTCCAGAAAAAGACTGAAAAAGAGCATGCTGAAGCGAAACAGTTGCGGACCAATCAGATGAAAAGAGAAGCCGCAAAGTTGAAATCAAGAATTCGAAAAAATCTTTCATCCATCGACCATATTACCCCATGGAAGCAGGCTATCCGACAACGTGTTCCCTCCACAGCCGAGTGGCTGCAGCAGGAATTCCTCTTTCATCAGTGGAAGGATGATCTGGATACTGCCACCCTCTGGTGTTCAGGTACGATGGGTGTGGGTAAGACAGTGCTCATGGCTAATGTGGTAGCCCAACTGCATGCATCGCGCAAAGACAATGACATTATATCATATTACTTTTGTCGCGCCGACAATGCGCTCACACTTTCAGCGAGGAGCATTTTGGGAAGTCTCGCTCGTCAAATATTAGATTCCCAGATTGAGAATGCCGAGCATGACAGTCTACGTGTCCTGGACAAGGATAGTCGAGACCTTGACGTAACTGATGTTATTGATTTTCTATTGTCTCACCTTCAGGTTGGCAAGACATACTATCTAGTTCTCGATGGCCTCGATGAATGCGATAGGGCTGAAATTCAAATGGTGGCGCGGAGCCTGGCTCAGCTCTGCGACAAGCGTGTTAGTGACTTCAAAATTATCTGTGCGGGTCGCCCCGAGCTTGAAAAGGAGCTATGGAGAGTGCTCACCCCCAAGTATAAAATCCAAGTCACTGAAAGGAAAGTCGAGTCAGATATGGATCTCTATATTGCCACGATTTTGAGTCGCTGCCTGGAAGAGGAGCAGCTGAAGCTAGGGGATCCGAAGCTCATCATGGTAATAGTACAGGCCCTACGAGAAGGGTCTAAAGGGATGTAAGTAACAAGATGCTAATCAGTGACCACAAGATGACAGGTTGACCGGAATAGGTTCCTTTGGACTAGACTTTTCATCGAAGAACTCTGCGAACAAAACAGTGACGATGACATATTAAAAGCATTGAAGGATCTACCGCGTGGATTGTCTGAAATTTTCAATCGAAAACTACGTCGTATCCGAGATAGAACTGCAGCAAAGGAAGCATTAAAGATACTCCAATTCTGTGGCGTGGCGAAACGATCATTGACAGTCATGGAATATCAGGAAGCCTTGAGTCTCTTTCCTGGCCAAAAGTCTCTTGACCGCGGGAGGCTCCTTAATGATATATTCAGAGCCGTTAGTGATTGTTGTGGGTTGATATTCGTTGAGGAAGAGGAAAACACTGTGCACTATGTTCATCAAAGTGTTGGACAACACCTATTCACCAACCGCCATCCACACTCGCCGGAATTCGATATGGCGAAAGTTGATCAGCATCTCGGATTCCTTTGCATGACTTACCTCAATTTCACCGACTTTAAGCGCCAGCTAACGAAGGTGAAGGCGGGTTCCAGTGTCCCTATCAGGCCCGTTCAGCTTGGGACCTTGCCCGTCTATCATTCAAGCAGTTTTACTAAGCGGATGGCTCAGAAGCTGCTTTCCCATAGCCCTGGATTGCAGCATCTCAGCGGTGCAGAGCTAGCGAAAAGGGCCCAAGAAGCACTTGGCGATATGGAGTCTTCTCGTCTGGAGCGAGAAATTCAGAAGCGAGACTTCCAGTTCTTCAACTACGCCTGGACTTATTGGATTAATCATGTGACGGATCTAGACCCAGAAACAGAGAACATGATGTGGAGATTATTTTGTCAATGTGTAGAAGGCAATAATATTCTTGCATACAGACCATGGGAGTCCAAGCAGCTGGACCACAGAGAAAAGAGCAATATACCGAAGGCAGTACAGTGGCTAGTAGCCAACGGGAATTACAGCTTACTTCTGTACTATGCAATGCACCACTCCCACGTTTTGACTGAGAATGTGAAGCGCGAAATCCTTCGCAACAGCACCATTCACAAGCGTTATCGCTTCACAAAGCTGATCATCCAACAGACCAATACTTCTAGCGAAACCTTAAAACATGGATTGCTATATGCTGCGAGAGAAGGGTGCAATATTTCAGTCATGAGTTTACTTCAAGCAGCCGTCTATGTGAATGATCAAGTATGTGGCCAATCAGCGCTTCAAGCAGCAGCTGAGGGTGGTCATGTTGAGGTAGTGGAGATGCTTCTAGCAGCAAAGGCTGATGTTAATGCTCCTGCTACTAATGGTAGACAAACAGCACTCCAAGCAGCAGCTGAGGGAGGTTATGTTGAGGTAGTGGAGAGACTGCTAGCAGCAAAGGCTGATGTCAATGCA